CGGCGCCCTCATCGATTATCACCTCGCCGTCCCGCATGATCGACTTTGCACCGAGCTGCACCACAGAATACGATCCGTGCGTCCTCCCCTCTGTATGTTCCCCCAAATGAACTTTCTGACCAGCACTAACCTTTGGACTATACGACGTCTGACAGGGCACCTGGCCCTACCTCGCCTGCTCGATCCTCGCCCAACCGAATGAGCGGCTCGGTGTTGTCCACGAACGATGGCACGACATCGAGTCGCTTTTCTACGTCGTGATGGAAGTTTCGTTCCGCGAGCCGTACCAGGGTGACGAGAAAGTCCTCGTAATGACGCCGAAGGGTGAAACCATCTGGCGGCGCTGGAACAGCCCAGAGGCGGACCTAGTCTATACCCTCAAAAAAATACTTTGCATGAACACGGAATACAGATCTGTACTCGAAGGCTGTGCACAACGATGGACGAACATCAATCAACTGGTCGAGATCTTGCGACACCGCTGTGGTCTCGATGACCAGTTCAATGATCTCGAGGTGGCGAAGAAAGAAGCCCGACTGGGGGAGTTGTGGGGTCCATCCAAGGCGATGTCGCACGAGTCCATCATCACGGACATTGAGCAGCTGCTTCCCTTGCTCTGAAGTGACCACCTTTGCGCTGGGCCTAAATATAGTTGCTCGTTGTTAGTACCGATCATTGCAATAGATACCCCAGGTCAATTTCCGTCCGTTCCAGTATAATTCCAGGCTGGAAATAGGACTGCGCCAGCGGTGCCTTCATTCGGCTCGACTGCGCAGAGTTTCTGGCCCAAGTCGTAATCTGGGAGGGCCCTTACATCATTCACGTTTTGCTCATAGGAGTGTTGTTTTTGGAAATGTATCAGGTTTGCTGTCCTGTCCCATGTATCAAAACGCGTGGCCTCGAACCAACGAAATGAAACCCATAGCCCCGCTCCAAAATCCTGTCAGTCCAAAACGTCCATGCCGCCCGAGGCTTACGACGGCGCTGTGACGGCGCTGTGGCCCATCTCCTTGCCGTTCTCGACCGCTTTGACCAAATCGGCTGGCTCAAGTCACCAAGTCACCATTCAATCACGAGCGAGATCCCCCGACTTGTCTCATGGTTGCCAGCGATCCGAACCTCACCACTGCTGTTCCCCTGCCGGTGTTGGGCGAGCGTGTCGATGTCATCGTTCGTTTGGCGCTGAGCCTCATGCTTGCAGCCCGACCGCCCCCCGACGGTCTGTTCACTACCGCCGTCCTCATGCTCCTCGATGCGCTCATTCGACAGCGCACCGACCACGACGCTCTTGATTCGTACCTCTATCGAGCGCTGTCGGTTACGATGGGCGTCACGCACAAGGGCACTAAACCAAGCAGCTTCTCGCAAGCGATCGCGCACACCGTCCATGTCCTTTGTACGGCCGAGTACTATCTCTGCCGCTTGGAGTGAGCCGCTTTCCCTTGTGTCCTTACGCCACGCATTCGTTCTCCACAACTCACCTTTCTTTGTGTGGTGCATTGGTTTCCCGATTCAGAACGACGCTCTTTGAAGCGGCCTGCCAAGGACCACTCACTGTTCGCGATTGACTCGTCCTCGCTCGGACTACGCCATCGTCAAACTTTGACGACTTGCGCCCATTGTTCCTGCACGACAAGTCACGTTCGTCGTTCGGGATATTGCTCCTTTTTGATCGCGTGTGGCAAGGAGTGCCGGGATAGCTATGGCATCCCTCCCATCCAGCTCGATACCAACGAATCTCCTGGCCAACGCTTTCGATTTGACAGCCAGACCATGACGTACGAGGACCTGAAGACCCTAGGTAAGGGCGCGGAGGATCGCGCCGGTCGGGCCTTGGCTTCACTGTTGGAACATGACTCGATCGCCGACCTTCCCGAACTTCCCGCCGACGAACACCTCACCGAGCGCTTTGTCTAGGAATGAACTACACCGGTTCGAGTCCAGCGGCGAACATGCAGACCATCTGGTATGTGCCCAAGATGGCCCTCACGTTTTCTGGATCAACTTGCATGTCGATCTGCCGATGGAACAACTCCTGTCTCAACGTCTTGGTCTCGAATCATACACACCTTACATTTGGCATAAGAACGGCAAAGTTGTCTAGGCGGAGGAGATCTTGTCTGCGTTCAGGGACTTGACTTGATCGATTCTTGGATTCCCCATCAAGCCGTCGACAATTCGCCACCTCGTGGTCTTTGTTCACCGCGGTGCCGGAGTCGAGTTGTTAATCCTGAACATGCCGAGGAGATTGCGGAGGCGTCCATGATGGGTCACAGCGCGGCTCAACATCCAAAGTACGGCGCGGGCAACGGTCATTTTGGCCCGTTGGGCCTGGAGAAGATGGCGGGTAGCAACCGAGTGTGCGCACGTCATCGTCAACTCTTCGGTATCGATCCCGGGCAGCTCTGGCGGTCTCAAGTCCGACGGCCTCCCTCCGCCCCCACCAGCTCCAGATGTGGAACCCTCCGTTTCGGACAACTCTGCTTTTCACCTCGTCATGCCTCCGCTCACCTCCGTGGCCCGCGGACAGGACTTCAACTGGTCGGCCGTTGGTCGCTCGATCGGACCTTGCCTGCGTGTGATTCGGGCGGCGGGAGTCCTCTTCGGGCGTGATCGACTTTTCAGGGGCGACCCCCATCCTGGCGAGCGCGGTCGAACTCGCGTGCAGCTCGGCGGATGACTTGGACTACCTCCCCTTGTTGATCGTTCTCCCCGCTCGCGCCGGCCAGTCCTCTTGTATCGCCACGCCGGCCCTACTGGCCTCGCGGTTGTACGCCAAGACGGTCCTCGTCATCTGTCTGACTCTTGCGTTCAAGCTCAACTTTGTTAGCCGCATGAACGAGCGGCACCCGGTGCTCCAGACCATCGCCTGAGACTTTGATTTATTTGTTTCAAACCCGTCCCCCGTGATGCCCAACATCCTCGTCCTTGGTGTTGAGCAGTTGGCGACCGAGCCTGTACATTGCTTCTTGTCGCGCAAAGCCGGGGAGGATTTGATCGATCGCATGATCGCCGACGAGGTGCACATGATCGTCGAGGATTCCAAGTGGCGCGCTGCGCTCCTTCGACTGTCTTTTCTCGCAAGTTGTTGGCCTTGCCAATCATCTTCTTGAGCGGGTCTTCTGCCCCGCACGTGATTGGCCATCAGGATCTCGTCCATGGGGATCCCTCGAGCTCCTCCGACGCTGCGTGTTGGGCCCCTCATTGACATTCGCTGCGTGTGGCGAATTCCCCAGGTCACAACAGACTTACCCACCACCGTTCTGGAGGTCATCGCCATCGTCAAGACCGAGACTCCCAAACTCGGCTCCGCCATGATCATCTTTGTCGACGCCAAGGCCAAGGGCGACCAGATCGTCGCCGAACTGGGGCGCCGGGACTTTCGTGCCAAGGTGAGATTCACACCCGGAGCTCGTGATTTCATCTCAACAGATCCCTGATTCTTGCTTTCTCTTGATGCTTCTCAGCGCTACTAGGGCACCCGAGCTACGGGCCGAGTTCGATGCCACTTTGAAGGAGTTCCTTGCAAAAAACATGCACATTCTTGTGGCCATCAAGGCAGCCGCTCAGGGGGTCGATTGATCGGACATCTCGACGGTGATCATCGTTGGCGACCCGGGTAGACTCCGTTTGTGAACAGATGCGGAGGCGAGCCAGTCGCGACGGACGTCCTTCCCAGGACGGACATCTACGTCCACGATGCATGGGTCCTCAAGAGATGCGCCCGCGACCGATCCGTTGTCGACGCCGCGGCGATTGGCGACTTCCTTGATACCACCAGCTGTCGTCTTGAGCAGCTTAGTACCTATCTCGATGACCCCACGCGTTGTGTCAACTGTTCGATGCTCAACACTGACTTGTGCGACAACTGCGTCTCAGCTTGGGACGCCTTCTGCTCTTCAAGTCGGCGGGTCGCTCGGGGCGTTGACTCATCTGGGATGGCATTGCGTAACCCCTCCGTGTCCTCAAGCTACCGTCGAACCTCATGGTCTGGTTCTCAGGTTCGACCCTCCGCCTCTTCCGTCATGGCCAAGTGTATGGCTCCGGAAGCGACGACGCGCGCCATCTCGCCCCTGAGGCGCGGCCCGAGTCTCCGGGTCACCTTCCTCGATGGATCAGGTCAGTCTTGCATTCGGCTGTGTTCGTACCTTCACCCTGGGTGGTGCTGACGTACCTCTGTACCTTTTTGTCGTCTTCCAGTTGGGTTCTGGCCCGTTGAGCTGTCCGTCTCCCTTGGGTCCCGTCGGGGTCCAGCAAAGCGGTGACCTGTTTTCACCGGTGAGTGAATCTTGCTTATGGCGTTCTAACCTGAAACCTGGATCGTGTATGATAACTGACTCGGCGTCTTCTCCGCCGCAGTTGCCACCAGCACTTACGACCAAGGAGATCTTGTGAACGAATCCAATTAACCGCTCCAGGACATGGCCGAGACCGACCTTGTCCTCGCCTTCACCGGGGTGGCCAAGATGGCGGCTCACACCCACATCTTGTGTTTGTGCCTCTAAGACCCTCCACCTCTTAATCATCCGAACCCGATCCGGGCGTTCTGCAGCGCGTGCAAGGCTGCCGACTGGGTCAAGCCGGATCCTCGCTGTCGCTCCTTCAATCTCGTCATCGGTGCTGGCGGGCTGCTCCACGACCTCCATGAACTTGGCTGGTAGAAGACATCAATCTCTTGGATGTTTCTTGCTTCAGCCTCCTCTACATCTCTCAATGCCTCTTTTCTCTTTCTCTCTCGTTGTTCCCTCTCTCAGCCCGTGATTTTGCATGATTCTGTCTCGGTTTTGCCACTCTTGGATTAGAAAATAAAGGTTTGCAATACGCCAAGTTCACCTTCACCTTCAGTATTATTTAGGAGAGTGGCCAACAGATGAAAATCAGCTGAGAGGGTTCTTGAGTCCCGGAGCAGCCTCGGGGGCCGCCTCCCTGAACAAGTCCCGCTTGTCATGGCGATCTACGTTGAGGAGTGGCCCTACCGCACCTCGAGGTTTTCCACCCAATTAAAGCCAAGAGATCACACGACTGGGCGTCCAGAACACTACAGACCCACGTGTTGAATACGTTTCTCCGCACTTTGGCGCGCCGCCGTCCGTCAAGAAAACGTCGAGATGGACGTTCCCATGCGTGACGAGTGCGGAAGGGAAGGCGATGCAGCAGCCGGCGGGTACCTCGACGATGACACCAAGCTCGTACAGCACTAGCCAGGATTGCGTTGAAGAGTCGAACTCGCCTGCAGCCGCAGAAGCGAGGCACTGCTGCGATAAGTCCTCGATTCATGGGTCGCCGAGACGAAGCGAGCTTGATCCACGCACCAAAAGGGAAGACCACGCACACACGCCCTGCGGTGTGATGCCGATCAACGTGCGGTTTCAGCGCCACTCCGGCCGCCGTACCACTGTAGTTGAGCGACATCATCCTGAACAAACCGAAAGGTGCTGGCTCGCCTCGTCGTCCGCAAAGTCCAGGGGCTCGGGCATAGGCTTGCTCGTAGCGCTCTGCAATGCGGGGAAACGCCTCCCTCACCACGCTGGAGCACCACCGCCTGTAGTTTAGGACCTTGATAAAAGTCAGACCAATCCACGCGCGAGCTCAACGTTCAAGCGCAGGCGCCGACTCACGCAAGACGCTGGACCTCGGCCGAGCCGACCACCGCGGAAGATTGCTCCACCCTTGCTTTGCTTTGGGATCGGAGTGTCAAGTGGCACCAGTCAGGCACCTGGTGCGTAGGGAGATCATTGCGTTCAGTACACTGGGACGGTCAAAAGCCAAGTGGACGAGGGAATCCACTTGCATCGTCTGCCTTGTAGGCGAGATTGATTCCCATCAGCGCGGAATAATGGGTTCCACGATGATCGCCGACCCTCAGCTGAGACCCAGCGTTGAAGGAGGCTTGTAGCTCCTGGCATGTAGCAGGTAAATATGCTTGCCAAATATCCAAGAGACTCGAGTCTGCCTTGCTGGACCTGACCGCAAGGACGTAGGATCGTTCTTTGAAGAGCACTCGCCCAGCACCACTGCGCGAGAAGACAAAATGACATCGAGCCATCAGCAAGGGGTCTCTGCACCCAAGACTTCTTCTCGAGCTGTACTCTAATCCGCGGCAACTCACACATTGTAAGGCACCTGTTCCAAGTGCCTGAGATCGGCGAGGGCTCCGACATCTGGCTAGCGCGACAGGAATCGCGGCAATGACGCCATTACCGATTCGGACCAGGGTTGCGCCAGTGGAAGGGCGTGCCCTTGCCATCCGGAACGAGTCGCTTTGGCCATGGTTGCTTTGAAAGTCCCCCCTGCGGTGTGCACCACGGTTGTTTCCTTGGCGTGTTTGGCGGCGAGGCGGCGCCGCTTTCGCTCCCGCATCGTTTCCTTGGCCGGAACCCTGCCCACAGCAAACGAGCAAGAAGGGTCAACGTCTGGTTCGAGCGACAAGGCGGGATTGAAAAGTCGCCAAAGTGACCCAAAGAAGGTGAGGACGGACAGACTTACTTGTCTGGGGTGGTCGGCATTCGAAAACGCTCCTGCAAGCCCGGACCGCTCATGGGCATCAGGGACGAGCGACACTTGCTCAAGTCGCTTGGAGATATGCTTCTCAACGTCGAACGTGACGTCCACTATGCACTGCAGAGGCGCCGCGTCGGTGGCCCTGGCGTCGGCAGGCGTGCAGTCGGCGTCAACGTTGATCGTGTGTTGGTCGCGGGAGCGGGCCTGCGATGCAAGTCGAGTGGTGGGAGGCACGACGATATGAAGCCGACTGAGATCTGGTTCAGAAGCGCGAGATAACTGATGCTTGCTGCGGTCGCGGAAAGGTTTGGGTCGGGGAAGCGGCGAGTTGTTGATCAGAGGCAGACGCCCGATGGCTCAGCGACGCTGGGCGCCCGTGAGAGCCCGTGAGCGTCACGCGCCTGAGCCCAGCTGAGCACACTTGGCTCCACTTGGGACTTTTTGGGGTTCACCAAATGTTGGCGGAACTACGAATCTCGTTCACGCGACGTGCCCGCGCTCAGGGAGAGAGGCGCGCGGCTTTGTGGGCTGAGCCTGAGCCCAGAGCCCTGAACCGAGATCGGATCCGAAACGAGATTCCCATTCGGCGGCTCACGTCCGTAAGGAGTGCGCCGTCGCCCCGGCGTGCAAGTGCTGCGCATGCACCCGGACATAACCGCGCTAATAGCTCGTCACTCTGGGCTCACATCGAGGTTCTTCCCCGCTTGGCCTCTACAGGCGTCTACACTATGTGGTACCAAAGTCCCTATGAACGGTACAAGAATGACCTCGGATGTGATCCCAAAGTCCGCTTCAATGTGATCCCAAAGTTGCCTCTGATGTGGGACCAGAGTTGCCATTCTCGGGACCAAAGTGCCCTGCTATTCGCGCGATTAACCTAATTCCGATTTCGAAATGGCCTAAAACCCCACTAAACCCGAAAAGCCGATTTCGCGCGATTTGAGAAATGAACGCAACCCAGGATTCTGATGCGGGGCTTTGGTATTCATTTGGTTGGCTCAAGGCTACGCATTTTGTTACATGGGACAGGACAATACACCTGATACATTTCCAAAAAACAACACTCCTATGAACGAAACGTGAATGATGTAAGCGCCCTCCCAGATTACGACTTGGGCCAGAAACTCTGCGCAGTCGAGCCGAATGAAGGCACCGCTGGCGCAGTCCTATTTCCAGCCTGGAATTATACTGGAACGGACGGAATTTGACCTGGGGTATCTATTGCAATGATCGGAACTAACAACGAGCAACTATATTTAGGCCCAGCGCAAAGGTGGTCACTTCAGAGCAAGGGAAGCAGCTGCTCAATGTCCGAGATGATGGACTCGTGCGACATCGCCTTGGATGGACCCCACAACTCCCCCAGCTCGGCTTCTTCCGCAGCCACCTTGAAACCAAAAAACCGGCTGTCGAGGCCGCAGTTGCGTCTCAAGATGTTGAGGAGTAGCGGGATGCTTTGGAATCGATGTGCGCAGCCCTCGAGTGCGGATTCGTAAGGTTGGTCCATGCGAAGCATATACTTGAGGGCATAGACTAGGTCCGCCTCTGGGCTGTTCCAGCGCCGCCAGATGGTTTCACCCTTCGGCGTCATTACGAGGACTTTCTCGTCACCCTGGTACGGCTCGCGGAACGAAACTTCCATCACGACGTAGAAAAGCGACTCGATGTCGTGCCATCGTTCGTGGACAACACCGAGCCGCTCATTCGGTTGGGCGAGGATCGAGCAGGCGAGGTAGGGCCAGGTGCCCTGTCAGACGTCGTATAGTCCAAAGGTTAGTGCTGGTCAGAAAGTTCATTTGGGGGAACATACAGAGGGGAGGACGCACGGATCGTATTCTGTGGTGCAGCTCGGTGCAAAGTCGATCATGCGGGACGGCGAGGTGATAATCGATGAGGGCGCCGAAACCGTTGCGGTCGATGACGACATTGCCGTACGAAATATCCCGGTGAATATACCCCAGCCTGTAGAGGTTTCGATGTCCTGCAATGTCGTGGGAAGGGGCGTGTCGGCTAGGGAGCGCAAACGCAAGGCCGCCCAGTTGATCCCTGTGCTCACCTTTGACGACTCCAAGTACGGCCTGGGCGAGTTCCCTGGTCGTGGTCGCCGTGTTCAGGGGCCGATAACACTGTCGGTGGAAGACCACCTCCAGTGCCCGGGGCCCGATACCATCGAAACTTTCATCGTCGCCGAAGAAGGTCGGAAGCGTGCGGAAGTCGTCACGGTAGATGCCGGCGCTAAGGCTTAAACCCTCGGTGTCGATACGCGACGCAGCGTGCATCTTGCGACGTAGGGCAATCGCATCGTCGAGGCGGGATTGCTCAACCCATGCGACTGTCATGGCGTACTCGGTGGCAGGTGTAGGCAAGGTGATCGACGTGCGGTCGACAGGCGCGTGTCGCGCGGTGACGCGGAAAGCGGAGGTGGCGCGACCCAGGCAGCTTCGGCGTCGGAAGAGGAGCTCCTGGATCTCGAGATCTGAGATATCGCCGAGCTCGGACTCGAAGTCGTGGGCGCGGGGTGGGAGAAACTTGTCCGAGACGACAAAACTGCCGAAAGCGTCGTCGACCTCGTTCGTCGAGGCCAGCATCCCGAGCCCGTTGTCGTCGAGTTCGATGAGGTGTGACAGCACGCGCCGGAGCAGCACGGCTCCCTGACCGCACTCGCGGGCGCTCGTCGTGAACACCCCACACGCGTTGACGAGGTAGACTTGAAGCACGTCCCCGCAAAGGGTGACCCCGATCGCGTGGGCGCGGAGCGCGGTCGTGCAGATCATGTGTAGCCGCCTGATCACTTGGTTACGCGCTTCTGCGCTCCTCTTGTCGCTCTTCTTCACCTCAATCGCAACTGCAATCTGCGAGTATGCGCGTTGAGGCGACGAGGGCGTGCCTTCCATCGACGTTGGGTGCTCTGACTGCGCCCAAACGAACGGAAGATCGGGGGCAGCGGCCACCGCCGCATGCGTGAGGATGACGGCGTCGGGCGTGTTCTCCTGCTCCCCGCGATCGGGCGCCAGCTTGATGGGGCTACCCGAGTTGCCGCATCCGACCAGACGTCGATCACCAGTCTACACCCGGGTGCATCAATGATCGGGAGACAGTGGTCAGTCATACTCGTGCGGTCGAAGCCAAGCGATAGCACCGGGGCACTCACCACATCCTTGATCGCGTCAGCCATCTGTTTCATTGCAGCCTCCGTCCCCAGTTTCTCCGTCGGTTTGGGGATCTTGGCTTCGTAGGTGGAAGGCGTGTCAAAAAAATATGTGTCCATCGCCTTTGACTGTCGAGGTTTGCCCATATGGGCGAAGAGCTGGTGCTCCCTCGCTTCCGCCGTGGCCGTCATCGACACTGAGGGGCTCGACTTCATCGGGCTCGATTGTGTCGTAGCAACGCTGAGGTCCGACATGCCTGGTAGGCCTACGGCCTCACATGCACGACCGGCCCGTCCCGGTCGAGTGCTGTTGCGGTTGATTGGCCCGCGCGACGAGCTGGGCAGTTGGGTCGTGGCGGCTTGGGCGGGGGTCGCAAGAGCAGACGTGCCAACCGACGGGCCTGGCGCGCCGTCTCTGGCGTTGACGAGTCGCGGGCTTCTTCGGAGCTCGGGCCCCGACGACGCCTCGCCTGAGACGGTGTGGCCCGAGCGCCGGGCGTACATCGAACTCGTAGGCTGGTGTAGGACTTGTTGTTGGATGTAGAAACAATGCACGATGATCGGATGAAGGATGAAAGATGAAAGATGAAAGATTTTTTTTTTTACTGGGGCTCATAAATTGCTATCCTCCGGGTTGGCTGGGACCGCTACAAAAAGAGCTAAAAGGGGTTCTAAGCCGTGACGACAAGCAGATGGGTGAAAATCAAACCCCTGCACGCAAAGAGTGCCGCGCAGATCAAAACCCGCCGAGCACCCAACTCGGACTCCAACGGGCGGTGAGTCTGCTGCCGCTTCACATCCCAAGATCGGGAGCGAAGATACGCGATAACCAGGGGAAACCTAGAAAGAAGGGGGACATACATAAAAGCCACGACCAGAAATACGGAGAAGCAGGAATACTAAGACAAAGGGGTCGTTGGTTTTTTTTTTTGTAGAAACTGTTCATCGTATTGCCCCCAATTCCTGTGCCCCCTGATTGGCCTACGGAAAAACTAGAAGGAAGTCGACGATGATAACACAAACCGCCCGCAAGATGCGAGAAACGGGCCAAGTCCACCAATCCGATACTTCGGATTCAAGTGCCCCAGCCAAGCGGTTGCTCCCCCCCAGGAGACGAATGAGAGAGAGAAGAGAAAGAGAGAAAATGAAAAAGAACTGGCGTACTAACGACAAGAGGCCCACCCCGCACCCACTTCCCAACTCGGTCGAGACAAAGACAGGAGAGCGACTGCGCAGCTACCCTGACCCGCGAAGTCCCCAAGTCTATGCTCGGTCACAACAAGACGCGGTGGAGGCCCCTCAAAACCTCCACCTCAGCAGTCCCTGGCCCCTCAAAGCCGACTTTCTGCCTGTGTCTGCTGATCCCTCCCTTGACTCAGAACCCCGAAGCCAAAGAGCGCGAGCCACCGTCGAGTCAATCCCAAATCGCGAGCCGGTCCATGAGCAACGGAGGCAGACCTGTAATAAAAGAAAGAAAGATGAAGAAAATATATTTAGTATACAGTTTTTGTAAGAGGATGTGTGATGTGGGGTGTGTGAGTGTGGGATGGGGTGGGGGGAAATCGAACCCAGCCTCTACTGCCCTCGCCCGCCCCTTGCTCCCCCCGCCCTCAACTTCATCCTCTCCTCCAGTACCACCCTCCTCCGCTCCAGGCTTTCCATCCTCGTCCCGTGCTTCTGCATCCTCCATCTCCCACTGCTGATCATCTCCAAGACCATCCCCGTGAAGATCTCGATCGTCCTGCCTGCGCCTTCCTGTTCGCTGAGCTTGGCCTTGAGCTTGGGGAGGCCAAAGAGTCGTTGTAGTGTCGTGTACTCGGCGTCCTCGATCGTGTCGCATCCGAGCGCGTCGCAGAGCACGCCCCTTGCCGCGGTCCAGACGTTCCGCGAGTCGACACAGCCGAAAAAGTAGTGATCGGTGTCGTCCACCGGCGCTTCGCAGACGAGGCACGCGGGAGAAGTGTCGTGCTTTTGCTCGTGCTGGAGCTTGCGCGTCGGGGTGAAGCGGAGAATCAGCTTGAACCAAACTTCCCTCTCCCTCGCTGTCAGTGCCTTCGAGTTGACCTTTTTTTTTTGTAGAAAACGTTCATCATATTGCCCCCAATTCCTGTTCCCCCTGTTTCGGCCTACGGAAAAACTAGATGGAAGACTACGATGATAACACAAACCGCCCGCAAAAGTGCGAGAAACGAGCCAAGTCCACCAATCCGAGATTCGGATTCAAATGCCCTAGCCAAGCGGTTGCTCCCCCCCAGGAGACGAATGAGAGTGTGAAAGAGAGATGAAGAGAAAGAGAAAGAGAAAGAGAAAGAGAAAGAAAAGAAATGTACTAACGACAGAAGGCCCACCCCACAGCCACTTCCCACTCGGTCGAGACGAAGACAAGAGCACGACTGCGCAACCACCACGACCCTCGACGCTCCAAGTCTCTGCTCAGTCACAACAAGACGCGGTGAAGGTCCCTCAAAACCTCCCCCTCGGCAGTCCCTGGCCCCTCAAAGCCGACTTTCTGCCTGTGTCCGCTGATCCCTCCCTTGACTCAGAACCCCGAAGCCGAAGAGCGCGAGCCACACCGAGTCGACGCCAAATCGCGAGATGGTCCATGATCCGCAACGGTGAACCTGTAACAAAAGAAAGAGGAAAGCGAGCTATTTAGTGTACAGTAGGAGAAAATGATGTCACGAGAATTTGGTGTGTGTGTGTGGTGGTGGGGGGAAAGTCGAACCCAGCCTCTACTGCCTTCTCCTCCCCCAAGCTCCTCCCGCCCTCAGCTTCAACCTCTCCTCCAAGATTATCCTCCTCCTCCCAACACCCTCCATCCTCGTCCCCCACTTCTGCATCCCCCACCTCCCGCTGCTGATCATCTCCAAGACCAGCCCGGTGAATATTTCGATCGTCCTCCCCGCTCCTTCTTGATCGCGCAGACTGGCCTTGAGCTTCGGAAGTCCGAACATGCGTTGAACGGCCGTGTAATGCGTGTTGTCGATCGTGTCGAGCCCCAGTGCGTCGCAGAGCACGCCCCTTGCCGCGATCCAAACGTTCCTAGAGTCAACGCAGTCGAAGAAGTAGTGCTCCCGATCGTCCTTGGGCGCTCCACAGACGAGGCACGCGGGCGAGTCGTCGTGCTTTTGATGAAACTGCAGACTCCGAGTCGGGGTGAAGTTCCTGACGAGCTTGAACCACACCTCGCGTTCCCTCGCCGTCAATGCCTTCGAGTTGACCCCCTTCCAGAATCCCTTGAGATCGTCGGGCTGCAGCGAGTCCCTGAAACCGATCGTGTCGGTGAAGGCCTTTGCATTCAAGACTCGGCGGACGCGACGGATGGTGTATGGCCGATCCATGCTGAGCAAGTTGTATTGTGTTGATTGGTCTGGGAGAGCCGGTCTCGGAAGGCGCTGCGGCGGGTCGATCGGATGGGGCAGGATCGACTCGAGCGGCGTGGTGGGGCGGACTCGGGGAGGCCCGTTGATTCGTACTGCCGCCACCGGTTGAGCTATTGGTGTGAACCTCAATCGATTGATCGCATGTCGGTACCATGCCACGATGTGCTCTCGTTGTGGGCGGCCCCGTTGATCGTATTCGCTGTTGCTGACGACCACATCCGTCGGCGGCGTCCAGAGATGAAAGCCCCCGCCCGGGTACAGCTCGCGTCGAAACAGGTCCGCTACCTTGGCGTAAATGGCAAACGCAGCATAGTCGGCGTCGTAGGGTGGTCGCGACACAGCTGGTGCTCCCGGTAGGTAGTGAAGGGTGTGCAACTTGATCGGAAGAGCGAGAAGGTTCGCGAGCGTCAACGTCCTCGGCTTGACTTGCGCATTGTGCGTCGATGGTACCTTCAGCACGGCCTGCCATCTTGGGTGTAGATCGGTTCGGATCGGAGTGTAGTCGCAAGGCCACGCATCGGTTGCCAAGTCAAAGTCGGGGGCGGGATGGGCTCGTACAATCGCCGCGCGCGCAAGTCCCTGCCAGATCGCATCCGAACCGCCAAGAAGCACGTCCCAGACGCGTGCCGCAACCGAGTCGACGACGTCCTGCATCCGCATGACCCCAAGACCCCCCTTGAACCTCGGTGTGAAGACGACGTCCTTGCCATAGCACGACCTCCTCTTGCCGCCGCGGACAAAGTCGGCGAGAATGCGATCAAGCTCCTTGACGACCTCGAGCGGTGGGATGTCGGCGGAGAGGATGTGCAGAATCTTGGGAATGGCGTATCGGTTGACGTAGAACGCTCGGGTGTGGTGTGTGAGCCCTCGGTCCCGTGCCGAATCGAGCACCGCTTCGAGCCGTGCGACGAGATTCACGTTGGCGAGTTCGGTGTTGCCGGTGGGGTCGAAAGATAGGCCGATCCACTCGAGCGACTCGCCCTCGGCCTTGACGACGAGCGGACGATCGCCAGCCTCCCAGCGACACCCGATGGGTAGTACGACGGTCTTGTCGGTGTTGAGCCGGCCATTGGTTGCGAGCCTCCAGTCGAGCGCCAGGTCGTCGAGCAAGTTGAGTGACTCCGAGCCCGCGACAGCGACGACGACGTCATCGGCAAACGCAAGGGATGTAATGGCGCGGCTCTGTGGGTAGGGGTGAATGGTAGGAAGCGAGAGGTTCAGCGCGATGCCTCGACGGTGCAGAGCATCCAGGAACGGCTGGAACACGACATCCCAGACCGACGACGACGCCGGGTCCCCTTGGCCGAGCCCACACGTCAGCCGCACCGGCGGAGTCAAGAAGCCGTTGATGATATATCGCGCCGTGGTTGAGTCACCCGAGTAGAGCATCCTCAGAACGCGTTGGAAGGCGGCAGGAGCGCCGAGAGCGTCGAAGATGGCGAAGATCCATTCGTGCTCGACGAGGTCGTAAGCCGACGATTGGTCAAGAGACAAGAGCGCCGCGTCAGGGAACTCGGTGCCGCGCGCGCCCAGCTCTTCGATCAAGAGTCGCAGGTGGAATGACGCGTCCGCCGATCGGCGGCCCTTGACGAAGCCGTGCTGTTGCGGTGGGAGCAGGTCCGGCAGCACGTGGTTGAGTCGCGCAACGTAGACCTTGGTGAAGAGCTTGTAGTCGCACTCGCGCAAGGTGATGGGCCGGTACGACGAGAGCTCGGCGCGATCGGCCCCGATCTTGTGGTGCTTGAAGAGCAGGCGAGCGAGTCCTTGCCCCTGCTTCGGTGAAAGCGAGCCGCGCTCGGTCATCGCGTTGAAGGCCCTGCTCAGCGCCTTGGCCCACGCCCGCGGCGCTGTGTGATAGAGCTCGTAGGGCACGCCAGATGGACCCGGCGATCGACCGGGGTGTGTTGTTGCGATTGCGGCTACGACCTCGTCCTCGGTGATGGGTTGCTGCAGCAGCTCGATGTGCGCTTCCGAGAGTCGTCGCAGAAAGAGCGGGTCCGAGCTCGGGTCATCGCAAGTGCGCGCCGACCTGATCGGCGCCAAGAAATCGTCCCTAAGTCGCTCGACGTGGTCCCGATCGCGCGGCTCGAGATCGTAGAGGCGCTGAAAGTGCGCCTGTGTGTGGTCAAGCGCGACGTCAATGTCATGTGTCAGCTCTCCGTTGGGCAATCGCAGTGCTGTGATCTTGGAATCCGAACTCCGTGCCGCGAGCTTGGCGTGGACCGGCCGCGACAGTCGTTCCTCGGTAGCGATTTCGGGTACGTGGGCTCGGATCCGAAGTTGGCGCGCGCGCTCGTTGACCGCTCGCCTAAGTTCCTCCGTCGTCCGCGTCCATTCGGCCGTCTCCTCGTCCCCCATCACCGGCAACGCCTCCAGATCCTGCACCCTTCCCACCAAGACCGCCATCCGCTCCACCCGCTCCCGATGCTCCCTCCTCGCCAGCTCCCGACCCTCCTTCGCGCAGTTCCCCAGCACCACCTCGAGCTCCCCCACCGGTTCCTCCCCACTCGCTCCTTCCAACCATCCTTCCAACATCCCCTGGAACTCCGCCGTCTTGAAGGTCGCTGCGTTGATACGATGTAATTGGTTTGATGTCGTTGGTAAACTATTGTTGGGTTGAGCCGCGTCTCCTCGCTCATCCGAGAGAACTAGGACGATCGAGACCGGTCGGTGATCCGAAAGGTCCTTGGGGTGGTCGTAGATCGTCGAGGCTTGGACGAGTCGCTTTTGGTGGGTGCGCTGCAGAAGGAAGTAGTCAAGTCGTGAAAAGGACTTTGGTCGCTTGCGGACGATGTTGGGTCGAGTGAAAGATGGTGTGAGCGGGTGTTTGAATCGTATGCAGTCGGTGTAGGGCGAGTCGAGCTTGCCGATCAGGATCGGCCAGTGATGGCCGTGCCGACCTTGGTTCCGCCGATCGATCGCCGGCAGCGGGCAGTCGTTGAGATCGCCGCCGAGGAGTCGAAGGTGGGTGCTCTGCGTCCTGTGGAAATGTAGTTTGTCAAAGAATGTGAGTCGTTGTTTTGTATCGACTGGTGCGTAAATGTTGTTGATCTCGAGTATCCGGATGTCGCCTCGAAGTCGAAAGGAGGTGACCAGGATTCGTCCGTCGAGTGCCGAGTGGGTGCGCAAAATCTCGGCGTCGATCAGGGGCGAGTCGGCGGGGATCAGAGTCAGACAGTGTTTGCTGATGAAGACCTTGCCCTCGTACTCGTCCTTGATACATTGCCAGAGTTCCGGTTTGATGAAGTGTTCTTGTAGTAGAATGGCGGATGCTTTGAATGTTGATAAATAGGTGTAAATGTTGCGTCGCTTTTCCGGGATCCCCATGCACCTCCTCACGTTCCAGCTGGTGATGGTGTGCTTGATCATTATTGGATAGACGATGTAGACGTGCTCTTGGCGGTAGTGTCGTCCTCAAAGAGTGGGAATTCGGGGAGAATGTCATCTTCGGGCTCGTGGTCGGACCAGCGCTTCTCCTCCTCCACCCCTTTACCCTTCTCCGCTTTCGCCTTGGCCCCCTCGACCTGCATCGCCGCCGCCGCCGACATCGACCTCGTCACCCTCTTCCCCTGACCCGCTACCTCCTTTCCTGCTCGACCTTTGACCCTGTTCAGAACGCGCTTGATATCGACCGGGTCGTCGCTCGGATCGCTGAGATCGGCCACCGTTTGCGACCTCTTCATCTTCTTGTTCGACCCGGAGCCGGTGCCACGAATGTTGATGAATCGCAGTTGTCCATCTTCCTGACCCCACTCTGCAAATTGGTGGCGAACGAGCGGTTCCTCCGCGTCGAGTTGGGCGTTGATGATCGCCTCCTTTTCTGCTTGGACACGTGCAGCAGCTTCGGCGTTAGCTCGGTCCCACTCCGCACCCTCGCGCAGCGACTTTGCCAACGTCTCAGGAGATAGTGGAGGCCACGAGGGACTCCGAGGAGTCGACTCGCGGGAAACCGTGGTGATCGTCGTTTGGTCGTCGTCGATGATCATGATGCTGTCGTCCTGTACCCCCTGTTCCTGCTCGACCTCTTCTTCCACCTCCGTCTCCGTCCCTTCGTCCTCCTCCTCTGCTCCATCTTTCATCACGTCATCCCCATCGTTTCCTTCGTCCTCCCTTTGTTCGCTTCCCTCCGAGCTGTCGTCCTGTTCGTCCTTGTCGTCGTCCTTGTCGTCGCCTCCCGCCTTGTCGATGCCCGCTCCGGCGTTAACTATATGACCAGAAAAGATTATTTTATAATGGCAAAAGAGAGCTCGTCCTGAGCTCCTGTGCTTTCGTGGTGTAGTGGTTATCACATATGCTTTACATTCATTGGACGCATCAGGTCCCCGGTTCGAACCCGGGCGAAAGCACTTTTTGTTGCTGTTCTGGCTCGATTTCTCTCGGAAGGTCCCCACAGCTCATCGGTAGTCTTTCCATGGGCCACTATTACACGACCCTATTGCCATCCTCAGATTCCTTTGCCGGAGGTGACCAAGCAGTTGCGGTCGACGTGACTTGAAAGATCTCGCGAGCTTGTCACTCGTGTCGTCCTCCTTGCACCACCGTCAGGTCCACTCGCTTCTACTCGCTTCGCCACGCCCACTCGTCAGGCTCGAACCCCCGACGGGGTGGGCAGCCCATCTTCCTCTCACATCTTCGACCGACATCCAGCCCACCGGATGTGTATACCCAGTTCCCGTATCTGAGGCCCAGATCGACGCTCAATAAGCAGGTCCTCCCGCTTCGCAGCTTGGATCAGCCAGATCGGCCAACTCCCGCTGCCAACCGAATCTGGGCTGAGCTCATCATGCACTGTGAGTAGGCACGGACTCTTCCGGAACACGACGGATGTTGAGCAATAGTCTTGCACCATCTTTTGACCAGACAGCAGCAGTGTTTGGCTCAGTCCGCATTCGTCTGTCGATCCTGTGCTCGTTGAGAATGCCGACACTCGCAATAACACGTAATCCCATCCTACCAACACCCCAGGACCCTGCTCAACTCTCCACCGAATGCGTCGAGCTCCGACTAGTTCGCTATGTTGAGCCCGCCCACGGCAATCGAACACTCGCCACGTTCTGACTCGCTGCCTTGGGGCTCTGCGACGTGAACGAGTATCGATATCGGGGAAGCTTTCCGTAGCTTTGCAACAAACACGGTAGGCGACACGGCATGAGCGCATGAGCGTGCTCTCGTGATTCCTAGTCTGTGTCATCTTGTTCTCGATGTCAGTGCAAAGCCTCTGCTCCGGATCGAATGTCGGCAAGGCCGTCCAGTTCGGGAATCGGTCAAGTCTCTCGTCACCGCTTTCGATTGCTCTGTGTGCCGTGTGCAATCACAGTACCTCACCCCGTCTCACCACTGGCGTGAGCTATAGCTTCAACATAAGAATCAAGTGGTAAATAGAACGTCGTTCCTTGCTGGTGAAGCCCCTTGTCAAGTTGAATTACCGATTGACGAATGGAAATGCCCGGCGTGACTGCCTAGAGAGTCTCTTACTTCCCGAGGATGTTGCAATTAAAACTCTACGTTTGTGTCAGGAGCTCGTTGAATGCTTGTACTGCAACCTCTGTTTGCGTAGACCCCTACTCAGCCTGGGCAGTCTCGCCTCGAGCGCTTTCGGACTTGGACGAAACAGGGGACTGAGGTGGGTCTGCTCATGCTCGGAGTAGGTAAGCGGGATAGGATTAGGCGCTGTGAAATATGTGTCTTGAGTTAGGAACGCGTCTAGGAACGCGTCTCTGTCTGATTGCTAATGCAGCGAAGCTCGATCTCGCGTCGGCGCCGGGTTTCGAAACTCGATCGACGACGATTATCGCGTCTCTCGACGCGTCGCGACTCGCTGCGCCGGTGGCCTCGAGTTAGGTCGGGCGAATGGGCAGCGAATGGGCAATTTGCAATCACGTCGACGCGCGCGATTTGAGCGCGCGGGCTGACAAAGGCGCTTCCCAGCCTGACCATCTCTGGCCGCGCTGGCGCTCTCGGCTTGTCTCTGCTCCACATCTTTGCGCCGCCCTTTCCGCCTTCTCGGACCGGCACTGTACCCCTTCTCTCTTGACCCACCGCTTTCACTCTTTTACGAAGCCACAGTTCACGATGGCATACGTCTACAAAGTCAGTCTCTCCATCCCCCTGTGCAGCGTCGCCTCGTCCGCGCGTGCGTGTGCTAGCAGCAGCACGCGACGCGTGCCCTCGCCCTCTGCGCTTCCGATTTTTGACCTTTGGAACAGTGCAAATACTGACCCGCTTGCATCGTTCTTTCACACGTCTTCCGCTTCTCTCTCGGCCAAACGTCAACCCCCAACCTTCAGCGTGGTGAGTGTCTCCTTCCCTGCCTCTCTGGAGCGGCTTTCCTCTTCTGCTCGACGCGTCTCAAGACCGCTTCGCTGACATCAGCCATTCCCTCCCCGGCGCGCGCATCCTCGATCTCGCCTTTGTTCGCTGCCTCTGTTCACAGATGGCCGACGAGAGCTCGTCGCCTTTGACAAGATGTAAGCATCCTGTCTCCTTTCTGAGTCGACACCGTGATGCCCGTCCTGACCATGACACTTGTCTCTGCCTCAGTACCGCTCGCATCAGCAAGCTCTGCTATGGACTTGACCTCAACCACCTCGAACCCATCGAGGTCAGTCACTGCCCATCACTTACTCCGTTCAGCTCAAGGCTTGTTCTGACTCCCTCGTCACCTTGCGCCATCGTACAGATCACAAAGCGCGTCATCGCCGGCGTGTACCAGGGCGTGACCACCGTCGAGCTCGACAACCTCGCCGCCGAGACTGCTGCTGCCATGACCACGCGTCATCCTGTGAGTTGTGCATTCTACACGTTCTCCATTTCCAACCGTGAAGGGCTCACCAACACTCTTCGCGCTCTTCAACTACTCCGTTCCCAGGACTACGCGATCCTCGCCGCGCGTATCGCCATCTCGAACCTCCACAAGGAGACGCGCAAGACCTTCTCACACGTCATCGAAGACCTCTACACTTACATCAACCCCAAGAACGGTCGCCCTTCGAGCATGATCTCGCAGGAGACATACGAAGTCATCATGGCCAACGCCGACCGCCTCAACAGCGCCGTTATCTACGACCGCGATTTCGGCTACAACTACTTTGGCTTCAAGACGCTCGAGCGCTCCTACTTGCTTCGCATCGACGGCAAGGTCGCCGAACGCCCGCAACACATGCTCATGCGCGTCGCCGTCGGCATCCACGGTCACGACATCGAGCGCGTCTTGCAGTCGTACAACCTCATGTCCGAGCGCTACTTTACCCACGCCTCGCCGACGCTCTTCAACGCCGGAACGCCTCACCCGCAGCTTTCGTCGTGTTTCCTGGTCACCATGAAGGACGACTCGATCGAAGGCATCTACGACACGCTCAAGACGTGCGCGCTCATCTCCAAGACCGCCGGTGGTATCGGTTTGAGCATCCACAACATCCGCGCGACCGGCTCTTACATCGCCGGCACGAACGGCTACTCGAACGGCATCGTCCCCATGCTCCGTGTCTACAACAACACCGCGCGCTACGTCGACCAAGGTGGCAACAAGCGTCCCGGAGCCTTCGCGATCTACCTCGAGCCATGGCACGCTGACGTCTTCGAGTTCCTGGACCTTCGCAAGAACCACGGCAAGGAGGAGGTCCGCGCTCGTGATCTCTTCTTTGCGCTCTGGATTCCCGATCTGTTTATGGAGCGTGTCGAGGCCGCCAGCGAGTGGCCCCTCTTCTGCCCCGCTGAAGCCCCCGGCCTCCACGAAGTCTATGGCGAAGAGTTCCGCGCCTTGTTCGAGAAATACGAAAAGGAGGGCCGCGCCAAGAAGACGATCCCCGCGCAAAAGCTTTGGTACGCGATTCTTGAAGCCCAGGTCGAAACCGGCAACCCGTTCATGCTCTACAAGGACGCCGCAAACAAAAAATCGAACCAAAAGAACCTTGGCACGATCAAGTCGTCGAACTTGTGCACCGAGATCATCGAGTACTCGGCGCCCGATGAGTGCGCCGTCTGCAACTTGGCCTCGATCGCGTTGCCGAGCTTCATCAAGAACGGCGTGTACGACTTTAAGAAGTTGCACGAGGTCGTCAAGGTCGTCGCTTTCAACTTGAACCGCATCATCGACGTCAACTACTATCCCGTCATCGAGGCGCAGAACTCCAACTTCCGCCACCGCCCCATCGGCATCGGAGTGCAAGGTCTCGCCGACGCGTTCATGGCGTTGGCGATGCCGTTCGATTCACCCGAGGCGCGCAAGCTCAACAAGCAGATCTTCGAGACCATCTACCACGCCGCGATCGAGTCGTCGTGCGACATGGCGCGCGACTTTGCCATGGCTAACCCGGGCGACCCCGGCTACTACTCGACTTACCCCGGATCTCCGGCTTCTCAGGGCGAGTTGCAGTACGACTTGTGGGGTGTGACCCCGAGCGATCTGTGGGACTGGTCCGAGCTCAAGGAGAAGATTGCAAAGCACGGTCTGCGCAACTCGCTCGTCTGCGCTCCCATGCCGACCGCGTCGACGAGTCAGATCCTCGGCTTCAACGAGTGCTTCGAGCCGTACACTTCGTGAGTCTTATTTCATCATTTCTTTTTCTGCGATGTATTTCCTTTTGACCGTCTACTGATATTGCACTGTCTGATACGCTTATTGCAGCAACATCTACACGCGTCGCGTCCTTGCCGGCGAGTTCCAAATCGTGAACCCGTGGTTGCTCCGCGACCTCGTGAACCGCGGTCTTTGGGACGAGGGCATGAAGAACACCATCATCGCCCACAATGGCTCGATCCAGAATGGTGAGTTTGCCCTCTGCTCACTATCGTTCTTCTATCGTTCTTCGCGTCTCTGCGACTCGAACTCGAGCTAATATCCCTTCGCAACCCGTCGTTCCAATTCACAGTCCCCGGCATCCCGAGCGATCTCAAGGCCATCTACAAGACCGTCTGGGAGCTCTCGCAAAAGACTATTATCGATCTGTCGGCCGATCGAGGCGCCTTCATCGACCAGTCGCAATCGCTCAACATCCACTTGTCGAGCCCGACGATGGCACAGCTCACGTCGATGCACTTCTACGGCTGGAAGCGAGGACTGAAGACGGGCATGTACTACTTGCGCACGCGCGCCGCCGTTGGTGCGATCAAGTTCACCGTCGACCAGGACACGCTCAACAAGGCCAAGGCCGCGAACAAGCAGCAACCGGCCGTCACCGCCGCTGCTGCTCCGACGCCGGCGCCAATTCGAAGCCCTGCCGCCGCTCCTTCGAACGCAATGCGAGAGATCACCAACGGCGCGTCCAAGATCAGCCTCGCAACGCCCGTCAAGCGCGAGACCCCTGCGTCGCCTTCTTCGCCGCCTTCCGTCTCGTCCCCCGCAACGATGGTCCCGATCCCCGCCTTGTCGACCTCCGCTCCTCTCGGCGCCGCCGCCGCATCGGCAAGTGGACCCACCGCCACTTCGAGCAAGGACGAACCCGAAGGCGAGATTTCTTACGAGGAGGCGATCCGCCGCCGCGAGGCCAAGGAGCTCGAGCAGGCCAAGTTGATGTGCTCGCTCGAGAATAAGGAGGCTTGCGTCATGTGCTCGGGCTGAACGCCAACTCGATCAGTTAGGGGCTTTCGTCTTTTCGCTTTTCTTCGTTGTGTAGAGCCTCCCGCACCTCTCTTGCATCTTTCTCCCCAAGTGCTTCTCTCGCTTTTTGGGGCTTTTCTCTTTGTTCTCCTTTCTTCTCATGGTTGCTTTGCGTATCTCAAACTACCGTACTTGTGCGCGCTCCTCTCAAATTCTCTCCCTCGGTATACTTATATCTCATCTTCTTCCCTTCCTCTCTGTGAACTTGTAACAAACGGTGATTCTTGCCCCCTCAACTTTACATGTCCTTACTCTGTCCGAGAGCTCGGGTCTTTTGGCGAGTTGTCTCTCGGCATGTTCATCTTTCGATTGCTCGGTCTCGAGAACTCTCCCCTCGGCGCACGTAACGCTTCTCGAGCATCAAGTGATATCAAAGATTAATCGTTACATTCCAACCTTCCTTAAGTCATCCCCTACGATCAATCGACATCCCTGCCCGAGCTCCCACTCCCGAACCGAACGGCTCTTCGTACCAACCTTCTCCTTCGCATCGGCGCGACGATCCGAGGGTTCGAATCAGGTACGAAGGGTGAAGAGCTGATCGTTCCATCGAGATGAAGATATACGAATCCAGCTGTGAGCCCCGTCGTCGAGAGAACCAAAAGGGGGTCAGCATCAAGCTTCCCAAACTCGACTTCTTAGGAAGCTTCATTCCTCGAACCCACCCTGATCCAAATCCCCACCGCAATAACTCCAATCTACCTTCCACTCCTGTCCTCCCAATCCACGACTCCAATACCAACAACCCCCATCAATTCCGATCGACCCCGCCCTCGAACGATCCTTCTCTAACCTAGGAAGTTCGCCACCTACTTCAGTCTCGGGAACCCAAGTCGAATCCCTCCAAGCCTCAATCTCCAATTTCTCAACTAGCCTCAACTCCTCCGCGTCTAGTTCGGCGTCATCCAACGAGTCTTCTTCGATCAAGCGATCGATCTTGGTGAATGCTCGGAGTAAGAGTGGCGATAAATAAGGAGTTGTCTGTGTCATGATACCGAGTACGATCGGATGACCAACGAAAAAGATCGTTTCCCCCGCGAGGAGCAGAACGATTCTAATCGGTACGTAAGGCGCTGCTAATAGAATCGCGAACAAGGACAAGGTCGCAAGTTGGAGCAAGACCAAGGAGGTACGAGTATCGTGCCAAGTCAAGAGAGGGACGATATGGGTCATCGCAAAGTCGCTGCCGGCTGAGACGCGGCCCATCATGATTTGGATGTTTTGCAAATTGGCGAGGTAGTCGATCGAGCCTTCTGCGGGGGGAGGAGCGGGAGCGGGAGCTGAGCTTGCGGTCGTTGGTTTCGTCGTTGTGGACGTTGAGGGGGAGTGAAGAGGGGACGAGGAAGGTCGAGATGAATAGGTCGAGAGTAGGATCGAGATGAGGATCAGGTTCGGCACGACGAGCAGTAGAGCGGGATAGTAACCTGTGCGAGGCGGTAAGTGTACACTTTAGCACTCGGTTGCACATGCAAACAAACCAAGTTCTCGACGTACAGATCAAGCCCCACGCGGCAGCAAAGAACAAGGTCGTCGGCGGGTCTTCCCACTTGAGCAACGCCTCTGCCGCATCCTGGGCCACAAAGATCGGTCCCGACTTTTGCACGAATCTGTTGTGCTCCAGAACCCCACCATATCAGCTCCATTGTGTCCGTGGCGAGTCTCGGCGAAAACTGACCGACGAAAGTTGTTGGACGTCGCCTGCAAGCTGAGCGGTTCCTTCGAGTCTGTGCCAACACAGAAAAACAAACGTTATACACTCTGCTCCCTGTCGTCTGGGGTTGTCATGGCGCGTACCTTGGGTCGGCGTCAAAGGTTGAGCATGCCTGAAACCCGCGAGCAGCAGGTCGTCGACGACGGCCAACTGCGCCTTGAGCACTTCCAACCGCGAAGGTGTAGCAGCATGAGCCGCGGGTGGCTGGCCAGTCGGTGAGGTCGTAGACTTGCTGGGCGTGGAGGGTGCTACGGTCGCCATGATGCCGGGGGTTGCGCCGTGTGAGCGCGATGACGTGAAGCAGAGCCGTGGCGCGTGACCGGCCCGAGCCGGCGCATTTCAAGTCGCCGCTTGCCCGGCCTCACAGTCAAGCCCATCACTTTAAAAGTCGATCGAGCTCCCGAGTCCGGAGTATCGAGATTCAATACATGGCTCTCAGTCAGTCCATGCACCTGCTAGGTTGTATATAATGCATTATCAAAACCCAATCATAATCGTGAAAGGAATCATCATCATCCTCATCGTTATCCCCAAACCACCCTCCACCCCCCCCCCCCCTTCCGAAAGTTCAGACGACGAACAAATCCCCCTGACAACAAGCGCACCACACCAAATTGTCCTGCAGCACCGCACGATTCGTACTCGTCCTCAGGCTCGTCGTCGAATTCGCGAGCAGAGGGTCCGACGGAGAAGGTCCTGTTGTTGTTGTTGCGTCGAAGGGATCGTCGGGGAGGACGGCGTCGGGTCCTAGTTCGGTCTCGAGGCGCGATTTGAGTAGCGATAGAGAGGCTTGTCGAACGTGCCGTTTCGAACTGGTGGGTGACATTGTACCGTCGAGGATGGGGGTCGAGACCGAGACGAGGGGTGGAGAAACGGGGGCGTTGAATGAGGAGTGGTGAGAGGGGAGGGGGAGCAAAACGTTCGGTCGGGAAAGGAGGGACGAGGATAACTCGGAGGTTTCTTCGACGGGGTCCAGGAGGGAAGGGCCGCGGCGGTGAGAGCCTGCGCGAGGACCGCGGGTCGAAGATGAATGTTGTTCTTCGAGCTCGGGTGAGTCGAGATGAGGTGGACGATCGTGCTCGTGGCCGTGGCCGTAGTCCAAATCATCCGCACCCAACAAAGCCTCCAGTTCCCGAATCCGCACCGCATCATCCTCGATCATCTCCGTCATGCCTTGGATCTGTAACTTGAGGTCGCCGTTCGTTTTTTCGAGCTCGTAGCGCGCGTCCTCTTCTTCGAACAAGCGATGTTCGAGGGAACGAATTTGTGCGCGCGCGGTCGAAAGATTGAGCTCAGCTTGTTGTTGCAATGCGTCAACTGCGGAAACAAGGAGTGTCGGGGTCAGTCAGCGAAGCTGCATTAGATTGTCGAACAGGAGCAAGCAACTTGCTCTGCTCACGATCGTACTCCCCCCCGCTCGCTGCACCCTTCGCCCCCCCTTCCCCCTCAGTCTTGCCCACCCTCATCCTCAAACCCACAAGTTCCGTATTCCTCGTCTCCAAATCAGCCTCCGCCCTCCCCAAAGCCTCCTTGAGATCCGCCAATGCACTTCTCGCGTCGGCCGTCGCCTCCTTCTCACCTTCGAGCAAGCGACGAAGACTCTCCACTTCGCCGACATTGCGTTCGAGTTCCTCGGTCAAACTCGCTATTTGGCCCGAGGTCCCTTCCTTCCCCGATCGAAGGGAAGCAAGTTCTTCTTGTAGCGAGCCGACGAGCGTGCGCAACGTGTCCACTTCGCCGACTCGCTCGTCACCAGAGGCGATGAGGGACTTTAATTCCCTTTCAGACTTGGAGGTGCGGCGAACGGCGGCGTTGAGGGCTACGTCGCGTTCGCGTACGGCGGTGCCATTGGATTCAGTGGCGCTGGAGAGCTCGGTGCGAAGGCTTACGAGTGAAGATTCACGGTCCGAGAGAGTTGTACGGAGAGATTCGAGTTCGGTTTCGAGGGTTGAGATGGTTGCGCTTTGAGTTTCGCTTGAGCCTTTGAGTACTTTGAGTGAAGCTTCAAGTTCCTTCGCCCGTTCTTCGAGCGTCGAGCGAAGTTCCGAAACGTCCAAAAGCTCTTTCCGAGCTCCCTCTACTTCGCCCTTCGCATCAACCAACTCCCTCCTCGCCTCTTCCAAAGCGTTCTTCAGTTCGCGGTTCTCATCCTCAACACGCCGCAGTTGCTCTCGACTCTTCTCCAGGTCCGCGGTGAGACGACCCATTTCCTCTTGTGCGGACGTGGGAAGGGATTCGGACAGGCTTGCGTTGGCTAATCCGATGCCGGTATTGGATTCTTGAAGGCGGGTGAGTTCGCGTTGGGTGGAGTCGAGTTCGCGTTGACTCGCAGCCAGTTCAGTCTCGATAGAGTGGAAAGAGGTCTCCAACTCGCTGATACGCGCGCGTAAGCCGTCCGCTTCGGAGCTTCCGACCATCGTTGATTCGAGTGACGATCGAGCGTGGTCAAGTTCGGTACGCAAGCCGGACAGCGAGTTGACCATTTCCAAAAGAGCGCGGGCGTGGGACGTGCGCTCGTTCTCGAGTACTTCGACGAGGTCGCTCGCTTTGGATTCGCTGGAGGCGGCCTAGTGGATGATCAACGTCAAGACGAGTCAGTTCAAGCTCCGGAACGAGCAAGAAGGGTAGAACCCAACAACGCACCTTCTTCGCTACCGCGTTCATCGAAAATTCTAGCTCGTTGACCCGCTTGACATACATCGCCACCTCGTCCTCCAACTCGCCTATCCTCTCCTGCTTCTGATCCAATTCGATCTCATACATCTCCACCGTCTCTTGAAGAGGTTTCACACTCGCTTCAGCGGCGACTTGCAAAGCTCGAGCTTCACCTACTTGACGTTCGAGGCCGGCATTGGTCGCGCGCGTGACGTTGAGCGTTTGTTCGATCGTTCGTCGCGCTCGATTCGAAGCTTCGGTGTCGGCTTTGGCCGAAGCCAATTCGGTTCGTAAACGAACGATATCCTGACCCATGCGCGAGGAATCGAAATCCTTCTTCTCGATCATCTTGCGTAGCTCGGTCACCCGTTTCGATTCGGCGGTGTATTGCGAGACGAGTTCGCTGTGCTCGCGGCGCAGTTTGTTGATCGTACCGATTTGGGAGGCGATGTTGTGAACGGATTGGTCCGAGGCGCGACGCGCTTCGAGAACGTCGGCTTCGAGTTCGGTGATCTTGAGGAGGAGAAGCTGTTCCCTTTCCGAAGAGTCGGAACCGAGCGGGAAGTCGATGGTCGAAATCGCCGATGAGGGAGCAGCGACGGTGGAGGAGGCAACGAGTTGAGATCGCGCCTCCTCCAACTCGGAACGCAGCTCAGCGAACCTCGTCTCGGCCACTTCAGCGCGATGCGTCGCCGCGTCGCGCTCACTTTGCATCAGCGATAACTCCGAGGTTCGTCGTTCAAGATCGGCGAGGGCTTGACCGCCTTGCGAAACGAGTTGCGCGGCGTGGGCTTTGGCGTCGGCGAGTTCTTGTTCGAGCGAAGAGAGGCGCGATTGGTCGTCGTTCGTGCGGGATTGCTTTGCGGACTCGAATGCTTCGAGGGCCGAGGCGTGCTCTTGTCGCGTACAAGTGAGGATCTGCTCGTGTTGGGATTCTAGCTCGTTGATTAAGCGCTCGTGTTCGGCCTTGAGTTGCTCGACGGTTCGATCGAGGTCGTCCCGAACTCGCTGCGTGTCTTCGACGTGCGTTGCTTCCAGCTGGGCATACCTTGCCTTGGTACCCTCGATTTCCTTCTCGAGTGCGCTGCACTCCTCCACCTTGACCTGATACCGTTCCTCGAGCTCGTTCAACCTCGCCTCTACCTCCTCGATCCTCGAATACCCATCCAAGCGCTCCACCTCCCTCTTCCTCAAACCTTGCACCACGTCCTCCAACTCGCCCACTCTCACCAACCCTAGATCACGTTCCTTCTCCAACTTGCGAATCATCTCATTCGCTTCACCCAATTCTTGCTGCGCCTTTTCACCATCCTCTACCAATTCCGCCAATTGATCCTGCAACCCATCCAATTCCTCCCTCAAAGAATCAACCTCGACCTCGGTATCACGTAACCGATCCAACTCGATCTGCAGATTCGATAACTCTTGACGAAGGGAAACGGATTCTTCGTCGATGTTGACTTTTTCAGTTGTCGCGAGCGATACTTTACGACGCGATTCATCGAGCGAGTTTTGTAGATTCGCGTTTTCGAATTGTAATTCGTCGCGGTGGGAAGAGAGAGCTGAGAGTTTGATTTCGAAAGAGGAGAGCGTTCGTTCGAGAGAGTTTGAGCGCGTTTGGGTGGATCTCAATTCTTCGCGGAGGGAGGTGAGTTGTTCAGAGCTCGTTGTGGAGAGTTGGGTCAATTCGGATTGGAGGGAGGTACGATGTCGTTCCGAGTCGACGAGTCGAGCTGTCGTTTCGCTCAAGTTGTGCGAGAGTCGTTCGAGTTCTTGCGTTCGATCGATGAGGTCCGCTTGTGCTTTAGTGGCGAGAGTTCTTGCCTGTTCGAGTTCTCGAGAGGAATCTTGGCGAGTGCCAGAGTGGGAGGCGTTGAGGTTATCGAGTTCAACTTGGAGCTTTTGCGAACGCGTTTGAGTTTGCTCGAGTGTGGTTTCGAGCGTTGCCAATTTGGACTGAGATGAAGATCGAAGCTGTTCAAGTTCGGCTCGAAGTGCACGTGCCTCTTCATCGCGTGTTGAAAGCGCCTGCTCGACATTAGAAAGAGACCGTCGATAAACCTCCAACTCGCGTTTCTGAAAACGGTCGGGACCAATCAGCTCCCAAAAGCAGCCCTGCGCGCCCCAATCATGCGAAAAAAACTTGGCGTACCAATTCATCCCTACGTTCTTCTTCATCCTTTTCCCCCCTTCTCCTCTCCCCCTCCAACTCCTCCTCCCTAGCCTCAAGCCGAACTTGCGATCCAACCCTCTCCTCCTCCTCCTCCTCTCGGTTCGTCTGTTCGCGCCGCGCGTACGTTTCCAATTCTCGTACTTGTCTCGAAAGCCGTTGATTCTCAATCTGCTGTAATCTATCTATCCGTCTTTCAAGTTGCTCATCAGGTGTGGGGGTGGGTATCGGTATCGGTGGGGAATTAACCGAGTGAGATTGCTCCTTTGAATTCGCTTCGAAAGAAGCCGCTCCCGAATGGTGTTGAATCGAATGATGAGGTGAATTCGATTGAGGATGAAGAAGGGGAGGTGAAAGAGGGGGGGACGGAATGGATAAGGTTTGGGGTGGGGGAGAGGTCGTATTCCTGAAAGTTGTTGAAGCTCGTGGTGGGGGAGGGGAGAAGAGGCGCGGTGGGGAACGGAGAGGGTTCGACGTTTGGCGTTCTCGGACAATGGGGGGAGTTGTGGGTAGACTAAAGGGAACTGGGGGGGTGAACGTCGTCGATAGCGTGGCCGAGGGTGGGGCAGCGGCGGCGACGGGGGGTGTGGCTCGAGGTGGAGAGGCGAAAAGGGATGCGGCCGAGGAAGGAGGAGAGACGATCGTGGGTGAACGTGTTCTATAGAGCGTCGAAGGGGGTGAGAGCGTTGGGGACTGCGCATCCAAAGCGGCCGACGACGACTCGCTCGTTGCGGTCGGCGGTTTGGGCACTGATCCCGTCTTGGCGGCTTGGAATCGTTTGAGCTGAGCGCAGTCGACGCATGGGATCAGTACGACACTCTCTGGCCCCTAGCTACGGTCATCGGTGCGAACGGGCACCTTTTCTTTCGCCCTCGCAGCCTTGATCGCGCGTTGCTCGCTCGTTTCGGTCGCCGACGACATCGCGCCAACGTCCCCCGTCGGGTCGGGTCACCTCACACACGTCCCGTCACGCTCTGTGCGCCTAAGACGGACCGTGCCCCGCTGATCGCACGGGCACGCCGAGGGTATGTTGTGCGCGATTGATTTGGGAGGTGACAAAGGCGCACAACGAACGGCGCGTCGGGGAGTGATTGATTCGAGCCAGCGCAAGGGGAAAGGGAGGGAAGGCGTAGGGGAAGGGGCGTGAACACGTCAGCGCGAACGAGCTCGCGCGCTTCAGCCGAACAGGGGGGAAAAGGGGGGCCGAACTGGACTAGACAGGATTAGGCACGGATTAAGACTGCATTAGACTGGATCGCCTAAAAAGTGTAGACGATCGCGCTTGGCCTCTTCACCCCATCATCCTCCCACCACTCCACTCCAACCTCCACGACCCCCAACCTACCCAAACGAAACAGAATGTACGTCATTTCTCCCGCACGCTCTTGTAGAAACACGCGCACCAACACCCCCACCCCCTGCGCTACGTGCTCTGCGCAGGTCCTTGGCCCCCTTTTTCGTCGCGATGGGCAACCCATTGCTCGACATGCAACTCACCGGAGAAGCCGCGCACGAGATGTTGACCAAGTATGCGCTCAAACCGAACGATGCCATCTTGGCCGAAGGGAAACAGAACGAGATGTGAGTTGCGAGTTGCGAGTTGCGAGTTGTGAGGTGCGAGTTGCGGGAGAGTGTTTGGCCGGCAAAGAGGCTCGGTCGCCGATGCGGAGGTCGACGAACGTGCAAAGCGTAGCGCACGTTTCATCCCGGCGTTTCATCCCGGCGTGACCGCGACGGCGATGATGCAGAGATGGGGCTGCGACCGTCCAAACGTGCGAGGATTACTTTTCTGATAAAACTCGCACTTTCACCAGCTACGAGGACCTGCGAAAGAACCACAAGGTGACCTACGTCGCCGGCGGCGCGGCCCAGAACTGTGCCCGCGGAGCTCAAGTACGTCACTTCCACTCCACAAACCCAACCACCCCCAACAACCAGACTAACCCTTTTGTCCTCGTTAGTACGTTCTGCCCGAGAACTCGACCGCCTATCTCGGTGCGGTCGGCAAGGACGATCTCGCCGATCAACTTCGTGCCGCGAATGAGAAGGAGGGTTTGGCGTCCTATTACCAGGTCGTAGAGGATAAGCCCACGGGCGCATGTGCGGTCATTATTACGGGACATGATCGGTGAGGTGCCGATCCATCTGTGGAGTGAACGCAAAGCGGGGCGCAGGCGTGCAAACGCTCTCCACCGTTCTCCTCCTCTCCGGCATTCAGACTTGAATATCACCCCCACTAAACGCCCCCTTCTTTCCCCCACCCATTAGTTCCCTCTGCACCACCCTAGGAGCCGCCGAATCCTTCTCCCCCTCCCACCTCGACACACCCGAGGTCAAGTCCCTCATCAACAACGCCAAGTTCTTCTACCTCGGCGGTTTCTTCCTCACCCATGGACTCGAGTCCGCCTTGAAGTTGGCCAAATTGGCCGTACAGAATGACAAGGTCCGTCATCAACGTAAAAATCGAATCTGCGGGGGGAGGTGTTGTTTTTTGGGTACTGAAACCGCTCGATCGTCAAATTTTTTCACGTTCGTTTCGTTCGTTCTCACGTTAGCCTTTCACGATGAACCTTTCGGCCCCCTTCATTCCTCAATTCTTCAAATCCCAAGTCGACGAAATACTTCCTTACGTATCCATCTTAATCGGTAACGAAGCCGAAGCCGAAGCCTACGCGCTTTCTCACGAATGGGAGAACCCCAAAGATATCGCGTCTGTCGCTTTGAAGCTTAGTCAAATCGAATCCAAAACGGGGGGTCAAGGTAGGATCGTCGTGATCACTCAAGGGAGTGAACATACGATCGTAGCTAGGGAGGGAAAGACCCAACTGTTCAACGTCGATAAATTGGATGAGGGCAAGATCGTGGATACGAATGGGGCGGGGGATGCGTTCGCGGGTGGTTTCTTGGGGGCTTATGCGAGTGGTAGATCGTTGGAGGAGAGTATTGAGGTGGGTCATCGGTTGGGCGCGATGAATGTTCAACTGATTGGGCCAACTTTCAAGTTCCCCAAAGAGAAGATCATGTAAAAGAGTGGGGGGAGGGGGGGGGGGGGGAAGGGTACAACACTGTGTGCTTTTGCACGGAAAGCATACCTCTCGGTTTTCCTAGATGACGATGGGACTCGACAAGAATTCAACCTATTGCATCGTCTGTGTTTTAGCGCAAGTTTTTTTGTATTCTTGCAATCCAATCGAGCTCAACCTCGCAACGAATTCATTTTTCTCCTTTGAGAGGGCTCCGTGATTCGCATCCATCGGACGATCCAACTTACAACCACTTGAAAAAATGTATCTCAAATACGACAACTCTCACCTCGGCGCGCAAGATCGTGACCGAGGGGGGGGGGGGGGGGGGGGGGGGAAATCGTCTCTTTCTTTTTATTCATATCAGTACACACTCGTACGTACAGCACACTCGTACGTACAGCATCACCTCCCTACTTTTTATCACCCCCACCGCTCAGCTCAACGATCCCTTCCCTCACCTCTTTTCAACCAACGACAATCAAAAAACACGATCAAAAAAAAACCCCAATCAAACGACCAAACTCCAACTCCTACCCGCCTCCAAGCACCTGACGACCAAACCCCCATCTTCCCAACCTTCGGCCAAGCTCAACAAACCTTGCATGAATTCAGGCAATTTGAACGCGTCCAACTCGATCAACAAGCGCACGAATTGCCTGAACGAACCTTCGATCCAAAAAGTCTCCCACGACTCCACTTGACGTGATTCGGGAAGCAGGTTCGAGAAACGATCGAGCACGTTCAATAACGAAGTCGAAAGATCGTTGGTGAGCGTGAGCAATCGAGTTCGAGCTAGACCGATTTCGGGGCTATCAACGACGACGATGGGGTCGGTCGTCAGTTCCATCGTCGAATCGTCGAGATCGTCGTTCGAGGAGCCGAGTTGTTCTCGCGCGCGATCGGTATCGGCTTCGGTGAGTAAACCATCGAGACGAGCTTGAGCGGCTTTGACGCGTCCTTTGAGGGTCGAGATCGTCGCGTTGAGCGCGAGCCAATCGTCCACATCGGACCAAACGCCATGACGAGTCGGGTCAAAGACCCAATCGATCACGTCCGCTCCGTCGACGAGACGGTACTGCAGTAACTTGTCGAGTACGATCAAGTGGAACTGTCGGTGGTGCGTCCAAAACTTCGCGACCGATTTGAGCAGCTCAGAACGAGCCGAAGCGGACGGTGTCAGGTTTCGAAGCAAGACGAGGTAGCGTTCTAGGACGTTGAGGAAGTGCGAAAACGAACGTGAACCGATCGAGAGAATCGATTGGACGGTCATGTCGAGGATCAAGGCGCGTGATTCGTCGGTGGTCAAAGTATGGTCCGTTTGCAAGGTTGCGTCGATCCCTTTCAACTCGAGTTCGATGTTACTCGTCGAAGCTTTGGCGCGCAAGAGATCGAAGATCCGTCCCGCTAGAGCGGCATAAGGTGATGCATGCTCGACGGCGACAAGATCTAGAGGATCAGCTCGCTCGTATTCATAATTCGGTCCCGGTGCCGCCTCGGCGACGACGCCCGTTTCCAACATCGCATCGGGGATCGTATCCTTGATGCGCTCATAGTACGAAAGTCGAACTTCGAGTTCGATGACCCGTTGAACGAAAATCCGCTTCGGGTGTTGGTGGTCGATCTCCATATCCGCAGCCCAGTCCTTCCAACCCCAAGCGAAGCCGAAATTGCTGAGATGCATCGAGAACCATTCGGTGAAGCGGCGAATGCCTTCGGCGTCGAGCACGGGGTTGCCCGCGTCGGCTTCGTTACCGAGACCGGCATAGAGCCGTCGGATGCATCGTCCGAGGGCGGGACCGATCGTTGCGGGTGCTTCGCGGCAAAGTTCGGTCAAGAGCGAGTGGTAGTAAGCGGGAGGGAGGGTCGATCTCGGCATGGCAAAGAGGGAGGTGAGGATCGACTGTAGGCGATGGGGAACTATTCAACAGTCAGTCGCTCGGACTCGGATCGTCACCGCCTCCAAAATTCTCCCCCAGATGACAAACCCACCTCGACGACCAGATGCTCAATCACCCATTCCGAACTTTTCTCCTCCACCGCGTCCCTCTCCCTATCAACCTCTTCCTCGAATTCGTCCCGTCTCTGCTCGTCGCCCTCGCCGTCGCGCTTCTTTGGCGCATCATCGCCCTTGAACGTGCGCGGCGTGAACCACCTCGGCAATTCCATCAACAACTTGGCCGCTTCTTTGCGATTGTGTTCGTACAAGTTGATGATGTCGAAAATGAGCGAACGAATGATGGCGCCGGAGGGGTCATAAGTCTCGGGTACGGTCTGTTTTCAAAGGGCGGAAGGGGGCGAGAGTAGAGTCAGCTTTGCGATCGCAGGTTATTTTCCATCTCAGGAGCTCGCACTCACCTCGTCATCGAACAAGGTCAAATAAACGCGAACCCCCTCATATCCAACGCCTTCATCACCCTTCAACCCCGTATTCGGCGGCGGTACTTCGATCAATCTGGACAACTCGTCCTTGTCCAATTCGGCGGGCACGACGATCTCGGGCAAGTCGACCGTCTCGACGTCGGTCAGATCGTTCCTGAGGCGAGGACTGATCGGGTAAGTGGGGAGGACGTGCAGGGTTGATTTGGTGACGAGGCAAGAGACGAGTGATTCGAGACGGTCTTCGAATTGGGGGGTCGTTTCGGGATCCCCAAAGAGCTCCTTTTCAAGCTTGCGACGCGCGAGGTAGAGGTCGACGGCATCGCGTAGGCTTTCGTCGTCATCCGAAGTGATACTCGTTGCTCGCAAAAGGGTCTCGGCGATGATGCGAGCGCATTCGTCGCCTCGGGAAGCGCGGAGACCGGCTTCGGCTAGTACGGCTGCAAAGGGCTGGAGCAGAGCAAGCAGGGACGAGACCTTGACGACGGGCACGACGGGAGCGGGGATCGAGGTCAGATGCGCAAAGACGCACATGGTGTAGCGAACGTTGCGCCACTTGCGTTGGTCGAGCCAGAGTTGTAGCGCCTTGCCGAGGTCGGCGATGATGGCGTGGCCGGCGTTGACGGGCTTGGGTTCGGGTTCGGCGGGTGTTGCTGCGTTGGTATCATCGGTCGTTCCTTTCTTGATCTCGGTCGCCCCATCAGCTTGGGTCTGCATCTTTGCGTCGGAGGTCTCGTCCTGGACGGTCGTGGACTCGTCCGTCGCGACGGCTGGGGTGGGAGCAGGAGCAGGAGCGGGAGCGGGAGCGGGAGCGGCGGCGAGGTTGCCATCTGCATCGACGACGGGTTTGGCCGGCAAGGTCACGCGTGAGGGCAGAGCTCTGACGAGCCTTGCTGGATGGGGAGCGGACGGGGTGATGCGATCGGCGAGAGTGACTTGTGGGACGTAAGGCGTGGTCAGTCGCGCGATCAGGTTCGCATAGTGGGGCAATTTGTGCGGCAGTTCGGTCACGCTGAGATGAGCGGTCACGAAGTGGATGTTAGTAGACCAAATAGCTTTACCGTTTCTGAGTTTTGAGCTTTGGGCGCGCACTCACGCGACGCGGAATGCTGCAAAGACGGTGTCGGGATCTTTGGCAAAGACGACGTGCGTCGCATCGGCAAAGTTGGCGAGGTCCTGAGGTAGCGTACCCGTAGGATCGTCAGTCCAGGGGGCCTTGTTCGAGCTGCAACACAGCTGGACTGACCTCGTGATGGGGCATGTTCCACAGACGCTGCTTGTACAGTTCCTGCTGGGCACGCGGGGAAGGGTTGTGCGGTCGTTGCGGCGAGTAGTACTGTCCCGGGTCGTTGCCGCGTCGTCGAGCATAGTGACGAGAATCGTCGTCGTCGTCTAGTCAAGCAAAAAGGGTGCACGAGCGCTGGGCTGGGTACGGGTACGACGTCGTTCGCGGAATGGGGCCCCCCCAGACGTAGTCGTCACTCACCTCGTCCTCGTTTCCCTCCTCCTCCCCCCGCTCCACCGTTGTAGTGCGATCCGCCACCTCCACCACCACCTCCGCTACCTTGATTGTAGGACCGACCTCCGCCGTTGTAGCTCTGTGCGAGCGAGCGAGGTCGAGCAGGTTCAGCTTCGAGCCAGCATTTGTTGCAAGCGGCTGTGGTGTGATGCTTACCATACTTGCGAGATTAAACTTCCGGGGTACAGTAGGATACACCAGGTAGTCGTTCAGTAGCAGTTGAGCGAGTACCGAGAACGAGAAGGGGTGCGGAACTGAGTACTGAGACGAGAAGCGCGAACGGGTAACGCCGCGCGGTCGAGCAACTTTGAACGACTTGAAGCTTCGATGGACCCGTCAAGCATTCGGGGCCCGATTCATGCAGGCTTCAAGGGATTTGTTTGGAAAACGCAGATAACCTGTTTCAACCGAATGCAATAGAAAAAGACCCGCGCATTTTCAATAGCCGAGCTGCTATCACGAAGGACAAAGATAAAGGAGAGCGAAAACAAGGCCAAGAGCCAGGAAATCGATATCGCGCGCGCTCGTAATGAGAAGTCAAGTTGATATCCAAATTCGAGGGCGTTGACGAGCCCCTAGACGGGGAACGAGAGAAGTTCGCCTTGTCGTAATCGCTTCACCCACACCCCTTAGGCTTGGGGTTTGACCATCCTGTAGTTGTTGAGGCACGTGATCCCCACTCGTAAGCTCACGCCGGCCTTCTCTCCGCATAGTTTCCGTTCAGCACACAACAGCTTACCACCATTGTGGGGAGCTTGACACATCTGGCATCGTTTGGCGAGAAGTGCAGGTGCAGCGGTAGCTGTCGAGAAAGATACAATGTGAACAGGTTCAACATAATCGGAATGCACACGATGTTTGTATAGTTGAAATCTGCGTCGGCCCGTTCTTCCACATGCCTACTCACATCTTCTGCCGACACAGGATCTGTATTTGAGGAACCACGCCAAGTTGGTGCAAAAGCAGTCCTTCATGTAAATCTGGGCATTTTTGTCGCTCTGATGCTCTGAAAGGTCACGGGGACTACTTGGGGACGCGCGCCGATGCTTCTGGGCGCAGCTGTTGGGGCTGTTGGGGTCGCCTTCCTGCATGTTGATTCAGATGAACCGTTTCCTTGTCAGAGATGATCCTTCACCCCGCCTTATTGGATCTGCTTGTTCGCTTACCCCTTTGTCTGCCTCTAAAGCACATACGACCCCATCGCAACCTGGGATCTCCGGGGTTGGCGCATCTATCGATAGAAAGTAAGGCAAAAAAAACATGAGAACGATCGAAATCGAAATCTCGCACCTGGCGCTTGGAAATGCATAGGCCTCACTCACCCGATTCGAAGAGGCCTGGCTTGGTGCAAACCGAGCAGCGGCCGGAAAGACGGTGGTAAACCGCGCTTGGAGCGACTGCGCCGTGGCATCAGCAATAGTGCATATCGTCAGTCTCATTCGGGGAAACATCAATATGGGTCATTTACCTTTCTTATTGCAACGGTTATAAAACTTGAGCCAATCTTTGTCCGTGCAGAAACAGTCCCGCAAGTAGATGTCCCTGTTGGTGGGCAGGTTGTAGGTCGCTGCGTCTGATGGATTATAGCCCGGTATGAAGAGCGGCGAGTGGGTCGCTTGCTGGTACTTTTGCAGACATGTTGTCCGATCCTTAAGGTCGAATTTGGAAGTAGCGTCGCCAACCTTTGGCATCACGAGGATGAGAAGAGGTCAATGACCCTTTTCAAGCTGAATGGATGCCACCTCACTACTGACCAGACGGCTCGCTTGCTCTTCGCACGACTCGGGGCCCTTCGTCGAGGGGTGATCGGACCCGGCGAGGACCTCGGCTATAGCTCCTGCGGCGATCGCAAAGAGGAAGACATGGACTAGCATCGATTGTAGATTCCCGGATTGATTCGAGGAGAAGAGAACGCTACGCTATCAGTACTCCGCTGCCCGTATTGGTCGTGCGAGAAGGCAAGCGACGAAGTGATGAGACGGACGGGGAAGTTCTGTGTGGCCCACCAGGCGGACAATGTCTTAGACTGTTTTAGATCGGTGAGACGAAGAGAGGTTGCTGACATGCGTTGCCAGGTTCCAAAAACGGGGACATGCGCAGCTGAACTAGCCCTTGTCGCAGAAATGTTCTCGAGTGGTAACTGATGATGACCACGACTCAGTCCAATGAACAGGGACGAGAACAGAGTGGCCAGAGACTAAGGGACAGACTCGCGGGAGGCTAGAAAGTGAAGCGTAAAGCTAACAAGGAGAGAGATTAGATTAGTAAAGTAGGGAGATTGAGTGACTAAGGAGAGAATGACACGCCGCTAGGCTCAATCCCAATAGGAACAATAATCAGATGAAGGACGGGACAACCCATATGACCATATACAAATGACAGCCCTGTCTAGCCTGCCACTAGCCTGACCCCCCGTCTAGGCCAAGGCGCCGCGCACGGACGAGTGTCTCACCACCGTGCCTCCTTTCCCTGCAGCCGTCTCCGAAGGCATGCATTTGGGTTCCAAAATTGTTCCGCGCCCTGGCCGAACAGTATGTCGTCCTGCGCCCTGCAGAACAGTTTGTCGTTGACAGTAGACCTTCCCCGTGTCAAAGTGCGTTTCCATGCCAATTTGCTAACTCGAAGGAAACCGCTGAAGAAGTTTGACGCCCGGCCCAGCTCAGGCGCGGGTCTTGGATTCGTCCAGCGCACCCCCTGTCCTGAGCGCGCTCAACGCGAGAGGTCGGACAAACGCGCAGCCGGCGTGTTCGCCTCGCTTCTCTCGGGATCTACTTCCCATGCTCGTACGCATTGTGTCTCGATTTTTCACCTTTCAGAGACTCAAATGTCGGTGTGCGCTTTGTGCCTTTTCCGTCATTCGACGATGATGTCAGTGGTCGAACGCGATCATCGAGCGGGATCGAGCTAGCGGCAGCGTTCCTCGTCGTTCGGCAGACGGGAATGTAGACGCTTGAAGACTCCCGAACGCCGAGCGTTCGCAGTGATCATCCCAGCAACAGCAAGCGAAGAAGTGAGCTCTGTATTTAGAATGGAAAGTGGCTGTGATGAAAATGACGGAATCAGTTGCAGAGATGGCAGAGAGGCTTGAGAGAGAGAGGAGGTGTAAGGGAATGCCTTACAGAAACAGCCCCATAAGTAGCCTCTGAGTAGCTAGAACTGTCGAGTTCTAGTTACGACTTGCTTTTAGCCTAGCGGTCAAGAACGACAGATTGTATTCTATGCACATCAGAGGCGCATATTTTACAGGAGGCAACGGAGATTCGACAAATGGTGATGAAGAATGCCGACTGGGAAATTTGAATTGTTGCCAGAGAGATCTTGGATGTCGCACTCGATTCATTGTATTCGGAATAATTGTCGACGGTAAACGAACTGTCTCTCGCCCAAAGACGAATGAAAGAGATGGCATGTCAGTAGAATGATGCCAAGCTTAAGCGGCACTGCTCGAATATCGCAAGACTGAGTCGTAGCTCATTGGTCCCGCAGATTATTCAACAGCCTTTGTAGAAGATGCGATATCAGGACACTGTGCATTCATACAACATCGACTTCTCTCCAAAGACCCCGGATCTTACCACAAACCGTAAGGAGCTGAAATCCCGGCATCGGTGTCTACGAATGCAGTGGCTCCCGCCGGCTTGTTGCCGGGATCCGCCGCTGAAAGGGTGCGTCAAATAGCCCGCAAAATTCGGGTATCGCTCAGCCTCTTTCGTTTGTCTGGATAACATATTAGCCTCCTACGCTCTATCTGGGTGTGACAAATGCTAAATGCGACAAGCAAATTCTCCGCCTCCGGGTGTCGTCGATTTGCGAACGTGCTTAGCTTTGTGGATCGAGTCGCATGAAAAATGTGCAGAGAATGGTGGCTCACAAAATATGGCTTCGTAAGTGATTCATTTCGTGAGGAGTCGCTCTCTTGCTTGTGAGCGACTCGGAGGCGCCTGAACGAGGTGCTGCACCCCTCAAGCTGATTCGTCTTCGAGGTTCCGAGTTTTCTTGCCGCGGCGTCGTCGTTGAATCCGATTCCGTTCGGCCTTACGACACTGCCAAACATTTTGATCGCGTCGTATTGTGGTGGTCTTGCTATCTTCGGACCGCTCCGCCAATATTGAGCTAGGTGGTCAACATTTCAATGTCGCGCACTGCGCCCAGTCATTTTTCACATGCGCTTCATTTGTATCGACGCACCCAGGGATCGTTACGTCTAAGTAGGGCTCGGCGTAAGGTATGCGCCTCTGATGTGCATAGAATACAATCTGTCGTTCTTGACCGCTAGGCTAAAAGCAAGTCGTAACTAGAACTCGACAGTTCTAGCTACTCAGAGGCTACTTATAGGGCTGTTCTGTAAGGCATCCCCTTACACTCGGCGCCCGCCTCCCTGCGAGAGTCAAGGTACTCCGAAACGGGGACTTTGGGCTTTTAGGGCGGTTCGGTACCTATCTCGTTAGCTCTCTGTCTTAGGTAGGACATGTTAGGAAGACCCGGGTCAGTTGATTGGTGCTGGTTCATCTGACGGTTTCAGTGCTGGAAATTCGAGTGTGGGAGTGATCCGTCCAAGTTTCCGAGCCTCTCATCGGCATTAAATCCCCTTCGCCGCTTCGCCCCCTTTATCCGCTCGGCGTCGGCGGTTTCCCTCGCTCGAGCTTCGCCCCGCTGAGTCGCGTCGGCCCATTCTCGTGGTCGCCCTTCTTTCTCTCTCTTTGGGGTCTACGTAGAACTTGAAATTTTAAACATTGAGTGCTACCACAGAATCTTGAAGCCCGAAGGCATGCATCGGGTGTCGGAAGCACGCATCCGCACCGGACCGGCCGAATCCTCGCTCAGGCCTACGCTGTTTAGGAGATTCTCGTCAAGACCGAACTTGCGAGTTCGGTCCACCGAAACGCGAGGTAGTCGCGAGTCAGCACCAGCTCCGAATTAAATCCTTCTTCTTTCCCCTCCCATCCCTTTAAGCCTTCATCGGTCTCCTTCAAACCCTCAGGTCTTCAAGCTCAAACACCTCCCCTCTCGATTCAAGTATGAAGTACTCGCTCGTCTTTGTCGCGCTCGTCGTCATAGCCACCGTTAATGGCTCGCGCCTACCCGCCGACGCGACCGAGTTCAGCCCCACCTCGGAAGTCGACGACCTCCATGCTCTCGATGAACATACGCCGCTCCGGGCCCGATCTCGGCCATCCATTCCACTACCCGCTGTAGAGCCAGAGTGAGCACTTCAGCCCTAGAGTAGACGTTCCCATTGCTTATTTGAATATTTGTTGAGCTTTCCCCATGCGTACAGGCTCCTTGACAGAATCGGGAAGTGTGCTGCTGGATGCGAACCTTGCCCGTGAGTCTCCCGACCGAAAGCGAGGCACGATCCAAAACCTTAGCTATTGCTTCCAGAAACGGGACAACAACTGCCAGACACCATGCAGAAGCCAACGTTATAGATATCTAGCTAACCCTTTGCAAATACAGAGCTCCTGCACACAGAGCTTGTGTACAGAAGTGCAGCGATTCGGCGACGCGGAAGGGCCCCGAACCGAAGGGTTGTTGACGTTAGCAACTTCGAGGCGCTCCAAACTCGACAAGCCGTCTTCACGGAATTGAGGACGAACAACGTCGAGCGCATACCGATCCTCCGATTTCGCAATCACATCGTTGCAATCTCCCAACTTCCATTCTGAACTTCGTGAACACTCTTTGCAGCTCTCTCTTTCTCTCTCTGCGTTCCACATACTCTCATCATTGCTTTCTTCTTACCACCTGTGAATTAAGCCTCCGTTGCCGATTCCAAACTTTCAGGTATCCAACGACCGGCACATGGGCAGCTGATCTAGCCTGCCATTAGCCTGACTCACCGACTAGGCCATGGCGCCCGGCCCGCGTGTCTTCTTTCTCTGCAGCCTTTTCCGAAGGCAGGGACTTTGGCTTGAAGATTGTTCAGTGCCCTGGCCGGGCAGTATGTCGTTGATGGTAAACCTTCACCATCTCAAACTGTGCTTCCATGCCAATCTGCCAACTCGAAGGAGACCGCTCAAACTTGACCGCCGGCCAAACCTCAGCAGGCGAGGGTTTTGCCATGATCCATCATCTAGCGCACCCCCTGTCCTGCTGAGCGCGGCTCAACGCGAAGAGGTCGGAAAAACACGCGCAGCCCGAAGTCCCCCCCTTGCTTATTTTGGTCCGGGAAGTTCGCTCATACGCATCGTCTCTTGATTTTTTTATTTTTCAGATACTCCAATTTCCGGCGTGCAGTTTGTGCCTTTCATGTCGCTCGACGATGAAGTCAATGGTGGAACGCTATGATCTCGGGGGGGGGGGGGGGGGGGGGGGGGGGGGGAACTGGCGCCATTAACTGGCGGCGACGTTCCTCGTCGTCGGACCGACCGGGGGATGTAGGCTTCTGGAGAATTTGCGGACGCCGAGCGTTCGCAGTTATTGTCCCAGCAATAAGATCGGAAGAAGTGAGCTCTGTATCGATATTGGAGAGTGGCGATGATGATATATGAAGCAATCAATTGCAGACATCGCAGAGACGGATGAGGCAGAGGAGATAACAAAGACTCGACACATGGACGTAGAGGATATCGAAATTGAAAGTGTTGCTGGAAAGATCTTGGACGTCGCATTCGATTTTCTGTGATCGGAATAACTGTAAACGAAATATATCTCGCCCAAAGACGAATGAAAGAGATACATCTCAGGAGAATAGTCCCAAGCTTAAGCGGCAACGCTCGAACACATATAAGCGATCTACGATGCGCGCTGCCACCGAGCCCGGCCGAATTCGCAGCTCGAGAGTGAGCGAGAATGAGAATGAGTAGATTGAGTGAGATTGAGACTCGTCGCGTGCGCGTGTCGGACCACGTGCTGACTCGCCGTCGCCTTGCCTCCCTTTCTGTTCCTACATTCGCTCTCGAAACATGTCGGCGCCCTCGCCTTTGATCTCACCTTCTCAAACGCCTCCACCACCGGGTGCGCAGGACCATGGCGTACGCTTCTCGACGCCTCCGCTGTACGTTCGCGCTTCAGCTCGCTTCCATCCCTCGCTTTCGGCGAGTGCAATCCCTTCCATGCCTGCACCAGCGTGAACAAGGCACTGCGTAGACAGTGCTTCTGGAGCATAAGAGCATTCCTTCTGACTTGGACCCATACTGCTCCCCTTCCAGCCCTAGCCGGTCACCTCATTTCGTCTCGCGAGCGGAAGCGATCAAGGGGCTCTCGAACCGCTTCGTCTTTTCATGGTTCTACATCTATCTCTACCTCGCGATGGCGTTCCTATCGTGCGTATACCCGCTAAAAACCCAGTCTGCAATCCGCTTTGGGCCTCTTTCGGTTGCGCAAAGGGACGCTGATCTCCTGTTCCTGCCCGACGTGTGGGGCTCGGCTTCGGGACGATGCAGCCTGACTACGGTCGTACTCTCGGTGCTGTCAGATTGCCCCACGTTCACCTTTTACATGCTCGAGATCATCATCAACACGACCATGATCGTCGAAGTCTCGATACGGCTCGTCGCGTTCGGCAAGGTCAGCCACGAGTTCCCCAGTTGCCCTCGCTTACGATGTCGCTCTGACTCTGTTTCGGCATCGTTCCCATAGCAATTCTGGAAATCCTACTACAACACCTTGGATCTGATCATCACGATCCTCTGCGTGATCACCTTGGTCGTCATTTTCTTTTCCGGATGTTCGGCGAAAGGCGAAGAGGTGTTTGATGTGTTCCTTCTCGTCGTGCGCAACTTTTTCCAATTCGGTCGATTGGCATTGGTGATGCGCAAGTGAGTGATCAACGGAGGTTCACGTGTTCCTCGTTGTGCGGTACCGGTACCGAACCTTCTCTTCGTTGAACGCTCCCACAGATCAGGAAAGAACGCCTTCACCCGACCTGCCCCAATAGACCTCTCCTCCGCGCGCAATTACTCCTTCTCCCTCGACCTCGACCTCGACGACGAAGAAGCCTTATCGACGGAACGACGTGCGTTGGGTGGGGATCTTGAAGCTGCTCGAGTCAGTCGGACGATCGGAGCCGGCTTGCACGGGAGGAAAGGGGGGGCTGGAGCGGGGGAGGATAGGCCTTTTACGTTGGCAGATAGTGACGAGGAAGATTGATGGGATAATTCTCCTTTCGGATACCAAATGTGTTGTAATTCTATCTCACCCGTGAAATTTCATTCCAAATTGCCGAGGCAGCACGGTCTGTGCGAGCGAGCGGACAAAGTGCGACACGGTAGGACCTGGTAGGACACGGTTGCGACTACGTCTCGTGCGAGCGGACGCGTCTAAAGTGGGGGCCTCCCTCTTCTTGGAACGGCTTTCGCTTCTCCCGCAACTCGGCTCCTCCCGAACCCCACCTCTTAAAGCACACCATGTCCACCACGCTCAGCGCGCATCCGAACCCCAACCTAGGCCTCGGCCGTCCCCGTTCGGGTCGAGGCGCGTCCTCGTGCGGGCACCCACGCGAGTCGTCCGCCAGTTTCAAGTTGTTCGATCGTACGTTCAAAAGTCCGCCATCCTTGTCTAGGGCTCCTATGAACGATCGTCGGTGTTGTCAACCGTGCAGCTGCTCAAGTACAAGTCTTTAAAGAAGCCTTCTCGGTAAGCCGTTTCCCCAGAGTCCCCTTGAGCCCCGGATCGCTCAACCTCCTTCAACTCGCACCCCACTGAGCCGCCCTGCACCTCTCTCACCTTCTCAGCTACTCGACACCAACTCGGACGGCTACATAACCCCCTCGGATCTCTCGACCCTGTTGACCCAACTCGGCCAACCGAATTCTGAAAAGTCGATCGCTCAACTTTTACACTCGACGGGTTTGGGCCCGGAGGAGATGATGGACGCGAAGGACGGGGGGAAGGGGATCAACTTTACGAGTGAGTCTTTGTGTGGAGTGCGGGTCGTGTTCGTTGGGAAATGCGAGGATACTACTCTGGGATGATGATCTAATTCTCGTATTCTTGACGGACCCAACGCGTTCACGTTCCTTCAACTTGGCTCCTCTGCTACCGCCCGATCGCAGTGTTCGTGACGATGATGGTACGAACAAGATATCATCATCCTCGTTCTGAACCTCCTGCGTACTGAACTCATCAACTTCCTCATTCCTCCCTCAAAAGGCCTCCCACCTCTCCCCCCTCTCTCCAACCTCGGACTTGAGCGAAGCTTTCTCTTCCTTCGATCCTACTCACTCGGGCCTCATCCGCGGTCGCGATTTGCACGCACTCAAAAAGTGTTTGAAGGATGAGGGGGATGGGATGAGTGAGCAGGAGGTAGGGCCAAAACCCTCTTCGTTGTGAACTCACGGGAAAGGAAGGGGGAGAAGAACGTAGCAAGATGCTAACTAACCGATCCGAACGATTTAATTCTTTGGGTGCGTCTAGATCGAACGCCTCCTCTCAGGCCCGTTCATGGATCGTGATGGCTCGTTCAGGTATCGCGATTTGTGTCAGACCTTGAGAGTCACCGATGGAGGGGACGATGAGTAGAAAGAAGGTTGCTTTTATGGCGAGGGGAAGACTTTTTTTTTTTTCGAGTCGTTGGGTTCCCGAGTTCGTGTTGAAGACTCTGAGAGAGGTGCTCGCGTGTATTCTGTTTGGTTGATCGTTCTTTCTTTTTGTTGTTCGAATGTACGTACGACTTTTCATCATCCCTTCTCGACTCGTTCGACAGTTTTCGATTTCGGCCCTCGTCGGGAAGCGCGATCAAGGGAGCCAAACCCTTCATCCGACAAAGAGGTGCATACCCAGCAGGACGGGCGATGAAGTTGGCAGCGCTGCTCCAGCTGAAGGAGGACCCAGCCGAGCGTGTACCACGCGCATCATACCACGCGCATCATTGAATATAAAGAGAGTCGTACGATCGACGTCATTATCATCGCACCGGGACCGTTCGTTCGGCGCGCATTCAGACACTGCACACGCGCAGACTACTATAGGCTACATATTAGCTCTCTCGGCCTTCACAATGATGCGAGTGACCATTGAAGGGGCAAAGGATACCCTGCCTTGCTAGAGAGTTTTCATTGAATAGACTGGCACTCCTTATCGATCAGTGGGAAGGCGGAATCGAGTGCGCTTTGCCCCACATGATGATGATGGCTTTACATTGTACGACTGCTGAGATCGCTAGTTGAACGATCCTCCGCTCACGACTCGGACCGCTCGGATAAATCGAACTGCTTTGGAAACGTGCTCAAGCCAATAAGTAGGACTTGTAGATCGATTCCGAAGCGGGCGAGGTCAAGAGTCCCAAGACGCCGAGGTGGTGACGCGAAGTGCAGTGGCGAATGGGCTGGCACTTCACCGGAAACTAATAGACCGCGCCTTGAGAAGCCTGCCTTCACAGTCAGCTCCTCAGGTCATGGTTTCTTTGTTCTCCCTGGCCCATCGATTTATCCTCAGGACGATGGCCCTCGAGCGGTCCGAATCGCCAAGATGCGCCACCCCTTGATTTCCCTCATACTCAGCACCATTTAATTCTCGAGATTCAACTCGGGCCCCTTCCCACCGCCGGCGTAATGCCACCCCAAGCCGTCGACTCATCACGTCTCGAGCGCCGGCGGCCCGCTACACGATGACTCCTAACGGTGTCACGGTCGAGAAGTAATCTTTGCAAAGGAACCTCACTGCTGATGTGATTGTGGTGTAAGAGAGGTCACGTTCTCCCGCCTTTCTGCTTGGATTGACCCCTCGACAACGTCACCACCGCCTCCGGCTCATTTCTTCGGCACCCCTCTCCTTTCCCCCCACCCCCCCCCCCCCCCCCCCCCCCCCCGACGGAAAACCCCGGTGAGCGGCAGCACCCTAAACTGTCTCAGCATAGGACGCTCACGAGGCACTTGTCCCAACACCGGGGCTGTGTCAACCGAGATGCTCTCCATCTTTCGCAGAACCCATGAGACCCTTAAACGAAACGAATCACTGAATCTCGACTTCACAGTTTCTCAGACTAAAGCATCAACTCGCATGCTCTTGTTGTAGGCAATAAAGGCCGGGGCTGAACAAGCCGGATCGGATTCAAGTGGCGCATGCAGAGCCCACACGCGGCCTGAGCGCGGAAAAGGCCTGGTATAGGAGACTCTCACCAACACCGAAATCGAGTTCGGTCTGCTTTTGAACAAAGCTAGCGGGAGCCAGTTCCGTCTATGAGCGAAAGGCGGTGCAGCACACTGCCTCACCCTTGAAGGCCCGAATCAGGACCTCGCTTCTCTTCTTCTTTTCCCTCCCATCCTTTCAAAGTCTCGGTCAAATTCACCAGTCTCAAAAGTTCAAACATCTCACCTCCCACGTCAAGTATGAAGCATTCGCTCTTCATCATCGCGTTCGTCGTCATGGCCGCGGTCAACGTCTCGGCTCTCCCCGCCGACGCGATTGAGCCCACTTCGGAAATTATGCCATACGCCCTAAGGCCTCCGTCTGAAGGGTAAGTTCTTCAGATCTGGACTAGAAGGGCCCCATCTTTTAGTTGAATCTTCGCTTACTTCTCCCCACCCCATCAATTGCAGTTAGAAGGCACAGATGTGTATAGACAAGTTCTGCAACGAATGCGTGTAAGTGCCCACTCTTGACCGAAAGCGACGGCACTCGATTTAAAACCCCCCTCAAGAAGTCACGCTGCCAGCTGCCGAAGCCACGATGATAGCTAACGCTGAGCGTGCGGACACAACAGGGGTGCAGAGGTGGGATTCTGTATGAGCGAATGCACGAAGTGGGCCCAAGGAAAGGGCTCTAAGCCCGTTCCCTGTGTACAGTAGAACCGAAGCGTTCCAAGGCCGACAAGCCGTCCGAATCGCGGAATTAAGGAGAATTAAGGAGTCGGAACAACATCAAGCCGCACACCTATCGCCCCTGCTTCGCATCGTCGCATTTATACATAAGATTCTGACTTGATTTCAACACACATATGTTTGCTCCCTGTTTCATGCTGCCACATGCTTTCGCTTCTCTCATTGCTCTCGGTTTTCCGCATGTCAATAAAACCTCCGTCTTGCTTTTCCGTTCGAGCTCGTGCCATCCAGCGCTTCGTGCAAACTTCCTATTCAGCAAGCCTCGACTTGAGATTTCGGGCTGGACGTATTATAATCCCGCCGATCTCGTCAATTTTCACTAGTGAGCTCGTAAGCCTTGCAATGCCTTCGGACTTGGCGCTCGATTCCGTTTCGACTCGGAGTTTCCGGGACACATTGCACTGCGTGACATAGGCCCGGGAATATTTGAGCAGTAATCAGGAGTCTTACTGAGGGCTACTACCTGTTGACGACACAACTGTTACGAAACAACTAAATGGGATCGTATGATGTGTGGTGCTTCGGATTGTGTCCTACAAGCCCAAGCTCGCCGAGCACTTTACCGGCAACTGGACCGTGCCTTGAAAAGCCTGCGTTGACATTCACCTCCACGGACCTTCCTTTCTCTGTCTCCCCATCACCCATCAATTTCTCCTCTGGACGAGGAACCCTCAGCTCCTCCGAATCCCCAAGATACGCCACGCCTTAAACCCCCCCCCCCCCTCATGTTCAGCACCATTCTCGAGATTCAACTCGCTGCCTGAAAGGCACGAGATCGCTCTCGAGCCTCACTGATTCCGAGTCCAAACTGAAAGGATCAAACGGTGTAATTCGCAGGCGAAGAAAGACTACTAAAAGGACTAAGGTCAAGAGACGCGGCGGCGCCGCGCGCGAGGGCAAGCGTGGGGCCGGTTGGCTCGAGGTCGTCGTGAGGCGTAAGCGGAGCGGCGCCTTACACTGCCCTCCCCACCGGCACTGTGATGCCACCCCAAGCCGTCGATCACGTCTCAACTCTCGAGCGTCGGCGGCCAGCTACACAATGACTCCTAACGGTGTACGGTCCAGAAGTAATCTTTGCAAAGGAAGGTCACAGTTAGTGTACCAGAGGTTACGTTTTCGGCTTTCTGATTGGATTGCCCCTCGACAACGTTTACGTCACCCCCTTCGAGTCCGGCTCATTTCTTCGGGACCCCTCTCCTCTTCCGGCCCCGAAAACCCCGGTGATCGGCAGCACCTGAAACAGTCTCGTACATATGAACGAGCCGCATCGGACTGTGGCGCAGAGCCTACGCGCGGCCTGAGCGTTGAAGAGCCCGGTATAGGAGACTCACCAACTTACCGAAAGCGAGTTCGGTCTGTCTTTGACTTACCGAAAGAGAGTTCGGTCTGTCTCTGAACTTACTGGGGCTAGCTGGAGTATCGTCTACTAGCGAAGCGCATGATCATGCAGCACCGCCTCCAAGCCCCGAATCAAGTCCTCGCTCCTCTTCTTCCTTTCCCTCCCATCCTTTCAAGTCCTCCGAATTGGTCTCGGTCAAATCCACCCATCTCAAAGCTCAAACATCTCACCTCCCACTTCAAGTATGAAGTATTCGATCTTCTTCATCGCGTTCGTCGTCATGGCCGCGGTCAACGTCTCGGCTCTCCCCGCCGACGCGATTAAGCCCACTTTGGAAATCGACGACCTTTCGCATCACGAGAAGCACGCGTCTCCAGTAGTATCACACCGACCAGGCTTTGGGATACCAGACGACCCCCTGGGCCCTTCGACTAGGCCGTAAGTTCTTCAGGTCTGGACTAGAAGGGCCCGATCTCTTAGCTGAATTAACCAATCCCGGTCCCATCGATCGATTGCTTTAAAAGCGCGGCGCCGTGCATAAATGCTATCTGCACCAAGTGCCCGTGAGTGCCCACTCCTGACCGAAAGCGACGTACTCGATCAAAAGAAACCTCAAGAAGTCACGCTGCGAGCTGCCGAAGCCACAATGATAACTAACGCTGAGCTTACGGATACAGCACTGCTGCAAAGTCTTACTCTTGTATGGACCGGTGCAACGCCTGGGCCTCAAAAACCAAACCGCGCTCTTACCCCCCTGGCTGTTGAGGACCGAGACGTTCCAAGGCCGACAAGCCGTCAAAATCGCGGAATTAGGGAGTCGAACAACATCAACTTGAAACCACACGCCTATCGCCCCTGCTTCGCATCGTCGCATCTATACATAAGATTCTGACTTGATTTCAACACACATATGTTTGCTCCCTGTTTCATGCTGTCACATGCTTTCGCTTCTCTCATTGCTCTCGGTTTTCCGCATGTCAATAAAACCTCCGTCTTGCTTTTCCGTTCGAGCTCGTGCCATCCAGCGCTTCGTGCAAACTTCCTATTCAGCAAGCCTCGACTTGAGATTTCGGGCTGGACGTATTATAATCCCGCCGATCTCGTCAATTTTCACTACTGAGCTCCTAAGCCTTGCAATGCCTGACTTAGCGCTCGATTCCGTTTCGACTCGGAGTTTCCGGGACACATTGCACTGCGTGACATGGGCCCGGGAATATTTGAGCAGTAATCAGGAGTCTTACTGAGGGCTACTACCTGTTGACGACACAACTGTTACGAAACAACTAAATGGGATCGTATGATGTGTGGCACTTCGGATCGTGTCCTACAATCCCAAGCTCGCCGAGTTCAGCCGCGCCGAACGACGAGCGCTCGATGGATCGGCGGACGTTCTTCACTGCATGGCGTCACCTGCAACCAGTGCGATCTTACCTACCCGGTGATTTGAATGCCAATCCTCTCTTCACACCACCTCGGGCAGACAAAAGAAAGGACGATCTTAATCGCGCCGCGCAGCGGCAAAAAAAGCCGATCGGATCGGCAGCCCGGGCCGGTAGCAACGTTGCTACCGACGGTAGCAAGTTCGGCGCGGCGGAAGCCGACACGTCCTGTTCGAGTCCGTTTCGACTACAACAGTTGATCCGCCTGCTGTAGAAGGCTGTATGCAATTTCTGACGGGAGAATTTGATTATATCTTGACACTAGGTTCTGCGGCGCGCTCCGCGCGCCACCTCACACCGTAACCGTTGACCCGCTGAAATGTGATGTACTTTGCTGCAACAGCTGCGGTACTGTTCAGTGATGGTCCAAGTCGGGAGAGGACCGCGGGACGACGATCAAATGTAAAGAGCCTTCATTTCAGGACGTTTCTGACACCGTCCACATAATTGCTCAGGACAACGCGACATACAACTGGCCGTGAGAAAAGACGGGCGTCTCCAGACACACTCCTACCTCCGCAAGTGCCAACTGCTCTTGCAACTTGCTGAACGTCATAGCCATTGCCAGCCGAATTGGAAACTGCGTCCGATGCAGAGTGAACGGAAGTTCAGCTGATGACCCTGTCTTCAGCGTGATCCGTGGCAACAAAACTGGCTGTCCAGCATGATCTCCTGTGAGAATGATGGCCTCGAGCAGGTGGGTGTGTAACCGAGTTGACAACAGTCTTGTGCCGTTGCACAGCCCCGCGGCGGGGTCCAAGTTTCCACTTTGAATCTTGCAGTGTGCAACGGTATCCCGGCGATGTTGAGACTCTGAAGGTACTTGATCGAGAACAGTGATCCGTCTTCATTTTCGACCGAATCCGCGCTGTAGAACGTTTGAGCGTCACCCGGCAGCAGGTCGGGCACCATGTCGTTGATCTGTGCGAATTTTTGGGCGCCAGAATTGCTCGATCTCGAAAGTATTCGACTTTTTCGCCTATCGACGTATTGCCTTTGCCCGTTCCGTTTCGGTCATGCGGTCTGCAGCGGCCAGAAGACGCATGTCTGTCTGCGCTCGCACCGTGGGCTGTTGTTAGTATAGGTCTAAAAGTCAGGCAAGGACTACTACTTACAGAGAGATCCCCCCAGAAGTCGCCATTCATGATGCAAGCGTCGACGATTTGTGCAGGCGATGACGTGGAATAACGGGAAGGCATCGCTTCGGAACCCCTGTGATGTTACAGTTCAATCAATCAGTTAGTCACACCGCCCTGCGCTTTGCTTTTGAAAGATTGGCACACACCTGCCAACACGACGGTCACTCCACCGAACCGAGCCGTTGAGGATCTGCCACGGGATGGTGAGCCGCAATCCACGGAACCAAAGCCTGTTTTTCTGTGTGATTCGTTTATTACAACTATCAGTATTCTTGCTGTTGTCCATCTGTAGCAATGACAGTGAAGACTCACATTTAGTGTCCCATGGACCTGGATTCTCAACCGTACGAAGTCAATCCTTCCGCTGTATTTTCCCGTGGCCTGCTTCCTTCGCGAGCGTTGTTGTAGAATATGGGGTGTTTGTGGGCATCGATGTCGTTTTCCCAGACAGGCCACGGTGGGTGCCCCCGCTTTTCGGGGATAGGGTCATCTCCTGTCACTGACAATACACTGTCTGTTTTTCGTATCAGTTTTTCCGTCATACCTGCCTGCACAGCCAATGTCACGTGAAACTCACGAATGCAGTCACCAATTGATGGTGGAGGAAAGCAACTCGAGGGTTGACATTCAACGAAGACGTGTTGAAGGGAAGTGCAGTTTGGTAAGGCTGGATGGATGGTTGGTTGACATCATGTCAAGGGGCTGCTCCCCTACACGTTTTGCTGTTCGCGTTACTTACTACACGGAGGCATCCCTGTTGAGAGATCGATCAATCGACACTTCCCAAGCATTGTGACAACTACCTGAGCCGTGTCCTGGGCCAGGACCGTATTGCGGCAAGTCGATCGACGTCATCGACTGACAGAGCTGTTCGTTCGCCATCCGCGAGTGGTGTTAGGGCTTCTTTCATGATGGGCGATGGGATGAGTGGCGATGGGATGAGGTGCGATGGGTAAGGTGCGAAGAGCAGGAGGAGAAAGATGGAGAAGCCTGCGCCTCAGCTTAAACCGGGTTCATAGAATGTCGCGGAAGGCCGCGGAACGACGTGGAGTGAAGCCCAGTGTTTTAATCCATATATTCCAGCTAGTCTTGTTTAAAGACAGAATCTAACAAATTGCTAGATCCGCTGGACCACCATATTCATGTCACGTAGGCCGTCACCTTGCTGTCACCAGGACCGATGCCCCCCATTCCAGGGCTTACATCAGTCTTTCCCTCGTCCAGCTCAGCGCCCGCCCTCAAAGGCAGGTGGGGAATGCCGCCACCACCGCCTCTGTCACTAATGCGAATTCCTTTGCTCCGTGTTCCTTTGCAGTGCCCACCACTTCCTCATTCTCGCCGCCCATAACCGTCCGGCTCCCTTTATAAGCTCGTGATGCCATGTCCGATCCAGCCGCGTCCGAGATCGCTCATCGAGGGCCCAGTAGATGTCAGGTTTTGGGATCATCGGCATCGCATACCACCATAGATGTCCCGTTACTAGCCCTGCAGCGAAATTGGAAAGCTCGTATACTTGTGCTCCCGTCCATTCGTGGTGTCTCATCTCCAGTTCCCTACGCGTCATCTGAAACAAGTCCTGTCCAATTCTTTCCCGCAGTCCACGACCTGCCTCGCACTCCCTGAAAACATGTTTCTCTGTCTCCTCTGCCAATCCACAAATAGTACACAAAGACGACGTACCGAATCGTTCTGAGCATCGCGAGGCGGTGGGAAGGATGTGTGCCCGCAGCTGGAGTTGTGTTTGCGCTGCGTACGTCGAAATTGCGCGAAGGTAAGGATACCGTCCTGCGGAATGAGCGACTTGGAGTAGCAATTGAACGTCGTTACCGATCTTCTGGGGCAGCGATTTGATTTGCCATGCTTCTTGTAGGTCGTAGATTTTCTTGATCACATCACCCTCTATCCAAGCAGTTTGCTCGCCAAGGTATGCCTGGATTGTCCATTGTGGGAGTGCAAAGTCCGGGAAAAGCACGAAGAAGTCAGGTTGAGTGTGTGCCGATTTCGCCGCCTCATCTGCTCGAGTGTTTGCACGCGATGCTTCGTCTCCGCCACCCGTATGGGCTTTAACGTGCCGTATTTGTATCGAATCACTCGTTCTCAGCAGGTGTTCGAGCCAAGTGTAGTGTGCAAATGCGGCCCTCGGTTTCTTTGGTGCAACTTGATCTTTCTTCAGATTCTCAGCGAATTTGACGGAGGTAAGGTGATCTGCGACAACCTGAATTGCTGACCCAAAATGTGAGGTCTCTAAGTGTGAGGTCAGTGCCGCTATGATCAGGGCTGTCACCTCTGCCTGCATGATAGTCGCGCCCGCCGGTAGTGCCGCACGAGCCGCCGAGTATGGCCCTACAACCGCTGCCGCCGCAGATGTGAGTCCTGTGGGTAACACGATGAGTGAGCCATCCGTAGCCCAAATATTCTGGTCTTGTTGGCCTCGAAAATTTATCAGGGAAAGGAGTGTGATTTTGATCTGCTGCTCGGCGTCGTTTTGTCGCTGTGCTCGCGTCTTCAACAACCTAACCGGCCCGTCCGCCAGTAAAGTTTCATCAAAGCGATTAGACCATTGTCGCACCAATCTCGTGTTCGGGTGCAGCCATCCAGCAAAGAGGTCGGGTCTATCGCGCTATGGGCCTCTCCGTAGCACTTGGAGGTCCGTCAGGCCTGCTGGAAGCGCCGCCATGGCTTTTTGTAGTTGCGGTTCGTTTCGTTTGGCCCCTCCGCTTTGGAGGTATGCATGTTCCGCACTAATACCTGAGTCGGTGCGATTCGACTGGTCGGTTTCGAGTACTCGGAGGTTCCCGCAGTGTTGTAGCGCACCTAGTGCCGTATTCCAGATCTGAGGAACCATCTGCTGCGAGTGCTTGAAAGACAGGGGCTTAGGGTTCAGGAGCGGCGATATACAGCCATGGTGTTGGCATTGTAGGTCGGCCAGCGTTATTCTTGCCATCTGTGCGAAAGCTGGAATATGATGGTTCAGGTCTTGTAGTAGTCCATCGACTGCCATAGCCCCGTTCAGTCGCCACAGACTAGTAAGCTCGAATCCAAATTTAGCGACGGGGAGGGTGACCAACTTAGCGCTCGGTGGGAAAACCCATCCATAGTACTCTTTGATCCGCATTGCTATAAGCTGGTCTAGCTTAAGGGCATCGTCCGGTCGGATAGGACATAAAGCCAGTCGTGGCCTCAGCCTGCTAATTAGTTGTTGTTCGATGAATCGTCGTAATGCCGAGAGCGGGAGTCGCCTCGTTGGCGTGCTCGGGAACCCGATCGATCGCACAATACTTTCCAGCTGAGTGTATTGTCGGTCCGGCGCAGCGAACGGTGTTTTGAGAAAAACGTGTGCTGGGTCGACAGTGACCTGTCGTCTCCCATGAGGAGTGGCAACTTGGACTGTCCCTGGTGTATCAGACTGGTTGCCGAGGCCCATTATGATGGCTCGAGTCTTTGTACCCCAGTCGGTTTGGGCTCCGTAGGCTTCCTGGAAATGCTCCATGTAGAGAGTCATCGCTGCCAGCGTCCTTTCACTCTTGGCCAGTAGTATGGTGTCGTCCATCGCAGATACCTGAGTAATCTTGAGGGTCAGTTCATCCGCTTGTGTATGGTTGTTTGAGCGTGCCCTGTTCTGTGTTGTGATGAGTAGTGGGTCCTCGAACGCTTGTTCGTCCAGCCAGTAAGAGCCCATAGCCATGGCCAAGGAGAAACGAAGAGGATTCGGGGGATCCCCTTGTTTCATCTGCCCGTCCACTTCGAAAGGTTCCGCGAGGCCGTACGGTGTCTTGACGATAAAAGCGCCGTGTGCCAATCGGGCTCGGTCAAAAGCTTCTGCGTTTGGGCCAAAGCCGAAAAAATGGTAGGCGTCATACCCAGCTTCTGGTCTGAGCAGGTCGAAGCCCTTCTTTTGGTCTCGTACTAGCCCGTAGATCGGAGTTTTGGCCCGGAACGCCCAGGCTTCTAGGTTCGCTAGGAAACTTGTGAGGTCGCGCTGTTGTACACCGCTCTGGACGGCCACCTGTGTTTCTGGAATCATGTGGTGTTTCATTGCGTAAGCTTGCGCCTGACGTGTAAACCATCCAGCCGCTGTGACCGCCAAGAAATTGCCAAAACAGACCGCTCGGTAATTACTCAGTTGGGAAGACAGTCCGCGATTTTTGAACATCGGAAGCAGATAGTGGTCGCGCAGCTTGTCGAAGTAGTTGTGCACCAGTACATAGTTCAGGAGTGCCAGAACAACAGACATCGCTTGGTCTCCAAGTATCGTTACTGTCCATTTCTCCCATCGGTCCGGACCGGGGGATGGTTCCCTATTGCCTTTGCCGAGGAGCGCCCGGAGGTCGCTGAGCATCAGGGGCCTAGGCCAGACAAATGGGTCGCGTTGCGTAGCCTCCCGAAACTTCCGGGAACTTTCCGTATTCATCCAAGGTTTGTCTGTCAGAGCATTGTCATCCTCTTTTTGGAATAAAGCGCTAAAATACTGCTTACACGTGTTCCGTACCTCTGTGGGGTCAGCGGTAAGATTTCCATCCACAGTTTCTACCGCACGTGGTTGTATCAGTGACGTACGTGGTATCAGGATTTTCTTCACTGAACCTCCGTTGATGACATTCTGTATCCGAAAATTATCAGACCTCTGTGCCAGTTCTTTACGCTCCCGCTTCTCTTGTGCGTGTATTCTTTTGCAGAGTTGGCGGCGCCAGACAGTCGCGGTTTCTAACACTTCATCCTCGGGGGGTACCACACTGCTCTGCCTGTTTCTTGTTGGAGACGTTGCAATGTCGCCGTTTCTAGGTCGGTATGGAGCTCCTCGAACCATCTTCTTGTGTCCGGTTTGTTTCTCAATATATGAATGGAGTTAGTCTTGAGTGCGTATATATAGCGATTCATATGGTGACGGTCCTGACTCAATTGTCGTAACTCTGGCGATCCGACAAACTCGCGTTTCCCGACCGCTGGCAATCTTCGTTCGCCGAATATTTGGAGGGAAGTGTTTACTATTAGATTGGAAAATTCATCGTAAGTCGCATTCCAAGCCTCTTGTGAGGCTACTGTTCCATCCTTGGCAACTCGATTCAAAGACTGCGAATGAGCAACGCCCTCTTCCATCTCTTGCCGAAATTTTGGCCGAGTGTCGCTATTCCGCGGCGGAACTTTAACCCTCCGAGGTCCGTCGTCGCTCGCCTCCTCACGGCAAGCCGTGACACGCTGGCGGGGCCCCTAACGGCGGAATTGGCGCACTGGCCGACACTACCCGAGGTCTGGAACTGCTTCAAAGCGTAGACGAACGAATCTCAAGCCCGGAGATGAATTGTCGTACAGGAGACGGGACGTGAGAGTTTGCAGATGACATCTCGGCTCGGGCAGGAGCTGGATGATTGAAGGAACCACGCTACGACGTGGTAGACACGCAAAACAGGTCGTCGCAGTCTGCTTCAGGAAGCAGAGTCACGTGCTCTTCAATGGAACCTCGGCGAACGTAGACGAAACGGACTGTCGCCGGCCGACCCGTGCTGAAACAGCGCTAGCTAGCTGGGAGGCGCTGGACCGAGAGCTGCCTATGACGTCACGCCACGTGGTTCCTGTTCTTTGACGTTCTTTGACGTTCTTTATCTCCCTGGTTTGTCTCCCGTTCTCTGACGTTCTTTGACGTTCTTTAGCCACACAGACGTTTTTATAGATTAAGGATTAAGGATTAAGGATAAGGATAATCTCCAACGCTCCTCACGGTTCTTCGCTTAGGTCTCATCTGAGTACCACTGTGAACACTGAGCATGCCTGTATGAAAATTTATCATGGGTTACGTCTTTTTATCTCACTTCGACCTCGCTTCTCCAACCAAAACTTGCGGAACATTCTTTACCAACTGCGAAATCGAGCTCGGCGGCAAGGTCCGATATCCGACAGGCTAGTACTGAGACTACTCCCATCGACTCGGCCTTCTTGACTTACGTAGTACATTGCTTGCTTCCGTAGATCTACCGATCACCTGTGGTTCCCCCAACAAGTGATATGGCGATGGCGCAAACAGTATCATGTAATAGTACAGTCACCAGTGCAGCCAAATTTGACGAACAGGAGTCAATCGTCCTCACGTGACCCAGGCGAGATTGCCGTCAGCGTCTGCCGATGTGAGCACACAAGCAGAGGTGGTTCATCCTCGGAGCTTGTGGAACTACTAATAAGCCAGTTCCGTTACTCGCTCCCCATGACTGCACATCGACCCGTTCATGCGAGATGCGACATGATTCTACATGATAGACTTGACCAACAAGTACTAGTGCTGACCAGTAATGCGCGCCGCCGAATCGGTCCGGCATTCAATGCTTTGACTTGCATCTGAAAGGTCCGTTTTGGACTGAATTGAGGGTAGGAGATACTTGAAATACTGATTTTGAACATAGCGAGGGCTTCCTAGCATGGGGGAAGTTTTGAGCAGGAAAGTCTCAGTCGGAGAACAGCCAACGTGCATAATCACTTTCCGAATGCATCACTCGGCACCCCGGATGTACACGTAAAACCTGCCGATCGAACACACATCGATGTAGGGTGGATAATCGTGGAATAGGTGACATTTAGGAGAGGAAGGTAGACTGACAAGGACAGTAACAGCGGCTTTGGGTGCAAAAGTCACTCGACGCTCGGCGCCTGCAAGCTGAGGCCCAGAGTGGGACATATTCTTCCAGGGTGGCCCTCGCACATGCATCTGGAGTCGCGAATCAACCTTGGCCCATGACATGGAATGCATTTTTCCTATCTACCAGACCTACTCACCGATGTTGACGAGGTGCAAGCGTCCGATACTTGAGCAGTTGCATGCGCTTTGGATGAAAAGTCACTAGGCACCAGTTTGAAGGGGAACCTCCGAGCCATGTTGGTCGGAAAAGGCGCTTGGACGTACATCCGAAATTTGCGGTTCGACCCTGTCCGATGGCAAGAGATGTGTTGATTATATTGATCGAATCCACTCACCGATTTTGACGAGATTTCTGTATCGGACATTCGAGCAGTTACGTGCGCTTTGAATGCAAAAGCCACTCGGCGCCAGCTAGGGGAACCGCCGAGCTTTCTGATTTGGGCAAGACGCTCAATCATGCATCCGAACTTTGCAATTGGACCCTATCCGATGGCAAGAGATGAAAACTAAATGTTGAACTAGTCCACTCACGAGTTTTGACCAGGGTTCCGTGTGATGTACAAGGGCAGGATTAAGGCCTTTGAGTCCAAAGGTCACTCGGCGCCAGTAGGGAGAGGCCTCGACCGACCTTTCTTCTTAAGTATCTGGCATATATCTCTGACATTTGAGGATGGACCGGCCTAACGGCCGGAGAAGTACATTCGATAGTTGACGGCCATATTCACCAGTTTCACAGATGGTGAAGTTGCAAATGCTCTGACTTTTGGCGGCGGTTTGGTGGAGTAGGTGCTCGGCTTCAGTGAGGAGGTGGCTACTTGTGAGGGGGGGCAATTCGAAAACCTTCATGAAAGGCTTGTCAGGCGGCGGCAATGGGACCCAGAGCATACGCAAACTAACTTTATGCGTTTTGCGAACTCCCACAAGAGTCGACATGATGTTGTATGAGCGGTAGACGAGGGGTCGAGTCAACAGAGCCGGCCAAAACGAGAAGAATGCGCCTCGAAAGTGGAGAAACGCAGTCAACGAGACTCTCGGATTCTGCGGTTTGCTTTTTTTTACGTTCGGAAATTATCCCAAAGCCTGACTCAAAAGCTCGGCCCGTATTAAAATGACGTACGGCGGCATTATGTGCTCCTAATCACACGGGCTATAGTCATGCGCGGCGATCGAGGTTCAATTGTCGGGGCTCAGGATTAGTCTGTCACTACATAGATCTGTTCGGCGCCTATCTCAACACTGTTCAAGACAGCAGCACTCTACTTGCAGTTTAGACCGAGTACCGTCAAATGGCATAAATTATATATCCGCTGATGTCTGCCTGTCATCATTGGGCTGTTTGCTGTCGGAGGCAGACTGGGCTTTATTCATTGCGCACTTGGCAGAGCATGTCAAGAGAACAAGTTGGCTCGATGCAGGCACGTGATGACTAAAATTTGACTGTTACAACTGCGGCCGCAAGGAGCGAAGCACACCCCCTGTCTTTCAATTACCGCCAGGGCATAGCCCAAGGGACCCCGAGCAACGATCGGGCTGGCCTGATTGAGATGTGGGGCCGGCGGGCCGCACGGCAGCGAAATGTCCCATACTTCGCGAGTAATCAAATCGAGGCAGTATGTACGGTCTATGATCGTATCAAAACCAGTGGTCATCTCACTCCTCACCCTGCAGTTCGAGCCTCACTCGGGCAGTGGGTGCCGTCACGGTTGCGGCCAACGCTGCGCACCGAGGAGGGCGAGCTTCACCGGATCGACTTGGGAGTCCCTTCCTTCTTGCGCGCGAGGATCATAGCATCCACATGATGTTCCTATTCTTCTCCAAAATATTTTGGAGGTTGAAAACGTCGGTTCTGTTCGAAGTCGATGCGCCAAGGACCAAGCATGCTTGAGTCGTTGCCGCGAAGTTGGGTGTGTCGCGAGTGACAGTGAGCTCGCCCCGTTCAGATCGAATCGCTCTCCTCCTCTAGGGCCCAAATTTGTACATTCACCACCGGATTGCACATATGCTTCATTCACATCATCGTAGGCGAGGTGAGTCTCTCGGCGCGATCCGGGCAAGGTGGAGTTGAACAGGGCCGAGTCTACATGTAAGGCGCCGCTCCGCTTACGCCTCACGACGACCTCGAGCCAACCTCAGCGGCCTCACGCTTGCCCTCGCGCGCGGCGCCGCCGCGTCTCTTGACCTTAGTCCTTTTAGTAGTCTTTCTTCGCCTGCGAATACACCGTTTGATCCTTTCTGTTTGGATTCGGAATCAGTGAGGCTCGAGAGCAATCTCGTGCCTTTCACTACAGATGACCCCAGTGGCAGTGACCAGTCCTTCGGGTACTAACGAGGCGACTGCAAGTGTGAGCTGTGGCGCAACTCAGGACAAGCGGGGACGAGCGAGGACAAGTTGAGATGCACGATGGGTGGGCAGGTTTTGGCAAGTTGTATCACGAAGCAGTATAGGCACCGGGCAGACGTGTAGAGCTGACGGTCTTCAGGGTCGCGTGTGTCCGTCGCAAGTCACGTGCTTCGGATTCACAGGCTCATGAACAGCGCGTCAGTGTGCCAAGCTTGTGCCGTATTCAGGGTTCCCCATTAGATAAGATAATCTCGCAGATATTAGATATCTATCTAAAAAAATTGGGCTCTGGCCCTTATCTATCTATCTCCCATCTTAGTCAGATATCTTAGATAGATGCCTAGATATCTAATAGATATCTAATCAAAGCGTCGGCGCAGCGAGCTTGCCAGCGATCATTTGCGGAGCCACCTCTCAGCTGAGAGTAGATTTTGCGCTTCTTTGTCCGTGGCGAATTCCGTACACACAAGGTCCTCCTCAGCAGTGGGGAGCTCATGATCCATCTTGCTTCAGCACAGACTCAGATTGATTATAGTCGTTTGGCGAGGTGTGAGAGTGCAAGTGAGCGAAGAAAGAAGAGAGAACGGCGCCGGGGTACATTGCGAAGTTCACAAAATGTCGCAATTGCACCTCCTTTATTTGTGTGGTTTGTGTGATTAGTTGATAAGCACCCTCTGGCAGCAAAAACGTCTGAAAGCCTCAGCTCCCAAATTGGCCCGTCGGCAAGCCGTGCCGCCTCACCCGCGGTCAGCGCTTGGGCCAAACCATGCGGCACAAACATGGGGATTGAGCCGAATACGACTTGAAATTCGATGTCCTCGCGAAGGAGCAAGAACCTCCTTAGTGGAAACTACAACTTCCAGCGCAACAGGAGTCTGTATCAGACACAAAAAAAGTTAAGATATCCTAAAGATATCTAAGGAAACCCCCGGGGCCTTATCTATCTATCTAAGATATTCGGCCGCTAGATAAGATGGCATCTATATCTTAGCGAGATATGCTAAGATAGATATCTGGACATCTAATGGGGAACCCTGGCCGTATTAGGCCAGCCGATGAAAGAACATGAACATTTTCGTTGCTTATTATCGTAGATTGGAGAATTGACAGTGTCATCCAGACTGCCGAAACTGATGTCACTACCACACTCGGGTCAGTGTAGTTGACCTGACGGACTTGGAGAGACTTGAGTCCATGGAGTGGGCCAAACTTGCGCCCACTTGCACTTGCGGGGCGGTACCGGTGCTGGGGGGTGCGCTTGCGCTAACTCGCGCGCGCCAAATTGAGTTGGCGCAATTGAGTTAGCGCACTTGAGTTGGCGCAGTCGAGCGCCCGAGTTAGCGCACCGCGCGCGTGAGTCGGCGCACCGAGTTGAGTTGGCGCACTGAGTTGGCGCACCGAGTTGGCGCAATCAGGCGCGCCGCCGCACGCGGCCATCCCCTTGTCTTCATGCTGCAACGTGCCATATCCTACGGTGCAACTGCTGTCACGCTTCTTTCGGAAACGAAGCGCCGATAACACGGACGACAAAATCGTCGGCACCTCGGCTACGACAGCATCGACAGCGTGCCAGAACGAGATCGGCCCCTGTGTCGACACTCTACACAGCGCGAACACCGCGAGCCAAGTCCAGGCCGCGAAGCGCCGCTTCGATGAGCTTTCAATACATAATGATGGACATAATACAGGATCGACTGCAATTGATCAGTCGACCAAGAAGCCATCGTGTTGCGAGGTCGACCCCGTAGCTTAGTCCCGGCGCCCGCGGCGACCAGGCCTCAGGGTCGTCCGAGGAAGACGGAGGAGGAGAAGGAGGAGGCGGCCATAGCCAAGTCCGAGAGAGCAGCACAGCAAGCTGCCGAAAGAGAACTTGATGATGAACGTGCAAGACAACTCAAGGAAGCGGAGCGAGCTAGGCTAGAGGCCGAGCGAGCGCCTCAACGCCAACTCATATTAGACGAGCAGAGTCAGCGGATGCAGGTTAGTTGTGAAAGCCCGATTTGCGATAGATCAGTGGGATCATGAGTGTCAAAACCTGTTAGGCATGTGGCATTGACGTCAGAAATGAAACGTGCCGCATCCTTCCATACAGTTTCCCCCTGCAAAAGTGTACACTGTGAGCCGGGCTACATTCCCGTCGCCCGTATTCCTTCTGACTAATGCATGTCCGTGGCTCCTAATCTTAGACTCAATCAACTCTCAACTTTGCACCGGCAACAACTTCACCCCAAACTCCGTTTCCAGACGGCTCGTCTGCCATACCTTCCGCATCCGATGCCTCAGTCTCGACCAACTCCACGTCGCGCTCGATTCCGACGTCGGTCGGATCGGCATTGCCCGACAATTCAGACTCTTTCAACAGTCTCGAAGGAGGCATCCACCGGAACCTTCGCCAACGTTTTCCAAAGTCTGGTGTTTCTCCGTGCCATGCCAATGCGTGCTTGGCTGACTACGTGCTAGTGCACAATCTCACGGTCAGTCCAACTCCACCATCGCGATTCGAAGAAGCGGCACCCATTATCCCTTGTGTTCGCAGGTTGGGACGTTCAATCGTACCGGAAAACCATTCGTGGGGCACTACGACCTCTGGCTCACTGTGGAATTACATCGTCTGAGGCGCAAGACCTCGGCATTTCTCCCACGGCACTCAACCACTGTGTCAGATATAGTCAACCCGCTGCTCTACACCACCGAAACATTCGGCATCGTACCTGTTGTTCAGTCGCCAACAGCGCAAATGCGCTTTTTGATCGAGCCCTATCACGTCGAGCGCGAGACTCTGCGTTTGGAACCCGTCAAGTGGTCGCCATGGAGCTTGCTGCAGAACAATACGCCGGCGATACAGCATATGCAAAGCCGGCTGCCAACCGATCGCAAGCTTCGCCACGACTGGCTAGCGGAACGTCAGGGTACTCGATTCGCTGTATTGCATGTCCATACACCCAGCGAACGAGCGCTATACAGATATCTCTCAAGCAAGGTACGACTGGGAGCTCCTCAATCTTCGGATACTCGAGATTACCGAGCTTTGGAACAAGTATGCCAACGGAATAGACATTTTTTACAAAGTATGTCGCGTCTGTGTCACACTGAATGGTGATGTTGAGCTGAAGCGCAATTCTCACACAGATGCCAGAGTACATCAATAAATGGGCATCGAGATGGTCGTCGCTGGCAAATGTTCAAGCCACAATGAACATGGGTGGGAACGACGTCAGAGTGATTCAAGCTTTGCTTACCGACCCCTCCCGCGGTCGTGATGTTAGCATGCTAGCGGCTAAGCCATTACTCGGTCACAAACCGCCAGTCTTGGGGAGGCTTACGGAGGTAGAAGTCGATGCCTCGGATCCTCCAACGTCATCCATCCGCCCCTTTGTTGCAACTGCCTCGAGCGACGCTGGTTCGAGCGCGGACTTGGGCACGAGCAGCGCTTTGACGCGCGCGGGTACGACAAAAGTGGCAAGGCACTGTCGATTCTGTGGCCAAACTACCTGTCGACGCAAGGGGTCAAAACTAAGCGATGACGGATCGATGACTGGGTGTGACGGGGCGTGCTTGGACTGCGGGAAGCCTTTCGGGCTGACAGACGAGATGGATTCGAACGACGCACAATCACGAAGGTTCTGTAGAGGACGGCTGAGATGAATGGCCAAGCTCGGCATCAAAAGGCACAACTTTGTAGCTGCATAAAACCTGGGTAATATGATGTATGCTGTCAAAATGACATGTTCCGTAACACTTCCTCTCTTTCTCCTTTTTCACCTCCCCCTCCCTCTTCTTATTCTTTCTCCTTCTTCCTCTTCCCCCCCCCCTCTTTTTTTTCTCTTTCTTTTCTTTTTCTTTTCTTTTCTTTTCCTCTCCTCCCACCCACCCCCCGACATGGGTACGGGCCCCAAACTTGCTACCGTCGGTAGCCACGTTGCTACCGTCGGTAGCCACGTTGCTACCGGCCCAGGCTGCCGATCCGATCGGCTTTTTTTGCCGCTGCGCGGCGCGATTAAAATCGTCCTTTCTTTTGTCTGCCCGTGTTGCTTCACACCACACCACATGAGACTCAAGACGCTCACTTCGATACAAATATGCGAACTCCTGAATGCCCGCGCGACGCCTTCGACTCCTGCTCGTGCCCCTGCCCGCGGGTCGGCATCTGGCCGGCACCGATTCCCCGTGAGCGGTGCAGCGTGGAATCAGCCGTGGATCCAGGCCTCGCGGGGCATCGCAGGGAGACACGAGCGGAGGACTCTCTGCTTACTGGGATTTGTTTCCTAGGACCGGCTTCTCGACCGTCCAAGTTTTTAAGTCATAAGTTCCAGCTAGTCTTGTTCAAAGACATAATCTAACAAACGCCACCGCTGGACCAACTTGTAAGTTTTAAGTCATAAATTCCAGCTGGTCTTGTTCAAAGACAGGCTCCCAGTCTCTCGTTAGAGCTCAACTCCTTTTCGCCGGCTTCTTTGGGGGGGTTTTCCCCCGCGCGCGCTTCGCCCCTCTCGCGTTCGGCCCATCCTCGTCCTCACCCTCTCTCCTCTCTCTTCGGGACCTACGTACCGGTTCCCACCTTAACCGGAGAGCGCTAGCAAAAAAAAAAAAAACTAAAAAAACTCTGGAACCCGATGTCATGTCTCGGGTGTCGGCATCTCGTACCCGAACCCGACCGGGTAAAACTGGATTCTCACGCCGGACCAGGTCCTCGCTTCTCTTTTTCTTTCCCATCCCATCCCTTCAAGCCATCATAGGTCTCACTACTCAAACTTCCAAATACCAAGTATGAAGTACTCGATCGTCTTTGTCGCGCTCGTCGTCATGGCCACGGTTAACGTCTTGGCTCTCCCCGCCGTCGCGATTAAGCCCACCTCGGAAATCGACGAACCCTATACCGTTTCTCGCACGGCTAGAGTACCCAACCGGCCACGCAACACGGATTTTGAGTAAGGACTTTGCATCTGTATGGACTAGAGGGGCCCTTTCTCTTATTAGAACATGGGCTGACCTCTCCTCACCCCATCGGTTGCATTGAAAGCTATTGGGACTGTTATCATAGATATTGCTCCAAGTACAAGTGAGTGCCTCACTCCTGACCGAAAAGCGACGCACTACTCGACCCCAGTAAAATCTCAAGAAGTCGGGCTGGCAGCTGCCAGGTTTCGAAGCCACCATGATAACTAACTCTGTGCCTATGGATTAATCAGGGGTGCAGCATTCACAGATTGTATGAAGCTGTGCCTCCGAGGGGCGGAAGCTGAGGGAGAGCTTGCGGTACCCATTGGTCGTTGAGGACGGCAACTTCATGGCCGACAAGCCGTCGTCGCGGAACCGAGGTCGAACAACTCCAAGCCGCACACCAATCACCCCTGCTTCGCATCGTCGCATCTATATATTACATTCTCGAACTCACTTCCAACACACATAACATTGCGTCCTTTTTTTATGTGTTTTCGCTTCTGTCATTAGTCTCGGTTTGCCGCATGTCACTACAACTTCTGTCTGCCTTTGAATTTCCTTCGAGCTCGTGCCATACCCTGCCCCGGGAAATGCAGCTAATCAGCAAGCCTCAACTCGTAAACGTTCACTAGGGAGCTCGTAAGGCTTGCAGCCTGACTTAGCGCGCGATCCGAAAATTCAGGACCAGGCACATTGTGACGAAAATATTTTGACCAGCGGTATCTATGGATCAGGTTCGGGCCCGCCTTCTGTCTACGACACCCGCGTTATGAAGCCACTACATTGATCGGATGAACCGTGGTACTTCGGAGCATGTTCTACATTCCCAAGCTCAATTACGCTGTCCAGCGCCCTACTCATTTGACTCGATGGATCGGCGGGTACTCTTCATGGCGCAGCCCGCGACCAGTGCGATCTTGTTTACACGGTGTTTAGAAGGCTATCCCCCCCCTCACACAACGCGAGACTCGGGAACCTGCACTTCGATATAATCGGCTTAGCGACGATATTGAGAAAGCCTTAAAAGCACGCGCGACGGCTCGACTCCTGCTCGTGCCCCTGACCGCGAGGTTGGCCTCTGGCACCGAATCCCCGAGCAGCCCCTAAGTTCCTCGAACTGAGGAGATCTTAGATTGTCCGTTCGATACGTAACCGAGTGACGTAGCGCTACATATAACTAATACGACTATTGTCCGATCGAATGTCTCATCAGGTTCGGATCCAGCGCCTCGCGGGGGCATCTCCGGGGCGCATGGAGAGGACCTTGGGACTTTGGGCTTCTGGGGCTTTTGAATTCTCGATTGGTAGATCACTTGAGGAAGCGTCACGCCTTAGAACTGGGGCTGGTTAGATTCCATGGTTTGAGTGTAGTGTTGGGAATAGGAGTGTGTATGTGTGACCAGGATTCCAAGTGTCCAAGTCGCCGGGTCTCTCGTCAACGTTCAAGTCCTCTTCGCGGGCCATTTTGCGTCTCGGCGTTTGCGGGATTTCCCCCGCGCGCTTTGGCCCTCTCGCGTTCGGCCGGTCCTCGGTGTCGCCCTCTCCTCTCTCTTCGGGTTCTGCGTAGTACAGGTCCCGACCTTACCGGTTCAGTGCTACCCACCGGCTCTGATCGCCCATGGCACGTCTCGGGTGTCGGAGTCTCGTACCCGCATCCGACCGGCCAACTCCTCGCTCAGGCCGCGTGTGAGGCTATAAGCCGCTGCTTAGGAGTCCTTCCCCGAGACCGAACGCAAATTCGGTCCACTGAAGCTTGAGGGAGCACGAGTTTCAGAACGATCCTCGCGCCGGACCAGGCCCTCGCTTCTCTTCTTCTTTCCCATCCCATCCCTTCAAGCCATTATAGGTCTAACTCGCATCCACCCACAAAGTCCTCAAGCTCAAACATCTCCCCTCTCAACCCAAGTATGAAGTACTCGCTCGTCTTTGTTCCGCTCGTCGTGGCCGCGGTCGACGTCTCGGCTCTCCCCGCCAACGCGACCACCCCCACCCCCACTCCCACCTCGAAAGTCAACGAGTTTCATCTTCCCAAGAACCACGGGGCTACAGTACCACAAGGGCGACCCTTGGCGCAACAATTAGCCTGGCAGTTTGCGTAAGTACTTCGGATCTGGACTGACTGGGCCCCATTTCCAAGCAGAATTTTAGCTAATCTCACCCCATCCCATGTGTTGCCTGGAAAGCTTTCAAGATTGTACTGAGGCTGAATGCGCTCACTGCAAGTGAGTGCCTACTTCCGACCGAACCTGAAACCTTAAAAGAACTCCGCCTGGCACCTGCCAGGTGCCGAAGCCAAGGTGATTACTAGCCCTGTGAGTTTGTGTACAGGACGTCTGCAGACCAGACAAAGTGTAAAGACGCCTGCTCCGACTGGGCCAAGTCTGAGGGATCGCGAAATCCACCCCCCATGCCAAAGTCGCCGCATTGCTGCCCTTCTTGACATCATCGCATCAATTTGGGACATTCTTGATCTTACTTCAAACATACATATGCTTGATTTCGCTTTCCCCTTCATTCTGTCACTAACTTTTCAGCACTGCTCTCGGTTTGCCGCATGTCAATAAAACCTCTGTCCTTGCTTTTCCGTTCAAGCTCGTGCCATCCCGTGCATCGGGCAGTGCAGCCAATCAGCAGACTTCGACGTGCGATTCCGGGCTGAACGTATTTTTGATCGAATCTGATCTCCACGATGCTGAAGGGAGGGTGTCCCCTAACCCTACTGAGTTCGTAAGCCTTGCAATTTCCGACTTGACGCGCGAATTCGTTTCGTACCGGAAATTCCGGGACACGCACCGCATGACAAGGCGAAGATTTGACCAGCAGTACATATGAGTCCTACTCAGGCCTGCTATTCGTTTGCGAAACAGGCACTACGGAGTCACTACATGGATCGCATGCAATGTGGTACTTTGGTTTGTGTCCCACAATCCCAAGATTGATTACCGTGTTCAGCCCCATACTCATTTGACCGCCGAGCTCAGAACGAGCGCTCGATGAATCGGCGGTCACTCTTGATGGCGACACCTGCGACCAGTGCGATCTTCCCCAACGGGTATTTCGAATGCTACGCCTCCCTTGACATAAGACTCCGAAACGCGCACTTCACGCACTTCGATAAAATCGCCTTGGCGGCGAATTCGCAAAATCCTTCATAAGTGCACGCGCGACGACTGCGACGGCTACTCGTGCACCTGACTGCGAGTCGGCCGCTGGCACCGAATCTCCGCTCGACACCCTTCGGCTCAAGAGGCTGAGGATCGGGTGAACGAGCTCTACATCCAAATAATGCGACTATAGTCCTACGGATCGAATGTATCATCGAGTTCGGCTTCCGGTCTCCTTTGCTCCCTTTTTTGGGTAGATCACTTCGGGAAGAATCAGTCCATACCGTTGATGATGATTAGCTCCGGTGTTTTTAGTGGTGGGAAGTCGATTGTGTGAGTGACCAGGTTTGCAAGCGTCCAAGTCTCCGAGTCTTCCGTCAGCGTTCAAGTCCTATCCGCCCCCTTTCTGTCAGAGTCAAGACTCAAACAGGGAAATAACAATGAGAGGAGAGGAGAGGAATGGAAGGTCTACCCAATGTTGTACCGCAAAAGGTCCAACGTCGCGAGCACTTTGAGTGCGAATGATTCGGGTCAAGGTGTGGGAACACTAAGGATCGAATATTACAACTGAAGAGGGAGCGAGATGAGCCTCATCGGAAGGCTGGAGAGAGAGAGAAAAGGCTACGAAGAGAGACTAAATACTCCGGCCAACGAATTTTCTATTTGCCGAGCCCGCATGTACGTTGAATGTTTTGTCCGCACATTGTTCGCATCCGGTGGGGTGCCGCAATGTCTCGGACAAGTGGTTCGCATCCGAAGAGGGAACCATAATGTCGCGGATGAGGAGCTCGAATGAGAGGTGGCAACCGGAGGAGGAACCGTGACGTCTTCGGATGAGAGGTGGCATCCGGAGAGGGTACCGTGATGTCTCGAATGCGAGGTGGGTTCCGGAGAGGGTACCGTGATGTCTCGGATGAGGAATTCGGGTGAGAGTGAGAGGTGGTTGCTCGAAGCTCTTGACTATGACACTTTCCTGGGCGCTTGTGGATTTCCCCGCGCACTTCGCCCCTCTCGCGTTCGGCCCATGCTCGTCGTCCACCTCTCCTCTCTCTTCGGGTTCTACGTACAGGTCCCGATCCTACCCGTTTAGTGCTACTGTTGAGCCCTAATGCCCCACGGCACGTCTCGGGTGTCGCAGTCTCGTACCCGGACCTGACCGGTCGACTCCTCCTCGCTCAGGCTGCGCGCAAGGCTATACGCTGGGGTCTAGAAGTCCCTTCCCCGAGACCGAACGCAAATTCGGTCCACTGAAGCTTGAGGGAGCACGAGTTTCAGAACGATCCTCGCGCCGGACCAGGCCCTCGCTTCTCTTCTTCTTTCCCATCCCATCCCTTCAAGCCATTATAGGTCTAACTCGCATCCACCCACAAAGTCCTCAAGCTCAAACATCTCCCCTCTCAACCCAAGTATGAAGTACTCGCTCGTCTTTGTCGCGCTCGTCGCCACTGCCACGGCCAACGTCTCGGCTCTCCCCGCCGACGCTACCAAGCCGACCTCCGCCTCGGAAGTCGAGAACCCCTATTTTCCCAAGGAACACGGGGTGACAGTATCACAAGGACCACGCATCACAGACTCAAATCCGTAGTAAGTACTTCGGCCCTGGACTAGAAGGTTTTTACTTTGAATCTTCGCTTACTTCTCCCCATCCCATGGATGCAGTGAAAGCCTTGTGAATTGTAACAATGATAAATGCACTGGGTGCAAGTGAGTTCCCACCCCTGACCGAAAGCGATGCACTCTCTTCAAGAAGTCGGGCTGGCAGCTGCCACGTGCCCGAAGCAGCCATGATAGCTAACTCTGTGCGCATTGATACAACAGGGGTTCAGCACGGGGAACTTGTATAGAACAATGCGAATTATGGATGTCATCTCCGAATTCGCTCCCCGAGCCCGATGGTTGTTGAGGAAGGCAACTTCGAGACGTTCCAAGGCCGACAAGCCGTCGTCGCGGGACGGAGGTCGAACAAGCCGCACACCAATCGCCCCGGCTTCATCGTGGCATCTATATATAAGTTTCTGATCTTACTTTCAACACATATATGGCTGCTTCCTGTTTCAAGCCGTCACATGCTTTTGCTTCTATCATTACTCTCGGTTTTCCGCATGTCAATAAAACCTTCGTCTTGCTTTTTCGTTCGATCTCGGGCCACCCAGTGCATTCTGCAAGGCTCCTAATCACCAAGCCTCGACTTGAGATTCCCCGCTGGACGTATTCTTGACCGAGCAGATGTCCAAGATGCTGAAGGGAGCATGACCCTTTCACTACCGAGTTCGTAAGCCTTGCAATCTCCGACTTGGCGCGCGAATTCGTCCGGGAAATTCCGGGACACGCACTGCGTGACAAGGGAAAGATTTGTCCAGCACTACCTATGACTCATGCTCACGCCTGCTGCTCGTTCACGGCACCAACATCATGAAGCAACTACATGGGATCATGGGAACTGTGATACTTTGGATCATGCCCTACATTCTCAAGTCTGATTGCCGTCTCCCTGAGCGCCTCCTCATGTGACCGCCTACCTCCGGCGCGCCGAACCAGCGCTCGATGAATAGGGGGGCACTTCTCATGGCGCCGCCAGCGACCAGTGTGATGTTGCCTACCTGGTATGTCGAATACCAGATCTCTCTCCGGATATCTCCACACGAGCCGAGACTCAGGGGCGCTCACTCTCGATAAAATCGGCTCAGCGGCAAATTGCAACATATTAAGTGCGCGCGACGACTACTCCGACTCCTGCTCGTGGCCCCTGGCCGCGAGGTTGGCCTCTGGCACCGAATCCTCGAGCAGTGCCGAATTTCCGGGACTGTTGAGGCCTCAATTTGTCTGTTCGACGTCCTTCGGTTCAAGAGGCGGAGGATCGAGTGACAGAGCGCGACATCTAACACACAAGTACGACCATTGTCCTGCCGAGTGAATGTCTCATCGTTCGGGAATCCTGGCACATCGGAGTGGTTGCGAGTTGTAGCGGATAAGCTTTTTTGTCTCGGCATTTGCCGTCTTCCCCTGCGCGCGCTTCGCCCCTCTCGCGTTCGACCCGTGCTGGTCGTCGACCTCTCCTCTCTCATCCGGTTCTACGTACAGGTTCCCCCCACCTTACCCATTGCGCTATCGGAGGGCTCTGATGCCGGATCGCACCTCCCAGGTGTCGCCGTTTAGGAGACGCTCCCCGAGCCCGAACGCAAGTTCAGTCCACCGACGCGGGAGAGAGCGCGAGGAAGCCTCAGCTCGAAAATAATTCTCACGCCGGGCCAGATCCTCGCTTCTCTTCTTCTCTCCCATCTCATCCCTTCAAGCCATCACTGGCCACACTCACATCCGCAAATTCCTCAAGCTCGAACACCTCCCCTCTCAAACCAATATGAAGTACTCGCTCGTCCTTGTCGCGCTGGTCGTCATTGCCACGGGCAACGTCTCGGCTCTCCCTGCCCACGCTACCAAGGCGACCTCCACCTCGCAAGTTGACGACCCCTATTTTCCTAAGGAACACGCGGTGACAGCATCACGATGCCCCCACATCACGCAACAATTCGATTCGAAGCCGACGTAAATACTTCGGCTCTGGACTAGAAGGGCTTCACTACTTAGTTGGATCTTCACTAACTTCTCCACATCGCATCGGTTTCAGTTCCAGCCTTGTGAATTGTCAACATGATAAATGCACCGCGTGCAAGTGAGTGACGACTCCTGACCGAAAGCGACGCACTCGATCTTCAAGAAGTCGGGCTGGCAGTTGCCAGGTGCCCGAAGCCGCCATGATAGCTGACTCTGTGCGCATGGATACGACAGGCGTGGAGCAGTCGGGACTTGTGTAGAACAGTGCGCCTCATGGAAGGCATATCAGGCTTCGCACCCCGGGGCCAAAACTTGTTGACGAAGGCAACTTCGAGGCGTTCCAAGGCCGACAAACCGTCCGAGGCGTTCCAAGGCCGACAAACCGTCCGAATCGCGGAATCGAGACCGAACCACATTGAGCCGCACACCAATCGCCCCTGCTTCGGATCGTCGCATCTGTATATAACGTACTGATCTTACTTTCAACGCACATATGATTGCCCCCTGTTTCATGCTGTCACATGCTTTCGCTTCTCTCATTGCTCTCGGTTTTGCGCATGTCAATAAAACCCCCGTCTTGCTTTTCCGCTGAAGCTGTACTCGCAATCCCCGGGGGTTAACGTATTTTTGATCGAGCAGATCGCCACGATGCCGAAGGGACCATGTCCCCTTTCACTACTCCGACTAGACGCGCGAAGTCGTTCCGGAAATTCTGGGACACACTGCGTGACAAAGGGAAGATTTGTCCAGCAGTACCCATCACACTCGTGCTTAACCGTGCTGCCCTTTCACGACACAAACATCATGAAGCACCTACATGGGATAGTGGGAATTGTGATACTTCTGATGGTGCCCTACATTGTCCAACGCCCCCAGAGTCATTTGACCGCCGAGCTCCGCCGCGCCGAACGAGCGCCCGATGGATCGACCGGCACTCTTCATGGCGCCACCTCCGACCAGTGCGATCTTCCCTAACGGATATTTCGAATGCTATACCTCCCTTCGCACAACGCGCGGTTCAGGAACGCGCACTTCGATTGAACGAAATCCTTAAAGGCACGCGCGACAACTCCGACTCCTGCTCGTGCCCTTGACCGCGAGGTTGGCCTCTGGACCGAATCCCCGAGCATCCCCGAAGTTCCTGGAACTGGGGAGGTCTCAGATTATCCGTCCGAGGCTCAAGAGGCCGAAGATCGAGTGAAGGAGCGCTAAATCTAACTAATACGATCCTTTGTCCTGTCGATCGAATGTCTCATCGGGTTGGGATTCAGGGCCGGCGGGGGGGCAGCTCAGGGCCGCCTGGAGACGAGGACCTTGAGACTTTGGGCTTTGGGTCTCTCATAGTTTCGTTTGCTCTCTTTCTTAGATAGAAAACTTTTCAGGAAGAATCAGTCGTTACGGTTGGTGCTGGTTAGATCCCATGATTGTAGTGTTGGGAATCGAGTGTGTGTGCGACCAGGTTTCCAAAGTTTCCGAGTCTGGCGTCAGCGTTCAAGCGTTCAAATCCTAATTCGCCCACTTTCGGTTTTCCGCGCGCGCTTCGCCCCTCTCCGCGTTCGGCGCATCCTTATTGTCGCCCTCCTCTCTCTCTTCGGATACTACGCACAAACCAAAATCCTAACCTTTTGAGCGCTACCGCATGATGCTGAAGCCCGAACGCATGTCTCGGGTGTAACCTTTGAGCGCTACCACAGTGACTCTGAAGCCAGAACGCATGTCTCGGGTGTCTGAGTCTCGTACCTGCACTGCACCGGTGCGGCCAATTTCTCAATCAGGCTGCTACGCATGAGGCTATACGCCATTGATTCAGGAGAGCCTCCCCGAGCCTTATAAACGCAATTTACTCAGGTCTTCGCTTCTCTTTCTTCTTTCCCATCCCATCCCTTCAAGCGATCCCAAATCCTCAAGTCTTCAAAGTCCAAGAACCTCTCCTCTCGAAGCGAAATATGAAGTACTCGCTCGTCTTCGTTGCGCTCGTCGTGATGGCCGCGGTCAACGTCTCGGCTCTTCCCGCCGAAGCGATCAAGCCGACCTCCACCTCGGAAGTGGACGACGTCCACGGTCCCAAGAAAAATGCGCCGCCTGGATCTCCAACCTCAGGGTCCGCCGGTATATCATTCCGAGGCACTAAACCGACACCGAAACAGTGAGTACTTGAGATCTGGACTAGGGGCTCCCATTTCTTGGTTCAATCTTTGTTGACCACTCCCCGTCCCCTCGATTGCATTGACAGATACAGGGACTGTTTTAATAATTGCGATACGTGCAAGTGAGTCCCCCCCCACTCCTGACCGAAAGCGGGGCACGATCCAAAACCTTTGCCCATTGCTTCCAGAATTTGGGCCGGCAGCTGCCAGATGCCCTGACGAAGCCACCATTAACCCGATAGCTGACTCTGTGCGAAATGGATACAGTAAAGATCCTCCGAAACTGTACAATTGTTACACACGATGCTTCGATAATGCGCATTGGACAAAGTGCCCATAACGACTCTTTGAGGTTCCCAACTTGAACGCGCTCCAAGATCGACAAAGCTTCTTCACGGAATCGAGGCCGAACAAGGTCGAACCGCCCACCGTCACTCCCATCATTGCAATCTTCAAACTTCCCATTCTGAACCTTTGTGAACATATTCTTTGCGGTCCTCTCCCCTCTCTCTCGCTCTCTCGTCGCGCCACATACTTTGATCAGTACCTTCCTTTTACCACGTGTGAATACAATCTCAGTTTCCCGTTCATGCTCCGTCCGGTGTGCGCCTTTGCAGAGCTTTAACGAATCTCAGCCGCCGCAGGCGAGGCTGTTGAAGCCAGCGTAAAGTGAGAAGGAAACGTTCTTCCCGCTCGGATCACCTGCGCAGTACGCCGCAAAAGCACGTCCCAACGGCACACGCCTACAATTACACCCGGAAACCCGAATCGATCCGTCTTTCGAAATCCTTACATTCGCCTACGTTCGTCAGCGCGGTCGCGCGACGCTTTACCCCTCCAACAATTCCGAACACAACCAATCCTCGTAACTGCCGTCGGGTAAGAACCTCCTGACGACCAAAGGGATCTTGTTCGCTGCCAATTCCTTCATCGCGATCATCAAAGGGTCGGATTCGCCTTCCAAAGAAACGAGTACGGGGGCGTTCATACTACTCGAATGGGGATCTCAAGTCAGCGCATCGACCCTTTCTCCCCCCTTCTCACCCAATTGCGCCACAAAGCTCTCTCTCTCTCTCTCTCCATTCGTCGAACCAACTCACCTGATCTGTAAAGCCCTCGTACCCAACACCCTCGCCTTTTCATACTTTGTCATATAAGGCGTGGTGACCCTCTCCTCGTTCGGTTTCGAAGGTCGTTTAGCACCGGGGGGTAATTGACCTGATTCGACGACGCCGTTCTCCGATTGAAGCGCTGCGAAATCGGTCGATTCGTCGAGGTTGTAATCGGCGTCCTAGGGGAGACGAACAGAGAAAAAAAAAGGGGTTTCAGTACAAGCTCTCGATTGGGGGTGAGGGGGGAAAGGGGGGGGGGGGGGTCGTAGGATCTCTCGCAATCGCAATCGACTGTGCCCGCCCTCACTTGCCCCCCCCCCCCCCCCACTTGGTAGATCACACGAGCCTTCCTCCAAGAGGCTGTTGAGTCTATAAGATTCACTGTACGTCCCAAGTTGTCGCCCCAAATCCGACTCTGCAAACTCCACGACGAAGGCTCCCCTTTCCCCCCGCGTCAAAAAGCTGAGACGGTGCTCATCTTCAACTCACGTAATTCTGCTCGAAACTATTCCCCAACCACGCCCAAAGAAAGGTAACACAAATACATCAGTCCCTCAAACGATCCTGTCAACCGACCTTGGCTCACGAACGAGCTGGATTTGAAGCCTGAGCTGATTCGACGAACTACAGCTGCGGGGGGGGGGGGTGGGGGTGTTTGGTAGGTATGAAGAACTCACTCTTCTTCTTCACCTCGATAAGATCCTGCGTCCGACATGGTAGGAGAGGCGTGTGAACGAGAGAGGTGGTTGCTGGCTGACTGAGTTGGGATGGGATGGGGTGGGATGGGGTGGTGGGGTGCGAAGTCCGAAATGATCAGAAGCGCTGCTAATGTAATAATATTCCCTTTACCCCCCAAAAGTCAGAAAAGAGAGAGCCCGCGTATTCAAAAAGGTTCAAATTGTAATCGGACTGAACCGATCCCCGCCGCTCCGAGTCCAAGCACAACACCAGCGAGCAATCTTTCGGAAAGCGTTTAGGATTTAGATTTTGAATGTTCGATTGTGATTTAGATTGAATTGAAAACACACAAGTCCTGATCGAGAATTAGTAATTAGCGGCGCTCTTTAAGCCGAGGAGTCAGTCGTCCACGCGGCGCATGAAAGCACGCGCCAACCGCCAAGGCAAGTCGCTCCTCTCCTCTCTGCTCTGCTCTCCTCTCTCCGCTTCAACCACTGCGGCGTCGTACGACCCCACCCACACCCACCAACCCACGCACAAAGCGATGGAGAACGAAGATCCTTCCTCCGTCCTATCCCAACTCGGATCCTTCGCGTTGACGGAAGTGTTCAAGGATCTAGGCCTCGACCTCGAACGTGATTCGCTTTCGTCCGTCCAATCCCAGCTCGGGTTAGGCGGAGCTAATAGGGGTTCAGCCTCGGGTGGGGATGGACTGAGTAAGGATTTGGTGTATGATGGCAAATTCGTCGATGAGGAGGAGGAGGAAGGGGAAGGGGTGGGTGGTGGTGAGGAGGAAGAGGATGAGGAAGACGATGAGAGCCAAGTCGATGAGCACGATTTGGAACGACAGGTCGATCAGGAGATGTACGACGAGTCACACACCACCTTGCCACTTTCTACTCCTGCACTGACCACCAGTGGGAAACCGACCACCAGTTTGGTCAGAGGGGAGGAGGATGACTTTGATGAAGAAGAGGACGACCAAGAGCCGGCGACCGACTCGATGATCACCGGCAAGAACGACGTCGAGATGGCTCACTCGGACTCGGGGGAGCACAACTTGCTCAAATCCGTCAAGGCCGAACCCATCGATGACGAGCACACCACCACGAGCATCGCACACGAGCCACTCGCGACCATTCCCGAGGTCGAACCCACCCCGCTCCTCGATCGACTCGGGCCAACACCCGCACCCGCACCCGCACCCGCACCCGCACCCGCACCGGCGATCTTTCCATCTACGACCATCGACCCTACCCCTTCGACCTCTACCGCCCCACCCGCAGCGACATCATTCGCATCCATGCTGGATCCGATCCCCCTCTCGATGATGCCGATCGCGCCACCGATGCCCCAGTACTCGGTCAAGGAACTGTTCCCCTCGTTCGAATACGGCCATACCCTAGACTTTACCGACCTATTCGCTGTTAGGCCAAGAAAGAGGGCCAAAAAACTCGTTTCCGTACCTCAATGTGAGTAACCGAAACCTTAACCTCAGAACGACCCCACTCGATTGACTCATCTCATTTCGTCCTCTTTTCCCCCCCAAGTCACCCTCCCGCCGGAGCAAGAGATTAGAAAATCCAAATCGACGCGCGACACCCTCGTACAACCTATGAAACCACTGCCACCGACGAGTCATCTCAAGCAATTGTTGAGCGAATGTCAGTACAAGGAGACGGAGGAATGGGAGGAGGAAGGGGATAGTGAAGACGAATTGTACAAGGCGATCGAGGTGAGTTCTCGTTTGTTCCAGCGAATGAGATGAGGAATTGACGAAAAGGCCGTTGTCTTTTTTTTGGGGGGGTGGCAGCGCTCGAATCGAATGACGATTTCAAAATGGAAGATCCCTGATTCGAGTCATGGGTTCGATAACGCCGAGTTGGACGACTGGGAGGACAAGATCATCTGGGGACCTGATACCGCGTGAGTATGCGATCGATAGGAAGTCACCTCGGTAGATCACCCTTTCTGAGCTTCGCAAGCATCACAGACCCCGAACTTTGATTCATGATCCTCTTGCGCCTCGTAATATCGACTTTGAACGAGGCGACTGGACCAAATCGATCATTTGGGATGCCTCAAAGCCGTACAAGGACTTTACCCGACTCAACCTCAACCTCAACGATCGACAAATGATCCTCGAAGTGCAAACACCGACTTTGACGAACTCTGCGACCGCATCCGATGAAGCCACGGAAGCAACACCGATCGGTCTAGTGATTGAGAAAGAACCTGGTTTGGATCCTTTCAACATCTCGAACGATCGCGAATACGTCGTTACGAAGGACGCGAAGCAAAAGATTCGACAGACTTTCGGCTCACTCGAAGTACAACATGCTCACCCGGCAGCCAAGTTGCAGTTACCTTTCTACAAGACGCGCATGACGAAGAACGATATGCGTTCCTTCCATCGACCGACGTTACAGTTCCCTCAGAACGTCCCTTTGTCGTTCGACAAGTCACGTTCATCCAAGAAGAAGAAGGACGCGTTGGGTAAAAAAGTCAAGGGGAACGAATTGAGGCACATGATCGACATCACGCTCAAAGATACTTCACCTTTCGTCTTATGGGAATATTCCGAAGAGACGCCACCTATCATTTCTAACGTTGGGATGGGTAGCATCATCGTCAATTATTACCGCAAACGGGATCCGACCGATAGTTTCGTTCCCAATCTCGATTTAGGCGAACCTCTCATTCTCGAAGGAACGGACGAATCACCATTCAAAGCATTCGGTTACGTTCATCCAGGTCAAACCGTTCCCGCATTATACAACAACCTCATCCGCGCTCCACTATTCCGTCACCGTCCGCCTACGACCGATTTCCTCATTTGTCGAGTCACGATCGAAGGTGAAACCAAGTACTACATTCGCGAAATCAAGAACATGTTCGTACTAGGTCAAACGTACCCCTTGAACGAAGTTCCGGGACCTCATTCAAGGAAGGTGACTACGTTGGTCAAGAATCGATTACAAAACATCACCTTCAAATTGATCGAGAAGAACCCGCATCATCGAATCAAGGTACATCGATTGACGAGGTATTTCCCCGATCAAAATGATTTACAAATGAGGCAAAGGTTGAAGGTAAGTAGTGACTTGGGGAAAAGAATCTTTCGAAACCCCAAGAAAATCTCCAAGTGAGAAACTTCGCTGACTCGAGAGGGATTTTTTTTGTTCGAGGGTGTTTTTAGGAATTCATGGAATTCAATCGAAAAGGACCGAACCAAGGTTTTTGGATGATCAAGAAATCGGTCGCCGTTCCCGACGATGCAGAGATGATGAAACTCGCCACTCCCGAAATGGTTTGTCTAGCCGAATCGATGCAAGTCGGATTACGTCACCTCCAAGACGCGGGCTACGGTGCCGCGGCCGAAGAAGGTGGAGCGGGTGATGATGATTCGAAACTTGATATCGAACAACAATTGGCGCCTTGGATCACGACCAAGAATTTCATCAACGCGACGGCGAATAAGGCGATGTTGAAATTGCATGGGGAAGGCGATCCTACGGGTAGAGGGGAGGCGTTCTCTTTTTTGAGAACTTCGATGAAGGACATTTTTTTGAGGGCCGGTGAATTGATGCAGGAACGCTTGGGTGGGTTGGTTTCACTAGAAGAAGAAGAAGAAGAGCGCAAACGTTTTTCGTCATCGTTTTTTTTGTGTCGGGGAGGAATGCTAGACTGACACCCAACCCCGTGTGTTGAACTCTCACTCACAGCGCAAATGGAATCCCGACCTAAATCTGCACATCGGTACAACGTCCAAGAACAACAAGACGTTTACAAGGAAGAGATCGCGCGCATTTGGAAAGCGCAATGGGATTCGCTTCGAAACCCCATCGAACCCGAGTTAACGGCGGAGGATGAAGAACGAGCTAGAGGTGCGGCGGCCACGGCTGCTGCGAATGAGAAGATGGTCAAGATTCGACAGAGGCAGGAAAGACATGGTACGATCTCGTTGTTGGATCATGGAACGCCTGCACCGGCAACTCCTGGACCTGGTGGTGGAAGTCGAGCGAGTTCGCCGGCCGAATCCGTCGGTTCCGGAGCGGGGGGTGAGAAACAAGCCAAGACGTTGAGGATCAAGAGGTTGATCGAAGGAAAGTGGGAGACGGAGATCGTGAGGGACCCGACGATCATTAGTGCGTATGTAAGGCAGAGGAAGACGATTGAGGAGGAAAAGACCGAGGCGGATGATTTGTTGCCGTCGGATGACGAGGGCAAGAATGAGAGGGCGAGGAAGAGGTGCGTTCGGGATTTACTTTCTGGCTGGGTCAGCTCGGAAACGAACTAATCTTAAATTTCATGAATTGTGTTTAACAGGCTCAAGGAGCAACTCGAGAAGCTCAAACGCAATCAAGAACGCCGTCTTGCACGCAAATCCGCCAAACTCGGCGTCCCCATCAGCCAAGTCAACGTCGGTGGAAAGGGATATGTCAAGACCGAAACCACTCGAATCTGCGGCAACTGCGGCCAGAGGGGACATATGAAAACGTCAAAGAAGTTGTGTCCGAGGTGGCACGAATTCAATGCCCCCAAGGGTCCGGAACCTTCTTCGACTTTGGGATCGGGTTTTGGTGGTGGTTTGGCACTACCTTCCCTCGGTGGAGGGGGTGGTCCGAGTGGTCCCAACAAAGCAGGTGGGAAAGCGGGCTCACCACCACCAACACAAGTTGGTACACCTTCAGTATCGACACCGACAGCCTCGGGATCCTCTAAAGCGACGCTCAAATTCAAGCTGTCGACGAATAACGCGGGGTCGGCTTCTTCGCCTCCGGCTGCTGCGCCGGCGACGCCGAGTGGGGATGCGCCGATGGGGGAAGTGGAGCATTTTTGAGTGGACGGGATTTGGATAATCAGGTAGCAGTTGTTTGCATTTCTCACACCCGATTTCAGGTCTGGATCCTTCTGGTCCGTTCTCAATGATCGAACGGCAATTTCAGGCCCGTGAGCGAGCCACTACGGTGTGCGCTGCAGGAGAGTCGATGTCGGAAGTACGCCGTACTAAGAGACGTTCGCTAGCGCCAAATGTTGCGCTTCTACCGCGGCCTGGAGACAACGACTCCTCTTCTTTGACCAGACTGTTTTCTGCCTCGCCCTTTGCTAGTCGTTCTCTCCTCCCTTTCCCTTTAGCACCTTCTAGGAGACTTCAGTCAGCCTTTAAAGTGCTGGAATACTCTCACAAGTACATAGATGACCCCAGTCCTCGTGCCTCTTCCGCAAACGAGGACGCAGAAGAATCTGCGCAGTCATGAGGGTGTCGATCACCTTTTTCGACAAGCGAAATGGTCAGGCGGTGAGGAAAGTCTGTTATCAATGACCATTAGCTTGAATGGTGCAAGTGCTCATCAATGTCTAACTACCTCGGAACTTGGAAGAGTGCACGGGCATTCAAGCTGGTCGAACGAGTGCACACAAGTTCCATCCGTTTGTCGAGCCCTCACTTCATCGTGTCAAGTCACTCGGATCAACCGTCCCATCGAGGGTGTCGTTGTCACATCGTCAAGGTCATTCTCGCCTCAATTGTCCTCTCATCTCGTTCATTCCCGAGCTTTTATAGAGGTTTCACTTTTAGGGCAGCGCAGGCAATCAATCCAACTCCATGATATTTGTCTTTTTCTATCCAGAGAGCATGACATGATCTCGCCCCCACAGTGACATGAAACTCCTTAGATCATGCTGTTCGTGATTTCACACTTTTCGCCCAACGCCGTATGCTGGCAGGCGCTGTCAAATTTGGCTCCGACCCAGAGTGTGCCTGACGACTCACCGCACTTTCACGCCCGAATGCGAATGATCAAGCAGCGCGTCATTCTCAGCTACGTCATCAGCCTGCCTTCCCCAGCTGAAGCGAGACGCGCTCCGGCTCCTTCTTCCGCAGCCCACAGCTCCCTGTCCGTCTCGTCTGTACATCAAACACACAATGTCCAAGGTGGAAGATCCGCTCGCCACTACGACTCAGTCAGAGTCAGGAGCTCCCGGGCCGTCGCATCTCGCCGGCGTCGGCACTGGCAGCTGGAACCAACTTGAAGGTGAGCCTCGGACGAGTCAGGACTCCGCACAACCACCGCCTCCTTCGCGCACACTAGCCTCAGCCTTTGCGCCTTTCAACCGCTCATTCGTGCCGTCGCCTCTATAGCTACTACCACCGTGATACCAGCCGATGATGAGCCCAAGCCTGCCTCTGTACCGAGCCCGTCTCCCACTCCAGCTCCAGTTGCAGCGCCATCGACGCATGGTGACGTCAAGCCGCTGCCCCTCGGCAACAATGTACATCCTACCACCCAACAAGCGCACGCCGCGTCCGCTTCCGAGTCGCTTGTACAAGCGCAAGCCGACAAGGTCGAACAAGCCGATCGAGTCGCTCACGGCAAGCCGGAAAAAGGTCGGTTCGTGCCCGGCATCTCGGACGATCGCCTGTGGGCACTGCGTAGGCGCTTCGACAGTCAGATCGTGCATGTGCTCTCGCCTCCGACCAAACTTCCGCCCGGCGAACCGGATTTGAGGCCGACGACGTTGCCCAGTGTTCCCTTCAACTCGGACCTGCTGAGGTCGAATGCTGAACGTGTATATGCTACCGCCGGTAAGTATAGGAGTCGATCCGTTGACACTTATCGCGTCCGTCGAATCACTGACTCGATAAGGAAACTTCTGTTCAAACAGGCGTCTGGTCCATTTACTTTGCGCGCGAAAGTAAGTACACATTCATCTCTTGCTTGCTCCGCTTCTCACTGCTGCCGGCTGATCATACTCTCACTCCGTTCTTAGTGGGTCGTCTCATGAGCTGGGACCAAGAAAATCGCAATCGCACTGGCATTTGGTGCATCAGCTACTTCCTTGTATGCTGGTACGACCTCGTCATCCCCACCATCATGCTACTTCTCATCCTCCTCGTCTCCTTCACTCCGTCCCGAGCGATCCTCTTCCCCCCTGTGCATCCCCCTCCGGGCGTACCTCGTTCTGCGACCGACCCCACTCAACGCAAGGGCGACGAATCTAAAATTGTTGGCGTCGGTCACCCCGTCGAACATCGATCCAAGAGCGAACAGATTGAACAACAAGCTTGGGAAATGACGAACACGCTTCAGCGCTTTGGTGCTCGAATCGTGGTCGGCGGACAGGGCAAGGGTAAGCGTGGCAACGCCACTGTCGGCCGCAAGCAGGGCGCCGATTCCTCTGATGGATACTCGGATTCCAGCGATGATGATGAGGACAGTGAGGATGACGAGGCCGAAGTACCAGCAACTGGTGGTAAAGAAGGGGAAGTCGTCGTCGTGGGTCCTGATGGGCAGCCCGAGAAGAAGATGACGGCGAAGGAAAAGCGCAAAAAGGCAGCGCGCGAGGCGAAAAAGAAGCGGGACGAAAAAGTTGGGCGCATGGCCAAAGGTCTGCAAGACGGATTGGGTGACTTTGCCGACGCGCTCGAACGATTCGCGAATGCGGTCTCCCCTCCTCGACCGTACCCTCATACGAACGCACGCTACAAGCTCGCCGGTGCGATCCTGGTCCCCATCCTTCTCGTCACGGCCATCGTCCCGGCGCATGTTTGGTCTCGCGTCTCGTCCATCTCATTCGGTGTTGGATTCTTTGGTCAACCGTTGCTCAAGCGAGCAGGTCGCAAATTTGTCGAACTCGTTCCCGACTGGCAAGAGAAGCTCGATCTTCGCAAGTGAGTTTTACTACTCTGCTCGAACGCAGCGTTGTCAAGATACTGCCGAAATTCACGATTTTGTATAACTTGATATTTTGCAGCTCGATCTTTTCAAAGGTCCCGACGAACGCTCAGCTCACTCTGCACATGCTCCGCGTCAAAGAGGCGGCGTACAACCCCTTGCCGCCACCGCCGACCGCTCCTACTCCTGCACATGTTAAAGCGGAGATTGAAAAGACTGCAGACGTCGACGACGGAGAGGAATTACCCGACAAGTCCGCCAAGCACGTCGATTCCAAGACGGGCGAAACCGATACTGGTGCCGACGAGGACGAGGGAGGTGACGATGGCGCTGGTGTGCGTGGCAAGGTCCTCAAAAAGAGCAAGAAGGGCCTACTGGGTGGATTGAAGCTCATGGCGAAGAAGGCGGCGACATTCCACGCTGACGTCACCGTTGATGGTAAGGCCAAGCTCGCCAAAGGGGTCGACAAGGCCTTCTTCCAATCGCGCGTCAAGGACCGCGACATGATTGAGAGGTTCCCCGCCAAGTTCGAGGGTTCGTCCGGTGAGCTCGTCATCACGCACGAGGTCGGTCAACCCGCCCTGGTATCGTTCGTCCCCGCTTCGTCGGTGAACAGGAAGACGATGTTCGAAAGGCCGATCGATGATCTCGTCGAGGCGAAGAAGCGTGGCGTTTGGATCGGCCGCGCCGTATTGGGCTGGGCCGCAGGTGCGAGTCTCGAAGGTGCCGGTTTGGAACTGAGGTTCAAAGACGCGCAGCTTCGGGGAGCCGATTCCATCGGTAAGCAACAGCACGAGGTGCTAGGCGAGGTGAATCCTCATGATGAACAGCATGAAGGCGATACCGTGTGCTTCTCCCACGTGGTCAGGAGGGACCAGTTCTTTGCGAGGTTGATTTCGATCCCTCAAAACACCAAGTGGGAGACGCTCTAGAGACGCTCCAATGCATGTGACGTCCAAATCCCCAACACACTTGAATTTCCGCAGTCGTGTCTCGTTCAATGTGCATTCATTCATGTATGGCTCTCTTTAGTGGCATCTCGATAGACACTAGCGGGGGAAAGAAAATTCGTTCGTGACAAATATTACAAAAAAACTGAACTTCTTCAATAAACGAAGTAGCGAGACAAATACTACCAAACTCTCTTCACGAGATCGTCTCAGCCTTCGTGACCAACGCATCGACCTCGCTCTCCCCGACCCCAGATCGGCGCTGTACGAACTCCCTCGTCTTGAGCGCCAACGCCTCCCATTCCTCCTCCAACTCGCCCATGTGCTTCTTCCAATACGCCAACACAAGCAAAGCGATCAAAACATCTTCATCCTCCACTCCAACTCGAGACTTCCACTCCTCATCCAACTTGGCAAATCCAAGGACTTGAAGAACGAGCTTCTCAAAAGACCCGTCGAAGGCTTGCGCTCGAGCGATCTTCTTTCTCGGCTCCCGTTGCACCTGGACCGATGATGGCTCTGGCCGCACCGATGACGACGATGATGGCTCAAACGAAGGGGGCGTCGAAGCTCGGGAAGAGGGCTCAAGTTACCGGCGGTGGACCGGGACCGGGACCGGGATCGGCTCCGAGGTCTTTCGATCTACGAGGCGGTGGGATGGCGTGCGGTGCTTTGAGTGGTGCGATGATGGATCGATTAGGGCCCCCTTCTGCTGCCGAGACCGATTCGGACCGACTCGACAAGATCGCTCGAGCGCAAGCCTTCGACGGGTCTTTTGAGAAGCTCGTTCTTCAAGTCCTTGGATTTGCCAAGTTGGATGAGGAGTGGAAGTCTCGAGTTGGAGTAGAGGATGAAGATGTTTTGATCGCTTTGCTTGTGTTGGCGTATTGGAAGAAGCACATGGGCGAGTTGGAGGAGGAATGGGGGGCGTTGGCGCTCAAGACGAGGGAGTTCGTTCAGCGCCGATCTGGGGCTCTTTCACGACACTTCCAATGGCATGCACACAGGTACCGCGTTCGTAACTCGTATTTCTCATCTCTCGAATCACGCTCATACTGTATCATGTCGCGCGGTGAGGTATGTTTTTTCGCCTCGTCGGACAAGAACTCGACGCCGGCCGAGGCTCGCAAACTCGGAGGACAGGGGCGTCATGTCTCTCAAGACGACCTCAAGCGCGCTTCTCGAAATGTGGAAACAGAGTACTGAGGAAAGAACGAAAATGAACCGGCTGGAAATGGGCAGGTACGTGAAATGCACTTGCTAGGTGTGTACTCTGGGTGTGTACTTTGATCAAGGTGAACATGTAACAAAGAAAGAGACCATGACCAAACGACGAGGAAACTTGGCGCGCTTGCGACCGAGGCAACGCAGGAACTTGACGGAGTGACCCTGACGGAGGGGCTTGGCGAAGGGAACTTGACGAGACCGTAACCTGGATGATAGCGAGGTTGAGAGAAAATGCACAAATGAAAGGGAGGCTTGAATCGAGGAGGAAAGAAGGTTTCCGAAGATGAGAAGCTTGGTGGATGAAAGTGATGACAACTCGTGGGACGACGGTGTCGATGCGATCTTCATCTTCATGCCGATCAGGAAGTGGTGCAGTTAACGGCAGTGACTCAATGTTCAAAAAATAAACCAGTCAGTAAAAGGTATACGCCTCTGATATGCATAAATAGAATTTGTCGTTCTCGACCGCCAGACTCAAAAGCAAGCCGGAAATAGAACTCGATAGTTCAAGCTACTCAGAGGCTACTCAGAGGCTACTTATAGCGCTCTAAGGCATCTCCTTACACGAGCCCGTCAGTCGTGTACACTTGTACCATGCTGCTGACTCACGCATATAATTGTTGCAGTCGCGGCATCGTCGCCGTTTGTCCTCCGAAATCCACTGAGTGTTTGTAGTCCCTGAGAGACAGGAGGAGGATGGCCCGTCGTCAGCACATGGCGTTGGATTTTGAAGTATGAATAGGATCAGGCGTCCGGCGACCACACCCGCCGCTCGGACGTTCGGCGCGAACGTACTCCTATTCAGGCAGTCTGAGTAGTTATCGAACCACTTAGTATTGCCACACAGGCAATGACTGTAGTAGTCGTTAATAACAGTGCTCGTATTGACCGCCGTTGCCCCCCTGCGAGCAAGACATGAGTCGGGTGCGGCGAACCTCTGCAACCCTCGATAAGGCAGGGGGTCAGTAAGCTGTATTCCGGTGGGCAAGGCATCGCAGATGGTTCGGGGACTATATTTATATGGACTCACTTTCTGGTCCGCCTCACCCCTACACGAATTGTCAAGAGTGGCGTTGGCTAACGAGTATAGCAATGTCAAACCAACGGCAAGGGCATAACGGAAGGAAAAGACGAGGAAGAACATCGGTGATGGAGCGAGCGGGTGAGAGATGGGTGTAAACTGGTGCGAAGTAAATGAGGGAGCGAAGGCAAGGTGTTGCGTCTCCTTTCACCTCGCCGACCTGCGTTGGGGCTGTTCGTATATAAGGGGTGCACCCCTGGGCCCGTGCTTGCCCACAACTGAGACAAACTTTCCTGTCGTTATTATTAAGATTATTAAAAGAGAAAAGGACAAAAATGTCCTCGCTTCTTTTCATGAGGACAGAAATGCTGTGAGGTGCGCCCCTCTCACGGGCCTTGCCCACAACTGGGACAACTTGCTCTCCTCTCGTTTGAATAAATTTGTCACAGCACCTTTGGATAGTCTCTCTTTCCTTTAGACCTTTCAGACGACTTAGACGATTTGGATCAACCTGAAACGACCGGAACACGTCAACAGTCGATTATAGCAGTTCTCGCGACATTTGAGGGATCAAACCCTTACAAATGCCCTTCTCAAAAGGACAACAATGCCCTCGGATTCCAGACTCCTGTATTACTTGATCTATCAGCTCACAACCAAGGGGGTAGCTTCTTGTAGTCTTTGTGATCAGCGCCGTATACTCAGAATCTCCAGAGATGCCGTGAGAAGTCAGTTATCACGTTCGCAAAGTCAGGGGACTATCGCGACTGAAGCGAGGCCCAGTCGAAAGCGAGCGATGAGTATAGACCGCAGTGAATTACCATATGAAACAGACCAGCACGCCTTCAACTTGTAGGTAATATTGACACTTTTGACATCTTATGCTCAGATTCAAATGGTCGATCTATCTATCGCATGTAACTCGGTTGTGTCCGGGCCATTTGCAGAGGCCACAGATCGTTTCGCGCTTGGCCCTCTCGTCCGCACCCCGAACCCTGCACTTGATTGGAGTACGTGTGGGGAAATGTGGCGGAATGATGATGACACCCTTTTCTTCGCCAGTCAACGCTCCCACACGTATCAGTACACTACATCTTGGGGTATTCATATCACCATGAGCGCTCCCGAGTCACTATCGTCCTCATCATCCGTGACCTCGTGTCTTGCACACGACGGGCCAACGACGCGTGTCAGACTTACGAGCGTCGAGCTGAAGTTCTGCAGTGGTTGGAAAGCGCATATCGATAGCCTGCATCCGTGAGCTCCTTCTTTTCGTAGAGATTTTCCCCCTTCTGAGTATACGGCGCTGCTCACAAAGACTACAAGAAGCTACCCCATCGGTTGTGAGCTGATATATCAAGTAATACAGAAGTCTGGAATCCGAGGGCATTGTTGTCAAATTTATCTGTGACAAACATTACAAAAAGAACTGAAATTGAAACTCTCTTCACGAGATCGTCTCAGCCTTGGTGACCAACGCATCGACCTCGCTCTCCCCGACCCCAGATCGGCGCTGAACGAACTCCCTCGTCTTGAGCGCCAACGCCCCCCATTCCTCCTCCAACTCGCCCATGTGCTTCTTCCAATACGCCAACACAAGCAAAGCGATCAAAACATCTTCATCCTCTACTCCAACTCGAGACTTCCACTCCTCATCCAACTTGGCAAATCCAAGGACTTGAAGAACGAGCTTCTCAAAAGACCCGTCGAAGGCTTGCGCTCGAGCGATCTTGTCGAGTCGGTCCGAATCGATCTCGGCAGCAGCAGGGGGCCCTAATCGATCCATCGTCGCACCACCCGGAGCAGCGCACGCCATCCCACCGCCTCGTAGATCGAAAGAACTCGGAGCCGATCCCGGTCCCGGTCCCGGTCCACCGCCGATTACTTGAGCCCTCTTCCTGAGCTTGGACGCCCCCTTCGTTTGAGCCATCATCGTCGTCATCGGTGCCGCTAGAGCCATCATCGGTCCAGGCGCGACGGGAGCTGAGAAAGCTGCCATCGAAGCTGCACCACCCGGAGGCGGGGGCGCACAAGCAGCAAGCATCTTCATTCCCCTTCTTGAGGTGGCCCCACCTCCGATCGCGCCATAAGTCGGTGACATATTGTTGCGAGATCGAGCGGTTTGTCGTTTCGCGCGTTCTTCCAACGATCCGGACTCGTCGACGGCGATGAAAGAAGTGTGCGAAGAAGTGATCGCGTAAGTCGTTCCGAGTCGTACGATCTCGGCTTGGAGATGGCGTTCGTCCTTGTGGGGTTGGTCCGCAGTCGTTGAGGTGTCTTCGAAGGCTTGGATGAGCTTCTTCGCTGCGATGACGTGGATCGAGGCGGAAGGTGTTGGGGAAATTACGACGGGGATCTTGAGCTCGAAAGCCTCGCCGTCGAAAGACTGGGCACGAAGGATGACCTCTTGGGGAATTGTGACGCTCTCATCAAGGATGGCGTAGACGTGCATCCTCGACCCAGAATTGAGCGATTTGATCACGCCTGGAGCCTGTTGGATTCGCGGAGCAGGTGCCAAACTGACGGGTTCGACCTTGGGGGCCGGAGAGGATTCGCATTCGAGAGGATCGATGGATGGGTCGAAGAGTGAGACTGGCGTCTTTTTTTCCTGCCCTTGCTGCGCAGCGGGTTCCGGTTGATCGACCATCTCGAAATCCGAATCCTTGTCGTCCTCTTCCACGGCCTCCATCTTCGTGGCTCCTTCTTGATCTCTAACTCCGTAGTCGATCTCTATCTTGCTGAACGGCTTGGACTTGGCGGCCTTGAGCAGCCTCGCGGTCTTGCCCGTGAACGACTCGCCATCGACGACGAACTGACACGTCCCATTACCGATCCTGGCAATACCCTCGCACATGGCCGTCGACGCCGAGTTACCGATGCCCAGAACAAAGACCCTCAAAGGCGTTCGCGTACCCGCCGAATCAACGGCTTGCCGAACGGTGTCGAAGACGTTCGAAAGGTCCCACGCATCTCCATCAGTGAGGAGGAAGACGGAAGTCGGCGTGGTCTTGCGACGTAGGGCAAAAGTCTCTTCGAGCGCGGCTTTCATCTCTGTGCCACCAAAGTTGGCTTCCATCGAGTCGACGAGCTTGGTCGCACGATCCAAGGTACTCTGTGTGGTATTGAGGTCAGTCAGTACCCATTTTTGATGGACTCAAGTACGGACCACTACTCGACTCACCTGATCATAGACCCGACTGCCACCCTTCCACAACGCCTCATGACCACTCCCAAACGAGACGATGTTGAAGCCGGTCCCCCTGCGACTCGGCAAGCTTCTCAACAAGACGACCAACGCCTTCTTGGCCATCGAAATGCGATCGCCATCCATCGACCCACTACGATCGACGAGGAAGAGGTATTCCTGCTCTTCAAATTCAGGGGCGTTGAATTTGGGGACGAGAGTGATCGAGAGTGCCGAAGAAGGGTTCGAAGGATGTCGTTCGGCGATACATCGAGGGTTATCGAAAGATTTGGCGACGATCGAAAGCACAAAGTCCTTGTCGAGTGCTCGAGGGGAAGAAAAGGACACGGTTGCGAAATTTGGAACTTCCTGGGCGGGGACCTGGTCGGCGATCGACGCGTCGGGTCCCAATTCGGTCGAGACGGTATGCGAAGGGCACGTGATCTTGCTGATGGCTGACAGGGCCTCGATCGAAGTGGTCAAGTCGAAAAAGGTCGTTTCCGAAGTCGAGGCCCGAGAGGCCGAAGGGGAAGACACCAAGTCCTTGTCGCCGTATCGTTGACCAATGTGCATAGGGAGGTGGAAGCGGATCGAATCGTTCTGTTCATCCTCGGTAAGCTCGGTCACATATTCGAATTGGATCGTGACTCGTTCTTGAGGCAAGAGGTTGCCGACGAGCATTTGGAAAGCTGCATACCCAACGAGCTCAAGTCAGCAAAGACTTTGTACAACCGAGATTAGGCTCCAACTGCACTTACTATCAGGGCTCTCTTGAATCAATAAGCTGGCCAACTTGCCCTCCTCTTTAGCTTCCTCGTACTCCTTCTTGGCCTCCTGTTTGTCCTTGACGACTCCCTTCACCCTCGTCCCGGTCTGCTTGACCATCTCGAAAGCACACACCGCTCCTCGATCAGGTACGGGGAAGACATATGTGCAGTCCTGAGTGTGATTCGTCTCGTTCTTGTATTCTTGGAGCAGTTTGACCGAGGCGGAGAGGTGCTTGATCGACGCGGTCGCGCGCACGGATAGAAGCGACACGGAGCGGTATTCGACTAGCCACGGTTGGGCCACGGTGCGGTCGACGATGTAAAGGAGGCCGTGCATGGTTGAAATGAGGGGGGAGGGGGTTGTGGAGTGCTGAGGAGGTGTGATGTGGAAGTAAGGAAGCAAAAGAAGGTCGCAAGGAGGGGAGCGAAAGGTCGACCGCGGCGCAAGTGTCGGAAATTGGGGCCCCACATCGACTTTCGTCTGCAGCTGGCAGTGCAGTGCAGACGAAAATCCCTTGGCCAAAGCGCGCGCGCTCAGGGCGGCGGTGCAGGGCAGCCCGTGCACTTGGGCGCTGGCGGGAGTGTTTCAGATGATCTTCTCGATTAGTCATGCTGCAGACCAGACGAGCTTCAGTGCAGACGAGCTTCGGATTCGCAAAGACGAGGTTCGTATGCACTGATCCCTCTGGCTTATTAGTCCGAGTCATGCTCCTCTCGACCCTATCACGTGACAGTTTTCTCGCTTCCCCGTTTTCAGCTCGACTTCAGCGCACCTGATTTGTATGACGAACACAATACTGCAATGTATCCACGCCAGATCATCTCCGAAAGGAAGAGGTAGAAAGAGAGAAGAAACGGTAAAAAGGGGTACCCGCATCAAACCTCCGTTATCGTCCCTCTCAGCCCCACCTGAACGTATGCTGGTGGCCGCCCCCTCCCTGGCCCTGCTGGAAGAACTGTTCGAACGGATGCCCGCCACCTCCACCTTGGTGGAAGAAGGGTTGGCCGTGGCCTCCGCCGGATTGTTGGTCGTTCGGGTCATCGCCGTTATCGAAGCGTTGTCGGAGCTCTGTCGAAAGGGTTGTGTCAGGTCGGCGCTAGCCAAGCAAGTGACTGTAGCGTATAGCATGTGGACGTACCAGGATTGGAGAGTACTTCGTAAGCCTCGTTCAACGCCGCCATTTTTTCTTCCGAGCCTCCTTCCTTGTCCGGGTGCGCCTTCAGCGTTCCCTTGCGACTGTGAAGAAGCACACAACAGTGGCACATGTCAGAGCCCGTCCATGCATTCCAACAATGATGTATTCAACTCACTAAGCCCGCTTGATCGTCTTGCCATCGGCGTCCCTCGAGACTCCCAGGATCTTGTAATAGTCCTAGCACAAGCAAGGAGACAAAGTCCTCGTCAGTTTCCTCGTTCAGCACAAAACCCCGATCAATGGAACAAAACTGACCTTTTGCTTGGACTGCTTCGCCAACCTCTGCGCCTTCTGCAGCCTACCTAGCACCTCCCGATCGCTCTGACCGGTCTTCTCGAACGCCACACTCAACGCCTGAACGGCCTCGTCCCACTTCTCCTCACTTAACAGCTTCTCTCCCTTCCCAACAAGACCCCACACGTCGTCCGGGTTGACCGCAAGAGAAGCCTCGCATGCTGATCGAGCTTTTTGGGTTCGCGAGATCATGAGGTACCCATGGCAGAGATCACTGAGCGCGTGTCGGTACACCGGCGAGTGATTGACGAGGTTCGGCGTCGAAGGTAGAGGCGCGTTCTGCTCGTTCGGTGTCAAAGGTTGCGCATACGTCTCGAACAAATCCTTAATTTGTTGGATCAACCCCGGACTGGCGGGTGATCCATTCAGTACAACGGTGACTTCGAGCCATCTCCCCGCCTCGGCCGGCGTTTTCCACTTTGACGCGATCTCCTTGTCCATCTTCTTCAACAGCTTGAACACCTTGCGACACGCCTTGGAGTCGGGATCGGCATTCAAGCACTTCTTCACGGCGGTCAATCCCTCGCCGTTCAATTCCCTCGCTGCGCCACTGCCCAACGAAGGGTCCAACAAGAAGGCTGAGATGAGCGACCAGCGCAGCATCAACCAATCGGGTAGCGCCGAAGTCAGCGTCGCGGCTCGGGAGAGGTCTCCGACGCTCGAGTCGAACTCGTTCAAATGGAGGTAGCAGTGTGAGCGCAGAAGGCGCAGTTCATCAGAGTTGGGCGAGACTTGGAGTGCAGTGGTGGCCGAGTTGACACATTGGGTCCATTGGTGCGCCTTTGAGGCCTTTTTGGCTTGCTCGAGAGCGGATGAGCCGAGGTTCACTTCCCGTAACTGGTGCAGCAAAGGACGTAGCGTGTCAGGAGCACGTTTCTCGGTGATGATGTGTTTCATACACGTCACTGCCCAACTCACCAGTTGTGCCGCCTCCTGAGCATGAGCCTGATGAGCGCCCAACTTGGACACCTGTTCCCTCGCGCCCGAGTACTCTCCTAGCTTGGCCATCGCGTGCCCCAACTTGACCCTCGCTTCATCGAACGCATCGTTCCTCTCCAACACGTCGTAGAAGCCTTCCTTGGCCCGTGACCATTGTCCCAACGCGTACCGCACCGTCGCGCGTTTGTACAGAGTCGCGACGTCGTTCGGGTCGCGTTCGAGCAAGTGGTCATACACCTGCAACGCCGTCGCCGTCTTGCCCGAAGTCAACGCCGACGTGGCGAGGGACAGAAGTTGTGCAGCAGGCAACGAAGCGGCGTTCTCCGGTAAGCCTCCGCTGGTCGCGGCCGAGGCCGAAGCGAAGATTGACGAACTGGACGAGGTGGCGAGCACGGCGACGAGCAGACCGAACGACGAGCTTCGCAGTAGCATGATGAGGTCTAGCTCCGGATCAGACAGACGGCACGGGAACAAACAAGACGAGGTGAATGGGTGCGAGGCGCAAAGGTGTAGATCGGTGCGGTGATCGAAAGAGTAGCCGGAATTCGAGAACGGGCTGGATCATAAAAGTGCGGACGTGGCATTTATTCGCCGACGTTCGTTTCGGGCGCGACGAAGATCGCCCGCCGGCAAATTGAACGTTGAGCTTGGACCCCTTCCACGGTCGCCTCAGTTGGCACCGATGACGTGTCCTGTCAAAATCGGTACGAAGACGCTGAAATAAATCTAGTGGGTCCCTGAAAGTTTCGAAAGCCCTCTTGACCGGGGCAAACTCACGTTTCGTCGGTGGGGGTCTTTTTAAATATTCGAGCGGCGGATCGGAGCAAGTCCGCCCGTCCGCACGTACATGTTCCCAGCTTCGGCTTCGAAGCCGCGGGATCGCGCACTTACGATCGCCGCCGCGGGCGATCAATTCCGGCTTCAGCGACGACTGTTCCAATGGCATGCACACAGGTACCGCGTTCCTTAACTCGTATTTCTCATCTCTCGAATCACGCTCATACTGTCTCATGTCGCGCGGTGAGGTATGTTTTTCGCCTCGTCGGACAAGAACTCGACGCCGGCCGAGGCTCGCAGACTCGGAGGACAGGGGCGTCATGACTCTCAACACGACCGTCTCCGGCGCGCTTCTCAAAATGTGGAGACAGGGCGCTGGGAGCAGAACGAAAATGAACGGACTGAACAGGATCAGGTAGAAGAACTGTGCATTCTCCATGATTGTGCAACAAAGAAAGAGACCAAGACCAAACGACGAGGAAACTTGACGCGCTTGCGACCGAGGCGACGAAGGAACTTGACGGAGGGACTTGACAAAGGACCTTGGCGAAGGGGACTTGAAGAGACCGTAAACTGGATGATGGCGAGATTGAGGGGAAATGCACAAATAAATGGGCGGCTCGAATCGAGGACGAAAGAAGGATGCCGATGATGAGATGCTTGGTGGATCGATGCGATGACAACTCGCGGGACGACGGCGTCGATACGATCTTCGTCTCCACGCCGATCAACACCCAACGGCAGCTACTCAATGTTCAGAAACAAATCGGTCAGCACTGGTATGTCCAGGACAAGGCCAGCTATAAGGTATGCGCCTCTTATATGTATCAACACAATCTGTCGTTCTCGACCACCTGACTCAAAGCAAGTCGTAACTAGAACTCAAGAGCTCAAACTACTCAGAGGCTACTTATAGCTCTGCAAGGCATCTCCTTACACGAGCCCGCGAGTCGGGTACATTTAAACCATGCTGCTGACTCACTCTGAGCAGACTTGCACGCATCGCATCCTTGATTGAGATCGTCTGTGATCCACTTGGACTTTTTACTAGTGTCTGAGACACAGGAGAGGGTGGCACGTAGTCAGCACACGGCGTTGGTTTTGGACATCTGACTAGGATCAGGTTTTTGACGTCTTAGGCCGAAGTGAGGCCGCCGAACGTTCGGCGCGACTGAACGTACTGCTCTCCAGGCACTTTGAGTAGTGCGTGAAACAGTCCTGGCTGCCACACAGGCAATTATTGTTGTAAAGCGCAACGTAGATATCCCTGTTATTCCCAGACACGTTGAGCGTGCGATTCCAGTCATCAACGCAGGGCCCGGTTGAGGGTTTCGTCTGCGACCCTCGATGAGCAGGGGGTCAGTCAGCTACGTTCCGGCGGGCAAGGCATCGCAGATGTTTCGCGGACTATGTTCGAAGCATATGGACTCACGTTTTTGTCCGCATGGCGCCTAAACGAATCGTCAAGAGTGGCGGCGTTGGCTAACGAGCATAGCAATCCCAAACCCACTGCAAGGGCACAGCGGAGGGAAGAAATGAAGAAGCATCGGTGATGGTGGATCGAGGGAGAGATGGGTATAAAGCAGACGAGAGAGCGAACACTTGCGTTGGCGCAGTTCGGTCCAGTTCGGCCTAGTTTGTTATCACCGCTCGCTGCGGCAAATAATTGAGGCCGATTTCAATGCGGAAATGCCTACAGGCCGCTAGCTCGACGTGCATCGCATTGACGCATAACGGCTACATGGTACCTATCGAAAAAGTGCTGGACTCCTTTTCATCACCGAACCCCCTTCATGCACAGAGCCTCGATTGGGAAAATGTTGCCCCGAACGGTGTCCACTCGGTGTCCTTTAGGTTCCTCGCTCGCGCTGTTCCACATTGATGAGACTCCTCCTTTTGACCGTGTGTCGCATCAAGCCGCGTGCTTCCCTGCACCGGCAAGAACTACAAAAGCCAGACGCTTTTGTGGGAGTGCTAAACGGTTGCGATTGGGACTTGTGCGCAGAACACCGGAAACCTCGATGCCTGAGGAAAGAATACTTCACAACGGCGATCGATAGCTTGGACTTCGCGGATGATCACAGGCTCCACTTGCAAGTCGGTGAAGGCCTGGCGGTACTTGGCTAGCTCGACGTCTACCTCGTCGAAGGCGACTTGGACGGCATCGGTCAAGACGTCGAATTCCGAGCGGACAATGGTAACCGCGGAGCCGATTTCGGCGCGGAGGGAGGCGGAGTCGAGGCGGGCTTGCGAATATTTCTCGGTCGTAAACTGGCAAGTGGTGTTGCAAGATTGCAAGAGACACTCCCTGATCAATACAGTGGTTTCTTAGCTGTAAGTCGTGTAGTGGGCCGCTGCGGCATCAACGGTGGCCCCATTAAGGAGACGTCCCCTCAACGTAAAAATCGACCTGCGCTTGCGGCAAGAGGGAACGCGGATGCGGAGACATGATGTCTGAGCGGGATCACTGTCGACGACCGTTGTCTCACTTGGTGTTGCACCCTTCTCTTTTTCCCTACTCCTTCCGTCCATCACTCATCTGGATCGCAGTCCGCTACTTTCTCTTCCCACCTGTTTCGTTTGTCCATTTCATTTTGTACTCGCGTGACTTCGCCCTTTTCGCATGCAACGATGCATGTGCCCTCGTTTGGTTGAGGCTAATTTTTCACCGATGACGGCAAGCACGTGCTTCCTCCACAAACATCAAAAACTGCGCAGCGAGAGTGCTGAGTGACCCGATCTTCGATGCATTTCAACCACGCTTACGATTGCTCCTAATCGTCGTCATCATCTGTATCCTCCCCGAAACCGGGAAACCGACCCGGCAAAGCCGCCTGACCACCTTCCCCAACCCCCTGAAGCATCGCCAATTCATCCATCAACTCCCTCCTCAATTCGTCGTTCATATCAATAGCCCCACCCGCCTGTCCGATCCCCAACAACGCCGCCAATTGAGCAGCGAAACCACGGGCCGCTGCACCACCTCTTTGCGCTTGTGCTCGCGTCGCGTTTTGTTGTCGGATACGTTTACCTACCGAGGTGGAGTGGAGGACTTGGAAGTAATCGTCGGAATAGTAAGTTACGTTGGGGCCTTTGGGGGGTAGAGGATCGTACGAATACATCGCTTCGCCGTTCGAAGTGACGCTCGGTGGGAGGTAGGGTCGTAATGAGGGGACGTCGGCGAGGTAGAGGGCACGGATAATGCCATCGGGGGCTTGATTCGTCTTCCATGCGTGTTGCGCTGACCAGGCTTTCTCCCCAAACACGACCTCGGGGTTCGACGGGTCGTTCAGTGAGGAGACGATCGAGGAGGCTGTCGAGGTGAGCCAGGAGAGGAGAGAGGGATCTTTCCATAGGGGTGAGGATCGGTGCGCGTAGAGTGAGGCGAGCAAGGACGTGAGGTAGGAAGGGTCGGTCGTGTACGATCCCGAGATTTGCGCTCGTGGATGCGAGATGAGCGCAGGGGGGACGTTGCCGCCGAGCGTCGAGAGGAGCAGGGGCACAACGGCGGGGAAGCGGAGGATCGCTGAAGCGAGAGCTTTCGTCGCAACGGAATCGGAAGAGGTCTCCTTGGGATGCAGTTGGCGCAAGCAGAGCGCCTTGGCGTACGCCAGACCGGGGTAGAGGTCGACCTGGCACTCGGGTTGGTTCGGGTACACTTTCGGCAGTTCCTCGAGCAGACTGAGGAGCCATTCATTTTGCCCCGACTTGGGCGCGAGAAAGTCGAGGAAGCACAGCATGCCCATCGGGTCCATTCCACCACTGCACCCGAGCGCGATCTTGGCCCATTCTGTCGCAGTCCTCCATGTTCCCCGTTTCGTCTGGATCGCAACGTTGCGCGCTAGTGCGATGAAGAAAGCGCGGTTCTCGATGCGGCTGTACGACAGTCGGAAGGAGCCGGAAGTGAAAGACGGTGGGAGTGGGGCCGACATGGCGTACAAAGCGCGCGCGAGGTGCTGCGAGGAACCCGTGAGATCGCCCTGCTGGTTCAGCATCTCGGCAAGTTGGAGATGGGTGTCGATGTGATAGGGCTGGGATTGGAGAATCGAGTAAAGTCGGTTTCCATCGGCTTGTTGGAGCACTGCAGGCAATGGGCATGCATCGTCAGCGAGTGCGAGGTTGGTGCTAGCGAGCCGGATGAGGGGCCCCACCTTCCAAAAAGCCCATCTGCGCAATTTTGTACTCGGGCGTATGGACATACGTCCACCAATCTCCAGATCGGTCATTTTCTGCTTCGGATCCGACGTAGGTCTCCAACTTGAGCACACCCGCAGCGGGTAGCCAGCCGGCTTCAGGATTGGCGAGGTACGATGCGGTGCGCTTGATCGAGGTCGAGTGATGCGGGTTGTTCGCGAAGCGGGCATGATGCTGTGACCGAGGCGCCGCTGCAGTATGTTGGATCTGATCTCGATAAAATGAATCGTAAGCGTGATTCCAGCGTACACCCTCCACTTGCAGTCGCATCGAGAACTCGCAATTTTGGACCCGAAAAACTTCCTCAGCTCGGCATCACCATCAAGTAGCTTGGTGTCGAACGAGAAAACGCCCTTGATGGTTTCGAACTGCTTGTCGAGCTGCGAGCTCTGTTGTTGGGCCTGTATGGCGGCGAGTGATGGCCCGCCCTTGGACGCGAGTTCGGCCAGTGCTCGGTCGATCTCGTCGAGGTCATCCTGCTTGCCCTTCGGTGTCCCTGTGGCGGACTTGGCGCCATTCTTTTTCTTGGTGGATGCCTTGTTGGGTGTCGATGCCTTAGCTGTGGGTGTGGCTGGTCCTGTGCTATCGTCGGTATCGTTCATTCCTGTTGTACTTGATGTCGCTGCGGCTGACGGCTTGCTCTTTTTCTTCTTCTTCTTGTTCTTGCCCTTCTTCTGCGCCTATATGATGTATGGTCGGCTAAAGTGATCTATGATGCACTGCTGAACGTGGACCTACTGTTGTACCAGCTGCGATCGCGGTGGAAGGCTCGTCGTTGGCGTCGTCGTCGTCCGGATCATCATCGCCGTCCCCCAGGTCGAGCTGTAAAGCCCGCAACGAAGATTAAAACACACGTGCTACATTGTCGAAAAGCTGCATAGCTCCTAGACCTACTCACCGCCGCAAAACCAGCCGTCGTCCGACGCAATGCTCCGCTGTTCGCGATCGCAGCTGTGCCAGTGTCGTCATCGTGCTTCCCCTGCCTGACCTCGTCCTCCTCGCCCGATGAGGCACGCTCACCATCGTCGCCGAGATCGGTATTGGCGGCAGCCGAGGCGGCGAGATCGTCCAACTCGGCTTGCTCGCGTTGCTGGCGCTTGGAGAGGCGGGGTGGCATCGGTGCGACGCTGCAACGCTGCAACGCTGCAACGCTGCTCGATCGGGTCCGGTCGGTCGAGTCGAGCTGAGGTGAGTCGGGGCCAGCGCGGGCAGAGCTGGGCAGAGGGCAGGCGCACTGCAGGCTGGCAGAGGCTGGCGGCTCGTCGAAAAAGTGTTTCTTGACTTTTGGCACTCAGTCGGCAGAGCACCTGACTCTCAAAGCCCAAAAAGCCCTCCCTTTGAAATCCATCAAATAGAATAAGAACTCCGGCCACCTGACCGGCCTGTTCATCGCGCCGGAGCTCAGGCTCACAAATGCGTGCATTCAAGTCATGGCTTCGCAGCCAAAGGCTTCGATCGCTATCTACCAGATCAAATATTACAGTATCGTTCAAGCGCAGCGCTGCGACCTTTCATCATCCAAAAGTCTGCTCCCGGATCTCATCCTTCTTCCGGAATCGGCCGGTTGCAGATCCCGTCACCCTCCCCGTAGTTTCGACAAAGATGAGGCCAAAATACCGTGTACTTGCAAAAACGAGCCACGAACAAGCTATGTATCCGATCCATCGAGGAGGGCGCCCGAGCTTATGTAGTCCGCGCTAGATATGGTCGACCTCCAGACTCCCGAGGTGCCTCGCCCCGTTTCGAAGCGGACGAAACGTTTCGGACTTTCTCTAAATTCTCGAAATAATGTTGACAACATGGCAAGGGTGTCCGACGCTCGCACTCTGGCTACCCAACCACAACAGCGACCCAACTCTGCAGCCGCTCATCCTCCTTCGGCAGTTTGGTATCCCTGCCCAATCGCAACAAGCTCAGATTTCTCCTTTTAAATTTCTTCGCAAAGCCTTCGCCCCCGTTCTCTTCCCAACTTTGCGAGCCCCCATGACGACCCAAAAAACTCCATCTTGACGAGGCCTTACTCCTCCCACTGTACCCAGTCGCATAGCTCATCCTGCTCGCCGATCGGTCCCCCGTCCCGCCCTGTCCCCACATCGTACTCGCGTCATCTCGCTTGTCCTCGTCGTTCTCCTCGACCCTAGCGAGCGCAGAGCGTGTCGTATTCCTCGACGCACTTCTTTCAATCGGCCCATCAACAACTCCCCATTTCCCCCTCCCCTTCTTCCCCTTCACACCACTCTTGGCCTTACCTTCGAGTCCAAAGCTCGGGGTGATCAAATCCCTCCACCCGACCCTCAAACCCATCGCCTGTTCCCTCGGTGTATGCGGCGCCGGAAGGTTCTTCAAGTCCCATGTGAAGAGGCTACTCTCGCTGTTCTTGGTCCTGAGGATCTTATCGGGTGTGGCGCGACGGTTCCAGTGACTCGGCGTGAGAGGGCGAAGGTGTTGTAGGAGTGGTGGATCGGATTCGACTCGAGGAATGGATGGGGGCGTATGAGGATGGTGAGAGATGGAAGACAGGTAGGATGAGAGGTATGTCGAGGTACAAGACGTCGGGAAAGGGAGTGCGGTGGGGTCGTCGGGCAAGTACGTCGGCGTCAAGGGTGGCAGGGTCGGTCGCTCCACTTCGGATTCGGCATCATCGTCAACGTCCTCTTGAATGTCGTCATCGTCGTCATTGTCGCATTCAAATTGAGCCCTCGTATTCCATGATCTCAGTCTCAACGGCGATCCAAGGAACGTGCCAAACACGAGAGCTTGGTCCTCTTCGTCCTCGTTGCACGTGATTGTTGCGGACCCTCGCCGCTTCCACTGCGGTGGGGAAGGGGTTGGCGCCGTCTCGTAAAGCCGCGGGGGCACCAGCCCTACGCTCGTTTTCTTGGTCAGACTCGGCGGTGTATCCAACCGAGTCAGTTGGACGACATCAGCTTGAAGGACCTGACCTTGCTCCGTGTCGTCCTCGCGTGTGTGGACGTCGTCGGACCCTTCGTCATCGGTGATCGAGGCTTGGTCGGCGTCAGCGCGTGAAGGGACCTCGAGTCGGCCCCCAGCACTCGCATTCGACGATTGCCACAGCATAGGACCCATCAGGGTATCGAGAGAAAGTCTGGGTTTGGGTGTTCCTTCGTCTTCGTCGCGTAATTCGTCCGCCCACTCTGGCTCGACCTCGACCTCGGTGTCCTCATCCTCGAACGTCTTACCCCCAAAACCACTCCAAACGCTACCGAGCCAGCTCGTCCTTTTCTTCCGCTTTGTCGTGTTCGAACTCTTGGATGAGCCCAAACTGCCGACGGTCGTATGGGACGAATCCGAAACTGTCCTCCGCTGATCGAGTTTGGAAGCCGAGCTGGGCCATTTCAAAGTTTGTGCGTGGATACGGTCCCGTTCCGAAGATGCGATCAAGGTCCGAGTAGGATCGTTGGGCTGTACTGTACCTACGCTGCTACGTTTGGACGAGTTCTTGGGTGTTAGAATCGCTTTGGCGACGGAAGGCAGGTCCATTGATCGCGAAGCCGGCAATCTCAGATCGGGTTGAATCTGCGAAATGTGAGCCAAGTTTAAGCTACGGGTAGTAAGGGCGAGGCTTATCGAATGAGTACACTCACGAGAATGGAGTCCGTGACGTTGTTGGACCCATCTCGACGAACGACCTCCCTGTGGGGTTGCTGTAAGAACGGCTTGGAAATGACCAACGACTTGATGGCTGTTGCACTTGAGTTTTGACCTTGCCACCTCGAGGTGTTCGTAATGGTGCCCAAGACGGTGCGGGACTTGTTGGGTGTTGACCCTCGCAGGTGGGGTTGCTGGTGTCGGCTGGGCTGTTTAGGTGCGCCGTGAGCGACGACGGACGTCAAGGACGGTCGAGCGTCGGTGCTGGTTGCAATGACGGCGCCAGTCATGTTGTGAGGAGTCTACACGAGTTCAACTCTGGTCTACGTCAGTCGATAACAATATGTACGCCACTATGGTTGCTCAAGAGCAGCGTTACGTGGTAGATGGTGTCGATCACGTGAGATGTATGCACCAGCGGGGACCTCCGCCCGCATGCGAACTCCGCACGCACGATCACTCAACATCCCACGACGGGCCTCCTCGGACGTGTTCTTGACCGGTGGTAGACACTTACAGTGGGATGATACAGTACAGAACCACACCCGAATAGAGTTGTGGCCTCGTAAAACACTGGGGGCGTAAAATGAGCGAGCCGTGGGGGTTCAAACTCGGGTCAGGGGCGTTGTTGATAGGCGCTAGGCAGCGACGGACGGACGCGAAGAGGAGCGCACGCTCGCTCACGGACCAGAAGCGCGTCGGGCGTGGCTGAGCGAACTCGAGCGAACTGCTGAGCGAGGCTGCGCGGAGGAGAGCGGCAGAGCGGCAGTTGAGCGGCGCGCGAATCCACAAGTCACTTTCTTCTCTTCCGCATCAGCTCTCCTTCGCCCCTGTCTATTTCCAGTTAGGTTTTCGGTCCCGACCGCCTGCCCGATGCTATTTATTTTCTTCACTCGTTTTTCTTCATGGTTCCCACCCAGCTCCTTGAATCGGTCCTCACCTTTTTGCTCGTAGCCCGGCCCTTTCCATCAACGTGATATTGTCACTTTGAACTTCGAGATCGTCGTACCCACGGTAGTGTACAGCTCAACCTCTACGGAAATCGACACCTCAGCGTCCCCCAGCGCTGAAGCGCTAGGATGAACTTCTGGTTGAAATGGGGGCGGGGGTTCCTCACTCTCTGAGCCTCTTGTCCACTAGGCTAGGCTACCGGCTGAACGCATCAAAGAGCCAGTCAAAATAAACCAATGTGTAGGGCAAGTGATCGAAAGGTTCATGCAAGGGAAGCCAATAGTGATATTCAATAGAGATCGGAGCTCGCTTGAATTTGCGCAGCTTCCCCCCAATTGGCGGTCCGACCCTCACGTCTCTTCGTTCTCCGCTTATGGCGAGCACACGTCTTGCAAGGTGCTGTCAGTTATTCGTGTTGAATGTTTCAAGACTTTTTCGGAAATTCAGACCCCTTGAATACGATTCTATTGGCACCTCATCTGCTCACTGCAATCCAGAAAGCGATGAAAATGTGACCGATCACGCGCCGACGGGTAGGAAAATAATCTTTTCAGAGTGGCAGGAGGCCATCACGATCTATCAACAGAAGGGAGAGTACGCGGAAACCCAGACCTTGATACGAAAAAGATAAACGGTCTCGATAGACGTCTTTCTGAGGGCTGGATATGATCTGATGAGACCAATGAGGCGAAAAATTGGGACTACAGTGGGACGGATTCGCATTGGGTCGTGGTTGTCCTAAAATGCCACTGGCCATCATCCCGAACAGCTCCATCTGATCTATATTCAAAAACTGGTCACGAGAAACTTTCGGACATCAGGGATACGAGGAACATGAACCTTTGATGCGGCGCTGCTGGGGAGTTTGTGCAGGTCAAGGAAAGAAGCTTTCGTCTCGGCCCGGCTGGTAATGCAGACCGTGACGCGGAACGAGAAAGAGACACTGACTGGAAAGTGGAGAAACGATGCCAAGAAGGTTCGGAAAAACGCAGAAAACGAGTGTCCGTTGAGCTTCTATGTTGTATTCTGGAAGGTGGTCCACCTGAGCACAAGAAGCGAATCCTTGCAAGAGATCAAAGTCTTCCAGGCTGGGTTCCCCCTTCACTCCCCGACACTGCACTGCCTCATGGGTCAGCCAGCCCCTCTCTTTTCACTCTCTCCGTTCAGTCCGTCGGTCCGTCCGAAGTCCACTCAATTAGGATCTTTCTTTGTTCAAGCCTCCCATGTGAGACACCGAAGTCGAAAAGTTTCCGAGAGCGCCTTATTGAGGAGATGTTGGCCGGTTTACTTGTCTTTGTCGATCGCCGGATGTGCCTTGTCGAGGCCGCTAGCCGTGATCAACGACCCATGCCACCAGTATCACCGCTGCTGGCCTTGACAGTTTCATAGGATGGTTCTGAAGTCGGGATCTCGGATTTCAGAGTATTGATTCTCACACTTCCGAGGGTGCGAGCACCGCCGACGGTTGTCGGCCGAAGTGAGCCACGCGGTTCAGATCAGGGGCGACGCGGAAAGTGTCGGGCTTTTGTAGTTCTCGCCGGCGCAGGGGAGCTCGCGGCTTGTTACGCCAGACGGTCAGAAGGAGGATTCTCATCAATGTGGAGCAGTACGAACGAAAAACGTAAAGGACGCCGAAGTGGATACCGTTTTGGGCAGTGTTTTTTGAATAGAGGCTCTGTGAATGTGTGAATGAAGGGGGTTCGGGATGAAAAGGACTGCAGCACGATAGGTACCTAACCGTTCTGCGTCAATGTGATGCACGTCGAGGTAGCGGAAATCGGCCTCAATAGTTTGCCGCAGCGAGCGGTGATGACGAATTAGGCCGAACTGGACCGAACTGCCCCAGCGCAAGTGTTTGCTCTTTCGTCTGCTTCATACCCATCTCTCCCTCGATCCACCATCACCGATGCTCTTCTTCATTGCTTCCCTCCCTTGTGCCCTTGCGGTGGGTTTGGGATTGCTATACTCATTAGCCAACGCCGCCAATCTTGACTATATCTGTAGGCGTCATGCGGACAACAATGTAAGTTCATACGATTCGAACAGAGTTCACGAACCATCTGCGATGCCTGGCCGGCCAGAATCGGGCTAGTTGACCCCCTGCCTCTTCGATGGTCGCAGACCATACCCTCAGGCGGCCTGTACTGCAGTGCACTCTGGAAGGACGTGCCAGTCGATCCGAGGGGCACCAAATCTACCACTCAGCTTTACTATCAGGCCTGCATGTGTCGCAACCACAACTGGTACACGGATTACTCATACTGCCTGATGAAGAGTACATTCGCGCGCCCAACGTTCGGCGGTCTCACCTCGGCCTAAGACGTCAAAAACCTGATCCTACCAGACAGACGTCAAAACCAACGCCGTGTGCTGACTACGTGCTCCCTTCTCCTGTGGCTCAGACACTCAAAACTCCACGTGGATCACCGACGATGAAAAACGACGATGCCGAGATTGCAAGACTGCTCTTAAAAGTGAGTCAGCAGCATGATTTGATTATAAACGACTTGCCGGATGGTGTAAGGAGATGCCTTACAGCGCTATATATAGCCTCTCAGGGAGTAGCTATAATCAATCGAGTTCTAGTTACGACTTGCTTTGAGTCAGGCGGTCGAGAACGACAGATTGTGTTGATATATATAAGAGGCGCATACCTTATAGCTGGTCTTGTCCTGGATATACCAGTGCTGACCGATTTGTTTCTGAACATTGAGTAGCTGCCGTTGGGTGTTGATCGGCGTGGAGACGAAGATCGTATCGACGCCGTCGTCCCGCGAGTTGTCATCGCATCAATTCACCAAGCTTTCTCATCATCGGCACCCTTCTTTCGTCTTCGATTCGAGCCGCCTATCCATTTGTTCATTTCCCCTCAATCTTGCCAACATCCAGGTTACGGTCTCGTCAAGTTCCCTTCGCCAAGGCCTCTTGTCAGGGTCACTCCGTCAACTTCCTTCGTTGCCTCTGTCGCAAGCGCGCCAAATTTCCTCGTCGTTTGGCCTTGGTCTTTTTCTTTGTTGCAAGTTCACCTCGATCAGGAGTACACACCTAGCGCTTTTTTACGTACCTGCCCAATTCCAGCCCGTTCTTTTCTCGTTCTTTCCACAGTATTCTCTCTCCACATTTTTGAGACGCGCTCAATGAGGTCGGCTTGAGAGTTATGCTGCCGCCCCTGTCCTCTGCGAGCCCGGTTCGAATCCTTCTCCGACTAACGATGAGCCCCGAAAAAAAAAACCCCTCACCGCTCGCCTTTGTGCTCGTATGAGCTTGATTCAAATAACTACGAAGCTACGAAGACGAAAACCTGTGTATACATGCCCATATGGAAAGAGTCGTGCGCAGGAAACCGGAACTTTTAGTTGATCGGCGGCGATGATCGTGCTCTATCCAGCAGCCTGGGGGGGCGTTCGCGACGCAGCGGCCGGGAAAAAACACTTGCCGACTCCTTGCCCCCCCCCCCCCTGAAACGCGGCTCGAATGTTTGGGGGGAAAATTTCTCAACGACGAGATACGAAGTTATGCTCCTCTCTCTCGCGAGGGTCTTTTCGAGAACTTTCAGAGAACCGCTATGGTAAATTTTATTTAGCCAGCGGACGGCGGAGTGGCCTCCCCGGGTGTTCAGCAGTGGCCGGCATCGTAGTGAGCATTGAATTGTATTCAACGCGCTAGTAGATGAGCGCAGTTCTGAGATGATAAACAAAAGGAGTCAGAGTCAACAGGCGCGCCACCTGGGTCAGTAACGACGGGATTTTTTTGTGCGCAGTTGGTCCCACTCGGAGGCCCTAGCTAGACCCCGTTTGGCGTGTTGAGAGATGACACCCACGCGCGAACATCATGCTTGTCTTGTTAGTACGCTTCTTTCCTCTCGCGATAGGACACTCTAACCAGGCCGTGTGAAAAAGTTCGGGCTATGGGTTTGTTACGGTTCGAGTTACTGCGTTTCGAAAAAATGACGGTCGTCAAGAAGAGGAGGGCCTATTGAGGACGGTGTCGGTCCAAACCAGTCCGATGATTCGGCAGGTGGTCATAATCCATGTAACCTTTGACGAAGCCACACCAGTTCACCAGAAAGTGTATTGTTCGCCAATCCCAGTTTCAAATCATCCTCACGCCGCTTTTACCCGTCGTTCGTGTGCCAATCCCCATGTCCCCCGGCCACGGCGTCTGCGCGGCGGGTCAATGCGCCCGAAACGACGACTCGAGGTCAGATCAAGGCCGCCCAATGGGTACAGCACTGATCGATAGGCACTCCCGGCCGGATGAAACTTGCAAGTGCGCTGAGATGGCATGATGAGCCCACCACGATTCACTTTGGTTGAATAAGCTCGGGGTTACCGTAAAACATACCAACCCGACAATACACAACAACAACAACAACGAACCAACAGAAATGGCTCCTCCCCGCCCCCAAGGCGCCCGCCTGCGCTTTCTAGAAATCTCCGCCCCCACCGAAATCGTCGCCACCTCCACCAAAATCGTCTCCCCCTCCTCCTCCATCTTGGTAGCCATCCTGATAAGCCTGTTGTTCATCATGATGGTTGTCCATATTGGATAGACCTGCGCCGAGCAAACCACCGGCGAGTAAACCACCACCCATCATCATCATCTGGTTCGATCGAAAAGGGACGAAAAGTGGAGTCAGCTTATTTTCCTCCTCTCTCTCTCTCTCTTTCCAAAAAGCAGTGCAAGCACAGCGTCAAGACGTACAGGATTCATACCACCGCCGGTCCTCCCCCCACCACCCATCATGCCACCACCGCCCATCCTCCCGCCTTGACCACCCATATACCCTCCCTGTTGCTGAGGATAATAACCCTGTTGTTGCCCATAGCCTTGTTGAGGATAGTACCCCTGTTGTTGTTGTTGCGTCTTACCTCCCCCCGAAAACTTGGAGAACAAGCCTCCCAATCCACCCTTCTTTTGTGGTTGTGATGGTGGTGGAGGAGAATTAGCGAATCCTGCTCCGTTAGGGGTAGTAGGGGAGATGGGCGAAGGTTGACCGTAGCTTTGTTGACCATATTGACCGTATTGTTGTTGTTGACCATAAGGCCCGTCGTCTCGATTGTTGAGCGCGTTCGATGAGGAAGGAGGGGGTGGTCCGGGAGGTGGGGCGTAAGAAGTTTGGGATCGTTGAGTTTCGAGGTAGGTAGGGTCGTCCAAGGGGTGAGTCCAGATCGATCGTGGAGGGTTCGCCTGACAAGTTGAGCGGGAGAGCGTAGTGTGTGGCGGTGCCAAGCCATTCGAGAGAAGGTGGGGGGTCGCACCGTCAGCTTACGACTGCATGGCCTGGCAGCAGATGCATCGCTCAAATGACTGACCTTTGTATCGACCGAAAATATCCTCGAGTGCCTACTCGGAATCAAAAAACAAACTCAAAAACATCAGTTCGTCAGTTCGCCACGCTCACACGGGCACTGCAGTGGCAGCCCGTCGCCGTCGCCGTCGCCGTCGCCACCACCACCAGCAGCAAACTAATTAAGTAACTCGCGTCGGATCGAACTGGGCGACCCAGCCTTCGGGCAGGGGACGATGATCCCCCTCCGCACTGGCAGGTGCACCACCTCCTCCGTAGCCACCTTGCTTGTGGTCATTCTGATAGTCCGATTGATAGGACATGTCGAGAGACGGGGCGAGCTCTGTGATGTGTGAGAAGGAGAGAGGGAAGCGATGACGCCCAGCCTAGTGTGTCTGGGAACTGATTACGGCTGGGCTGATTACGCGATTACGGCCCGGGTTGGGCACTCGTTAGCGCCACGGTTGCAGAAAGCGCCAAGACTTATGGCCATCTCGATCGGATTGATCGGGAGGTGAGGTCGACGCAGTGGAGCTCCTCTTCTTCGTGGGCGATCATTCATGGCATTTGGAAATACAACCCGTCTTGTGAGACGTTTACTAAGCACCTGCCTAACAACTTTGGTCCGGTGCGATCAGCGGGGCTCCCGGGGCCAGCAACGATCTCGGAGATCAACTCCGACTCGGCCGAGTACAGCATCTCAAACGCTTCTATAGTCTCAGTGTACATTACAGTAGCCTCCTAAACTTCGATCCTGTGCATTGCACCCCTTCCCTACCCTGATCACGCTCACGCTAATCATCCTCATCCTCATCCTCATCGTCGTCCCCCTCCCCCTCCCCCGTTGTCCCCCCTTGTACCGTATTCTCAAACTCGCCCACCTCTTCCATCTCTTCATCCTCGTCGTCGTCGTCGTCTTCATCATCGTCATCGCCGTCGTCCTCCTCTTCCTCTGGCTCTCCATTCACTTTCGGCGCCTGACCCTGACCCTGAATCGGTACCTCCTCCTCCTCCTCATCACCATCATCGTCATCATCACTCCCAAACAATCCCTCCCCCTCCCCTTCCTCCTCCTCCTCCTCCTCCTCCTCCTCTGCACCCCGACCTGCCCCTGCACCTGCACCTGCATTCCCACCGATCCGTATCCCTCCCACCCCTTCCCCACCTCTCAGAAAAGTCTCTAACCGACCCTGCGGCGGAGCGACGGCCCCCTTCTCCGACCTAGGTACGATCGAGAAATTAGGGGCGGTCAACCTCTGAGCTTGAGGGGGTAACCTGATTCCATAAACTTCCGGAACGGGTGGTAACGGGTTCGAATTGATTTGAGTTGCTAAATCGAGCAGGAACTGTTAAAAAAAAAAAGAATAGCAAGGGGGGGGGGGGGATTAAATATCAAAACTTTCCCCTTCTGAACGAATTGATTTTCTGAGAGGGGGAACTTTACTTCTTTGGGTATACTGTTGCTTTCTTGTTTGGCTTGGACGGCCAATCTGACGTCCTCGATCGAAGGAACCAGATTGATGACCGCTCCCGAAGGGTTCGAAGGTTGAGCTCTAGCGTGTTCGGCGTAAACGAGAGCGTCGGAAAGGATATCGGCCGTATAACCTTGGAACCCAAGATCTGGCAGGGGGTGAGCTTTCGTTCCTTTCTTTGTTCTTGGTTGGGGTTTGGGGTTTGGGGTTTGGGGTGGGCCCCCGGTGAAAACTACTTTACTTACGATGAGCGAATTCGACCAAGATTCTCATCACCGCTGGTTCGGCATCGCTTGCACCATTCGCGGCCAAGAGGAGCGCGATCAATCTCGCATCCCGTGGCAGGAGATCGTGTTGTTGGGTCGTCGTCGTCGTCGTCGAGGTGGAAGTGGGTTTGGTCTTGTCTGCGGTGGTGGTGGTGGAAGCGTCTACGGAGCCTTGCGTCGCGGGTGGTGGTGGTGGTGGTGGTGGTGGTGGTGGTTGTGGCGAGGGGGAGAGTGGTACAGGAAGCGGGGTCGCCATGGAGAGAGTGTCCGTGTCTGCGAGGGAGTGTGAGTGTGTGTGTGTGTGTGGTCGTGTTGGTGTATAGAGTGCGGGAGTGGGTGGGAGGAAGGAACGGTGCACGAGCTCGGAAACTGGGTCGCGGTGAACTCGGCTCAGGCTGGCGGTAATCTGCACTTTAGTAAGAGGTTGTAATGAGCTGAAATTACTGCCGAGGCGCGCGCGTGGTCAACTTGGCGCGCTTTTCCCCCCTCCTCGCCCGCGAATGAACCAACCATCCCCACCCAGCGTTCTCCTTCTCCCTTTGACCCTTGTCTTGCTCTCCTTGCCTCCCTGTCGCACCTCGACCCCACCCCGTTCGTTCCTCGATCGACCGACGATGCCACCCGCCTCGTCACCCCCACCTCCTTCCTCCCTCTCCCAAGCCACAGTCTCCACACCAACGGCCTCTACCTCCGTCAGTACTCCCAAACCGGCTGGGGGTGGTGTTGGTGGGGGTGGTGCTGGTGCAGGCGGTGGCGGTGGCTTACAGCTTCCCGGTGGTGGGATCGGGAACAAGGGCAAGGCGAAAGCCAATCCGAGTGCGGAGACGAGTCGTACGTTTCAAGGCATCATCATCCGTGCGGCGTTCATCCGAGTCGGAAAACGTACTCAACACTCTCTTGTGCCTGACTTTTTTTTTTTTTTTTTTTTTCCCGGTGAATAGGGAATACGACAAGAGCTACTTCGAAAGAGTAGGTCCTCGACTCTGCGAACCTTGTGATTGACCCTTTCCCAGTTCCCTAACCCTCTTCCGATCTCTCTCTCTCTCGATCGATATCTCGATACAGACCCCATGAACCCAACACAAACACGAGCATGACGACGGGTGGTGGGAATTCGAAATCCGAACATGAAGGGAGCACGAACGTACAAGACCTCATGGACGCCGTAGGAGCGAGTGGAGTAGATATCAACGTTTGTTTTCTTTTTTCTAAAGCCTCCTTCCAGTTGGGATCTCTAATCCTGAAAAACCAAACCAAACCCTTACCTCCCCCCCCCCAGGCCGAAGAAGATTCACTACGCCAACATCGACCCGTCGGATCTCACTCCAACCCCACCTCAACTTCCCACCCCAACCCATCCACAACCCACACCACCACCACCACCTCCGCCCCGTCCGCCCCCGCAGCTCCCTCCACCTCGACCCTAACCGAGCTCGACCAACGAATCCACTCCCAATCCTTCATCGAGCCTCAAGTGCTCGCGGACGTGGTGCGTAAGATCGCCGCCGAATATTCGTTAAAAAGTTTGGAAGGGCAAACGATCCCTTTGATCGCTTTGGCTTGTCGAACGAGGTTGATGGATTTGATTTCGAATTCGATCTCGGTGAGGGATCATCGGTTGGGTGCGCATCATTTGAGGGAACCTCCTTTCGGTCATGCGCTCAAGAGGAGGAGGATCGATCGAACTTTGGGGGAAGGGGAGGAGGAGGAGCAGCACGGAGGAGTAGGAGAGGATGAGGTGTTGGAGGGGGAGAAGGAACCTGTTTGGGATGCGGTCGTTTATGATGAACCTGAAAAGGCTTTGTGGGTTTTGGAAAAGGTCGATAGGGAGGAGGAGAGGAGGAGGAGGAGGGAGAGGGTGTTGAGGGACGAGAAGGAACAAGAGGAGAAGGAATTGAGGGAAGCGGTCGAGGCGAGTGAACGAGCGCGTGAGGAGCAAGAACGCGGTCCCGAAGGCCTTTCCACACCTGGTCTTGATCGTACGGATCAAACGACGACGACGACGAATACGCTAGGTTCGACGACGGCGGGAATGGAAACGCCTAAATCGAACCCTCTTTTGAAGAAGAAGAAGAAGCGCGAATTGGGTCAAGCCGCGATCGCGAAGAACCTTTCCGGCGACGTGCAGAAACGATTGACCGATCAAATCGCGATGCGATCTTTGGGTGGTCGATCATTCTCTTGGCTTTCGGGAGCAGGTGCAGCAGGGGGAGGTTCAACTATGTCGACGCCTAATCGACCCCATACTCAATCAGCAATCGGAACACCTACACTAGGAACGACCCCAACTGCAGGTTCCTCCTCCCTGAACCCTTTCCCATCCAGTTTGAACCGACTCACGACGATCCCTTCCTTACACGACGCGAACCGACAAAAACTCGACGCCGAGGAAAGTTGGCGCCAAGGTGCTCACGTCGTCGAATTGAAGGATCTCTTATTCGCGTTGGATAATCAGAGGGGGATGGGAGCGGGTAAAGGGGCGGGTAAGGTCGCGAGCTTGAAAGCTAGAGCGGGGGTGGTGAGGAAAGCTTGATGTGGGTGGGGGGGCTGCGTTTAATGTAGATGAGAGAAGTTGTCGGCTCACACGAGAGCATGCATGGCGTGCGATTTTTACCCCCAAGTCAATGCAAGATACCTGCATTCATCTTGATCATTCGATGCTAGTAGACTGGCAGGGTGTGCACGGTAAACCTCGTAGTGTTTGGTACAATCTAGATAGTCGAGCAAAGAGTGTTCAAGAGCGACCAGATGATGTTGAGATGTGGGGAATGATAATGAACCAAAGAGTTGATGTGGTACGGAGGAAGGAGCGGAGAGATCCGATCTCACGGCTTGGTGCAGCTAGAAGAGGAGAGTAGAGTTCAAGCGCGGGTTGAAGCCGGGCGCGCCACCGCCCCCTGACCTCCTCTCACGGCGATTACTATGGCGGCGGCTAATACTACGGCGGCGGTGTCACTGGTTTGGGGTTCGGGCGCAACTGGTTACTCTAACTAGTAAAAAAAAAGTGTGAGTTAAGGAATGTACCTAAAATCACTGTTTTTAACTAGGTGGCGGCCCGGAGGGCCGCCTGTGGTGAATGTACCAGCATGCTGTTGTGTCTGCCGCACCTGCCTCTGGTATCAGAAATAATCAAGCCACCCCGAAACAATTTCTGGTCCTAGTACTGCCAGGACTTGATGGATGGCCTCCGCTCAGGCCGCACCGAAATTGTGAACGCGGCACACTGCGCCACGATTGTCACCTTTTAATGCACAAGAAGACCCTCACTAAGGTTAGGAAAGTTATGTACAATTCAATCATCGCTCTACTTAATCAGTCCACCACCACAGTGACCCGCCTGATCACTGCAACCTTCACCGTCGAACCGCACCTCAAAGCCGCCACTGCTATAAGTTCTTTGGCATCTCACACCCTCTGCTGCTAAGCACCGCAATCGTAGATTTCTGCGCATTTTCAATTCTCCATCAGTAGTAACACTTATGATCCTCCGAAGGACGTGTGTGATGTGGCGAATACAAGAAGAAGAAGAAAATGACACGTACTCGGGTACTGATAGGGGTAATCCGGAGGGTATTCGCTGTGACAGGCCGAACAACGATCTCTCGCGGCTTGATCCGTCTTCTTTTTGAACTTTTTATTATGCAATTGACCGACTATTACGAACGCGCCCCCCCCCCCCCCCCCCAAAAAAAAATTGAAGCCCAACCTCGAACTCAGCGGGGAGAGCTCGAGCGCGCGGGTGACGCTTTGGAAGTATAGAGTCGTTGGTTGGGGGGTTTCGCTTCGACGGCGGTACTACTACTATATAGCTATTCAGGACTCACTGTTGGTCAGACAATTGGTGTAGGCCTCGGCCCAAGGTTGGTTCATACAAAAACAGTTGAAGTAGTACTGGTCTTTGTTTTTATCGTTGGGGGCGTCGTGATATAACTTGGCGATATCGTGACAGAACGGATACGTTAAACCTCCTTGCTGCCGTTGGGTTAGGAGCTGCAGGCACGGGCGACGGGAGGCGAAGGGCGGGCAAACGGTAGTAGGGAGAGGTGTTTAGGGGGGGGGGGTCGTCAGCACCTCTCAACGAGTTTCCTACGGGGGATGTCAACATACGAACAACGAGGATAAGGACGACTCACGTAAGTGTCAGCTACGTCCCTACAGTGCTGGTCCAAGCTCGACTTCGTCATGTCGAACCTGTGCGTTGACTGTGCAGACACGCTGAACGCGAGCGCCGCCACCAAGGCGCTGATACGCATGAGGTTGAGTCGACGGCGAAGAACGAAGAGATGGAAAGGCACCTGGTATGCGGGTCGCTGATGTGATCTGAACACTGAAATTCTGAAAGCTCGAGGTAATGAAAGGATCACTTCTTACGAATGATTGAAATGCAGAGCAGAGGAAAGAGGCTTTGCCCAGGTTTCAGTTCAGCCCTAGCTATCGGCGGTCTAAATCGGCGTCCTGAAAACCTAAAAAGGAGCGCGCCGCTACAAAGGATGTCCGGCGTGCGTGCGAGCCACGCGGGCGGCGGCAGATGGCAGAATGTGCAACTACTACTGCCGCCCCGGCGCGTTGATCTATTCGAGACCACTGTGGGCAAAGTCCATTTCGGCTCCTCACCCGAGCGGATGGTGAGGTGCGAAAACACCTCCACTTGGTAGAACCGCGACTACGATTCTCATGGCTTGCTATCATATCGCGGGATTGGCACGTTGAACTGTAGTTCACATAACACCGAAAAGATTACTGCAATCAGTGACCTTTCACGAGTGACCGTAGCGCGCAAGTTCAATCGCTCGACCCCGACCTATCGCGCGAATGTGTGCGAACGTCCAGCCTTAAAAACTTGATGCTTCGTGTGAACGATCTCGAGTTCTAGCGAATTGTGGAAAGTCTTCCGGAACTACCCTCGTGGGAAAGAAGAAGGACCCCGCTGGGCCGGCGAGCTCGCCTTGCGAAATTTGAAGGTTCTGACTCGCCGAACCGACAAGGCTCTTCACGCACATCTCGCTCTACGCTTAATGTCCCGACATACCACAGCTTTCGAGCGAGACCAGAAAGATGAATCAGTGGATTTTGAAAAGCCCAACACGGACCGAATTGGTAGCGTGCATAGTTCCCAATCAATGGCAACGACCAAAACAGCGAAAACGGAAGCCGGGCAAAACTGAGCATCGGCAGCTCCGCGCTGAGCAGTGCAAAACCAACCAGCAAGCATCCGTCGGGTCAACAAGGCGTTGACGGAGTAACAGTTCTAAAGAAGCAAGCCTAACCACTGTGAAGTGAAAATACCGACTCCGCGGTCCGAGTAGACTGAGATCATCCGCGAACTTTGGCTGCTACCAAGAACACTGGATTGCACATGAGCACCGGATAAATTCCTACACCACACCCAGCCTTCAGTGCTCCTTCGCTTTCAACATGACCCTCCGCTCAACTCTTGTGAACCATTCCTCGACGCCGTATTTCCCATCCTCCATGACCCATTCGACCTCGACACCCATCTGCGCGCCCTCGTCCCCACGCGACGTGATCTCGACCCATCGTTCGATCCTCAATTCGCCAACCTGGGTCCTGCGCACCTGTCGATCCGAACTCAGTAACCAATCCTCGCCGGCGTATTCAAGCTCGAGCGGTGTTCGAGAAGGGAGGTAACCTTTTTCGAATCCGGTCAAAGCGGTCGTAGCCAAGAGTTCTTGATGAGAAGCCGAGAGGGCAAGATCGCTTGAGTGGGAGGGATAGAGTACGTTCGTATGGGTGGATCGGACGTGTGTCCGAGTGAGCAAGTCTTGGTGCGGGAGGTAGACGACCTCCAAGATTTGCTCCAAGCTATCGGAGGGTTGAAGAGCACGAGGCTTGCGGACATAGCGAATGCGACGGAACGCTTCGGAGGAGAGGTCAGGCGAGTCCAATGCGAGTTGATTGAGCCGGTCGAGCGGATCGTCGGCGTCTTCTTCATCTGAGAGGTCCGAGAAGAAGGGCAAGTCGTACACGTTTTTAGAAGGGTTGCTCAAACCGCTGGCGCGGGTCGACTTCGTCGCCCCGGTGGACGAGAGGAATCCGGTGGGTGGGCAGGATAAAAAGTGCCGGTGCGGGGGTAAAGAAGTGACATCGTCCAAAGCGACGGGCCCGAAGACGGGTGTCGAGGACGATGGGTACAAAGGGAATAGCAGGTGACCAAAAGTGGCTTTGACGCCGTGCTTGGTGGTCGATTCAGCCGAATTTGGCAGGAGAGAACGCATGTTATTGATGCGCGACAGCACATCACTCGATCCAGTCGTCTTGATCTCCTCTCCGCCGTCCCGAGAGCGCCGATTGACGTCCACCAGACGAGCAAACGAACTTGTCGAATCGTTCGGGAATGCCGGAGATGATATAGGTCCGAAAGGAACAAAGCAGAATTCATCCTTGTCCCCTTCCGCGTTCCTGACGATGAGATTGGTCGCTCGAGCCTTCCTCGCCTCGGCAAACGCCAAACCCAAGAGCCTCTCTGCCGTTTCTAGTCCCTTCTTGTCATTCGTCGTCGCCCTTAGAACACTATCCGACTCTTTTGCATCCTCGGGAGCTTCAAGGTAGACTTTGGCGTTTCGTGAGATCGTCTGATAAACCTCGGCGGGTAGGCTCCTCGTCGAATCGGGTAGAACGAAATCCCGTCGATCGGCCGTTTCGCCAATCGAGCCGATCGTTTCCTGCGCGACGAGCACCGAAGCTTCGGGACCAGATACGATGAGGTTCAACGTCGAGGTTTGTGGGTCCTGTTGAAAGGAGAAGCGAAGGGAGTGATTCGCGGAGAGGTGGCTGAAGGTCGTCGAGCCTGCGAGAGGTGGGAAAAGTCAGCTCATCCAAAGGAAGCGTTCACCTGCCACATCAGTCATAACCTACTTGGCGATAAGAGCAAGAACAAGGTGCGGTCCGAGAGTGGGATAGCTGTTGGAGCACGAAAAAAAAGGTCAGCCCATCGCCGGCAAGTCGTGAGACTCTGTGTGTCGACCCACCCTGGGTAGCTTTAGGCCCCTTCGCAGCGGCCGGCACCGCCGCCGGATCGACCATGCCCCATTTCAACACCATGATGGTGACACACAGCTCCTTCTTGTTCATCATCCCGAGCGTCTTGTTGAGATACTTTTTGCCCCTCGTCCGTGCACGCATCTTCGAGGCTTCGCCCAAGGGGTCCAAGCTGAGCCCCAGTGGGCCGGCGAGATGGAGCAGTTGGGACTTGGTAAAGGCGTGCGAGAGTGCCTCGTACGTCTGAGCCCATGCTCGAGAATAGACGACACGGTAAGATTCGGGGGAGGTGTGGGAAGGGATCGTGAACCGCCGTGGCTGCAGCGCATCGAGGTCTTGGGGCGAGGGGAGATCGGTCGTGGTGTCGCTCTGCAGCAGGAGTTGCGGGGTCAAGAGTGGATGGACCGATGGAATGAATCCGTTCGTTCCTGTTTCTCGGACTGGTGATTGGGCGTCTGGTGTCGATTGCTCCTCCAAAGTCAGCGGTGGTGTCGAGGATGGGCCTGCTTCCGATCGAGCTGCGGTCGATGAGGACCAGCACCTCGCAGAAGGTCGCGTTCGACCGAGCTCTATGCGGCGATCAAGATGTTCCCGTCCATAAGCTGTCGAAATGGGTGCCAGCATTCTTGCTCGCTCGGTCGTACCGGTGCGACGCCCTGGCCGCGCTGGCGTGGGTACGCTCGAGCTGCTGCTGCCGCCGCTTGCGAAGCTCGCTCGAGTCGATGACGATCGCCCACCGCGCGCGGACGCGACTCGAGCCGAAGCTGCAGCAGCTCCACACGCCGCACACAACGACAACGACAACGACGATGACGAGGTGGACGCTCCATTCGAGGAGGTCAATGTTTGGGACAGGAGAGGTCGGGCTGAGCGAGAAGATGAACGAATCATGGTCGTCGCACCGCACTCGTCCCGTCGGCAGTTGATCGCCGTCGGGTTGACTGGGTTCGGTGCCAAGTGGAGAGAAAAAGAGTCGGAGCGCGCACGAACAGCCGCGATCTCGCGCCGGTCAAAATTAGGTCGAGAAAGCTTGGACCCCCACATCGGTACAAGGGCCACGAGACTCACCTGTTCAACCGCGCTTATTAGTATATTGGCTCGGGGCCCTCGTTCTGGCACGCAAGTCGGGAATTACGTCTTCCGCGTTCCCCTCCTTTTTTTTTTGGACGCTTGAAACTGAAGATTACGTGCGCATCTGGCCGCAAGCCTGCAGGGCAGGATACCCCCTCCCTAATCGCAGCAGGGGACCGATCGGGCATCCAACGATACCTCAGCTTGTTCGACCAAAACCAAACCTTCCACCCGATCCAACCTGCTTCACCAAGAGCCCGCTACCCTGTTTATTCTACGCCCCTCGTCACGTCACCCGCGGAAGTCATCCGCGAAATTCTTTTTTGGCCGTCGCCCGATGTCGGATTCCAACAGGAGTCGTTCCGTTGTCGCCGGCGCGAGCAGGTCGTCAGCTTTGATTTTCATTCTTTTGGCCTCGTCGGCTTTACATCTTAATTTCATTAACTTTGGTTTCATTGTTCCGTTTGTGGAACATAGGTCAGGTTCATGACGTAGTCACGGTCTACGCCGACCAACTGAGACTTGACTCTTCTGCCTGCGTGCCGAGGTCGCTCTGTTAAGTTCTACGCACATACACCATTTAAAATCGCATAGAAAGAGATTCATACTTGTTGTAAGCTCCTCTTCCGATTTTCGGGTGAACTTCGACTGGCGACGTTCTCATCGTGCGACAGCGCCCGCCGCACCAAGAAAGGGGCTTCGGACCGAGGGCCAAGTATAGGTCATGATGAGAGGTCGAGGTCAGTAAAAACAAAGCCTGGATAGGTATGGGGCTATCCAGCGGCAAGGAACTCAGTAGCAACGGACGATCATCCTGCGCACCCAATAAACACTCTTACACAAGCTGCAGGGGCCGGTCATGATCAGGTTCATATTATTGTGGCTGCCGGTTCAAGCGATCAGCGACGATTGGCTCTCGGTACTGTGAACTAATGAGTACACCAGTGCTGCGCGACCATGTCCGACCTTGATCCGTATACTCACCGAGACGCTCGTCGGAACGGCAAGCTTAAGGCTTCTTTTAAGGTCGTACCTAGAGTGCCTTCTGATGGTCCGAGTCGGCGTCGAAAAACCGCGGCTCCTGGATCGCAGGCTTTGCACAAGCTTTTCTTTGGGGGGATTCGAATCTGCCATTGCACCTGGATATACGAGGTGTTGTTATTGCTCCTTCCAGTGTCGGTGTCTCTTCCTTCGTCCAGCGAGGCGACGCGTGGCCGTACAAATTGAAGGGGGTCACTCGAGCCGCGCGAGCGAGATCTCTTCACCCGAACCAGCTTTTTTGCATAAGCTCCCAACCCTTGTCACCCAACAAGGATCGGATGTACATCATCCCATACCTATTGAAGCACTGCTCGTCCGTCTCGTCCGGCAGGGCCTCTAACCCTTGAGCCAGCGTGCCTCCACTCTGTTCGGCTTCCCGCACGCGTTCCCACAGCATTAGGAACACCCTCGTCGTGACCAACGCATCGAAGAAACTCCCCGTGATCCTGACCCCTGTCTCTCCGATCAAGCCCAACAGCTTTTCCGCGTCTCTGAATCCAATGAACCCCTCCCGCCATTCGGGCATGATCCATCCTTTGAGGAGCACTGTGGTTGCGACGTCCACGGAAGGACCGTTGAGTCGTGCAAAGTAATCGTTTATGCGACGCGAGTCGCCTACTTCGAGTCGACTGCCCATCCGAAACGCGCGGTACTGATTGAGCGCCAGCGTCTGCAGTACCCCCGCAGGTCGTTGTGGTGAAGTGAGAAAGCCGACCAAGTCTTCATAGCGAGGTTCGGTGCCTTTTTCGAATACAATCGACTCGAGCGAGGGCAGTTGCACGATCGACTCCCAAAAGACGGGGGTAAGTTGCACCGTGCCTTCGAGCGAGAGGTGTCGTAAGCGCGTGAAGCGGGCCAGAGTTTCGTCAAAGACGTCGACAGACCGATAGTCCCAGGCCATGTACTGGCTACAGACGATCGCCAGGTCGCAGAGTTGGGTGGAAAGTGACCGGATGTAAGGTACCAAATTCTGGTCCCCCCGCTCGGGGCAGAGGTAGATCTTCTCGGCGTGGGTAAAGCATGCCACAAAGCCGAGCAAGCGCGAAGATGAAAAATTGCCCGCGATCGTGACTTTTCTGATTCCCGGTAAACTGAATTCTGGGTGCGTCGTAACGTTGAGGTCCCATTCGGTTTCTTCTTCTTTCGAAGGCGGGATGAAGAAGGCGAGGTCTTGCAGACTCGGATGCGGGGCCAGTCGGGCCAGTTGTCGAGACGTCACACGAGACCCCGCAGGAAAGATAATTCGAAATCGGTATAGGCTCGGCACGCAGGACCGTGCGAACTCGTCGGAGAGGATGATGGTCAATAGATCGGATGGGTCCTCGGCGTCGGCGTCGTCGTCGTCGTTCTTGTCGCCAACGGTGAAGTCGTCGCGTCGATCGTCGTCCTCCCCCTCGACGCCGAGATCGTCTCCATACGCCTCATCGTTCTCCCCCTCCCCCTCCTCTTCTTCGCCGGTGTCCCCGACCCAAGAAAGATCTTTTAACCAAGTCATCGCCTTGAATCCTGCCAAGACCTCGTGCTGTCGCAGCGTTGGAACACTCTCGCGATAGATCTCCACATCCTCCAACTCCGTTCGGTCCGAGTTACCCCACATGACGCCTTCGTAATTCTCCTTCAGCTCGAGGTACCTCGCCGTAGGGTTAATCTTGAGTGAGCTGATCAATCCTCCTAAACCGGGGGAAGTCGTCAAGGTCGTGTAGAAGAGCGCCTCGAACTGAGCCCAGCTGCGCAAGTCGATCGAATGGTACAAGGCAGCTCGTTGCTGTGCGAGCAGGGCCTTGCAAATCGGCCGACGTAGGCAGTGATCAGCCTCGTTGATCTCGTTCCGGACGAGGAAGAAGATGCACCGCTGCAGTTCCGGGGGTAGTCGAGAGAAGTGATCAACGCCTTGCCGATGCGGTGTCGATGATGAGGTCGCCTTTGCCGACGATGTTGTAGCGAGCTAGTAGACGGGGATGATGAGCAGGTTCAGTAATCAAGTAGACCAGTCAGAGTCGAGACCAGAGCTCACTGTGGTTTTGTCGTCGGCGTCGATATCCATCATAGTAGCCCCGTCCGAAGCGGTGCGGTGGCCAACGCCTACCCGAGTAAGTGCGTGAGGAAGGAAGCGTCAATAGATGCAGATCCAGGTGGGGGAGGGTGGGGGCCTCGGAGGGACCTGGAGGGACTCGGTTTGCGGAAGGCACGCAGACATAACCGCGCTACACCTCTGGCTATATATCTCGACTCCTCCATAGTGCGCGCTGTTTGTGGCGTTTGTTTTAGGATGGAAGAGTCGAGTTGCAGTGATAAGAGAAAAACCCGCACTCCGTAACAAACGGAGGGTTTTCTAAACAGGAGTTATGAACAAGTAGGGTGGGAGGGAGGAGCTCAAAAAAATGGTCGATCGGCTTTGCTCAAAGAGCGCAGGTCCGATTAGTAACTAAAACACTGCAACTGACTTGGGGGATAGGGCATACCTTTGCTCGAAAAGCGCAGGGCGATGGCAGGGGAGGAAGGCGACGCGGTAGGTAGACGCGGCCAAACGAGGTCTGTATACAAGGTAGCCCCATGAGTCAACATGCCCAACAAGGACAGTCGTGATCCGGAATGCGAACCTTAGCTAGAAACAGCGAGCCGCGATAGTGCGAGTCTCGAAAAGTTCGCCCTTGCTCTAAGCAGTGGGTGCGATACGACCTTGAAAAGCAGCGGGTACGGCGGCTGCTTACAACGTAGTGGCAGGCTAGCTCATCAGTCCAACTGTCCAACAAGGGCAGAGGGCTTACGAGGGATGTTACCCACTTTGAGTGAGTAGAGACTGGCAGGGGGGGTGCCGGAACCACAACACGAAACGCTAAGGCGTGCGGGACGACGAGGGAGAGGGAGAGGAAGGGCCCGCGCGCGCCAGCGGGTGAGCAAGGCGGGAGGCCCAAGGGGGCCGAGAAGAGTGCGTGCTGGCACAGGGTCCAAAGAATGCGTGTTCGAAGAGTGGAGCGCGAGCGGGCCCCGTTAGGCCGAGACCAGCGCGCTTGAGCTGTCCGCGTCAAAATCTTGCAGCAAAGGCCGAAAAGACTATGCTTAGAAATATAGCCAGAGGTGCCGCGCTAATAGCTCGTCACTCTGGGCTCACATAAGGTCGGCTTTTGGGCCCACTTCGGAGGCACTCTGGTCCCACATCGGAGGCGACTTTGGGATCACATCGATGCGGACTTTGGGATCACATCGATGCGGACTTTGGGATCACATCCGAGGTCATTCTTGTACCACGTTCATGGGGACTTTGGTACCACATAGTGTAGACGCCTGTATCTCTTGCAATGTGTGATGTATCACTCTGGGAACAGTAGTTTGATGCATGTACAGGTCTATATGACATATGGCCGGTGAGACAAAGCGGACAATGCAGTAGTTGCTACATCGGGATTATGCCCTGCTTGGCCCTCCGGGCCCGGCCGTGGTGCCCGCGGTCCGACCTCACGATCGTCACCAGGCAGCGAGCGTAGCATGCAACAAACATCGTAGGGTGGAGCAAACCCTTTTTTCCCTATGCCTTGTCACTGTAACGTCATTATCACTGACCATTTCAGTGACGCCGTCACATAAACCACATGGGTGAGCTCTAGCTCCATAAGGCCTGCAACCGTTAGAACCCTTATTAGAAACCGGCAAACTCACGAATGCCGCTGAGACGAGCATCCTTTTTTTTTTAAAAAAAAAAAAGAAAAGAAAAAAAAAAAAAAACCCTCATTGAAGCTTCGTACGCTCCTCGTCTTTACACCCCACTCGCCCACTCGTACACATACAATCCTCACACAAAGCACTCCTTTCCTTCCTTGTTGAGCGGATGAGCGGATAGTTCGTCCATTTCGAGGAACAACGCCTGGATGGGGTACCTTCTAGACGACGCCAAGTACGCTCATGTCAACAACTTAAGCGATGAACCAACTGCAAGTCAAATACAGAGGGGACCGCTCACCCATTGCGCGGCGACAACAAAGCTCGCCAGAGCCATACCTAACCTATCGGATGATGAATCGGATTCATATGAGGATGAGGACGATTCGAAACTCTCGGCAGCTTTGGTCGCGGTTCCCCCCAAGTCCTCGCTCGACGTCTCGCACCTCCTCAGCCTCGGGGCTTTCGAACTCTCGCAAGAACTGTTCCAGCGACTCCGAAGAGGATTCGACAAGCGATTCATACTACGGAGTCGAATAAGACAGCTCAGAGGTATTACCTGACAACATCGTCTCCGCACCACTCCTGACTCGGAAAGACAAGAAGATTTGGACCGGCATACCTGCGAGCTCTCTCGGCGGAACGCAGACCGACGAACTGTCGAACACGACGCGCGGAGGCATTTTTCTCAAACATAATCTTCACCACTGCAGAGCACAACGAGCTCCGTCTCAGGCCGCTCGTTCCTCGCAAGCAGAAATCCTAATGGAAATTTGTAAGCAACCTTCCTGTCCTGGAGCTCCCAAGGTTCATAGCTACAGAGGTGTGTCGAAGCTGCGTGCTGCGCTGCGTTTTTTTTTTTCGTCCTGTGATCGACCTAACCCCTATTGGTATATATCAACAGACGCATGACTGGGCTCCACGCAAATATGAATGCTGTCTCGCTGTCGTCAAGCGACCTTACGGTAACGCGCGCTCGTCTACTCATCATCAACATCCGTCGGACGTGGCAGTGGGGATCTGCTGACGTCCAGAACTGCCCATCACTCTTATAGAGGCTTGGAGTCAACCCGCGAAGGTCCACCTGTTGTGGAGGTTCTGCGGATGGTCGTCGTTGCTCGGGGGCCTGCAAAAGAGATCGGGGACGTAAGTTTGAACATCGTTCAACTGCAATGATCATACAAGCAAAAGTCCGCCGATGTCGAGCGTGACTTATTAGAATCTGTATCTTCGCTCGATTTCTATGAACTGTTCTTCATGGATGAGAGAAGCGAGGGACCGGTGCCAATTCTGGTCTAATCGGCGCAATCACGTTCGGGAGTGTCGGCCTTGGCGTTTCGGGCGCCGGACCGCTGACACCACCGGCGCGGAGCGGCCAAGCATGGGCAGAATCCCGATGTAGCAACTACTGCATTGTCTGCTTTGTCTCACCGGCCAGAAGTACTATAGACCTGTACATGCATCAAACTTCTGTCCCCAGAGTGATGATACATCACATATTGCAAGAGATACAGGTGTCTACACTATGTGGTACCAAAGTCCCCATGAACGTGGTACAGAATGACCTCGGATGTGATCCCAAAGTCCGCATCGATGTGATCCCAAAGTCCGCTCCGATGTGGGACCAGAGTCGCCATCCTCGGGACCAAAGTGCCCTGCTATTCGCGCGATTAACCTAATTCCGTTGCGGAAGCTTGCGGGTCGGGCTGGGTCGGGTGCTACGCGCGTCAGAGTTCGCAGAGTCGCTTCAGGCTGGTGTTCCGGGGGTTTTACCGAGTCCGGCTTCCATTTCAGCCTAAGCTCATCAAATCCCCTCCCTCTGGGAGGGGCTTACACATTAGCCGCGCGTCTGGCCCGGTTGCCCTCCGAATTCTCTGGGCCAAAAAAGGGTGGTTTGCTGTATCATGGCAAATATTGCAAAACTTTTGAAGACAGCGAAGTACTAAGCTCTTCTAGCTTAAAAAACATCATGTGCCACGTGGCTAGTCTTGTGATGAAGTTGACGTCAAGCTGCAGCAGCTCAAAGTCTGCGTTCTGGCTCGGAAAGGCCTAAAAGTGGTCCGAGCGCGCCGTTGCAGCCCTCTCGACTCTGGCACAGCGAGCTCACGCCGGTGGCTCCCGCTTCTTCTCCCTCAATCGTCGCAACCACTTCCCATCGTCAGCAATATCTCAACGCACCAAGATGAAGTCTTCGGACCATCAATGATATCGAAAAGGAAATACAACTCTTCATCGCGTCAAAAGCAACGCCGCGAGGCCGAGGTAGACGAGAAGCTCCGTTCGCTCAACATCTCGCTATGTCAATACCTCCAGTGGTACTTCAACCCAGACACGACAGCCCTTCAGGTCTTGACGCATCGCCCAAAGCTTTTCAACGGTCATTGGGCCAGCTTCGAACACGTGCTCAATCTGATCGTAAAAGTAGGCCGACAAAGTAGCAGCAATGGACGAGATCCATCAATACGTGGATTGCCAAGCAGGTAGGTAATGCTAGCCATATACCACAATTCACATCCCCTTTTGATCACCCCGCAAGATTGTAGCTGACATCACGTTATCTTGGAACAGTCTGACTCGATCATTGTTCGGGAGATGAAGAGATCAAAGCCAACTTATGTTCCCAGCCACGAGATCACACCCGACCGTCTGACATCCGACTGCATCGACGAAGGGCTCGACAAAATTGCAGACGACAATCAGTTTCTTTTTGGTCGAATTCAAAACCTACTCTCTCGGTGCGCAGATACTTAGTAACTGATACTGCCTGGAGAGAGCCGATCGATGGCGTCGTTGCCAATCGTACCGCGCAAGATGAGGTCATGGAAGATACCGATGGTTATGGTGTGCAAGAACACGGCACTTAGTCGCAACATCGTAGGGAAAAGCACTTGTTGTTTGTGAGTTCTCAACCGTCGTTTGTCTTGTTGTGCTCACACTTCAGACTTCGCACTGACAGTGTCCGCTTTCCAGCTTTCACGCACTCTGATGGGGCAACTCGCGTACACTTGCAATCGTCGGTGCAACGCCATGCAACATCGTAACGGTTTTTTCGCCTTGGCATGCGGCGCAAGCGAGCGCTTGACAACTTTTCTGCAAGACTGACTCGAAATACTTGAAATCCTCGCTTTTGTCGAGCAAGCGGAGAATCGACCGTGACTTCGAGGCCCCAACTTTTGTGCAGCGCAGAAAGACCGATCGATGTTTCCTCCCTGGTGTTGCAGTACACGATTGATTGAGGGATACTACTTGAATCGGATCGGACGCTGAACATTCTGGGAATATCTGTCATTGTAGCCTTGGTATGAGGTGTCATTTCGACGACGATGTTGCGTAAATTAGGGCGAAATAGGTCGGCTTTGGCAAGAAAAGTTCGCGATTTAGAGATGTTGGCAACCGCTAGAATTTTGTCGATTTTGTCGGGTGGCGCGCCCGCAGTAAGGAACAAAGTTTGACAACCAATTCGGAGACGTTGTTGAACAATTTGAGCATACTCGGTGCGAAATGGGTTGGATCCCTCGGTGGTATGCGCCATAGCGCCGACTCGGTCTTTTCGTCCCGTGAGTCCCCACTCGGCGATCTTGATCGCCTCGTCGTAAACCAGCAATTTGATCCGCTCTCGGAATGAGGAAGTGAAAATCAATTCACTCCAACGAACGTTGCGCGCATGCATTTCTGGAGACTGCGAAGTCAACAATGCCGTACAATAGACCGTGTTCAGCCAACTTGAAGCAGAAAATGCAAGGTCACAAGGTCTTGAAGCTTACAATGAAGATGTACTCGACTTCGCAAAGGGGATCTTTCAATTGCTCGTATAATTTTCCGTCTTTCCACGTTTTCTTGGACACAACAACGGCCATCTTGCCCCTCATGAATAGCTTTGCGGCCTGTTGAATGCTCCGAGCGTGACCGTCTGTAGACGCCCGACACATTGGCCGGCAGGAGTCTTGCTTACCTGATGCTCACTCAATGCATTTAAGGGACTGATGATGATTGTAATTGCTCGCTTACCGAACACGAGACTCATTGCTTCAAAAAGCGTACTTTTGCCGGACCCTGTTGGTGCGGCGACGAAGACTGCGTCGAACGTATTCGTGCATCCGCGCTTCCTGTCGAGCTCGAGGAGACCAGCGATTGCATTGATCTGAAACGGCCGCGGCTCGAAGTCGTCACCAAACTTTTCGAGAAGCAGCAGCTTGACCTTGATGCGTAGCGAATCACGGTCCATTCGATCCTCCTTTGGAATACGTGAGTTCCATCTAACGATCGAGGGGGATTCGGGGGTCGGGTTGGATGACGGCTCTACACGGCCGATAGATGCTGTTAGACTTGCTTTGCTGGCTGAACGCATAGGAGATTCTCTGATTTCAATTGAGGGATGTCAACGAGGTAGGTTTTTGGCTGGTGTGGTAGCATTTTGGGTTGACATGCTTGGGGTGAAGAGCCAAAGCCTGGTTTGGCCTTGCAGCCGCTCGTTCGAATTCGAGCCCTCCTGGTCCGTGCGCGCGAGTGCGTCTAGGAAACATTCAGGACTTTGTTCCGCTGTAGCACCATGTAAACGGCATGTGTTCGCTTGTCCTTTTGCAATACACCTTTTCAACTATCTGAGTATGACCTCTTCAGCTGTCGCAAAAAGTTATGTCATATTTGCCATGATACAGCAAACCACCCTCTTTTGGCCCAGGGAATTCGGAGGGCAACCGCGCCTGACGCGCCGATAATGTGCAAGCCCCTCCCAGAGGGAGGGGGTCGAGCTTAATTTCAGCCCTATTCGGCTTGGTACGCCAGAGTTTGCGTGCTCTTGCAGGCTTTTGCGTGCGGAAGCTTGCGGAAGTCGCGCTCAGGCTGTCGCGCTCCGTCGCGCTTCGCTTCCGCCTTGTACGCGCTCGTCCCGTTGACAATTGTGCGGACACGCGAACAAGAGGCATCCTCAGCCTCTGTTACTTAGTAGTAACTCACGTCCTGCTTGAAGCCGGAAAGCGTGCACCCTGTCTACCCGAATCCCGGCTTGACATCCCTCCAGACGCGCGTATCACGTGATGCTTTGGACGCGTCGCGCTGTCGAACCGCCGGTGACCGAAACCACCTGTGTGGGTTCTCCAGACGCCGAAGCTTCTACAACTGCTTTAGTTCAACCACGAAGGATGCCCGACCTCCCCTCCGAGATCATCCGACTCATCCTGGCTCATTCGGACGAGACCAACTACGACGACGAGTACGTTTTTTAACAAGCGAAGGGCTTTGGCGCATGTCGTGGGCGATTTCCTTCCCGCCTCGCGCAGTTCTGAGCCGTATCGCGTCGCAACAGTAAACCCAGCAGATTATCTTACGGCTGGTGGACGAGCTGGTGTCGCGTTAGTCGCACGTGGTGCGCCTGGGTCAGTCAAAAACCTTCTCATTCCATGGTGTGTGTACGCACCAACTTACCGCCAGCTGACCCAATGTATTTACCACCAGATTCAACCCATCCTTTATCGACATGTCAGACTCCGAAATTAGGACTCGCTCTACCGGTTTCAAGACATGCTCCAAATGATCCCCTTGTTTCCCCGCGCTCATCACTTGGGACGACTCGTGCAAAGCTTCGACTTCAGGCCGATTCACGAACCGACGACCTCGGTGTCAATCGTCTGGCGACTCCTTCCCTTTGAAAAGATCGTAAGCCACTGCACGGCCCTCAAGAGTGTCACGCTCAACCGCTACGCGATGCCGAGTCGGAAGTCGTGGAGGGTCTGGCACCGCTCGCTCGACACGCATGCCGCCGTTGCTTCGCCCATCAAAAGCCTGAGCTGCAGTCTCCCCTTCACGAGCGAAGCCCTCCAGCTGTTTGCATGCCTGGGCTCCGAACTGCAAGAACTCGTCGTACGAGGCTGGGAAGATGAAACGATTGCGTCAGCCCCGGACGTGGAACAAGAACTCTACCACATCTTGCGCATGAACGCTTTGTTGGTTCGTCTAAAGCGCTATTCGCTGTCCGGCCCGCGCTATGTACTCCAGAGATGCTAAACTTCCGCCGTACCTGTGTTTGCAGCCGAGTGCGAGGACCGGTGTCGTGACGTTCGGACTGCGCAAGATCTCTTTCGTCGCTGAGGGCTTCGTCAGCGCGGCGTTCATTCAGTCGCTTCCGTTCATGGCTCCCCAGCTAGAGGAGTGAGTATGGTTCGAACCGCCCCTGCCCATTGTATGCTTCTGCATCCTAACCTTCATTCTCTTGCTTGGGACCTCGAGTAGACTACACATCGCAGAGGAGGTGGACATCTTCGAAGCCGACGACAACAATCGGGGCAGTGACCTCACCTTCCGTGACTTGATCGCGTCCCTCCCCCGGACTATGAAGAGCTTCAAGATCTACGCCACTCACGATGCTCACTTGGACCTCGGAACGTTCGAGGGTCTCGATGCCCACCTTCCAGGACTTACGCAGTTGGGAGGACGTTCGCACTTCTTCAGGTACGTGCTCCACCTTCATGAGCCTCGCTGGACCTCGCTCGCTAGTATTTCGATGTCCATCGAGCCGGCCCTGATACACCCCCCTCCCTCAATCTGCTTGACATTCGCAGTCAAGACATATTGATCGCCCTTGCCGACCACGGTAACGTGAGTTCATTGTGCATCCATTCGACGAGGAGGGTTGAGGAGACATCTGCTCTCTACGATGACGAGGACGATAAGCGCGCGGTGTATCGAGATGAGACGCTCGACTCGCGCGCGGCGGTGCAAGAGATGGGGGCGGTGGTGAGGGATATGATGGTGCATGGAATGAGTTGGAGACAAGAGGATGACCACGAAAAGTCTGGAGTGATTGATAGGATGATGAGGCTTGCGAGGGGTCGAGCTCAGAGAAGGGACGCTGCTGAGAGTGCGTGAAGACGATGTGAGGAGAGAAGATCGAGTCGAGCCCGGCTGGCTCCCGAGTGGGACATGTTTAGTTACAGAAATCGGCCAGCTATGAGGGATCGATACGTCGAAACGAAATAAATTGAGGGCTAGTCTTCCTTCGACCCGTGAGCGAGTCTCGAGATGACGGTCATTCGGACTCCGAGCAAGCCCGATTGAGGTGAGCGAATCTTCCAGGCAGGACATACTTTCTGTCCGAGTTTCCCTTGAGGATCTCCAGAAAGTATATTTACAACACAAGGTAGGTAAAGGAGCGCAGGACTGTGTAGCAAGGAGCGTGGGGCGAGCTCAAGCGAGAGGAGGTAGGTCCCCTGTCCGTTGCGCGTCGATCACGGCTTGGGCTCTGACCCCCACCTCGATCTGGCTCGGATTGGGGAGGACGGTGGTGTCAAGCAGCGTCATCGTCGAACATGATGCGGTGAAACAGGGTCTCCAAGATGGTATGTTAGCTTTCACACTAATTCAAAGTCGCTGTAGTGCCTCAGGAGCTGGCGTGCTAGGCTGGATCGGCGATGCTGACACTGTCCTGTACGACGCATACCACCAGATGAACGCCAGCATGTCAGCACCATGGAAGATGCAGCAACAACCAGGGCATCGACCATCCCTGCACCTCACCTCCACAGCAGGCCTACCACGCGGTCATGGACGCTCGACACTGAGCTTCGCACCACGCCGCGTCTCGTCCATGGCTCGTCCCCGCCTCGTGCCCGTCTCGATGACGACCAGGATCATGTACCACCCTGCAACGTTTCTACTTCACCTCGGTGGCATCACGCTGGGGACCATGCTGGTGCCTGGTATTGCGACGCGACGTCAGCTCGCGTCAAAGGCCGCCAATGACACGGACACAGCTGCTTCATCAACGACAGCGGCTACGGCTGGACCCCCGAAATCACTCGTCGATGATCGAATACATCCTTCACCTACACCGAGGCAGCTCATCAACCTGGCCAACTCGCTGCGTCGTCAATTTCACGCTCCTTCCGGCAGTCCCACCCCATCGAAGCTGCAGAGCCCAGCGGACCCCGACTCAGTCGTACCACTACCTTATGACGCGTGTTTCACTCTACGACAACTCCACATGACGATGCAACGACCCCACATTACGCTGCCGCCCACGCACATCTACGGCTACTCGATGCCATTGCCGACCCTCAAGCCCGAGAAATGGGTCTGGCGACTACCGGCGACGTGCGCCTTGCATGCGATGCTGCGTCATCTCCTTCATCGTCGTCGGAACAACGAGAAATCGAGGGAAATGCTCGAGCCTCTCATCGTTCAACTTGTGCAACACGCGCTGTACTGGGACGGCTTGATCTGGACCGCGGTCGTCAAGTCCCGAGGCTCCGAAGCGGAAATCGAGTGGTGGTGGCTCTTTGAGAAGCTCAGAGGCAACATTACCGGAGAGGGCGCCAACGAGGACGTCGGCATACTCTCTACTATTTCGTCGGGGCAAGTGATCAAAACGACGACTCCGCACAGCTTGCAGCGATCGACCGAGATGCCACTCGCGGCTCCCTCGGACGCTGCCACCCGCTCGCGCAAGCGAAGATCCCCCGCACACCGCAGACGAGTCGAGAGACGGCGAGTCGAGATGTCGATGAACCCACAAAATATGCGACAGAGTCAGCTCGATCAAGCTGATCTCCACAGTGTCGAAGTGCTCGGTCAGTTCTGCGAGCCCGCCTCGGCCGCGGCGGCAGACCTCACGTCGCATCCGCTCTCCTCCATCCCGCTCCCTACCCTCGAACTCGTTTTCGACTGTCTGGCCCGATCGCCATCGTCATCGACCCGGTCTTCGGCTCTGTCGATCGCACTCTCGATGTCGAACCTCTCGTTCCGACGATCGGCGCGTTTCCACTCCCAAGCATTCGATCTCGCGCTTGCGCTCGGCCGACCCGATCATGCGGCTCGATTTTGGTCCGATTGGCTAGTGCAGTCTCCGTATCATTCATCTGGTTCGACGCGAAGAAGACTGGCGAACGAGTTGACTCGATTGAAACCCCATCTCCGGGCATCCAGGGAGGAATTCTCGAGCGAGTTGGGCCAGAAACAACTATCCGCGATGGCGACTCTGACGCGAGCATTGCATCTCGAGTGGTCACGGCGTAGCGCGGCATCCGACCCAGAACGGCCACTGGTCGAGTCTCTCCTCTTGGACTTGGTAGGATCATTCCCTCCCTCAATCGAACAGATTGCGGTCGAAGGTCAGAGCGAGTACCGTCGTGTTCATCGACTCCATTCGGCTGTTTTTTTAATGGCTCGTCAAGTCATGCTCGAGGTCTTATCATCCCTCTTGGGTCGTCAAGTCATTGCCGGTGCCTCAGTGACGGACCCAGCAGAATTAGGACCACCTTTGTTACCATCAGGCTCCGAGTCATCACCGCCGCATCGGCTCGACATTTTCACCTTCAACGTCCTCATCACCTACGCCTTGCGTCAACTGCAATCATACCCCATCGCATCCGAGCTCGTTTCCAAGCTCCGTCAACTCGGCCTCACACCCACCGCAACGACGCATAACCTCCTCTTCGAGACCTTACTACACTCGGACCTCGACCCTCTCGAAGCCATCAAGTCAGGTCAAATTCCTCACAATGACCATACGTGGTCGCTACTCCTCTCTCATCTCGCGCGGACAAAGCAAGCCCATCGAATCGACGAGGTGGTCTTCTACCTTCTACCCGAATTGGATCATTCTTCCGTCGTAGGGAAGAGTAAACCGGCAACCGAACCGACACCGCCGAGGGAGGATAAAGGGGCGGAGTTCTACACGGTCCTCTTATCCGCTCTGTTCAAGTTGCGCAAGACGGGATTGGCGGAGAGGGTGTTTAGGCACGCGAGATGGGCGGCGCAACGTTCGCGTCAGACCCGGCCAGTGGTGGAGACGCAAGTTGAAGCCGAGCCAATTGTTCGGAGTGTTCGACGAAGGGGTAAAACGACCATCGAATCTACACCAGCGACTGCACCATCTCCCGATCGAGTCAAGCCTTGGGTGCTCCCCCCCGCGGCTTACATCTCTATGCTCCTCCTCTACGCGAACGAAGCGCAACACCCTCACCACTCCCTTGAACCAGGTCAACCTCCACACGCTCGTACCTTCGTCAACGGTTGGGGTCGTCGACCTCTGCGTATCCATACCCAGAAAGCCCGGCAACAAGAGCTCGAAGCCAAATTCGGATCCTCCTTCGCTTCTTCCCGACCACGTCAAACGCGCTCAATCAACGTCTCGGGTTATTCAAGAAAGGAAGCGGCTGCGATCGTGGCGATGTATGAATTGGAAGTCTCTTCGAGCGTGGAGGAGATGGGGAGCTTGGCCAAGGCGATGAAGAGTGATCTTGGGAGGAGGTGTTTGAAGATCTTGTTCCCTGAGATGCAGGGCAGCGAGCAAGGGGTCCGGGGAGCGATCAGGAGGAGAAGGAGGGATTTGAAGGAGGAGATGGAGGTTCTGAGAGCGAGATAAGCGAAGCAGGGATTTTTTATATCGGGTCCTTGCAATGTTGTAAAGCTGCAATTTCATCAAATACCCGCAGCGTATCGCTTCATCGGGAGTCTTTTGTTGCTCGTCCATCTGGGATGCGCCTCGAGGTAACAGTGGGGAAAGGATCATGGCGTGTGCGCCTTATTGCAACGACTGGTGAAGCTCATTGTCGGATTTTCTCGGGACCCAACAGCATCATCACAAAGGCACTCGGTTCGGCCAAGACTCCTTGAAGCGTAGGGGTACCTAATCTACCAGCAATCACGGCCGAGCTCGCCAAGGAACAAATAAAGGGGCGCCCGAGCCCCGCTCATGAAGACTCGGGAACTCCGCTCTCACCGCCCTTGCTCCAGCTCTAGGGCCACATCTGTTCGATTTCGACCAAAAGCACCGCATTTCGCCTGGTAAGTCGACGTAGGGTGAAAGTGTTCCAGCGCTGCTCTGATTTCTTAATTCATCGAAAATTGGATCCTTTCGCGGGCCGTTGGGGGAGGGAGATCGTCGATTTTCCTCCGTTCTGTTTGGTGTTGGCGATTTTCTTGATCCCCCTCCTGGTGGCGCAAGTTTAGTAGCGCTCAAATGTATCGGGGACCAGAAGATCCTGTCTGGTGTAAGTACTTTCAGTGAAAGCATCAAAGCTACTTCGTGCTCCTCCTCCCTGTTCGGACATTTGTCCGCTCGACCGGATCTCGCTGTAGCGAGCCAGGATGGGGTGTACACAATTTGGCACCATGGAAGCACTATGGATCCCAGCGAGGTCAACTTTGCGCCGATCTCTTGAGTTTTGGGGGGTCCGCGGAGGAACGATGACATGTCCATCCGTTACAGAATTTTGCCGCTAGCCCAGCAAACGGCGTAATAGATCGATATGACCACATTTCCCGCCACCACCGCATAAGTGGTGCGGACCTTAATCGGGCTAGACTCGCGGCTGCACCCGACACCTGAGCAGGCTAGCGGCGCCTTTGTGCATTTCCAAATTTGCGAAGAAAAAGTAGGAATATCAGGCGCTATTGGATCGCCTCTTCTTTCCATCGGTCCTATAGAATTGCGCCATGTCATCTGACGGCAGTTCGGTGGCGGGATTCGGCGGTCGGCAAATCAGCCGACCTGACCCGACGATGTTGTTGGGAAGCCAAAAGCCCCACTGAAAGGCACGAGATCGCACTCGAGCCTCACTGATTCCGAGTCCAAACTGAAAGGATCAAACGGTGTAAACCTCAGGCAAAAAAAAAGACTACTGAAAGGACTAAAGCCAAGAGATGCTGCGGCGCCCCGCGCCAGGGCAAGCTTGAGGCCGCTGAAGTTGGCTACTGGTTGGCTCCAGTCACCTGGCCTGTGTCAGCTGATTCATTTTGACGTGACCCGCTCGCCAGAGCCGCACTATGCTTCTGAGTTCTGTGCAATAAGAACGGTGCCAAGTCGCTTGCACCAAGACAGCTTGTCTGGTCGGCGACCCCTGAACGCGGCAAAACCTGACCCGGGGGACGTACAAATCGATCCAAACCGGCCCTTCCCCCCCTGATTTCCAGCTAACGTGCCCCGAAATCAGTTTCGGCCGGTCCGCCCGTGCCACCGCGGGTGACTATCGTCTGTTATCTTCCCTTCTCCTGTGTACCCTATAACCAAATCTCCACTCATCAAGGTCTCATCTCCAACGCGTCAAACCTTCAGCCTACACCACGAAACATGGCTCGCTTCAATCTTCTCGGACTCGTCGCAGTCGCGCTGGCGATCCAAGCCCCCTCAGCGCACAAAAACCGCCATCAGATTGTCGAAGCGAGGCCGACAAGACCGAAATGATGCCCGTGCGTGCAGGCGTGCTTTTGACACCATTGCCAGTTCCCTATGTTTGCATACTGACTGCCATGTAAATCTTTCATCGCAGGGTTATCCCCAGCTCTGTGGAGCCACTGCAGAGCGCACATACCTCACGATGTTGCCTACTTTGGCCTATGCCTGTGTGTAGGCGAGGCCTGATGGAGAAAATACGACACGTCACCCTCAAACACGGTGCGTGCTTCCCTCCTTGAAGATATGAGGCGACTTGTGGTCTTGACAATTGCCGACACGACAAGAAACTCTGTCGACGCTAGCGTAGATACCCAGAAAGCGTTTTTGGGGCCCGGGTGTACTGTGTTGCTTACTGTGAGGATTCCACTGGTCGGAAGTTGAAAGCTATCGGACCACACGCATTGATTGAATTTTGGCACCGCCGATTCCGAAAGTCGAGCTTCACACAGTCGCCCGCATCGTCCCATCACGCATCACGGAATATCCCTTCGTCAACTCACGAACTCCATCAAACACTTTTTCCTACCATGCCTAACGCGGGTCTCCTCCACCTTGCGCGTAAGTCTCGTCATATGGTTTTTCTATTCCCTGCGTTCGAAAAAGCGGTGACCGATCACACCTCGGCCCCTCCTCCCTCACGAGCACGTGTCTTATGTTTACCTGAGAGTCACATTGCACATCATTCCCAAATCTCCTTTCCCCCCCTCCTCCGGCTCTATCATTCTCTTCCACCCCTTGGTTCACTTTGCGTCCTTCTTCGCCTCCGTCGCCTCGTGCTCTTGCGCCTCCTGCATGCTCATCGCAACTGCGGTGACGCATCAAGCCAGTCAGCTCTCCAGCCTATTTCCCAAATGCTTTTCTCTCTCTCTCGAACTCACTAGCTCTGGCCATCTCCTGCTCTTCTTCCATCTCTACATCCCCTTCTTCCCCCTCGGCGCCTCTGGAAAGTGCCAAAGCCTTGGCCAAATCATCCTCCTCCTCCCCGTCGTGCTCAATCTCGACATCGTCGACCTCCGTCCCTACCGCCTCGGCTCCCAAAAGCGTTTCCGTCTCCATCGGCTCCGCTCCCGCTCCGTCGACCGTACCTTGCTCTTCGTTGCTCGTGTGCGCTCCGACCCGAGCGGCAGTGTTCGCCTTGGCCTGCTCCAAAGCGGCTTGCCTCGCCCTCTCTTCCTGCAAACTCATCCTCAACGCCATCGCCAACTCGGGATCCAAATTCGGGTCCACTCCGAACCCGTCCTCTTCTTCGCCCGTTCGCGCGACCGCGGCCGAACCTTGACCGCCGCCGCCGCCGAACTGGGAATAATCCTCTTCCGTTCCTCGAGTTCTCAAGATGGGCGATTGCGCGAGTCGTTCGGAGAGGAGGTAAGGTCCCCTTTCGACGAAGAGGAGGTGCGAGTTTTCGGACGAATTCACCGCCTCGTACAAGGTCGTTAATTTATGTTGGGTCGTTTCCGGTCGAGTTGGGGGGGTCGGTTCTTGCGGGGTGGAGGAAGAAGGAACGGAAGGGATCGAGAGGTCCACGCCGCCATCATCGTCGGGGGAATCGGACGAGGAACCGAAAGCGACGATATCGATCGCGACGTTGTTCTTTTTCATCTTCTTTCCAAGCTGCGGGGGGGAAGAAGCAGCGAAGCGAATATTCCAAATCAGCCACAAATAAAAAAAGAGGAAGGGACTTGGGTTTGGCTGCGACTAGATCTTTGCCTCACTTTGGAGAGCGTTGCCGAGGTGGTCGAGATGGGGCTGGCGCAAAAGACGATGATCCTCTGCCTCTGGTTCTTGTTTTGACGGTGCTTCAACGCCAACTAGCCACGCACACGTAAAACAACGTAGTTCAGTCTCCCGGATCCCTGCACACCGCGAACACCCCCTTGGAGGTAGACTGACCTGAGCGACCTTGATCGCGGTCTCGAGGTCGGCCTGACCGGAGGGTTGGATCGTGTGCAGCGCGGCGATCAACTTGCCTTCGTCCTGGGTCGGGGTGACGAGCACTTGTGGACTGCGACCGTGGTGGAGGGGTAATCAGTGCCGCGCCGTGCTCGGAGATGCGGAGGGTGGTGAAGGGTTCTCGGTCGAGTGATGACGACGCGCACAACCCCCCACTCCCCGGGAGAAAGAACTCACGCCGGTCCGGCCATGACCATCAGGCCGACCTCGCTCTCCGGATGAGCGTTCAACTTGCGGTTGAAGATGACGTGCACCGCATCCGATTGCGCTTCGAGACGGGTCGCTGTAGGAGGAGTGGAGGGGGGAGGGAGCAGGGAGCAGGGAGCAGGGAGCAGGGAGCAGGGTCAGTGGTGGAGGTGTAGGGGGTGAAGGCACGTGTAGGGTATGTACGTACGTGTGAAGTCACCGTTTATGGCATAGGCCGAGTTGTCCAAGACGAGCATCGTCGCTTCGAGGGACATGTTGGGCGATGCGGGACGGGATGAGCGGGAGCGGGAGCGGGAGCGGGGGGTTGAGTGGGGGGAAAGAGAGAGAGAGAGAGAGAGAGACAGACAGAAAGAGGGGGTTTCGCGTGGAAAGCGCGGCCGGATTACAAATCGTAATTGGAACCTAATGCCCCAATTCGCCGGGCAACGCTCTGGCAACGCTCCTCGTCGTCGTCCCCTCTGCGCTCTGCCTCTAACCGCATCTCCTGCTCCCCTCTTTCCTCTTTCCTCTTTCCTCTTTCCTCTCCCCTCTCCACCGGACCGCTCACTCGGCAAAGATGCGTCACCGCTTGGGCTACAACCACCTTTCGCGTCCGACCGCGCACCGCATGTCGATGCTCCGCAACCTCGTCTCGTCCCTGCTCGAACACGAACAAATCACGACCACGCTCGCGAAGGCGAAAGCGACCCAACGCATGGCCGAACGCGTCATCGAGTTGGGCAAGAAGGGCGGCCCGAACGAGTGGAACAGGGCGAACGCTTTCCTCTGGGCAAGTCGAACCGTTTTTTTTTTTGAAAAGGGGAAAGGGTAGAGATCGAGCGAGCAAAACGAAAGCGCAGACCTCCTTTTTTCTCCCCTCCCCTCCCTCCCTCCCTTCCCCCCACATCCGTACTGACCCCATCCCCCCCCCCCCAAAAAAAACAGAACGCCCCCACCACCCTCCGACCCCTCTTTACGAGTCTCGCCGAACGTTACGCCTCCCGACCTGGCGGATACACTCGCCTGATCCGTTCCGGCCATCGGGTCGGTGATCATGCCCCCTTGGCGATTCTCGAACTCGTCGATAACCGCAACGATCTCAAGTTCGAAACCGCTTCCAAGGCGTTGGCGAGGGAATTGGCTTTACGCGCCAAGGGGCAAGGTGAACGTAATGGACCGGACGTTTGGTGGGGTTTGAGAACGAGGTTGGAAGCTTTCGGCGAAGAAGGCATCTTCGGTCAATTCGAGAAGGAACCGACCATCGAATCGATGACGAAGAAGAACGTGCTCAAAGCTTTGAGGTACAGGAAAGCTTTCCCACCTTCTTTGAATTCGGATCCGACTTTGACCGAAACGCCGACGACGGCGGCGCTTCATCCGGCGGTCCAATTCCTCAATCGCACCCATCATCACTACCTCCACCACCTCGCCTCCCTCCAACTTTCCACCCCTTCGACGCCCTCTTCTTACAAAACTATAAAACAACTCACCCAACGCTTACGACCTTCCGAAAGTAGAGGCGCTCCGAGACCCGTATTGACCGTACCTATGATGGGTCGACGCGTTGCAGCCGGTCAGTCGACGCGCGGTTGGCCCAAGCACGACGAACAGCGGTCAAGTCCTTCTTCTTTGGATGGGTTGGAGCAGAGGCTCTCCGGATTGGACTTGAACTCGGGAGAGGCCAAGGGGAGGGAAAAGGGGGGTCCGATCTCGAGGGCCAAGGCGGGCAGATCGAGGGATGCGAGGAGCGCCACTAGGGCTTCTTCGACCACAGCGAGGACAGAGGCGGGGCTTTGACCCGAGATGCATGATGAAACGAGTGTCTTTTGTTGGTGTATGCACAAAGGGAAGAGAGGGACCTCCGAGAGAAAGAAAGAAGACAGGCTACAAAAAGAAGATGCGTGGGAGAGAAAAATCGGGCACAGTCAAATGTGTCTAGTAGGTAACAAGGCGGGGGAAGAGTAGCACACGGGGGAAAGCAAAAGGAGAGCAAAAATCCACACCATCATCGCAAATCAATACCTCCTCCCATGCAGGACGTTCGGCCCGTTCCTTTGCTTGGGCAAACTCGCGTCCTGGTATCCGGAAACAGCACTCGCGGCGTACCCATGCCCCGCGTACCCCCCACCATGCTGATACTCATCCTGATAAGCCCCTCCATTCGTCGGCTCCCAAAGCGATCCGTACGGTTGGGCCTCCACATACCCCTCGCCGTGCGAATACACGCCACCGTCAAGTTCGTACCCCAAGGGTGAAGGGTGCAAGTACGATCCAGGACTCTGCATCTTGTCCTCGTGGTCCATATCAATCTCGTGCCTCAACCCGGAATTCTGCCGCCCGTGATGGGGTGCGGCCGCGTACGGTTGCGGATGCGTCGAGCTGACGAGTGGTTCCAACGAGCCGACCGTTGACGGTCGATCGGTCGAGTAGATCCCCGATTGACGGATCTCTTCACGGACGGTTTCGAATACGCTGTCGTATTTGGCACTGTAAGGACGAAGTAGTAGGTCAATGATTCGGTTCAGGTGGTAAGTTCATCTGCCCGCTTCTACATCAAACTCACTGGTCCAGGCGTTGACTCTTGGCGTACCCGTACGAGAGCATGACAAAGTAAACCTATCGAAACTCCAAGAAGGTTGCCCGTTAGCCTCGACGGCTCTTCGTGAGGAGGTAAGAAATCCAGAGGTACAAAGCGTCCGGAAAGCACGCACTTCGGCAATCGCGACAATGATCCACAAGAGGCCCATCAACCCGACCTGGACCCACATCCAAATGTTGCACACCGCCGAATTCTGCGCGACCGTCGTCGTCGCCGTCGCGAACAAGCCCTCACACGAGGCCAATGCGGTCGAGTGGCGCACGCAAGAGAGGATGATGAACGCCAGTGCGACGCCCAAAGCGAGCAGGACGGCGAGCATGTTCCACAGCGCGTATTGGCGGTAGAGCGACGGTCGTTCGCGGTAGACGCCAAAGAAGCCAAAGACCTGGATCAGGGCGACGAGGATGCAGCACGCGCCAAGGATGTAGCCTCCAAACGACGGAACCGCTACAGAGACGACTGTGGGCGAGATCAAAGACCACAGGGTATGTCAACAACTGACTACTGCGCTATGCAGTTGGGCGCGGCCTCCCGACGAACTTTTGGGAGCGGCGAGGGAGAGGATCCCGGTGACGAGCGAGATGACGGCGAACTGGGCGATGATGGTGTAGATCCCCGTATTGTCTGTGGGTGAAGAGGGTCGAGGCAGAAATGAGCACCCTCACGGGAGCTTACGCAGTCGTCGCCAGACTCACACATGGGCACGGCGCAACAGCAGTAGGTCCGAGCCCTCATGATGGCCTACTTGAGCGATCCCTGCCGCCTCGGAAACTGTCGACGGAGGCTATGGAGCACGTCAGTTTGTTGAGTTTCCTCGCCTATGGTCCACATCTGAAGCTGCACCCCCGCCGACAGGAAGGCGGAGCGTTCGTTCAACCGCGTTGCTGACTGCTCGTCGTCAGATGTCGTCTTGAACGTCATCGTGGACAAGCTGAGCCGCTCTGACACCACCTTCTACAGGCCCACTCATTCCATCCACTCCCATAGCCCGCCCTCGGAACTGCTGCACGCTTTCTTGCTGCGCACCTCCCTGTCATGCGCGCTCGCCACTCGGAACCAGGCCCGATCGTAAGACCCTCCGCACCGCGGTGCTCCCTGCCCGACGACGACAACGACAAGCGATGGCCTTGCAAGCACGCATGCCCACCCTTGGCACGTCAGAGAGACCGAGCACTGACCTTGATCAAGGTCCAACGGTTGACGGGGACGGGGACGGGGACGGGGACGGGGACGGGGACGGGGACGGGGACGGGGATGGGGCCAGTCTGGGTGGTGCGTCGAATGGGAGATGAGGCTGGCCCGTACGGGTAAAGCGAGCGCGGTCCAGCTACTTTATAATTACTGTCTTGCTAATACTGCGGATACGATCGACTCGGCAGCGCGCGGCGGCGGCGGCGGCGGGGGAGGGAGGCAGTGCAACGACGAACTTCGACCGCGCTCTCACAGTAATGGCCGGTCGCACGCGCCTTGGAGCTGGATGCAGCTGACGACGATCGAGGCTGAGGGTGAGACTTTGATCTAGCGAAGTGCAGGGAGTGCAGTCCGTATAGAAAGGGACATGCTTGTTTCAAGCTGCTCGTTGGCTGACGAGACGCGCATGTGAATCATATTAATCAGCACGCGCGCGCCCAAAACCAAGACAAGTCGAGACAAGTCGAGGCGCTTGCGTGCGCTCGGACTGTGGCGTCCCTTTGGCGTCCTCGTCCTTTCTCACGATCGGGGCCAGCGACGGCTCCCACCGAATCAATGTCGTGAATGCTCCTTGGCGTTGACACTGGAAGCCTCAAGAAGCGGCCCTGCTACGACCTCCCGACACCCGCCTTTCGGTCGAAATAGCTCGAGTGACCCCTAAGTTCTGCACGTGCCCCCCGGCGCCGGTGCCGACCCGTGCCTCTACTATATCATCGCTCGTCCCTCTCCAAGTGTTTGCCGCGTCGAATTCCGGGATTCAAGACTTGCCTGCAGAAATCGAGCTCGCAACGGGCGAAGCCAGTGCTCGGTGCTGAGCGTGACCCTCAGGCTGCCCCGGCGGAGCGGAAACGTGCACGGAAGCGATTTAGCCCGGGTGCTGATCGGTTCGTACGTTTCCACCGCCTGCAGTGGCGCATGGCGAAGGAAAACCTCACCTCGACCCGATGCATCCATGCCGAACGTGACGCGCCATGGTGAAAGGCACGATAGCGAATTATGAGACGCCCAATGATAAATTGCAGATAGCGAAGTGTCCTCGAAAGAACGTGCTCGCCCCCGTTCGAAGCTTGTCTTTCCGGCGAGCCTCTCAATGACTTTACGGACCAAAGAAATGCCCGCGACATCGGTGTACCCAGTATCACACATTCCCACAACTTATTTGATCGCGTGAGCCGGTAGCCTCAGTGATGTGAGCCTGATCATGACCGACTCAACGCCGCGACTTGTTTAAGAATGTTTATCGCGTGCCCTGGATTCCGTTGTTAGTGAGTGCCGCCGGGCCCTGCCGTTGATCATACCTCTACGGGTTTCGTGTTTGCTGACCTAGACGACTTACCGTGTCTTGTACTTGGCGCTCGCTCCAAAGCCTTGGCCTCGTTGTGCTCCTACACGGTCCACTCTCTCCGATCGTGTTCACATTCGACATCCCGCTGCGCGTCCCAACGACCATCAAGCCTGGCCCCCCACTTCTTATCCAGCCCCAGCGTTTTCATTTGGCTTTCGATAGCTCAAGCGTTGTTTTACAGTAGACATTTGGTCGAAAGTGATTTCCATTCTCCTACTTCCGGCTTCTCTTCAGCCTTGCAACCTACGAAATCGTTTCTTCATCTTCGATAATCCTTGCCGCGACCGAAGCCCGTTTCGACTTCTCCATGTCCCAGCAGTGGGAGTCGAATCACCTTAAACGGTCCACAGTGAAGGTCATTCACGTAGTGAAACTCGCGCCTTTGGCCGGCCTCGTTCGCAAGTGCCCGTCGTCTGTCGTGTACCTCGGTTACTCGAATCGATGTCGCAGTGGCTGTGGCTCTTAGCCGGGCGGCCATCGCTGTCATTTCGGGCCTACTCCGATCGCACTAGGAGTACCGATGTTGTTCTATCGAGGTAGTGTCATAAGCCACAGCGCGATTGTTAGCTCTTCACTGAAGCGGAGCTCCCACCAAAAGGGATGTTGGCTGGGCAAAGAGGAATGCGTGAGGGAGGAACAGAAGGGGAAGAGCGCGCGCGCGCGGTGAGAGACTTGAATGCGATGACGAGCACGCAGCACCCCCAGAGCAGCCATGTATGTGTAGCGCCGCGTGCATGAGGAAACGTGCTCCCGAAGGACACCCAGACGGCACGGAGATAGGTTGTAGCTCGTGCCTAGATCCAGGAGGTAACGTCTTGGGGCGGTGAATTGATAGTGAAACTCGGATTCGCTGCTGAGCAGCAAGTTGATCCTCCTCTTCAAGGTACGCTCACTTCTGACGGCGACTCTTTTTGAACAAGCCCGGACTTCGATTACTGAAAAGGAATGCGAAAAAGACAAAAATTGACGAGAGGTAAAGAGGAGACGGATCTACGAAACGACAGGACACAAGAGTAGAACCCAACTGAATACTGCCCTGGAGATGGCGGGGGTGAATGAAGGCGACCATGACCGCGAGTTCGAGGGAGAGCGAAAACCGACGAGAGCTTGACACGAGACCACCGCGACACGTTGAATTGTTTCGCTCATCATTAACATCCAATGGCTGCCGCGATTCCAACAATCAAGAAAATCGTTAGTTAAGGCACATGCACGTTCTACGAAACGCTTGCTCATCGTGCTTGATAAATTCAAAAAGGCTCACCGCCGTACTGTGTCCCGCATTGCTCGCAGCGACGTGTCCTGTCCTGTTCGATGTCGGTCTGCCATTTGGAATCTTTCACTGAAGTGCGGATGAGGACACCGAAAATATGATGTGTAAGCAATTGTCTAGACCAAAAGTCGCATCATGTCTTCAAGGAAGCAAGCACGCACCATCTTTGAGGCAATCGTTGTACACACTCCACCATTTCTCGTTTCCACATGCGCACGCGTTGGAATATGTGCTGTCAGCTTGCAGTGCCTTTGCCCCTAGGTTTTTAGCTAGTGTCGCACAGTTCATCTAACCTTTCACGTGAGCATGTTATGGAATATTTTCACGAGGTCACGGGAGTCAGTTCGCAAACACAGAGAACCGGCAATGATAGCAGAAGCACGCCAGCACCCACGGTCGTTAGTAAGGTCTGAGTGTCGGCCGCGCTTCGACACACAGTGTCGAAGCTTGTTGCTAGCGCTGAGGGGGTTTGGATCGTGAGCGCGACTACGACGAGTCCAAGGAGATGGAAGCCGACCATTTTTCGTGCCGAGGCTGGGAACTTGAAAGTTCGAAGTGGGACCTTGATGAGTGGTGCTAGGAAAGCACACAGGAAAGTGAAGGAAAGAGACGAGGGTGGCCGGCGATGGCACGGATTCAGGCTGACCAAAGGTCATTTCGGGCACGTCAGCTGGAAAATAGGGGAAGCGCCAAATTGGACCGGTTTGGACGTCGCCGGGGCCCGGGTTTTGCCACGTTCAGGGGTCGGGGACGTGCGAAACAATTTAGTGCAGTTACCTAGTAGGGATCGTTGTGATTGCAACGGTCGACCGTTGGGAGCTTCCAGCACTAGATATCCGTGGATCCTAGGTACATAGTGTCGCTGGGTCAGGCGGGTGATGCACAGACCAAGTGAATCAGATGAGCCTGGCCAGGTGACTGAACAGCTCTGCCTTGAGACAGTACCGGCGACGTGACAGTGTAACAGAAAAATGCCACTTCAAATTCTAAAGATCCCTAAGCATCTAATTCGACGCCAACAAGCCTGGCGCCCGTTGGACCGCTGGGATAGAACGGACAACTCCCTCGCACGCACAGCCCTCGCAGAAACGCTCGAGTCTCACCTGAGTGTGTCTGACCTAGGTTTTCAGAACGCTTGCTCCCCCTACCGTCTTGGACGATTAGACCGATTGTGCTGTGGTACTCGGGATCCCGTCGGAGACATTTCGGACATACCGGGCCGGGTCCAGGAGTCATTTCGGGTCATTTTAGTGGGGTCTGCGGCACTCGGGATCCCGTCGGAAGCAGCGGTTGTAGCGGAGTCGTTTCGATCGAAGCAGGGTCGAGTTCCGAAGTCGTTTCGACGGCCGGGTCGGGAGTCGATTCAATTTCCACTATTTTCGGCAGGATCAATTTCCACTAGTTTCGGCGGAATTCTCAGCGATTAAGCGGTCCCGGATAAACTCAGTACTTCGGTAACTCGAGACTAGACTGTCAGCGACGAATCATGTGGCGGGATTTGAATGGAAGACCGGGCCGGATGCGCGGATGGAGGGGAAAAGGGGAATGAAAGGAGCGCAGCGGTTCGAATGGTCGGGGACGTTTGAGGGGAGTTTGCTCCTTGTTCTTAGCCAGACCACTTCTAGGATCCAATACAGCATCTTAGCTGGTTCTCACTTTCTGCGTGATTCAAGTCTCGTCTCTCGTCTCCAGTCTCCGGTCTCGGCGTTTCGTTCTCATACTCGGTCTCGTTTCTCGGTTTGGGCTCCTTTCTCGTTTCTCGTCTCTCGGCCGTTCCGGTCGCTCTCTCGTATCTCGTCTCCCTCGTCTTCGGTCTCGGTTCCATCGTTTCCCCTTATCATTTCATATTATCTTTGATCGACCGCTTTGCTATACCATAGTGCAAAGGATTGAAGAAATAATAACGACCCGAAACTATTCCCACCCAGCGTAGTCTTACTAGCGCTTGGGCCTCGGGCGGACGGGGCATGACCTCTTCGTCACTTTCTTTATGAGAGGTAGCGAGAGCATTTCTGTTTTTTCGCGATCTTTTGTGGGCATTTTTGTCTTCTTCTCATATCTCGGGGACATCCAACGGAATCGCTGTTGTCGGATAGGGCCCGAGCGCTGCACCACGTGCGATGCGGAGATCGACAGGGATCTCGGACACTTGGCCCGCGTGGCTCTTGACAGGTGCGATGTAAGGTATGCGCCTCTGATGTGCATAGATTACAACCTGTCGCCTTGACCGCTAGGCTAAAAGCAAGTCGTAAATAGAACTCGACAGTTCTAGCTACTCAGAGGCTACTTATGGGGCTGTTCTGTAAGGCATCCCCTTACATGCGACAATCTGTGCTCGACCAATTACGTCATGCTCTTTCACCAGCATCGCCGCCGAAAGCATCGCCCCATTTCGGGGCGAATGGTTTTGTCTTTGATAGGTATCTTCGTTGCATCTGTCACTGCTATATGCTCAGTGATGCTCGGTTCTTGGACCGGCTGGTCCGTGCGACTCAGGAGTCAGCGAGCTCATCGACGCCATGCGCGGTCTGCGGCTCAGATTTGCAGCAAACGTACTTCTCGCCGTAGAGTAAACAGAATTGTCTACTTCTCGCCGTAGAGTAAAGTGGCCATGTCGTACGCTGCTCGTGAGGGGATCTGGTTGCGTCGGCTGCTGGCCGATCTTGGTTTTGAGCAGACATCGCCGACTCGTCTGAGGGGTGACAATCAATCGGCTATCACTCTGGCCAAACACCCGGCTTTCCATGCTCGCACCAAACACATCGGGATCCATTTCCACTTCATCCGAGATCACATTGCGGAGGGCACAATCGAGATGGTCTGGGTGCCCACGGGCACCATGGCTGCGGACGTCCTCACCATAGGGCTCGGGACTCAGAAGCAGTATCAGTTTGTACACGCGATGGGGCTTATCGATTCATCGCGTGAAGGGGCGAGTTGGTGTGTTGGGAATGAGGGTTAGGAACCGCGCGTTCTTTGGTAATCTGTTTAAAAGCGCTCGTCTGTTCACTGAAGCCTGGCGATGCGCACCAACCGTTGTCTTCTCTCCACGGTTGGATTACACGCTCGTCAGGTACGCATGTTTAGCTTCACAGCCACTTTCGTTGAAATTAACTGACGGTTGGATTACACGCTCGTCAGTCTCTTATTGTCGGCAACCTCGTCAAAAACATATTGAAGGAAAACGGAACGATACGTTTTTGCGGTGACATTGATGGGAGCCGAGGACGTCATCCGGACCGGCACGTTAGCCACTACTTGTTATCTTATATTTCCGTTTTTTCTGGCAGATTTTAGTTTGTTACCTTTTTCACCCTTACTTGCCGAGAGAGGAAGATGCGACTTTGATGGTCAAAACTGAGCAAGCGGAGCCTGCAAAACCGTAATATCAGCGTTGTTCAGAGCAGAAAGCAAACTTGAGTTGGTGTTGAAAGCGATACCTTTGAATCTTAACATCTGATTGAGCGGGTTCGATAAACACGATGTAGAGGTGATGTCATCGCCGTTGCAATGGGAATGTGCGTCGTCGACGGTCACTTCGACCTCAGCTTGGGACTTGGCACTCGGAACCCGGGTCACTCGCAGCACCTCGACCACGCGATCAGATTCTGTCTAGAGCGTTTCTGCACGACCTTGCGTCAGGGACCACTCTCTTTTTTTTTACAACAAAACAAAATCGCAGAAAAAGGAAACATAATCGAGACCATACCATTCAGGCCCTCTTGGACCTAGATCCGGCCGCCCTCGCACCACCCGTCTTCTTTCTCTCCTTCCCACTCGCCGTCCCATTCACCCCATTCGTCCCCGAAGTCGCGGCGATCGCACTAGCCCTGTACTCCTTCTCAAACACCAGCGCTACCGGATTAGGCAATACGGGTTTCTTAGCGACCAAGGCCGGCATCGCCGATCCGACATTGTTCGCCGGCGAGCCCAGGATGATGCATTCCGAAACGCCTTGGATCGGATCCCTCCTCGCGTTGAAGGCGGCGTTGAAGAGGTGGTCGGTCGTCTTTTCGAAAGAAGCCAGCATCAAGACCGAGTCCTTCATCTTGGCGACACCGAAACGGGTGATGCCGAGCACTTCACCCTTGAAGCACATGACGTCGCCGAGCAGCATGAGATGACGAGGGTCAACACCGAGACCGTGGGACGTCATGGTGTAGTCGATCTGACCGATGATGCACGCTCGCGCGGCTTCAATCCCGAGCACCTTCTCGACTTCCATGATGTGGTTCGACGTCGTTTGCGTACCAATCACACCGTCGGTCGTCATGACTTCGCGCAGGCCTTCACCTTCGACGAGCAGCTCCTTTTGGCCCATCGCATTCGCTTGGATGACGGCACGTTGCAGACCGGCGACACCCTATCGAAGTCGCAAAATGAGACCACGTCAGTCTTCGATGTTCTGAGCTCCCATAATCGCATTCGGCATCTCACCTTGACAGCAACCCCGGGCAAAACCCTTCGAAGCCACAGTACACGATGGTACGCGACCTCTGAAGCCCCAGGTAACTGATGCGCAAAGACGTGGACCTGGTTTATGTCCGTTCGCACGCTGACCTCCTGTCAAAAGCACATGAATTCATTGTCATCAGTCACTTAGTCTTTTGAAGCACATGCGGAGACGGAAGAAAGAGAAACTCACGTCGGCCTTGATCTTGAGCTTGGGCGCGGCGATGATGGAATCACGGATGCTGTCGAGGGTGACTTCGAGCTGTGGCGATCATCACGAAAGATGTGAGCTCGAGCAGGATATTATACCACGAGTCAGGTCAAATGGAAGCCAGCTCACCTGGAGTCGATAGACGGCTTTCATATCGATCTGCACGCTAACGAACAGCTGGTCTTGCTGATAATTGCCGGCCACGACCGAAGCAATCTGTGGTACGAAACTCGATTCATGAGCAACACCCTTGAACAAAACCATCAAACGCCCTTCAGAAAGAACTCACATCACCAAGATACGTCTTCTCAATCCTAGCTTTGACGATCCTCGCCGCGCGCTCGTCGTCGTTCTTGGCAAGTTTGGCCGAGATGATGGGCGTCGAGATGGACTTGGCGGCGTTGATGATCTCCTTGATGCGCGGTACACCGAGGGTGACGTTCATGGACGCGACACCGGCGAAATGGAACGTCTTGAGCGTCATCTGCGTACCCGGTTCTCCGATTGACTGCGCACCGATCGCACCGACGGCCGTACCTGTCATCGCGAAAAGGCGGCACCTCAGCAAGAGTACAATACATGCAGCACGATGAGCCGACACGACTGACCAGGTTCGATCTTGGCCTTGACGTATTTGGTCCAGCACAACTGCAAAAAAGTCTTGATCTGGGCCTCCGTGATCTTGGTCTTGTTGTTGACGATCGCGATCTCGAATGCTGCACAAGTGCAAAAAAGACAACGAGCAAGGAGATCAGCATCAAAGCCCTCTCAGCGCGGACCCTAACAGAATCAACACTTACCGCCAGCTTTGTCCTTCCCCTGCTTCTCCGCGGCCTTGCCCCTCTTCGACGCCGCCATCGACTTGGGTCCCAACGGCTTCAACCCCGCATCCATCTTGTACCTCTCCCGAATCATCGCCGCGGGCAACACCAACTGATCATGAATGAACTCGCGCACCTCTTTCAAGAACTCGTCCGAGCAGGCCGTCGTAAAGTACGGTGTCGCCAACTGTTGATCGACGACTTCGAGGATCTCGTAGGGCAACAGACCCTCATCCTCGATACGCAATTCGAGCGCTTTGGCGTGCGACCACGTACGCTCGTAAGCGACAGGTTTGCCCTCCGCTTCAAGGTTGGCGGGATCTAAACCATCATCACCATAAACGAATTGGACAACACCACCCGTCGCGTTTCGAACCGATCGATCGTACCGACTCGATAGATCCTCAAGCGCTTTCATTAATCGACGAGCCATGTAGCCCGTTTCGGCGGTCTTGACGGCCGTATCGACCAGACCTTCGCGACCCGAGATGGCATGGAACAAGAACTCGGTCGCGAGCAAGCCAGAGTAGAACGAGTTGCGCACGAAACCCTTCGCAGGTGGATCCTTGGCTCCTTTCGGGAAATGGGGTAGGGAACGATCTTGGAAGCCGTTGGGGACACGATTACCGGCGATGATTTGTTGTCCGACACAGGCAACCATCTGCGAGACGTTGATTTTGGAACCTGTTCGAAAGCAAGCGCGACGTCAGCGATCATCTCCAGCTGATCGCGGCACACGAAGGAAGAAAGACCGACCTTTGGAACCACACGTGGCCATGATCAACGGCGCATTGTTGCGACTCAACTCGGTCATACAAATCTCTCCAACCTTATCACGGACCCTCGAAAGCGTCCCCGAAATCATCGATTCTAACGTCTCTTCAACATTGGACCCAGGTTGGTTCTCCAACTTGCCCGTCGCGGCTTGTTCGATCAACATCGCCGATTCCTGATATGCCGTCTCGACCAACTGATCCTTCTGCGCACGTAGAGATTGCCCCGGCGTGACGTCGCTGATGCCGATCGAGAAGCCCTTGTTGGCCAACCACCTCGCGCACAACTTGGCCATTTTGTTCATCGCCGCCGCTGCTTCGTCCGCTCCATAGTCCCTTTGAATGACGGCAAAGACCGACTTTTTGTTCCCGTCTCCGACGGTGGACTTGTCCATGACGCCGCACATGATCTCCGAGTTTTGCACGACGAGGTAACCATCGTTGGGGGACATGTCGGGAATCTCGCCCGCGCGAGGCTTCTCGAACGTCTTGTTCTTGCATTCGAGGTTGACCAGCACGTTCGAACTCTTGTTGGGGCGCATGAGCACGTTGAACACCTGCTTTCCCGTCCATAAGCGTTGCGGTTTGATGATCGTCGGTGGGGGCAGGTCGATGTGCAGATCCGCATCCTGGAGGTACGAGCAGATCTGCACGAATTCCTGTCGGTTGAAGAACGTATCGCGACGCGTGATGAGGAAACAGCCCGTGATAAAATCCTGCGTCGCGGCGATGATGGGCTCTCCGTTACGAGGCGTGACGAGGTTGCGCTTGATGTTCATCAACTGGAACGCCTCCGTGCGCGCCTCCTCGGTCTGCGGGACGTGCAAGTTCATTTCGTCGCCGTCGAAGTCGGCGTTGTAAGGCGTGCACACGCATTCGTTCAAGCGGAACGTGCGCCAGGGGCGGACCTTGACGCGATGCGACAGGATCGACAGGCGATGCAAACTCGGTTGCCGATTGAACAAGACGATACTGTGAAAACGAAAGTGGATCGCACTCAGCCACTGTGGAGAAGGGCAACCTTGCCTGTTTCTCCACCACTTACTCGTCATCCCGGAGATGCCTCTCGACGATATCCCCGATCCTCAATCGATCGGCCATCATATCGCGATCACCAAACTTGAGGAACTTTTTGAACATCTCCGAGCCACCAGCCAAAACAAAGTTCGCTCCGGGATGCACGTCATGCCCATTCCTGATGGCCTGTCGTAGTCGCTCAATGTTGTGGGGTGTGACTCGATCGGGGAAGGTCAAGACCATGGCGATGCGTTCGGGGACGGCGACTTGGTCGATCTGCAAGTTGGGATCGGGGGAGATGACCGTTCGCGCCGAGAAATCGACCCGTTTCCCCGACAAGTTGCCACGGAATCGACCTTGTTTACCCTTGAGACGTTGGCAGAAGCCTCGTATCGGTTTCTGGCCGATCGTCGTCGGGATACCGGGGAGCTCGGAGTTGATGTAGGTTGCGACGGCGAGTTGAAGAAACTCCCATTGTTCCTGGAAGCACAAGCGGTTATATCAGCTCGACATTCACGCTGTAGGCTGGCTCTAACTCTTAAGCTTGGCACTCACCATCAAGTTCTGCGTCGTCACACCTTTGACTAGACCCGTCTTGATGACGGCATTGATGAAGATAATCTCGGTCAACTTGACCGTAATGTCGTCCTCGTTCGTCGCCGCTTCCTGCGCAACCGAAGGCCGAATGCACACCGGCGGCACCGAGATGTACTGCCACAAGAACTCCTCCGGCCGGGCGACGCTCGGGTCCAAACCCAACAACTCGCAATCATCCGGCAAGATCCTTTGGAACAAGTTGAGCACCTTCAAAGGGTTGAGGTCCTCGACGGCCTTGTCGATGTGCGGGGCCAAGTCCTTCGTTTCGTGGATCGATTCGTTGAACATGGCTCGCCAGGTCGCATACGTTCCCGCGGTCTCTTGCGATCCGTCATGGCCGACCTCGCGCGTCTTGTTGCGACCTCGGAACTTTTCGTGTCCGATGCGCATGGGTCCGATCTTTTTGACGACGCCGTTGATGGAGCCGCAGTAAGGGCAGATGGCGCACTTGCGACACTGGGTCTGTAGTTGGCGCGAGAGGGCCGAGAGGGTGAGGGTGTCGAGGTTGGGCCGACGGAAGAGAGCGAGGAAGCGACGGTATTCGGTCGCATCCAAGAGCACCCGAGAGCAGTTCTGTACAACAGGATCGAATGGGTGTGGAGCCCCTGTCAACTTTGGCGCGCGGAGCTGGCTGCTCGCTGCTCGGGTGTGCTCTGGAACGCACCTTGCAGATCGACTGAAGAATGTTCAAGCAATGACGGAAATACCCAATATGGAACACGGGCAGGACCAACTTGATGTACGCATGATGGCCTACGCAGTCCGCGAGCGCAAGTCCACAGGTTTCGCAGCGATCGGTCTTGTTGCTCGTGCCCAAGCGACGGTCGAGCACACCATGGGGCACGGGCGAGCGGTCCTCGGCCTTGTAGAGATCGCGTTGGTTGGCTTCGAACTCGGAGATGGCGACGATCTCTTGCGAGGACAGCACCGAGAACTGGATGTGCTTGCTGCGAAGGTGGAAGCGCGCGTCGACCGGAGGTGGGCCAGAGTGGGTGCGAGCCGAGGGTTGCGAAGGATGGGACAACGATCAGCAATTGTATCGGTATATCATGGAATGGGTCAGGGGCTAGCACATGTTGTGGCAAGTGCTGTCGGCGTGCTCCGCAGCCCTGATGTCTCCTCCCGACTCTCCTGCTCCACCAAGGGATCAGCCCCGTAGAGCCCATCCACTACGACTTTCCATCCTCCCACCCCACCACTAACCACCACTACGGACCCCCTCCCGATCCCCGGCGAACGCTCGAGCTCCGACCAAGTACTCACATCCTCTTGGGCGCCGCATCCTGCACCAGAGCCTTGACCATCGTTTTTGTTTGACTGGAGCAAAAGGGGGGTTGGGTAGTAAGACTGTCACTCTTACGCCCGGGTGGGAGCCCTCTGAAGGGAGGGAGGCGAGGCGAGGGGAGATTGAGCAGAGGGGGAAAGTCAAAGCGGCTCGCTGCTAGCTGCTAGCTGCTGCCTGCTGCTGCTGGACGACGGCGCCTGCGAGGGCGAGGTCGCGGCGACGGGCACAAGTCAGCAAGAGTCAGCGCAAGTTAAGTATTCGACAGCGCTGCCTATGTTGATGTCTCCCAAACCGATTTGGAATATGATGCGGTATTAGAAAAAATCTGGATTGCTTCATAATTAAAAAAAACCAAGTCGAAGAAGAGTCCCGAAAATCCACAGAAACAAGAAAGTCCAAGAAGCAAGAGCCAGGAAAACCCCTATAATTCCTTGTGTTTCCCTCCTCCCTGGTAATCCAGAGTGAAAACGTGCTCTTCCTCATCCCAGGTACAATCTCGTCCACACCGGCCCCCTGTTTCTATACGCTCGAGATCTCGGTCTTGACGTCCTCGCGGTGTTCGATCCTCTCGGCCTTCGCATCGTGGATGTTGGTCGCATGGCTCTTGCTGAACAAAAGATCGATCTCCTCCAGACTCTTGCCCTTGGTCTCGGGGTAGAAGAGGTAGATGACAGGGACGAACGAAAAGTTGAAGACGCAGAAGATGATGTATGTCTTCCACCCTATATTGTCGATCGCGATCGGGAAGATCTCGACGACGGTGAAGTTGATGATCCAGTTGCAGCACGTCGCGAGCGCCGTACCCTTGGCGCGGATGCGAAGAGGCAAGATCTCGGGAGGGTAGACCCAAACGGTGGCTTGGAACCCGATCGTGAAGAGCGAGAGGTACAGGAACGCAAGCACCACCGCAAAGATGCCCATACCGTGCGAATTGGCCGCCTTGTACTGGATCTGGTGGGTCGCACCGCACATGCACGCAAAGATGATGGCCATGCCGGTGATGGAACCGAGGAGCAGGGGCTTGCGGCCCAAGCTGTCGATGAGTGCCCAGGGGACGAACTAAGTCACAAGAGTTAATTGGTCACTCATCAGTCAAAGGGTTCTCATCACCCAAGCTGCAATTGCTTCCTTCGACTCACACTCATGCCAAAGAAGACGGTGAAAAGAGCACCCGAGAGCAACGAGGCCTTGTCATTGTCGAAGCCGAGAGAGTTGGAGAAGAGGAAGTTGGCGTAGTAGATGATGGCATTGATACCGCCGAGTTGCTGGAAGAACTGGATCGAGCACGCGATCAACAAGCGGCGGCGGGTGCCCATCTCGTCGTTGGCGAACATTTGCTTCCAGCCCGTGACCATAACCGCCTTCTCGTACGCGACCGCATCGGCAATTTCCTGGTACGACTCGCGAGCCTCGGCAGACGAGATATCGACGCCCTTGAGCGCGGCGACGACGGCAAGGGCCTCCTCATCACGACCGTGGTTGGCGAGCCATCGAGGCGACTCCTTGACGATGAACGAGAGCACAAAAATGGGAACGATGATGATGAGTTGGAACAAGAGAGGGAAGCGGAACGCGAACGAGGTAGTGTAGCGCCGTGTTGTTCCGTAGTCGAGCCAGTAAGCGAGGAAGATACCAAAGTTGAGAGTCGAGAGTTGCGCGCAGACATAGCGACCACGCGAGGCCTTAGGCGAGACCTCGGCTTGCAAGACAGGGGCAGTCGAGTTAATGAGACCCATGCCGAGACCGGATACGATACGGCCTACGATGAGTTGCGGCTTGCCATAAGCCAGACCTTGGAGGAGAGCGCCGGCGGTCATCAAGACGGCACCAACGGAGAGCGACTTTTTTCGGCCCTAGGAGTGAAAAAGTTGGCACCGCTCAGCTCCCCGATCGCGGAACATTGACCTTGGTAGCTCTACAGATGATACTTACAATGCGTTCACCGATGGACAAGGCAATGACAGCACCTGATAAGGAGTATATGCGTCACAGGAGGGAAGTCGGTTGAAGGGAACAGGAGGCAATATAAGATCAGGTGAGCGAACCGCGCGTCGATCACCGGGGGTGCCGGGAGATCAGATCGGTCAGATTCGGGCACTTACCGAAGAAGCAGCCGACTTCGTAGATAGCGACTGCACATCACAAAGACAAGATAACAGTGCTGAATTCAGTCGACCGTGATGATCAAAGGAGGCCTATGCGCTCGACCTGGCCGGACCCTTGCCGGTCGGCGGAGGTCTGCCAGCTGCCGGCAGCAGACATGCCGGTTACGCCTGGCTGGCGTCCCGTGACTGGCGAGGGGGACCGTTGCACGGCTACTCACCAATGGTCGAGAGCGTGGACCCGGACGGGCTGTCAAACGTCTTGTTCCATGACGTTGTGCCGGTGAGACCACCAATGACACCATTGTCATCTATATCGTGTCAAGAGAAGGATGGGCGGGAGAAGCAAGTGGGTCAGCCTCGCGTACGTAGAATCAATCCAGTTCGGGCACGTGAACGCAGGAGCGACGGCCGGCCGGCCTCGCAGGCCACCAACCAACAGGCGAGGATCCGCGACTATGACGGACGTTGCAGTCTGCTGCAAATCAGAGACCAAAGAAGGGGAGGCACTTACATCCGATGAGCATAAAACTCAGCGAAGTGAGCAACGCAATGTTGAAGAGGGCTGGAGAGATTCCCATGTTGGTAACGCCTGGATCTCGGGCCAAAGGGTGAGTGAGGTGTGAGAGAGGGGGGAGGGGCAAGGCAACGCCCGGGTGACTGTCGTTTGAAATTCGAACTGGTGCGCTAGTCGATCACGGCAAGTCGAGACAGAGTTCAAGCGCGTCGAACGGAAAGGGTAGTCGAAGTTGGGGTTAGGAGACAAAGAGACGAGTTAGGCACAAGTCCTGGACTCCAAGTCGGGATCTTTGAAAATATGGGGCAGGAAGCGTGTGGAGTAAGCAGGAGGAGAAGAAGCACAGACCCCGCGCCCGATTCAATGGGAGGTTTTCCTGCCCAAAAAATTGAATGTGGGGGTCGGGGTTACCACTTTGGCGAGGAAGCGTGGAGAAGATCGCCAGTGGTTAGTGAGTGGTTCGCCCCGCCCTGGCGCCGATCACTCCAACGCGCGCCCCCCCCCCCCCCCCGCTCTGTTGAATTCCATACACTCTTGCTTAGGTTGATCTCCAGCCCGCGCCCAGCCTAGCCAGCCGCGCGCCGCTCGGACCCCTTTTGGACTTAGAGATATTTCGCGCACTCGCACCGCGAGCCTCTTTAGTCTTCCCCCTAACGCTCCAATATACTTCCTACAACTCGTACTGTGTCTCGTGTACTTACTGGTTGCCGATCCAGGTTAGTTGCAATCCTAACGCTCCAATATACTTCCTACAACTCGTACTGTGTCTCGTGTACTTACTGGTTGCCGATCCAGTCCCCTCTCGAGACACACGATTTAACACGCTCGTCCGTTATGATTTCCGAGTCGGTTCTCGAACCTCGATCCGGGTGTTCGAAAGCGCTGACCGAGCGACACAGACCACTTGGTGGTCTTGAAAGACCTGAGTGCCGCGGCAGAAGCGCCGACTTGACGCTCGTTCTTTTGGTGCACTTGTTTCCTGTCACGTGCTCGTGGCTTTGACTCTTCCCCGTGCTTGGAAAGCGATTAAGGCCGGAGAGCGCGTGGCCCCGCGTAACCCCTTTTCCTTGGGATCTTGATTTTGCGCTTGGAGCTTCGGCAAAAGTTCTACATCTCCTCCTCTCGTTCACAAAAGGAGACGCTGAGGTTCTATGCTTGGAAATTCATGAGCGGCACTTTTTTTTTGAAAGAACGGGCTGTTCCGGTTCTGCCCTCTCGGGATCCAAGGGCTGGGCAAAGAGCGGCAGAGCGGCACTGTTCCGCCCTTGAAAAGCCCCTGACGAAACGCCAGTGCACGACATCTCGCAGATGAAGCTCACCCGCCTCCAACCGCGGCGACTTGCCGACTCGCGCGTTGTCGACTCGCCGCGCAGTCGTCTCGTCGGCTTTGCCCTTGCCACTCGCGGTCGGAGACGACAGTCAAGCGACCGATGATGAAAGGGAGCTGGTGCACGATCTACAACGCGCTCGACGACTGGCTCCAATCGTGACGTGTCTGCTGACCCAAATCTGGCGCGCAGAAAGGCGGGGGGTTTCTATTTCCGCTCCAGTCAGAACTGGACGTCACCCCACGCCAGGTGATCTGTTCACGTGACTTTCGCCCTCCCGCAGTACGTAACTGGGCCCCTTATAATTTTTTGTTGGCCCTGTCATAAACCGGCGTACATTCCCTTACATTCCTGGCCAGGTCTATCTCAGCTGCTGAATATTCCTTTGCTGTGACCGGAAGCGACCTCCCCTTGAAGCTCCAACTTGAACGGAATCGCCGACTCAGGCTCTACAGCTCCAGACGATGGGCGGACATCGAGCGCAAGCGTTCCCCCACGCCGACGACCCAGAGCGTGGGGGGAAGCGGGAGCGCCAAAGCGGACCGCCTGCTACCGCCCGTCGAGAGCCCGCGCGGGTCGCTCGCTTTCAGTCAGCAGCGGAAGCGCAACAGTCTACCAATCCCAGTGCGTCATCCGAAGCCTTCGTGGAGGAATTCACCTGCACCAAGTCCATCAACACCCGCACGGACGCCGGTCACAAGCACCCCCTTCCGCAGCTATGGGCTCGTTGTCGACCCCGTCAGCGTCGAGCGTGATGCGCGTGATGAGCTACGCCGCGGCGTTGGATCTGGTGCGACCTTCTTCGCAGCTCGGACGCGACGCGAATGTGTCGCACCACACTGCAAGCGATGGACCGTTCATCGCGTTGCACTCAGACTTTGCTTCTATCGTTGGTGCGAACCCCAAGTTGGATCTGATCGCCAGCACTGAGAAGAGTCGAGGGGGTACGTACCCATCTCCGACTGAGCCCACCCCCACTCACTGCCACCCCCCGCCTGTAGGACCTCGTACGGGGTCAAGCGAGCGGCTGATGCGCCCCACACTGAGCCCCACTCCTTATTCATCGCCCAGGCAACGGCGTATCTTTGTTCCACGAAGCTGGCGTGTGGGCCCCCCAAACAAAGGGTAGCGACCAAGGTGACGTCTACATCACCTCCAACATCATCGGCAACGACCGCGATGGTCTCGAGATTAAGGTTTGCCGCCTGCGTTTCTCCACCTCGTCGGAGTCCGCGGCCAAGGTCGCACCGTCGGTGAGTCCATACCCAAGTACTCGTGCGCTTCCCTGTCCAAACTAATGCACACGCTTGTCTTTTGGCAGAAATCCGACTCGTCGGTGCTTGTAGTGCCCGGGGTCGAGTACGAGGACTTGCAGCATCTCGCGGATGAGGTTGTCATGGCGAACGGTGCGACCGCGTACGGATCCAACATCCTCTGGTGCTCCCAAGGCCAACACAAAAAGTTCACTGCTCCGCTCCGAATCAAGCTCGAATCGTCCGAGGATCCCAAGGATAATCGTGTGGCGGGCTCACTTATCCTGGTCCGTTGACCTCTTCACCCGAGAGGACCTCAGAATCTCGCCAGAATAGCTTAACTCGGCGGGTGCGCCCGTGCTAATGCGGTATACTTGAATCTTGAATTACTTTTCAGAGTGAACCCCAAGCCGACGGGACGTTCAAGAATCGGACTCTTCTCAACCACTTCCGAGGCCGCGAATTCAACGCCCTCAACGACGTCGCCGTCCACCCGCAATCGGGCTGCATCTTCTTCACAGACCCGGACTACGGTCTCGAACAAGGCTTCAAAGGACCCTCGCAGCTTCCAAATGGGGTTTGGAGGTACTGCCCCAAGACGGGTGCTCTGGGAATGGTCGCGGATGGACTTTGCAAGCCGAATGGGATCGTGTGCTCGCCTGATGGAAAGACGTGCTATGTCACCGATACGGATTACATCCATGGCGATGGTACGATGGTTTCGACGCGCATGGGCGCCATGTACGTCACTTGCAGCTCAATACCTCTTCATAGCACGAGTGTCCCCTGAACCAACTTTTCCTCACCCTTCTGCGTGCCCCCAGCTACGCGTACGACATCCTCCACTACGACAAGATCCCCCAACTGCACAACAAACGCCTTTTCGCCCTGGTCGACTGCGGTGCACCCGATGGAATTAAAGTCGACGAACTCGGCAACATCTACACTGGCACATTCGAGGGCGTTGATGTGAGCTGCACGCCATCGTGGCAGCTTCCTGTCAGAAATCGTCGAGCTGACCCTTTTCTCACTAGGTCTACCACCCCGACGGATACGCTCTGGGCAAGATCGTAATACCCAAGGACGACGAAGGCAATCAACGAGGATGTGCGAATCTTGTCTTTGGCCCCAAGGGCAAACTCGTCATTCTCTCCGAGACGACAGTCTGGGTCGCTTCGATCGCGCAGAGCGGGGAACTTAAAGGGCTCGAGGTGGCATGATTGAGCAGAATGCAGCTCGTGCTCAGGGCTCGTCGTTTTCTGATATCATATTTGCGTCAGCCTCGTATCAGCAGTATAGTATCACCACAACCTCATGTAACGGAAGATTTCAGTCAGTTTCGCATTCACAATCCGACCTCACACCAGACAACCCAAGTACAGACCGGACCAATTTGGGTGTACCCGCCCCCTAAACGGAGATCCGTTTCATCAAATCCGGCACCTTGTAAGGCTTGGTGACGACATCATCCATCCCTGCCTGGAGCCCCATCTTAATTTGCGCCTCCCTCGCATTCCCGGTCAACCCGACAATCCTCATCTTGCGACTCTTGTCCCTCTCCTCGACTGCACGAATCGCCCTCGTTGCCCCTAAACCATCCATAACGGGCATCTCGTAATCCATAATGATGCACGCGATCTTGGCACCGTGCAAATGCAATAGCTCGAGCCCTTCCTGACCATTCTCAGCGAGCAAAACTCTCTCGGCCCCAGCTTTGAGCAATTGCTTGCGCAAGACGGTGCGGTTGATCTGATTATCCTCGCAACAGAGGATCGTCTTGCCCGCCAAGGGGAGAACAGTTTGCTCGGGGTGCCCTTCAGCCCCGGGCAGGCAAGGATCATTGTCGAGTTTTATGCGTGAGACTTGACCGTTCGGACCGGCTTCGGTGATCCCTTCGATAATGGGGACTCCGTCCGCCTCGGCTTCCGTCGCTCCGGCGTCGATGGAACGGGCGGTGATGAAGCAACGGAAGATCGAGCCTTCGCCGACTTTGGATCGCACTTCGATACGCCCGGCTTGCAACTCGCACAAATCTGCAGGGGGTTGAGTTGAGTCAGTAATAGCGCCAAATCGCAACGACACGGATATGTTCTGCTCGACCTACTCCGAGCAATCCACAGACCGAGTCCAGAACCTCCCATCGTCGAATGAGTGAATGGGAACGCCTGCATGAACTTTTCAAACAACCTCGACGTCTCCTCTTCGGTCATACCCGGTCCCGTATCCGCAACCGAGAAGAAGAGGTAAACAGGCCGCTGCTTCTCGATGTAGTATTCCGTCTCCGCGGGCGGTACGATCTGACCCCCTCGATCCGGCGGCTGGCCCGACACCTCGACGGATAGCACGACTTTACGAACAGCCGATTTGGCCGTGAACCTGACTGCGTTCGAAAGGAGATTGACAAGAACCTGACTGCGTTCGAAAGGAGATTGACAAGAACCTGCGACAGACGCGTCGGATCCGCCAAGACCCGGGCATGCGAGCCCAATCGTTTGAGCGAGTTGCCGAGCGATAATTCGAGCTTGATCCCTTTGGCCTTGCATTCGCTCTTCCACATCCTGCATATGTTGCGCAGCGAGGCGATGAGATCGAACTCGATCGAGGCGATTGTGTACTTTGAGAGCTGGATCTGAGCCAAGCCCAGGGTGTCATTGGCTATTCGCTCTTGCGCATGGCCGCATTGGATGATGGCGTCGCATGCCTCGATGTTCTCTTCGATTTGTTCGATTTTTTTGCGTGTGAAGCAGAGAGGCAGCTGATTTTTCTTTTCGAGGCGTAGCATAGATGCATATAAGCCGTCCATAGACGATCGGGTCAACTCGGCGTTCTGAAGAATGGCCGAGATGGGGTTGCGCAGTTCATGTGATGCAACTGGTGGAGCATAGTAAGAGTGAATCATCAGAGACCCTGGTTGAATGCTTTGATACCGAAGGGATAAAAGCCAGCTCACCATCAAGGAACAGTTCGGTCGCCTGCTTCTCCTGCACCGCCTCGGTCGCCCGCTCTTCTGCATCCTCGGCCGCCTTCCTCGCCAAAGCCTCATTCTCTACACTCAGCGCAACCACTGCCTGCTCTGCAACGAGTTTCGCCCTCGCACTTTCTTCCTTTTGCCGCAAAAAATGTAGCTCGTCTACCTTGAACTTGGCCACACTTTGGGTGGAGAGCACGCCGAGTCGAATAAGGATAGGTCGGGATACTTGGTCAGTAAGCAGTTTTGTGCTGTAAACCCTGAAACCTCTACATGTAGACCCACTTAGTCAGAGATCCCACCATCGCGTACGGTTTCCCATCTTCATTGCAGAGTGGGGCGACCGTGGAAACTGTCCAATTTTCGCTGTCGTCGCCACCTGAGGGCAACCATCGGAACTCGCACGAATCGCGCTGATGGTGTGCAATAACTGATGGGTGAAGACAAAGAGACCATGAGCTACAGCTTCAGGGCAAGTTGGGCGAGGAAGCAAGACTTACTCTGGTCGCGGTATTTGGTCACAAGGGGGATGTCTTCCGGTTCGATCTGTGAGGTTTTATTGGGCAGGTAAGAGTCAGATATCCGCTGTCCAAGCGCCCCTCGGACTCCGACATCACTTCGGCAGTGAACTCGTCGACTCGTGGGCCTCGTTGAAAGTCTAAACCACTCACCCGCTCCCCCCACCTATCGTGATCCTCCTGTCCATACATGCCGGTTACTTTGAGCCACTCTTTGTTGACCCACAAGACGGAGCAGTCGAAGCTCATCGTCAACAGGCCTACCGGGGCTTCGTATGCGGCCGCCGCGAGCTCGTTCCGAACCGAGCTCTCGTCGCCGTAGAGATTCGAGGCCGTCAAGACGAGTAGGCGACCGTGGCGCGAGATCCTCCATTTGGAAGCGTAAGCGCGATCTTTGAAAGTTTTGGTTCTGGTCAACCGTAGGGTGAGTATGTTGCGCTTGTCCTTGTTGTACGGTGTCTGTGGTAACTCCCGCCCGCCAGCGCGTGCAGTCTGGCCCTCAGAGATCCCTCGGCATGCTTCGAGCAGCGCTTGCAAGGGCGACGCATCCTCGATGGCGTCGAGAAAAGAGGAGCGAGGGGTGCCAGGTCCAAAGTAGTCTCGCAACGCCTCGTTCTCCAAATGAGGTGTAGGGAGCTGCGACTTGAGCTCGGCGGCCCTTGCAGTATCAGCAGCAGCAGTCTGAGAGCCTGGCCCGCCGCAGTCCGTGCGGCTATCGCCGATCGTCCAGGCCACCGTGGGCATCTCGGATTCGAGAATGTAGTCGATCAGCTCGATGGGTAGATCATTGAGAACAGCCATGTAGGGGTCGGCGGTTTGAGTTGAATTAAGAAGGGGAGATGGGCAGAGAACAACCTTCTGCCAACCTTCAGCAACAGTTAACGTGTCTGCTCAACGTTGACCGTCTTTTTGCCTCTAAAGCTTGTCGCCCAACCATCAATCACCCGGGCTTGTAGCCGGTGGCGCTCGGGGCGGCAGGCTGTATAAGGCGGCCGCGCGCCTCCGCTTGCGCACCTGCTGCGGCCGATTCCAGATCGCATCGAAAGGCCTAGGCCCATCTCGAGGTGGCCAAGACGGTGTCAAACTTTCGATTCACCAAGGAGCAGACCGAGATTTCTACAAAAGCCGCGGAGAACTGCGGTCACCTCAGATACCTCTGTAACTCGCCTGACATCTTCTTGCATCCTTCGACAGCACCTACGCTGCATTCTTACTCCTGTCACTAGGGCTGGCCCTGCGTGATTCAAGGTCGTGCAGTGGCGGGCTTCGCCCGAACCTCCCGGATGGTGGGGGGGAGGGAAAGATCGGCGCGCGCGCGTGCGGCTGAGAACCTTATTTGGTGGAGATGTTTTGAGATGCAAGATTATAAGGAGTAGTAGATAGATGTATGTAGGTGGGTATATATAGAAGTAGATAGTATATAGTAGATAGTAGTATGATAGATAGATCGCAAGACCGTTCACGACCGTCTCCCCAATGGTTACACTCAGCCCCTATTTGAAGACTGCGTCCCGCATGCTCTTTAGTCACGAGGTTGTTGCCTTGAACCACCGAGAGTTGATGGACCCATCAGGAAAAGAGCTGAAGTCAGGGGCTTGGCTTCACACTGCTAAGCAGGAAGCGATCGCGAAGGGAAAGCTGCGTGGGACGGGATGCTGGTGAAAGAAGAATACTGTCAGAGCTTGCGAGGATACTGGGGACGAAGCGGAAGGGGCGAGCTAGAAGCTCTAAGACTGGCAAATTCGTTCCGACCGCCTGACTCTCATTCGCGCAGTTCGTGAGACGAATCGATCGACGAATCGCTTAGGAGACGGCAGTAGTGAGCGTCTCGATGCACCTGTCTGTGAACAAGACTAGCTGGGATCTACGGCTGAAAACTTAAAACTCCTCGAGGGCTGAAACGCCACCCCGACGCACTCAATGCTTCACAGTGCTGCTCTCATTGCTCAATGCAGATGCCTGACATGGTATAGGAGTGCTCAAATGTTGTACACCCGCATGCGGACGAAATTGAATACCTGAATATCATCTGCGAGGCAAGAACATGTGCGCTGGGCCGGCTCGCCAAAACCTAAAAGGCTAGCGGGTCTTGAATATCGAACACCGTGTGGAGAGGAGCAGTCGAGGAAATTGCGTCTGAAGCCGAAGGAATTCGGCACATCAACGGGCTTCACGCCACTTTGTTCTTCTTATCGTTAGAAAAACAGCTCATTTCATTGAAAAGCTACAGTTGGAGCTTCGGCGAGACGATCCTGAAAAATGCTAGAGGTATTTTCGCGACCCTCGTCTAAAACTCGTGCTTGAATCGACCTGGGTCACAAGGGCACCGACTCCTAGCTTTAATACAGTTCCCCAAAAAGAAGATAGAAATCGACTCACACTTTGTGCCCATGTCACAGCCCCGCGGCGTATTGAAGAACCGGCACTTAGTGACCTTGCCCTTGGCGCCCTTGCCAGCTTTCTTGCCCTTCATTTTGCTCGCTTGCATATCGATGCTTGAGCCCCCCGGCGGCACATAGCCGTTGTACTGGTCTGATAGGGTCAATTGAGGCGCCTGCGACATGAGCGATTGCTGTTGCTGCTGCTGCCATGAGAACATCGAAGGCGGAAGCGGAGGTGTCGGCTCGAGTTGAACAGGGAAAGTCTGCAATCAAGCAAGCAGAAACGTGAGCAGATCCTTCAACCAACTAGGCAGAAGCTATGCATCGACGTACTGCTCGTTGACTCAGCTCGTTCGCAAGCATGCCCAGTTCTTGGGGGTGCTGGTTGACGATGCTCTGAAGCAGAGCGGGATCGAAGGCCCGAAGCTTGGCCAGTGCCTGCTCATCAAAGACGCCCGTTTGCTCGAGACCATTGCTCAGACCCGTGTGGGGTTGGTGGACGTGCTGTTGAAGCTGATGCGGTTGTTGATGGTGGTGCTCTTGCATGCTGACAAGGTTGCCAAGCAGGCTTTGCAGTTGATCCTCTTGCAGGTAGCCCTGTGTCGGGGTGTTCAGGGACTGGGCATTTGCGATCGCCTGCATCACAAAGGGATCACTCGTCATCTCGGATGAAAAGGTCATCTCCTTCGTTTCGGGCTCGTCTTCGCCGGCTGTTGCGTCCGATTGGGGTTCAGCCGGAGACTCCATCTGCGCTTCGGGGTTGCTTTCGTCAAAGAGATACTCGGGTCGACCCGTTTCGCGTTGCGCTTGAAAGACGGCTTCCTCGGATTCAACAACAATGTGATAGGAGCTGAATTCCGCCGTATCAGGTACTTCGATGACTGACCGAGCACGATCACGGGCTTTCAATGAGTAAGGCGCTAATGTTGTCGAACCCAAAGAGGTCACGGCTGATCAGACTTACATAACGGCTCGTACCAGGCGATTTCTTCCTCCATTGCCGCACCTTGAGTCATGACAGCTCCCTCGCGTTCATTCATATCCCTGACCAACGACTCGAAGCCACTGTCCTCGTCCTCCGCACCGGCCTCACCCATGCCTTTCCGTGGCCGTTGCCCGTCGAGGCAATTCTCGATGATCCGGATGTGGTTGAGATCGACGTCATTGAGCGGCCAGTGTACTTTCTTCTTATTTCGCAGTTTGAGAGGATTCAAAGTTGATCGAAGCTCGGAGGGGATCTTGTCGGCCGCCAATGAAATTGTTGCCGCCATTGTCCCAGAGGCTGTGGAGGGAGTCGGAGCAGCGGCAGAAGCAGACGGCGGCTCGCTCGTGCGCTTCTTGTCAAACTTCATTTGGGCCAACATCTTTTGTAACGGGTTGGCGACCACGACCGGTGCCTTTTTGATTGGTACTGGGGTCGCGGCAGACGTTGGTGCTTTCTTTGTGTTTGTTGTGGCAGCACCGGGGACGTGCTTCTTGGCTTCGGCGGCAACAGTTTTCCCTTCTGTGACGGTCTTTAGCTTCTTGACCGGAGCTGCTTGTCCGAAATGAATCAACCACAAAGTCAGCTAACGAGATCGCTCAACACAGGTCTATACGCCAAACACTCGCCCTCAGAGCTCGAATCCGGTGTCTTGCGTTTTGTCGCTGCACTGGCCGCTTTCTTAGTGCTCGCTTCGTCCTTCGAGTCGGCGATGCTGCTGGCCAGTTCTTGCCATTTGTTGACCAGTTCCCGTGCAAGCTTGACCGCCTCTATTAAGATCGAACACAGTAAGGTTGAGTAAAGTGTAGACAAGTGGGTCAGTTCAACGTCAAAGTAGCATGGAACGGCCATCTTGGGACGCACCTTTGTTCTTTGAGCCTCGATCGACCCTCCGGACTCGTTTTCCGAGCTCGTACGTCTTGAGATGATTGATCGTGAGGGGAAGTTTGTTGAGAGCCTGTGGATTCACGATTTGGGAGCATGATTGGAGACGCGCTGGTCAGGTTCATGGTCTGATCCCGCACAGGTCATATGTAGGAGCGGCAAGCCAACGTCGGCGATGCGCGCACGGGCCCGAGGACCGGACAGGGGCCACGACTAGTTTGCGCCAGTGACGGGATGCGGGGCTCTCTACTTTAGGGGTACGTGACCACAAAAAGATCCGACAGGAAACAAAGCACAAGGTATTTTCAAAGTTGTGATTGCTCTGTGCAATTTGTAGAGCGGGTGCAAGGCGCGCAGGTAGGCCCGGCGCGGAGTCTCGGGCCCGAGCGGTCGGCTCCGCATTTGAAAGCTGCCAGGGACGGCTCGGACGAGCTTTCCAGGACTTCCATCGCACGGTCGAAACACAAAAGACTCACCTTGAGAATGGGTACCAACGTCCCTTCCAACTCCTTGCCCTGGTCCTTACTCGACTCGACCTCCATCTTCCCTTCCTCGCCCTTCTTCGCCACCGAGGTGCAACTGAGACTCGCACCCCAGAACCAAACCTTGATCGTCTTAATCCCCTCATCCCCCGGTACGGCCGCGAAGGCATTCCAAAATTCCTTCGTCCCGTTCTGTAGCATCTGCGTCAATATGGTCAAGCGATCCGAAGGTGGGATCACGGATTGGTCGCCCCAGGGTGAGAGTTGGCGACTAGCATTACCGAAGGAGAAGTGCGAAAGCCCTTTGGCGAGCCGATTGGCCAGCACAAGCGGTGTTTTGGTCGTGCGCAGGTTTGCAAGGACGTCGCGCAGCTGCGAGTCGTACATTTTGATCCAGACTTGATTCTCGGGCGTGGGGGCGGCGCTACTGTTTGCTACTGAACTCGTACTCGTTGCTGACGTCAATTTCGATTTTGAGGAGGCGGTGCTCGAGATTGAGGTCGAGGTCGAAGCAGGGAGTTTGCCTTGAGCGACGGCGGATTTGGGTGTGATGACGATAGCGGGATTCATAGTGGAATGAGTAGAAGCGGCGACTTTCTTAGTGCTTGTTGTGGTAGCCTCTGCCTTCTTCTTCACTATCATTGCTGGAGCCGACGGAGTCACGGGCGCCGCCGTCGAGGTCGATGCGACAGGGGCTTCGCCGATCAATACAGGGTGGATGACGACTACGTCCGCTTCCATCTCCGCCGGAAGTGACGACGACGCGGTTAGGATCGAAGGATTAATGGACTGCACCAGCTCCTCGCCGTCGTCTTCATCGTCCTCATCGTCCTCATCATCCTTATCCTCATTCTTATCAACATCCTCTTCATCGTCCTCCACTTCAGCCTCAGACCCGCTGTTGACGGGTTCCGGAGAAAGTCGAACCGCTTCGTTTTGCAATCTGAAAGTAGACGCATCACCATCGACAGCCATCATTCCACTGATCTCGTCGCTGTTGTTGACATTCTCGCCTCCGAGCATCAGCGTCATCGATGCGGCGGCAGGAGCCGATTCTCGGAACGGCGAAGGAACCTCAGCGGGCAGGTCCGAGTCCATGTGTAAGGAGTCGATGTTGCCCTTGTGGAACACTGCTAAACTTTCTAAACCTTCGTCGTCGTCGTCGATCGGCAGGTATGATGTACTTGCTCTCGGATGTTGCCCCTCGGCGGCGATCGTCGATCCCGCATCTGGCGAGGGGAAAGTGTCGAGGTCGATGTAGGCGGAAACGTCCGCGGAACTCATTGCCAGGTATCCTCGAAGATGCTTGGGTGTTTATGATTTGAAAAGCCCTCGAGGTTTGCGTAAAGGATCTGCACGATGGGAAAAGCGGGACAGGAAAAAGACAGCGGACATTGCCGGTGGCCGATCGGCGGAGAGGGGAGGAGGGAGCACCGAGTCAGTCAAGAAGTTTCTTAAGTTGTCAAGTGGTCAACAGCAAGTTATTGATCGTGTGTACTCCGCATCTGATCCAGATGCGCCGTCGGTGTCTGCAGGTCCAAGTCGCCGAGGAGCCGTCGCCCCAGCCACGGCAACTCGTACTCGCTAGCTCAGGGGCTCAGGCGGGGGCCGCGTTTTGCCGGTCGGCAAGCGAGGGGCAGGCACGACCGAGCGCAAGAATCGGCGTCGTGTGAGGCCTGTGCACGCGGGAACCACGCGTAGGGCAGATCGACGGCTGTAGAGCAAAGCAAAAGTGACAGTCACAAAGTTTGCACTTTGTCTCGTCTCAATCTGCCTTGGTTCAGCTGGGCCCGGCTCGTTTCGACACGAGGTTCCGATCGACCCTCCTGCCGCACGGACCGCGCAGGCGGCAAACCTTCTGGTGCCGCTGATGGGCCTGGTCGTCTCAAGCCTGATTGTCGACTAGTCGTCGAGCCTCCCCTCCATCGACTTCGCTTGTGCACCAAAATGGAATGATGACAGTGAAACGTGTATAATGTATTTGGGAGAAAAGGACATGCTGGGAAGAAGTGCGATACGTTGCACGAGCTGCGCTCCTGAACAACCCGATCCGAGTGAGGCCTTACCAATCGATGTAAAATCTGTGGAGGGGAAACCCATGGAACGAGTGAAGCGAATATGCGAAGTGAAGGCCAAACCGAGCGCGTTTCACCAGCGCACGCGGCGGGCGGAATGGAGGCGAGGGAGCGAGCGGATCAGTCTGGCCGTTGGCTTGGCAAAGGGGATGACAGAGCAGCTAAGCTCAACAGAGAGCAAGATGAACGTACGTCGTAAATAGGGAGAATGGAAGGAATACTGCGAGAACACGAGCTTACAGCAACGAGGCCGAGCCGGCCAGGTGACGCACAGCGCAAAAGGTTCACCGCGGACGATGACTATGCAAGCGAGTACGATCACACCACAGCACACCACAGCCACTTGCGGGCTCTCAGACACAGTCTAAACAAATGCTTTCACTCCCGGTAAAGTTGTTGATGATGATGATGAGGTGTGGTTCGACGAGACGAACGCAGCTTGGGACGAGCGGGGATAAGGATGGCGTCGAGGTCGTACAAAGGTAGACCAATCTTGAAGAGGAACGGACGATGCACCCCGCCTGCACAGAATGAATCACAGAACACACGGAGCACCCTGAATGGTGGGGAGGACCGGGTGGGGCGCCGGTAGCGAGATGCGGGCGTGGTCGGATGTGGATGAAAGGCAAAGGCTTATAAGACCCGAGGCCGCACAAAGCCGCGCGCGCATCGCCAGGCATCGCCTTCGGCCACAGTTCCACTGACCAGCATTAGCTCCGAGGTTGTAATACCAATTCGCGCTGTTTAAACACGGCTTTGGCGACCCGAATCGACGGCGCCAGGCGGCGCGCATCCTCGCGCATCAGTCGCGCATCTCGCTCGCAGATGAAGCTATGAAGACCCCGGGCTTGCCTTTATGGTTGCACCGCTACCCCTTGAGGCCTTCCCGCTTGCTGCACAGCTGCCGGTTGCTTGCCTCCACTCTGGCCCATCGCTCGGACGACTATGGCCTAGGCCCGTCTCACTCTACAACCGACCCTCATCTCCATCCTTGCAGATCGAGTCAAGCATCAATTAAGAGGCCATCCTACTAGCAACTCACTCCTTCGCCGCGACCAGTCTCGAGTGTCTGCTCGCCGCTCACGTTACCGAATCGGGTCACCACGACCGGCGGCGTGAGGTGGGGTCGACCACCGCACGCATACCTCAGCCTTGCCCCGAGGCAGGCACGCCGCCAGTCCCGCTCGAAAAGATGCAAGTGCGACCAGGTCCAGGAATGAACGGCATCATGGGTGCAGGAGGGGGTCTGCACCCTTCTTCACCGCAGCCGCAGCCGGGAATGCTCGCGAGACCGCCTTCGACTCGGCCACCCCCAGCTCCTCCCTCGTCGAGCAACGGCGCCTTTTCGATCCCACCCTCTCACCCACAACACCCTCAACATCCTCAACACCACCAATGGGTCCTGCACCAGCACCAGCAGATGCAACACCAACATGACCAGCAGCAGATGCAATTGCAACAGCAACAACAGCAGCTCCACCGGCAGCAACAGATGCAGATGCAGCAACAGCAGCAGCAGCAACAGCAACAGCAACAACAGAACGGACCCGGTCCGCCTTCGATGGAGCTCCTGAGACAGCAACAACAGTCCCAGCTCGGGTACGGCATGCCACCTCCATTGCCTTCATCTTCGCACCCTCAGCTCGTCGCGTCGACTTCGGCGCAGGCCACAACCAACGCGATGCAACGGCAACAGCAGCAACAACAACAGTCACATCAAGTCCCGCCGGGAATGCTCCTCATGAACAACGGTGAGATGAGACCGATCGAGATGCGCATCAACGCGAGCGGGTTGTCCGACTCGATGTCGAACGGCAACAGCATACACTCGCCCCGCGGTGGCCGCCCAGGCTCGGCGATACCAACAGCAGGGCCGAGGCAGATGGGGGGTGTTCCGTCCTCGCCATCACCGTTCGGGACACCGCCCGTTCAAGCTCCAACACCAATCCACTTTCGACAACCTTCGGGCTTGCAGCAACAGCAAGCACCAGGACTCGCCAACTCGCATGTGGGACCGCACCCGACCCCGCCTTCTCGACCTATGTCGATCGCTCCTCCTGGCCCCAGGCCATCGCTTGCCATGGTCGGGCCGGGATCAGTTTCCGGTGCGGGTGTAGGGCCTCAGTTGCTGTACCGACCAGGCGGTCCGGGCGGTCCACCGCAGCTTCAAACGCCGATGCGGCGAGATCTGATGCTGGGCGCTCAGCTGGCAGCCATGGCGTAAGTGCTCGAATCGCAAGCGTTCGACTCTCTACCGATGCTCATACCGTTTCCCATCCTGCAGAGCCGGCCCCATTACAGCGACACCAACATCAGTCGGGCCTGGTCTGTCGAGGTTAACCGCTTTTAACGAAAGTCTCGCTTTAGCACTGGAAGATGCAAGTCACATATATTCACGGTCTAGGACATGGGCTAGCTCGATCGATAATCTGACATATCCTCCCGACTCGTATTGCTTTTGCACAGACCGACATACTCGATTCTCTACGGGCACTGGTCGCGGACTACTTCACCGACTCGGGTCTGATCAAATTCGGGCTGTTCGATCGTACAGCGCAGCTGCACAAGATCTTTGGTACGTGCATGATTTACATTCATCGCACGAGTGCCTAACTCCTTGTTCCTTCATAAATAGAAATCCCATGTTCCGCCTTCCCCCGCTTCCAACACCTTAATACCCTGTGCGGCGTCCTCCTCACATCAGTCCAGCCATCGTTCGTGCGAGAATTCTTCCTCTCCGCACCCCACCCCGTCACAGGACAACCGATCCATGTCGGCTATCTGCTCCGCGCCGACGAAGCCGTCTGGTCATCCCGGTTTTCAAACGGGACCAAAGTCGAACTGAATGGGACGCTCACCGCACATCTCGTCGTAGTCCCACTCACCGCAACGGGTCCTTGGGGAAGCGCGACTGGCAGCTCGATCAGTGGTAGTGCGCGGGGTGGTGCCGGTGCCGGATCGTTGAGGTTCGAATCGATGGAATTCGAGTCGCGCGGTCATGAAGAATGGGTCGTCAAGGATGCGGTCGTCGACGAGTTGATCGAGACTTTTTACGATGTCGATGGCGAAGGTGGTGGAATCTCGCAATATCTCAAGGAGGAGGAGGCACGGACGACGGCGCAGTCGAGAAGGTCGAGTGGGTCGATGACGACACGACGGAAGTCGACCAATAAGGATGAGGCAGCGAATGGCAAAAACGCGTCGATGGGTGGACCTCAGTCAACAAAAGGTCATGTCCTGAAACCTTCGACGATCGATTGGAACGAGGAAAAGCGTCCGCCAGGTCTGCAGACCAAGTCGAGGAAGACGAGCCATTCACCGAGTGCAGGGGTGGGTTCGTTCGGTATCACCGAGATGGGGATGCGGTGCCTCGAAATCGCCGAGAGCGTCGCGAGTTTACAGGACGTAGTCACGCATTCGTTGAGGAATGGGGTCGGGCCTTTGCAGAGTTTGGCGACGTTGGCGAACGAACACCGGAGGAGAACGTCGATGAATGTCCCGCCTGGTGGGGGAGGACTGAATGGAACGGGTCCTGGGGGAGTGTCGGGGTTCCCGCCGCAGGCGGGTTCGCTCCCGCCCCCTGGGTCGATCGCGCAGACGTTCCAGAACCCTCTGCACAACTCGGTCTACATGACCGCGCCTATCAAACCTTCCGCGGCCTCGACCAACTCTCCCGTTTCCGCCACACCGACATCGATGGCCCCGACACCCGCAGCCACCGTGTCAACAGCTCCCCCGTCCACCACCTCAGGAACAGCCGCCTCGGCAACCAACTCCAATGTCGTCGTCGCCAACGGCACCTCCCCAGCAGCGAGTAATCTCGCAAACGTTGTCGGCGGCGTCAACAAGCGAAAAGCCTCCGGTGTCAGTGCGACCAACTCTAAAGCCTTAGCCGCCGTCGCCGAGACGTCCTCGAATGGCAATTCGTCTGACGAGTCACCGGCACCAAGTACGGCCGCGAAACCGACGGGTGGGAAGACGCGGGGTTCGAGAGCAGCGAGGAATAAGTAATTCCAAACGGAAGGGGAAGAGGAATTTGTTGCACACATTTCCAGGTTCTGTTGGATCTTCTCCACATCTGTGTTTGTCCTCTCTTGTTTGAAGCAACCATAAACCGTACTACCTCTTCTTGCTACCAACCACCCTCGCTACTACTTCTTTATTGGCCCCCACTGCCCGCCTTCGATTCGCCTTTATTCTTGACAAAAGAAAGCATCGTCAATGTGTTGATAGTTTTAGCTGGTTGTAATGGTCACCTCGAGCTCTCACGATATCGCTCGCTCAAAGACCGAAAAGGTAGGCTAGAATGCATATTTCATTTTCTTCAACAAAAAGAGCGACAAAAGGAGAGCGGAGGCTGTTGACGCGAGATAGGTGAAAACAAGACTCAAAACACAAAGAGACTCGGATCCCAGATCACGTTTGACTACACCCGATCACTTGAAGTTGACCGAGCCGCGGAAGCGGCGGGCCTCCGAAGCAGGGGCGACCTTGAGGGGTGCGACGGCGGGAACGTTCAACGCCTTGGCGACGCGCGCACCGAGGTCCTCGTCGACCCTCGCAAAGCAAGCGAGAACGCCGTTACGGATCGACTCGGACTTGATGCCGCCCATGTGGCCCGAGACGTTGTTGACGAAGCGCTCCTTGGCGCTGTCGTCGAAGACGCGCTGCCACAACGCGCGCGGCTGCACAAAGTCGAGCTCGGTGATGACGCTCAGGTCCTGCACGGCACCGCCGAGGAACTGCTCGTGCTCGGCCGTGTTGTAAAGCTGGGGCTTGTACAACAACGGCTGAATAGACGATTGGTAGTTGGGTCGAGCGCCTTGGTTGTAGAAGGCCATAGCCCCGTCACGCTGGAAGTTGGCGGGCAAGTGCAAGGGTGCGTTGACGGGCAACTGGGCGTAGTTGACACCGAGGCGGTGGCGGTGGGTATCGGGGTACGAGAAGAGACGCGACTGCAAGACGGGGTCGGCCGAAGGCTCGATACCGGGGACCAAGTGCGACGGCGCGAAAGCAATCTGCTCGATCTCGGCGAAATAGTTTTGCGGATTCTCGTTGAGCGTGAGCTTGCCGACCTCGCGAAGAGGGTAATCCTTGTGGGGCCAGATCTTCGTCAAGTCGAGGATGTTATGCTCGAACTCTTGGGCCTGCTTGGCCGTCATGGTCTGGACGTGGAGGGTCCACGAAGGGAAGTCTCCCTTTTCGATCGCCTCGAAGAGGTCCTGCGTGGCGTAGTCGGGGTTCTCACCGGCGAGCTGGACGGATTGCTCCTGGGTCAAGAATTTGCGCGGCTGGTCGCATCGCCAGTGGAACTGGGCGTAGACGAAGTCGCCGTTCTTGTTGATGAGCTTGTGAGTGTGGCCGGAGTAGCCGTGCATGTGTCGGAACCCATCGGGAACACCTCGGTCACCGAAGAGGATCATGACCTGATGGAAACTCTCGGGGTTCTGCGCAAGGTAGTCCCAGAACATGTCCGCGTCCTTCAGGTGGGTCTGCGGGTCGCGCTTTTGGGTGTGGATGAAGTGAGGGAACTTGGCCGGGTCACGCAAGAAGAAGACGGGAGTATTGTTGTAGACGTGGTCCCAGTTGCCCTCCTCTGTGCGGAGCTTGATGGAGAAACCACGGGGGTCACGAGCAGTGTCGGCCGATCCGGACTCGCCACCGACGGTCGAGAAGCGGGCGGTGGCGCGAACCTTGGTGCCAACCTTCTCGAATACTTGAGCGCAAGTCAAGTCCGAGATGTCGTGGGTGACCTGTACGTGAAGCAATCCCCCCCAAGAGGTCAGATCGGATGTCCGACCGCAGAGATCGGTGAAGAAAGACCGTCGCGGACATAGTAGTCAGACGTACGATAAATTCACCATGAGCTCCACTGCCCTTGGCGTGGACGACACGCTCGGGGATACGCTCTCGGTCAAAGTGAGCGAGGCTGCGAACAAAAAAGGGGGGACAGAGCGAGCATGAGCGTCCGATCGGCGATAGGGGAGTGCTGCGATCGGCCGATCCGAGCCAACTCGCTTCGAACTCGCTGATGGTGTGCGCGCGCGCGCGCGCAAGAGTGATGACAAAGAAGGTTACTCACAGATCGATGTGGTGGAAGTCCTGCAGCAAGAGAGGGCCATTGGTACCGGCACGTCCGGCGGCGTAGGGCTCGTTGACGGGGGCACCTTGCGAAGTGGTGTAGGTGGCACCATCGGGCTGGGAGAGCAGACCGGCAAGCGTTGACCGCGAGCGATGACGACAGTGGCGGCGAGCGGGCATCAAGTCAGCACGGAGCGCCACAAGCGATGGGGGAGGAGAAGGCAACGATCACGGCAGCTCACCTGGTCGCGGACTTGAGAAGAAGGCATATTGGTGAAGAGAGTAGTTTGTAGTTTGCGTACTGGGAGACTTAACTACGAGTGAGGGGAGAAGGAAAGGCGAGAGATGGGTAGGCAACACGATGCCGAGGTCGGAAAGGGATGGTAAGTGGAGGGAAGTGAGCATTAGTAAAAGTCAAAGTCGAGGTCGAGGCGCGCCAACCAGCGTCCGCCCATAGCCGCCCATTAGCGCGTCGATCGCGGGAGGGGGTGACGTCGACGACTCGACGAGTTCAAGCCGTCGGACAACGTGCACTGCAGTGTGTGCTGGCCCATCAACCACTCGATGCACCCACACGAGACAGTACCGGTGTACATATTCATGAACATGGACCAGTCGCTACAGTCTCCACCCCACCTCGGCACGACTGCCACACAGCGGCGGTTCACTGCCATCTCAGCTCCGCTCGGTTTCCCCACATTCTGCCATAGGAACCACGGGTCGCCATCGGCAAAGAATCCGAATGCATCGCATGGCGCAACAAGCAGCACCTCAAAGCAGAGCCACGCAGACTGGACGTCGTCAAGATACAACAGGATGTGCTTGAAATCAACTTACTTTGATGGATCACGACTCGGTGGATGAGGTTTTGGTGAGGTGGGGATCAAAGCCGAAAAGTCGAGGCCATCGGAGCGGACACCGGAGCAGGGCGTGAGGCAGGCTGCCAAAGGCAGCCAAAGGCGACCCCGCGCGCCGAAGCGCGCCGAGCGACTGCCGAGCTTGTCGAAAGGCGAATTGTGCATCTCTCTCTCACTCTTGCTAGAACCACTACTTTCGCTCGCAGCATCGCCTGTTGCTCGCTCGGAACTTCGAAACCTTTGATTCCCACGTCTTTCCACGCCAACTACCCTCCTCCCTCCACAGGGTTCTTCCAACTCGAATAGGTGTTTCACAGGCAGTGACTCTCTCCAGACCCATCATGTCAGGCATTAACCTTGGAGGCGGCGGGAACAGCGGTCCTCCCCAGTGGTGCTGGCGGTGCTGGTGCGCCTGATGCGGGTGCAAATGCGTCTGCTGGCAATGCGTCTGGTGCATGGCGTCGAATCAGAACCTATAGTGGCCTCGTTCGGTCGCGAACGCGGACGAGACGGTGATTGTCGAGTCCTTCGGTCGAAACCAGAATCGCATGGGATCGGGACGTGCAGACGGTGTACGAATCGAAGGATTTCTTATGGGAGTCCAATATTCCGACCTGGGAACCCCTGAAGTCCTTAGATTCGGACACTGTCCGTCACCATCTCCCGATCCCATGCGATTTTGTTTTCGGCGTTCAAGTCCGAGTTGTTTGACATCGCGTCCAACGCGGGCCTGGGGCGAGCATCAAGTTGAAGCTGGGTCAGACCGTCTCCTTCGGCACGACCAAGAACCGCTCGACTACTTTCCGTCTTCTAGGTCACCTGAGCTCGATCACTTGCTCACGTTCGACGAATGGCACCCGGCCTTGTTCCTGTACGCCACGCTGATGGCTAACATCTTCAACAAAAAAAAAGCCCAACGCGAGTAAAGCGTTTCTACAACACTTTTCCCTAGAAACGCTTTTTCCCGAGTCGCCATGCGCGCTAGGTCGAAGAGCTGGCCCTTGTAGCTTGAATAACACATCGTCGTAAGAGTGAACCTCTGGACTCAGCTGACGAGGCCATGTATCGCCAGCGTCGACGTTTCGGACCGGACTTCAACTCGGAGCACATGATCACAGCCGAAACACTGACCGATGCCGTGGTCCGACCGGAGACTATTCGAATATACGGCGAGTGCTTTCTCACTATCAACGAAGCTGTGGACCTCTTCCAAAACCAAGACCGAGGCGATGTTGGCCTTGATGGAAGAGAAGAAGAAGGGTATCTTCTCCACTGAATCTCCACTACCCATGCCGACGTCGATCTTTTTTATCTTCTCTTCCATCAAGGCCACCATCGCCTCGACCCCGGCCTTGGAAAAATTCCACAGCTTGGTTGATCGTGAGAAGCACTCGCCGTGTCCAAATGGCCTCCGGTGGGATGACAGCATCGGTGTTCGGCCGTGCTCATTGCCTCCGGGTTGAGGTCCTAAATGAAATGGCGTCTAAGAGCATCAGCGTCGTCGATTCATAGTTCGGAAACGGTGGATGGTTGATCCTCTTGGTCAATGGTGCCGTTCGGTCAAAGCTTGGGGTGGAGCGCAGCTCGAAGAACCTCATCCACCTCCGGAGCGGTCTCTATACCGGTATAGAAGGGACGAGTAATACAAGCACGTATGAAGACGTAAATATTTACAGCAGAATGCGAGCTATGTACATATGCACGAGTGTGCTTTACTGGGGACAACATGCATATGCGAAGAAACGAGAGAGAAAAAATGTCACGAACCTCGAACCGGCTCAGCTACGACTCCTCACCCAACCTTGACGGCCGCCTAGGCCGATGTTCATAGTCGAACGAACTTGATTCGGTCCGATTCAAGCTTCTGCCGCCCTCCCTAAGTGATCTTCCTGGGCCCGTCGCTGGCTCTCTTCTCGCTTGCGCCGCCCTTCTTCCGAGACAGGAGTCGAACAGACGGGACACTGCGAGGGTTTTCGGACTGAATCAGCTTATCACTCTTGAACCCAAGGTTCTGTCCAGTTTTACTCGGATGACTCACCCTTCCAGAAGTTGCCAGCCAAGTCTCGGTGCAATAAACATGGAAGCAATGACCGCAAGGCAACAGATGCAACAACTCGGGCTCCCAATCCGCGATCGACTCCCCTCTCGCAGGCGGTAGCTCGTACTCGCCCAAACAGATTGAACAAGCTGATTGAGATGGTTCGACAAGAATTCCAGGAACAGGAAGGTCGACAAAGTCGGAAGAGGTCGCGTCGGATGTTGAAGGTCCTTGGGGAAGGGTCCTCTTGCGAGCCGAACGCCACAGTAGATGCAAGCGACGGGGCCGACCTTGCTTCGAAGGAGCCGGCGAGGGCGGCACAGAAGAGTCGACCTTGGTGTTTGGTGGAAGGTTGGTTTGAATGGGTGGAGGAAGCGGCGGGTGTCCCGATGTTGTCGCTTCGCCTTCGCAAGCTGCTGCTGCTTCCGACGGCGCAGCAGTGGTAGCTTCGGATTTCGTCCCACTGGATCGGTGGAGAGGAGAGGATTAGCACCGAGGGTTGAGCGAGGGATAACCCCAACGGAGCTCACATGAAGATGCGCTTGGGTAATTTTGCGATCTCCTTCTTGGATATGGGCCCAATTTCGTTCTGAGCAGGTGCCATATAGCTTCCGAGGTTGTACTGCGGATGACGGGGGTTTGGGGGAGGGGGCACGGTCAGCCCAGCATCTAAGCAAGCATCTCGGATGTGTGCTCACCAGTGCAAAGGGGAGGTACAGCATCACGACGAGGATGACCGCAAACGCCTCAAACATGCTCAGGTAGCTGATGATCAACGCCGCAACACTCGCCTTCCACAGCATCGGCGCCGTGGGTCGACACTGGGAGGCGCCAAAAACCCAGACGTTGCCGATCACGAACAGGACGAGCGAGTAGAGCCAGACGAGATCCTTGACCCGCTTGACGCGACGATCGAGCGCGGGTGATCCGACCAGTCGGGTGGCTTCGCGTTGGGCGATGACTTGCTCCGAGTCGCTGGACATGCGGACTGGTGGGGTGACGGCTCTGTAGAATGCGACTGTGGTGGAGGAAAAGGGCACCTGCTCAGCGTGACGGAATTGACCGTTGGAGAGTCAGCACTTACATGGGAATTGAACTGCAAGTTTGATGATGATGAGAATGAGGTAGAGTCGTAGAGGCTTGACGCATGTGCTGTGCGTTGTCCTGGCCAGTACGACGCTCCACGCGATGATCTGAACGACGTCGACCGAGAATCGTCGTCAGCTTTTCGGGCCCCACATGCCAGCTTCGGCCCTCTCTGACAGCCGAATGGACTCGCCTGTGCGACTCCTATGACCGTCGTGACAATAAGTCGATCTCGACCTGCTTTTCCTGCAACAACATGAAGTCAGGTTTTGACATTCGACACCTAATGGCCATGCCGAGTCGACTGACCCTGGGCCAGACTGGCGATGACTCTCCCCGCAAGCGACAAACGTATTTGCAATGCATCCGTGACCATCCCCGAGCCAGCTTGTCCTGGTACTTCGACGTTGACGTTGTTTTCTTCAGTCCTTGCATCGGGTGGATAGGTCGTTGCGTCGCGGTGTAGTTCAGCTTCGGCTTCGGCTTGACGGCGACGCTTGATCCGGTCTAGGATCGCTACGAGATCGACTTGATCATCCGGAGACACAGGGTTGGGTGTTGGCTCATCTTGTGGCATTGCTGAACCTGCTTCGATGGGGGATGCGGAGTCGATGTGGTCGATGGTGAGCGGTACAGCCTCGGCGGGGGGAGCTGACGACGACGAGGTGGGCGCTGACGACGACGCCGAGTGCTGAGCGGGTGATGTCGGTGATGCCGGTGATGCCGGTGATGAGCAAAGGTCAAGGGCAGACTCGTGTGCGGACTTGTACGCTTCCAAGGCGACGCAGGGCGTGGTCGATGCTTGGGTCAAGTTTGCGTCTGTGTCTGACATGCTCGGCGACGCGAGTCCCGCTGCCACACTGTCACACTGTCACACGACCCACAACAGCTCCGTTGCTCGCTGCAGGTGGTGGGGCGGTGTTCAACCCGTACTCGATCAAGCCGCGCGCCCGAGAGCCACCTCCGAGTCAGCAAGTCAGCGAGATCGGGACGTCGGATAAAAGGCTCGGCGAAATACAACATTTTGTTTTTCTTAGGGGGGATTTGCATTGATATTAGCGTGCTCGAAAATAACCCGACCTGCAGATCGGAGCAAGTCATCGGAGAACATGATGCCGGAAAGGAGGCTCGTGCTGCCAGCGGACTCTTCCAGGAACGGGTCTCCTCTTCCCGGTCCTCGCCGTCATCAGCAGACTGGTCATCCCGGCCTCTGAATCCCGCAGTACCGTCCGACCATGACAAGTCCAACGCCACTCCAATTCGCCCCCTTCTCCTCGTCCATCACCCCCGCATTCTGGCAAGAACTGACCCGGCTCAAACTGCACGTGCTGCAGCTCTCGGACGCGCCCGTCGACGTGTATGCGAGCTATGGCAAGGGTCGCACGGTGCAGGATCGCCTGACGGGGCAGAACGTCGCTTTGACGCGTGCTTTGGAGTTGGATGCGAGTGGGCTGCGCACCAAGAGGTACGTTGCGGTGATCTCAGTGCGCGAGCCAAGGCCCGGACTGGAAGCGGGTGCGACCTCGTACCAGAGAGGGGGATGCAGGACATTATCGCAGCAGTCACCACAGCTTTGTGTACTGCGTGGGTCCGGATGGTAGTGCTACATGGGGTGTAGCTTCCATCCGGTGGTAATCTCGCTGCCGTCGCTGTCGATCTGCTGCTCCACGCCTGCCATCATGTGGGGGTGGGACCTGCTCGACCGGTGGTCCGATCTGATCGCCAACATAGTCCATCGCTAATCACGGGCACCATTCGTTCCTTCCGCACAGTCCACCAAGCCAGACTTCTGCAGACAATGTGGTCCTTTCCGGGCGGTTGCGCAACTTGAACACGATCGAGGAGTTCAAAAACTCGGACAAGGCCGCCATGCTCGATCAACTCGGTGAAGAGGTCCGTCCTTGGCGAGAAACGCCCCGATGCTCTCGGCAATAGCCCATGCTTTCGCTTTGTCGATCACAGATATGGCAGAGGATGACTTCAGGCGGCGTGGCACCGACAGAATCTGAGCTCAATCCGTTCCTCATGATCACCTTCGCGGACCTGAAAAAGTACCGGTATTACTACTGGTGTGCGTTCCCGGCCTTGTTGCAAAAGCCGGCTTGGGAAGTCTCGGGCGATTGGGAAGATCTTCCGCTTGACCAGGTACGCGAGATCAGAGACTCAAACATGAGCTGAGAGGCCAATCAGTTCACTAACGACGCTTTCGTTTGCATCTCGAAGCTCGACCTGTCTGCTCTCGAATCGGCATCGTTCCAGCTGGCCAAAGCCATCGAAGGACAAGAGGGGCACACTCTTGCTCCCATCTCGCAAGCGACCGAGTTCTTCGAGGGCGTGTTTCCCAACGAGGTGAGCTGTGAGAGCTAAGCGAGGTAGAATGTAACGCTAGCCGTAGAAAAGACAAGGCCTGACACAGACGCGTCACTCTGCAGCGCAAGCTCATCTTCACCGATCCGTCGTCGCATCCCAACGCTGTGGGCTGGCCCGTCCGGAACGTCCTCACATATCTTGCCCGAGCGCACCATATCACCTCCATTCGTCTCATCTCCGTTCGTGAATCTTCCCTCCGGACCGTCCTCATCTCGATCCCCGCCCCGGTCCCAAGTACTCGGCCAAGCGTCATCGGCTGGGAGAAGAATGACAAGATGAAGCTCGCTCCCCGCGTCGCCGACTTGGCACCCCTCATGGACCCGACCAAACTCGCCGACCAAGCCGTAGACCTAAATCTCCAACTGATGCGATGGCGCATCCTCCCCGCGTTGGATCTGGACAAGATCAAGCATACCAAAGTGCTCTTGTTGGGAGCGGGGACGTTGGGGTGTTATGTCGCGCGGACATTGATGGCTTGGGGGGTGAGGAAGATCACCCTCGTCGATTCAAGCACGGTCTCCTTCTCCAACCCCGTCCGACAACCCTTGTTCGAGTTTGAGGATTCGTTGAATGGGGGTAAACCCAAAGCTCAAGCGGCGGCAGATTCGCTCAAGAGGATCTACCCTGGAGTCGTGAGCGGGTTTGCAAAGATTCCGTTAGGGTTAATCTCGCTAACACACATTATACGTCTGCAACCGATCACAGGATGCCACAGGAGTGTCCCTCTCGATCCCCATGCCTGGCCATCCTATTCCTCCCGCACTGCAAGAGCAGTCCAAGAAGGATGTCGCAGTTCTCGAACAGCTCATCGATGGGCATGACGTCGTCTACCTGCTTATGGACTCGAGGGAGAGTCGGTGGTTACCGACTTTGATTGGCGCATCAAAGCAGAAGGTCAGTTGTGCCCTTTTCGAGAGCGCTGCATGATTGATCTAACATCTGAATCTCTGCAAAATGTTTCAGCTCGTCATGAACGTCGCTCTTGGGTTCGACACATTCCTTGTCATGCGCCACGGCGTCCCCTCATTCCGCCCACCCTTCGAACCAGCGGCCCCCGCTCAGCCTGGCCAGCCATACAGGGGCCAATTAGGGTGCTACTACTGCAACGATATCGTCGCACCCATGGACGTGAGTTCAGGTGATAGTGTTTGAAATGGGTCGGAGCCTTCATCGATTGACGTCTTTGATGCTGCCCAACCAAACACCCACAGTCCTTGACCGACCGAACATTGGACCAAATGTGTACCGTCACCCGACCTGGGATCGCCTCAATCGCTAGTGCTACAGCTGTCGAACTCATGGTCTCGCTTTTGCAACATCCGCAAAGTGCACGAGCTCCATCGGATGTCTGCGTTCCTGCGAACGCGACGACGACTGCTGTACCGGGTGAGGATGGTGGAGAAGGATCTTGTTTGGGCGTTGTGCCGCATCAGATCAGAGGGTATTTGAGTCGGTTCGAGAACCTCAAAATCACGGGACAAGCGTACGACAAGTGTACGGGGTGCAGTCGGCATGTGAGCCGCACTCGCAAGTGATCACACTCCGTTTTAATAATCTAATGTCTCCAAGCGTTTTTCATCAGGTCATCGAGGCCTACGGAAAAGAAGGCTTCGCGATGCTCGTCCAAGCGTTCGAAGATGCCAAGTACCTCGAGCGGTTGACGGGATTGGACAAGATTGAGGAAGAGACGGAGAGGATGATGGAAGGGATGGAGGAATGGGACGAGGAGGTTGAGCCGGAGATTTAGAGTGGCTTCTGAGGGGGAGACTGGTGTTTTTGGTTGATAGTGTATAAGGCTAGAGTTGTCGTTGGTAGTGGGTTCTTCGACGTGCTCAACAGACACTGGCAACGCGCGTCGTGCTCTGTTTACTCTACCGCGAGCAGTATTCAAGCTGCAAATCGGTATTCATGCTACACATCGGAGACTTGGTAAAGGAGCCGGAGATCGCGCATCGATCGACCTCGCGTCGAGGAGTGCTCCCTAACTCCTGAGTCGCACGGATCAGCCCGCCCAAGAACCGAGTATCACTGAGCACATTGCAGTGAACTATGCAACGAAGATACCTATCAAAAACAACACTCGCCCCCAACTGGGGCTATGCTGGTGAGATAGCAACACGGAGTCATCCCAGCGGTCTAACGGGCGCCAGGCTCGGCCGGCATCGAATCAGATGCTTGGGATCTTTATAATGATCAGTGGCATTCCTCTGTGACAGCTGCCACATATGTCGCCGGAACTGTCTCAAGGCAGAGCTGTTGAGTCACCTGGCCCGTGTCATCCGATTTGGCAGTTGGTCTGTGCATCACCCGCCCGAACCAACCACACTACCTAGCATCCACGGATAATGCTGGAAGCTCCGAACGGTCGGCCGGTGCGATCACAACGATCCCTAGGTACCTGCACTAAATAGTTGCACTCGTCGCCGACCCCTGAAAGTGGCAAACCCCTGGCCCGGGCGACGTCCAAACGGTCCAATTTGGCCCTTCCCCTATTTTCCAGCTGACGTGCCCGAATTAGCATAAAAATAAATAAATAAATCCTGTGACCGGGATGGATTTCATTGCGAGTTCCAATTTCACCTGGACAGTACTGAGCCAGGGTTCTTTGTGTAGAATACAAAACACATCGTCATATCCAACGGCACAAAAGAACTTGTTACGGTACGCACTATCTCATCACGATGCCGAAGGGTTCACGATGGCGGATCGCAGCCGGATGTCCCTCGAGCTCGCGCCGACAAATACGGTGAAGTCACCCTTGGGTACCTTCCAAGACTGTAAGGCGACGTCCCAGATCGAGAAAGCCTTACGGTTCAATTTGATCGTGACTGTCGAGCCCGTCCTGTTCTTGAGAAACGTTCGAGCAAAGTCGCGGAGCACTTTTGGGGGCTCTTGAGCGCTCGGAGGGAATGCGAGGTAGACCTGTGAGACCTCGGCGCCATCGACTGGACCGCGGTTGGTGACTTGGTATGTGATGCAGTAGAAGTCGTGGTAGAGGTTCGACTTGGTGGTACTTCCCCCCTGGGACAGCGCCGTCACGCTCAGTGCCGAATAGCGGAACGTGGTGTATGACAACCCAAAGCCGAACTCGAAGCGAGGCGCGATGGACTTGGCGTCGAACCAGCGATAGTCGATGAAGAGACCCTCACTGTAGGTGATTTGCGGGACTGCCATGCTCGATTTGTCTGAAGGTAAGCAGTCGACGTCATCATCAGCGACATGCTTGGGCAACTAAAGACCGCGCGCTAGCACATTGGACATACAAAGCACGTCAGCCGCATAGTCACTCCTCTTCTTGCCAATGGTGTACGGAAGCCTTCCCGAAGGGTTGACGTCGCCAAACAGGACGTCGACGAGGGAGTTGCCCGACTCCTGTCCCGGCAGGCCTGCCAACACGACCGCGGTGATGTTCTTGTTGTCGATCCATGACTCCATATCGATTGCGCCAACCGAGTGGATGACAACAATGACGTCCGAACACAGGCTGGCGACCTTGGAGATGAGCTGGTTGCCGTTCTGCCACAACTCGAGGTCGTTGCGATCGCCTTGATTGTTATTGACAGTGAGGTAACCTTCTCCGGAGTCCGAAGCGACAAAGACGAGACACTTCTCCACCAAGCGTGCGAGACGCTGGATTGCGCTGGTAGCGTTGTTGTCGAGCACAGAGGAGATGGAGGTTTTGGGGTTTGTCTGACCAAGCTTGTAGCGAATGGCCGACAGGGGATCGACGAGATAAGGGAAATTCACGGTTCCTGCCGGCCGGCCGTGGGAAGGGGAAAGTCTTCGTCAAGGATTCCGTCACCAAAGCTTCGTTGAATCTAAACAAGGCACTCACCACTGCCCCAACCCATAGCTAGCGTGCCATCAAGTCCGCTGCGATCCGGGAATTCGTTAGGGCCGTTCTTGGCAGGTCCAGCACTGAGGCGAAGCGCGAAGAGGTCCGTCAGTTGGCGAGCCCTCGAGATGAGCATCGCGCACAGCTAGCACTCACTCAGCACCAAAGATTCCCACGCTTTTTAGCTGGCCGGCCTTGAGCGGCAGAGCGTTGGCGACATTCTTGAGCAAGATGTTCGAGGCAGCACCGATCTCTCGGACGAGCTTGTTGTGGTCCGACGAGACGTTGACATGCGAGTTGACGAGACGACGATTACTATCGTAGGTGTCCAAGGTGCTGTGAACTGGACAAAACACTCAGGGGAAGGAGGACTATCCGTCTAGTAATTTGGGCTCACAATGCGGAAAAATTGATGTCTGGGTAGTCCTTCGAGTCCTGTCCCAACTGGTAGTAAGCGGCCATGGCTGCGCAAGGAATCAAGGCCGGCGACGGCGTAAGTACAGCTCGCCGAGGATCCTCACCTGACTCAGGAAATGCAGAACTTATGAACATACTTCGAGTGACGGCGTCCTTGACTCGAGCGAGGGGCACGGATCCGTTGTTGACGGCTTTGACGAGCTCGGCACCCCAGTAACTAGTGTTCGATTTGGCGGGATTTTGCTGATTGTCCAGCCCCTCGGTGTAGGATCGGAAGCCTGAAGAAGAAATAGGTCTTCAGTAGGTATACGAAACTTTTGTTACCCAAGAAAGATTTCTACTGACCTGGCATCGACATATCCAGACCCGCAAGCGCACTGCTGACACCGCTCGTCTGGGCCGCCCAATCCGAGACGACGAAGCCATGGAACGCCAGGTCTTGCTTGGCGAGCTTGTTCATCAGGTACGAGTTTTCGCAAGCGTGGGTCTGATTGATGCGGTTATAAGAGCACATGATCGCTCCTACACCGGCCCGGATCGACTCGGAGAAAGGGTGGTTCTGAGGGCACCTCGATGAATCAGAGAAGGACACCGGTCAGCTTTGACTATTCGGAGCGCTCGAGATACTTGCAGTGAAGCAGGCTCACGTATACTTCGTGCATGACTCGATCATCGATATTACTAGAAGATGTAATAGCCCCTGATCCGCCTCGGTAGTGCTCTTGCTCGTTGGCGATATAATGCTTGGCGCACGCGATTACACCGGTGCTCTGGATGCCTTTGATCGTCATCGCGGCACCGAAGCCGGCCAGGTAAGGATCACCACCGAAGCCTTCCCAATTGCGACCGGCCTCGGGGGTACGTGCAAGGTTCATCATAGGGGAGAGTGCGACGTTGACCCCCTGCGATCGCAAAATTCCAAGTGTCAGCACCATCCGCACTCGGAGAGGGGTCTAGAAAAGTGGACGGACACTCACTTTTCCTCGGAATTCACTGCCCATAGCCGCTCCTCGCATGTACATCAAATCTTTATCTGCGAAGCCCAAATGGCTGGACGTCAGGTTCAGGCACTATCACGGTGGGTTAAGAATCGCAGCACGGCTCACCCCAAGTCGCGGCAACGTTGATGCTACAACAAGATGGGGTGCGACCCCGTCAGTCGCACGATCACATTTGAACACACTAATGAGCTGCTGTCTTAAACTCACGCGGCAGGGAAAGCTGACACGCCATCGGTGGATCGAACGCCGAGCGGCGAATCTTGAAAGCAAATTCTGCGTGCGCCAATCGTGCCGGCCTTCGTCAGCCACGTGCTCCGAGTTTTCTCTTTTGAGCAATGCAGCCGTTTCAAAGCACTCACCCAGTGAAGTTGAGTCGAGTGACGTCGCCTGTCTGGCCAATACAGCGCCCGTGAGCGCCCTGGCCGGTCGTAAGGTTGACGAGCTCTTCGAGATCCAGTTGGTTGACAAAGGCGCGAGCTTTGCGGATCGCTGAGCTCCACTCCGCCGAAGGCTGGGCGTCGACTTTCGGCGTGGGGACATCTGTGCATGAGCAACGGCACTGTCGTCAGTTTAGGCCAAAATCTCGACAGATTGCTCCCCGACGCTGAGACGCTGCCACCCACATATTTGCGAAACGCTGGAATGCAAGGGCGCGCAGTCACACCGGTCGTCAGTTGCGAAACTCGAGCACGAGTCGACAACTTCTGCACGCAGGACGTACTATTGGCCATAGCCAGCGGGGGCTGCATCAGGTTTGCCGTCCTGTACTGATCTCCTGACGAGCCGGCGGGTCTCGAAGCGAGAGGCGCAGGGCGAGCTGTCACCGCGATCATTAGATTCATTACCGACAGCAATGGGAGACGCGCGGCCGGTGCACGTGATCGCGAGGAGACAAAACACCACGGAGGCCCTCATGATCGCGGAATCAGAATCGGAGTCGTGGGTGGTGTGGACAAGGTACACAGGAAGCAGAAAGCGAAAGGGGATTAGGACCGGGCCATTACTCAAACCATCAGCCGGAGAAACCGATGCTGTATCCGAAAACTAGGTCCGGATGCCGTCAGGGCTAAAGCCGAATATACGAAGTGTACCCTGTTTCGTCGCTCTAGCGCGATCCATAGCCTTCCATAGCGCGCGGCGGAGTTTCTGTTAGCTCGGGGCCTCCATACAACCTCCCTGTCCCCGCACGCGGCCCCCGCGCAAGCCCTGCAACTTTCTTTTCCCACACTGACACCGGTGCTTTTCCTGCACATCAAGTGCCCCTGAGCTCATGGATTCGCACGCTTGACGTGAACTTTATTGTTGTTGGCGTAAGTTGCGTCATCGATCTTGAAAATAGACACCTACACATGCGATTTTCACCCAGGCCCAGCCCGCTGTTGCGGGGGCAGGGGTGGGGCAAGCTTGATCAACATCGCAAACCGCATGTCGCGAGCCCGTGGCTCGCCGCGACCCAGCGAGGCAGCCGGCATTTTATACGGTACGTAGCGCCGGGACTTTCTTCCTCCGGCAAGTTCCGCTCGGGTTGATTTTGGCAGAAAGGGGGTTCATCTTGGCAGTCAGTCCCCTCTGGTGTCTTTAAACAAGACTAGCTGGAATATATGGATTAAAACATTAAAACGTTAAAGGCTTTCTGTTTCAGCTCCGATGTAAAGGGGGGCCAAGCGTTCAGGAGGTAAAGTGGTCGAACTAGCCTAGCAACGAACCTTCAGGGACCAAAGTTGTCGACAAAACAGCACCTCGTCGGCGACGGGATTGAACTGAATATCCCGATAAAGGCCGTTCGCCTCGAAAAAAGTACGAACCACCACCTGATCTCAATAACGGGAGCAATGGTCCAGCGCTCTTGCTGTAGGCATTGAAGCTGCCGCGAGTGATGCCCAGCAGGCCGGCCCAAGTTCCGGGGAGACCGCGAAAGGCTTGACTCCCTATTGTCACTCATACTCTTCCGCATTACGAGTGCTATACTGCTACACATATCGGAACAAAGGAATACCAAAACACATCCGAGGAGCGAGAGCCCATATACAGACAAACTCAGGCCCGCGTGGGGTGGATCATGTGGTGGTGGCCATCGTCTTGGATCCCAATCGCTTCCCACATTTGTACCGCCCAGGGCTTGAAGAAGAACCAGGCATCGAGTGCTCGCCTGTGAATTCCAGCAGGGAGTCAGATGAAAGGGAAACAATGGACGAGCATGGAGCTGTGCTAGGATCGAGCCTGAAGCAGGACTCACATCCGACCTCCGACATGTTCGCCTTCTGAGTCAACTGGTCCCAGCGCTGAGTCCGCTCCGCCCAACCTTTTAGGATCAACAGACAAGCTTCAGGGGTCAGTATGCAAGAGCGACCATACCATGCGGTAGAAAGATACTCACAGCAGTGCCAATCGACCCAAATTGCTCCCCATCGTCAGCACCGCCGCGTCCGCTTCTTTCGCCATGATGAAGATGTCCCTAACGAGGCCGCGCGTATGCGCCACGCGTGACTCCATGCCCATCTGGATAAAAGTCGCTTGTTTGAATGAGGCAGGTTGTGGCACATTCAAAGCGGGCGGACGATCGTATTGGGAGGGAGATGCGATGGGATCGCTGGCCATTTTGTCTAACACGTCGTCTTCGGCCGTCATGATAATAGCGCGAGGTTGCTTGTTGCGGGGAAAGCGGCGGGCTTTGGATGAAAGAGGGTACCACGGCTTTGGACTCGAAGGAGAGTCGACCAGGCGGTCATACAAATCGTGCATCAACTCCAAATGCGCAGTCAGATTCCCACTGTGGATGAGCAAAGAAATCAGCCTGGGCTCGATCGGGAGCGATTGAGTGAAAACTCACAAACTGTTCTGTACGTTAACGACGTCTATGCTGGCATTGAACTCCCTGACTTTGTCACCCAGCCGGACCTGGGCAGCGATGGTAGGGTACTCGCCTCCAATCCCCATCATCGCCTTGACCCTCTCGATGTCGGCCCAAATTTCCGGTACAGGCTTCCACAGACGCTGAACGGTCTTGGCATGCGCATAGAACGAGCTCATCGGTGGTGGCAACGTTTCAGGCGCCGGCAGCACTGAAGGAGGGGTGCGACCGCCAAACTCGAGGTCGTACAATCGACGCAGTCCATCGATTTCACCGTCAAGGAAAAGTTTCTGCTCCAAGTTGTCCATAGCTTCGGAGTCGTCAAAGTTCATCACGATGCGATCGGCTTGTTCCCATCCCTCGGAGCCAATTCGGCTGGCCAATGTCTCGTCGTACCAGCCGGAAGGAGGAACGCAGTCGATGGTGTAAGGCTCACAGTAGTATTCGTACCGTCCGTATATCCTGGCAAAGAACAGGTCGCAGAGTATTGTGTATGAGGTGAAGGTACACGAGAAATTTGGCTTCGAACCGAGCTCACCAATTGTCATTATTGACGAGTAGGACGGCCCCAAGTCGCTCGGCGTATGTATGTCGCCGCTCGGATCTGCAAGAGCCTCGCAAATGCTAGTTAACCAAGATCCATCGTCCGAAGTATACAGCTACGTACAAGAAAATGAAGGCTCCCTCCCCACCCAACGACGTGTTCGAGCCTGTAGATCACAATCTTCTTGCACACGGGCAAACGACTTGGGTCGTCCGACAAGCGCCACGCCGAGAATCGTGGATCCGTCGTATTATCGAGAACGATCGTCGATTCGTCAAGGGGGAGTGCTATCGGGCGTATGACTTTAGATGCAGGGTACAAGTCCCGAAACGGAGTCTCGAGTGGCACGACCGCAACGATCAGTCTCGCACCGGCGCGTGGGGGTTCTGCACGCGGATCCGACGCGGCGGCGGCGGCTGCGAGTCGGGAGCAGACCGGCATGCGGAGGAGCTTACCCGAGAAGAAGTGGTACCGAATCCGCCCATTATCCTACGGAGAAAGCCTCGGTTGTCACTCGTTGTTGTCAAAGGCGAACGTGCACACGTCCTCTCATGCTCGTGATCATCCTCACTCGTCCGCGCGCTCGGGATCGAAGGCGTAGAAGGAGTTAGGCGGAACGCCGGCTCGGGAGCTCACAAGTTGAGTGCTGATGCGTACGAAGGGCACGAGTTGAAGGATCCATGGAGTCCGACGATAGGAAGCTCGTATCCAGCGATCGGAGACTCGATTCATGCGCGGGTCAAGAATCAGTAGAGCAAGCCTTGCCGATCCGAGTCGTCGCGTGAATCCGTCGCGCGTCGCGACGCGTTCACAGACTTTCGCGGAGCTCGTGCACGTGACTTTGCCTGACGATCTTGACCTCAATCAAGCGGCGTCGGACCGGCAGCTTTCATGAAGCCACGGAGGGGTTTCTAAAAAGCTCTCCCTTCAGTCCTACTTTCTACCGTTTCCTTGATGCCTCATAGCCCATCTCTTGGCTCTCCCTTTGGCAAAAGGAGGTACCGGCGCCTCCTACTACTTCGATAAGATTTGAGCAGCCTCCGGGACTCTCTTCGGCGGCATCGACTGTGCATGGCGCGTATTGGTGCTAGTGGTGTTACAACAATCAAAAACCTCATACTAGCAATCACTCGGTATCTTCGCTGAACTTTCGCAATCACTTGGTATCTTCACTGAACTTGCGGCAACCAGCGGGTTCCCCACACCGTAGTAGACCCTCCGCCCCACTTCGGTGACGATCCAATCGAGTCCTTTCCATATCCTCGGATCGCCAGGCCTACTTGCCTCGCTAGATGCAACGGTAATCGCAGGCTCTAGTCGAGCCGAACAAGGGATAATGGTCGAAGTATGTGATCGAAGGGAGTAGAGTTCCAAAGCCTGCCGTCGCGGTGAGGAGGATTACGGTTAGCATGTGTGAGGGGGGGGGGGGGGGGGGGGGGTCTGGTAGAAACGGCCCCTACATCTGCGATCTCCTCGGACGTCAAGGCGCCCGAGATGTCTTGCTTGTTCGCGAGGACCAACAGAGATGCACCTGCGAGCCTCTACAAGAACGCAATCGGATCTCAGAGTGAAAGTAAGCGGTTACCTCCATGCTGCTCCCTCGAAAAGGACGGACCTCTTCTCGGAGCAACTCGTGCAATTCATCCCGACAGTCTGCCATCCTCTCCCGGTCACTCGAATCGACGACCCAAATGACGGCGTCTGTGACTTCAAAGTAGTTGCGCCAATACGGGCGCAAGGACGATTGACCACCGATGTCCCCTGTTTTGGGAAAAGGCGATGCGTCAAGCGCCGAGACGAAAGGGAGCAAGCGAAGTCAGTGCACTACTTGACCGTCGGATGGGATTGGTGCGCGTACAGATGTTGAGGGTGTATCCGATATGAACGATCGTGCGGATATTGAAGCCGAGGGTCGGGGAGATGAGCGAAATGTCCTCGCCGAGCAAACGCCGTACGATCGTCGTCTTGCCCGCGTTATCGAGTCCACTGAATGAAAGAGATCATCGGGTGAGCTGGTGGGCAACGACACGGCCTAACGAAGTCGAGAGGCACGGAGAGGAAGTACGCACAGGCAGAGTACACGGATCTGTCGTTCCTTGAGCCGCGTCTTGCGGATGATCGTCAGCAGACCCATCGCAAGGAGACGGAGTGATTAGGATGCGATGAACAAGCAAGAAGGAGAGAGCGCCTGACGTGGCGCCGCCTCCAATTTCCCGAGTCTCGCGCCGCGACGCGACGCGCCAAAGCTCCGCCATTCTCTCGCTCCGCCCTCCCGAACCCTCATCCCACAGTCCCGAGCAAGCGATGGCCGCGGAAAAGAAATCCCGGACCAGAGTCGCTTCCATCACCAACAACGCATCCAGCATCAAGCTCCCTCCCCTGCCTTCCAGCCTGTCTGCACCGGGTCCTGCCTCGACCCCTCGGATCGAGCATGAACCTCCGCCCTTCTCGCTCGACCAGCTCGCGTCCATGCTGGACCAAGAACAAGACGATCGTCATCTCCGGCCCCACATCAAGAGAAGTGGCTCATCCAATTCGGGACTCCGGTGCGACTATGCTGAATCAGCCGGCGAGGACGACGTGGACGAGGAGCACGACCAGTCGACGACGGTCGAGGTCGTCAATTACGAGATGATGTACTGGGGCTACGGCTTCGTCATCACATGTACCACCTGCTTCATCCTTGGAACTTGGTCCATGTTCATCGCACCCTTTGTGGGGCCATACAACAACAAAGTTAGTGATTTCTCGGATCCGAGGTGCACTCAGCGTTGATCGGACGGCCTCCCTGTTTAGATCCTCGACGCCATGGCCAACGACACGCACTACAAGTACCTCTTTGTGTTGCTCGTCCCCGTCACACTCTACACTGTCATCATAAACTGGTGGGGTCTCAAAGTCAGTCGGGTTTAGACCAGCTCTCTGCTCGGATAAAATTCGCTCAATCAGGATTCCCTCGACTTGCGCACAGATTTTCCGTCATGCTTGACGCCGTAAGCGCAGACTCGGACCCTTCTCGCTCGAAATCACACTCTTTATATTGTTGCTTGTACTACTGCTATCGCAAAGACTCCAACTCGATCTTCAAACGGCAACGCCATTACCGCGTCGCTGTAAAGCAGTGTAAGGCCCGCGTGCGTAACCCATAGGAGAAGGGGCGGGCGCCTGGCACTCTTAGTCTCTCCTCAGCGACTAACGTAGAGTTCCCAGTGTCAACCCTACACACTTTGGTCCTGCGATCTTATCGTTGTCGCTCCGGTGCACACTCCTACGGGTTGTATCACACTCGCGCCGTCCCCGTTCCTTTTTTCGTCTCTTACGCTATGCTCTCGCTCCTCGAACTCTTGCTCTCAAAATCCTACTACTATTACTGCATTCCGTCATGCAGCACTGCCTATCCAGACATCACCTCAAGACTTCTCTTGGTGTTCACCGCCTGCTCTGACCTAGCTCTCCGGTTTCGTACTAGCTCGCTTCTCTCTTCCTCTTCTGCAAATCCACTCGTCAAAGGTAACTTCATCGCTTTCATACCTCGTACCCGTCTTTCTTGTGAAGTCCCTAAAATGAGAAGGAAAGGAACAGAAGAGAGGATTCGACCGCAACGCTATTGTACGAGACCCAGTGGCCCCGTCAGCCCGAAGTTCGGTGTCGGCTCGGGGCCTCGGAAAACAAACAAGCGTCATCACAGGATCGAGGTAAAACTTCCGACTTGTTGCTTGAATGCGATGTATACGAGTACACCCATATACGGTCGTATGTTAAGTAGCGACGAGGTCCGGGAACCCGAGCTCTCGGTGATCGCCCCTGTACAACACACAACACAAAGGGGACCGCTCGGGTCTTGCAGCGTCGTACGATGGAACATCAGGTCCGATTCTGAAAACGAAACGACACTCTCCCAATACTCTCACCTGGGGAGGCCGCACCCATCGGCCCGTTGCCCCGTGCAGCGAACAAAAACGGGAGAACGGGAGAACGGGAAAACATCGAAACCCACCCGCGCTTGCTCAGCATTGCAGGCCCCCCCCCCCACCCCGTTACCCACTCGCGAACTTTATCCCTTCCATCCTCCTCTTCTCCCCGAACCCAACAACTCCCTCATAAACCGCCCACCCAATACCCGCACTCCCCGCCTTCCTCACCACCCTCAACGCACCCCCTTGCCAAAACCCTTTCAGGCCATGCAATTGCCATACCTTCTTCGCGCTGCCCCATAAGGTCGTGTACACTTCGGGGGAGAGTTGGCGTCGGGTTTTCAAGAGGTCGAAAGGGGTCGTCAACAAGGTCGATAAGAGGGAAGCCGAAGCGCCGGCGACTCCACCGCCTGCGGCACCTTCCGCTCGAACGCCGAGAAGCCGTCGACCGCGTTCGTAGAAGACGATGAAGAGACCTGCTCCGGGGGCGTCGCGTAGCGCGGTCGGGACGGCGCCTCGCCAGAGGGAAGCTAGGCCGCCTGTTCGGTAGAGTTTGGAGAGGATTTGGAGGGAGCTGGGTCGAGGTTGGTTGGGTTGGGCGATGATGGATGACTGTAAGGGTGAGTGAAAGGGGTCAGTCGGATGCCGAATGCTGCCTCCCGTCCACACAACTGACCTCGGACAAAGTCTTCAACAACGTCGCAGGCATCAAGATGAATCCTACACCTGTCCGTGCAGTACTACCGACCAGGAGGTCGCCCGCGGTGGTCAACTTGATCTTACTCCCCGGTGGGGAAGCGGCCAAGTGTTTCGGTCGAAACATGGGGAATGAGCCGATGAGGTTCCGGAGTCGAGAGAGGGTGAGGAAGTAGAGCGAGACACCAGGGACGTTGCTGCAAGAGAAAATGACTCGGTTCAATAAGCCTGAGATTTGCGCGTCTCGTTTTGAAAGTATCTGTGCTCACCGATATAATGTAGGTACTGTCCCCCGCCACAAACCGACGATGCCCTCCTGAGCGACGACCATCCTCGCCGTCGTCCAGATCTTGGCTCGATACGGTATCAACGCGACGTTCGGTATAGACTTTCCCTTGACTGCGGAAGCTGAACTAGACTTGGGTATTGTTGTCACTGAGGATCGTAGTGTGGATGTGGACGCAGTAGAAGTGGCTGTGGTCCCGGCCGAGCGTAGTCCGATGCCGGAGTGCTTTGGGTTTGAGCCTGCGATCGACGACGGATTCCCGGCCGTCACTCCGCGCTGTTGTGCTTCCTGTTGCACCCTGGTCTTGATGACTGTTTGTAAGAAGCCGCCAACACGGTCGCACCAGTCAGCAAGGACTTGCCTACGCGAGCGTCCTTCATTGGCAAGCGCTCACGAGCAGCGAGGTGGGGGTCGATCGAACGAAACGGACGACTTACGGTCGAGCGGCTGCAATGCCAACACGCTCACCGCACCCGAGATCGCTCCCGAAGCTAAATGCCATCCCGCCGAAAGGGTCCTCGTGGAAGTGCTTGGCGGGGAGGGCAGTAAGGGGGCAGAGCCGGACATTTGGGGGTGAGGCCGGTGAGGTGCGCAGGAGGGAGAGCGTGGACGGGTGGGAGGACGGGTGACGAGATAGGAAAAGAGACCTGTGGGGGAGCTGAAAAAGTAGGGACGAGATGGGTGACCGACACAAAAGTGGTGAAGAAGGAACCAAAACTCCGTCGCACTCTTGATACCGTGATCTCCGACGCGAGATCAGGTGACCGACCATGCCAGTCATGCAACACCGCACAGGTCCCTTCTCATTGGCGAGACACGTTGCGGTGTAGCACGCCATTAAGGATAGGGGAAGTCCATGTTTCATTGTGGATGCCCACTGCTTAGTCCTCTTTTTCTCCTCATCGATTTGAATTGACCGGGGCCCGGGGGTAACTAACTCAGAAGGGAGCGCCGCCGACGACGAAACTTCGCCGCACGCAACTCGGCAACGACTCCCCTGACACGAGATCAGCTTGCCATTCAGACCGGAACGATTGAAACTGTATCGAGATGTATACCTCTCGCTTTGATACGACAGTGGACGTAGAGCGGGGCAAAATCATACGTCCGGCAAATTTCGGCACCTTCGCTTCCTTCCCCACCAAGCAAGCCAGGTTTCACCGAGCCAACGGCCGATGCAGCACCGGCTCGTACGTTTACGCTCGGACGAGGCTCTTCAGGTCTCGGGCAGCATAGGTTTCCCCATCAACGCCTAAATACCTCAACACCGCCTGTGTACCATCTTCGAATCCGGCCTAAAAAAGTCCATGTCTCAGACCACAGGGTCGCCAGTATAGCCCCGGTTTAGCCTCGAGGTGAGTCGAGGGCTCCTGCTCCTCAAGCGGCTTTCCGTGTCAGCTCTCCACGATCCATGGCGCAATTCATGTATGCGAGCTAGATTGGAAATCCACCGTGCACGTGGGCCATACGAAGGGATACAAAGAAAACATGCTAGCAGGCGTTGATAATACACAGGCCGAACAAAGGCCCCACCACCTCAAGCCCACATATCCGCCCCGGACGCACCCACACTCATCATCGACCCCGGACCCATTATTCCTCCCGCCGGACCCGCCCCACCCATCTGTCGATCGGGCCCCCCAATCTGCGTCGACTTGTTGATCATCACATTCTGCAAGTTGACCAACTGCGTCGTCCATCGCTCAAGGGACGCGTACCGCCTCACCTCGACGGCCTTGTGGCGATCCAATTCGAGGCGTTGGGTCACTTGGTCGATTCGTCCCTGAATCTTGTCGTCGAGGATCAGGGAAACGAGGATCGCTTCGACGCTTTCGGATGGGATTGAGAGTTGGCGCGCGAGGTAGGCGATCTCGATTCGCGTGTAGGGCTTGATGATTTCGAGGATCCATTGCGTGCGGAGGGAGCGCAGGACCTCGTCGATGTAGCCGCGGATGAAAGGGTCGTCCATGATCGTCGAGCGATTGTCTGTAGCATCAAGGAACGAGTCAAAATCAAGCAGCTCACTCTGAGACCTTCGTGACCTACTTCTCAAAATCTTCTCAGCCTCGTGCACATCACGCGCCTGATACGCCGATACGAGATTCGTCATGGCCATGATCTCGGGATCGTTCTTGTACGGCTTGGTCTCTTGCGAGTCAAAGGGGTTGATCTCGCTGTCCATGAGCATGTGCGCGAGCACGAGATACTTGAGCACCTGGATGCGTTGCGGGGACCCGGCTTCGTCGTAGCTTTTGAAGGATTCAAAGAAATCGATCTGGGCCTGACTCCAATTCCCTGCGAGCGGAACCACGGAACCAAATCATTCAGCACACCAGGTGAAGTAGGAGCAAAGAAAGAGGGAGCTCCGCTCACTCTCAGACATGTACATCTTGCCACCGCACTCGCGAATGACGCCTTGGATCCTCGGATGCGGGATTGCCGATCGCACGCGTAGACTCTTCTCGTAAATCTCCTGTAGGCAGTGGATCACTCCATCATCATCAGCGCAGCCCTTGGCTAGAGATGAATACCACACCTACTCTCAGCTTTTTGTTGTTCTTCATCTCGCCGTACATCTGGATCTCGATCGCGTAGACCTCGAGCTGCAGCGTGCCCTTGGAACTGTCGACGTCGGCGCCATCATCGGTCGGCGCACACGAGGCATGCAGTTCCTTCAGAATCTACATCAAAGAAAAGCCAGCGATTAGCCACGGAACAAAGGTGCCTGACACCGCCTTGCTCATAGAGACTCGCCTTGTTGAGACGGGTATACTCTTTTCGATCGAGCCACAGCTTGGCCAGTTTCAGGTTCGTCTTTGTGCTCAGGCGCTGCAAGAAGCAAAAGAATAAGGAATACGAATCAGTTCCCTTCACCTAAGATTGTCACCCGGCCAAAGATCTGACTGACCTCATTCTTGGCCTCTTCCAACGCGCTCATCGTGACCTCATAAAACTCCTGCATCTTACCCGTCTCCAACCCATGCTCGGCACTGACATAGTCCAGAATCCCATTGATGCTCTTTTCCGCCACATTTCTCGTCACCCCCTTTTTCGTATAGGTCAACAAGGTCTTGTAGTACCTCAACGCGTCGTCGTAGCGCCCGAGTCGGAAGGTCAGTTTGGTCATTTGTTTCAACGCTTTGAAGCCGAATTCGCCTTGTTCGCCCGCGGAGGCTTCGTTGTCGACGATCTTTTGGAACGAGGCCAAGGCGAGGTCGGGTGTATCCCTTTGAGCTGTGGGAAGAGTAAGTTCGGAGTCGAAAAGGGGGAAACAGAGCCAGAGCCAGAACCAGAGCCAAAGCCGGAGCGGTCGGACGGGATGATCAGCGATCCGAATCTTGCTCCCCCTAGTCCAGTCCAGCCACTACGGGCTCACACTTGGCGTTGTAGTAATCATTCTCGACATCGACGATATCCTCTTCGTTATCGGATCCTTCGTACTCGAAGCCATAGTCCTGTAGAACGAGATGGAACGCGCGTCATTGTACGAGTCAGGAGTCGTCCGTCGAGGAACACAAGCTTGTGTCGGTGAGCTAGCTCCCATAAAGATTGTTTTGACTGACCTCATCATCCTCATCCATCATCTACACGTAGATGCGAGACCAGACCCCCAAGTCAGCTCCGCCGTTGAACTCCCAAGTGGGGGGGGGGGGGGGAGGAAACCAATTAGGTCGTGCAACTCACAAAGTCCTCGTCGTCAGACCTGGGGACAGGGGGAGAGAACAGTTTCAGTTGGGTTGTTCCTGTTTGGGTTGCTCAGTCCGACTCACATGTTGTGAGATGGTCCGGACGTGGGGTTGTGGGTTGGGTCCGACGTCGGGCGTGCGAGCGTGTAGCCAGAGAGTGAACAATCGGCCAGTGCGAGCGAGTAGCCAGAGAGTGAACAATCGGCCACCTCGCTCGCCCACATCATCAAGAAGCGAGCACTGCACGTCCGAGTCTCGACAATTAATGAGAACTTTCACTGACACCTTGCCTCGTGCCTTTTCAGCAACTGTATCTAGAAAGCTTCTATTCCTCACCTTTCTCACGAATGTTAGGCCCCCCTCTCAACCCGTCGAAAGACCGTTGAAAATAACGTCCTTCATCATAATCGCAGCCCTGCCTACACTTTGTACAACAATCTACCAAAAAACCAATAAAAGCTTCAACCGTACTACACCTTCTCGCAATCTCTCATCAAGCCTTCACCCGCTCTCCGGCTCCCTCTCCCTTCAAAGCGGCCAACTCCCTCCTCCTCATCTTGGCCCTCGCCGGAATCGACCTGAAAACCTGACACACGTCCTCCTTCTGAATGACCAACTGACCCTCGTTCGAGCACTTGGTCCTCGACCTCAATTCGTGACACAGCGCATCGACATCGCATTCCTCGAACAAAGGGTGTGAACAAAGCTTCGCCCAAGCGGTTTGACAAACCCATACGTCCTTCGCGTCGACTTGGTTCGAGAGCGAAGCGGGTCTCCACGGCGTGGGGAGCGCACAGGACATTTGACTGAAATCGCATTCGGGTTTTTTGCAGGGTAATTGACCGTTGGGGAGAGGGGGTGGCGTTCCACGATCGCATTCGGGATCGTCGAGGTCGGCGGTCGAATCCCGATCGAGGTCTGGGACCGTTGACGACGTCTCCGTATTGGCGACCGTTTCAGGAGCGAGCGGGAAGAACGCCGAGTCGAAGAAGGATTGGTACAAATCCGGCATCGGTAAGGTCTCGTATTCGAACGGAGTCTCGAAATCGAAGGCGACGTCGATCGACTTTTCGAGCGAGACGACCATTCCACCGGGGGTGATCGGCATCGCCGGTCGTGGAGCGGAGGAAGTTGGAAGCGCGGCCAGTTCGGGATCGATCGAGGCCATGGCGTACGAGGCGAGGTCTTCCAAGCTGTTGCCCGACTGGGGTTGGGGTCGCACAGGTAGCGTGTACGGGGCAGACGGTAGCGCCGTCGGTGGGGTCGACGTCGCATAGTTCATCGTCGGAGGCAGCGCCGAAGGTGGGGGAGGTTGAAGCACCAGCTGGGGCTTGACGTCCTCGGCAACGTGAGGAAGACGAAGATCCTCGACAGAAGGTTGTTGTTGAGCCTTCGCAGATTTGCTGGACTGCGAATCGTGAGGGCTCAAAGTCGGAGAACTGGCCGAAGGCGCAGCAGTCCCAGTATCCAATTGCTCCATCGCGGTCTCGGGCACCGGTTGCCCCAGTCGAAGCGCCTTGTTTTCGGCAATCAACCTGAGAGGACCGACAGAAATAGCAGATCTCAGCTCAGTTGAAACCTTTGAACCCTCATCTTCGGAGTACTCACATATCGATCAGCTGAGTCTGGCGAGCTAGCTGCGTCGCCTGTCTTTGGACCTCGACCTCCATTTCTTGCATATGTCGCTCCTTGCGCTCGCGGAACGATCTCTGCGCGGCGCGGTTCTGCAACTTGCGTTTGGCCGTCTCTTCATCGCCCTCGATGTCTGAGTTGAAGAATGAAAGGCAGGGATGATTCGATGTAGGCAAGCGAGTGAGTGAGAGAGGGGAAAAATCATCCGGGGAGCGTGGGCGGAGCGCGGCCGGCCATAAGCGGGCAGCAGGCAGCGGGCACGAGCGCGGGCACAGGAGAACGGTGAGCGCATGAATGGGAGGAGGGTGGGTGGGTGGGTGGGAGAAGTGCATTTGTCAGCCCTCTGTCGCCGAGTTCGTGCCGCTGTCCAGAGCCTACGGCTACACACATCAACCTTTACCCGGGTCACAAGTAGATACGAAGCAACTCACCCTGATCAGCTTTCCGTTTCCGACCCCTCTTACTAGGGTCAGTCGACGACGGGGTGGGGGACGTGCTTGTGCCGGCCTTCATCTTGAGCGAGGATCGGGCGTCGACCAACCGCGGCGATGTCTGTGGATGTTGCTGCTATGCCTCGGTGCGGGAGACCTCGAAAGCTGAGGTGCAATCTATTTGACGTCGAACGGATCAAGAGGTGGGTAGATAACGTCGCTTTGAGCGGTGGGGTGAGTGATATGTGGGCTCGAGTGGTGGGAGGGCCGATGACGCCGACGGGCCGGAGGACGGGAGAGACGCGGCCGGGCAATCCCAAAAGGGTGCAAATGGGTGCAAGGGGGAAAACTCACGATTCGCTATGTCCGAGCGCTAATAGAGGAGTAAGATGTCAAATCTGGCGGGGTTCGACGTCAGAAGCAGCGAAGAAGACAATGCTTTGTGGGGATTTTAAAAAAAGACAAAGCTTCGTGAGTGTGCATGGAGTTCGTCGGGGGTTCTCAAGGAAGGAAAGAACCGAAACTTACAGCCGAGGAGCTCGACAACCAGCGCTCCCTCGGGTCGGCACACCATTCTCGGCGAACAGGGTCAAAAACCGCGGGACACCAAAATGAAAAACGAAGCTCACAACAGGGGTGGCTAGGAGGAAGTCGATTGCCAGAGTTCTCAGCATTGTTTGGTTCGGTCCCGATACCGGTCCGCTCGGGCCGGGCTTTGGCGACAACTTGCCCCCTGAAAGTCAAGTCGCCGATGCACCCAGCGCGGACGTCCGCTTTGCACAGAGTCAATTTCGTTGGCATGACTGAGACCGGGCGCAGGATGGAACCCCGAAAGTTTGAAGTTTGTTGCTACTCCCGTTCAAAGAGTTCGTGCGTGAAAGGACCGCTCGGGTCATCCAGCGAGTATCTGTGCGTAACCCTTCACCTCCATCGATCGTTTGCAGCTTCAAGCTCCATACTTCTCCCCTGTCCTCCCTCACGTCTCCCCTGACCTGCATCATTCATCCGGGACCCCGTGCATCTTGCCGGAAGATCCCGAGCTAATTTCTTCATCCGACCCGGTCACCCAACACCTGTACAAGAGCACGTATTGATTGACCCCATGGGAGGGAGAACGAGTCTGGCTCCTCCCCCTTCGATCGATCTCAGGAGCCGAGCGCACACCAAACCCGAAGAGAGGGAGGAGTCGCGCGGAATGCCCTTGGCGACACACATGATTGCGAGGAGCTACATCGAATGAAATTGTGAATTATCAGGGGAGTTGTATTTCTTCCCCGTTCGACAAGAGTCTTGCGTACCCGCGCCGCGCGGGATGGGCTCATGCCAGTTTCGCACGCGGGACGATCGGGTTCGCATAATTTCTCACGATTGAGCCGGGGGGGCGTTTTTCTTCGCAGCCTGTCATCCAACACAGATGAGTCGTGCGGCGAGGATAAATCCAAAGTTTGAGCACTTTTCGGATGCCTTCACTCTTCGAAGCGCTTGCCTCCGACTCTGCGAGCAAGTTTCGCCGTAAGGCTCGGCGAGTTCAGAAGCTGAACATTCTCATGTTGACCTTGAACAAGTGTAACTAGAGATTTTCATCAAAGGAAACAGTGTCAGCAGCATGCCCGCCGAATCGCCTTAAGACCCAGTGGCCCGAACGCAATTGAAATTGGCCTAATACAAACCCTGCATCAGCGAGCTTGATCGAAATGAGAATGGAGCTGGGAGTTGGTCCGCGACTGTCCGCGACTGTCCGCGACTGCTCGCCCGCTCCGCCTGCAGGCAGGCTCTCGCATCGCACTCGTTTGGCCCTTGAACGCTCGGCACCATCTTCACCATGGTCAGTAGCTCACACTCAGCTGACATGGAGATACAACTGTATAACTGACCGTGTTCCTCCGCTCTCCCCCGTTGTACCCGGCACACCGCACTGGCTCCGCACCCCCGCCCCGACGCGATCGCGATCATCCTCCGACGCCCTATGCCTAACCTACCTCCACCACCTCCCAGGCTTCCCCGTCTACACCCTACCAAACTCCCCGAGCAGACCTCGACATCACGCTCCCTCCTCGTCCGTTCCTGCCGCCGCTGCACCAGCCGCTCCCCTCGACGTACACGCCCAAACCCGTCGTCGGCCCCGCGTTCAGCATCGGCCTCGTCTCGGCCGGCTTTGGTCTCTTCATCTCGAGCATCAAGAACAGTCTCGAGTCGCACAACAAGGGCGCTATGGGCGTCTTTACGAGGACGGGGTGGATCATCGGCTACTTTGGTCAGTTCAGAGCCGCTGCCGAGACCGGCGGGCACAGGGCTCGCGGCGGGGGTGTCGAGTGCAGTACAGCTTTGTAAAGAGTCTCTGTATTGCGTTTACAACCGGGTTGCTACCTACTGCGACACTACCACCACGCCCCGAGCTGCCAGCGCTTTCACTTCCGCAACCGATTCGAGCAGCTGACACTCCCCTTCATCACTTCTACCCACAGCCACGGCCGGGTTCGTCTACACCCTCGTCGACAACAGCGTGTCCAACATGATCGAGAACTCAACAAACGGCATCGCCGGCGCGACAGGTGGATGTGCCGCCGGCTTCGTCTCGGGCATCCGCAACGGCTCGTTATCTTCCGCGATGGGCTTGTGCGCCTTCATGGGTGCCGCTGTCGGGACGTACGAGTTGGCGGGAGGGAGCTTGGGTAATGAGGTGAGGAAGGATAGGAAGACGCGAGATGAGGAACGAATGAGCTTCTTCAAGAAGAGGCCAGAGACCCAGGAGGAGTAAAGCAGGACGGCAAGGGGTAACGTGGGCAAGGGGAGGACAGTGTTGGAGGACATGGATACGATGGATAGAAGAGAGGAGTGTATAGTGTCGAACGTGGTATTTCTGATTTTTTTTTTTTTTGGTGGCTTGTTCCCGGAGCAATAACAGCCAAGGCACGGTTTGCGCCCATCGCGAAGGCTTGCAAGAGGTGCGGCGCCGAGCATCGTCTTGTAATGCCCTCACAGTAAGGTCGCAGTATATTCAAACGATCGTGGGTCTCGTGACTTGGTACAATCGCTTCGGTGCGAGTCGGCGAGTGCCGCGTTCTTGGCTGGAACTCGGGCCGGGGAGCACACGCTTCGATAACCATGGTGATCTTTAAGCCCGAACAGTGAGCACACCGTCTGCCTCTCCTGCAAGTCAAATTTGGGCTTCGGGCCTTGGGTTTTCGCACGTGCGGGTGACACAGACAAATGACTGGTCGAGCCATGGTGAGTCCCGCACTGGCCCCATCTTTCCACGCACGACGCATCATCACCCATGCCCCCCTATCCGGAGCAAGCTAGTTCGAGGCGCAAAAGCGCCTGGAGAGCGGTGTTCCTAATAAGTAGTGCCTACCTATGCTGCTTCAAGTACTAGTGCCGGCTGTTTCTGGTCCTCATCAAGCTCGCAAAGGGTTCGGGTTGAGCTGTTTTCGCTTGCTGCAGTGAATGCTCATTTTCGCGACTGACTTGTAGAGCTGAGCCTCGCATGGTCTTGTAGAGCAACGACTCTTCGAAGATACAAGTGTCCGTGTGGTACAGGCCCTTTGGTTTCCGACTTCGGTCTTTCGCGGCTAAGATTGTCGAACCTGAGCTTAAGGGCTAGAGCTCTTAGCGCGGTCACGACAGGGGCCGAGGCATTCGCCGAGGCTCCTGCGGACGCCCAATTTGCTCGGTCCTTTTTGTTAGACGCAAAAAACACGCCGATGACACCTTGCACCTTCATCTGTGCACTTCCAGTCTCTTCCTCTTTCCCATCACTCGCGCTTTGCCCCTCCCGACTCTAGGTCCTCCCACTCCCACTTCCCACTCTTTCCACTCTTTCGAGCCCTATACCCATCTAACGATGCATTTCTTCTCCATCCTTGCCGCTGTGGCCCTGGCCTCCACCGTCGCCGCCAAGAGTGAGGTCACCTGCCCTGCACTTACCAAGACTCGAAAGTGCCATGCCCCCGCCCCCCAGTCGCCGAAGCTTGCGCACCCTAAGACCAAATCCGGCCCCCTCGGTCACAACGTTCACCATCAAGGCTCGCACCCCAAGGGCAAGAAGGCTCCTCGTCACCCCGCCCCGGACACGACGAGCGCCAAGATTCCCGGCGTGAGTAGTTCCCGAGGGTAGCACAGGTCGGGCCAAGTCCGAGTTCCTGCGCTGAGACCCTGTTCCCCTATCTTTTCCTTTGCGAAATCGTGCTCCGCAGGTCAAGTCTCCTGTGGTCGATGTCACCTCCGGCGTTTACGCAATTGTGAACGTCCATACCGGTGCTGTGAGTTGTATCTCCTGTCGTTTCAGCGCTCAGACTCATTGCCTGGAGAAGGTTCTGACAGCCGCAAAAAAATCGCCGGTCACTTTGCAGTTCCTCACCATCAACCTCATCAACGGTGTCGGTGTCGCTACCCTTACCAACGAAGTCACCCTTGTCACCCTCACTTCTGTCGAGCTCGAAGGCGCTGCTGTTGCTTCAGTCGGTGAGTCATTCCATAGGCCGGCCCTCCTTGCTCAGAGCAGCTTCGGGCTGACCAACGTATTTTGTCTTCCGGTCTACTACCCTAGTCATCTCTGCTGGCGTCGACATTGCCGCTGGTCTACACCTTACAGGCTTGCTCGATGCCGAGGCTCGCCTTCAGCTCGGTGTCGGTGGCGTCGCCCCGTCCGAGTCGACCTGCTCTCGTAAGTCCTCCCGCCTCTCTTTTCAAGCCACCCCCGGCTGAACGCTCTCCTCTACAGCCTTCTTCCGTGCCGTTGCCTGCGGAATTAAGCCCAAGGACGACTCCCAACGCATGGTCAAGCGTTCTCTCACCGGTGACGTCGTCGGCTCCGCGGCCGAGCTCGTGGTCGACGCCGCCCTCAAGCTCCAAGCCGTCGCCGACCTTGTCGTCCCCGGCATCGGCGAAGTCGCCGCTTCGGTCTGCTTGGTCGCTGAGGCTAGCGTCGATGCCAAGGTCCTTGCTTTGAGTTCGGTCAAGGGTAGTCTTGACATTGACCTGACCGCCTTCGCCGACGTCGCGGTGAGTTTACTTATCCGCCTCACTCGATAGCCCTCTGCCGTTCGTTCGGAGCCCCTAACTCTTTCGCGTGTTCCACCCTCTGTGTCCCATACCTCTAGGCCTTGACCTTCGTCTTGATCGCCATCGATGTCGAAGCCGCCATCGCACACGGTATCCCCATACCCGGCATCTTCTGATCGAGAAATCCTCATCATCGTGATCCCCCGAGCGTCGCGATCAACACTTAAAAACCTGTTGCCCCGGTCTTGGCGCACCCCTCAACACGTATACCCGAACCCTCTATCTTATTTTCGTCCCAACTCGGAGAAGACTAAATTTCCTTTTGTTCGAGGGGTCTTAATTGCATAAGGGGCTGTCTGTCAATGGATACGCTCCCGAACACCACTTGCGCTCTAGTCCGAGCTTTGAGAAACCTCCTTTCAGCTCTATAGTAGCGAGATAATAGCGAGGTGCTCATTGTCCGGGCCTAACGAAATAGCGAACATGCTTTGATATTTAGTACAGTCAGACCTGAGAAAATTTATATTTTCGGTGGACGGATTTTCCCATAAATTAAGACAGGTATAAGCTTGGAGAGTGCGGCTTCAGATCACTACATTATGACCTGAAACTCCGTTTTTGAGCTTCCTACATCAAATCAAGAATTCTCGTGCATCGTTTGAGTCGATACATTGACTTTTGAGGAGGGGGGGGGGGGGGGGGGGGGGGGAATTCAGAAGGCCCGAATTACTGAATTGCAGCCAATGTGGGGCCTCTACTGAGGCATGATGACATCTAACAAGTTTTGAAAGCTCCAAGAAAAAATATCTTGACCTACTAACGCTGGAAATACGAAGTCATTGTCGTCTGAATCCTCGCGGCATCCTGCTCGGCAACAAGAGTCCTGCGAATCCTCCTAGCCTCGTCCTCAAAAGAAATCAAATACGTTGGACCTGAGTATCCATTCATAGCAAACCTAAGGAAAACATCAAGCGCTGAGATTGCCTCCTGCAGCGTCGTTCGCTCCGCCGGTCGGAGCTCTATCTCCCCTTCCTCCTCTCCTCCTTCTCCCTCGCAATTCTCCTTCAACTCTTCGGCAATGACCAGGTCCACAATCGCCTGATCGGTCATTTCAGCCCCACCAGCAAGGTTCTCCTCCTCCACATCGACGAGAAAGTGGATACTCATCTTCTCGTTGCTCGTAACTATGCCCTTTTCGACCAGCTCATCGTTCGCCGTCTTCAGAGCGTTCATCGCGTTGATGATGCCGCGATCGCCATTGAGAGGCCCGCGACTGTTGGGAAGAGGTGTATGGTCGGTCGATCCTTTGTTCTTGCGATCAGACAAGATTTGAGCGTGGCGCCAGCAGTTGGCAATCGTCTCGGGGCGGATGTCGTTCCACGCCTCATGTCTCGCAATGATGCGAGTCTTATTCATCTTGACACCATTTCGACCGTTCCGAGCAAGGCCCGTAGACGGACGCATAGCGTGGAAGAGACCGGTTTCGTCCATGTTGAAGAAATCACTTGGGTCGTACTTATTCGTAAAATTGTCAACCGCCGCCTTTGCTCTCCTGTGCTGCTTCTCGGCTGTTTCGGGGCATTTCGGACTCTTCCAGCAGGCGGCTCGTCAACAAGAACGCCGAGGGAGAGGCCATTTCCTGATCAATCGCTCATTTCCGGCTCTCTCTTATCTTATAATTTGACCTGTAAACCCATAAATTATAAGGTATAAGATTGGACAGGTTCTGTCAGCCAAAAAAGTCGGGAGATTGAAAAGTCCATAAATTTTGACAGGTATAAGATTGGGCGATATAAATTTTCTCAGGTCTGACTGTACTCCAATTCCCTTGCATCAATCACCGCACCCAGTGATTCCACAGCGTTGGGCCCTAAGATCAATCTGCACCGCTGCCCCTAAAACCCTTGTATACACCTCGTCGAAACCCACTCCCAAATCCGTCTTGACCTCCTCCAGCATGATCACATCATTTTCCTTCAGTGACCTCATACACCAAGGTTCAGATTCGGTTGCCCAATCGGCCGTACCGGAACTGTACTGGGTCGCGAGAAAATAGGTCGAGGAAGGGTTGCGCTTGTCTTCGAACAGGGAGCTGTTCCACCAGAAGGGACGACCCTCTGTCACGAATCGAACGAAACGGAGAGTCAGTGGTCAGGTATCGCGTCTTACGTTCAAGAGACTTACTTCGATCGAGATGAAGATGATGCTCGCTACACATCTGAGGGGCTGAGACTCCGTCTGATTCGCTAAAGTAGGTAAGGTGCCCGATGGTCGAAGCAAAGGGTGGATCGAAATAGTCTGTCGGGATTTAAACCAATGTTATATGGTCAGAGCATAGTCAATTAGGCTTAGCTAGATAAGTGAGGGATTTCACATGGTATTCCCGCGAGCTCGAAAGCGATCCTGTGCAATCCCGCACCGCTTCAATCAGCTCCGAGTCAAGGGCCTTTCCTGAACTTGATTGTGCCACACTTACCAGTAAGATTCCTTGTCCCCAAAAGTCCTCTTGTACGTTACTTCATCCCTTATTTGCTTCGTATTGAGCCACCCGACAAAGACCATCCCCAACACGACATCCCGTCTCCCTTTATCGACGACGACGACCCCCGATTCCATCTCCTCCCTCGACGCTCTGTCCTTCCACCATCTCGACTTGTTCAACATCGCACTCGGCACACGATTCTTCATCACGCCTTCGAACCAAATATGGACCGCATCATCGGTAGGGAACAGTTCACGATCCCTGAAGAACAAAGTACCCGTTTCTCGATAGCCTGGGTCTTGAAGGAGCACATTCGGGTCCTGCATGAAGACGACGTCGGCATCGACGAGGATCGTCTCTTTGAAGGGCGAGGCTAAGAGAGCGAAAGGCTTGATCGCCCAGCCGCCATACAAGAGACCGACATGGTCTTCGGAGAAAAAGTGAAGGAGGTCAAGCACATCGACGTCAGGGGAGAGGGATTTGAGCGTTTGTCGATTCTTCGGAGAGAGATCGTCCGGCCCGGCGTGGACGATGAGGATGGGCAACGTAGTCAAATGAACTTTCTTGAGCGTTGTAATGAGGTGCAAGGCGTACTGTGGGTCGAGAGGATAACGTTCCAACCTATTGTAAAGTTGTCTGGGCTGGAGGAAATTCTCACTCACCCGAAAGTACCAGTTTGAACAAGGGATGACGATCCCCTTTGGTCGAGTGAAGGTGTCGATAAGCTGATCGAATGATCTCCTACCTCCTCGGCCTGAGGCGATGTAGGGGAACAATTTGGTGAAGAGCGAATCACGAAGGTCGATTGCCGAGTTGGTGATCACGTCTACCTCGTTTTTGGGTAGATGAGGACTGGTTGGTGTTCTTGTGAAGCGATCCAAGTCCTGGTCGGACGCATCAAAGCCAGGTGGGTGAGACCGAACAAGGCGCGAGATGTCTCACATTCGCTTACGAGCACGACCTTGACCTGGTCGGCATACACCTCAATCATCTCAGGCTCGATAGAGTCTACGAGATTGATCGAACGGTGTTGTCGATCAAGTAGCGTCTGGTGCTGCCGCCCGAGCTCGTCCATGCTCGTCGCAACCGGGGTGCCGGATGACCATGTCCGCCAGCGTTGTGCTGTCCGAGGATCGTCATAGACCCGCTTCAGGTGGTGGGCGGCAAGGGGCAGCAGATGATAGATTGTGAATGCTACGAGAATGCACGAAAACAGATGTCGAAGTCGAAGATATCGGCGGGGTCGAGATGGGGCCGTGCCGAGGGCGGACAGGGAGGCTAACGCGACTTGGGGCGTGTCATGAGTCGTGACAGGCAGTTTATCAATCATGGGACAGAAGATGGAAGGAAAAAGAGCCCTGTTGGAACCCGTTTAACGAAGCCAAACAAACCGGGACGCACATCTGGACACCGGGCCTCGTTCGGCCGGCTCTTCACGTACGCCGGCTCCGTGCGGACAGGGGCCGCTGCGATCGGGCCCGCACTGAGCGCGTGCAGTGAAACCGGCCGGGGATCGTGCTAATCGGACCAATCAAGGTGATCGGGCAGGTCAGGAAACTTACTCGCAGAGGCATTCCTTTTCCTCATCCAAAAAACAAGTAGCAGTGATGCGGGACGACATGGCTTCCATGTCGCACAAAGGCGCTGCAAAAGTTGGAGTGTCGGCAACTGGCAACACGTCGTCGTCCGTGCAGTGGGCGTGCCAGATCGGAGTTCGGTGTGGAGGTGCCGAATGCCGAGCGTCATCGCACTGTGGCGGCTCGCTTCTCGAAGCGCGCTCGGACTCGGCTCCGATCGCCACCCCCTTTCGACCTTTGGCTTCTCGGCACCCACACACCTCACAGCCTCGCTCATAGCCATCTCACCGAAAATGTCGACCGAAGGAAAAGTCGTAAGCTACAGTACACACCTGTCCTTGACCATGTTCCACACACTGATGTAGCCTCTCGCGTCGCTTATCGATTTACCGTCCCACCTCGATCCTCATCGCTTAGATCACATGCCAAGCTGGTCGGTTCGAGCTCATTTCGGTCGTCGAGCCTCGCAAGGGATACGTATATTGAATTCAGCTCTACTCCACTTTGCAGCCGTCGCATGGGAAGCCGGCAAACCGTTGTCGTTGGAAGAGATCACCGTCGACCCGCCCAAGAAGGACGAGGTGCGCATCAAGATCCTCTACACCGCGCTCTGCCACACCGTGAGTTGCAATCCCTCATCAAGGATTCAATGTCGGAGTTTGTACTGAGCCCATTCCCTGCTCTGGATTTCCACCAGGACATCTTTACGGTGAGTAGGAATCCGTTCTGGCTGTCTCTCCGTTAGCGCGGTCGAGGTTTAGCCGCCAGCCGAACAAGCGCGGATTCAGAACTCTAACCGCTTGACACCCTACCCCACATTCCCCTCTGCAGCTCTCTGGCGATGATCCCGAAGGCGCGTTCCCCATCGTCCTCGGCCACGAGGGAGGTGGTGTTGTCGAGTCAATCGGTGAAGGTGTGACCGATGTCAAGGTCGGCGATCATGTCGTTCCTGTACGTCCACGTCGTTCCCACTTGAGCCGTCTGTCTGGATCTGGAACAGCCGCGGCACTCGGGTTCTCCCTTGCTGACCCCGTAGCCCCTCCTACCTCCTGCAGCTGTACACCGCCGAATGCCGAGAATGCAAGTTCTGCAAGTCGGGCAAGACGAACCTGTGCGGCGCCGTGCGAGCGACCCAAGGTCAGGGCCTGATGCCGGACAAGACCTCGCGCTTCAAGTGCAAGGGCAAGGAGTTGCTTCACTTTATGGGCTGCTCGACCTTTTCGCAGTACACGGTCGTTTCAAAGTACTCGGTCGTTGCGATTACGAACAAGGCACCTTTGGAGAAAGCTTGCTTGCTGGGCTGTGGCCTGACGACTGGTTACGGTGCTGCGTGAGTTGGGGGGGCTTTCATATGATCGAGTGCTTGTAAACGAATGAGCTACTGATCACTCGATGCGACGCAACAGCACCAAGACGGCTAACGTCCAAGAAGGCGACACGGTTGCCATCTTCGGTCTCGGTGCCGTCGGTCTCGCCGTCGTCCAAGGTGCCGTGGCCCGCAAGGCCGGCAAGATCATCGCGGTCGACACCAACGACGGCAAGGAGAGATGGGCCAAGCAGTTCGGTGCGACGGATTTCATCAACCCGACCAAGTTGGACAAGGATACGTCGATCGTCGCCAAGCTGGTGGAGATGACTGATGGAGGATTGGATCACACTTTGTGGGTTGTGGTTCGAGGGGAGCATGGATGATACTCGCTTGGCTCGCTCATAACCTGCGATTTACCTCCCACAGCGACTGCACTGGTAACGTCAACGTCATGCGTCAAGCCCTCGAGGCCTGCCACAAGGGTGCGTACTCGATCCGCACCGGCGCTTTGCCAAAACGTATGAGCTGACACTTTTTCGCTTTGACAGGCTGGGGTGTCTCGACCATCATCGGTGTCGCCGCCGCGGGCAAAGAGATCTCGACCCGACCGTTCCAACTCGTCACCGGTCGCAGGTGGCAGGGTTCCGCATTCGGTGGTGTCAAGGGTCGCTCAGAGTGAGTTCCCACTACGGGCAGGTTTGATGCGAGCCATAAGGGCTGACGCTATTGGTTCCTTTCCGCACTTGACAGACTTCCCGGCCTCGTTGACGATTACCTGGCCGGCAAACTGACCGTTGATGACTACATCACCCACACCGTACGTTCCGAAGCTCCAGTAATGCTTAATAGCTCCGACCCATCACTAATCCTCGTTCATGACATCCCGCACCTACAACAGACGACCCTGAGCGATATCAGCAAGGGTTTCGAGTACATGAAGTCCGGCGACTGCTTGCGCTGCGTTGTCGACATGTCCAAGTAGACGAGGACGAGTGATATTGAAAAAGGCCCTTTGGAGAATGTGTGTAGGAGGGTTTTGGCGGAATTTATTGCACGAATTGCTATGACTGGAATGGGTAGTTTCGGTTCGAGAGAACGCGTTTGAATTCGGCGGTCTGCTCCGTGTCAGGCTCCGAGTAGACACTGTAGTGTGTGCTGCAGCGGACAACACACGAATACACTGCCTGCCTCTGAACAATCGTTGACTTCGAAAGTCCCGATTACTATGACACTGAAAACAATTTCCAATTTGGTTACCGCTCGGCGCTTTCCTGAATTAGTAATCACACCCCGGTCGCCGTCACGCCGCCGGCTTCGCAACCGAGCACGCCTCCGTTCGTCCTCAGCACATCACTCCATCACCCCACCCGACGTCAGACCATCTACCTATTTGCCATGTCTCTCACCGAAGTGGACCCCTCCAAAACGCTCGAAACGCTCTCGACGACCGTAGACGAGCTCGAAGCGACGCTTGCACCGCTCCTCTCCTCGTGCACCTCCCTCACCGACCTCTTCGCGCAACTCGAGACTCAGGAAAGGGGGGTTTCGCCTATCGAGAGGGCACATGCGAGGATCATGTTGGCGTATACGGTGCATGATTTGATTTGGGGTCAGTTTTGGCGGGAGTGTATCACTTGAGCGTGGACTGTGCAGTTATTGATGCGCTTATTTTGGCTGTTTCAGTCTATTTGAGAATCTGCGCGATCGACCCCGCGACTCATCCTGTCATGGCAGAATTGGTACGTCCCAGAACCATTGCGCCGAAAACTTCCAACTAAGATTTGCTTCTGGGCTGTTTCCCACAGACTCGTCTCAAAAATTACTTTTCGAAATTGCACCGCGCCGAACCGACCATACTCCAAACCAACCAAACCCAAACCGGAAACGAAGCCGGTCCTTCAACCATCTCCATCAACGATAACGGACAAAGGACGAATTTGGACATTGACGCAGCAACGAGGTTCATCAATGCTGCGATTGGGGGGAAGAAGAAGCTCGATCCGAAGGGGAAGCATACGAGGTTTGATGGAGAAAAGGGGGAGGAGGATGGGGGTAGTAGTAGTGCAAGTAGTGAGCAAGAGGTGGCCAAGAGTTTGGGGAAGAAGGAAGGAAAGACGGAGGCGAAGAAGCAGGTCAAGAAGGTGCCGATAGGGAGACCCAAGATGGACCCGTTCATGGGTATGTTTCTCGCCTGCGAAATGACTTGGGTTGGCAAAGACCAGTTTCATCTGATCTTGGCTTACATTCGTCTCGTACAGGCTTCGATGATCAGACGACCTCGTCCAAACCCAACCAAAGGGAGGCCAAGTTGAAGGGCAAACCTGTCGAGGCCACACCCACGACGACCTCCAGCGAAGGCAAGAAGAAGAAGCGAGCGCTGTCCGTGTCCGACGTCGAACCGACACCTACATCAACGTCGACGGCACCTCTCTCAAAGCACCAGAAGAAAAAGTTGAAACTCAAGGCGGGTGGAGGGCTGCCGGGAGAAGGTGTAGGATCAGGCTCGAAAGATGGGGAGGGGAAAAAGCAGAGTCTCCAGAAGGTCAAGAAGGCGACCAAAGAATGAGAGGTCAGCCTATATTCCGCTGGGGAGGGCTGCGTTCAGCAGTATATCGGGGATTGAATACATGTGTCCAATCCTTCCTTCTGAGAAGGAAACAGATGGCCGAAGCGGATCTATGCAAAGAAGAATACATCATAAGCGTCGGGGGGTGTCGAGGACGAGTACTCTGTGCGATACTCGACCTGCAACCGATCCGACGACACCCACATTAATTTCCCATCAACCTCCAACCTACCCGATCTGACTCCGTAAACCCGTTTTGGTTTTTCCTTCGCACCTCCGAGCACAATAATCTACCCTTCTCTGCAAAAACCTTACATTTTAACAGCAGTCTTCAGTTTCCACGGCATCCGAGCGCGGGGATCGCAAATTTTCGCGCGCGGGTGCCGGCGAACCCTTAAAATTCCTGTAAGACGTGCTGATTTTCGCCTGCTGGAGAAGACTGCCCATGCGTGAGATAGGACTGAGCTTAAGATGTTCTTCTTTCCCGATCCGGTCCACTCAAGAGTGCGAATCCGATCGCGCGACAATTTGGTGCCGCTGAACGCCGCCAAAAGCCGGGAATCAGATCAAAAGGAGAAGGAGGCCCGGTCTCGGGCTCGACTCGAACTCGGTGTTCGCACGGCCCTCTTCTGCCCTCTTGCCCCTGTCTCGCGTCTGTGCACGAAGCGCGACAAGGGCACGCTCGCTTCTCCGTTGCTTCCCTTTCCACCTTTGGCTCGCGGTCCCACAATGTCCGGTGCTCCTGTCACGCGCACTCGCTCGAAACGGCGTGTATCGACTGCTTCATCAAGTCCTGCCACTGGCGCTGCGAGTGTCGTGGCGCCTGCTGGTCCTAGTAGTAGTGTCGCTTCGGAGACGCGTCTCTCATCGGCGGCCACGAGTCAAGCCCAGACGGCTAGTTCACATACGAGCCTCGTCACGACTACCGCGTCGCCCCCGAAAACCTCACCACACCCTCTCCTGCGCACAAAATCAGAAGCAATGACCGCGGCGAACCTGGAGCCCATCAGTGACGCTGACCCGCACGCGAATCACCGCTTCGGACTGTTTTCACGTAAAGGAACGGTTGGATCGACGACAACATCTGGCACAAGCCTCGGGCACATCACGGAGTCCAGGTCGAGTCTTACTTCAAACACTTCTTCGCACACGAACCTTCAGTCAACCTCAAAGAACCTTGCGCCGGCTGCTCATCCGCTAACCAAACCCCGACGAGCAACAATTGGCACGGTTCATACCGCGATTCGGACGCCCTCGGCGACAGTTCAGCCTGGCACGCTCACCGCACCAGCTGAATGCTTAACAATGGATCGCGCACAGATTAACCCGCTGCAAGTTGCAAACCTTCAACACGGCCACGGCGCGGCCCCGCGGATTGTTCGCGCTCAAGAATTTGAAAAATCGGAGGTCGAGCATGTTCCGTCGCGACACTGGCCAGCCGACGTTATTCGCACCGTCTTGACCTTCTTCTTCATCGATGAAGCGCTGCAAAATGCGTCAGTATCACCCACCTACTTCCCAAGGTCCATTTACTTGGAACTGAACACCTGACTAGGTACGCGCATGGCAGACCCGCGTACCGAAGCCGCCTGAACTGCCTCTTGGTCAATCGAACTTTTGCGCAGGTCGTACGTACTTTTACTAGTTCTTGTCTGGATAGGCAAGATAGTCAGAAGCCATTATATCCGGCTAATCCTGTATACTGCCGGGGATTGACTGGCTTTCACAGGGCCTCCCTCTTTTCTATGCGGACATCTATCTCTCGTCGTGCGGTCGAGTAAAGGCCTTCGCGAAAAGAGCTTCTTCCACTTCCCACCCTCACATCGGACCCTGGGTATGGAGACTGTGTCTCGACGAACTTGGCGAATGCCGATGTCTCGAGAAGCATCTACCATCAATCCTCGACAATTGCGCCTCAGTTCGAAGTCTGGCGATCGTGGGTTGCTACCCAGTACCGATTTGGCAGATTTTGTATGCGAAATTCGGATCCACTACCGAATCGACCAACGAATCGATTAGCGGATCGACGACCTTATCGATTCGTCCGCGGCATTTTGAAGCGTCTTTCATGGCCGTTGAGGCCCAAGGCTGCTTCGCCCTTCTCAGCGCTCTAGGTCCAGAAGTGGAGACTTTGAAGATGCGGGATTTGCGAATGGTGACAAGCGAGGCGATCAAGCTGGTGGCGCCAATCTGGCGCATGAATGCATTCACGGTAAGTAAGTTGGCACGCTGAGCATCTGAACTAACGCTAAAGTATCTCACATCACGCGTACAGCCGCTGGCACGGCCTCCGTTTGTTCCGACCGGAGGCCTCCGCGGACTGACACTTGCAGACGGACACGTCTCAGCCGAGTTCATGTTCGCCATTACACATAACTGCCCATTACTTGAGACGTGAGTTTAGTCAAATTGCCCGCCCACAGCACCTGATTCTTTGATTTCCGTCGCAGACTCGTCGTTGAGCCATGGGTAATCACGATCAATCACCGGCCATCTGTTGTGCAGCTCGACATGGCTCGATTCATCCAATCTCTCAACCCCGTCACATTGCGCAATTTCTATTGGGGCGGGGGAATCCCTCTGACACAGGCTGCGGCCAGCGTTTTCGATACCATTCTCGACATCCTACCCGGACTGCAGGAACTTGGGGTCCCCCTCAAATTCTTCTCGTCAGTGCAGCTCTCTGAACAGTATGCGCAGATGACGATAGGTCAAACTTGATCTGTTCCCCTCCCACAGCCTCGTTCTTGCTCAGACATTGAGCAACAGCAAGCTCCAGCGCCTCACTTTGATTCCCTCGTCCCGAGCCCTCGGTGGAATTGATGCTCCTGCGCTTGTGGCCAGATCGGAAGAAATCGTGCGCGCACTCGGCGTTGCCATGGTCGAATTTTCGTCATCGGGGGTGGAATGGGAGGCAAGGGATGGCGTCGATTCGTTCATCGGTTATGAGGGTGTGAAAAAAATGTTGGCGCTGGCCAAGGCTAGGCTTGATGCGGGTGTGCGATATGAAGACCCGTCGGCCGCAAAGGCGTGAGCGCAGATTCGAAGGTGGAAGGCACGCATAGGGGCGATAGAAGCTTGCTTCGTAGTTGACTAGTCGATTAGTAAATTTGCGCTGGGGTTAGTACTATATAGAGTGAACATTGATACATGCATTCTTGAGTGCCCATTCTTGTCTTGTTCGTTTTCAAAGACCGTACAGCACCGTGATTTATGGCTGAGCGACAGTTGAGCGGCCCAGCAATGTCTCAAGACGGTGAGACACGTTTCGCATCGCACCGCCGACGCTCACCAGTCTCACCAGTCTCAACAGTCTACTAGTGCGAAGCGTTACCTCGTCTCTGCGACAGCGCATCAACGTCCTTCCATCGCATCGTTCTCACGTGACGATACTCTTCTACTTCAATATGACACTTCGACGACGATCAGGTGTAGAGGTGAAGCGGGAGTACGCCGAGGAGTGCCAGCAGTTGTGGCAACCTCGCGTCGAGACGCGACAAACGCCCGCCGAAGTGATTTATAGAATCTTGGGCTTTCTTTTTGCCCAAGCTGTGGAGGAGGATGGGTGAGTGATACCGTGAGACGATGTAGTCGAACATGTGAATTAACGGTGGTCTGTGACCGCGCGCAGGCCCGATTACTCAGATCGTCTCCTCTGTCTCACCGTGTCGCGTCAATGGTTCCGCATGGTCCGTTGACATGAAGAAGCAAACAGGCCGTCCCTCTTTCGGAACTCTGCATAACTAACCACGATTTCGAGTCTCTTAAGACCATTTCACTCCTGTACAGAGATGTCTACTTGACGTCATATCTGCAAGTAGACGCGTTCGTCAATGCATACACAAGTCTAGGAACCGCGCTCGCCCCCGTGGTGCACAGTCTCCGACTAACGGCAATGAGCCGGTTTGCGCCCGCTCTGAAGCGGATCCTCTGCCAATGCCCCTCGATCCGGAAGCTTGAGCTTCCAGAAATCTGCTCCAGTGAAGTTTGGCGGGTCCTTTACGATGCGCTCCACTCTCGGCCTCCTCGCCAGTTCTATCTCCACCACTTCGACGGCCCCTGCATCGGCGGACCGCAAGGTCTCGCGATTCAAAGTGCCCTCGGCTCCGAGTTGCAGAGCTTGACGCTCTCGAGGATCGACTTGGTCAAGCGTGAATCCATCGAGCAGCTGCACTCGATTTGGCGCATGAACACCCAAGCGGTGAGTCAGCTGGACTATGAGCTGAGTGTGACCTGTGCTGATCTTTTCGATAACACCGGGACAGCCTTCGGTTAGGACCCATCTAGTCACAGGGGGCCTGCGCGAATTGACGCTTCGGTCGGGCAAAGTCTCGGTCTTGTTCTTCGGGATGCTTCAGGGCGGCTGCCCGAACCTCAGAAAGTAAGTAAGCCCGATGAAAACAATGTTATTTCAACGACTGAAGTTTAGCTGTGAGCATCATCCAGGCTTGCAGTGGGCCCCGGGGTGGCAATTGTCCCCAGTGGCGACGGAAACAAAGACAGTTTTAGCCTGCCTCAATTCGTCGAAAGCCTCAACGATGGCTTGCTCGAACTCGAGTGGTTGGTCGACTCGCCCGTATTTGAGGGATCGTTTGATACTCTTCTTGGACATCTGACGAACTTGAGAAGGCTGACAATGCACCTTCGGTATTTTACGTCAGTAGCTCGATGTTTAGGCATTAGTATCCGTGTCCGCCTCGCATGTGCCAGTACTTACCTAATATCAAGCTTATACACAGGACCAACATTTCACGCGGCTTGAGTGCAAGTACTCTCGATCATCTTGCGCTGCACCCCGATCCACAATGCTTGGGTGGCATCAAGGCCCCTGCGCTAATCGCCAAATCGAACGCAGTCGTACAACTGATGGGTAAGATTGCCAACAAAGGCTGGGCGCAATCAGTTGACTGGGATTATGAGGAAGGACCCGATGCTACTGTGAAGTACGAGGTGGTGAAAAGGATGTTGGCGAATGCCGAAGCGGCCGGAGTCAGCGGGCAGGAGCTTGACTTACCGGTTTTCTAAATGGTAGCTCATTGGAAGACAGTTGTGTATTTCGATCGCATGAGGTGCTACGTTCTCGTGTATTAGGGTTCATGCGCTTCTTGGCTGTCGACGCCGACGGAAAACATGTTCGGAGACGAAACTCATGATAGGGATCGACTGATTTGGCTGCGCGTAGACAGCCACCGCGCTCCACTCGCCGACGGTGACATGGAACCGCTCGGCCCGAACGCAGTCGTGCAAGCTCTAGGCAGCTCTTGCTCAGCAAATGCTCGACGTTGGCTACGTCGACCCCAACCCTCGTGAGTCCAACAGCTGCACACATCGCGCCGTGACGATAACCCTTTTCAGAACAGCCAAAAAGTCTTCCGAGGTGGCGGCGGCACGAGGTCAAGTGCGGCAATGTGTTCGCGCTCCTTCGATAGTAAATCAGGTAGGCCAAGTGAAACCTTTGTAGCACAGGCGTTTTGAGGCGTGACTATTAGACAGTGCAAGTCATCCTCACATTGAGGCGGGCCTCGTGACCGAGCGCATGGTAGTACCTGCCGGCGGTGATCAAAATTATACGTACGCTTCTTTCACAGCTTTATGCATAGCACTTGGTACGTCAAACAGTTATACTACAAGCTTCTCAATCGAGACTTGATTTGCAAAACGCGGATGCAATATCAGTGTCCGTCAACCTGAGAACAGCGCTTCGATCAAGCAGTATCGAACTCACACCATGTCTGGTACAACATATCAGAAAAGCTCAGATTGCATTCAAATCCACCTCAAAGTTGAGCCATGGGTCCAGGTTGCTCCAAGTTTCGGTCGCCGCCAGCGTCACAAAGTGCTCGTTAGATGTGATTTGGAAGGGGGGTGGGGGTAGCGCGAGCTCGCCAGCGAGGTTCGGTTGTTCAATGGTGAAGGAGGACGAAACGGCGCGGTAGGTGAGCCCTGACCTTGTAGAACGACCGGCCGTAGGGCTTGAGAGCGGTGAGGAGAAGCTTCGAAGGTGAGGCGTATGCGGTAGGCGACTGGGGATAAAAGGAGCTCGATGGGCCGGCGTAGAAGGCGCGGGCTCTGTGCTGGATCGAAGCGATTTGGCGGCGGGCGATCGTGGCACTCGTGCACTCTTGCGTCGAGGCGTGGCAACGTCAGAAGTGGAGTCTGCCGTAGTCTCTGCCGTGTCGTTGGAAAGCAGGCCGGAGGAATCGGTCCATGGACTCGAGGTCGACCGCTTCGAGCATGGGCTGGACGGCGGATCTTCGATATCTCCGATCCGGCCACGCTTCTTGGACAAAACTGGATTTCCCGGATCCTCGATCTTGATGGGAAAGATCCGACTACGAGCCATTTTCGGTGGTGGCACACACCCATCGGTCAATACCCCCTTGGACGCGGCCGTCAGGACCTCTTCGATCCCATCCCGCACGAGCATGTTCCCCTTGTCCATGAAGTGGGCCTTGCACTTTTCGACGTCCTCGGCCTCCTCCTCGGTTGCGATGCCACCGTCGATCTTGCGCAGGAATGCTGCGAATGCATCCCGATCGCCATCGGTGTACTTCTTGGCGAGACGAGACCACCCAGATCGACGGCGCGAGTTGACGAACCAGTTGGACAGTTGAGCGCGGCCGTGCGAAGGGACTTGGGCGAGGAGGCGTAGTCGTTCGGAGGATTCGGGGTAGGGCCATGCGAAGTTGTCGAGAAACCAGGCACGATAAGGCTGGATGAGCTCATCATCTGCAGCTGAAATACGGGTTTGCTGTTCCCTCACGACAGACGCCGGTGCCTCTGAACGGGAGGCGAATAATGAGCCGCAATCCGCTGACAGGGATTGCTTTAATTGCTCCCGGCTATCGTTGATAAGCTGATTCGACGACGAGGCGAACCGATCAAGACCGGAAGAAACTGCTCGTATCCCCTTCAGAATCTTGATTGCTTCCCGGGAGTGGCCCTGTGACAGAGCAGTAGATAGGTCGACCCGGCACAGATTATCGAGCACGCGCTGTGCTTCGGTGAGTGTCGCCGCTGCATTCTCCCCTGTCTGCAGGGCCTTGAGGAATTGCTTCTCGACGCTGCGTAAATCGTCGATGTATTTCGTGTTATGAAGCATATTTCGATGTACAAGTCACAACTTGAAGGGTCTGTCATAACTGGTCGTAAGCCTGCTCCCGCTCGCGCAGACCCGAGTCCGGCTCGAGAACAAAGGGCGAAAGGGGTCTGTGCGCCAAGGCCGGACCATCGCCAGACTTGGCAAATTCTGGCAAATTGCTGTCTCGTCGGTGCGTCATCAGCCCCGCACCCGGATAGAAGTAGTCACTTGAGTCCTACCAGACCACCTCCCAATCTGATCAGCTTGCCCCGTTCCTCTTCTCACAACACAACAATGCACTTGCTTTCGTCGGACTGGGAGCACATTGCCGCCCACGCCGCTTCAATTCTGAAGGACCTTCCTGCTGTCCATGGTACCGCCGCGAAGTGCACCAAACCCTCTCAAAGCATACGGCAACGATGGGACCAGCTTCACCTAAGAATCAGCAACCATTCCGCTTTTCAGAATGGAATGGACCTGCTGCACTGCTCCTCCGACGTTCAGAAGGAGCTTGCACATCTTTACACTTCAAGCCTCGAAGACATAAGGGTGTCTTGTATTGAGGCGTTCGAGTCCACGATGCGCAATTTGTCCGCCGCCGTCCACGACCACGAGCTTGATATTTTCCGGAGATCGGAAGAGGCAGTGCGCAAGAGATTCACAGATCTTTTCACATTTGAATCGGAGACAATGCGCGTCAAGCTTTTGGAGGAAATAGACCGTGCTCGTCAACAGGTCGTCTCTTCAGATGCGCGAGCACCGGCCTCACCTTCCTCGAGGGAGGCAAAGTCCACTTCAATCAACGATGGGGTGAATCAAATGAACGGAACCTTTGATGCAGTCGTCAACAAGATCCTCCTGAGCGCATTCACTCAATTTGAACACCTCACGAAGGGCGAACGACTGGCACTGGCGAAACGCACCGGCCTGAGTCAAAAGCAAGTTGCAACTTGGGTGAGCTCACTTCAGTGCTTCAATCCTTTCCGGCCGGCCTAGAAATGACATTGTTTTGTGTTAGTTTGCAAACCAACGTCAGCGAAGAAGTCGACAAGAGACCGGCCCTATCGAGGATCAGATATCACAGCCGTCACTCAAAGAGCTTGATGCGGACTATGCTTCAAGATCATCCCAACCGGTGGCACCTCCGCTGTTTGTTTTGACCGACCATACGAAGGGATCAACTGTCGACATGCCGGAGTCACGCCAGCGCGTTCCCGCTGTACCATTCCCCACAACATCCCCGATCGTCCAGCCCCTGACCGACTTTGGCCCTATCTTCAACCGCACGCCGATCGCATCCCACGACAGCGACGTTTCGAGCCTTTCTTATCAAATTGACTCATCAGACTTCTCCGTTGACTCTCTCGATTCAAACTGGAGCCAAGACGCCCCCGACAGCTACTACGGTCTCCCACTTCCGCCGGCAAGCGACATGCAATTCTCGTTCGAGCTTCCTCCAACCGAAGCGATTGAGCACTTCGACTACTCGCCCGACAACTCGATCTGGAACGCCTTCGACTCGTCTTTCTCTTCTTCTTCTTCGTCCGCGGACTCGTACCTCGACGATTATACGTTCCAACCACCGATGAGTGCCGAGGTTGCCACCCCTCTGACATGTGGACTCCTGACTGCTCGTCAAGCCACGTTCGCCGAATCGCCTTCGTCTTTCGGCTCGCCCCCACTATCGACGCCGGACGTCGAGATGGACATGGATGCTGATTCTGTCTTCGGACATATCTCCGAGTTTGGAGTTCTAACCGCCTCTTCGAACACCGGACTCGCTTCGGCATCACCCAATTAATTTGTCTTCTTAAATCCTTGTAGACTGCTCTCTCGCGCGCTCTCTCTCTGTGTGTATGGTGTGTCTTTCTCTTGCCGCTGTTCTTTGCGCAATATACACGAATTGTGGTATTCTCAATCTTGCCTTTGAAGAGAGACAAAGAAAAGTCTGCCAACGTACAACGAACAAGGACATCTTCATCACAGAAAAACGAAACATAAAACCTCTGAACGTGAATAAATCTTTATCTCCTCGGGGGCTGACCCGGTCGCCACCCACTCGCCGCACCAGGGGGTGGTGGTGCACTGACTCCATAACCACCATAAGCTGCCGCAGCAGGAGGAGCACCCGGTGGTCCTCGACCATGAGCAGGTGGTTGATAACCTTGGTAGGCCGCGTTGGGAGCAGGTCGTGCACCACCATACGCGCTACCCATCCCGGGTGGAAGTGCGGCGTAGGTCGTTTGCGGACGAGCGATAGGGGGTGGAGGGTAGTAGCCGGCGGGTGCTGGAGGTGCACCACCTCGACCACCGTAGACTCCGCCAGCCTGGGGTGGGGGTTGATAGCCTCCGTAGCTGGGTTGGGTGACGGGGGGTTGGTAGCCGCCATAGCCTGCTGCGACGGGTTGTTGGGCGTAGTAACCTTGCGCACCGCCGTAGCCTCCATAACCACCTGGAAGGGAACGGAAAAGGGTTACACGATCAATCCCCGAACCTGACAAATTTTAATGCAGTCGAAGCATCTCACCTTGCTGAGTTTGACCCTGATACCCGCCCGGTCTTTGCTGTTGTTGATATCCACCACCTCCCCCACCACCTTGCTGATACCCACCCTGCTGATACCCCTGCTGACCTCTCTGCCCCTGATCCCGCTTATGGAACCCCGGTCCCGTCTGCTCGTTTCTCCTCTGCGCATGGAACCCATTATTCCCCTCGTATCTCTGTTCACCCCCACCTCTCCTCACGCCATCCCGATCATGTTGGCTCAACACCGGTCTCGCGACTTTGACTCCGGGGAGGAGTATGCTTCTGTGCGGTGTCTTTTGTTCAGGGAATTTGTATTCCGCCGAGATCGATCGATCGGATTGGATGTCCGGGAGGGAAGGCAGGGGGGAATCGTAGATGGCTCCTGGGATGCAAGTTGATTCGGGGAGGACGAGTCCGGCCAGGCCTTTAGAGCGTTTCGTATCCAACGCGACGGGTTCTTGGATTCTTCGTTTGGTGTACAGCCCTTCGAGGTAGTCGTACAAAGGATGTTCCTGCATCACGAAGAGCGAATCATGACCCATTTGATTGCGGTGATTCTCGAAATCGCTCAAAAGGGGGTACTTGGTCCCCATTGCCGTCAAGAGTCGGTCGGGGTCGATGAAGGGGAGTAGAGCGACACCTTGCCAGAGCATCTTTTTGCCGTTCATGTCGACTTCGAATTCTTCGGGGTAGAAGTCGATGATGGGCGAGTCGGACTCGGTCATCAACGGTTGGAAAGGCTCGGGGAGATGGAAACGACTGTGAGAAGTGACGAAGATGAATCAGTGGCTTGCTCAAAATCGCGGCGGAGTCGAACACAACTCACCTGGCGGCGGGGAAGACACCCATCAATTGCTCATAAGGCCTGAACGGCTGCCCCAACGTGAAATTGATATCGAGGTCCTTCAAATCGACAAAATCGCTCGCGAACGGCGAGAAGTGATGCGGGTAATACCATTGCCACGATGGCGTGCCTTGGTAGTAGTACTCGAGGACCCAGCACAAACCCTCAACGTAGGACTTGACGATCGATTTCCTGAACTCGAGATCGGACAGTTCGACGCCAAATTTCTGGCGGTAGTAGCGTTCCTTATATCCCGGCTCCCAGAGCTTGACCATGTCGTCCTGTTCGACGACATTGTTCCCCATGTGTTTGAGAGGAGCGACTTTGACCTTGTGCACTCCGCCGGGGACAACGATCGAGGTATCTTCGGAGCTTTCGTCGTCGTCCTCCCCGTCGTCTTCAAGGTCAGTCACTTCGGCCGACTCGGGCTCGACGTCCTCGACCTTGCGTTTTGTTCCTCGAGGCGATGCCTCGCTCGCGTCGACGTCGACGTCGATGGCGGATGCCTCCCCGTCGATCTGGGGCGCCTCGTCCTTCTTTTCGTCCACGGCTTCAGGCTCGGTTGCAGCCATCCTGCCATTCTCCTCGTCCGCCTTCTCAGCCTCAGCCTCTACTTCCTGTTCCGTCTCCTCCTCCTCATCCCCACCCATCATCTGCTTCTTCAACAACTCCGCCGCACTAGAATTCTGCTTCGACGCCGTCGGCCAGCCGCTCCTCTCTTTCTGCGTCTCTTCCGTCCCTCCATTGCTCGCCTGCATCTCAGCCTTGATCATATCCCTCGCCGAAAGGTTCGCCATCCGGATCGCTTTCCGATTCGCGACGATACTCGCGTTGCTCCCGACCATGGATGCGACGTCCCCTTTCGATGGAGCGGGAAGCGAGCTCGGATCGACCCAAGTCGGTTTAGGGGGCAATCCGCCATTCGAAGATAGATCTTTATGTTGCCCGTAATCGGACAGACCATTCGATAAGGCCGCTTGACTCATGCCTTTCATTTGGTCCTGCTCCCTTTGCATTTGCCAATTGACGCCGACTTGACCACTCGCCTGTCCTCCCTTCCCGTGGTTCCTCTGATCGTTCTCCAACTTCCTCCGCTTCTCATTCCGGTCTTGCCGCTCCTCTGCCTCCCGACGCTTGCGGAAGATTTCATCCTCCCTCGACGCGAGTTGTTCGAGGATGAGTTGCGCTCGTTCGAGATTGACTTTACCATGTTGAGCTAAATACCCACCCATGGGTTCGAGCGAGTTCTTCCAAATCGTCATGAGCGTGTCGATCGCGCCTTCCCTAATCTCCAACGAAGGTAAATGGGGCAAAAAGTCGTTACCGACGAAAAAGATCAAAAAAACCCAATCGTCGATCGCGCGTTCCAAATCAAAGGGAAAGGAATGCACGGGCGCGGAGAGTTCGACGGCGAGGTATTCGCGAAGGATCGAGACGTCGAGGAAGATGAACGGTTTCAGAGGCGAGGGTTTGACGAGCTGGTCCGCTCTTCCTTCCAGGGGTGGATCTTTGGGTTTGCCCGTACATTGCGACGAGTGGTGACCCGGTTGACCGCAGGTGTGACACCCTCGGGGCTTTTTCGAGTCTTGCGCAAACACGTCTTCACGTAGGACGCGGAAGTAGGGCTCGTGTGTCGCGAGGGAGAGCATGATGAGATCGGCGTCGAGGCCGTAGATGACATGTTTGGTGTTGGGGTCATGCGAAGAGTGGCTGCGTTGGCGACGGATAAAGTCCATGATCTTGTGCTCGCCTTCTCCCGGGACCGAGGCGTCCGAGATGATGACTTGGAGCTGTGACATGTTACGTGAGGGTCAGTGTACTACTACCCAACCCCTCCAAAATGTGCTTGTACTGACCCCTGCCCAACCTGGATCCTCGTTGAGCTTTTTGGCGACCCAATACCTCAGACTTTTGGCCAAGAGGTCCATAAAGGGCGTGCCGGGCGTGATGGCGTTCGAATCCCACCCCTTCCCGCCCCTCATCTCGTCACTGACCTCCTTGCCCATCGCTTCCCACTCCTCAATAGCTTTGATCCTCTCCTCCTCCTTCACTTTCGCCTCGGCGGCGGATCGGAAGCGTCGGGATCGCTGCTGGTTCATCTTGGCGCGCGGGGCGACGCCGTCGATGGCCATCATGAGCAACTTGCGCGGTCGGACCATGGCGACGACGCGTTCGGTGTAGAGGAACACCTCGTGCATCATGTCTTGTTCCGTTTTGGGGGCGGGCTGGTGAGGAGGAAGTGTCAGTTGTGATTCACGCACCGGTCACCAGAGGGGTTTCTCGAACGACTGACCTTGCCGTCGGGGTGCGTACACGGATGCACGATGCCGTTCATGTCGAGATACAAGTTGTCAAACTCTTCCCCGTTCGGATTCGCGCCCGAAGTGTCGATGGGCTGTAAGAAAGTCATGGCAGTGGTTAGGCGAAAGCGATCGACGGACAGGCCGAGGTGAGCGACTGCGCCGCCCCTCGTGCACGGTAGCACACCCATCTCGTGCATTCCCACTCACCAACTCGTCCATCTGGCCATCCGGACCAGGGACACTGACAGGTGTATCCTCGATTACCTGTGCATGAGAGCCGGTTCACAAGTCAGCTCGATGTTCATGTCGGAGGCCCACTAGAGCTGAGGAGGCCTTTACTTGCGCACGATGGGAACGTACGGGTAACACGATCTTGGGATACTTTTTGGACAGCCATCGAAAGAGGGCGGGGACACCCATGTTGGACGGATGGATGGGGTGAGGGGTGGGGTGGGGTGGGGTGGGAGAGGGAGAGGGAAGAAGGCGAGATGCGAGCCGGGAGCGCGGCTGGTGGTGGCCTGTAGCCGAGTCTAGCCGAGTCCCGATCGCGCGAGTGGCGCACGGCAGCCTGCGAGCCGGAGCGCAAGGCCGAGAGTCGCGCGGGCTTCGCAGGGCTTCGCAGGGCTTCGCAGGGCTTCGCAGGGCTTCGCAGCCGTATAGCACGGGCCAGGTTCAGCTGAGCTCGGCGCTCGGGCGCTGGGATTCCTACCCACCCACCCGTACCCATCATTGTTCACGTCGGCACAATGTCGACAACGCAACCTGCAACCAAGAAACACAGAAAGACCAAGTCTCAAACTACTCCGGAGGCAACGGGGGAGCCGTCGCAGCCCATCGCTTCAACCTCGACCTCGACCTCCACCTCCGCCCCTGTCGACGATCCCCGATTCGCAGCCCTGTTCCCCGCCGATGACGACGACGAAGATAGAGACCCCAACAATAACCTCACACCCCGTCCCCCCTCCCCCGACTCCTTCCCGCAACAAGCCCCCCTCCCCTCGCATCTCCTCCCCAAGTCCGCCTCCGATTCGAACCGTCCCAGCCCAGGCTTGATCTACCTCTCGCGTATACCCCCGGGAATGGGGCCCAGTAAAGTCAAGCACGTGCTGAGCAATTATGGGAACGTAGGCAGGATTTATTTGGTCAAGATTGGTCAGTTGGCGAGGAGGATTTCTTGACTCTCTAGCAAGTTCGGAGGGGAGGGGGGGGGGGAAAGGGAAAAGGAAGAAGATTCTGACTCGTCAACAATTCGAATGCGAATGTAGATTCCCAACAAGCCCAACCTTCTTCATCAAAGAAACGCCAAAACAAGCATGGTAACGGCCACGAGAAGCATCAATCGCATCGCTTCAAAGAAGGCTGGGTCGAGTTTGAGGACAAGCGCGTCGCTCGATCCGTCGCCGAGATGTTGAATGCCAATACCATAGGTGCGTAACAAGTCACGCCGAGTATAGTACGCTGCCTGTTTTGTTCTGACAGTGGACTGTGTGACGACGACTACAGGAGGCAAGAAGGGCACGCCCTGGCGCGACGACGTGTGGACGATGAAGTACCTCCCCAGGTACAGGTGGGACATGTTGTCCGAACAAGTCGGTGCGTGCGCCCTCTCAGCCTACAAATCAGAGCACCCTCGCTCACCTCGCCACTCTCGATTTCCTTCTCCCCAGCCCTCGAACGAGCAACCCAAACCTCGCTTCTGCGCTTCCACCTACAACACTCCAAGACTGAACAAGAAGCCTACCTCGGCGCGGTCGAGAAGGCGCGCGTGGGCCAAAAGATCAAGGAGAAACGACAGATGCAGGGGACATTAGAGGAGAAGGAGGGAGTCGCGGGGAAGAAGAGGAAAGGAGAGAGCGAGGGGGACGTTGGACCTGGGTCTACGGTGGGGGAAGGGAAGGAGGGACGCAAGCGGTCGTATCGACAACGCCAGCTCGTCGACGTCGCGGACAAGGTCAAGGGTCACAGCAAGGGGGTTGGGCAAGATGGCAAGGGAACCCAGGGTGACTTGAACGATGTATTGAGCAAGCTTTTCTGAGACCGCGTTGGGAGGAGGAAAGGCCTCTTCGGCGGCCCCAAAGCCTTGGCCCAACTTTGCCTAATTCACTTTTTAGAGCCGCCCCTTTCCCTCGGTCGTTTTTTGTCCTCTGTGCCAGTGTCTGAAATGGTGAACTGGCAAAGTCGCTTTGGGTTCGATCCGTGTGCGGACAGACGACGAGGGCTATCAAGATGAACTAAAAGGATGAACAAGAAAGTACCGAAGAAGACCTCTGCCAGAATTTGTCGGGGAACTGGAGCAAAACACCTATAAGCGCCCCCAGCCGCGCAGGAAACAAAGTCAGGGAGTGAGTGAGTACAGATTGTTGTGGCGACTCCCCTGATGCAGGAAAGGTAGGAATTACGAACATACTTCGAGCTGTGACGGCGGCCTTGACTCACTCACTGCACTGCTCGAGCGAGCCTGAGCACGGATCCGTTGATGACGGCACCCCACTGCGTGGCTAGTGTTCGGAGTCGACTCGTTGTTCAGCCCCATGGTGTAGAATCGGAAGCCTAAACAATAAGTAGGTGTCCAGTAGGTATAAGAAGCTTGGTACCCATGAAAAGCTTGGTACCCATGAAAAATATCTACTGACCTGGCATCGACATGTTCACACCCGCAAGCGCGCTGCTAGTAACGCCGCTCGTACCGGGCGCCCAATCCGAGACGACGAAGCCATGGAACGCCACTGCAGGTCTTGATTGGCGAGCTTGGTCATCACGTACGAGCTTTCGCAAATGTGAGTCTGATTGATCTGGTTATACGAGTAGATGATCGATCGTACACCGGCCCAGATCGACTCGGAGAAGGGTGATTTTGAGGGACATCAATGACTCATGACTCGGAGTCAGCTTTGACCTTCCGGAGCGCTCTAGTGACTTGCAGTGAAACAGATTCATGTATGATTCGTGCATGACTCGATCATCGATATTGCTAGATGATGTGTAATAGCCCCTGATCCTCTGCATGAGAGCTCTTGTTGGTTGGCGATAATACTTGGCGCACGTGATCGCACCGGTGCTCTGAGAGCTTTCGATCGTATGATGGCGGCACCGGAGCGGGCCAGGTGCGGACGGACGGCCGTTGAAGCCTTCCCCCACTGCAACCAACGTCGGTGGCACGTTCAGATTCATCATAGGGGAGCGTGCGACTAAATCCCTGCGCTAACAAAGTGGGCGAGAAGTGCCGAGTGTTAGCGCCATCCCGCACATGCCACCACTGAAGATCGAGGGACTCAGGGGTCGGTTTGTCTCAACATCTGAAACGAGGCCGTCCTAGCCAACAAAAGCGGTTACAGCAAGGCTGAGACATGCCCAGACACCTTGCGACCAACGGAGGGGACCTTGAGCAAAGACCTACCCATATCTCAGGTACGGACGCACCATCATTCAGCGCCTTGACGTCTCGAAGTCTCGAAGTCTCGAAGTCTCGGAGTCTGTAGGCGGAACGGTCGTGGTCTCGTGTCAGTCTCGTGGATGTTAGAAGTATATGGTTGTATCGTCCTTCATCTGATTCTTGCTCCTATTATGGTACTTGGGATTGAGCCTAGCGACGCTTCATGAACTCCCTAGTCACTCATTCTCCCTGCTTTACTAGTCTCTAATCCCTCTTCCCTATTAGCATTACGCTTCACTTTCTAGCCTTCCGCGAGTCTGTCCCTTAGTCTCTGGCCACTCTGTTCTCGTCCCTGTTCATTGGACTGAGTTGTGGTCATCATCAGGTCAGCTCTTTGGAATCTTACCTTACTCTGTTCTCGTCCCTGTTCATTGGACTGAGTCGTGGTCATCATCAGTTACCACTCGAGAACATTTCTGCAACAGTGGAGTCGTGGAATCGTGGCCGCTCCCCGCTTGGTGTCGCTGCTCGGCGGCTCGACGTTGCTGTTCGGGGATATCGCGGGGGCCTACACGCCCCTAAGCTTGACCGATCGGCCGATCGGCCCCGCTGCACGCCTCCTGAAGGTGCCTGGTTAGGCGGCGGCCCGCATCCGCCGGGATCAAGAGAGATCAAGACCGAAGTGCAAGAGTGCAAGAGACCCACTCCCCTCACTGGTCTTTACTTCTTCTACCTCTTCCTCGTCCGTCCCCAACTCTCGTCCACTCACATCCTCCTGCAGTGTCCCTACACCATGAAAATCATCTTGGCAGCCTTGCCCCTTTCCCTCGCCGCCCTTGCGGGAGCGCGCAAGCACAGCTCAGGTCATTCAGGCCATCGTCATCGCAGAGCTAGCGGTGGATCTGAGGTCTTTTTGGGACCTCCCAGGACGATTTGCAATGTGCGGGAGGCCGGCGTCCAGCAGGACTCGGCGCCCCTCATTATGGCCGCCTTCGAGAGGTGCCAGAACGACGGGAAGGTCAGTGCGCACAGACCGTGCCTCTAGAGCCGCCTGGGACGTCTCGGATTAAAGCGTGCGGGACCGCACGCAGGGGAAGCTGATTCGTACCCGCCTCCGCTTCGGCAGATTGTCTTGGATGGCCATTACCTCGTCAAGAGTCTCCTCTACTCGCCACATCTCAAGAATGTCGAGATTGAGCTGACTGGAACACGTAAGCTCTTCTCCCATGTCAGAAATCGCAATGGGCTCGATCCTGAACATGGTCTTGTCGCCAGTCACCTATTCCGACAATATTTCTTACTGGTCAAGGCCCACTAATAATACCCGTGGAGGTGGCTCTTACGAGCTCTACTACCAAAATGCGACCACTTTCTTTTTCGTGAGTCCACCTCCGCCGCTCCGCTGGCCGCTGCTCTTCTCTGCGCCGAGGATCGTTCTCAAGCTGACGGCTCCCGAAGCTCCTCATGATCTCGGCTTGCGCAGCTCCAAGGAGAAAATATCTGGCTCCACGGTAATCCGGCCTCGAACCCGGGGAAGTCAGCCACTCATCGGCAACGGTCAGGTCAGGAAGATCTTCCTAAGCAACGTCGACCTGAGAACCCCGAGCTGACCCGTGCGCCGCCTTGTCCAGAAATGGTGGGACAAGTTTGCCAAGGACAAGAAGGCGGGTAACCCTCATGGTATCGAAAGTATGGAGTACGCCCGCCCGATCATGTTTACGATCGGCCACTCCAACAACGTCAAGGTCGAGAACATCAACTTTCTGGATGGGCCGTTCTGGAACATCTTCGTCACTAACTCGGAGCTCGTAACAATGACAAACATCAACATCGCCGCCGTGTCGAACTCCGACTCCCTACCCTACAACAGTGACGGAGTAGACATCTACTACTCGACGAACGTGACTTTGCTGGACTTCAACGTCAACAACGCCGACGACTGTGTTTCTCTGAAGCCCTACTCGATCAATGTCGAGGTCGGTCGCATGACCTGCAACGGATCCCATGGCATCTCAATTGGCTCTCTCGGCCAGTACGCCGACAAAGTCGATGTCGTGAGTCAGACTGGTGGGGTTGATGGCTCGCCTAGCGAATCCAGTTGAGGTCGTGCACTGAATGGGTTGAATATATTCATCAAGTTGAGAATGTCTACATCCATGACATCTACATGTCTAACGCCCAAGCTGGTGCTCGTATCAAGGTTAGTCTAACCCGCGGGACAATCATCTGTTCGCCTCTCCACCTGACCCACTATCCTTGTGCGTCCACCACCCCAGTCCTGGCCCAATCGTAATGGCACTGCCAAAGACGCCGGTGGCGGATCGGGCTACGTCAAGAACGTCACGTTCCAAAACTTCGTGAACAGAAATGTCGACCAACCTCTTGTGCTCACCTCTTGCTATATGCACACTGAGGCGTACTGCGCCCAGTTCCTCTCGAAGATGAAGATCTCGGACGTGCACTACATCAACGTCACCGGAACCGCCAGTGGAAAGTACAAGGATGTGGTGGCCCTGCTTGACTGCTCCTCGGAGTGCACCAATATCACTGCCAAGGGAACTCACCTGAGCTTGCCTACGTCCGATACTCCGGTGTACATCTGCCACAACATTGATTCCGAGAAGCAGGTGAGTTAGGGCAGATGGGGTGTCCTCATTCAAGCTGATACTGCGCTCACCATGCTGACGAAGTCTTCGTACTCTCCTCGTTCACAGCTCGACTTCACTTGCACCGGCTCCGCGTAATTTCAGGCGGTCACCTTCTCTGCATATAGTTACACACGTTGGCGCCGTGACGTCCATCAGAGGACCTGGTGTCCATTGCTTTTTATCTTCCACATCTCGGTGTTTATCAGGTTATCACTGCCATGAGTGCAATGCATCAGCGGTTTAATCCAGAAAATTCTTACTGGAGAAGAGTTGGCTTTGTGATCGGCTGGCGCCAATAGATTTGCCTCGCACAGGACCTCAAGTGAATCTGAGCACTCCATGCCGTACGGGGATGCTGTCCGTGAAAGCCCCGCTCAAGCACATCGCCCATGTGAGACCTGATACAGATGGAGCCCTCGGGGCTGCCACTGCAGTGGGTCCCGGTCGCACGTCTTCACATGATTGCGCCAAGTCATGTAAAATGGCGTAGACCATCCTGGTTGCCTAACCAGTACACCAAAAGCGAAGGCACCTCCCCACGGGATGCATGCGCCGAATCCTCTCAACACAGCTCCTACTCGGCGGTTTTGCATATTTCTCGCAGAGGGGGGGGGGGGGGGGGGGGGGTCTTTGCTATGTTGCGCCGGAATTCTAGCAGCCATCCGATCGTGTCTGAACTATTCCGCGGTCATGGTGACATTGACCGGTTCATACTGATACTGAGAGTCATTTTAAGAGGGACCTCATTTCAGAAGACCGTCTCAGACTTGCCTTGAGGGCGGCCTTGTATCTGCAACGCTCGTCGAAACCTCCCAACGTCCCCAAGTTGAACACGCCGAGCAGGATGGCAAAGGCGGCAAGACGTGGAATTGTCTGACGGGTTGGTAACACCTCTGAAAAAGAGAGGGGATGAAGAAGGATATGGCCCAGATAATGCTTACACATGGCTGACACATGGGAAAATGCTCGCGGCCTTGACATGGCAGTGGTCCCGCACAGGCGGCCCACTTTCTCATTCCGCGGGTCGTACCACAATCTCCACTGCTGTGGTGTACGTGCACGGATCTTCGCTGGTTCGGTCAGTTCGAGTTTCGGTAGAGCATTTGACCTTGCGTGGTCAAGTTCGAGCGAGGAACAACTTGCAATTGTTAAGCATATCTATCCTGGTACGACGGCGGCTCTCAGGGGTGCTGAGCTGAGGTGGGAGAGAAGCTCGCGGTGGTCAAAGCTTTGATGCGGGAAGGTACTCCGAACAAGGGGGTTGGGACATCGTCGAAAGGAGAACCACATGGACGCAGCTATTGATAAAGTGGCCATCGAAGCGTTCAATAAAGTCATCATCGGCGCTACTTGGCTCCTCTCGCGCCGATCGGTGATGATGACCTGCCTCACCTCGACAGTTCTTGGCTTGGTATGTTTTTCACGGAAAACTGAGCCTTCGAGCGCATGCGAGATGTGCGTCATCATTACACACAGTTAAGATGTACAAGGAAATTTTCAGAGGGCTTGATACCCCTTCACTCGTATTTGGCTGACCCGCCTTTACCGCTCGCACCTGCCGCCCCGCTACTCCCACCCATGAGAGAAGCACCCCCTCTCCTCCCCAAGCATTGTCGCAGGAACCACCAGCCGGCCAGCCAGGATGAGATGACGAAGAAGACGAGTGCGAAAGGATGGGAAGAGAAGTACGACTTGAATGAAGAGTCGGTGAGAAGCGCGAGGCGCTGGTCGATCGAAGATCAGCGAAATGAATCAGTCGCAGAGGCAGGAGGGGAGGGGACAGACTCGACAGAGTTCAGACTCACATGTGCTAGTCGATCAAAGAATGATCTCGAGCTCAAGGGCTTCAATCGGTTCGTCAGAATTCCTTGCTCGACCGTCTCGTAGACGCTGTCCGACGTGATGGGCTCGGACGAGAGATCGCGGTTCCAATAGGCCAGTTCCTATGTGAGAAGGGTCAAGTACGATGCCCATCAATGACTCGACTCGAAAACCTGAAGGGATAGCCAACTGACTTTCGGGTCCGAGACGACGATTCCCGGCCGTTTCCCCCAGTTGACCGAGTACATCCCCTTTAGCCACCCCATCCACCGGTCCGCATCGACCCAAGCCCAGACCACCTCCCTCGCCAACTTGTCCCCTTTACTCCTCCGCTCTGCCCACCCCTTGGCCAAGGCTTCGAACGCGGTCTTTTGGTCCTCATAATCCTTGCCCATTTGTGATTTTGAAAACAGACCCAAGACAACGAGAGGGACGTCGTCACCCGTCGCGGGCAAGACATCGTGGATCGTCGCTGAGTTCAGTTCGACCAGAGCGGGCAACTTGGCCCATCGCATCCAGTTCGAGATGTTCTCAATCCTCGCTTCGCGGGTCGCCAGCCCTGATGTAGATGCAGAGGGGAAGGCATGTCTCGAGCTCGGTTGAAGGTGTTGGCCCTTCAAGACGAGGAAGACGGCGTCCTGTTGGACCGAGTACAGGGAGAAGAGGTCCGGCGACGTCGAGGTGTAGAACGACGGTTCGCCTTGCAGGCTCCTGGCTGCGGTCATAGCGACCTTGAGATCGTCCTTGGAGAGCGAAGGCGAATACAGGAACAGCATGACCACGGGTTCGGCGGCGACGACGCGCTTGAGTTCGTACTCATTGGCCAAAGGCTTGACCTGGCTCGAGTCGACGACGCGAGTGACGAAGCGACGCATCGTTTCAACATCGCGAGGCCCGTTGTACTCGACCTTTTGCCCCTGATGGTAGAGCATCAACGTAGGGTACGATTGGACCTTCTCCGCCGCGCAGGTCTTGCTGGTCGATTTCTGGTCGCAGTCCATCTCGTACACATCGACTCTGCCCTTGAGTTGCTCGGCCAAGTCGACCCAGCGCGGTTGCAGCGCTTTGCAATGCCCACACCACGGCGCATAGAACTTGACAAACGAGGGGGGTGCATCGTCAGCGTTGAGAGCGTCGATCTGCGTCGGCTCGAGGATGTGGACCTGACCATCGGGCAAGGGGTGGTTGTTGCGCTTCTCGTCGATTGGCTGATGTGGCTGGGCGACGAACGAGGGCGGCGAGTCGGAATCGGCGGAGCCTTTGTCCAGTCGAGCAACGCCGCCTTTGGGCGCTCGACCGTCGGCGGTCTTGTCGAACTTTGAACCCACGGCGGCGTCCAGCAACTCCTTGCTTATCTTGCCCGCCTTCAGCAACGGTGGTGAAACGACGACGGGCGCAGCCTTCTTGGCCCCTTCGAGGATGACTTCAAGCGCCGATGGAGAGGCCTTCTCCTCTTGTGCATCTTCGTCATTCAGATGCAACTTGGCCTCCCGCGTCGGTCCTTTGGGCTTCGCAGCGCTCGTGTCTTTCTCCCCCGTCTTTCCCTTGATCGCTGCCGCCAGCCTGTCCGTCTTGACCTGACCCTGAGGGCCATTGTCGAGCGGATCTGTGTCATTCTCTTCGGCATCTTCCTCGTCCTCTTCCTCCTCGTTCTCTTGCTTCTTGGGAGCCGTTTCGACCTTGACCTCGGGTGGCGCTGCGGCCTTCTTGGCTTCAAGCGCTTTAGCCTGCTTAATCTTGAGCATGTGCCTGTCGATGTACTGATCGAGGTCAAAGACGGCACGCTTGCCCGAATACTCTTCGATAAAGACGCCGTGGTGGTAGAGGAATATGGAGGGGTAGTATTTGACATTGTTGAGGTGGCAGAGGTCGCCGTTGGCGGCGCAGTCGACTTGGGCAAAGTAGAAGTTTTGCGAAGTCGTGGGCACACGCTTGAGGTCGTACACTGTGAATGGGGCGTCGTGGGCCGGTTGGGATGGTAGAGGAGGTTTGGACGGTGAGCTACCGGTTCCTTCAGGTGGGGGGGTTGACTGATAGCGCGCGTCAGGGTCGACTTACGTTCTTTCCACTTGGGAGCAAATGACCGGCAGTGGTGGCAATATGGTCTGTCACGGGGAATAGCAAACGTCAGTGCCCCTCTTGCACGTCGTCTCTTACCCGAAAGGAGCATGACGTACGAATAGTGCTCGACCAGCCTGTGCGATGAGGACGAACAGAGGGCAGTCAGTCCATGTTTCACTTTTGATGTCCCAGATCCTACTCATGCCTCTATACTTACCAGGTGCCATTGTTGACGGTGTTCCACGTCTCGGCAGTCAAGGACTCGCCGGCCATTTCCATGGGCGTGATGGGTGCGGCCCCAGAGGTGCGACCCAATGGCAGCGCAAGCAAGACCAACGTCGTCATCACCAGCTGCGACAAAGGCAAGCCTATCCGTGTCATATTGCTTTCTGTTATGACGATAGACAAGGTCAAAGGAACGGGTGGTCGCTGTTCGGCTGATTGGCGGCGCTGAGACGGCAGCTCAGGGTGCTGGCGGCAACTGAAACCCCAGAGAGCGGCAGCGGGGGCCTCGGGCGTGCGTTGGTTGGCTCGAAAAAGGCCAAAAGAACGAGTCACCCGCTCCGTAGACTGTCAAGCTTCCAAAGGATGAGGTGCTGACCGTCACGCGTCGCCGGCTCGTAGCGAGAATGAGCTCTCGAGGCTGAGGCAGAGCTCAAACCGAGCTCGCACGTCGAACCACTTTGTCGCGCGCCGCGCTTGAGAGCGCTTGAGAGGAACTGCCTGCGCCGATCGGCTGCCTCAAGCCAACGAGGATCGTCATCGCAGATTCGCACACCGCCTCGACGTTCGGTTGTCATGTCGAAGCCTCGAAGGTCCCCTATCTTGACGGTTCACAGTTGCTCTGCTTATCCGTCAACCGAATGTCAGCGAGACAAAGATAGACTGTAGATGCAATCGCTTGATGTCCATCCTGCGGGCCCAACATTGCCACGGCACTGCCACTGCACCGAGCAAACACCCGAGCTGACTTCGGCGTAAGGGGTCAGGGCAAAACGTAAGCGACTGGCGCGGAACGGCGAGGTTGACCAGCCCGATGAACGCCGCGCCGTTGAAGAGCTGCAGCACCAGGTCGATCTTCAGTGGTCAGTGGTCGCACCGATCTGATCCAAACCTATGTGTGTTTGGTCAGTCAGCGGGCTGTCGACGACGATTTTGACTGGTGACGTACCCCTCTCAGTAGATGCCCGCCCCTGCCTAGCGTGTCAGCAATGCCTGGCTTGAAGAGCATGGAACTGCACTCAGCACCAAAACAAAATTCCATCACTGCGACCCTGAGAAGTACGGTGACTACGCTAATAGCTGTCACCGACTGCCGTTGCGACCGCCGACCGGAACTTGAACAGTTTTACTGTCCGCCCCTTTCACGCCGCGAGGAGCGTGTCCGTCCGGAAGGCCCTACTCCTGCGTAAACAGCGCGGCAAGATCGGTTACATATACCTGCAACATATTAGAATATGATGTTTCCGGAGAAGTAAAGGACTGCGGGCTGCTGCGTAGCCCGGAACTTGTTTACAATCAATAAAAAGGAAAATACGCGGAAGACTGACGAGAGAGTGGAGATCCGACCAAACTTAGAACGGACGTGAATATTACCATGTGCAGGAAACGAGCAGAGAAGAAAGAAGGAGTATTATATATAGTACGTGACTTGTTAGAGGAAGAAGAAGATGTGGCGATGCACATTTATAGGACGGCAGATCATGCAGCACGACCCGACGCGCCTTCCTCGTCGATTGTTAGACCTTCGACCGCGTTTGCTACGACTTCGACTCCTGTCACAGAACGAACAAGACAGCTAGATCATCAGTAAAGTGGCCCAGGTGAGTTGATGAGAGCATAACTGACCCGCTTTCATATGCCGGGGCGATGAGGATCCTCCACTTGTTTCCATCGCCCTTCTCACCACTTCTGGACTGCTCCTCCCCCCGCGGTTGGGACTATTCAACGACGGGTTGTGGGTATCCGGTCCATCAGAACTGGCACGGGGCGCCCCCGCCCCCGACGGGGTTGTTCTCCCGCCACTCGAATCGCCGTTGCCCCACCTCGAAGGCGAGCCCATCATCCCACCGGCGGGCATGGGACTCGTCGAAGATGGCGGTAGTGACTGCCCATCTGAGCGAGTGAAGGATGGACTCCGTCCCCGTGAGCCAAAGCCGGTACCATTGCCGATATTGGTAGGAAGTGGGGGTACCGGTGGTCCGCCTGCGCCGAGCGCAAATCCACTCCCGCTACCCATCGACGAGCCTTTCCTCGAGTGGCCACCGTTCGCAGACCCGGCGTTACTTCTGGACCGAGGTCGGTTCGCGACGGCTGCCAGGATCGAGTTGGCTTCTGGACCCGAGTAAGGCGTGAGCGACGGGGTGTGTTCTTTGGTTGGTTGAAGGGCAGCAGGGGGGTTGCCCAGGAGGGTGAGGTAAGCTCGTTTGGCTGTAGGATCACATAAAGATATAAGGTTCTTCGTTTCAGCTTCGTTGGAGTATATGAAGGTCGTGATGGAACAGGAGACCTGGTGGAGCGAGAGGAGCGTGAAGACGGACGTGCGCCTGACCGTTGGCAGCAGTGTGGCAAGCGGTCCGCTTCGTCGTCAAGCAAGATGGAGAGGGTAGGAAAATATCTACTCCAGGTCGGTCGACTCACCTGTGACGGGATCTGTGAAGACGATCCAGCACGTCACGTCATCGGCCCACTTGATCCTGAACCCACCCCTCTCATCCTCCCACTCGGCGAAGAGGTGGTGGATGTCTCTCGTCTTGAGGGAGGGGTCAAAGTTGCTGAGCTTGAGGATGCGCGTCGTGTTGGCTTGGTTCGTCAAAGACGGTGTGGAGGACTGCAACGAGGCGAGCATCGACGGCGTGAGCGAGGCCGAGCCTGATCGCGAGTGCGAGTGCGAGTTCGACTGCGAGTGCGAATGACGTGACGATGAAGGCGGTGGTGGTGGTGGTGGTGGTGCATGGGACGACGACGACTGCGATGAGCCTCGCATGTGCATGTGCGTGGTCTGGGTCGGTGAAGACATGTCGTGCGACGGTGCTTGTGCGACGGTGGTGTTTGTGTAAAGGAGCGTACTGCGGGTCCAAAAGTGGGGCCGCACAGTTGCAGACGCAGGCGCGCGTGGGAAGGATCGGTAGTGATCGAGAGGCGGAAGGGGAACGGACGAAAGGGGTCGAGCATGGGTTAGTCACCGTGTTGGGTCACACTGCGTCCTCCATGTGACTCACACGGATGCGTTGCAGTAGGTCTATGAGTCTGAGTCAGGTCGGCTCCTGAGCGCAACACACGGAAAAGGAGAGGGCAAGAGCAAGCGAGACACGCGACACGCGACACGCGTTCGCGCGTAGTTTACCATTGAGATCGTCGCCGTCGCGCGCTCAGACCTCATCTATACTCATCGGCCTCATCCAAGCTGACTCATGAGAGTCGTCCGAGGACGGCTAAATCATGCGCGCCTAGGGATTTTTTCGCTAGACAAGTGCCCAAGGATAGGCCAACATTCAGCAATAAAAATTGGTCACTTTCAAAAGTATTTGGTTTTTAGTTGCAACTTGAGGAGAAATCGGACCGCGTCCGGAAGCTCACCAGACGCCCAAGGCTTTACAAGGTCATATCGGAGCACGTCCAGAGCTGCAACACATTTTTGGAAGTGCGAGAATAGTCTTTAGGATAAAGACAGTAAGAATGGGAGTTTCTCGCGATGACCTGTGGGTTGCAGTGGGTTGGAAGACGATATCAAGCTGCCGAGAGAACCCGACTCGAGTGGTGCGACCCGGCTGGCTGAGGCTGGTGGATACGAACGGGAGTGTACGACTCACTCTAGGTCGCGCACCTTCTTGGACACCCCCGCCACCGCACTCTGGCTCGGAGTGTTCACAAGCTTCCCCTTCATCACACCTCTTGACTCCATCGGGGTTGTGTGACTCGGGTAGGCGAGGCAGGCGTCGGTCGAGTGCGCACCGGCCTTCTCGTCGTCGTCGTCGTCGTCGTCGTCGTCGAGGTCGCACCGGAACAGGTGGGGTGGTCGCACAGCATGTCCCATCCCACGGCAAATGGCGGGGGAGGAGGGGGCAACATCAAAGTTGTCGTAAGTAGATCCATGGTCGCCTTATTCAGAGTCCGAATACGCTGTGCCGCTGCACTAGTCGCTCGTGCGACGCGATTCCAGGTCGGGCACCGGTTGAGCCAACATCATCTCAGCATTGAACGAGCGGGTCGCACACTGCATCACACGACAAAGCACCAGACTTTTACCCTCTTCAATCATTCTTTCCTAACCGTCTCATTCTAATTCAGGTCCGATGTCGACCGCTCAACTCCAGAGGTCAGTTCCCCACCCCCTTCCGAGCTTCTGAGGAGAGCCCTAGGGACAACAGAAGGCAGCACGAAGACTCCTCTTTGAGCTTGGCACCGGTCAGCGGTTCATCAGTAGGCCACCTGGATATGTTTGGACAGAGCTTGCGAGGGGTGCGAAACCCCTGGTGCGAATGGAAGGCAACAACACCTACTTGGATCCACCCGAAGTAAGTCGTCTGTTCATCCGAGGTGGGGGTCGCGCTCACGTGGCCCGCGTCCGAGGCTAATGGCCGAAATTCGGCATTTGTGTTAGCCGACCGGTACAAGTCGCAACGCAGACAAGGAGACCAAATCCTTTGCCTTCGACAAGTCGTATTGGTGAGAGACTCATCTTCGTTTCGTCCTGCACGAATTCTCCGCATGCTCGGAAGGAAAGCTCAATCTGCTTCCTCTGGCCGCCGGGTTCTATCACTACAGGTCGGCGGGGCCCAAAGACGAACCTGGATATGCGTCACAACAGACCCTGTACGAGGACTTGGGAAAAGATCTGCTCGATCACTCGTTTCAGGGATTCAACACATGTATCTTTGCCTGTGAGTCGCACATTCGACGACCGAGGAGCAGAACCTGGATCAGAGAACTGAGCTTCACGCACACTTGCAGACGGTCAAACTGGCAGTGGTGAGCTCAAGTCGGAGTTGAGGTGTCGCATTCAGTTAGACTTGACACTGATCCTTTGGTGGCACGTGCCCAGGAAAATCTTATTCCATGATGGGTTACGGTTCCGATCGCGGAATTATCCCGCTCATTTGCGAGGCGCTTTTCGAACGCATCACGTCCCTCTCAACGGACAAACTCTCCTTCACCGTCGAAGTGCGTAACAAGCACGCTCGTCGTGTCGTGCCTTACGCTAACACGCGTTCTTTCTCTGCCCGAGTAGGTCTCTTATACCGAGATTTACCAGGAAAAAGTCCGCGATTTGCTCAACCCAAGCAATAAGGGAAACCTCAAAGTACGGGAACATCCGAGCTTGGGTCCCTATGTCGAAGGGCTGTCGAAGCTGGCTGTTCAATCGTTCCCGGATATCGAGGCATTGATGGACGAGGGTACCAAAGTGAGTGAGGCGATACTGAATGAGGACATGCAGGCACACTGACAAAATCGGTTCCGCAATGACTCAAAGGCCCGCACGGTTGCAGCAACAAATATGAACGAAACATCTTCACGATCCCATGCTGTTTTCACCCTTCTGTTGACCCAAAGGCGCGTCGACGTCGAGACGGGAATGGCAGGGGAGAAAGTATCGCGCATCTCACTCGTCGATCTTGCGGGATCAGAGCGAGCCAATTCTACGGGCGCGACAGGGACGCGGTTGAAGGAAGGCGCGTTGATCAACAAAAGTCTAACGACTCTAGGGCGGGTCATCGCGGCGCTGGCTGCCGCGAGCGGGGTGGGGAAGCATGCGGGTGAGAAGGTGCCGTATCGTGATTCGGTCTTGACGTGGCTGTTGAAAGACTCATTAGGCGGCAACTCGAAGACGGCCAGTGAGTCATCGAGGTCGGCTAACAGCGACCAGGTGCGCGAAGGGCTGACATAGTGTTGATCAACCAGTGGTGGCGGCCATATCCCCCGCCGACTACGACGAGACCTTGTCGACCCTTCGGTATGCCGACCAGGCTAAGAAGATCAAGAACAAGGCCGTGGTCAACGAGGACCCGAACGCCAGGCTCATCCGTGAACTCAAGGAAGAGCTAGCGACGCTTCGAACCCGGATGACGGGCGCATCGAACGAAGCGACCTACGATCCCGATATCCCCGCCGAGGAACAGATTGTGTCGTATCGGACACAAGCTGGTGAGATCAAGACGATCACAAAAGCAGAACTGCAGGATCAGCTGGAGCAGAGCGAAAAGTTGATGGCATCGGTAACCGAGACGTGGGAGGAGAAGCTCGTACGGACACAAGAGGTGCAGAAGGAGCGCGAACAGGCTTTGGAGGCGCTCGGTATCACGATCGAAAAGAATCAAGTCGGGGTCCATACCCCCAAAAAGATGCCGCATCTCGTCAACCTCAACGAGGACCCGTTAATGAGCGAGTGCTTGATCTATCAGATCAAGCCGGGAAAGACGACGGTCGGAAACCTTGGATCCGAAGTCGCGGCCGACATCCGATTGAGTGGTTCCAACATTTTGGCCGAGCACTGCTTCTTCGAAAGCTCCCCCGATGGCAAAGTTGTATTGCACACCCTCCCGGGGAGTCTGACGATGGTCAACGGTCGGCGCATTTCGGTCGATCAACCGAGGGAACTCCGATCTGGGTTCCGCATCATTCTCGGCGACTTCCACGTCTTTCGCTTCAACCATCCCGAAGAGGTCCGGAAAGCGCGGGATGCCGTACACCAATTGCGATCCCCGCTCAGTAACGAATTTGACGATGCGGGGTCGAAGGACTCGCCGGCAGGGACCCGACCTGAATCACCCATGTCGACGGCCGAGGCGGACTGGTCTTACGCCCGGCGAGAAGCCGTTGTCGCTCGACTCAATGGTCAGCACGTCAATTTGGACAAACTCAAGGATGACGAACTCAATCGACTCTATGCTGACATCCTCAAAGTCCGACACTCGAGGACCGCATCGAGCGCCACGAGTGGGGACCGACCCGAGAGTAGGATGAGCTTCCTCGACTCGGTCCATGAAGGCGACGATGACGACGAAGATGAGGCAGGAGGGAGATCAGGCCGACATTCAGGTGGGACCTGGAGTACAGGTCCGACGAGCTATGGCGACGTCGGCGATTCGACGTTGACGCTCAGTCAGTCACCTGACTTCGACGATCGCGTCCAGGCTGTCAAAGACGAGTACGAGACCAAGCTGCAGACGATGGCCAATGCCAACGTCAAGGTCGAGGAAGCGACGGCCGAGAAGGCTCAGATGGAGGCTAGGCTCAAGTCGCTCGAGGCCAAGATGATCGCCCAGAAGAACAAGTACGATAAGAAGGTCAAGCGACTCAAGTCGACGAACCCGTCCAATGGGGTCCCCAGCGACGATGACGAGTTTGATTCCACCCCTTTGACCCCACGAGAAGTGCGGCTGGCTAGGAACGCGGTCCAGCGATGGCGAAGGTGTCAACGCGTGCGAATGGCGGAAGACACGTTCTCGCAGGCTGTCTTGGTCAAGGAAGCGAACGCGATCTCGCGTGAGCTCAAAAAGGGGACGACTTTCCAGTTCGTCGTCATTGGCCGCAAAATTCCATCTTCGGTCGATGGCGCGATAGAGGGTCTCGCCGAATTTGAGGTCTCATCGGACCCTACGCTGGCGACTTGTCAAAAGCCTTGCATCGGTGTCAAGGTCCTCGATCGACGTCACCGCATGACCTCGATCTGGACTTTGGCCAAACTGCAGCAACGGTTGCAGCTGATGCGTAACCTGTTCAAGTGGGTCGATAACCCCGAGTATAGCCAGCACTTTGCCTGGGAAGATCCGTTCTACGAGTCCGAGGCCGAGCGCTCGAATAGATTCTCTTACGTCGGATCGGCGACCGTTTCGCTCGCCCCCTTGTCGCGCAATCTACCGGCGACGAATGTCGTGCAAATCTATTCGCCTTACACCGCCGATCCGATGGGGACATGTCGCGTTCGCATCAAGCCCCTCTCGATTGAGACGCCGGAAAAGCCTGGAGTTCCTCTGGGCAGGGGTACCCACCCTTCCATCGCGGCATTCGTCGAAGGTTCAAAACTCACTTTCGAGGTCGTCGTTGATCGGGTCATTGGCATGAGCAAAAGCGATTTTGTCGCCGTTCATCTGCAGTTGTCGGCATCGTCGTTTCTCGTCAAGTCGCCCGGTGAGGATGATGAGATTGTCGCTGGCGATGCGGTCAACCTGGTCTCGTCTCAGGCGAGCGAGATCCGCCTTCGACACACCTTCTCCGTCGTTCTCAATGCCGAACGGCTGCGCGAGCTCAGCCAAGGCTACGCGCCAATCTCTTTCTTTGCCAAAATTACGCTCGCGCACCTCGACAAGATCGAAAGGTGGGACGAAGCACGCGACTCCTCCACAAGCTCTAAGATCGCCAACGCCCCTTCTCTTCGCGGCGACCCTCGGAACGGCGACGTGACGCGGCGTCACGAAGATGCCCTCATCGTCGAACAGACCCATGACGTGCTGGCTAAGATCGAAATCCACGAGTTAGGCGAGTCGGGTAACTACGAGCCCGTCGTCGTCGTCTCGTCGAACCCTCTCGACAGTGGTGCCTTCTTCCTTCGCCAAGGCCTGCAGCGTCGAATTGTGATCCAGCTTTCACACAACTCAGGCCGCGGCTGGCAGTGGAAGCGAGTCGCCAAAGTGTCCCTCGGCGACGTGCGCATGCTCGACGCGCGCGGACGTGTCCATGCCGCAACTTCTGCTGCGGACGTCGACCTGCGGGGTATGGGGAACCCACGAGCTGGATTTTCTTCCGACGGTGTCGCGACATTGAACTTCGCCGCCGCGTGGGATAGTTCAGTCCACGATTCGCCTCATCTCAACCGGTCCACACCGGCCGGATCCCGTGTCTTGGTGCGCTTGCACTTCCAGGTTTCGGCGTCCAATTGCTCCGAGCCCGTCCCGTTCTCGATGGATATTGGTGTCACCGTTCAGAATCGGGACGCGAGAGGCCCTTCGAAGCTCATGAATCTCTTGGGCGCCTCTCGCCTTTCCTCCAGCGTGACCAATGTCTTTTCTGTTCGCCTGACGCCTTGCCTGACCAAAAATCCGACCGAGATCTGGCGGCTCAACACAGCGGAAATGTACGTTCGCGGCGAAGAGCTACTGGCTAATTGGCGGCCAAGGGGTCTGTCGCTCGTAAGGGACTTTGAACGGGGCTTGAAGGCAACGATCAAAGCCGCGGACGTCGAGGCGGCCAAAGCTGTGCTGGCCGCGTTCGAGTTGACGTTGCCGAGCCCTGTCGAGGGTCGGACGAGCGAGAATCGTCTGACCCAGGCGTTGGAGTTGTGGCAAAAACGCTTCGGCGCAGTGGACGAGGTGAGCGACACGGGCGCGCCGCATTTGTCACGATGTTAAAACTGACTTGCGTTGCTTGTGCTAGATCTCGTTCGAACGAAAACCGGCGAGCACGCCGTCGGCGGTCATTGACTTGACCCCTCCGCCAATGCCGTCACCGAGTCTGAGCGTCACCCCTCCTCGATCTCCGCGACTACGGGGGGCCACGACTCTTGTACCCCGATCGTGAGTCAGATCCCGATGCGTCACCTTTTCAAACACTGACGACAGACGGGATGTGAGCACAGTGACATGTTTTCCAAGCGCGGCTGGGTCGCTCTCCTCCGTGACCCAACGAGCAACAAATGGAAAAAATACTGGCTCGTGCTTCGCCGGCCTTATTTATACCTGTACGAACACAGCAACGAGCTCGACGAGACGATGGTCATCAACGTCTCATCGGTGCGCGTCGAGCAATCACCCGAAATAGGCCAAATGCTCGAGGTGAGCATCTGACACTGATGTCGGCTTCTGAAGCCAGGGCCTAACTTTGGCTGCTCGTCCCTCTATTTTTTTCTTTCTTTACAGCGTCAATTCGCATTCGCAATCTTTACCCATCAAAACAGGTTGGTTCCAGGCGGAGGGGTCAATTCCACTCGGCGTAAAGACTGACACACCTGATACGTGGCTGCAGTTACTTCCTTTCGACTTCATCGATGCGCGAGATGATTGATTGGATCAAGATCATCGACCCTTCCCTCGCCGCTTCATGAGCATCCACGTTTGTAACACGGTCTACCTTCTGCTCGCATTCGTTTTTAGCAATCGCAACGTGTAGGAACCTTTAGGGTCAGATATACCCTCATTTCGGCCCCCTTCTGACCCGACCCAGTAGGTGCTTCTTGGGGCATTTTGTTCGTTCTTTCATGGTGGGGCATGGATTCGTAATCTTCGCAATGAATTCATACTGCAACAATGCCCAAGACTATGCATGCTCTCGAGATAGTTCGAGAGCACAGGCCTTTCATGCGCCGTTCTTCTCGGCTGCGACATCGGTGAAACCGCCAGTCGAGCCGAAACCACCTGCACCTCGAACGGTCTCGGAGAGGGACTGCGGAGATCATGAATTCAAGATGTTGGCCAAGCGGAAACGCCTCGTCCGCGATTGAATAAATCTGAGAGCTTACCTCGACTTCGATCACTTCGGGCGTGACGATTTGCTCCAAGATCAGTTGTGCGACGCGATCACCCTCGACGACTGTAAAAATCGAAGTAACAGGCACTTGACTCAATCAAAACCAGCGGCCAGGATCCGAACGGTTTTCCGCGCGTGGAAAACAAACCGACCTTCGTAGTCCTTGTCGCTCAAGTTGAACAGCAGGACATGGACCGTCCCTCGGTAGTCTCCATCGATCACGCCGGCTCCCGTGTCGATCATAAACTTGCTCGCTGATTTCCGGCCCCCACATCCAAGCGATTCGCTCCGTCAGCTCGTGCGCATACTCCAGAAAGGAGCGCAGGGCAGGCATAGACGTACCTAATCCTGATCGGGGTGCAATCCTGCCGTACGTTCCCTCCGGGACGGCGATGCTAAGTTCTGTGTTGATCAAGGCTTTGCCACGGGCCGGGACGGTTTTGGCCTCGGCTCTGTGCGCCCGGGGTACGATGAACATCAAATGAGCACGCGTTCCTACCGTATGACCGCATAGTCGGTAGGTCCTCAGACTCACGAGTACAAATCATATCCCGCTGCTGCTGCCGACCCCCTCGTGGGCAACTTGGCCTTGGGCGAGTTCCTCTGCACGAGGAACGACGTCGACGCGAGCACGCGTTTGGTCGAAGTGGCTGCGGCGGAGCTGGACATGGAAGTGGTGGAGGATGCAGTGGTGTCGAGAAGGGGTTGCTTGCTTTCGTGCGGGTTCGTGGGATTCGGTGATGCGGCGCGTTTCATTATCTGAGTGGAGAGAAAGATGGCAAGGGCGTAGAAGCGCCGCCGACTCCACAGGCACGATGTGTCGGCCGGACGCGCCGCGACGCGTCGGGGCGCGATAGAGACAAGGCCTGCGGGCAAGGCTTCAGTGCAAAAGAGGACGCCTTCCACATATATTGGTGATTTACAACACGGATTGTTGAAAGAAGAAGAACGAAGAAAACTGAACATAGTCCAACGAGCCGAAAATCACAAAGACGAATTTCGTAAGAGATCAAGTCTCGCCAAACAATCCATAGCCGGTCCATTCGAACGTTTTGCCCGGCGCCCCACTTCCGTTCCCGAAGGGATTGACCGTAATAACGGGGGAAGACATCCCACCCCCCGGACTGACGACGACGTCTCCGAACCTCATCTCGTCCTCTTCATCCCCAATCCGCTCGGTTCCATAAAGCGTTTTGCTCGCCAACGGCGTCGGAGGGACAGCGATCGACGAAACGCGCCGATTCGAAGCATCAGCAAAGACGCGAGCTGCCGAGGTCATGATGGGAGTGCGTCGAGGCGTTCCATGCAGAGACCGTGCGATGTGCGATCGAGCAGGTGATTTGACACAGAAGGGCGAGGTCATCTTCGTCGCTGGCGATCGGCCAAGGGGAATTTGTCGAGTTGTCGACGGCGAAACGAAGAGAGACGGAGCACCATCGAGCCTAAAGGGGTTGCGCGATGACGACGGTGTCGCAGGCTGTACGAACGAGTCATCACCTAATTTGGTCGAGACGAAGAATTCTCGTGGGGTATCCAACAGTGTGGGTGGAGTCGTCTCTTCGGCCTGGTGGTAGACTTCACTGAGCAGTTCCTCATCACCGAACGTTCCAGGGTCAGAAGTAAGGACCGCTTGCACCACCTCCTCCTCCTCCTCCTCCTCCTCGGATGCATACTCTGCGGCGGCTTCCGGCGCTTGTTCCACTTGACTTTCGGCACCGGGGCTGATCCGCATTCTCTTTCTTACGCGTCCACCACTCAAGCCCTTGATTTCCCTTGCTTCACTATTTCCCATAGCCCTGGAAGGGGTCGCCCGTCCCGGAACTTCCATGCCATCGACAGACACGTCGCCAATATCACTCTCCCGCCTTGGCCGCTTGCCGATCGACCTAACGATCGATCGTGCAGGACTCATAGCGACAACCGTCGCTGTCGCCGGTGTCGATGCCGAAGCGAGGGACCTCCGGGGGGAGGCCTGAGGTGAGGATGCTCCTCGACGAGGCGAGATGGTTTTGTTCTTGGACGGCGAGACGTGGGAGAGCATGTGGAGCGGCAAAGCAAGCGCGGGCTCGATCCCTTCGGAGGTCACGGTGGTCGGGGCGATATTTAAGGGGCTTGGCTTATGCGAGTTTCGAGTTCGGGGAGTCCTTCGAGGAGATGCACTGGGACTCGAAAAGGACGCCAGAGTTGTCGTAGGGGGAGCACCGTCTGACATGGCCGGACTGGCCGGGTTTGGAGCAGGGGTGGATGCGAGGCCGAGGATCGCGGGGCTTACGGGGGCCGAAGCGGGAGCTCTTTCTGATGCCGCAGAGGGTGTATCCGGTTTCATCGATGGTGCTGGTGATGAAGGGGGAAAAGAGTTCGATAGGGTAGGCGAAGCGAATGCGGGACTCTGAGCCGGGGCCGAAGGCGCACGCGCGGGAGAGATTGACGACGTCGGCGCAGTCGTCCCCCCGACGTGACCCGTCAAATTCGACCGCAGTGTCTCGAAAGAACCCTCCAGCTCTCTTCTCCATACCTGATTCGATCGAACTTCCTCGTCCAATGTATCTCGTAGTTGGATGATGGACTCCCGCTCCTCCCGAGTGGTGGCCAGCTCGACCGCCTTGCTCAACTCGGCCAGGTGAGCGCTCACAGAGGCGAATCGTTGTTCGATCAAAGAATCGACTTGAGCACGATGCTGTACAATACGCTCATTCACGAGGGCAAGCACTTCCGCCCGTTTCAGAGGAGGTGTCGAAGGTGCTGAGACGATGTTGGTGGTGGATTCGAGGCGAGTTAACGAAGATCGAGTCGTCGCGAGTTCGGCTTTAAGAGTGTCGACTGTGGCGAGCAAAACGTTGATGATTTTCTTCGTTGCTGGTGAAGTGGAAAATGAAGCTGTCGGCATAGGAGAAAGCGTCAGTGTGCAGTCCTCAGTGCTCGGGCAAGGTCGAGCGCAGTTTCTGACCCACCCTGAGCCTGAATGGCGGCTCTAGGCCTTGTAGCTGGAGCGGGAGTGAACGATGACTCGAGTGCGCGTTTCAACAAGGAGTTGTGCGCCGACACTTTTTTCGCTCGGATCGCGACCGGGGTTTGGAGTCGCATCTCGTCGTCATCGTCGTTGTCGGCGCCTCCGGAAGGCCGCTGAGGCGTGGGCAGGAACGTGGAAGCAACCGGTATGGGTTTCTTCTTGATTGTGTTTGGCGCTTTGGTTTTTTTGGATCCTGGAGCGTGCAGCGGTTTCCTGACCGCTGTTCTTGCCGTCAAAGGTGCTGTTTGCGCACTGGAAGATGCTCTGAGGCGAGCCACCAAAGACGTCGTCCAGTCAGCTCGGCACAAGGCTTTCAAAGAACGAAGACATGCCGGCAGCTTACAGACTGAAATGATCGAGTAGCATCTGCACCAATGTCTCCGTTTTGCCATTCGCTTTGAGCTTGTTCGTCTAAAGTCGTCCGATTTGCGCGATGAGGTCACTGCCGGTCAGTCAACTCGGCCGAGATGGGCATAGGAAGATGCCAGGTGACCCACCTTGCACAGAGCCTGCAGCTCGGACCGCTTCATGCACTGAATATCCTGTGCTGAGTACATAGTTCGTACAGGAGCAAATGTCGGAGAGGGAAGGCAGGTGGTCCGCCGGAGCTTGTGAGTGGACGCGGAAGATGTTGAGTGAAGCAGAGTGAAGCGCGCGAGCGAAAGTCGATGCAGGTGTGATATGAATGTGCGATGTTTGCTGGGTGTAGGAGCTGTGGAAAATCCTGTCTTTCAGGGGTATGTGTAACAGGCGACACACGGTGGTGCTGGTGTACTGTTGTTAAACCGAGACCGACTTGGCACGTGATGAGGCTCAGTACAAGCTTCCGATTCCTCAAATGGCCAAAATTTGTTACAAGTCTGACTTAGTGTGGAAAATAATCGAATATATCCGGCGTTCCTTGGAAGTTGGTGCAGCTCGAACCCCTATCCTGATTTAGCAACCCAACATGAATCAAAGATTTCACGGGCTCGATACCAGCAGGCTTTCGCTCCCCACTTCTTATTCTACCACTGCAACTTGGCTGCATTCAAATTTCTTCGGGGTGCGGGCACTGCACTGACCGTGCGCCGAACAAGAAGTCACGTGAATCGGCCGCGCGGGATGACACGCGCTGTCGCTTCGCACTTCCTTCGCAGCCGCGGCGATCGCCAGCCCGGCTCCGACTGGCTCCGACTGGCTCCGACTGGCTCGCCTGCTCGTTTGCTCTACGTCCATCACCACCGTCGCCGGCCCACCATGCGTCAACTCAAGCATCATGAGGCCAAACTCCTCAAGAAGGTACGTCACTAACCAAAATCATGCGCTGTAGCACCGCTGTCAAAGTCGAGGCTGAGTCGCCTCCTGTTGCTTGCCTCGCCTGCTCCGCTCCAACACGACCGCCACCTTCCCTCGATCGCCTTCTCTCCGAACCTACCCCTACCGATGGGCGGCATGCATCACCATAGGTCGACTTTTTGTCGTGGAAGTCGGATGCGGGCATGCGAGAAGTCAAAGTGATGAGGCGCTACCACGTGCAGAACCGGTCAGTGTCGCTGCTCCCCAGTCGTGCAGTGCATGCCCTCTTCTCGTCGTCGTGCGCCCAATCTGACCCCCAGTCTAAACGCTCTCTCTGCAGTGATGACTATCATTCCTACAACAAGATCTGCGGCCAAGTCCGTCGTCTCTCCCATCTGCTCTCCCGCCTGCCGCCCGCGGATCCGTTCCGAGCCAAGTACGAGCACATGCTTCTCTCCAAGCTGTACGACATGGGCATACTCGACCGAGGCGCCAAGATGTCCGACATCGAAGGATCGGACGCACCCGTCGTCAAGGGCTTCGATGGCAAGATCAAGGAGGTCGAGGGCCAGGGCAAGAAGGAGGGCAAAGTCACCGTCGGAGCTTTGTGTCGCAGGCGATTGGCCGTCGTCTTGGTCAGGCTCAAGATGGCCGAGACCGTCAAGCTGGTCAGTGGGTTCCTCTTTTCGTATCCGCTGATCTGTCTGCTGACTCTCCTCGTGTGCGACGCTGTCCAGGCCGTGACCTACATCGAGCAAGGCCACGTCCGAGTAGGGCCCGACCCGATCACGGATCCGGCGTTCCTCGTCACTCGCAACATGGAGGACTTTGTCACTTGGGTCGATACGTCCAAGCTCAAGCGACATGTCCAAAAATACAACGTCAGTCTCGCCCGCAGTTCCGGTGGCCTGCTCTTTCATCCTTCCATTTTCATCTTGTCTGACCTTGCGCGATCCACTCTTTGACAGGACGAGCTGGACGATTTCGATCTCATGGCCTGATGCTCCTACCCATCGCACCCTTCTATCTTGTATTTCTTCGTTTGTACCGAATGTAACCCGCATCGCAGCTCAATCCCGATTTTGCGCCAAAGCCCTCGCTCGGCTATGCTTTCTCCGAGTCTCGATCCCTTGCCGGTCCTCCGCCCGGAGCTGACGGCGGATATAGTGACCTTGAAAGCTGGGTTCTGCCTTTATGAGGGCGATGCGAGTTCTTCCGTTGCCGCTAGAGCCTCAAACTAGACGCCTGAAGACTCGTAGTCAGTCACCTGGGCGCTTGCGGCGTTTGAATGGCCCCGAGCGGCTGAGAAAAATCGTCGATTACCCCCCTACGATTAGATAGATGGCTATGCCTGGTGAGGACTGCGACAGGTAATACTACTAACTCAGTCTCGATCTCCCACCGATGCCGATGACTCGACGGGCGAACATCCCGCCGAATTGGAGCCGACAGCGGTGCGAGAACCGAGACCAATGTGCGGTGCAAATCCGTACACCGATCGGACTTGGTGAAGAACGAGTTGGATCGTTGTAAGGCTGAAGAGGGAATGAATACAGGGAAAAAGAAAGTTTAAAGAGTAGGTCGATGTGACAAATATCGTACCCACCCCTCGCCGAAGTCGACCGAGACGTGGTGCAGTGACTCGGATGGTTTAAGTGAAGAAGTTATGCGCATAAGTCACGCCGCATCATACACTGCAGAAGCTAAAGCGCGGGGCAATCTCCGCTAGATGCTAAGATAGTGCGTTATCCTTAGAGGCTATAGCAATAGAAGCGATGGTCCGCGTTGGACAGGCTTAGTCCAAGCCTCCGAAATGCGAAATGCTCAAAAACCGTGAACTGCGACTCGTCAATGATCGCTTCTAATGCTCCAGCCCTCAAAAATGGCGCATAATTGTAGCAGGCAGCGAATATTGCTAGACTCGAGCCACCGAGGGAAGACAGAGAGATGAGATACATAATTTTCAGCTAGTCTCGTGGCCTATTTTCGGCGCCGAGACTGAAGACCCCTATTGCAGATGCCCGGCTTTCTCCGTTTTGTCCTCCTCCGCTGCTGCCGCATCGCTTAGGTCACTCAGCTTGTGCTGCACGCGAGCCGCCGGTGAATTTCAAAAAGAAAAAGATTCATTTGAATCATTACCCCACAGAAGCAAGCTTCGGTAGGTCCTGCTACTTGATTCATTTGAACCACGGCCTTGTGCACGCTTTTCAGATCAGAAGCGACGGGTTCGAGACTCTGAGCGAGGTCACTGAGTTTCGCACAGATCACGAACCACACACCCACACTCCAGTTTTTGGCATTCGGCGTGACCAATCCAAAGTCTTTGCATTCTGCGATCGACTTACAAGGCAGAAGGCGACGTACGGCTCTTGCTCCTTTCGACTTGTTTTCGAAACCTATTCGCTCCAACCGGACCTCTAGGAAATCAGCTGGTACTCTCATAAATGGATAATTTTTTCGTGTGCAGGGCCATCAGCGTAAAAAGAACCAACAATGACGATCGGGCGCGAGTCGTAACCGGGCCTGGCGTGGCTGATAACATTGGCTATCACAGACTATCTTGCCTGGAGGATCCCAAGGCGCACGGAAGGTCCTCCCCGGCCACTGGACCCACCATCAGACCAGAGCGAGAGGCGAACCTCTAGGCCCCTTTGCTCGGCGAATGCGCCTCCCCTCCGCCGACCAACTGTGCGCCAAGAAGAACGGGTAGGTAATCGGGGCGCGCTGGCAAGCGCAGCATTTTTGTCTCCACTATTTTTAATGTGCTTCGACCATATTAAAGGATCAAACCAAACGATCAGGGTACGCATAAAACCCGCACGAGGAAACGTGAAGTCGCGCATGTGGGCCTCAGCTTAGCTCGGTTCCTACCTCCTCTGATTGACGAAGAGGCCGTGCCCCGTTCGCTCGAGGCAGTACGGGGCCCGGGTGTCAGCGCCGATCGGTTTGAACAATGCTCCCCCGGATAGGAGGACCCGGCTAAGCGCGCCGATCATTAATTATCAATGGCCAGTAGCCACCAGCCCGGTTGCTAACCTAATCTGCCGAGTCGGCGCTCTCAGCACATAGCTTGGGCGTCATCAGCCTTGCCGAGTTCCCGCGCCAGAGCGCACTACATACTAGCGCAGACAAGCGCAAGCTAGCGCACTCAGGCTGCCCAGCTGGCCTCCGTTAGCAAGTTGCCACCGCCCGGCCCTCTCCTTTGCGTCTCTCTGTACTGCCTTATTCTAACTTGGACCGAGTTTCCTCGCATCTCTAAGACAGGCTATCACACAATCGCCGTCATGTCACTGCTTTCTGATCTTGTACACCTCCGCACCATCGAGGTCAGCCCACACCCACAACGCTCAACGCCTCGAATCTCCACAACGTGTTAAGCCCGCGTCCACCACTAGCGACAGCCGATCCTCCCGCCGCACCGATCGAACACAGTGTGTATTTTCCGGTCCGCTCCTACGCAATAGTTGAGTGTCAGTACTCGAAGATGTGGTTGTCAAATGCAGTCTTGGGCAGCTCGTGCGCAGCAGCATCAACTTCAGCATGGATCTCCTGAAGGAGCTTTGTCGGGCGCACCACGTGGAAGGATACTCCAGGAGGAACCCGCTTGGAAAAGAGCGATTCCTACGAGTACTCGTCTGGTCGTGCGATCCAAACTGTGATGCTTGTTCAAATGAGTATGTCTTCAGAAGACAACAAGCCGCGACCCCCGTGACTCCGCCACGTCGACATTGCTTCCCCGACCACAGAGCATACGCATCAAAACCTGTTGACGTGCTTCGAGCCTGACTGAACGAAGAAGTCCAGAAGAATCGCGAGAACGTCTCAGCGACTGACTCTAAACAAACGCTGCACAGACTTCCACCGCTGCATCCCGAACCCGAACAAGAAGAACCCGGTAAAGTGACATCGCATTTTGCGCCAGCATCCGATCAGTTCAAGACCGAGCACCGTTCTGAATGGAATGTTTACTTCACCGACGCTTGTTCCCTTCTCTTCTGCTGCCTGGTGTGCTCCGAGAGAGTCTTCGGGCATAAAGTACGATGGGTGCCTGAAGACGACATCAAGCGTGAGGAATCAGGGATTTGGAAGGTAACCAATTCTACACTACGGACGGACCTCCGACCCCCGACTTACGAGTTTTCAGCTTGACGGGGCGCACTCATCCATCCCCGACGTCTTCATCGACCGAGCGATTTATTCGATCAGATCGCGTACTCGCCCATGAACAACACGCTTCAGTGCTCACTCTGTCCAGACTGCTTCAAACGGTCGTTCCCTACCACAGGGCCACCGACTAAGCCCCCTCGGTCGTTGAGCAACAGATTTTATCGCGCACTGGATCATGTCCCCGCTGATGTCCGAGTATACCTCTCCAACGCGAGTCAGCTTGAGCACCTCTTCACTGCGCGCGCCAGAGCCTACAAGAACGTGTACAAGCTAACTCGTTTCGGAGATCCCAAAGTTCAACAAGAATATACGCGCGGAAACACCCTCATCTTCAGCCAGAACACCGCTTCGTTCACCGATGTACTCTCTATGTTAGTCGAGGAACTCGCTGACAGTGTGTGCGTTCTATTCTGCAGAGGGAACCCCAACCTTGCGGAGCTGGACAAGTGTCGACCCATGATCGTGAAGCAGAGTCGGATCCAAAAGATGCTCAGGTGGTTGATCAACGAAAGCAAGAATCCGGCGTACTCTGCCGTCTCCTTTCTTCATGGCGAAAGACTTGCACAGCTCGTTCGACGCAATTCTTATCGCAGAAACGATGCGAGCGCGGAAGTAAAGCCTTCCGATAGGTGAGGGTGCACGACGCCGAGAAGTCAGGACCACAATGTAGAGCGAGTGATAATAAGTATTTCAGTAACTAACCTTCCGATAGGTGAGGGTGCACGACGCCGAGAAGTCAGGACCACAATGTAGAGCGAGTGATGAGAAAGCTACCAAGAGTAAACAGCCGCGCGGGAAGAAAGCCCCGCGCGCTCCCTAACTTAAACAGATCAAACTCCAATACCAAAGTGACTAAACGCACGCGCATCCGCGCAGATACCACAGGCACAGACACATATCAATTAACAATTCTGGTGTGCTCAACTCTACCTCTCCAGCACCCACGGCGGTTTCAGCTTCCACTTCGGCTTCGGCTTCCGTCTCGCTTGCTCCCCAAGTGTCGGATGGACAAACCTCGGATGGAGACAGTCTCGTGCCCGACGCAGTTTTGGCGAATGTGTTTACCGCAGAGACAGTGGAACCAACATCATCGCTCTTTGAAGGCTACGCAACAGCGCATAACGACTCTGATGAACCAGTATTCGAACACGTCCATGTGCCGCCACCCGCTCCCGACGAACCAGTTCACTCGTGGCAGTTCTCTGAGAAAGCTCTCCGTTATTTCAACCACTGCAAGACCAGCCCCCCTTGTCATTCCGACAGACGACGACCCTTTGTGGGGATCTTCGGATGACTTCCTGCTCTCAAAGCTGCAAGGTGGCCACACCTCGATCCATTCGGTCTCGTCGGTGTCTGTGTCGAGCGCGACGTCAAGAATTCTCTGGAGGAGCAAGTCAAACATTGGCTCAATCTATACGACAGCGATTTTCGGTGCGACCCGTCTTTCCCGTTCATCATCTCGAACATTCTCCGCCGACGAGACGTGTTTCGCCACCTCGCTTTTCGGGTCCCCAAAGAGAAGGTGGCTCGAATCGCAGCAGCACTGCTCGAAATTTACCGCATATCGACCGTATTCTGGCGTTTCGTCCAAGCACACGCGTACTTCAACCAGGCGAGACAAGCCCCACACGCTCGCTTTCAGTTCGTGCCGCATCGGATCCGGGTACATGCCAGGAAGAAGCCCCTCTTCATGCAAGTCACGCATACAATCAACTGAATTTCTGTATGGGTAAGCTAACATGTCTACCGCATCGTCATCATCACAGCCTTGTCAGTAGAAGTCAATGTGGCCGTGCACCAGTCCGCCCGCCGCGGCTGTCAAAGCAGCGGCGCACCCGGGTCAAGCCGGCGGCGGTTCTCCCTTGTCCCCCTCTTCTCACCGACCGTCCACCGTCGCCCAAGAAAAAGCTATCACCGGTCAAGCGGTCTATTACCGTGACATTCGCCTTGCAGTGCCCCTTCCAAAAAAAACGTAAGTCGCTCCCTGGAGTCCCGATCTCTCAACGTCAACTGAAACCACTTCTTATAGCCAAGTTCGGTGAAAGCGCGATGTGGGTCCCCGGCGCTGACGACCACATACATACACAAAGTCGGAGTCGGACCAGACACGGACTGTGGCATGGGCGATGTCGAGTGATCTCAACTTATGCATGTACACCCCGGCTCTGGCTCGATCTCTTCTTGTCTGCAATGTTCATTAATGTTTGGCACATACTTACACGACTCATTGATGTGGATTGAACCGACTCGCCAACTTGGTGCTGCATGCCCGATCCATGGCACGTTCTTAGTTATACTAGCTGACGTTGTCAGTCGGTGTTACTCCGTCAGAGGTTCAGGGACCCGTCGCCCCCTCCGGGGGCGCGTTAATGAAGAATAAGGACAATATCTCAAGTCGGTTGCTTAGGCAAATAATCTAAATCTGAAGCACGGGTAAGTAGTCGGCGCTGGTAGGTGCACTGGCCCCCATAGGTACCTGGGAGTCTCAGTAGTGTCTCAGTGTCAGTCGACGGCTACATATAGGGCGACCAATGACCGGGACATCTTCGGAGCTTCGGCGTTTTGGGAACAAGCGGACCTCGCGTACCGCTTGTCCCACCCTGTCCAACCCACGTGGGCTTAGGGGCCAGTTCCTAGCGCGTCACTGACTCGCTGTCTCGCGGCAGTGTCTCCTGACACAAAACAACTCGCACGCTTGCTGAAGTAACAGGGTCAGCTGGGCACCCCGTTAATAACGACCCTTGTGTCATAACACGCGCCGCGCGACTCACGGCTATGTATTAGTACGAGTCACGAGCGCTCAGTGGCGTGGCAGCGGCTACCTCAGGGGTCCCACCCTGTCCCACCTTGTCCCAGGTGCAAAACCAAGCGGGCCGAGCCGCCAGCTCCTCTCCTCACCTTCCTCCCATACTCCCTCGCAAGATGCTTACTCTTCCGCTGCTCGTGGCCAGTCTAGGCTTCTCTCACTCCGTCGTTGGGTCTCGCCACAAAAAACAGGATGCTCAACAGGTACAGGCATCGAAGGAACCTCGTAAGTGACGGGTGACACTATCAGTCCAGCAGCGCATTCGCTGCGGCCGGAATTCTTCGACCGCTCACGCACATAGTATACACTTCATAGGCATCGACGCCGACAAGATGTACCTCATCAGGGTGAACCCTCAGAGTAAGTCTCTAGACACCGCATCGAGTCCGCGCGGAGCCCACCGCTGTCCAAGCCAGAAGCCAAGTTCCATCTCGGGATCTTCCTCACGCTTACCATTTCAATGAGGAACTTACAGTCATGGAGCTCCAGTCGGCTTGTATTTACTTGAGCGGCCGATGCGAGACGCATGTCGGACCCAACTTGAAGCCTGATTTCAGGTAGGTGTCGCAGCTCCGCAATTTGTATACGTTCTCGATATCACTCAAGGTACTAATGACTTACTCTGATTTTATAAAGCTGCTCTTCCGCTGGACAACCCGTCGTTCCCACCTCACCGTATCTCTGGGCATCGTGCCTTGAGGCTGCTACCAACGAGAAAGCCGGGCGCGCTCTTGATGTCTCGTTCAACGCCTTTGCCGGTTCGAAGCACACGACCGTCTTTCTGCGCGGCGACGAGGCAATCCGCGAGGTTGAAATTGATCAACATCTCCTTAGCATCGAGTCCGAAAAATGGAAGCCGGCCGTGAACCATCATCCTCGAGGTAGATCCCCCACCACCAAGCGGCACCATCGTCAGACCAATCACGAAACCACCGGACCCAAAACCCATTCTGGCCACAATGGTGATCGCCCCAAGCGTCACAAACAGGAGGCGTAGATGATACACCACTCCATGAGCCACATCGAGCTATTCCTCTTTATTCTCCTCTCATTCCCGGCAGCCGGCGCCGGTGCCAGCGCCGCGCGCGGGCGTGAATGTCTCTTCAGTCGATTCTTTCAACTTGATACTAGTCTCTCACGCTTCGAAGCCTCTTTTCTCAGCGATTGCTACCAGCGATTGCTACCATTTTCTTTTCGCAATCACGTCTTCAGCGACATAACTCCTAAACTTAATGACATCGGGTCCCCATTATAAAGCGTTTTCGTGGTCCTCTCCGAACCCGAATGCTCGACGTCGTGCTTTTGGTCGGCTGAGAATACTCAGTACGAGCGGAAGCCCGCAGCCCGACCATTTTTTTATTATATTTTTCTTCAACTCAATCATAGTATTTTGCAGCTCGTAGTAGGACTTTATTTATCGGGTGGCCTTGGCGGCTATTTGCCGGCCGCTCAGTAAACCCTTCGCCGATCGCCGAGCGCCGATCGATCGGTCTTCACCAAGCCGGTCTTGAGGCTGCCGGTCTTTCCCAGAACCTGCCTGTAGGTAGAAAGGTACTTTTTAACCTGCGCTCAAGAAAGAGGTAAGCCTAAGAGGTGCACGAGAGAGTGGCTCAGTTGTGAACTATCTAGTTGTTCGGCACACGGCTGCCTGGCACTGTAGACCATACTGCAGCGCAGTGCAGTGGTCAGAGATGCAGAGCTTTACTTGCTACTTCAGCCGGTGGGTCACCTATTTCTCCCGAGGTTAATCTTGCGAATTTTACGAGTCTTTCTACGAGATACCTACCTACATGACGCCGCAATGACGTAGTGCACACTAAGCGCTGTGCCTCGAACTATACGAACCGACTCGGAGGAGCGCGCGTCAGGACGATCGCTGCGATCGCAGCAGATCGCAGCTTCCTCGGGGTGCCCACAGCAGCCCATATATCTCGGAGTTTGCTCTCCCTCTCCTGGCCCCGGACGTCACAACTTCCAGCGACTCGGCTCCAAAGCAGTGTCTGGCTCAAATACGTAGACGCACCAACTCCCCTTTCCCTCCTAGACAAGACGAGCTTGCTTCTGCCTTTTCGACGACATAATCGAAAACGGGCTTGCTAGACACAGAGTGCTAGCGACAGGTTGACTTCGACACGACCGAGGGCGCGATTCGCCGAGCTTTCACTCCGCGCCGATTGTCGCAACCCTCGGTCAACAATGGCACCCTTGCGCACCTTGTTCCGAGACACTTGCGCTGGACAAATCATGTACTACCTATCAGGCCACAGGTTTCTGCGACACCCCGAGGATGAGCCTGATTTCAAGGTGCCCGAGAAATTTCTACAAGACAAAGACCAACAGCGAGGATCGGACAAGGTGAAGCGCGACCAGCGGTCCACCTCCAATCGTAGTCAGCACCCGTCGACCGCCCACTCCGACAGCGAGGAAACGATCATCGAAGACAGAGGCTCGTCGCGCAACCGAGTTGATGGAAGCGAGGAGGAAGGTGAAGATCGCAATCTAGTCGACTGGTAGGCTGACCGCTGCAGGAAGTAAACGCCTAGTGATGTTGACCTTGCTCTTTCAAATCCGTACGATCAATGACGTCGATCTGCAGGTACTCTGAAGACGATGCCGAAAATCCTCTCAATTGGTCTGTACCTCGCAAGACCTTTGTGACCTTCTGTATCTGTCTCATCACAACCAGCGTCTAGTGAGTACCTTGTTTGATCTTCGTTGGCTTCGTGGGTGAGTTATCGAGGCGCCGGTGCTCGTCTAATGTATTCGGTTGGCACCTTCCAGCTCGGGATCGAGTATTTTTACGCCCGGAGTGCAAGAGGCGATGCAGACCTGGAGAGTGGGACAAGTTCCTGCTACCCTCGGTCTGTCCTTGTTCGTCATCGGTTACGCGGTACGTTTGCGGACGAGTGGTGACGCTAGCATGGATGCACACGCACAGCTGGCAGACCTGCTGCTCTCGGGAAACTGACTCGACTCTGTGTTGTTTATGATGGCACAGCTTGGTCCCATGTTCCTGAGCCCTATGACTGAGATCCCCGCGATCGGACGCACGTTCCCATACATCATCGCCCTTACGATCTTCGTCCTTCTTCAAGTGCCAAGCGCTCTCACCAATTCTTTTTCCGGCTTCTTGGTGCTGCGCTTCCTCGCGGGATTCTTCGGATCGCCCCCACTCGCTACCGGCGGCGCGAGCATCTCCGACATGTTCGCTCCGGACACCCGAACGTTCGCGATGGGTGTCTACGGTCTCTCCGCCGCCGGTGGCCCAGCTCTCGGACCTGTCATTTCGGGTTTTGCGATCGCCGCCCGGGGATGGCATTGGTCGATGTGGATTTTGCTGTGGCTCTCAGGATTTGCACTCGTCTTTCTGACTTTCACCTTGACTGAAACTTCGGCGACCAACATCCTCGTTCGCCGGGCGCGCCGACTCCGCAAACTTATTGGGAAGAAAGAACTCAAAAGTCAAGGCGAGATCGAACAAGCCAATATGAAACCCATGGATATTGTGCAAATGACCATCATCCGGCCCTGGAAAATGACTTTGACGGAGCCAATCGTCATTGCGCTGAACGCTTATATTGCATTTGTGTAAGTTTTTTTTTCCTTTTTTTTTCGTTTGCCTTACTTCGTTCCTCGATCTGCTTGCACCGGCGTGAACGTGATCGAAGACTGATAGTATAGTAAACACACGCTCGTGCTTTACATTTCACGTATCACAGGTACGCTGTCCTGTACTGCTGGTTTGAGTCGTTTCCCATTGTGTTCCTCGAGGGATACGGTAAGCGTGGTCTCAAACACCTCTCAAAGCGTTCTGCAGCATGAAGTACCGTGGCTGATCCCGTTCGCGAATTGGCCTATGCAGGCTGGGGTCTTGGAGTGGCCCAGTTGCCATTTCTCTCGCTGCTCGTGGGCTCCATCCTCGGTTTCGCGGGCATCGCGTTCTGGAATCAAAACTACTACAGGCCACTGTACAGCAAACTTAATGGGAAAGTACTTCCTGAGGAACGACTGGTTAGTCATCCGCCCTTTGGGCCGGGCTGCGAATCCAAGTGCCTCGTAAAGTCCGAACATGCTAACGATGTCGTTCGTTACTCGGTTTCCCTGCAGTACCCCGCTTTCATTGGATCGTTCTGTTACCCGATCTGCCTTTTCTGGTTCGGATGGTCGGCCAACAGGACTTCATGGGTGGCACCCGTCATCGCGGCCGCCTTCTTCGGTATCGGGACGACTTGCATGTTCATGAGCGCGCTGAACTATCTCTCAGACGCCTACCCGCGTCACGTCGCCTCGGCATTGGCCTCCAACGATATCGTTCGATCGTTGTTGGGCGCGGCGGCACCCCTCTTCGCTGGAATCATGTTCCGCAACATTGGAATCGACTGGGTGCGTAGTGTCTTGGAAACATAGTTCTTTGCTCATCGTCGCGCTGGCATCTGACCATCAGGCGCGCGCTTCCCACCTTCCGTCTATCAAGGGGTGCTTACTGCTCGGATTCGTCTCGCTCCTGATGATTCCCATCCCTTTCGTCCTGTACAAGTTCGGCCCCCAGCTCCGTAACCGCTCCAAAATGGCGGACTGAAGAAGACCGTGATCTCGCGCACCAGCCGTATCGAAGGGTGCGCTTCAATGACTTTTAGCGGCTCGCAATAGGAACTTGTTCTGTCTGTCGAATCATCAGAGTCCGAATTTACGAATCGATCCGCGATGTCCTATAAGTATCCACCCGCCCGAAGGTATGGAGAAGGAACCATGATGCAATTAGAGCCACCGTTCATGGCGTTTCACATGTACGTCAGTGACGACTCGCTGCCAATCCGCCGTCATGCTCAGCTGGCGTCGACAAGATCTTGATTATGCTACGTAACTCTTCGGAGCAAGCTGAGAATCCGGAGTGTTCTAAAGTGCGAAGTCAGTACGACCGACCCGGGGGTCCCACGCTTACCAATGACGCTAGCCCGCGCCGCCGCCGCTCGGCATCGCAGCTCCCTCGGCGCTGCGATGCTCCGAAAAAGGAGACCCCTCGGTCACCCGAGGTCACCAAGTCGACCTGATTTGTAGCAGCACCAATGAAAAAAGCAGTGTTCTTGATGGTTGTAACATGAGGCTCGTATTTTCACGCATCTGCTCGTACTACTCTCAGTCCGAACGACCCATTACTCGTGTTGCCCTTCCATGGTTCGGAGTCATTTTGAGGGGTCAGAAGATCGAGCTGATGAGCCAGGGGCGCGCTCACGCGCAACCTGTTCACGTCTGACGCCTCGGGTACTACCCTCGCACTCCCTCATCCCTCATCTTTCGATCTCTCACCGACCATGACGATTGCACACGCACACAAACTGCTCGACCAGGAACTCCTCACCGTTCCGGAAGCCCTTTTGGGTCAGCATCAAGATGTGCGACAGGCGTTGGTTTCGCTGGTAGGCGCCGTCGATGGTGAGTCCGAAGCCACCGTCGCTGCTGGTGCAATGCTCCACCCACCGATGAACACCCTCTCTCTCCCCCTCCCCCCTCCCACCTCCCACCCCCCCCCCCCCCCCCCCCACACACACACACACACCCGGCTGTCTACTAGTCGTGATTCTCGACGGCTCGACGCTGTTCTCCTCCGAGTGGTTCTCGGCCGCTCGGAGCGGCACCTCGGAACGAAAACAAACGCAACGTTTCGTCGGCTCGGTTCGTGCAGAGGCGGATCGCATCGTCGCGGCGACGGCCGGACGAATCCACCTCGTGATCGTCTTCGACCACGCTTCGGCTCGTCCGGCCTTGAAGGCCCGTCGGACCCCCATGTCGAGAGACAACGGGAACGGCGTCCGGTGCTCGCCCCAAGTCTCTCCCGACAATTTCCAAAGGAGAAGCCCCGACCGGCACACCGACCCCATGACCGAATGGCTCACCAATTTCGGCGGTCAAGGCGAGCCGACCTTAGCGGGACACGTCTTCGACATGTCCTCGGAGGTCACCGTCATCATCTCGGCGCACGAAGCGGACCCCCTGATTGCGGCAAGCACCCGAGTCGGCGTCATCGGCGGCGTACGTGTTCAAGGCGAACGTGCCGCCCTCGCCAGCAGAGATTCGGACTACTTCATGATGATCCCAAGTGAGCGTGCGAGATACCGGATCATTCCATCGGTAAAGCATCGCGTGGTTAGAGTCATCGACCTCGAAATCCTGGAGGGTCAGGGAAAGTTCCCGGGTGCGGAAGGTTCGTTGCGGGGTTGATGATGGGATGCGACTACCTTCCAACCGGTATCGAAGGTTACGGTCCGGCCAAGCTCGAAAAGTTGGATCGATCAGTCTTTCAACTCGCGACTTGGACCCAAGGTTACGAACACGCCACGGCGGTCTTGCATCGAGTCGGCGCCAAATTTGACGTTCGCGCCGTATGCGATGCAATCACTCCCATCCGAACACTGTACGACTTCTATCGGTGCGACTTGGTCTCGAAGCCACCGAGCGCCCCGCGAGCCATCGAACATTCCCCCCGGGTCCTCTTCCCCGACACTTCGTTCGATGGGGGCTCGGACGAACACCTGCGTCGCCAGTCCGCGCCCGCGCTGCGGCCGTTCCGTGCAACCCCGCTCTTGCAAGGGCGCCAAGGCCACGGATCAGAGAAGGGTCCCCTCCAGCCTCTCGCAGTGATTCGCGATCAAAGGACACGACACGAGGCCGCGGCTGTTCGGCGACTCGAGGCCGTGCAGCCCGGGAGATGTGCGTCGACCCGCCAGATTGCGACCAAGGGCGCCGTCAGGGCGGATGGCTTTCACCTTTTGACCCCCGAGCGCCCGATCGTCGAGTCCGTATCGGAAGGCTCCAATAAGGCGAAGAAGAAGATCACGACCCCAGCCCCGCCCAGGGTCAAGGCAATGTCTGCGAAACAGGGGCGGCGGGCACACGCGATCGCCTCGGGCCAATCTGCTACTACGTCTAAGGGCGACTCGGACAGCTCAAAGGGCGCCGGGGCTCTGGCCCAGGTGTACAGGATGTTCACGATGTCGGGTGCACTGGAAGATCTCGTGAGGGAGGTGGACGGTGGAGGCCCTGGCCCTGTGGAAGATTCCAAGAAGCGGCGGCGAAAGGCCAAACAAACGAGGCGCCGGCACAAACAGGGTCGGAAGGCGACAAATCCGTCGACGAGCTCGGGAACGTCGCACTCGCCCGAGACGGCCAGCGACGCCATGTCGATCGGTTGAGCTCGACGCCCTGTCTTGCTCGTGGCTTACTCCTGGCGTACTCCCGGCTTACTCCTGGCGCTCATTCTCGCTTGCTTCCTCGTTCCGATCCTCCCCCCCTCATGACACTCTAATCGCACATCGAAGTTCTTTTCTGGTTGATAGCCTCGTCGCCTCATGATTCGATCCCTAGGCACATTTTCTTCGTCTTTTTCACGTACGCTTTGTACGAGTTATAGGGTGCTATTCAGAACACAGATCATCACATCATCATATTGTGTGGCTATTGCCTCGAGACTATAGCGCACCCCTCAGCAGGTGGGAGGAGCGAGTAGGCGGGGAGCGGGGCAAAGAGGAGTGAAAAAGGCGGGGGGGGGACGCGGAGTCTGTGGCCGGGGAAGAGGGTTAAAGGGGTTTGGCTCTGCGATCGCAGGGCACTACTTCTTTCGAGTCAAAGTGAGAACTATCTTACGAGCTTGAGCTCTTAAGACGATGGTTTACACTGCCTCGATACAAGAGCAGGGTGAAGAAGGAGAGAGAGAGAGAGAAAGAGACCAAAACCGGACTGCTAGCCATGAGAACCGTCGCCTTGATGCTTCCCCGTAAGCAAAGAATACGATGAACCCCCGCGAACCATGTACGGTACATATAAACACCCATCAACATACCATCAAACTCCCCCTCAACCGATACATGGCCTCGCAACGCTCACATCCGATCCCAAAACCCGGTCACCTGACCTTTCCAAGCGGCTTTTCCTCGGGGAATGTTCTGCTAGTCGGGTACTGCGGGACTTGTTAGAGATATATGGTTGTATCGTCCTTCATCTGATTATGGTTCCTATTGTGGTGCTTGGGATTGAGCCTAGCGACGCTTCATGAAATCTCTAGTCACTCATTTTCCCTGCTTTACTAGTATATAATCCCTCTTCCCTATTAGCATTACGCTTCACTTTCTAGCCTTCCGCGAGTCTGTCTCTTAGTCTCTGGCCACTCTGTTCTCGTCCCCGTTCATTGGACTGAGTCGTGGTCATCATCAGATTCCACTTGAGAACATTTCTGCGATAGGACTGTTCTGCTAGTTGGGCACTGCATACGATGTTGACGAATCATGTCTCGGTACCTATCGAATTTCTGGCCGTGCGCCATAGCCACAGGAACAGGTAGGTGATACCTGAGGCTCGCGGCCTGGCTACCGCTCCACGCACCCACGGGTCACGGCACCAAGTTTCGTCATCAATGCCATCGTCTTCCGCATTGAAGTCCCACTCCTTAAGCCTAAATGCACCGTTGTCTGTCGCGTCGATAGAGTGATGACTCAAATTGTCGCTTGAATGATCCCTCATGTCAAAGTCAACTCCTTCGTTCGTGTTGTCGTCAGTCTCATCAAGCGTGTCACCAGGGCCGGCACTGCCGGCAAACGAAGCCAAATCCCGCAGGTCACCCGCTGTCGTTCGCTGAAAAAGTTTAGCGTCGTCGGTACACCAAAGCCGAAGCTCCACGCACCCCTCCATCTGTTGTTCGCCCGTGTCCCGGGTGCACCGCCACAAGTAATCAAGGCTCGGGATCGATGGCGATGGAGGAGGGTTCGGTCGGCGTTTTGGACGCCGCCTCGTCAGGATGCCGTGGACATTGTGGGATCCGGTCGCATCCGCCATTTGACTTGTCAAGGCCAATAGAAGTCGTAGCAGCAGCAAGTTCTGGACTTGGTCGCCTCGACAGCGATCATTTCCGGCGGCCACGACTCGGAGAGGAGGGAGACTAAAGACGGCTTACGGGAGGGAGATGAAGAGGAGGTGGTGTTGTACGGGCCTTCACTTTTGCGCCGCAAAGACTCGGAAAACGACGAGCAATGGTGGGATCAGTAGGGCAGGATTTGGAAGGAAGACCGGGCCCGATGTGCGGATGAAGCGGTGAAGGGGAATGAAGAGAGAGCAGCGGTTTGAACGACCGGGACGTTTGAAAGGAGTTTGCTTCTTGTTTTCAGGTAGACTACTTTCAGGATCATTTTTTTGTTTCTACTTGTCTCTCACTTTTTGCGTGTTTCACGTCTCGTTCGGCATCGTCTCCAGTCTCCGACCTCAGCGTTTCGTTCTCGAACTCTGTCTCTCTCGTGTCTCTCGCAAGTCGGGTGTCTTAAAAGCTCTTAGTCATACCCTAGCCCTCATGTTATCATACCATCTTTGATTGATAACATCTTTGATTGCTAATGCCAGCAGCGTAGCCGGAGAATTTTACAAAAGCCTCGCTCTTCGGGGACAAGCCTAGAGCGGCTCCTTTTCTCGTTCTCATACGGGCCAGGACCTCATCCTTTTCTTCTTCTTCTTCTTCTTCTTCTTCTTCTTCTTCTTCTTCTTCTTCTTCTTCTTCGCCCTTCCTTTGGTCCCGTGGTCGCCCCGTTCTCGATGATCGTGTCGGCCGCCTTCTTCCTCCTCCTCCTCGTGAATTTCTTACGTTTGGTCTTGGTCTGTCTTTCTTGTTTTTCCCATCTAGGGAATCAGGATTTGCTTGTGGTAGTGGCAGTGCGTGTCGCAGGGAGTCCATGCTTGAAACGATGCCGATGGGTGCATTGCGGTGGAGGATAGTTGAAGCTTGAAAGTGGGGGTGCCACTGGCCAATGTGTGCCGAGGCCAAGGGCCGATTAGCTTAGGCGAGTAGCAAGTGCACTACCTGGCTATGCGCGGGCGGTGGGGGAGGGATGGTATACCATTCTGTACCAACGGTTTCCTGGGCCAAAATTCCGAAAGCTGCCTTAACGCGTTACGTGTAAGGTATGCACCTCTGATGTGCATAAAATACAATCTGTCGTTCTTGACCGATAGGGTGAAAGCAGGTGTTGTACAATGACAATGTGTAGCCTGACAAGCAGGTCAAGGTCGTGGTGCTGTTGCAGGTCACGACGTTCGGATCGGTGCAAGGCAGGCATTGTTTGGCTGGAGGGCGCCGGAGCGGACGATATAATCGAGATCAGCCATTGAAACTATGTGACAAGATTGCGTGGTAGAACGATGAATCGCAATGCCTCACCATCCGGGCTGAGGCAAGTACCCGGAGCCTTGCTGCAGTCCACGGCTGCGCACCTGCTCAAGAGGGGTCATAGATAGGGGCTCAAAGTGTCACGAATCAGCAGTCCGAGGTCTGAGCGCAGCGCCACCGCGCAGCTTACTCAGCGCTGGGAACTTTCTAGGAGCTTCCAGTTATCTCTATGATCTTGCGCCTCGATCACTTCCTTTGGCTTAACTTGCTTCCATGAGTTTCTGTCGCTTTCCCTGGGCTTTCCTGCGACTATAAATAGGGCTTCTGTGTAGAAATCGCTCTTGTCTTCCTTCTGCAATCTTGAGCTCATAGTCAACTCCCCCAGTAACCTCCAGCCCCCTCGGCCTCTGTTCTAGTAGTCTTACAAGAACAACTACATCAATCCCGCACTTGTCCCGTCGTCCTCGCTATCACCTGCTGCCTACGGCCCAGCAACCTCAACCTTGACACAAAGTCAGCCCATTCGCCTGCATTAGCCCCAGTACCAAGGCTGAGCGCGAGCGGCATGCACTACTCACTTGCGTTTCGAGTTGGGCACACCGTATGAGCACGTCAGATGCTCTGATCGACTGCACTTCGTCGCGTTCGTGTAGAGCGGAAGCACACAACACGCAAGCGTTCTCTACGATGAACAAGGATGCCGAGATTCAAGCGATGAGCATGCGATGGCACGGGCACTCTCCTTGATCAACACCCAGAGTAGAATTCTTCATGAAATGCGAAAAGAAGCAGCCTGAAGCTGAAATGAGGAAGATCGGGCTCAAAGCACGAGGCAGGAATGCCACGCCCAGGGGCAGAGAGCGTTCGAGGTCAGCCTGCCGGGGACGACGCGAGAATTCCGAAGAAGAGCGATCCTACCCACTGATGGCGATCTCGTTGGTGTGGCAAGCGATGCGCTTCTCGAGCGCATGGATAGCCTTGTCCAAGACGGGAGCGGCGATCGAGAGGGTCGATTGGAGGACGAGCAAGGTCGCGGCGAGGAGGCCGGAGCGAGCGAGGACCATTTTGACTTGGCCAGGATCGTTTGGGGGGAGGCCCGAGATGTCACAGTTAGTGGTTTTTATTTTTTTTATTTGGTAGATTTCAGTAACAGTATAATTGTATTAATACCTAGAAACCTTCGGAAAAGTCGGAGGGAATGCTTTTACGCACACTGGCGGAAGCCAGTAGTGTAGGACTCATTGACCCTTCATCAGGATCAACCATACCTACTAAAACCCCCTTAGGTGGCTTACAGAGACACAAGGCGACCCTTGGACTCCTGGATAGACGCTCGAAGCTCCTCGAATTCCGTTTCGGTGATCGGTTCCAAAGGATCCGACGAGAGTCTGAAGAGTTTCTATTCTGATTAGGCTTGAACTCCTGATTCTATTTCTGATATGCTAAACGGAAGATATTCTTGCTTTATAAATCTTGCCCAGGCCTTACAAGTAATTAGCTTGTTAGTATGTTTAGTGCGCCTGGGTGACACTTTACTTCTTAGTCTCTTCTCCGTTCGCTCTCGCAACGGTTCTGACTGAAGTGTCATTCAGTGCGAGATACATAGCGTCCCAAATCAATCATACGAGCGAGGCGAGTGCCCCGGTGTAAAATTGAGGGGGCTAAGAACTCTCCGAACGATGGAGATGGTATAGGAAGGAAGGAATGAGAAGACATTCTGTCGGGACCGGAGGACGTTCACCCTCCTGCACCTCATTCCTCGCCCGGGAGTGATTTTTGGAGCCTTTGGATCCCGCCACTCGGAGGAACGAGCTGCAGGGTGTCTCAGATGCGCTGGGACGGAGGACTCGCCGGCACCGAAATTACGGGCCGCGCGGTGATTCGACGGCTCGGTAGCCGATAAATAAATCGGTGAAAACCCACCCGTTCCCTAGTAGCTACTTGGCACTGCAGTGCAAGTGGGTCCGGGTGGTTCGCTTGTCCCGACACAGCAAGAGCGAGAGCGTTGCGTTATGACCGAGAGGTCGAGTCGACGAGTGACCGACAGCCGCGACGCCTGCGAGAGACTGAACTTAACGCGATCTGCACGTGACGGTGCCATGCGATCCTCTCGAGGCAGTAATCAGTTCAGTCACTAGGCTGCATCCATATTGAGACCGGGGTTTTGAGCGGATACCGGAGGAGCACAAAAGAGGGGCGGGGGCGAAATACGGAGGGCTCTTTCAGTTTACTACGAAAAGCTTCATCGCTCGAGGCATAGTAGATGAACTCTGCGTGGCGGGAGGAAAACGACGGTTGCCGGTTATACGCTCGCGAGATTTCAAGGGGTCAATACATGGGATTTGGGATTTGATGCCTGGACATACGCGACACTACTGGCCGCGCCTTCAATGACTTTCGAGTGACTTTTGATAATGTTTCGAGGTACATGTGAAAATTTGACATTTTGGGGCCAAAAGAGGGTGTAAAATCTAGACAAAAAGTCGGAAAGGGGCCTTATTCCACTTGGGCGTCTGACATGGGCTTTTTTTGTCCTGGCCCAGCCGACTCGGGTCAAGCCACGGTGTTCTCAGGTTGCTCGGACTCGAGCGTGCTTCCTGCGCTCGGCGGTCGCTCCTCCGCATGGCACATGTCCCTCACCGCGTCAAGAGTGAAGCGTTGGTGTGCAGTGCTTGCTGAATGCAGCGGGGGAGGGTGGGGCCACATCGAATGGGTCCATAGGATTGAAAATGTGCCTGGTAGTTACACAAGATGCTGTCATTTGATGATCCCTTGGGTCGATGACTCGATCACCTCGGTGACCTCGCCATGCCCAGTCACAGGCGGTATGATTTTGGGGAGACGAGGTCGGATTCGCCAAAACGGCTCGTCCTGAAAGGGCGGGACGACAAGGCGGTAACCGTGCGTTTAATGTGAATGCTTTGGTGTGACGAGTCGCTCAGCCGAGAGTACGAAAGGGCGCAAACTGGGATCGGCTCGGCGGGAGGAGTTGAATGCATCGCGCTCGGTGAGAAAGAAAGATTAATCGATTTGAGCAGGATTGGCACTGCAGACGAAAACAAGGTGATGCAACCCAATCTACTCTGCCCAGTCGACGCTCGAAATGGTTTTCGGGGATAGCGTCGACCTGCTCCGACCGTTGTTTCTGAAGCTGACTGAACGAATTGGATAGCAGGCTGTACATATTGTCCACATCACCCATCGTTCCTAGCACCGACCCGATCCTCTGCTTTTCGACTGGCACGATGGCAAGCACCCTGTTACTGCCCAGGAGACTCGGCTTTCAGGCTTCTCCAACTCCCCCTTCCCTCGCTTCCTCTTCGCGCTCCTTGTCCCTGCCCTTTCCTCCGGGCTTGCTCCCTTTGGCCTTGGCCGTGGCCTTGCTGCCTTGCTGCCCCTTCTCGTCCTGCTTGTCCTCGTCCTTCCCAGCCTTGGGGTACCTGAAGGGGTGTTGTTGGAACGCGGCGACTTGTAAGCCCACAGTCGGCATGTTGCGTGCCGCGACGATGTCGCGGTGGATGGGCGGACGTCGCACAGCATGACCCGCAGATTATTATGCTCGGCCCCGTGGGCTCGGCCATTCTTGAGAAGTCTGTGCGACCGGCGCGCCGTGACCGGTGCGATGTGACACCAGCAGGACATAGTCCCGTCGTTAGCATATCCGGCAACGCCTTGGAACTCGTTCACGACTGCTAGAATGTCCTGAAGGAACCTACCGGGATCGCTCTCCTGTCACCTCGTTGCGGCAGGTGGGGTCGCTGCAGACCGACGAGGTATTGTATTCGTCGACCGAGACGATCTCCACGACGAATCCTCGCTCTTTCAATCTGTTGAACTCTTGAACGAGGTCTCGGCAAAGGACATTCGTCCTATACGTCGCCTTCTGTGTTCCACGACTCGAGCCTCCCTCGCCAACGAAGACCAGCACCGGACGTTGGCGCGGCGACAAGATGTCCTTTCGTTGGAGGACCTCTGCGGTCTTGATCTTGCCCAAGTCCGCTTGCTTCAACGTGTCATCGCGGGCCCTCTCTACAACAAGGTTGAAGCACGAGTTTCCATACGACAATCAGTATCCGGCTTGAACTTGTTCGAGAAGACTCCCTGCGGCGTGAAACGGAGGACGAACCTATCGTTCTCAAACCTGAAACCTCCATCACCTGCTCGACGAAGCGCCTTCTCGAAGCCTTGGATAAGAGATTGGTCTTGGCCGCCCAGGCCTGTCGATCCGGCTCGCCGAGAAGGAGACGAGAGGAGGATCCACGAGCGAGCTCGGCGCGAGTGCGTGCGTCGGCGTCGTCGCGCTCGGTCGTATTCGAGTCAGAGGGGGCTGAAGCAGGACCGTCGAGGGTGGCGGCAGAGGTGGCAGGGCGTTGTCCCTCAAGAGGGGTTGCTGCGTGGCCGGGAGGTTTGGCGTGACCGAATCGGAGGCTGCCGGCCAGTTCAGCCGAGAGCTTCCGAACGTGGCTCTGCACCTTCCTCAACGGCTTGTCCAGCGCATCCGCGTAGACGACGACGTCGTCTTGAATCTGAACCTCATTTCGGTCAAAGAGGGTAGCCGAAACGGCCATAGGACATTTCGTGCCCAGGTCGATGCCAATAATGATGGAGTCGTTGGCACCGTCCTGGACGATTTGTCGGAGTGCCTCATCGGTCGTGTAGCGGGTTCCGATGCGATCTGGACCAGCCCAGTCCTGCTCCGGCGATGGAAGTGAAGGCGAACACGGTTCGTCAGCTGGATGATACTGGATCCATTCCCCCCGGCCCGGAGACGGGCGGCCCCCGCGCCCGCGCAGCGAATACGCACCTCACCCTTGCCGTGGCTGTAGAGAAGTTTGAGGACCTTCTCGCCGGCATTCTCGACCCTCTCGAGGCGCGGCATACCGCCTCGTACTTTCGGTAATGGGACCAGAGTCGAGGCGGAAACCCACTTGACGAGCTCGTTGGGAGTGGCGAGGAGCGACGACCATGCGATACAATCGTAGGTCGGGTCGAACGCCACGGTTCCGCTACTGGTCACGTGCTCGAACGTCTCCGCGATCGACTGCGGGTCACGCGTGGCTGCCGGGGCAGGGGTGTCGGCGCAAAGTGGGACTCGGAGGAGCAGGGACAACTTGTTAGGGGTCGCCTTGGCGACGTTGTACCCTAGAAGCCGGACCGTTTGTCCATCCGATCGCCATTCTCCGTGGGGCACAAAGCCATTCGCTCCAAAGCACTCGACGTTGAAAAGAACCTTTGCCACGAGGGGTCCGAGATGGTCGAATCGGGTGTCGATCCGACCCGAGTCAGGCCGACGGCTGGGGGGGGCCGCCTTCTTGGCGCGCTTGAAAGGGGGAGGATCGAGCGTCGTTTCGGGTGAGGGCTCTTCGAGATTGGCCGTGGATGATGAGGCGGTAGCGAGAGCCGGTGCCACGTTGGCCGGGGCGGTGGTGGCACAAGGGGTCGCTTCCCCGAGCTGCTGATTGAGGTGACGGCGCAGCACCTCCCAGCGCTCGATCCATTCTCGCTTTGACGCCCACGAGTTCGTTGAGGTCTCGACAAAGGAGTAAGCGGAGGAGCGAGGGGGCTCGATCTGCGCGAGTAGCACGGTTGCGACGTGGTCCACGGGGTTGCTCGAGACGTGCGATCGCCAAGGCACCCACACGCATCGTAGCCATTCGAGCAAGGTCTTGGCCACGTCTTCACCTTTGTAGATGAGGATAGAAGTGCGTCGTAGGGTCATGGTAATGAACTCGCCCCCCAAATTCTGTGCAAAGAGGTCGGATGGTTGAACAATCGGATCAGTGCAACTGCTCTCGCATTGGAGCGCGTCGGCCCGCTGACGGCCGGGTCGACTCGTTGAAACGCGGTGAGAGCCGGCGGTGCCACCACTCACCAATCCAAGGCCTCGTGTGTGCCCGCTCGCAACCTTGAGCGCGTGGAGGGCGGGAAAGAGACAATGAGGGCGGTGTGATACCCCTCGGATCCAGTCGCAGATCGTCTGCTCGGCAAGACGGGAGCGCTCGTCGGGTGTGAGCATCCGCGGCGAGTTGTCGCGGATGATTTGCACCGTAACTTGCAACGTAGACCTTGCCACCGACCCTAGATCATAGAGGTTTACCGCCTTTTGTACCTGATTTGAGGCCTTGTCGTGTAGACTCGCGATCTTTGTGGTCAGGTCGGAAAGGAGTCGAACGTCGTCGTCGGGCGAGTTGGCGAGTCTTGCTTCGTAGACAGCCTCAACAACGGCCTTCTTGACGCTGGACTTGAGTGACGAGCCCATATCCTTGCCCTTTTTCGCGGGTGGCGAGGACTTTGCGTCGTCAGAATTGTCGTCCTGGGGGGGTGTATTCGAGGTGAAGACGAAGCGACTGTCGACAAAGATCGCGACGATTTGGTAGACTCGGTCTTTCCATCCAAAAAGCGCCTCGACGATCCTCATCGCACGGTCGTCCCACCAGTTGGGGGTGTAGGGGATTAGGGGGATCGGAGGGCGGTTGCGTCTGGTTGCCTCAACGGCGTAGATCAAGGTAACCCACGCCTGTGCGAGGACCGATTCAGGGAACCCGTACCAGCGTGCCACCAACGAGCCGTCAGCCCCGTGCTCGTTTCGTCGCTGGTGTCTCGAACCATACGTCACTTACACCGGAAAATCCGATCGAGTCTTGCCCCCCCCGATACGCGACGAAAATGCTCGTATTCTTGAGCACGTCGTTGCGACCCCTCGGGCGCATCCTAGGTGAGCCGATCCTCGAATTTCGTCAAGGTCTTGCCGGACGTGGCCTTGCCGCCGTCTTCTCGCAAGAGGTAGAGGAGGGCAAAGAGCAAGGTCCGCCACGCGTTCTTGCTGTCGCCTAGGGATCTCCACTGATCATCGGTGAGCTTGGCCAGGGTATGCCCTAGGGCCTCGCCGAGAATGGACTCGATCTCCCTGTGCGAGATCACAAGGAGGCGCACGAGCGGCTGCAGCGTGTGCAGGCTCGGCTTTCGATCGGAGCCGGCAAACGGAGCGTCTACCATGGCGGCATGCTCCGTTCGTGGCACTGGGGTCGCCATCTTCGCGGGTGAAATTGATATGGTGCGACGTGGTGCGAGGCGAAGGCGCTTGACGGGGACCGGCGCGCTCCTGGCTCATCAGCTCGATCTTCTGACCCCTCAAAATGACTCCGAACCATGGAAGGGCAACACGAGTAATGGGTCGTTCGGACTGAGAGTAGTACGAGCAGATGCGTGAAAATACGAGCCTCATGTTACAACCATCAAGAACACTGCTTTTTTCATTGGTGCTGCTACAAATCAGGTCGACTTGGTGACCTCGGGTGACCGAGGGGTCTCCTTTTTCGGAGCATCGCAGCGCCGAGGGAGCTGCGATGCCGAGCGGCGGCGGCGCGGGCTAGCGTCATTGGCACGGATGAAGCAAGAACTTGACCTCGAGTCGCTTGATAAGCGCCAAGCCTGGCCTCAGGACGAGTATAAAAGCGCCACCCCCTCAGGCGCTTGACGGGGACCGGCGCGCCCCTGGCTCATCAGCTCGATCTTCTGACCCCTCAAAATGACTCCGAACCATGGAAGGGCAACACGAGTAATGGGTCGTTCGGACTGAGAGTAGTACGAGCAGATGCGTGAAAATACGAGCCTCATGTTACAACCATCAAGAACACTGCTTTTTTCATTGGTGCTGCTACAAATCAGGTCGACTTGGTGACCTCGGGTGACCGAGGGGTCTCCTTTTTCGGAGCATCGCAGCGCCGAGGGAGCTGCGATGCCGAGCGGCGGCGGCGCGGGCTAGCGTCATTGGCACGGATGAAGCAAGAACTTGACCTCGAGTCGCTTGATAAGCGCCAAGCCTGGCCTCAGGACGAGTATAAAAGCGCCACCCCCTCAGGCGCTTGACGGGGACCGGCGCGCCCCTGGCTCATCAGCTCGATCTTCTGACCCCTCAAAATGACTCCGAACCATGGAAGGGCAACACGAGTAATGGGTCGTTCGGACTGAGAGTAGTACGAGCAGATGCGTGAAAATACGAGCCTCATGTTACAACCATCAAGAACACTGCTTTTTTCATTGGTGCTGCTACAAATCAGGTCGACTTGGTGACCTCGGGTGACCGAGGGGTCTCCTTTTTCGGAGCATCGCAGCGCCGAGGGAGCTGCGATGCCGAGCGGCGGCGGCGCGGGCTAACGTCATTGGCACGGATGAAGCAAGAACTTGACCTCGAGTCGCTTGATAAGCGCCAAGCCTGGCCTCAGGGCGAATATAAAACCGCCACCCCCCTCTCACCTCTCTCTCTCTCCTTCCTTCTTCTTCGTTGATGAGTACCTCTCACATGGCTCCTCCACCACTGGGCCGAAACCGACTAGCGCATCGACGCAGCACCGAGGCGGTAGGTGGTGGAAGTCGGCAGTAGTGTACCATCAGCCACCGTGAGTTCCCTCCCCCCCCACTCGTTGCAAGTATGTACCACCGTCGCTGACTTGGGCACTGCCCTCCTCATCTTGACTCGGATCGTCATCAGCCTCCGATCTCGCTCTCGATCGAAGAGGGGCCCACGGCAGTCCTGGTCGTCTTGCGAGGTAAAAAGTTTGGGAGAAGTTGTTGATTATCATTGTATCGGGTCAGTCCCGCTTGTGGCCGCCTCCGAGCATGCACCCCCACCGCCACCGCAGCTGCCATCATCGGCCGGACACGACCTCGTACGACAGACTTGGGCTGACCTTGCTCTGACCTTCACCTTTGCATGCCCGTTCATCTTCATCTACCTTCACATCACACCATCTTCACCTCTACATCGATTCTCGTCTTCACCTTCACCCTTCACCCTTCCCCATCACCATCACATTCGCTTCCACCTCGAATCACCTCCACCTTCATCCTTTGCCTTCACCTCTACGTCTGTTTCTCCCCATTGTACCTCCACCTTTGACTTAACCGCATTTCATGCTGCTCGTTTTTGACCTTGATCTTGATCGTCAACCTCCCCTTCACCGCACCGTCAACCTCTTGCTTACGTCATCCACCTCCACCTCCACCTTTGCCTCCACCTCGGGATTTGGCGTTACAGGGGGTTTCCTTGTCCGCCAATCGGCAGTGCAAGACGTCATGACCGGTATCAATGATGATTCAACAACTTTGTCCACAAAAAGTGAGTTTTATGCACACCAGGTATCACTGCCTACTAGTAGTTCCGTCTGCTCGAACGTCAAGTTGCGAGCTGCTGCTAACATGCATGGTCACCCGCTGCCAACAGCTGCTTCAACTGGCAATGCGCCGGGACAGGTCAGACTCGAGGATGGGGATGATGGAGAGGAAGTGGGGATGTGTGGGCGTTCGCTGTGTTTGCTCTTTTCGCTTTTTCTCACGTGCACGTATCAGGCCGCGTTGCACAGCGACTCCGACGATGGTCCTCTTCTTTGTTTTCTCATTGTTTGGGTAGAACAGAGTCCGAGGATTAACCGTACTGGAATCGATCTCAACTAGGTCGCCCTCTCAGTCTAGGCGTTTGTTACGTTAGACATGGCGGAACATCGCAAAGTGCTTTTATGGTGATACCCTCTAAGTAATTGCTCGAAGAATACTATCATGTGTGTCACAAATCAGTGCAAGCGGAGATCAAAGCACGATGCGCCATTAGCCCGGGGCGCCATTAGCCCGGCTGCCGGCTCCTTCGCATCGAGAGCAGGTCGCAACCGATTGTGACCGGAGTAGTCTGTTTGGTATACGATTACAACATAGTACCCGAAGAAGCTCCCAACCATTGATACTCGGCCTCGCCTCCGCTAGATTTGCATGCCACGACCAGGTCATGTGCGAACGTCGGCGATTGGCCCGCACGAAACCCGTGCGTACTACTCCCAAAGCACGCATCGATCCTAGTCGTCTTCTTTTGGGGGAGGTGGTCCACAAGGTTGTAGCATCCTCTATTGCACGAAGGAAATAGGTCAGCTCGAAAGGCTTGTCCTTGGCCGGTCGATCGCGCCGTTGGATCGGATTCGGTGGGATCTCGTCCGATGCTGGCCGACCACAGAGAGCACTTTGCACCGATGCGAAACCCATCCGGCTGCGCGTACTCACCTCTGCTAGTTCAAATTTGAGCCTGGCAGTGGCTTCCCCGTCTGCGATGGCCATGTAGTTGAGCAAGGGAGGGTGGCCGACGACGGAGGCGTACGTGTCGCGGTGTTGGTGCGAGAACCATTCGCTGTGCGATCGACGAGGTTCGTTCAGATGAGGTCGAATGTGGAGAGCAGTTTGTGTGTGGAGAGTAGAACGGGTCAGTCCTCTGCACGGCAAAGTGGACGAGCTGAAGCGGGAGGAGAAGGGGAGTGAACGCACAACTTGGTCATGTCGGCGTGTCCCGTGCCTGGTGGAAGGCAGGTCCGATCACGAAATGTGAGCTGCTTGCGTTGTAAGAAATGCATGATCTTTTCACTGACCGACATAGCGGGCGTGCAGTTGCGCGATCTGCGTATTCGCCGTGTGTCGCAATTCGGCCTGCGTGCGATGGTGGGACCGCGTCAGGGGTGTACCTAGAATACACTGACTCGGGCAGGGCTCACCATGTGGTGTGGGGCGGGTGGGCAGGGGCAGGCGGATCGGGCAGGAGGTGAAGCGAGAGTAGTCGAGTGCGCTCAGAGCCAAGTCAACCTCACCCGGTCCTGACCACCCCTGACCAGCTCTGACCACTTCCTGAGCCGCTCTGAGCCGTCTTCTGAGCCGTCGTCTGAGCCAGCTCTGAGCCGGCTCTGACCTGGCTCTGAGCAGCGCTGACCTGGTCCAAGCGGGTCCAAGCGGGTCCAAGCGGGTCCAAGCGGGTCCAAGCGGGCAGCCGACCGCTTCCGCACGCCGCTCATTTGATCGCTTTCCTCGCTCTGCCGCTCCCCCATTCCTACAGCACGAGCACCCACCCTCCTCACCCGCCGACTCAAGCTTCTGCACACGCTCACACACCATGGGAGCACACGCCACTGGACCGTTCGAGCCGCAACCGGCCGCTCCCGAACTCGCGAACCGAGCCCGTCTGCCGATCGGGTCAGTCACTCCGTCGCACGACCCCATCCGACACGAGTAGAGCTAATCGTTCCATCTCGCACTCGATAGGTGGCGTGACCAGTGCGGAAAGTCAGTCGCCCCTTGCCATCGACCCGCGCAGGCCCAGCCCAGCCCAGTCCAGTCCAGTCCAGTCCAGTCCAGTCCAGCTGAGCCTCCCACTTGCGCTCCCTCGCACAGACTGCTGGTCCCGTTGAACGTGTGCCGACACGAGAACCTCTACATGACCTGGAGTGAGTACACGTCTAGCCAAAGTTGCCCGTAGCGAGCGCACTGACTGACTGCTCCCCTCCTGCATCAGAATGCGACCACGAGAAGTACGACCCACTCCGAGACCCACTGGCCATCGACATAACCTGATCACTAACGTGTAACGTGTAACGTGTAACGTGTACCGTGTATACTCTACCCCGCCTTCTCATTCGTTGCCTTCGTCCCACAGGCACGTCTACGAAAAGTAAGTTCCCAACCGCCGTCGAGCGAGCGCCCGCACGTCGACGCCGAACTGACGAACCAACCCCTCTCCTCCTTGTTTGCTCTCACCCATAGGTGCCAATACGACGAGTCAGTATCTCAGTGAATGTCACGTACACCCCCTGCATTCCGCTGACGCTCTCATTCTTCTCCACCGCGCTCGGCTCACATCCGTCCCCACCCCTCGTCTTCTCACCCCGTGCTCAGCTACATGAACCGTATGAAGCAACTCGACAAGGCCGAAAGGAAGCGAAGAGAGGCGGAGGAATAGACATCGTCCTCAGTCGAGGACTAGGGACTCGCTGCGGAGTAGGAGAACGCGTGTAATCTTAAGGGGGACTGTCAATCGACAAGGCCCAGAGAGGTGTGGAGAGACGAGCTCAAGAGTCCAACAAGAGAGGACTCGGATGCAAGAAAGAGTCGGAAAACATTATTTCTTCTTTCATCCTACAAGCATAATCTACTTCATATCACTCCAGCCCTCTTTCCCGTCGGTCTGATTCCACAAGCTCAAATACTTGCCAATCTTGTTCTCCACCTCGACGGGGCCCATCGACCGCCCGAACGCGTCGACGAACTTGCCGTTCGGGTCCATGAGGTAGAAGAAGATGGAGTGGTCGACTAGGTAGTCATCCGTCGGTTTCGCATCGGGTGGGGTCGAGAAATACACGCGGCTGTGACGAAACCAATCGAGAAAGGGAGAAGGATCTTGAGTGATCACTCGGGGAGAATGTCGTCAACCCCAGCGAACGACTCACTAGGCTTTGCAACACTTTTTGATGTCCTCGTACGTGCCCGTCAAGCCGACCAACGAAGGAATAAAGTCTGTTATCGGAGTGAAAATGGGGCATAAGGTCAGCCGCCGACCCCGAACAGAACACAACCGAGCCGGCCTTGCTCTCTGTCTCTCTCACCCTGAACATAGGCCTTGACAGCTTGCACGTTGTCTCGTGCGGGGTCGCATGTGATGAAGATGGGGAGGATGTCGATCTTGTGCGATTTGGCTGTGGGGCAGAACAACAGGTCAGGATCGTCTGCCGGAGCGAAGGGAGGGTTTCCTAAGCATACGCGTTGAGGATGCTCGACTCACAGATGGCTTTGACTACCAGTCCCATCTTGTCCAGCTCCTCGGGGCAGATGTCGGGGCAGTTGGTGAAGCCGAACTGGAGAGCACCAGAGGAGAGGGCGTCAGCTGCTCCGGACCGCTCGAGTGGACCAATGATTCCCACGAATCACTCGCTCAAAAGCAGCTTACATAGACCAAACTCCATTTGCCAACCATATCCTGATCACTGAAACTCTTTCCCTCCTGATCGGTCAGCACGAACGGTCCACCAATGTTCGGTCGGCCGATCTTGGCCGTCGCATGTTCCTGTTCCTTGTGCGCCTGGATCTTGGCCTTTTCCTTTTGGAAGTAGAAATAGAGACCCAAGCCGGTGACTGCAAAGATGGCCCCTGCTCGGAGGGTGAAGGGCTGGCATGGGATCGAAGAGGGAGCAGAGGAAGCGGGGTGAGGAGGAGAGAGGAATGACATCGAACTAGTGGAGGAACTGACCCCTACTGCAGCTCTTGTCCGCGTCGAATCCGAGGGACCTTCATAAGGATTCGAAGCATATCCGCGGGTATTTGAAGGGGTGGATGACGATCGGAACGAAGCAGCACTGAGCACGAGCCCGAATCGTGATCGAGTGGACGATGTGGTGGTGGCGATCAAGGTCGAGGCATGGCGACGCAGAGGGCGCTGAACATTCAACGCGAGGTTGTGGCTAGAGCAAGGTGCTATAGGACGAGACAAACGCTTCACTGCTGTCAGTACGGTGGTGGTGGAGCGCATCCTGTGTGGTGGATGTGGGGTTGGGAGATGGGGATGAGCTCAAAATCACTGAAGCCGCTGCGAATCGAGTTTCGGCGGGCCCGCGGTAACGCTCGGACTCGCTCGGACTGGCTCGGACCCACTGCTCGGAGAGAATTGTAATTCTGGCAGCCGGTGACAACGGGTCACCCTATGCTCGCATGGATCAAACGCAGCGGCCGAGTATCTATCCCTTATGCGACAGAATAGCCTCATCCCAGAACTTGCGTACATGATATGGTTGCCACTTCGCTGCGGCTTGGAATCGTGCAAAGTGCAGTGGTGAAAAGCGCCGGGTACTATATCAAGCACGGTCTTGATATAGTACCCGGCGCTTTTCGTCTTCTGCCTCCCAGTGGACGAAAGGTGATTGAGACGGACGGCGCTCAAGTCGGTCCGCGAGGGCCAGTTCTCTATCGATGCCTTTTCTGTACAATGCAAACCGAAAATCTCTTTCAATGCTTTTTCTGTACTGCATTGGTACATTGGTGAGAATTTTGTCAATATCCTCAAAGATCAGAGGGAGCGGTGATGCGGAGCAACGTGCGGCGGGTGGGCCGACGGACAAAGGAGCCCCTATGTAACATTTGAAATGTCAGTATATCATGTGTATGCTGCAATCACAAAATTAATGGCTGTGTTTGCAATGACTACATCAGGATGTGAGCACTACTGCCGGCCGTGTGGTACAAGACTCTTACTAGTGTGTATAAGACCGTGACAGTGAAGGCAATTCAGTATTGCACAAGTTGCTACCTCAGTGGCACAATGTGGTGGATCTAGACACGATCCAGAACGATTCAGAACGATTCGGACGATCCGGTCATTTTGTGAGCGGTAAAGTCATTTAGACAGATTTAGCCGCGCACCGGGAAGTGGTAAAGTTGCTGATGCGTGGTCGGCGTTCGCCAACTCCAAGTCCGACGGCGCAGCCTGTCACTGTGTGAGTGAGCGGGGCCGCAGATTTATGGACACGTAAATTTCGCTCCAGACGAATGACACAAATGTTGTAATACGAACGTGATGTTACAATTTTTGGCTTCGACTCCGTCTGGCGGCCGAAGACTGCAGTGCTGATCTTATAGGGGCACACGGTCACGCTCTGAATCGCTCAAATTGGAGAATCGCTCAACACGCGCGGGGGCGCTCGCGTCCGGGTCTCCTCCCCACTCCTCAACCTGGCACAAACAGACACAACGCCTACTTGAACGACGAAGACTCAACTCCCTGCTACTGTGAGTACATTTGACATCTTCTCTGCATCCATATCTCCCATGTGTACCTGACGAAACTCGATTCCTGACCCTTGTCAACACCCACCCACACTCCCCGAATACAGTCGTCCCCTCCTGCGCCTCTGCGTAGAGCGCCGTCGTCACCATGGCTTCGACCGTTGCGTTGATGGCCGGGATGCAGTCCTTTGACTCTTCCGATGCCGATGGACCGTCTCGATACGAAGGCGTCACCCATGGCGGGATCACCTTTGGCTCGGTTGCGCCGTCGTTCCACTCGGAGGATTACGATGAGCCACCACTCATCGGCTCGGGCGCCCCCGCTGCCACGGCTCAACCAAACGACAACCACGAGGTTTCCCCAGAACGACACCAAGATGAGAGCAGTTTGATGGATGAGCAGGAAATGAGACCCGATCCCGTCGAATCCGAACGTTTGGCGAGTCGCAAGGTCAAGACGACGACCAAGGCGACCGCGACCATTCTCTCCTCCCACAGCGGTCGATCCCGACCCACGTCTTCCACGTCCAGGGCCTCGACCACAGCCGCTTCCTCATCGAGGAATCCATCGGCTTCTACGGTAGCGACGACCGAGCCTTCGCCGAAACACGCCTCCCGATACGTCTCGACCGGCGCCTTGCACGCATTGGACGATTCGAGGGGCGAAGGCAACGACGAGTCCAAAGTTGTCGGAGACAGGACGGCTCTGTTGAACGAGATGGACCTCGATGATGACTCGGCGAGATGGACCGGGAACAAAGGCAAGAAGGCGGGCAAGGCCAAAGCGACGAGCGGGGGATTGGGCCAGAACATGACGCTTCGTGAGCAGGAGAAGGTGAGCGATCAGGTCCAACCTGAGCATGTCGGGACTAAAGTAATATGATTGTATTACTGAACTGGTGTCACTTGCGACCAGGTCATTGACGAGTTCAAGAAGGAGAACTTTGATCTCAAGCTCAAGATCCATTTCTACGAGCAACGGCTCGAGCGACTCGCCCCCGAGCAGATCGACCAAGCCCTGAGGGAGAACGTGCATCTCAAGGTCGAGTTCCAGACATTACGCACCGAGCTCAAGCGGTACAAGAAACTTTTGATCGAAGGGAATCGCGCCATTGAGACGCTCAAGATCGAGCGCGATTCGGCGACTCAGAGTGGAAGCGGGGCCAGCGAGCGCGAGCGGAGACTGGAGAAGGAGTTGGCAAGGTGGAAGGATGCGAGTGAGCGGGAACGCCGAAACAACGAACTTCTAGAAGCTCGATTGGAGAAGCAGACGCGTGAAATGTGGGACATCCGCAACCGGTCGGCCGATCTCGGTAGCGAAGATGCGCGCGTGAGTTTCCTCCTTTCGCACAAATCCATCACAGTGGGCTGACTACTCTTCCCAATCACAGACCGAGATTGGTCGCCTGCGGAATGAGCTCGACGTCGAGCGAGAAGCAAGGGAGGAAGATCTTGGCGAAAAGGATGATCTGCACTACAGGATACGCGAGCTGGAGCGGCAACTCGACGAGATGGTGGAGCAGAACATCAGGCTTCGAGATGAAGGGCGCGAGGACCCAAGTTCCGCGCGAGGCGATGATGGCAGTAGCGTCGGCAGGGGGGGTGGCCGTTCTCAAGATCTCCTTCAGGTGAGCAAAATCATACATAACGATGTTGACATGAGCTCTTACGCTGAGATACGAATACATCACTTCAGGAGCTCGCAACGCTACGGGCCGAATCAGCTGCACAACGGAAGATGCTGGCTGCACGGGCCGACGAGCTCACTACCCTTCAGGACCAACTCGAGGATGCCAAGCACGACATCCACGACCTCGAATTGGAGCTCCAACAGCAAGAGCGTATACGTGCTCGGAGTGAACGCAGTATGTCCAGTGCCGATGAGGGCAAAACGATCGAACAGCTCGAACAGGAGAACGACGAGCACCGTGATCGCGCCGCTGGGCATGCACTCGAGGTCGAGCAATTGCAGATCGAACTGGCCCAGAAGGAACTTGAAATTGAAGCACTGCTCGAAGAACATGACAACCGAAGCCAGGACCAGGATCTACAAATTAAGCAGATCGACGAGGAATGGCGAGAGGCTGTCGACGAAGCCGAAACGCGCAAGATCGAGGCTTTGGATGTGAGTCTACACTTATGTGGTGAGAGGGGCGACGGTCGGTGCTAATGAGCCTTGTTACGCGTTTCAAGATGCTGGAGGAGCGGGAAGCGGATGTCCAGGATCTGTCCGAGAAGTGCAAGCAATTGGTCCAGGATATTGAGGAACTCGAAGTTGAACGTGAAGAGAATGCCCACGAACGGCAGGCACTCACCAGTGACCTCGAGAAAGTGAGTGCTGGCTGTCGGAAAGCGGCTGTGCGTCTTGGCGGCACTGATGTCTTCCCTTCATGACAACACAGCTCGCTGGTCAGATTCGGGAGCTGGAAGCTGAACTGGACGAGAAGGACATTAAGGTCGAAGAGCTCACCGACGCTCTCAATACGGTCGAACGCGATGCCCAGGAAAAGCAGATAACGCACGACCAAATGATCGCCGCGATGCAGGAGCAACTCGCCACTCACAGAGCCCGCGTCAGTGAACTGACGATACAGCACGACTCGAAGGATCTCGAGAACAAAGTTTTGCGCGAGCAGTCTGAAACTCTCGCTGCCCAGCTCGCTGCTTTGGAGGCACAACTGCGAGCTGCAAAGGAGAACATTCGCAAGCTCGAAGATGAAGCGGTCGCGATCATGCGTGCGCTGCGGAAGGAAGAAGAGGAGCACGAGGCGGACCAGAAGGATTCGGCACGACGGAGACGCGAACTGGAAGTCGCGTGGCAATCTCGGTTCGATGAGCAACATAGAGTAAGCCAATGACTTTTTGTTCGGAAGACCTTAAGGCCCCAGCTTCACATACTGATTGAGGAACCGACTTGTCTTACTCTGCAGGAGCTGGGACAGGCCCATGACGACATGCAGCATTACAAGACCGTCCTTGACGCGAGAGAGGTCGATATCCAGAAACTGCAAGACGCTCTGAACGGTCTCGAAAGTTCGACCCGCCGACTGGGTGAATCACACGTCAATGATCGCTTTGCTCTCGATATCGAATGCGACCGCCTTAAGCGTGATCTTGCTCGTTGCGAGCAAGAACTGCAGCTCGCCAAGGAAGACCTCGAGGATAGGACAGCCTCTATACGCGCCAAGGACATGACTCTGGCGACATTGCAGTCGGAGAATAAGGACCTGACAAAGGACCTGGCAGAACAGAGGCAAGCACGTCTTGCCTTGACCGACAAGCACGACGCTGCGGCCAAGACTTTGCGCGACACACAGCTCGAGCTTTCGGCTGCCCGCGACCGACTACGTGTTATTGAGGAGCAACTCAGCACCGACCATCGCCAGCTCAGCCGCACTGAGAACCAGTACCGCGATCAATTGACCGAACGCAACACTCTGCTACTGACCGTACATCAGTACATGGACAAGATCGTCGGAGGTAGCCAGGTGAGTTTCTGAAAAGCGACCCCAGTTGCGATTATGCTCAAGACAGAGCTGACCGGACCCACATTTCACACTCGCCCAGCGCAAATCTGGCCAGTCTGAGCTCAAGCCCTTCACCAACTTTGTCATCTTCCACGACAGTTTAATCAGCCGACTCAAGAGCGTAAATCAACTACAAGTATCGTTCGATCGACGGACACGGGAGATCGAGACTAAGTTCTCGGACCAATTCGCCGCCCTGAAGCGACAACACGATTCGAGGCTGAAGCAATTGGATCGGTTCGAGGCCGCTATCAAGACTGCTACTGAGACGCAGAGACAATGGCGGCACCGCGTGCATACCAAACAAGCCGAAGTAGACGCGGCCCGTACCGAGGTGCAGAATCTTCAAACGCAATTGTCGGCGCTTCGATCGTCGGCCTCGAGCTCGCCCAGCAGTCCGGCCATGTCTAATGAATTGAGTACCCTTACGAGGCGTGCTACGACCGCGGAAAGGCGATTGGCAGCTACGCAGACCCAGCTGCGCAACGCGGAGGACAAGCTTGGAGACGCGCGGGAGAAGGTCGCCGTTGCCGAGGGCAAGTGGGAGGCGAGGTTGCGGGAGATGGAGGCTCGGCTCAGGGCCGCGGAGGAGAAGGTCAAGCGGGAACGACAAGGCGCGAAGGAGCGCGTCGCTGAGCTCACACGGACGATTCAGGAGTTGCAAACCCAAGTCGCACGCGCCGGGCAACGCGCCCAACTGCTGGACGGGGTTCTTGACGAGACCGAGAAGAACAAACGGCGCGTCGCGGCGGAGTTGTGAGGACGGGCTGCGGCTGGCAAGATGGAGCTTCGTTTGCGTAGGTATCTCAGTGAGATGACGATCGTCGCATATAAGGGTTATTTCTTCTTCTTCGTTTTATTTGTATGCGTTCTTTCGTGTGTGTGTCATCAATACTGCTGTTCTGTGCTTCACTGCATAAAGTCATATAATTGTCCCTGAACGTTACGCCTCAGGCCTCAACGTCTCAACCCTAATAAAGGGTTCCTTGGATATCGTGTTTTGACCTAATTCTGAAGGGCATGGCTGGGCAGGTTGGGTACAGCGCGTCTACTAAAACACATAGTTCAATCGTATTTCGAGCGCGTTGCTGTTAACTTGATAACCGATCTATGAGAAGGGTTCGCGGACAAGTGTTCTCTGTAGCGATTCGGCTAGCGGCCCTATTTCGCCATCACAGGCACCGCCGGCATCGACCGCGACTCGGCCCTTTCATGGATCGAACGACGACAATTGTCCAAATGTCTACGGCGCCCTTCTCTTGGTTTGAATTTTAGGTAGCCGAACAACAGTTGGTCATTCGTAAGACTTTTTCCATAGTCACTTTTAGGTCTGCATCCGACCTCCTGGGAAGGCCTAAGTACATCATAGCATTTCTGGTCGCACGGTACCTACGGTAGGGCAAGCTATTCTTCAAAGCTGTGTTCCATTATTCTCGCCTCAACGGCGGGTCACCCGTTTTTGATTTAGCCAGGTCGATGATCGGTGCCTCCCGAGGGAGTGTTGATCCTGCTAAGCAAGCGAGAACCTTTATTTAAGGTGTCCAATGTTCCGCGGAACCAACGAACGGGTCAACAAAGGTTCGACGCGTCGGGACTCGGGAGAGCAACGCGCGTCGGACCCCGCGGCGCCAGGTGCCCACTGTTGACAGTGCCAAGGACAACAGAGGACAACCCGCTCGGCAGAGCCTTCTCTGCAGTGCCTGTTTCCCGGCCCGCGACTCGCTTGGGCAGGCACCCAAAAGTAAGCGGGAGCCGGTACCGACCTCTGACATCGGCCTACCCACCTATTTTTTTTCACCTACGCTACGCTATTCGCCACTTAATTGACAGTTAGGGATGAAGGAACGTCCGGTTTGACATCGAAGCAGCGTAAAAGCTCGGCAGCAACACGCCTGGCTAGATCGTGCAGAATTTCAGAAGTTGGCGAATTTTACCTTCACGCATTGTGAACACCTAGTTATGCAGAGAAGTTATGTAGAAGAGTTGTGACTGGCTACATACATTGGTAGTAACTCTGAGGTAAAGCTCAAGGTAAACAACGATGGCAGTTAAGTTAGTACAAAGCACCCATTCAGTATCAGTGAGTCGAGCAAGTTTGCAGCTGGCTGCGCCGCGCCTGGGAGTAGACGAGACATCTGATCGGGGTTCCCAGCGCCATTCTGCGCCATTCGGCTGCGTGTCTGCGCATACATCCACAAGCTTCCAATTCCCGACCTTGTCCTCCTGGCGTTCACAGAGGCCCCTCACCCACTACTGCTCACCACACCGCTCGCCGACGACTTGTTTCAAGAAATCCCAACCTATGGCGACCGTCGCCGCCTCACCTGCACCGACCTATGAGCACGCGTTCGGCGCCGACTCGGCGGTGATGGCGAGCGTCACCTCCGAGTCGGCGTTTGGAGCACTCGCCAACGCAAAGACGCTGAGCCCAAGATCGCACCGGCCGACACCGCTGCAGCTCGTACAGACGACACCCTTGACCACGATCGACATCAAGAGTCCCCGGTCCGTATCATTGCCCCGTTCGAATCCAGCATCGCCAACCGCGCCGACCAGCCACAGCGTTGCACCATCGTGGGCTGCTCCGCTTTTACCGGTACGCGAAGACGCGTCCTTGTCGGAAGATGATCTCCCCCGCGCCGCGCCTGCTGCCGCCGCCGAATCGAGTCCGCGCTCGATCGATCCGAATGCAAGGACCTACATGTTTATGCAGAGTGCTGCGACACCGACTACGACGCAAAAACGTGTCGTTCCCGTACTTCAAGACATGAAGTTGGGTTTTGACGTCGAAGATGCCGTTGCAGTTGCAGCAGATGCAGATGGAGCTGCCGACGTCGGTCTCCGTGTCAGCGCGGAGCGGGACACGGGCGCCTCGACCGATTCGCAGGCACCGGATTTCACCGAACTAGCGCCCGCGACCCGCGCCAGCAGCAGCGGCAGCAACCCCTTGCGACCCGCGCCGCGTCTTGCCCAGCTTGCGATCGCCAGCTCTGCGACACCAACCAGCGGCCCCGACGTCGATCCAGCGCTAGCTCTCTTCTCACCGGACTCTGCAACAAGCTCGAACCGGATACCGCTTGTATCGCCAGCGTCTTCGTCGTGTTCGCCGACGCCGTCGCCGTCGCCGTCGTCATCCTCGCAAGCGCCGCCGTCGCGAAGCGCGAGCGCGCATCCGTCCTCGTCCCGCAGCGCCAGCACCGTAGTATCGAGCCATCGACCCAGGGCGACCATCTTGTATCGCAGTCACCCTGCAAGTTCCGTCGAATCCCCGTCCTTCTCGAGCACGCTCTCACCTGCGCGATCTCGATCGCGATCCCGCTTCAGTGACCTCCGAGGAGCGATCTTCTCGAGCTCTGCATCCACAACAGGCAAGTCAAAACACATCAATGACCCGTCACAACTGCAATCTCGCTCCATTGCAACGAATAGGGGCCCCGATTTAGTCAAAATGTACAACGGATGGCGAGCTGACTAGTCCCTGTTCCTGCTCGCTCAACCAGGTGCTTCGACCGCGGGTGTCTCGGTCTCGCCGCCTGCGAAGAGGCTTCCGCTGCGATCCAGCATGATGATCGGTCAGCATGCAATGACTGGCGCCATGGCATCGACTTCGAGCTCGACCGGTCCACGATATCTTTTGACCGTCATTCCGCCGGACCATATCCCCCACGACCCACCGCACCCGAGGACATCGCAACACTGCTCTGGCTACGGCCCTCCGCAGCATTTCAAGTCAGTCCAGACAGACGATAACCGAGACCTGAAACGAACGGGATTTGCTGAGACGGTCGCCATCGGTCTTTTTTCTGCTTCTTTCATTCTCTTTGTGTTGTCTCCTCGATTGCTCTTAACTCTGCCAGGCGAGGGACACTCGTTCCGCTGTACCCGACGCTCTCATCCCAGCTGGCCGCGATCGCGCGCGAGTACGGGCTGCCCTCGACAGGAGGTATCGTCATCTACCTCTTGTCGACGATAGACCCATTCTCAGTGACCGCCACTCCACTTCCCGGAAGCGCAGGTCTCGCAGGGGCCGACGGACCTCGTATCGGCGAAGAAGCGTGGTCTTTGCTGTGGAGTCGCTTGTTCGAAGAAGACGGCGCGGGCCTTTCGACTGGGCCGGGAGATACCGACGACGAATACGACGACGACTACGCCCCTCCTGTACCTCCGATTCCGCTCAGCCATCGAGGCTACCACCATCACCAGTCGAGTTTCACCGAAGCCGATGCCTTGTCGCCGCCACAGACGCAACGACATACCGGGCCCGCTTCGGATGAGGACAACGTGGGTGGCAGCGATGGGCCTGACGGCGATCTGGAAAGGGCCAGCTTCTCGAGTGACACCGGGGATCACGAGAGCTCGACGTACTCGAGTACGGCTGCGGGAGCCGGAGATCGATCGGCCTCGGTAGGTACGAGCCAGATCGGCAGTGCCACGACGGCAGGAACTTCGACCCGTCCGTCGAGTGTCGCTGCTCGGTCACCATCGAGTGCGAGCCACAGCATTGGTCGTGGCCACCCGTCAAACAATCCTCGCTTCTCCTCGGCTGCATCGACGCGTGGTGAAAACGGTATCGCTCCCCAGCTCAGCTCGTTCGCTTCCCAGCCCAATATGCGACACCCATCACGCCAGTCGGTTCGATCCATCAGTTCACGGATGTACCAAGCATCAGGACGAGCGACTTCGCTCAGAAGTTTTTCGACGAGCTCCTCGGGTGTCGGACCAGCAGTTGTGGTCGGCAAGGTCGAGTTCGACATCGATCGCAGGCAAGGCGGTCGCAGTAAATGGTACGAGAACTGGATAGCCGGGGCCTCGGCATCCCCATCAGTACCGGCGATGACAACGACCACGGATCCAAAACCCTCGACCCACGGGCTCGGCCGTTGTGCACCTGATACCTCGCGGAGCGGAGACGAGTCGTTGCGGAGCAGTCCCGCAGAGCATGCTTTTGCAGCGGGCTCTCTGCCCGGTCATCCGCCCGCCGTCTCGAAATTCACTTCCGCATCTTCCCCCACCGTACCTGAGCGGCGATTCCCTGTTGAGCACACCAAGGAGCCAATTCTGGATCTCAAGTCAGAGCTGCCTGTAGATGGGTCCGAGACACTTTCTGCTCCCGCATCAGCCACAGCTCGCGGCAGTGGACTGAAGCCGCTGGAACTCGGGGCCTTGGGAATAGGGGCGGCTTCCGCAGCGACGCAGATCGCCAGGACCTCGTCTACTCAACATCATCCGACGGAGGCATCCAACGCGAAACCCATCGCAGCTTTCGACAGCTTGCCCGGCCATCTTGGCTCGCGGTCCTCCCTGCTTTCACCTTCGGCCGCATCAGCGTACTCCCTCGCAGCGATGGCCGGTCACAGTGACGACGACGAAGACCATGCTACCGACACAGCGTGCGAACTTGTCACTTCGAGCCAGGAGCCGACTTTGCAACCAAGTGCTCCGGCAGGCGAGGGCCAGGTAAATGAACACGCTCCACTGGACGACGGTCGTGACTCAATACGATCGTCTTATGCTTCGTCTATGCAAAGTTCGTCTTCGAGTGAGCGGGGCGGAGAGCAGCACGGATACGCAAATCTGGCGGATGAAAATGACGACGACGATTTGGCTTCCGATCAAGGACTCACTCAATCGTATAGACCGCTCGATGACGACATTAACGACGTCGTTTCCGGAATGCCATCGATTGCATCGACTTTGCAACAACGAGATTCACAACGAGAATCTGTCGAGTATCAAAATTCGTCGGATCCCCTTCCGGACGAGGCCGATATTTCCTTCGCATCCCCGATGGATCTACCCGATGCGTTCCATCACCAAACGATGGACTCTGAAATGTCGCACTACGCGGACTCAGAAGGAGTAATCGAACGTGTTCCGACCCGCAACTTCGATGTCGGCCCCGATCCTTTGAGCGACATTTTCGGATCTGACGAACGGACATGGAGAGAGATTGCCGATGATGACACCCATCTCGAGCCAGCGCCGAGCCAGGAGGCGAGCGAGATCACCAGTTTAGGTCTTCAACATACGCGCGTTGCTTCCCTGGTTTCAACCATTCCCGAGGGCGTTCTCGAAGAACGCATTGAGACTGAAGAGGACCATGAGAGTATTTCAGCGCAGGATGACATTGCCGACGTCAAAAACTTGCTCAAGGTCAGTTTCGAGAGTGCGTGCCATGTAGCAACAAGAATCTATCCCAAACTGATCCATCTTTCTTTGGCGCACGCCAATTTAGATCGACTCTACGCCTCGGCCCGTCAACCGGAGTCTAGCGTCACCCATCCGTCTAGACTCGGCAGCCACCTCTGCAGAATCAACAAGAGTGTTTGCAGCGACAACCACCTCTGACAACGAGGATCTGTCGCTACCAGCGGGAAAGCGACACTCGCCTGATGTGCTCGCCGCATTCCCTCCGCAGAACTCGCCGTGGCCCCCGCTTGTGGACGACGAGCCACCTACCATTGAGACAAACGCCCCTTCGACAGTCGAGTCTTCCCCCAGTTCCATCCCTGTGCGCAAGCAACGACAAGGCTGGACGAACATTCCGCCGGTTGTGGACAAGTCGCTGTCGGCCTCATCTTCCATGGCCTCAATCGCTAATGTCGAAATTGACGAGCCAGAGCGGGACTCGACCGTTGGTCTTATGGAAAACTTGGATGATCTGGAGCGCGCGTTGGCCGACCTGTCCCCGACCACGTCTCGCCGTCGTGTACCGACTTCGCCCCTGCTCTCGGCCCGAGACGATGCCACTCCGATCGTTTCTCCCATTCACGCTCCCGCTCTCGTTCCTTTGCCCCAACAAGAAACGCCTAGCAATGCGTGTTCGGCCGTGGTTTCCTCTCTCCATGCGGTTCCCGAGACTACTCCTGTGTCTGCGGCAAATGCCGAACCGAGCTCCCTCCCCATCGATTTTGAGCCGCCCAAATTCTCCACTGTCCATCCACTGCCGTCTCCCACGCTATCTAGCCGACCTCTGTTCCGTTACGGCAACGCTTCGCCTTTGGTCCCGCCGGTCTCGTCAGACGGGGAGGAGCCCGCAGCCCGTGTGATCGTCCCCCCTCGCAAAGCCAGTTTAGCGACAGAGTTCAGTCAACACACTCGGACGGTGACGGAGGCAGATGCTCCGCTTCTACCTCCACCGCGCTTGTTTGACACCGAAGGAAGCGCATCTCCGTCGAGACCTTCGCTCGAAGAGGCGCCGTCTTCCCCTCGATCTGGTGGTTTCTATTCCGAACTACCTGATACGACTCGAACGCCGCGATCTACGAGCTTGAGCAGGCGAGCCGATTCGAGCCCTCGCCAGATCCCTTTGCCACCCTCACCGATGCCGCAGCACTTCAATCGCTTCGCACACCCGATCGCGTTCATGGCCGATGCTCAGGTTCCCGTCGCTTCGGATGCCGAAATTGTAAGCGACGTGCCGCCACCGCCACCTGTACCAGTGGTTAGTGATGGATCGGCTCCAACAGTTGCCAACTCGAAAGCCAAGAACGATAGCTTGCCCTCGCGGTCATCCCGGTCTTCGGCCAAGTCAGCTCGCAACAGTAAGCCCAGTAAGGCAGCATCGCAAGAAAACACCGATGCTGTTGACCAGACTACCAAGAGTCCGGCATTCTTCGGCAAGTCGACCTTCAGCAAGTTGAATGGATTGTTCAGCAAGAGTCCCAAGACGACAGCCGAAAGTGATTAGCTTTTGACTTGCTCGCTCTGAGTCCTCAGAACCAATTGACTAACCCAAACATCCTCTACGCACCATCAGATGTCGCGAGTCCACCAGTCTCGCCACTTCTCTCGTCCGAAGCCGCTTTCCCTGTGCGGCCATCTCAAAATGACGAGACCCGTGCCTTCCAGCCGTCAGATGCTGCTCCACTGGCGGTCGTGGCCCCCGGACAAACCATCGAAGAGATTCGAGCCGAATTATTTTCCAGGAGCACGACCTCCGCGCACGACGCCAGCTCGCTGAGGATCGTCCAGCAGCCGCCTTCCTTGTACGAACGACCATCATCACCCGCGGGAGATATCGAATCCTCCGCCTTGTCACCCCGATCGGTCGCGGATGTTGACTCGCTGCGACCGACTTTGCCTGTCTTCGGTCTCGCCTCGTCCCTTAGGCCCGCACGTACGTTCGAGCCGCTACTTCCCTCATCCCCGACGTTCAACTCGGAGACCTTCATGGGCTCGGCTTTCTCACTGGAAACTGGATCATTCGATTCCGATTTGGCGATCCGGTCGCCTATCTCGGACTATAATCCCGTCACGCCCGGCCGCATCCCATCTTCCCCCGGAGTTCACCCGGTTTCTGCTCCAGCCACCCCTTCGGCCTTGAGGGACGAACAGGGCCACACTCGACCCAACAACGCAGCACGTTTTAGTCGAATGCGACCTCGCCATCGGCTCAGCGCCGATATCGACCAACTGTTGTCCCAGATGAACGAAATCGACTTTGGTGACGAAGAATCGATGATGACCGGTGCCGGCTCGGAGGACGAGACACAATCCGTCGCTTCGACGAGCAAGTCACGCTTACCTTCCCACGACCATTTTGCGGGCACTGCGCCGTTGTCCCCTTCCCTTCCCCCGGTCGAGGAGTTGGACATCGAGGAGCGGGTCGCACCCACCACTCCGAACCAAGATTGGCCTCCTCTTCCCGCCCTTCCCGAGCATCACAGCGCGTTGGCACCTCGTAGTCGGGAAACGGTGGCCCTGTCGCATTTGGGCGATTTGATGACCATGTGAGCCTCGCCGCAGCCATTTCCGTGGTTTGAGTTACCTGGCTGACTGTTCCCTCCCACCGAATGTCCTGAAGGGGTTCTCCTTGAGTTGAGAGGATGCTATCGCGTTGTTCCTTCCCTATCTCATAATCGGTCGTGCTTCTGTAGGAACTCTCCATGTCTTTGTATCTTGGTTCCCTCCATTGCTTATGCTCGCTCTAGACTTCAAGACGATACGGCTCGATCTATTTCTGTACCCTTATCACTGCGTGGGTCTCTGTTCCATTTAATTTCAAAACGACAGTGTCAAGCCAATTCCCCATCAGATGACCTTTTGGCCTGTTGGACAAACTGCGTACGCCATGGCGCCATTGCGTGTGGTGTGAATACCATTACAAGCGAGTGGATATAACAAACTATCTCTGTCCAAGCTCTCTGCTGCTGCCCCGCAAGTCACCAACCCAGCGCTTCATTACCGAAGGAAGAACCTCTCCATCAAATCTGCTTCCAATCCATCCTCTTGCCCTCATTCAGACCCGGCGTGTTGACGCTCATCAAACTCGCGCCATCATCATCCGTCGGATCGGCGAACGGGTCATCCTCCTCCGGTTCATTGAACAATCCCTTTCCCTTGCCGGCCTTCCTATCTTCAGCTTGGATGAACTGCGCATAACTCTTGGCACTCCCTCCTGAAGCGACGGCGCTCGCGTTCGCGTGTTGGCCCGCTGCCGAGGTTGAAGCGGAGGCCGAAGTCGGTGGTGCGCCTGCTCCATGGTACGGTTCGCCATCCGAAGAGAGATAATCGTCCTCCGAATCCGAGTAGTCCGAAAGCGACCCATGTCGATAGGTGTCCTCGCGTGACCTCGGCACAATGGGAGGAGGCAAGTGCGCCCCTGCAGCGGACGAGGACCCAAACGCCAGATCTTGCAGATCAGGATGCAACGTCGGCATCTGGCGATTCGAGACGGCCCTCTGTACGCGTTGCCTCTGACGGATCTGCAACTTGTCAACTTCGCGATCCCGCATCTCAAATGCCGAGAGACGAGATCGGATCGAGGTCGTATCGTCATCATCCGCACCACCCCGTCCACCACTGCTAGGAACGGTCAAGCCCGATCGTTCCGACTCCATCTTGGCCTGCGCGATCTCCTCATCGTCGGAATCCAAATCGATCGGTTTGGACATACGGTCGTACAGTGCCAATGCCGCGAGGACTTGTTCGTTCGTCGCGATCAAGGCGCCGATGTAGTCGCCTTCGGCGTCGTTGTCGACGAGTTGGATGTAGCGCACGACGACTTTGCGATCGGCTTTGGCCTTGGCGAGGCATTCCTGTACACGGGCGGTGGTCGTGACGGATTCCTTTTCTCGGTTCACAAGTTGGAGGGCGTTGATGAGGCTGCGGTAATCACAAAGAAAGGGAGTCGAGCTGAGCGGTTCCGGAAGTGAGGAATTGCCCGCCGCGCTAATTTGCACTCACGCTTGTGCGGCTTGGGTTCCCGATCCGACGGCACTCATGATCTTGGGTTTCTCCTATCGGCTCCAAATCACAAGCAAACAAAAAGAAAACAGCTCGCAACGTACGCCACCTACCCCCGGCAGACCATTCGCATCTGTCCCTAATACTCACGGCCTGAAAATCAAACTTGGGTCTCCTCGTCTTGGGCGCATAGCCCTTCTTGGCCTTGTTCTTGGCCTCTTCCCTCGCTTTACGTTCCGCCTCCATCCGTTCCAACTTGGCCCTCTGTTCGGCGGCTTTCCGCTCCGTCCTTGCGGCGGCCTCTTCCTCGTAGCGCTTGCGTTCTCGTTCGTACGCCTCGGTCGCGCCCGTTCGTGTGGTAGCCTGTACGAGATAAACGCTTCTTCCTTCAGCATGGATCGTCCTTGCGCAGACGAGCAGATCAAGACTTGACGAGTTTCTTCGCACCTTCTTCCCACCACCGCAACTCGCATACAATCCCGCAACGAGCTGCATCCTCGGGTCGTCCTTGAACTGGCGGTACCAACTGGCGAGGGTAGCCATGATCTTCTTCTTGACGCGTTCGTCAGTGTGCGGATCCCCGGCTATGAGCTTGATGCGCTCGACGAGACGCTCGTTGGCGAAAGTGGCTGCATTCGGGGGAGAGAGGGATAGGATTGAGGAAAGGAGAACAGGTCTGATCAGTCTGGAGAAGGTGGGGGGGAAGTGGGGACACTGGCGGAGGAAGGAGGCCATTGTAGAAGATGAAACCTACATTGAAATCTGGTGCCACAATTCTCAACCAGTGCTTTGAGGATCTGTGTGTATAAACGTCATCAAGGCTCTTCAGCCTCCACCCTGCAACACGCGGTCTTGGTGGCATGCTGAGCCCTGACCGTCAAGGCCCTCAACTGCCCGTGCACGTTGCTATACTGCACACCCAAGTACGACTCGCCAACAGATCAGCATGCCTCTAGGTCTCATCAATCCTTGTACCCAAGAGTCATACCTTGAGTTTCTTTCTAATCGCCCTCGAGGCCTCCGCTGGTCCCGTCGCCTGCAGATTGGTGACCTCGACCAACTCGGTGATGCCCTCATAATCATCCTCGTCGTACCGGTCCAAGGTGAGGATGTCGATCAAGGCCGATATCGAAGAGTGCGGTTTCTCGTTTTGGAGAAGGGAGAGGCCGAACTGGGCGGCTGAGCGAGGAGAGGGACAGGAGTTAGCAAACAGGTTTCTCCCGCAGGGTGACGTGATGACGATGCGATCGAAGCGGGGCGAGCGGCCAGAGGTGAAGTGGGGGGAACACCTGCAACCTGCAACGTGCAGTAGCGGCGCATATCGCATGACCGCGCGAGGAGACGTACCCTTCATAGCAGCCATCCTGGGCGAGTCGAGAGATGAGCTGCCCTGTGGATTCGGGCCGCACGCTGATGTAGGTGGGAGTAAGGGGAGCAAAGCCGAAAGGAGAGGAGCGGCCAAGTGGCCAACCAAGGGCGAAGAACCAGCGCAGGCTTAGGCAGGCTTCGGCCGCAGGAGCCGCCCGCCTCCGCCCGCGCCTTCGATCGATCACATCGATTTCAATGAGAGCTGACTCATCTGTCATGCATGTCATGCACATTCGTCAATCGCGAATAAAAACTCCCGCATAAATGACGTACCCTCTCCCCATCCTTACTTGGCACGTACAACAGAGTCGAGTTTGCAAAAAGAAAAAGGAGCGGCAAAGGATCCGAGGATCATCGTAAGTGTGCGTATGAGAGACAACAAGGGTACATCTAGAACAAAGAGAGAGATAAAAACAGGTCTAAACAAGCCCCACAGACCGTCTCCTCAAACAGCGGGCATCACCTCCCACCTCAACCCACTCCCACCGCTCGACATCGGACTCGAACCCCTCGGAGGCGTCGCCGCACGAACGACGACGGCCCTGCCCCTCAACGGCGCGCTGATCTTGTGGCGACGCATCATTTCCAACTCGAGCGAAAGCATCAGCAAGTGGCGTTGGTTCGAGACATAGCGAGGCATCATCACCGTCGGAGCGGGCGCAATCGGCACGGGCGAGACCGGCACCGCCGACTTCTTCTTCGCCGAGCGGTCGGCCGAGGTCGAAGTCGAAGCAGGATCTTGGCGCGAGTTGACGGAGCTCGCCAAAGGTGGGGTCGAAAATGTTTGCAGTTGGAACATCGTCAACACCTCGTCCGCGTTCTCTGCCCACGACTCGACGCTCGGAGTCGCACCCGCGATCGCGAGCGAGGAATCAACAGCGCCGAACGATGCACGGCGAGGCCTGTTCCAGGGTGCACGCTCACCGGCGTCCAGACCTTCGAGATCAAGCGAGAGACGAGGTGGGCGCAGACCGGGGAGTTGCAGATTAGGCAGCGAGATCGCGAGGGAGCGGAGCGACTTGGTCAGCAGCGACACTTTGGGCGCCGTCGTCGATGTCGTCGTCGGCGGCGGCGGCGACACGGGAGAAAGCGGCTTGGCCATGGTACCGCCAGATACAGTAGCGTCCCATCCCCCTGAGCTGCGTTCGGCAGTCAAGATCGACGACGTCATCGAGGTGGGACTCGTCGAAAGAAAGGCGGGGAACGAAGGCGAAGTCGCGGTCGTGAGGGTCGGAGGGGTCATCGTGGGGGACACCAAGGACGTCGTAAGAGGGGACGCGGGCAGCCAAGCCGATTTAGGCCCTTGTCTACCAAACGCCAGAATCGGCATCGGCGGTGGTGGAGGCGACAGGAGCGGGTCGTTGACGGCCATCGTCTTGACCGGTTCGCGGATAAGGCCGAGCGATACGCGGCGCACGGGGCCGCTACCCGCCGAGGTTGGAGTACACAGCACATCATCGTCCTCGTCGTCCTCGTCATCGGTGTTGGAGAGGTAGTAGATGCGACTCGTTTCGTCGTCGTCGTCGTCGTCTTCGTCCGAGTCGTCGAAGAGGGGTGGGCGTGACGGCGACAAGGACGGGAGAGGAGAGGTCGACGACGGCGCCGACAAATCAGCCGGAGTCACACGATCGAGGGAGCGGCCCACGCCGAACGGGTCATAGTGACCGAGTCGCGTGTCGTAGCCACTCCTGATGCGTCGTGTAGTAGGTCCAGTCGTGGGTCTCGATGGGGTTGTGGTCGATGTCAAGGCCGGCTCGTTGTCATCAGATTCGTCGTCGTCGTCGTCGTCGTCGTCGTCGTCGTCGTCGTCGTCGTCGTCATCGCCGTCAGCTCGCTCCTCTTTGTCAGGATCGGCGTCGTGTTGATCAGCGGAGCACCGATAAGTGCCTTCGCGGGGAAATCGATTCGCTGCCCCGGACTTGGGCGGCGCGCCGGCAGCGCTACCGCCATCACGGGTCGAGGAGGTGACTTGGCGCGACCAGCAAGTACAGGGTGATGACGAGCACCGAGTCGAAGTCGAAGCTTTGGAGGAGTCGTTGGAAGAGGCCGTCGAGGCGCGGTACAGGACGTAGGAGCGCTTGCGAGGCTTGGTCATCGTCGGCGGGCGCTGATGGGTGGCGTCCTCGAGGGCGGGCACGACGATCGCGGACATCATGTTGGCCTTGCCTTTGCCCTTGTCCGTCGTCTTGGCTACATCGTCGTCGTGCATACGGACCGAGGTGGCATATCGCCGTCGGTCAATACTCGACGAAGCCCTGTACCAAGCCATCTGGGGCGGCGGGCAGTCTGTGCGTCGTACGCCGCGTGGGGAGTCAACGAGCGCACGCGGTGTCAGTCTCCGAAGCACAAGTCCGAGCGAGCGGACTGGGGAAAGGGTCGTGGACTTGGAGGCATGAGCAGGTGCAGGCACTCACCGTGGTAGACCGCTGTCCGAGAAAACGAGCGACACGGGGTATGGGTTTATTGGTAAAGTGGGAGGTACGAAGCCAAGTGCCGGAAAAGGGGTCCGGGCGTGGGTCGTCGAGGTCTCGTGAGGCGCTTGCAGTGCGCTGGCTGGCGCGTGCAACTCGCTTGCACTTCGCTCACTGCCGGAGGCTGCCCGCGCTTGTCCGCGCGTGCGGCCGAGCCCGAAACGGAGTTGAGCGCTGAGCCTCATGCCTTTTTAAGTACTTGCGCGGCACGGCGTGCGCTGGGGTGTGCCGCTAAAAACGGGCGGCGCTCGTTGACTAAAGGCTCTACTCAAGAGTCTCACTTTCCGACCTTGGCGGAGTTGTGGACGTGCAGCGGACTCCGGAGTCCGGAGCTAACCCAGGTGTTTCATCGGTCATCACAACCTGTGGTAGACTCAGGCAACTAGCTAGGCCGTAACTACTCGGCTCATCCATTGTCTTAGCACCTTGCGCGATAATTTTCCGCGCGGCAGCTGACAATTCTGATGGTGATATAGGAGTAACTAAGTGACAAGTCGCTCCGTAGAGTGGCAGTAAAAAAAGCATTGCAAGGTAATGCACTTGTTGATTTCTAGATAATTATGGTAACGTGGAGGATTTAAAAAACCACCTGCGAAGCTGATGTCAATTCATGGAACCGATCGAGGAACGCGCGACTGGTCGTCATTATTCTTCCGCTTCGCATCGAGCCGGCAGTGCGGCACGTCTATTTCTAGTGACGAATCACTTGGAAGCAAATCGGCCTACCGTCACTACGTGGGTGTGGTCACTGTGGTGCCCAGGACAGGTATCAAGGGCGGTTGTGGGTAAAATCTTATAAGGCTCCAATGCTTGGATCCCACATTATTGACTCTCCGCCGATCAGGAAAATGCGAATATCTAAACGCCCAATTCGGAAAAGGCGGACTGTTTCATGGAGCTCCTGAGGCGCGCCTTGCAATTTCAACCAGAAGTGCCGCCGAGTCGGCAAAGTGTGTGCAAGGCCTCGGTGCGGAAAAATATTGGGATATGTCAAGCTGTTTTTCGACTCATGCATTTGATGTTCCGGAACTCCAAACCAAAGCCATGCATGACATGTTTCACAGTATCATCCGCCGACGCAGTGATCAAAGCCCGGGCATTTCGACCGATTGAGCCAGTTTGAGACCAGCCGTCCCGGAACGTCTGGCACTCGTCGGTCATCGTTATTCAGCCTCCTGTGACACCCCCACAGAAAGGTCGCGTTCGTCGCGGCCCAGCTCGTACCCCGTTCGATTCAAGAGAGCTAGCAGCTGCGTCGGCCACATCTCAAGCTGGTCCAAAGGAGGAACAGATCCTTACAAGAGCTGCTCGACATCACGACCGCGGCCGGACGGACAGTTTCGCAACCGCGGAAGCGACTCGGATCGCCGTTGACTCGGTCAGCTTGAAGTGGCTCGGTCATCTGGCGATTGTGGCAAGATACACCGGGAATCATGGCATTCATACTTCATGGATATGGTAAGCTAGTGCCCTGGTGGATCGTACACTCAGCCCCTGAAGCCTTCTCCCCCAGGCCGTGACCGGAAGCCGGCCAAATTGACTCATTCGCTCTCCTGTTCCAGTCTCGCTTTTGCAGCGCTACACCCTACCGACCCAAATGGCCACAAGCACTTTCACCAGCGGTCTAGGTGATGTCGGATATCAACAAGCGTTTGAGAAAGTCGGTTGGAGAAATCACGAGGTCCGTGCGCGCCCGTGGACGCGTAATCTGGCAGAGTGACCGGCTGACTCTTGGCTGGATCTGATGCAGTTTTACCGCACGAAGAGGATGATGATCTACGGTGGTTTGTTTTGGGCACCCATCGCGAACAGGTCAGTCGGCAGCACTCTCAGCTCGGAGTTACAGCGTTTCGAATATAATTATTGCCGCTAATCCTCTTATTGCAACATATGCAACGATTATTTATTAGATGGCACGCCGTACTTAACAAAGTCAACTACGGCGGCAAGCTGAAAAGTATGCCGATTCCATCTGATCACCTCCCTTCTGTGTGGAGCAGGAACCTGAACTTCTCTATCTACCTTCCACAGCTGCCTTCACCCGAGCCATCATCGACGCCACGACCTTCGCCCCCTTCGCCTGCTGCCTCTTCTACACCTCCCAAGGACTCCTCGAAGGTCGACCCTGGCGAGCCCAGGCACCGCTCCCCACCACCTCCCTAACGTCCCCTCCTCCCATCGAAGGCATCTACGAACGTCTCCAAGACCGCCTCTGGACCTCGACTTCGCACTCGTGGTGCCTCTTCTTCCCCGCGCAGATCGTCAACATGTCCATCATGCCCGTCTATGCTCGACCACCCTTCATGAGCGTGACGAGTTGTCTTTGGTCCATTTATCTCGCTTCGGCGCAGAGGGTCGGAGCGTTGCCGCCTCAGGAGGAGACGACGCCGACGTTCAAAGGGGTCAAGGGTTTGGGCGATGAACCGGTGTTGGTCGTGGCTACGGAAGCGGTTTAAATGGATGGCAGGTTTAGAGGTTCTTGATATATGCATAGAGCTTTGACGATTCTTATCATTGTGGAGGCAGTCGCCCTGATATCTCACCGTAGTTATAGATTTATGTTGTACGCATACCCTAGGTCTTTAACACCTTTGGAGAAGCTCTCTATGTCTCGCATACTTTGCTTCAAGGACACCAAACAAAATCACAACAAAAAGCCAGGGCGCATGATCCTATCTACACGTTCTCGTCCTCTTCTTCATCATCATCCATCAACGCATGAAAGGGCGACGGTTCGACCGCCTCCACCGTCCAATAACTTTCCCACTGCGTCTCCTCCCGTTCCGCTTCTTCCATCTCGCCGCTACCTTCCCGACTCTTGATCCGATCCCTCTGAGTCGACGACATCTGACTCGATGGCGGGAACGAGGGGAGAGGGGGGAGGAAGTCCATTGAATCGTCTCCTAATTCTTCTGCTTCGGGAACACTCTCGGCATCATCGTCTCCCCTAACATCCTTTCCGTCCTCCTCTTCCACGGCATCCAGCTGCACCATCTCCGTTTCCTTGGCAATCCCCGATCCAGGGAACCTCATCCTGACAGGCGATCCTAAAGGTGACCAAGGCCCATCCTCCTGATCCGAAGAGGGCACCTCGACCTCATCGACCTCTTCCTCCGCCTCCTCAATATCTTCTTCTTCCTCAATCCCTCCCAATCCGTTCCCGCCTCGGATCTTCTTCTTCCCCATCTCACGCGTCGTGATCAACGCAGCTTGAAAAGCCCTCATTTCATGCTGACCCAAAGGTATCGACAAACCAGGTTGTGAGTCCTCAATGATCCAGTTCTCTTGATCCTCCTCCCCTTCGTCCCCTCTCGCCTCGTGAGTCTTAGAGAAGAACTCGAGCAAATTCGCTTGTCTTGGTTCAGGTGGCGGAGGAGGTGTCAGGGGCCGTGCTCCTTGCCATGCTGCGTCGAGAGAGGACCATGTCGAGGGTCGATTAGGGATTGTCTCGTGCGTCGCGGTGGGTCGGGACTTGATCGGCGAGTGGACAGCCCATTGAGTTTCGATCTCGTCGAAAGAAACTTCGTCCCTGGCTTGAGGTGGCGGTACCTCCTCCATTTTGACGACTTGTCGAGCTTGTTGACGAACTGGTACTGGAGGGGGCGGCATAAGTATCGACGACTCGCTCCTCTCCAACCCGACGGCCTTCCTCTTCTCCGGTTCCAAGGTCGTCACCTCGTCCAACCGGGGTTGAGAACTCGGAAGGATCATTCCCACATCTCCCCTTTCTTCACATCCTCCATCTTCCTCCCCATCATCATTGTACTCCGCAAAGCCCGAATCGTCGACGCCTCCCCTTCCAAATTGATACGCCAATCGATCAAGCGTTTCTTCGTCGGAATCGCAAACGAGAACCTTCGCATCCGGACTCGAGGACGGGACGAGCTCGTCCCCTCTTCCTCCTACGAGACATTGTTGCAGGTATTCCCCAGCGTCGGATTCGCTCGAGTCGGCAAAGGAAGGTTGGGATTCGATCATCCGAGGCTTGGATCGCGCAGACAGAGGGAACGGCTCGTCGTTTTCGGTCTCCGGGTCGGAAGGTGAGGCGGACATGGGGCGGTCGAGTCGAGACTGTGTAGAGTGTTGCACACGGTGTCGGATCTCCACGTTTTCCTCGTCACCCAACATCTCGAGTGACTTCTTTCCCTTGCTCTCAGCCTCCACCGCCGCTGTCGCCGAGCTCCATCCCTTATCCCTCTCCTTCTCTTCCCTTGCTTGATCTTCCTCCCAATCCCGCAACGGCACCAAATCCAACTGTGCCCTGCCCCCTGTCCAAACCCTATTCTTCTTCCTCCTCGCCTCTTCGCCCAACATCATCATCTCGTTGTCGTCGTCATTCTCGTGCGGGTCGTCGTCGAACGAGAGGCGCGGGCCGCGGATGTTGCTCGAGGTGTGATGATCGCGGCTTTGTGCATCCCGAAGAGCCTGGCCTGGGTCAAGGACTTGGTTCGTGAGGCTGAGGAGGAGGAGGAGGAGGAGGAAGAAGAGGAGGAAGGGCGGTAGGTGTTCTAGAGAAACAGAGGCGGGGAAAGCCGAGAATGAGTGGCTGTTCCGCAAGGGGGCTCTGTAGATTGACCCCGGCGGCCTGCGGGAGATGGCTGTACTGACTGTGGTATCATCGAGGAAGCCTTGTCCTGGTGTGAACGAGTCGCGACGACGTGGTGCCATCCTACCGCGATCGGAGGTGATCTGAGGTGATGAGAGAAGACGGAGCGCGACCCTGCGTCGCGACGTGGGGCCTTTGTTTGACACCCGATCACGTGATGCTGAACCGTCCCCAGGAGCTCCCCCGCCAGCCTGGAGCTGCTGACTAATATAGCTGCTCAGTAGGCTGCTCCGTAGCTCACGCGCGAACTGGCTCCCGCCTCGCTTCACTCTGCCCCGGCCCACCCAGTTCAGTGATGGAAACCATCCTACTCTCACACCACAATGCGGTCGTGCACTACGCACTCTTCTCCCTCCGCAACGCCTCCTATCTGCGTCAACGCCTCGTCGCTGCGTCGACCCTACCCGATGACGAACACGGTACGAGCGAGCGCCAAGCCGTCGACTTTGCGTTCGTCGATGCTTCCATGGTCAGTGCACCGACCTGTTCCCAGATGAAGCTGCACACGGAGTTGATGCCGCGCCGCTCTCCCCTCCAGTTGACTTCTCGCCTTCACCTCCTGACCGCAGTCTCGCAAGCGCTGCTCAGTCGCTCGAATGGCACCGCAAGAACCCATACGATCCATTCCGAGATACTCTATGCTCTCGAACCTGGAACAAATGTAAGTCCACATAGCCAGTCTTTGTTCGAGCGTTTGATGCCCCAAGCTCATCTTCTTCCCCTCGCAGATCTCCGACTCGTTGAAACATTTTGGCCTCTCGAACACGACCCAACACCTCTGTCTAGTCCACGTCACCTCCGTTCCCTCCGAATCCCTCAGACCCATCAACGAAGCAGGCGAAAGAGTATTGGAAAGGATGCAAGCTTTGGCAGATGGTGGGGATTTGCTCAGCTTGGATCAACTGGGTGGGCATCATGAAGGAAGTTTCGTGAATGAGAAGAGTCTGAGGAAGGTAGGGTCATACTCCCCTTTTCGTGGCCACGCTGTCCTATTGCACTCTGTGCGACCACTCTCTAAACCACCGAACTGACCTCGATTTCGATGCCCTTCGCGTCCTTGACGTTTGCTCCCCGTCCGCGCCTCTCCGCTCCCATAGCTCTACAAACTCAACCAAGACCCCCTTCTACTCAAAGCCCACGCTTCCAACAAGCCTCGAGCCTCTTCAAAAGCCCTGGACGAACTCGTCACTTCCGCCGTGGCGCTCAAGGTTGTCACCTGAAGACTTGGCTCGACGATTGAGAAACCTAGGTTGGAGAAAGGAGGGATCCGGAGTGTTGTCTGGTGTATTGTGTATTTGCTATGTGGAAATTACTATTGTGTGTTGTAACAAAAATCTCATCTTCTACTGCAAAAGACTGTCACCCCGGAAGAGGCCATCAAGCCTCCAAACCAACCCATTGACTGACCCTCGGCCGCCCCTCACTCCCCTCCTCCACCTTGTTCACCACCACGCCCACCCCCAGCGCCGGTCCAAGCGGAGCCGTACCCCTCGCCATCCTCTCTTCCTCTTCTGCCTCCTCCCCGAGCTGCACCCCTACCTCCACCCTCCCAGACGCCTCCTTCGCCTTCTCCCGTTCGATCTGTCTCTCGTCCCACCCCTCCCTCTTGACCTCCTCCACACCCCCCAACTTCAAGCATCCCGCCAGACTACCCCCGACCCAATTCAACAGGCTTGCGCTCCAAGCAGGAGCACTTCCCGATCGAGGACCCAATCTTCTTGGTCCCTCCCCATCCTCTGCGGTGTCGGTGTCGTCGAACGAATTGGAAGGATCGTTGAGGATGGAGATGTGGTTCCTCAATGGCGTCAAGGACGCATACCTCGGTGTTGTTCGTAGCTTGTCCAACCTCGCTCGATACGCCCGTCTCGTGGCCGAATCTTTTCCCTGGGTGACTGGCTTGGATCCCAGAGGTGCCGTTTGCGATAGCCTCAACACTTCATCGATCTCGTGCCTTAGTCGGGGTATAAAGCCAGGTAACATCGTCGTACCACCCGTGCACAGAATCGACCCCGCCAATGGCCTTCTCAAGTCGATCGGTAACTGAGGAGAAAGACCCAGGTCAAGGCAAGGGTGAGAATAAGAAGATCAGTCCCTCCAATTTGGCCAGACAGGTCGTCCTCTGCACTGACCTTCAACAAAGCCTCCAAAATGACCTCTTGTAAACTTCTTTCATCCTCGCCCCCGTCCCCACTGTCGAAGATGACCTCCGCTGCACGCTCCCTCACCCAGCCGGGGATCAATAACCACCCTTGACCCGTCAAAGTACCCGGTGTGGTACTCGTCGTCCGACCTGCTTTGGCTGTACTGACGGGTAATCTCCACGATAAAGTCGTCGCCTTCGTCCGTTTTGCGAACCTCTTTTCCATCTTTTGGAAAAGGAGTACCGACCCTTCGGGACGTTCACGTTCCTCTACCTCCTCTTGCCCCTCTTCCTGCTCCTGCTCCTCCACCCTCTTCCCAACGAAACAACACCTATTCTTGACCTCCTCCACCACTTCCTCACTCAGTATACGTTCCGGTACCCTCCCTATCGTCGGTGGCGTAGAGGAATTGAACGAAGTAGGTGGGGGTGCGTAAGAAGCGAATTCGAGGAGGAGCGCTTTGAGTCGGGCGTTGAGAAGGGAGGAGGCGCGCGGGGTGGACAGTAGGGAGGGGAATAAGGGTCGGGAGGCAAAGACCTGGAGGGGTGGGAGAGTGAGGATGTAAGTACGAGAGGGAAGGGGGGGGGGGGGGGGGGGGTTGGAGGGAAGGAAGGAAATTGGAACGCACGGGCAAAACGGTCGTTTCGAGATGACCGCAGTCGACGACTAGTCCGGTTACGTTCCCCGTTGCCAAGAGTGCCAAGACGGGTGCAGACCCAAAAGTGATGGACGGGACCTATGATAGAGTCGCAATGAGCCATTTGCCCCCAGGTATTGACCTTGCTGAACAGATCGAGACCACTGACCTGGAGGTTCTCAAAGAGCACTTTGGCGATCATGTGCTTGACCTGAGTCGAGAGCAGTGGGTTCTCGCTGATGATGATCTTGCGTTGTTTCGGGTCGGTCATCAAATGCCTGCAAAAAAAGAGGAGAAGAGATGCTTAAGCTCTCCGACGAAAAGCACGACGAGAAAGGAGGGGCGCGTACGTGTACCAAATCCTCCTCAAGCCCTTCTTGAGCCTCTCGTACCTGATCCGTTCCCTCGTCTCATCGACCTGGTACCCTTCCAAGGCCCACAACAAACCCCCTGCCTCTTCATTGCCCGTCTCCCCTTCTTCTTCGACAAGACTGGTCACATCGAGACAAACTCGCGGACGAGGTTCGCCACTGAAACCGAGTTTCCAAATTCGTGAGCCGAGGTCGAGTACGATGCGGTCCTCGATGCCGTAGAGGGAATGCCGCGACCTGATCGAAGTTTGGTACGCAGGGGAGAAGGAAGCGGACGTCACGGGCCCACCGGCCGGGGTCGATGTACTAGCCGAGGACGAGGTCGTCGTCGTCGTTGTTCGAGCAGGCGTTTGGAGCAGCACGTGGGACGATTTCTGGCGCGTGAGATGGGTCGCGGAGGAGCTTTCGCGGGTTCGAGAGGATCGGGAAGGGGTCGCAGTGGGTGCGTAGGGTGTGGGACCCGACGGTTCGGAAGAGGACATGGTCGGCGTATGACTCGACCAGAGCACGGGGACGAGGCACAGATGAGAACGCGTCGGTGAACGGTCCCGGCGAATGAGCTCGCGTCGAGGTCGGGCGGGGAAGCGACCTGCGACGGCGTTTGGTACTGAGCGGGATACGAGGTGGCAATATGAGTTTCCTCAGTAGCCGACGTGAGGGGATCGAGGTAGTTGACGTTTCCCGGGCGCGAGGAGAGGATGGACAAAGCCGAGAGGAGCTGAGAGGAGCGGAGAGGAGCGGAGTGGAGCGGCGACGAGGCAAGAACGAGACACGTCATCGCTCGTGACTGCTCGTGACTGCTCGTGACTGCTCGACTGACACTGCTCGTGACGAGTCGTGACTGCTCGTGATCGTCGCTCGAGTCATTCGTCGTTCGTTTCTGGGGTTCTGCCCCCACCCGCTTCTTGTCGTAACATCACCCCGCAGCGTATTCGCACCGCCGCCGATCCCACAGATCCAACCGCTACTATAGACTCCATTTCACGCACATGTAAGTTTGTACCGATCACGCTTCGTCACCACCCACACGCCGCCTCTCTGCGTACGACTGCCGATCGATCGATCCGATCCACGCACAGTGTTGGTAGCAAGGAAACATTCCGTACACTGAAACTATCTCCCCCCACCCGCACTCTGCGCTGACACCCCTCCCCCCCCCCCCCCCTCTCCCTCTTCCCCCTCCCAGTCTCCCTAGCGTCGATCACCCCATCATGAATCGCCTCTTTGGCGCCTCGTCCTCGAAGCCCAAACCGTCTCTCTCGGACGCGATCGCCTCAACGGACTTGCGCATCGACTCGATCGAGGTCAAGATCCGCAAGCTCGATGCCGAGTTGACAAAGTACAGAGATCAGATGAGGAAGATGAAAGAAGGGGCGGGCAAGGTAAGCGACGTTTGAGCATGGCACGCTACCCGCTCTTGATTCGCTGATCGTTCCCGTTCTTTCAGTCCGCGGTACAACAAAGAGCGCTTAGGGTGCTCAAGCAAAAGAAACTCTACGAAGCCCAGATCGGCCAACTTCAACAACAAACCTTCAACATGGAACAAGCCTCGCTCACAACTGAAAACTTGCGCAACACGATGGCAACCGTCGACGCGATGAAGACGGCCAACAAGCAGTTGAGGAAAGAGTACGGCAAATTGGACGTTGACAAGATCGAGGTCGGTTTTTCCTCGATCCGTCGATCGAAATCGAACGGGTGTCAGTCGACCCTTACACTGATGCATCATTTTCCCTCCCACAGCAAATGCATTTCGAGATGGAAGACTTGATCGAACAAGCGAACGAGGTACAAGAGTCCATGTCACGGACCTACGGCGTACCGGACGAAGTCGACGAAGCTGATCTCGAAGCAGGTCCGTACGATACCCTACAACCTTCGTCCTTCCCGCACTCTGACCTCCTCTCCTTCAACGTGGATAGAACTGGATGCACTGGGCGACGACTTCGAAGAAGAGGAAGCGATCCCGTCGTACCTCCAACCGTCGAACGTGACGGCCGAACTCCCCGACTTCATCGACGAACCACCCGTACTTGAGTCCGTGAGTCTGCACAAAGGCTGATAAGCACTCCTTTCCATAGAAAAATCCCCAAGCTGACGATTTTGCATTCTTATACGCTTCATACGACGCAGGCACCCAAGGAACGATTAGGCGAAGGCGTCGTCTGAGAAAAGAGCTTCGGGTCACCGAGGTTATTCTGAGGGGTTTTTTGTTGGTATTTCTCAGAAACAACTCGGTGTGTAAAGTATCTCAAGGGTTTGATTCGAGGACAGTGCCAAAGACCATCTTTCTTGATGCCAGTACTTCGTACCTAGTGGTGGCCCACAGCACAGCCTGGCCCCACTAGTGATGGCTATCGTGAAGCGGTTGACCAGTGATCCGAGGGCGAGCAAGTGGGCCGTGAAACGTATGCGTTCAACTCAAGAGGTAGGTACTTTAAGTTTTCTTTTGCCTAGGTGCTGACGGGTGGTCAGAGAATCCAAGGAGCAAGCACCGCGCCCAAAGGCGATGCTAGCGTTTGCATTACTCTCCTATGTGGTCCGTGGGCCAGGATGAGTGAGCGTGAGGTCACGCGATTCCTCGAATCCGCAGCCTCGGCGGCATGTTGATGGCAGTTCGGTGCATGTCCAGTCTGGACGGGTCTTGGCTTTTCTCCCAAGGGTAATACCTATTTAATGAGACACAGTTGACCTTGTATGCCAACTAACGGAGTCTGACATACCCAGGGCCTTTAAAGGGTGGGGGCAGTGATACTTCACCGACACTTGCTCGCCCTTGGGCCTGAACCAAAAGGTCGGCGTCCCGAGCCGACTGAACACTAGGGTTCCCTGAGCCCTTCCATCACACGTCACAAGAACCCGGGCAATCGATCTGTTGAGTTCGTTCATTTGCCTTGCACTGCCGGCAATCCACGGAGCGGTACCTACCAAATGCCTATCTCATTCTTAGGAAACGAAGAGGAGCTCTGTCTCGTCTGGGTCGCGGGAGGAGGCTGTCAGCATGATGACCGCGTGAGACCGGACGGTCGTTAGAGCAGTGCTAGCGCGGTTGCGATTGCCGACTTAGCCGCATTCCTTCTCTTTTGCTCCGATTCCTACTGCAAGTCTCACAGTGACAAACCGTACTCTGGACCAAGGGGCCCGTTTCCCGTGAGCTCACGCTCTGTCTTCAGCGCCTCGCCGGCATGAGCACGGAAGATTCTGATGCAACATCTCCGCACTCTGCCCCGCGACCTGAGCCGTCATACAGACTTCGTCAGCTCTACAAGACATCCCGGCCCATCACATGTAGCTTACTATACATGCGATCTCCGTCACATCTTGAACCTTTCGCTTTTTGTGAAGACCCAAGACGAGGGGACGGTTGCCTGAGCGCCTGAGCGCCTGAGCGGCCGCGACGTCGAGGTCTACTCCAACCCCACCGGCAGTTTTTTTGCGCCACTCGCTCCCTCTCTTGACACTCCGCATTGTGTAAAACTTTCTCCGTACCCACCATCTCGTTATATGGCTTCTTAGTTCGCTCATAATACGTATCAAATCCCACGCGACGTACCATCCCGCGTCTTTTCGTACTATCACGTTCGTACTTCAGCGAAGCTGGGCCTGTGAATCTAGAGTCCGATATGCCACCCGGAACAGAAAATATCTGCTCACGCTTATTCTGTTCAACCGTAACTTCCTGGTATTTGTTAGGTACACTAACCGGTCAGATGCTCGTGATTTGCACCCCTCAATACACATGCGCGCGCGAAACTTATGGATCCCATATGGCAAAACGCCGTATGTCTGCAAGGACCAAAGTTACCTTGCACCGTGAACGGCTCCCTTCTGATTTCAATCGGCATCGATTGATATTGTTATCTTTTTTGCCAGCCCCTTCACAACTGGACTACACAGCCAAAAAAGCCAGAAATTTCAAGCGATGTGAAGGGAGCCATTTAAGGCGCAAGGTAACTTTGCGTATAGTTAGTTGTGAAGGGGCTGGCAAAAAAGATAACAATATTAATCGATGCTGATTGAAATCAGAAGGGAGCCGTTCACGGCGCAAGGTAACTTTCGTCCTTGCAGACATACGGCGTTTTGCCATATGGGATCCATAAGTTTCGCGCGCGCATGTGTAGTCTGGTACAAGCTTCCCTCCTCGGTGCCGACGCAAGCGCTATCTGCGACTAGCTGAGCCTGTTCTTTTCGGCCACCGCACACGAAATGAGATTCCCTAAGAATCTCAACGGCGCCCACGCTTTCCCGGTGTACTCAACCCAGTCTTCGTGCTCCGATGATGTCTTGATCGCACTCGTTTAAGCGCAGCAACGGTCCTTTTCCAGTCCCCTCTTGGTGGTCAAGAGGCTCACGACGACGCTCGCTGCAAGATTGGGATCAAGCCGCTGCGCAGTCAGGGGTTTCCTTGACGAGGGAGTCCCAAGGTCTAGAAGCTGAAAGTCTGCGCACGAAGGAAGACAGGGCAATCTCCGAAGTACGTATAACAATCGAGATAAGGAAATGTTGCGTCGTAGCGGGATACCGATGTTGGGGAGGCAGCTTCGGAAAGCAGCCTGAAACGACCCGGGGCACGCGGGTCTCGTTGAAGTGGCAGCGGAGCCCCACGGGGGGAAGCGCGAAAGAAGGGAAGCATCCTTATAGAATCAATCACGATGAGAAGGGCTAGACACCAATAGAATATCATCCTACCCGAACCACAAAGAGCATGGGAGAGAGGACAGAGAGCGGCGCCGGAATGACCCCTGGTCGCAAATTCGCTCGATCCCGAAAACATCTTGAAGTCGAGGATGTCTTTCGCCTTAGCTCGTGGATCGCCGCGGCCGGTTGCATCATCGATCATCGAGCATATATTGAGGGGCAAAAATGAGGTTGTCCACGCATGCCTTTGACTATGGAGTTCGGAGCACAAGGATGGTTCAGTACGTTCCATCCGTTCGTTGTCAGTGAGGGACCTCGTGGTAGCACAACGGACGCTGCATCCTGTGACGACTCGTAACAGCCTATCACACTGACAGCACACGAAGATATCCTGCCAGATATGGAGCAAAACTGAATGATGGCAAACCCAGACTCACCTGTGCAGTAGACCTCGGCATAAGTGTGCCAGTCCGGAATACGTACTTGTCCCGAGCTATGCCACTTCCCCGCCCCACAGTGAGTGGGAACGCGGCGCTGACACAAGCCGGTGAACCAGCCAAATCACTCACGTAAACGCAAAAGCCCGGGTTTTGGATGAGTAAACGATATGAAGTAGAGGAAGTGTCTGCTTGCTGGGAGATTTGCGCACCACGCAGGGTCCCGGTTGTCGTTGGCTTTGCGTTCCACCGGTCCCGGGACGACAGCGGCTTTGGTCGTCGAAGTGATGAGAGCGAGGGCGAGGGCGAACGGAGTTTTGGAATTGACTCATGTTTTGGGGCTTGCGGAAATGGGTGGGACTGAGCGTTTGAGAGGGACCAGGGTTGGCGTGGAAGAGGGAGAAAGAGAAAGGAACCATTTGGTGGTCTATAAATCGAATTCTTCAGAACCACCGGCCTCGGTCTCGTTATCAACATCTTGGGCCTTGCCCACCCCTCGCTCGACCACCGGGATCCCGCACCTTTGTGGTCGTCTGATCGATTCGCCGAACCAAATAGGAGATCCGATTCGCACGAGATCGGCGTTGGAGATCGATAGAAGATTGTGGCGATGGCGTATCGGAAAAGCGATAGAAGGATAAGGATCGACCGACTCTGGCTTTAACTAGCTGTCAGTTACATCTCGAGCGATCGACGGAGTCATAGCTGCCCCGGTCGCATATAGCTCGAACTCAGGAATCCGGAAACGCATGGCATTGAGATTACACGTGAGCTGAGGACCAGGCCCAGCAGCTAAGCAGATTTTACAAGTCGTTCGGAAACGATTCGCAGGGTAGGTAATGTGACCTTAGTCCTCCGGTGTCGGGTTGAGGGTGATGAGGTTGAACTCGAGCGAGTTTGACAGCTCGATGATCTTCTTCACCCTCACGGCGGTGTCCTGACACCACAGCATAGTAGACCAACGATATTCAGCAGAAAGCTTACATGCTTATGATCCAAACAAGCTTGAAAACATACCTGTAGCAGGTTCCTGGTGATCTTGCCTCGATTTATAGGCGAGTTCCTTCGTCCGTCGAGTTCGATGAGGTTGCCCTTGTGTTCGACAAAGGTGCAGAAATGCAGGTCGACTTGAGTGTCGAGGTCGGGGGTCTGTGGTGGAAGATTGATTGTAGAGAGAAATAGTAAGATGAAGTTCTGGACCAGGATCGGATTACTGGAAGGACTTGCAGCCGTTTGACCGCTCGAAGCAGTTTCGGTGTGCACCCGCTCGAGCTCGTCGGTCGCGGTCAAGAGCTGGGCTCGTTCAAGGGGGGTCTGAGATTTCGGGATGGGAGAGGGAAAAGATGGATCAGTTTTCAGCTCACCTCGGAAGAAACAGGTCACGCGCTACTAACCTTGTCTTTGCATTGCTCAAACAGCTTTGTCAAATACCCTGGTTCTGTCGGAGATGTCAACGCCAGCCTCGTCGATGTCAGTCATGTGGGGGGGGGGGGGGGGGAGATCTGGACGTCGAGTGCGCGCGCAAGAACGAACCAAGCGGCACGCCCGCATTCGCCAAGGCGTGCAGCAAGCCGAATGTCCCACACGCGTTCGCGATCGTCTGCTTGAAGTAGATGATGTCGGCGACCTGCTCTACGCCGTCCTCCTCGATGCGGGCATCTTCCTCGAGTCGGGCCTTTTCGTAGGCCTCGGTGATGGGGAACAAGAGGATCACGGCCTGGGGATCATCACAGCGCATTGTCAGTGCCGAGTGTCTACTGTTGATCGAATGTGGTGTCCGCACCGCTGCACCTTGACCGGTTGCTTGACCGAGCCCAACAGCTCGGCGTCGAGTGCGTAGCAGTCCTGGAACGAGTACTGGCTCGTGTCCAGTCCGAGCGAGTGGGACCACGCGTTGAACGACTCGGGGTTGGATTCGAGAGGGAGCCAGCGTTGTCGTTCTTCGGAGGCCATGGTATCGTACTGAGCTGCCTTACCCAACGTGGCTGAGGAGTCAGGACGAAGCGCGAGAGAAGCTTTAAAAGAGCGACGACCCAGCGAAGAGGTCCGCGCGCGCAGAGAGGGAAAGACGCCATTGCGCATTTCAACTGATTTGTAATGGGAAGCAAGGCCAATAGCGAGACGGGGCGGCTTGTGGCTTGGTGAGCCTGGCGCGCTCATCTCGTGTTTCTGCACGCCCTTCATTCACCCCAACACACCCGGTCATGTCGGTCAACGTCTTTGGTGCAGAGGTACGTTGCTTGTGCGGCTACGTTACACCTCGTGATTGCTCTCGTGTGACTGACCTGTCTGCGATTACGTCGCACCGTCGTCGTGCTCGTGCTCGTGCTCGTGCTCGTGCTCGTCTCGACTCCTTTTTTCCGAAACTCGACCCGACCCAGGCAACACAAGAGCGCGCAGAGAATGTAAGCCCCGTACCCAGCACTCTGAGACCTCGACATCATACCACGACCCACAACTCGGGAACGACTGTCAGCATCCGCCTCGAGCTTCTTGTCGCGGGGCAGTCTCGGTCGAGCAGTGTGGTGTGGTGCGACGTGATACCGACCGGGCGCAAACACCCCCAAGCTGGCACCATCATGACTGCCATACAACCACCACCCGACCCCGACCACTCGCACCGCATCAGATCACGTCTGGTTTTACGGACTGCTTCTCGTGCGAAACTACACGTGCTGCGACGCGACGCGACGCCGACCCACACTCCTCCACCCGGTCGCACCACCCAATACCGAATACACCACGACCCTTGCGCATCTCAACCAAGTGAAATCCTGCACATCTCAGCTACGGAAACGCTGATCTCGCTCTTTCTTCCTCTCGCCGTTCCAACACAGGCGCGCCTCTCGTCCTTCGTCGGCGCCCTCGCCCTCGGCGACCTCGTCAAATCCACCCTCGGACCCAAAGGCATGAACAAGATTTTGCACTCGACCTCGACCGGCGAAATCACCGTCACCAACGACGGTGCGACGATCCTCAAATCGATCGCATTGGACAACCCCGCCGCAAAGATCCTCGTCAACATCTCCAAGGTCCAGGACGACGAGGTTGGAGATGGTGCGTTGCGCTCAGCCAACACCAGAAGGTTTCAAATTGATGTTGAGACCAAGTCGATTTTATCTTTGAAACAGGCACGACAAGTGTTACCGTCCTGGCCGCCGAATTGCTGAGGGAGGCGGAGAAGCTGGTCACCCTGCAGAGGGTGCACCCGCAGACGTAAGTGTCCAGATCGTCAGCGGGTGCGAGACAAGGGTCCTAACAATGCGTCGCCCATTATCTCATAGTGTCATCGAAGGTTTCCGAATCGCTTCCAAATCTGCTCTCGAAGCTCTTGAGAAGAGTGCGGTCGACCATGGGTCAGTCGGGACGAAAGCCAGAACGAGGCTGAGGATCTGACCCCCTTTCGGTTCTCCCCTTGCGCGATCACAGCAAAGATCCCGTCGCCTTCCGAGAAGATTTGATTGCGATCGCCAAAACGACCCTCTCCTCCAAAGTTCTCGCCGCGGACAAGGACTACTTTGCCGAGTTGGCCGTTTCGGCCGTGCTCCGACTGAAGGTAGTTTCAAATCACTTTGGTCACTCCAAATTCGCGCACTCACTCTGGTGATGATTTCTGCACAGGGCTCCACGGACTTGGAGCACATCCAAATCATCAAAAAGCAAGGTGGCAAATTGACCGATTCGTACCTCGACGAAGGCTTCATCCTCGACAAGAAGATCGGCGTCAACTGCCCGCACAAGATCGAGAACGCCAAGATCCTGATCGCCAACACCCCGATGGACACGGACAAGATCAAGATCTTTGGCGCGCGCGTCAAGGTCGATTCGACCGGCAAGTTGGCCGAGTTGGAACGCGCGGAAAGGGAGAAGATGAAGGCCAAGGTCGCCAAGATCAAGGCCTCGGGCGTGACCTGCTTCGTGAACCGACAGTTGATCTACAACTACCCCGAATCCCTCTTCGCCGAGGCGGGAATCATGTCGATCGAGCATGCGGACTTTGAAGGCGTTGAGCGGTTGGCGTTAGTCACGGGGGGTGAGATTGCGAGTACGTTCGATAACCCGTCCGGCGTAAAGTTGGGCAAGTGTGGGACGATCGAGGAGATCATGATCGGGGAAGACAAGGTTCGTACCCGTTCTCATCGCGCGGCTGCGTCATTTGTTTGCTCCGCACATACTTATCTCTGTATCTGTTCGTTGCAGCTCATCAAATTCTCTGGCGTTGCCGCGGGTGAGGCGTGCACCGTAGTCCTTCGAGGTGCGACCTCGCAAATGGTTGAAGAAGCCGATCGATCGCTCCACGACGCGCTCTCGGTCCTCTCGCAAACGGTCAAGGAGACGCGAACGACCTTGGGCGGTGGTTGCGCCGAGATGATCATGGCCATCGCCGTTGACGAAAAGGCGAAAAAGACCGAGGGCAAGAAGGCGCTCGCGGTCGAATCGTTCGCCCGAGCTCTACGACAGATGCCGACGATCCTGGCCGACAATGCCGGATACGACTCTTCAGACCTGGTCGCCAAACTCCGAGCCGCGCACTACGAAGGCCGCAGTGACGCCGGTCTGGACATGGATCGTGGGATCGTCGGGTCCATGAAGGAATGCGGCGTAACGGAGAGTTACAAACTGAAGCGACAGGTCGTGCTTTCGGCGAGCGAGGCCGCGGAAATGATCTTGAGGGTCGATGATATCTTGAGGGCCGCACCGAGGAGGAGAGAAGGTGGGCATTGAGGTGGGAGTTGAAGACAAAAGGAGTAGATAGATGTTCCATTCCGTGACGTTGCAATGCGCGACGATTTTTCATGACAACTTCGAGGAGAGCCTTCTCTGTATCCTTTCGAACCAGCGTTGAGGTCCCGATCTCGGCACAAGCGAAAGAGACTACGTTCTGCATGACGGTATTGCACGGTCTCTATAGTTCTTCCCTACTCATTCCCCCCACCACCACCCCTTTCAGAACCTTGCCCATTTCTCCAACCCCTTGTCTCCATTCCCCAGATGCCCATATCTCCAAACTCAACAACAGCGTGTCCTCTGCTATCCGCTCCCACCCCGTACCGTACTCATGAACCCCGTCCCAAATAGGAGTGGGGATCCAAGGGTAAGCAAGTTTGAAGTGACCGGTCCGCCACCCGGTCCGGATCCGAGAGGTGAGTTCGAGCGCTTGATCGACGCCTATCCAAAGCACGAACCAAACGCACGCGACACCGGTCCCCAACGAAGCCCCTACGATCACTTGCGCCCGGGTATGATGCCCCAAGCGAATACGGGACCAACACACGCTCGAAGCGCCGACTACGAACAAGCACGCCAGAGAAAGTCGAATCAAATTCTCCCCCGAGATGAACTTGTCCGATCCGAGCTTCACGATATGAACGTAGAGAGGGACGAGGGAGGAGATACGAGGGTGGAAAGGGAGTAAGAGGGAGGATAAGGTGAGGTAGGTGCCGAAGTAGGCTATGGAGGAGGAATGTGTCGAGGGCATGCCATACGTTGTTTCGTAGTGGAGGGCACCGTCCGGTCGAGGTTGGCGGATGAATCGTTTCAGCACTTTGGCTGTGAGGTGGGGTGGGTGGCCGAGAGATGGGGGACACCCGCATTCGCAGAGAAAGGGCGAAGTCAGCGTGGTTCTTGAGATCAAAACGGAAGAATGGAAAGGCGTGCGAAAGGGTCGTACCCGAAAAAGCGGCACACAATGTCCCTGCGCCGAACCAGAGCGCATGGGCCGTCCTCAGTCGAAGGATCAGTACAATCGTCAGGGTCGTGACGATGAACTGGGTATTTTGGAGCGCGCTGAGCCATATCCGTCTTACTCGTGCCAAAGACATGATGCCACGTAGGGCGATCGAAAACCCTGAGTAAGGCTGCGCAGGAGAGAACGGAGGTAGCTGGGAAGAAGTGACGTCGCCAGGGATAAGTGGGGGGAGACGACGTCAAGTTCCGCGGTGCAAGCCCAGATGCGGAACCTAGCGGAGTCGAGAGCAGGGTGTTCTCAATAAATTCTTGAACGATAGGATGTGGTACGGGGTGCAAGTTACCTGGCAGATCCTTCGGCGGTCCGGTAGGAAGAAGACGGCCACTCGTGACGAGCTCCGCAAAACTCCGCGATTTGGCCTGACGCGCCTTCGCACTGGCCGATACTCTTTTAGACTCCTTCCCCAACATCTCAGTCCGTCTTTGTCTACAACTCCGCGACCTACTCACTGGTATCCTTCAGATCGGCTCAAACCCTTCTCCACCATGCAACGGACACCTCGATGCTTCGCCCTCGCCTCGGCGGCGACCACTCGTTCGCTCGTGTCACTCCAGAGACCGTTCTCAAGCGTGCCTCCGCTGCAGTCCAAAGCGTCGAAATCGAGGAGTAAGAAGACCAAGCTGCTCGTACGACAACCTACCGCTGTCAAAATTGCAGTCGCCCCCGGAAGCGTCGCGGGCCCGAGCAACAAGGGCAAAGCAAGTACTGCCCCCAGAGGTCTGCTCGAGGAGGAAGAAGAACCTTCCCAGCCTATCCACCAAGCACCCGAGGTCATCACTACATCAAGCGTGGACGGTGCATCGGCCAAAGAGGTCATCTCAGACCACCCGGAGGTGGTGGATGCCAAGCTATCAAGTGAGTCGAATCCCTTCTCTCGCGCCTTGTTTCCTCCCCGGCAGAGAAAATCCAGTATTTTATGATGAGCTCACACTCGCATGTCATCACAACCCTCGTATGTCCAGCTGTTTCATCCTCACACGATGAACCACACCAAAACCAAGAAGAAGAAGAGACGATTTATACCTCTCCACCGCCGTTCAACGTACCTCTCCTCATGTCGGCCTGTTTTGCCTTTAGTGTGTTCAGCCTCAGCGCCGCCGACATCGCTCGCACGGGGTACGCCTCTTATGACGAGGACAAGGAAGCATACGAGCTGGCTTCACCTTGGAAGAGGTATACTTTTGCGGGAGGCTTCGTGTGCGTTTCGGTCGGGTTGGTGCTGTGGGGTACACTGGCACCGGGGAGGTAGGGAATGGCCCAGCTTTTCGTCTTTCCGTTAGATAATCTCGATCCTGACGCTCGTGTTGGCTGGCAGGGTCATAACCAAACTCACAATACGAAGAGGTCCGACCGCGACGAAACCTATGAGCTCAATACCACTCGCCACTCGATATCCTCCTACGTCACTGGTCTCGATCCACACACCCTTGACCCGACTTCCCATCGTGGGCGGCAGACCGCGACAAGTTGAACTCCACCGACTCGTCCTTCTGGGTCCTTTGGCGCAAGGACCCAAGAGCTGGCACCCAGCGCATCACTCTCCCATAGAGACCGCAGAGAAGAAGAGAAACAACGTAAGTACTCCCTACTGCCCTGTCCTTCATTTGCCTTGATATTAACCATCATCGCAATCGGCGTCTCCAGCCCGTCTCGCGAGGCCTCGCGAATCTCTCCGAGCTCCTCATCGCGCCTTCCAAGCCGACCTCTCCCTCCGACCGATGGAAGAACAAGGGCACGCTGTCTCACGTACCCCTACTGGTACATGGCGACCGTTTCTCCTATACACTGGGCAAACGAAGGGCCGGGAAGCAGGGCGATCTCGCAGGCGCTTGGTGTGAGGACTGGGAAGGGTTCGAGAAAGCCCTCTTGGGCAAGAAATGATTCGGTTTGAGACTGGCCTTTTGAAGTTCAGGGCGTGATGCGGAATGTGATACCTACGGTTTTGGTGATGCACAAGAGCTCTCTCACGGTAGCGAATTAATGACGTGGTCGACAACGGGAACCGAGTCGCTCGACGTTAGGGATACTGGGACACCGCGGCGCTCGAGTCTCGACGGAGTCTCATATGAATGTGTTTGACCTAGGTTTTCAAAAGGCTTGGTGCACCCACCGTCTTGGACGAGTAGACTCATTTTGCAATAGATTGAAGAAGGATAACCACCCGGAACTATTCCCACCCGACGTAGGCCCAGTAGCGCCGAGTCGGACTCTCCTATTGCGCTCAAAGGCAGGGTCCTCCCATCGGGGGGAGCATTGTTCGCACCAATCGGCGCTGATATCGGGCTCTCCTATTGGGGTTTCGACAGCCACGCGCGTGCGGGGTATTTCGGCCATTTCGTCCAATAAAATCTCAGAATAGCATCATTTTCGAGGCTGGGACCCCCCCCCATTTTTCGAAACGAAACCTTCAGCTCTAACGAGCTTCAGGTATTGCAGCAAAAGCAAAAGCAAAAGCAAAAGCAAAAACTGTCGTTAGATACCTACCTATCGCTGTGCCACTCATCTTCAAATCTCCGTAGTTGGTAGTGACGCGTGGCGGCTTGGGTCTCGCTATTTCCACGTGTTTCACTGTCCGCGTCTTTGGAGCTAGAGAGGAGCCAGATACAAGTACGTAGAACCTGTAATGGCCCACTTGAAGTCTGCCAAGTCCGCCCAAGTGGCCCAGAGTAGCCCGTCGCCCCTGGTGGGCCCAAGCTCTCAAGACACAAGACACTTCAACTGCCTGCTTTCCGCCTTCTGCCATCTCTGCATTCCGATCCCTTCCCCCACGGCGCCCCCGAATTCTCAAGATGCGCATCCTTATTTTCCTCGCCTTTGTGGCCGCAGTCTCAGAAGGTGTTCTGGGCTTCCAGTATCTTCACGGTGAAGGTCGTAAGTACAAGTACCCTGCTGCCTCTGTCACGACTTGCACGGCGGTTTCCCTTAGTAGGAGCCTCGCGCGACACTAGCATTGCGCTCTCGTAGCTCGCTGGCTGCGGTCGCCGGGCAGTCAGCAAAGCGCATGATCGTGGCTCACGCACCAAGTAACGTACTGCTCCTTTCACTTTGTTCTTAGAGCTTGCACCCAGCAATGCTTACCTCTTCAGGGTCAGGAACAACAGTACGTGTTTCGCTATTAGTGCCGCACAGGCCTCTTCGACGCGACCAGAGCTAGGGGCTAGCGGCGATTGGCCAAGTCGCGTATCCACGGGGTATTGGGATCTACCTTGAAGGAGCTTACCATCATAAAATATACCTACTACCCCTTTGTTTATCGTTCGCTACGCTCAGCGTCCTTCAACCACAGCCTCACCATTTTCGACGCGTGTCAGCGCTTGTACCAGGCCTGCGACAAATACGTGAAGCCTATCCAGGTGCGCAAGGCTGACAGCCTTATGTACTACGCCCACCATGTTCTTGAGTGAGTCAAATTTCATTGATATAAAAAAGCTCGGCTTCAGGGTTGACTGACTCCCTTCCACCGTTGGGTCCCCTGAACCGTCGGCAGCTGTCGCCCAGACCTGTCGAAGTTGCCCGTCTTCTACGCGGCATGCGGTTACCGCATATCGCCCACTCCCGGGGAGCCTACGACCTACAATTCTCAGGACATTCCAATTGACGTCACCTGGGAGGCGCTGAATGGACTCAAATACTACCAAATTTTCCCTCGTGGGGATGAAATGCTCCGTGGCACCAAGCTCGGTCAGGCGGCGAATTCGGCCGGTCGTCATTCCGACCACAGTCACCAGCTCCGAGCCGAAAGTCAACCACATCACCGTAGCCGTATACACCATCACCGTAGCCTTAAAGCCCAAGATTAATATACGCCCCCATCCAGGTGTCCCGCTCGTGACCATTACCGATCTCGACCGCTTCGGGCCTCGGCTCGGTTCCTTTCACTCTTCGTCTTGAAGGACTCGGCGCGAAGCTGGCGTCCATTGCTAGTCCATTGCTACACCCAGCCCCCATCACTTTTCGCCTGCCATACAACGGCTCTTCTCTCCCTTGAAATTCCATTATTTTGGCGTATTGTCGACCCTATATCGATTCATGTGATTTCCTCTGCAATGAGAGCGCATTCGAAGTATGTCATTGTGATGTGACCTGTGTTGCCACTGCACTGCCGCCAGCGGTAGGTAAGCGGTTACCAAAACGTTTAGGCTGCATGCAGTGGCAGGCCAAGGGTCGGACTCGTGACCTCACTTGTCTTCATAAGCGGGCAGTGGAAGACGAAAAGTATGTAAGGTGGAGACCTCTTGGCTCAAGGCAAGCAAGACCTGGTAGCTTGCTGCCTCACTGCAGTGAATCCCATGTCGGAGGCTCGGCGCCGCTCTCGAGTCTGTCAGTGCGATCACTAGATCAGTCGTGGGCGGGCCGCGTTCAAAGGCAGTCAAGCAAGGCCACGAATCAAGGCTATGAAGACTCAATAACACACAGTACATACGAAGCGAGAAGCGAACAGGATCAAGTGTGGGTTTGAACAAATACAAATGAGTATGAGTGGAGGTCTAAAATCGACAAAGCGAGCAAGACCAATTCCTTCGCCGAGGCAGAAACTGCACGACCAAGTGAAGTAATGGCAATCCAAAGTAGCGTAGACAAGCAACAAGAGTCAAGCCTTGACAGCGACCGGGGTAGCGGGATTTGTCGTGGTTAAAGAAGTGTGCTTCTTGAGGGCGGGGCTGCCTCCTTTCTTTGGCGCCGAGCAGTCTTTCCAATCCTTGAAAGCAGGGGCGGTGTCAGGGTCGGTGACGGCGGCGGCAGTGGCAAGGGTAGGCGTGGACGACGAAGATGCCTTCTTCGACTTTTCTGTGAGAACGACGGAGGCGCCCCTGGCGGCGGCGGACGCGAACGAACCGACAAGGCGGGACGGTGCGGCCATGGCCGCTGCTCCGAAAACTGGGGCCGAAGCGAGGGGACTGGATGAGGGTTCAGTGGACGGGGTGCCAGCGGTCTCCGAAGCGGGGGCATCCGAGTGATTGACCATCACGAAGTCCGAGTCGGCCACAGCACTCTCAAAGCCAGCGTCATCAATCTGCTGAACTTCTGTAGGTGCTTCAAGAGCGACGCCGGCGGAAGATGTTGAAGGTTGCGAAGCCGCCGTCACTTCAGGCTGAGCGACTGACAATTCGAAGGAAGGAGAAGGGGAACCTGGGGTCAAAGCGGGAAAGTCTTCGCCAGAAGGCACGCGCTGGGTCGCACGCGAGAGAGCACTCGACGGTTTGCTGCGATCGCCATTCGTCAAAACTGCCGGCCTTTTTGATCCACTTGGCGCAGCGACGGGCAGATGGGGCGCCTGAACGTCTCGGGGCTGCACTGGTGGGATACGACGAGTAAGGCCGTGGATAGCGGCGACGAGTTGCGGTGCGGCTCCTCCAGGATGCAGACGGGAACCGTTCGCGGCAAGACCCGACGAAACCTCAGGGACGCCAGGTGACGATTCACCCGCCACTCCGTTGTGACCCGCGGCAGCTACCTGAGCTTGCGTGTCTGCTCTCAGGCGAGCTTGCTCTTCCTCGAAGCGATTCCGTTGCTGACGTAATGCCCCGTTGGAGAACGGCCCACCGGAGCTTTGCGCGCCGTTGCGGAAGAACGCGCCGTTGCTGCCTGCCTTCTTCCAGTTTGGATTGGCCAACCATGTCGCCGGAAGACCACCCCTTTCCTCCGGGTTGTCCGTTCGCCCATCAGCGCCAACCCAGCCTTGACCTAGCAGACGGGCGTCGCTGCCGTCCGGCAGGAGATGTTGGAATGGACACGCATCGCGGTTTCGGCACCGGTTCGCCTCGAAGAACGAGCAAGGTGGGCGAGGTGACCCGGCGGGGAAATTGCGACGAGCGGTTTTGCCGTTGCTCACACTACCAAAGCTTCCAGCTGGTCCAATCATCGATCCACGGGCTCGTGGAACATTTGCGAAGTGCGGCATGCCATGTGGGCCAATGATGCCGTTGCGAGGTGCGTTCTTGCCATTGGAACTCGTGGTCACCTTCACAGGAGTGATGGCCGAGGCTGGATCTGAGGGCGAAGTGGAGCCATCCCATCCGTTGGGTGCTAAAATATCGTTCTGGAGTAGGTTGTGGAGGGTCGGAAGGATTGAATGGTCCGCAGAGGACGGAGACATCGAGGCTGCCGCGCTTTGGGACTGGGCAGGAGCGTAATCGGTCAGGCTAGCGGACGCAGTGGCGGACAGTAGGGGACTTGTTCCTGGAGGCGATGGCGCACTTAGATCATCACGAGACGGAGAGGCTGGAGTGATCGATGAGGTAGAAAGAGTTTGCGGGGCAATCGAGGCCAGAGCAGGGTTCGAAGCGTTGATGTATCCCGTCGAAGCCGGGGAAAAAGCACGACTCTCGCTAGACAACGCGGTATTCGAAGTTTGCGGAGCTTGCTGCTGCGCTTGGGGCATATGATAGAACGATTGGGGCGGCGGTGGCGGCGGTGGCGGCGGTGGCGGCGCTTGCTGGTAATGTTGGGCGCCGAAGAAAGGTGGAGGGAAGGGATAGAAGGCTCCCTGAGGCGAAAACGGTTGCTGTTGTTGCTGATGGTGCTGGTGGTGATGGAGGTGATGGGAATAGCCGTATGGCTCAATGTGCTGTTCGGGATAATACATGGGCATCCCATGGAGGTACTCGTCTTGCTGCGACGGAAAGTGTTGCGCTTGCTGGTGAAGGACGGTTTGAGGATCGGCCGGCTGAGTGGAAGTACGCAGGAGTTGGGCCTGAACGGAGGGCGATGGAGCAACACCTGGGGAGCCAGCCACGCCCGGAATTCCGTGGGAGAAAATGCACGAATCACCATACTTGCAAGTGCCTTGCGGGAAGTATCGACAGGGGATCAACTTGGCCACTTCGCGCGGGGGAAGGTTCGCTTGAGGCGGAGGGGCCGGCGTGGGATCGAAGTTGCTGTTGTGCGACGTCACGTGGTATGGCGACGGGGCACGAGACGGGACGCCTTGGTGGTCAGCGACAGCCAAGTCGTCAACTGTGCCAGTGATGAGGGGGAAAGCGGGGGTAAGTGTATGCACACATTCCATCCATGGACGAGCCAGGTTGGATCGCAAAGCGGCGGCCCATCTGAATATAGCCACAGACACCACAGCGTCGAAAGTGGGGAGGTGACCCGGGCCAGCAGGAGCACCGATGTAGTCATCTCGGACCGTAGCTGTGCTCGAGGCGAGTTGAAGATCTTTCGGGCAAGAGGCACATTCGGGCCGATCCAGCCTGATCCGTCCCAGGGATTCGTATTTCGCAGTCCATCTCGGCGAGCAGCGCGCCCGTGCGCGCAAGGGCGCTGCGAAAAACTTCGGGACCCCCGCATAGATGCGCCGGAGCCTAGGCGTGATTGCATGCGACACAAGCATACCAGCGAGCTAGCCCAGACAGCAATGCTGAACCAGCTGCATGGTAAGCGCACCTCATGGATGGAGACCATGTCAACCGTCGAAGAGGTGCAAGCCCCAAATCCAATGACGGGCTGCAGAGAAGGACCGAAACCTCGACTCACCGTTCGCAGACGGAGCAGCGCCATCCTTCGATGCGAGCTTGGCCTGAGCCTTCTGCTGTTGGTGCACCTGCTGTTCGGCCGCGACTTGCGCCTGAACGCTCTCGGGTGCTGCGACCATTTGGGAAAAATGCAGCTCGGGCGGGCGAGATGGGCAGAACAGTCAAGGTGGGTCCAAGTATCCGGTCCTCTGCGTCGAGCTTGAAGAACCCAGGTCCAATCGACGACCGCGAATGAGAACGAGCGATGGCAGGGGAGGGTCAAAGAGGCTACAGTCGGACAGCAAGCGCAGAGAGCGGACGTCAGAGAGCAATTGAGTCTTGTATCGCACCAGAGCGACCGCAGTGACGAGTACACTCACGACCTTTCACCGACGGGGGCACGGGGGACAAGCTCGACCCTCTCATGCCTTCGCTAGCCTTCGCTAGCCTTCGCTAGCCCCTACTAGCCCTCGCTTCGCTTCGCAGCCTGCGAGAGCCTGCGCCAAGCGCTCGGGCCTCCAACTGCCTACAATGTCCCTGGCTTCGGAGCTATGTCACGTGATTCTCGTGCGCGGCCCCACCGGCGTCGAGGGACCCAGGGTGTCCCGAGACTACTGAATCTCCGCTGAATCGACCAGAGCAGCATCAATCCCTCCCCCCTCATCTCCGATCACTCACGGTGCGCTGGAGTCTGGCCCGCCGTGCACGTGACTTGTGTCGGGCCTGTGATAGCAAGTTTCCAAGAGGCGGAGCCCATCGAGTCCAACTCACAATTACTCTGAAACCTAAATGGCGAAAGCGCAGACTTTGACGAGACTTGGCGTCCTAATTTGTTGCTCATAACATAGGTGTGATTACAAGCACAAGACAACCAAAAACCACAATTGCACGACACCACCTTTCCGGACTGGTGCTGCAGCCCCTACGCATCATGCATTCCTTCGTCGTCTACTGCCTCAGGGTCTTGTTTCGGATCGTGGTCGGAAATGAGAAGCCTCGTATCCCCTTGTCCATCGGACCCCTCTGCCTCGTATACTACGTCGCTTGCTTCCCCTTCATTGGGCGAGCTCGCTTCAACGTCCAAGGTGGCCTCTCGGAGCTCATCGCCAGGCGGGCCGATCAAGAAGTTCTCTACCTCGGTGACAGCCTCATCGATGTCGGAGCTCACAGTCGCCCATCCGGCGAGTCGCATGCCGTTCAATAGCCACTCGAGCCTTTCGGCTTTCTCCCCAACCGATAAGGATCCCCCAGCGAGCGCTCCTTCGAGAGCCTCGCCAGGCGCCGCCGGAAGGCGAATCAGCAGCTTGGTCCACTCGGCGAGGCGTAGCGGCATCAACCCCGGCGTCAGCCAAGCTAATGACGGGACGTCACGCACTCGTTCCGCCAGCATGGCACCAGCACGAATCCCCACCCGTCGATAGGCTTCCGCCAACAGATCCACTGCAACGGCCCTACGTTTGGTCGTGTCCGAGGTGGCATGCTTGCCTGAGTCATTTGACGTTTCGAAGCTGTCGATGCGAGCCTGGAGGTTGAGCAAGAGGGGTAGAACGAGAGAGGACCAAGCTACCGTCACCATGAAGCGAATGGCGGCAAGCACTTCTACTTGAGAGTCACCATCGTGAGCAGGCACTGAGGACTTGTCGCCGAGCAAGCTTTCCGCGGTTGTGTCGAGTTTTGAGCGCAGTGCGCCTAGTAATTCGAGATCGGAGAGATAAGAGGCAACGACAGCTTTGTCGAGCCAATGAGATCGGGCGAGAGTCCCCGAAATTTGGCGAACACATCTTCGTGCCAGATGCGTGGCGTGGTAAAGGAAGGGGTAGAGGCATCGATCAAAAACTTCGGCCGATTCCAGAGCCGCGGCTGCCGATGCGCTACTTTCGAGGGGTTCGGGAGCCAATCCTGCGAGCAGTGACTCATCCGTCTCTTCAAAAATCGAGATCGTTGACGAGCTGAGCGAGTTCAAAGCGTCGAGGAGCTGCGGAAAGATGCGCATCGATTGAGCGCAGGCTTGTGGAAGTGCTGACGAAGGTCGGTTGCTGCTTACAATTAGGAAAGTCCACTCCATTTCGGGATCTGGGATCCCTTCGACACACAACTCACGCAAGTGCGTGGCGTGCGCGACACTGTACGGTTTCCCTGCCATTGGTGAGGTGACTGCATGGTCTCAGAAATCAGGCCCAAGCCGCAGTCAGCTTGGCTCGCCTGTATGGGGGGCAAAAGGCTCCGCTCGCGGTGGGCTCACCTCCGATCAGTGCCCCCAACAAATGACAACTCGCAACGTTTTCTCTCCCGCCATGTACCAGCGCTCCATACTCCCAAGCCAGCCCAATCGCTTGCTCCCTCAACTTGTCGCACGCGTGGGCCCTTCGCTTGCCAAATTCACGCAGATCGGATTCACCGAAGAGGCTTGGTATATTCCGATTGATGCTATCGAACGAGGGAATACGAGACGAGTGGGTATAGTAATACGGCGTTGATTCTGGGGTCGTGAAGAGTAGAGGGTGGGACGAGATGCATGCGGTGAGGGCGATGACCGAGCGCGCGAGCACCTGGGTCGAAGCAGGCAAGTCGTATAAACGGCCGTTGACGGCTTGCACTTGGCTGGAGAGGACCGGAAGAGAGAACAAGCCCAACCAGTATTGAGGTGTCGCCTTGAACACTGTTCGCAGGCCAGAGGAAGGCACATCCACACCCGTCAGAAAATTCCGCCGCACGCTGCAGATGGCGGGCGGCCTACTCACGTTCGATGAGGTGGGTGATAAGAGCTGTGCTGAGCTGCTGGTCGGCGAGCGTGTCGCCAGAGTAGCGAACCAGAGGACTTTCGTTATATAGCCTAATGGCTTCCCTAGCCTCTCTCGCCGCTTCCCTGGCGATGGCTTCGGCACGCTGCGCCGCCACCACGCTTGAAAAAGGGAGCGCGGCGGGCTGTCGGTAAGGCACTTCCTCGTTCTCAGCGCTTATTCCGGTATCCTTGGACATGGATGTGGCGACACGAGCTGCTACTGCGTTCTGAAGTCGACGAGCGACGAGCGAAAGCGGCTCTCCGTCCTTGCCGAGCTGAGAAAGCGACACCGGGTTCGAACTAGCGGATGTGTTCAACGACGCCGTGCCGTGCTCGCGAGCAGCAGCCGAGTCGACGAGTGTGCCCCCCGTTCTACGCGTACGTCCGAGAGAAGACCCACAATTAGCGTCAGCATTCGCCATCGGCCTCAGGCCCTTGCCCTTCTACTTGTGCCGTAGCCGGAACTGACTTGGCCAGCACGATCCGTTTGCCAGCACGGGGCTCCATCTTCTTGCGCACATGTGGTGTGAATGTACAGGCTGTTGAGGAAATGAAATGATGCATAATGCGATACCGAAGCGCAGTTCCCGAGTCAGCGAGGGTAGCTCGATCGATTCAAGCTCGGGATTCGAGTTGCGCGGCATCGACAAGATCGCACTCGCTCGCCGGAGTTTGCACTGCAGAGACGTACGGATGCCATGCCGAGAGCACTGCACGCAGCTCTGTCCTTCTTGGATGCACCTTACTTTCCTCAGCTTGCCTGTGCAACAAGATCGCAAGCCGACGTCAGTACCGACGCCGATCCATGGCTACTCGGTCATCGCTTAGCATCTCGCAGCAGCGGCATTAACGTGCACCACCACCACCACCACCAGCCTCGCGACGTACATGCATCGCAGGTGAAGCGACCTTTGGCCTTCGCATCCTTATTCGATTTTCCATCTCCACCGAACGCCGACGAGGAACCAGGCGACGACGGTGCATCTGTATCGTGCGAAGCCGGCGGTGTGCCTCCGACGCCTGCTGTCTCGTCGTCGCCCTCGACCAGCATGCCGGTCCCATCCAGCGCACCTGGCGCAGAGGCGACTTCGGAGGAGGCTCGGGACGACATGAGTCCAAGGGGCGGGATGGATGTCTAACACGGGCGGTGGAGCGACGAGCACGCGTTCGCTTAGCAAAGTGAAACGGAGCTACACGAACGAACGGTTGTGGCCTCGGGTATGCCGCCAAAGTGCGGCGGGAGAAAAAGCGAAGACAAGTCGAGTTTTGGCCCGGCGTTCTGGGTGCGGCTAGGCGCGTCTCCTCTTCGGAGGACTTAGTTTTCGCGCCAAAACTTGACGACTCATAGAACACCTTTCGCCTTCTCTTTCCCTCTCTCTCTCCCTCTCGCTGTGTTGCAGGATCGCTTAAACGGCTTCAAGCACCGTTGATGGAGAATCGAGATAGAAAGGAAAGCGCAAAAACCATGTGGTGCAAACCTCAATTGCAATCTTACACAGGAGCCTCACTCTGCTCCCTCAATGTCCTTCTTCGGCCAGCATTTCGGCAACCGCACAGAAGAATGAGACGGGCTTGAACTTGATCGGGCGACCAAGCCACTCCGCCCACCCATATCTGACTTTTCCGACCCATCCAATTAGATCACTGCAAAGTCGGATCAAGGGGCCGAGACCGGACAAGGGCGTGCGCGCGCGTGTCACTAAATCGCAAGCCTCGGCGTTTGTTGTCCCGGGACTCACTTCGGACTCACAGGTGATTTACGTTGTTGAGTGTTGACTGATAATTGCCCCACTTGGCACTCCGTACCGACACCAATCCGTCGTTTGGTCCTTCCTTTTCCAAAAGGATTCCATATGGGACGCGAAAGACGTTCGTCCAGGTGGGCACAAACTCGGCTCCATAGCTATAGTAGGCGACGTCCTCCCGATCGGGCGTTTGCTCGTTGAACCTCGCCATCTTGCTCACAGTTAGGTCCTCGAATGCTCGACCACCACCGGGTATCCCAACAGTTTCAACCAAACTCAGGAGCTTGGGAAGGTGTTGCTGCCCGATCACGTCCTCGAGCATGAAATCCGCGAACGAGGAACCTCGGTGTGGGGTCGAGATGGTCGTTAACGATCTGACAGAGAAACTGGTCGGCCGAAGGTGGGTGATCAAAAATCGACCATCAAGACCACCCTAACGACAGTTTGTGCGTCAGCTTGAGCTTCAATTCGTCCGTTACCATAGACTTTGGCTCGACCGACCATTGAGTGTCCAATCAGGTTTACTTGCTTCCCCGGAAAGCGTTCCTCGATACACGAGCAAAGCACCTTGGCCCGCTCTTCGATCGAGGCAGACGCTGGAACCTTAGCGACCATCACTTCGACCCCCAAGCCTTCAAGGGCTTCTTTCACGCCTACCCAGTACGAAAATTGCAGCGGCTTGATTGAAGTCGGTCCAAGCATGTCGAATCCGAACAAACCGTGACAAAAGACGATCGGGTGCTCGGGGCTTCGATACGACTCCTTGAGCACCGTGTAGATGTCCATGTGCGAGTCGTCAACAGCATCTTGATCGTCTTGATTGAGCATTGGCTCGATGTTGTCCTCATCCTCATCATGGCGCGTCTTGTGACGAGTTTGCGCATCGGAGGCGAAGGACGAGGTCGAGAACGTCCTAGTTGCGCTCGGGCCAAAGGGGTTCGAGATTGAGAACGACGACAGTAGCGAGGCAGGGCCGTCCAAAGCATTCGAAACAAAGCTACGTGGTCGATCGGGTCCCTGGGAAGCTGGGGTTGTGGCCCCCTTCGGCGAGTCTTCGTCTGCTTCCCGGTAGATCCTGCGCGCCCGACCGCTGATCCCAACCGATCTCGCCACTGTGGCTAGCTCGTCGGGCGCAAGGTCTAGCATGTCACGTTCAAGGTCATCAGCACGCCTCTGCGACAGGTGCTGCTGCGCTATTGCGTTGACGGCTGGTCTGCCAGCGAAGTACGACAGGAAACTTCGAGTTTGCTGTTGTTGCCGCTGCTCCTCCGACTCGAGATCGGGTTTGAGAGTTGCCGTTGACGTGATCGGGGTTGAAGCGCTGGGCCCGACGACTGAGAATGGCCACCACCAATGACCCCACCGGAGAGCATCCATATCCCCTCTCGCATCGTCCGATTGCTGCTGCTGCTGGTCCTGCTCCTGACGAGTCGGAACGGACTGTGAGGAACTCGTAATCAAAGGCGTGTGCTTGGTGTCGGGCAAAGGGGCGAGGGTCGTACTGGACTCGGACGAGGCGCGTGATTTAGGGCCATACAACGGCGGTCGGACCAGCAACTGCGAAGCCCGGCGTGTAAGGTCGCTGTCGGAGCGTATCAGGAGCGATCGCAGCGACTCAACCGAAGCACTGCGGCTGGGCTGTGAACCGGAGCTGTTGGTCGTTGTCGGTAGCGACGGGGCGAGGGGGGCCGGTGCATTGCTTGACCACGCTGGCCGCGACAAGTCAGATTGACAGGCAGCATGCGATGACGTGGAGGCTGAAGCACCACCCGGAGCGACGGTGGCCCATAGCGGGCGCGGATACGGCTTCGCATGGGAGGGAACTGAGGGGGGCGAAAGTGGGGGTGAGAGGGCAAGGACAGGAGAAGGATGGGGGACGGCATGGTCATGGGAGGCATGGGACGGATCGAGATGAGCCGCGAGTGCGGTCGCCAAATGAGCATCGACCCCAGCCGAAACTTGATTACTCAGAGATGCCTTGCGTGTAGGCGGTGGCTCGGTACGCTCGATCGAGGCTGAAGATGTTGGTCGCACCATCAGGCAAGATCGTGAATGAGCCTTGCGGCGGCTGCGTCGCAGTGCAGCACGGAGCTGCGTTGACGAAGCCACCCTGTCCAGTACCTCGCACCGCGCAGACTCGGCGCAAAGCAGTGGGTCCACAGTTTGCGACTGACAAGCGGTGGCGGGCCCGACGAGGCGAAGAGAGTGTGAAACGCGAGGTACTTGTGTGATGTGAGCAAGTGTGAGTCCGCGACAGGCTCGCTGCGTGTCGCGCGTCACACGGCCCGGCCAGGTACCTACTGCGAAAGCAAAACTTCCTACGTTCCGAGCCAGCAACAGGGTGTGAATTACTTCCTCTTGCTAGAACCAATTTCCTCCCTCACAAATTCCCGTACTCGCCTATCGACTCGCTCGGCGCGCCCGCTGGTGCCTGCTGGTACTCTGCTGGTACTAGCTGGTACTCCGCTGGTCGCCTTCTGTCGCCTTCGGCAACCGGCCATCAACGCATCATCACCCGCTTACGTCATTCCTGTCGGCTAAGCCGGGGTCTTGTTCCAGCTCCCAGCTCCTCTCTCTGGTCTAATCCATAGGCATTCACTAAGTGTCATGTCCCCGATTCCGCAGCCATCGCCCAGCCACGATCTGCCCAAGTTCCATCTCCAGATCCTCGATCTTTCACATCCCGGTGAGTTGTTGTAGCCGCGTTCGGATCCGAGCGGCACCCGCCACATGTGGGGGTGGGAACGGCGCGCGGGGCAGACCGGGTCGAATCGAGTGGCACCAGCTGATCGGGAATTGTTCCGTCTGGTCTGGTTTGGCCAGGGACGGAAAAGTTTTTTTCACACTGTGGAACACCCCTCAAGCTCCTCGAATCGTCCGCATCCGCGGTGCTGAGGTGGTTGTATCCTTTAAGCGCGAGGTCCTTTAAAACACCTACCTCTGCTACGTCCTTGGCCGAACAAGAAACCGCCGACAATCAAGTGCCAGAAGCGCACCCTCCGTCCATCAGATCGGTCACCCTCCACGTCAGATCCGTTGACGGTGTCGCGTACACCCAATCGATCCCTCTCGATTCCGAGCACAGGGAGGTACACTTCTCGGCGGACTACGTGCACGGCATCGACTCGGCCAGGATAGGCAACGAAATCAGAGGGGTCATCGTCCACGAGCTGGTTCATGTGTTCCAGTACGATGGTAAGGTAAGTTCCAACTCCACTTGAAAAGCGAACACAAAAGCCCAAGACGGACACTGACGCCTTGTGACGGGTTGGGTTGGGGGGGGGGGGGGTCAGGGCACTATGCCTGGAGGCTGCATCGAAGGAATTGCCGATTGGGTCCGAGTGAGTGTGATTTTGAGCTCACTGGCTTGGCGTGATGTCATGTCATCGACGAGTTTGTTTTTTCCGCTTGGATAGGCCAAGGAGCAGCTCGATCCTCCCCATTGGAGAAGAGGCGAAGGCACACAGTGGGATGAAGGATACCAGGCAAGTGCCTCTAATGCAGCTTTGGCGCTACTGGACCACTGATGTGCAACGAATTCGCGTCCAGACGACCGCCTACTTTTTCCTGTGGCTTGAAAAGCGATTTGACAATCCGTGGTTCGTGCCGCAGCTCAACGCGCTGATGGCCGAGCACGAGTGGGACAATGGCAAGTGGCTGCGAGAGCTGCTTCAAGGCCAAGACATTGAGGACCTCTGGGCCAAGTACAAGCGGTCACTCGGAGACACAGATCGCCAAAGTGACTCGACTGCATCGAAGCCAGTCCCGACACACGGCTGTTAAGAGGGTTCGAGTGAATTTTCGTATAGCAACTGGCTCTGACGGCAGATCATTACGAACCAGTAAAAACGAAGCAAGCACTCCTTTACCCCAGTGGAAAACGAAAGCGAGGCACCACGCGCAGAGCTTCTTCCTTTGAAGCTCTGTTGAGGATGTGGGTCGCTCATTCTCCGACCATGCCGGTCTTGCCACTGCGCTTCATTCGTTCGGCTAGATCCATACCTCCAAACACGTGCTTCTCCTGCTCACGGAGGAACCTGGGCCCCACCCCTTCACCCTTCATGCGTTTCTCCATCTCCATGTCATGCTCGCGCTGATCGGCCTCGTCCTCTTGCTTGACTCGTGCGGCACGAGACGTTGACAATGACGCAGCGGAGGCTTGCATGACCGCCAAGCGTTCTTCAACGGCCTTTTTTCGAGCCATCTCAAGCTCAGCAGACGAAGTCTCGCCGCGAGCATTCCAAAGCGGCGCAGATTTGCGACCTGAGGTTTGAGACGCACGCGAGGCCCGATGATCATCATCATGGTGGTGAGGTCCGGAGGGTGCACGGCTATCGATGTCGCGGCCACCATGCATCCGAGATGGTTTGACGTCACCGTGAAGACTTCGCCTATCACCTCTTGTCTCACTCCTTGAGTGTGGCGAGCTTTCGCGACGAATGCCAGAACTTGGAGAGCGGTCCCGATTTGCTCGATCTCCTGATTGGACCGGCCTCACCATATTAATACGACAGTCCACTGGTCTCTCTGAACCGCACCCATAACCGCTGGCGTTGCTTCGTTCTCGCTCTTCGTGTCCAACCCGGTCATCAGATCGATCCCAGACGTTGTGCCTATCCCATTCGTCGCGTCGCTGTCGGTCTCGGTAGCCTTCATCATCATCCCGGCGCACGCAGTGCCGAGTCGACAAAGGGGGACCTTTGCCCTCCCCGTTCGGCCGCTGACCCTTCGAGTGTGATCCATTGTGTGTATCGTCTCTGTATCTGCCACCATCACCACGCCTGTGTTCATTCCCTGCGTACCCTTCCCTGAAAGTTCTCTTGCGACTGCCTTCATCCTGCTCATCCATCAAGCGCTTGCCTTCCTTGCGTGCTCGTCGTTCCTCCTTGGTCTCGTCCTTCTTGCTCTTTCTTTCCCCATGAGATGTACCAAGCGTGCGTGAGCCGCATTCGCGTTCGCGCAGCTCTTTGAGCCGTCTAGGATTCTTCAGCAGTTTCTCGTACTGCAGCTGCTCCTGACGCTTGATCGCGAGCAGAGGATCTTCTCTGATCTTGGCGGCGGTGTCGCGGGCCGTGTTGGCATTTTGGAGAGCGGTGAACGAGCCACCGGGCGCATCTGCAGAAGTTGTCGCCATCAACTGTCACAGCAGCGAGGGAGCGGCGAACGAAGGAGGAAAACGAAATTGAAGCAGATTAGAACGTGGCTTTTCGCTGATCGAGGCGAGGCCGTCAATCGGTAACGGACCTTTTCTTCATTGCCCTTGAGTAGCTTGTCGACGCGCTTCTTGCCCAACAAGTACGCCTCGAGCTCTTCAGCTTTGGGCCCATTGCCCTCGGCGGGGGCGGCATACATCCAGTCGACGCGATCGGCGCGCTTCTTACCCCCTGCCTCAGCCTGGAGGCGTTGCAGCTCTTGCACGGCGCGCTCTTGCTCCAGCTCCTTCTGCAGCTCCTGGAGCTTTTTACGTTCCTCCAAAGCAGACTTCTCGTGCTTCCACACTCGTTCCTGCAGGCACACAAGGAGGGAGCAAAGGCTTGCAAGGGTCAGACACGATACCAAATGGCAGCGAGGTGCAACATTTCGGTCGAAGAGATCACTTGTCAGCCACCCACCTTGTTGGCAAAGGTACCCGTGTGCCACGACTTCTTCATGTTGAGATCTGTAGCAGTCCAATTCCCGAAGGCAGGCGTTCAGGCGTTTCCAAGTCAGCGCATAAGCCAGCGCTCATCCGACTGGTCGGTTTCTCGTGGGCATGTGCAGGGGTGAAAACGCACCTCCACCTCCCATATTGAATGTTTATCTCGCCGTCGCGGTGTTGGAGGATCAATTGAGCGGGATCCAACGATGTCGTTGATGAGGGAAGAGGCCAACGAACGCTCGAGGTTGCGCGCGCCGTGGCCGGGTCGGAGCGGTCGCTCAAGTAGGCTCAAGTGCTCTGGAGCAGTCTGGAGCTCTCTGGAGTGAACTTATAGCGAGCTTGAGTGCTCTCGGGCTGTCTTGGCCCTTGGCCCTACTTGGCCCGCGCCAGCCCGCGCCCTCACGCGCTAGCCCACTGCCAGCTCGCGCCTGCTCGCGCGCTCTCGCGCCTGCTCGCGCGCTCTCGCGTCTTCTCGCGCGGGCTCACGCGGGGGTGGCCTGCCCCAGTCGGCTCATATTCTGACTGCTTCGGACCTTCGGTCCACCTGCACCACTTCGAGTTAAGTACTTCTTCGGAACTTTGGATGTCCCGTGCAGGTCATTCGGCGATCAACAGTTCGGAACAATTCGGTCGGCGAAAGCTTGTTTGCCACTGCAGCTCGCCAGTGCAGCCACTTCAGCGGCCAGCCTTCGCCCAGCGGCGCCAGGCCGCCAGCGCAAGTGCATCGCGATCTGACGTCTGACGGCACCATTGAATATTGATGACTCGCTCCTGCCGAAAGCGAGCGCTACTAGTTCTGCCAGACCGTCCCGCGGCGACTCACGCCGCATCGTCAACGGTGGCCAGCCATCCGACGAAGCGGCGCTGTTATCAGCAACTCAATCGTCCGACCGAGCCCACACCTCCTCAAAGGCTCCTTAGCGTTGTTCCGTTCTCACTGCCTTGGGAAGCAGAGCCCCCGGTGTTGACGCAAGCCGCCGGCGTCGCTCGGCTCGACACCGTTGATCCGCAGCAAGGGCCAATCAGTTGAGTCTCTCCGCGCTGCACTCCCGGCCGGTTCAATGCTCGCGGATCCAATGCTCATGAACCGTGATACATTGCACCTCATAGCTTTGGTTCTGTCGGCAGGAAAACCTCTTACAATCGGTCGCTCTCCACTCGGAAGCTACACGATACCTTTGCCCTCGGTTTCGAAACTGCACTGTCGTCTTTACTCGGTCAGTGGCATGACCTGCCTAGCCCCAACCGAGTTGTTCAACTTGGGCCTGAGATGGACAAGCCGACCTTGCGCAGTTCGTCGTAGACACGGGTGACACGGTCGTCGTGTTGGAGGACCTGTCCAGTAACGGTCTAGTGTGCAACAATCGACGGGTTCTGCGCAGCTCCGTCATCCTGCGCGATTGCGACGTGTTTGAAATCGGCGATCAGTGCTTTCATTTCACCCGCACCGCACAGCCTCACAATCGACCGGATGGCACCGACGGCGGGAGGGATGAACGCACACTAGCAAACTACAGTATCTCAAATAGTCGACTCGGAAGTGGCGGCTTCTCGGTCGTTCGGCTCGGCTTTGATTTCGTGAACGGGCGTCAAACCGCATGCAAAGCAATCAAGCTCGACGCTCAGGATCAGAGCCGAGGTTTCCGACAAATCAAGACCGAAATAGAGATGCTAAAACGGGTCGGTGAACACCCCGGAATCAATCAGATATATGACGCCTTCGTTATAGGAAAAGAAGCGTGGGTGACATCATTGTCGGGGGCCATGTTCGTCGGCCGCGCGATGAACTGACTGCGCAGACGCATCCCCTCATCCGCCTTCGTTCGTGCCCAGGTTCATCTTCCTGCAGCTGTGAGTTGATGCCAAGCAGAAATGGGTTCTTACACGGTCATTTACTGATGTGCTTAGCTTGGGCAGTATGGCTGGTGGCGATCTCTTCGAGTACCTTGCACGCCGCGGGCCCCTCCAAGCCTCTGAAGCGAAATGGTTCGTATTTCAGATCGGGCTCGCACTCGCACATCTTCATTTGAAGTGCAACATTGCACATCGTGATTTGAAGCTGGAGAACGTATTGTTAGACGGATACGGAGTTTACCCACGAGCACAAGTTGCCGACTTCGGTCAAGCGATGATCACCAATCGAAGATCCAGTTCGTTAAGAGGCACGATGTTGTACATGGCTCCCGAAGCACTCAGTGGACGTACTCGGCAACTCGGCTTCGATTTGAAACCCGTGGACTGCTGGTCTCTAGGCATCATGGCTTCGATGCTCCTCGTGGGAAGTCATCCTTTCAATCGATGGCCCAGCAAACATCCGACTCAAGTGTTCAGCAAGTCTGTCTACGGCGAAAGCGCTCGGCCCGATCTGATGGATCGCTTTAAGGAGACACGCGTAGCAGAAGCGGTCCTCGAGGGGCAGAACGCGATGTTGAGCTATGAAATATTCGCGGGACCCCGAGAAGAGGACGCTCGAGAGCTAATTTTGAACCTACTAGCGGCCGAACCCACGGTTAGATGGACGATCGAGGCGGCCCTCGAGTCTCGTTGGATTGCCGCGAGCCGCCGGCAATTGACGGAGTTGTACGCAGCCAAGACTCGATGATCGCAGAGACGAATGCGGAGTGCGCACAGTTCGACCAAAGCCAGAAGCACCATGTCAGCCGAACGCAAGGAGCATGCAATCCTTTATGCACTCGGAGCACTGTTGCCGCATTAGCATTGCCTGCTACCTAATAGCAGCCTGCCAACCACTTCCGGGCCGACTCCCCGACCTACATAGTACACGTTATGTTTTCTGCTGCTCGACTTCCTTTTGGCTACAGGACAGACTAGATCCCAGGTGTATAATTTGAACTTCAAAACGACTTGCAAGTCGAAGTTGTCCTGATGGGAACCCTGATTTGGTAGTTCTTCGGGTCGGAACCGCTTTTGGCCCTCTCGAGTTCCTATGAGTTCACATGACTTTCCTATGAGTTCACATGACTTTCCTATGAGTTCACATGACTTTCCTATGAGTTCACATGACTTTCCTATGAGTTCACATGACTTTCCTATGAGTTCACATGACTTTCCTATGAGTTCCTGTAAATTCCTAAGCTCGACGCCCCTCCCTTTGGGAGGGGCTTGTGAGTTATCCGCGCTTTTGGCTGAGTTGCCCTCCGAAATTTTGGCCCTGAAAAGTGCCCCCTTGCTGTAGCATGGCATATATTGGTGCTATCTGAAAACTGGAGGGATACGTCTTTACTTCATCATTATTGATGAGGCTTCACCGAAGCTTGAAGTCTAGGAACGCTTGATCATCTCGCTACAGCAGCTTGAATCAACTGATTCCGAACGAGACGCAGGTCGGCGCACGGACCAGTCGTAGTCCAGTCCGCGTCGAAGGCTGCATAGAGCCAGGTCACTTTTATAGGCCCGGCTGCGCCTCACGTATCCTCTGTCTCCTCCACTCAACATCGCACCTCCCCTCATGATGAGCCATGTCGGTGCAAACACCGAGGCCGGTTAGGGGACCGCCCCGTCGACATCCATCAATTGAGTTCAGGGCGTCTCCCTTGCGATCAGCTTCAAGGGCCAGTCCTACGATCCCAGCACCGAATCTTTCAACCAATCCGACAGCCGTTCTCGGTCACTGGAGGCCACGTTTGACTCACGAGGACCGACGAGATTCCAGCGAATTACGCAAGAAGATCAAAGTTATTCTGGGCGAAAGTCTTGACGAGGACTCTACCCCCCGGCCTGTGCAGATCGAAGCCATTGCTGCACTTTTCGAACTCGATCAATTTGGGGGCGGGGATCGATATGACGCTGTGTTCGTCACAGCGCCAACAGGTTCAGGCAAAAGTGTTATTTTCGAAGCAATGTATCTCATTTATGGACGCCGGGCAGTCACCATTGTTGTCAGTCCACTGAATGCACTGAGCAATCATCAGGTGAGTTTTTCTGTCGACTGGGCTTGCTGGACCGACATTCGTGCTGTTTTCCGCAGTCACTTGCTTCTTTCAGGCTGCCAATCTCAGTCGAAAGGGAAAGACCGCGATTGTCGTATCTGAGGAGATCTGGAGAGACGGCGAGCTGTACAGGCAGTTGGACGACCCGAATCACAAGATCTCCTTCATTCTGATCGTATGTGCCGGTTGACCTCCAGTTTAAGTGAAGTGCACATGTCTTGATTTTCCTTTCTGTTTGCTGCGTGTCAAGTCTCCTGAAATGCATATGAACAATGCAGATTGGGCAAAGTTGATCTCTAACGAGTCCTTTCGAGAGCGCGTCAAGTTGCCCGTCTATGACGAGGAGGGGGTTGGTGTGCATCAAGAAGACTGAGGCCAAGATGAGGGACCAGTCGAGCAAGCGCTCGATATATCTGAGCTTTTGTCCCGGTTGTAGATGACGAGTCGGATTGGGGGATTGGGAGGAGATGCTGGAGATTGACTCGCGGTAAAGACGCTTGATGTGCAGAGTAGGCTCGAAGGTTGTAAGCGCCGGCAATATCTCCGGTCCTGAATGTGGGCGTAACCAAAAGGTCGATGAAGCAGCTCGGTTCGTCGATCCAATTGCCGATCGTTGACGTGATGTGTGACGTCGATGTTGTCAACGGTCACATGGAAGTACTTGTTCGAGCCAATCTCCTTCAGTTCCGTCGAATTCGCCTTCGTCAAGCTCGCAGCTGCCTGGAGAGTCGCCCAGCGAGATGTCGTCAAGCCGCAATCGTACAGAAACATTGTCAATCGCTCGTTCGCTCCACATGCGAGAGTCATGAGACCGTTGCGATGCTGCATGGCGTTGTTCCTTCGGTTGCAAGCGAATGCGATCTGACCCATGACACTGCGGCAAAGCTGCGGCCAGCGTGTTGAAGTTTTTGGTGTCAGTTCGCTGCGATACCCAGCCGAGCTATGGTCAGAAACACTCACAAACTCGATACGCTTTCTTTCGCGACCAGGTTCTTGTTCTTGCCCCGGATCGGAACCATTCTCCGGGGTGGCTTCTTCCATCTCGACATCAGTGGAAGCTGTTGGGTCCTTGTCGCGATTGATTGGCTCGGCCGGTGGAGGGTCTCCGCATTGTGATAGCAAGGTACGAACCCGTCCGCTGATTAAAGGGTTGCCTTCGGCGATTGCATCGAGCCGGGCGTCGATGTAATCGGATGCGAGGACTTCGGGAGTCAAGTCATGGCTAGCGACGAAGGCGGACTTGGTTCGCTTCATCTCTTTAATGATGATTGAGCCGGCCTGCACGCGGATAAGGCAAGTATTCAGTAGCTTTTTCGAATCCGGAGAATCAATGCGAGAAGTACGAAGTGTTGCCCACCTGCTCGGAGATCCAGTCATTGGTTCGGCTTCTTGACTCTGCGCCATCCTCGCGTGCAAGTCGTAAATGAGCTCAAGTACACGCTTGAGGCTGGACCAGTTACTGTTGAACAGCTTTGGTCGGTGTGTTTGAACTCCTTCAAATCGTGTGGATGGGCTGAAGTACCACGATAGGTATTGACATAGCGAGAGATCGCGGCTACGAAATTCAGCGAACAGATCCGCCTCGCGGCGGTTGTTCTGGCGAGTTGACGAGGTATGGCGTCTGCTTTTCCGGGTCATTTTTGTTTTAGGACGTGGACGACGGTGATCGTGAAAAGAGGAGAATAGCGAAGCGGACTGAAAGGGATCAAGCCGAACGGAGCAGTCTCGCCGATGATGAGAGTGCCACTTGCACGATGCGCTCGGACCATCTGAGGCCCGATCGACCGAAATCGCAGACTTCGGAGCGCTGTAGCTCCACCCACAGCTTATGAAAGCTCTCGCCACTTGGGCTATGTCATTTTTAGAGCATAAAGAAAAATAGGGTTCTTCACTTTTGCATGGATGCGCCTACTTGCCAAGTTACAGAGAACCACCCCCAAATGGCCCTGAAATTTCGGAGGGCAACTCGGCCAAAAGCGCGGATAACTCGTAAGCCCCTCCCAGAGGGAGGGCTTAGATGAGCTTAGTAAATTCCTATGCTTTCCTATGCCGGCTGCCCTCAAGTTGCTCGCGCGCCTCGAGCCCTCCTGCGCTCTTCCGCTCTTGTCTCACTCGAGCTTGTGCATCCGCAGCATAGTCTACGCGTATGCGCTCGACATACGAGAATGACTCGCTCTCGTTCCCGACGCGAAGGGAACTGTTAAACCCAAAATTCGAATCGTACAAGTTGACGTCACCGCCTGCCGGCTCGAGCTCTTTGTCCTTCGCATTGCCAGAACCGGGCCTTGGGGTTCGGACCCTTGCGGACCACACTCGACTATCGTACCATCAAGTTCAGTATCGGGCACGACACAGTCACCTCTACCCTGGACTAGACGGCGATGCAATCTATATCGACGCTGCGGGCCGTGTGCTAGCGATCGAGCTCGGTCAGGTGAGTTTCAAACGGGGGGAGCTCGCCATCCTCATGCTGTATCGCCCCTGGAATGCTGTTGTCACTTCATAATACGCTTGATCTGATCAGAATCTCGCTTCGCTTGCCGATGCCGGATGCAGGCTGTAGAACACGGGCCCAAGTTCCATCACCTGCTCACGCTCGCCTCACCCACAGCAAGCCTGACCTACACTCGGGATGAGTTGGAATATGCCGCAGGCGTGGCAATAGCACCTCGTCGTTGGGTCGTATCGAGCGGGGATGGTCGCTTGTCATCAATTGCGGTTGAGAAGAACGCCCTCAACTGGAAAGGCACGATCGAGGCGACCTATGAGTTGCGGCTCGAGGAGCAACTCGATGTCGATCGTGCTACGCCGTTCCAATTGCACGCTGCAAACGAGGATACATCCTCGAGCTCAATCTTTGCATTGCTATCTGTCGCCATCAAGTCTCCGAGGACTACTGGGCCTCCAAGCTCGGCCGGTGCAAACCACAACCCCGACACCGGGTTTGCGCCGGCGCCAGGGACCCGAGTCCGACCGGCTTCCACTACGATCTTCGAATACATTTGCGTGCGCCTGGACAGCACCGAGACGACCGGAATAAGAGATCCAGTGCCTCTCACAGTGCTTTGGCGAGCCACCGGGGATGACCTGCCGCACTTCGTGCATTTCGAACCGACCCTCCAGCGATATTGCATCGGCTCCACCGCGCCGATCCAGCCATCCCCTTTGGTGTCAGAGCAAACAGGAACTGAACGGGGCTCTACGGAATTGAGCGTCGCCGAAAATGACCAGAAGGAGGGTCCGCACCGAAGAAATGAATTTTCGAGGAACAAGGACGCGTCGCACGTTTTGCCCCAGCCGTTTTCGTGGACCCAAGATTCGGACTCCGTCACCGTCGCCTTTGCGATTCCGTCGGACGTTCTGACTTCGAGCATAAGAATAACGTTCTCCAGGCAGTACATCACCCTTTTCATAACAAGGGTCCGAGCATCCCTACGCTGGTCGCTCAACGCTCCCGATGGCACTCTCCTACGCATCTCTCACAAAAAGCTATGGGATCTGATCGATCCTCATACCAGCGTTTGGACCTTTGACCGCGAGGCCGAGGGCCGAGATTCGACGTACGGCATCTTGAGTTTGCATCTCGAGAAGGCTCATCCCGGAACACGATGGTCCGATGTCTTTGCGCCCACTCTTCCGGCCGCGCAGGGGGCGCGGCCCCCAGAGACTTGTTCTGACGCTGCTCAAACCCGCATTGTCGGGATGCAGGATGACGATAATCCCGAAGATGACGACACCCGCGAAGCCAGGTACCAAATGTGGCTCGAGAATGTGCCTGAAACGCTGGACGCATCGGAACTTGCAGGCATCGTGGATGGAATGGAGCAATGGCACCGTGATTTTGCCGAAGTACATGGAGGCAAAGGCATCATCCAAGATCAAGGCTTCGGAGACGGCGCGCCAGCGACTCTGAACGGTGACGAAATGGATGTCGAAGTCGACGGTGAAGTAGGAAAGCCTCTTGTGGTGAGCTGGATTGACTGTCCGTGGTCCACGACGCCTCGGATCGACCATCCGCATCCTACGGTCAACTTCAGCCTCCTCTCCACCGGCTTGCCCATCGCCGTATCGTCTCCGACTGTCGACAATCGCACCGAATTGCTTAGTCGGACAGGGCTTGTCATCAAGCACAATGTCGATGGAGCCTTATTTGTACCTCCGAGTAGCGAAGATGCAAAGTTGACTACCTGGACACACCACTCGACGTTCCCCGCTCTGGCGTTCGTGCTCGCGACCAAGACGAATGCGAGTTTTGTTACACACGTGAGCGACCAAGCCGTTCTCGCCTTCGACAGCCCCTCACCTTTGGCTGTTGATCCCAGTGCAACAGTATCGACTCGCAACCTCTTTGTGTATCGCGTGCCCGCGAATATTAAGGACAGAACGAGTCAGCAGATGGTACTTAGGATAGGGGAGGCCCCTGATGGGGCGTTGCTGGGGGTGATTGGGATTTGTCGGCCCAATGGATCTGCCGTTTCCGTGGTGGCTCTCTGTGAGCAGTCGTTGGTCGTTTTCAGAGACTTGATCTAAAGTCTGTCTCTTAAGGAGTGGCGCAAGATCACGATGAGTTCCGCTTCGAGTACTACCGGGGGGATATGATAGGAGCTATGCTAGATGGCCGCCCCAATGTTGCACAGAACAGGTCCATGATGAGTTTAGAGACACACTCAGTTACTACTACCGCTCGGGCGCGCTATACATCCACCTCCCTGCGAGATGAAGGCTCGTTGCGAGCTCCGGCCGCACCTCTCGGATCGTGGTGTCAAGCAAGGCCTTACCTGGCCTTACGACGGGCCACATGCATTATAAATAGAGATTGCGCGCGCCTAGCTTCTTCAGCTCTCTCTTCATCGAGCTGACAGGGTGACACCACAAGCTAGTGATTACTGGTGTTCCATATCTCAGCACTATCGTCTCTAATCGAGCCGACATCAGAAGTGACTTGTTATCGATATAACTTGCACCTGTCATCTTCGGACCTCGGTCACCAGTGAAGCTCCGCTGTCCGGGACAGCGGGCTTTTCACGTGGGATGAAAAGAAAGGTGCGCGCGCGCGCGGCAGCGCGCCAGAGATGCTTACTATCATTTGATGAAGGGTGTTTTGTGGTGCAATCTTTCAAGAAGATGTAGTTTATGTGCTGGCAGGATCGCCTAGTAGGCTCCGAGTACGCACAAAATCTTCTGAGACACTTCTTCTGCAGCGCCTCAACTTTCAAACAGCCACTGACAAGCCTTGGCCGTTGCAAAAAAGCGAGGACAATGAGCCCGCCAACTTGTGAGATGAAGCCCGGTCAGAAGCCTGCAGGCCTACGATTGGTGCCAACAGTCGCTGCCAGCAGCTGCCAGCAGTCTCCCGAGTCTGTCAGCCGAAAGCCGGGAGAAGCCAGCGCAGCTAGCCCCTGCGTGCCATTTGCTGCCACTTGCGTGGCGCTGTTGTCGCTCGTGAGTCGAGCGTTTCGTGTCGGCTGGGAAGTAATACGACGAGCAGTCTCCGACCGAGCGACGTTCGTGCCGATCTCTCTTGCATATAAATAGTTAAAATATATCAAATGGCTTTGGTTTGGGCTTGGGCCCGGGGGCAAATTCCCCCACGACACGGCGGCCCAGTGAAGAAACCGGCGGGGCAGCGCAAGCAAGGGGAGGCAAACCATTTTTATTTTTTATTTGATACAGTATAATGCTTAGTATGCAAAAACCTTTGAAAACGCCTTTGCACCCCTCTCGATCACGGCGGCTTAGGTTTGATTGATCTGCAGTGCCCCGGCGCCTAGCGATCGATCACGCCAAGTGGGATTTCAAGCTCCGGACCCCGGACGGCTGTTTCATCCGCCACCTCTTCGACATCCGCATTCGACTCCAGGCGGTGAACCAGGGCACCTCCTTCACCTTGTACAGGCCGGACCCAACCAGCATCGTCGCCGGTGGATCTGGATCTGGTGGGCATGCTTTTGCCATCCTCCCCCAAAGTGCGACCATGCGGCGAGAAAGACGAGGAGTCACCTCAACGTTGGGTCCGCGACTCCGAAGCCTGGGCGTCGGTGACAACGCTCAATCTCCCCGAACTTTCCAAGAGCCAAAACGAGCGATGGGTGACACACGTTCTCTCCTTTTCCGCGGCCACGGAATCCAACTTTCGGTGAACCCGACGTTCTCTCGAGGGCCCGAGGGCGAGGCGAGGATTCCGTTTTCGTTTGTGAACGCGTTTGAACGCCATTACCCTTTTCCCTACCCTCCTATCCTCCCCAAGAGACACCAGAAGGTTCTCTCTCTGCCCGAGTAACGTTGGGACGCATGGTGGAAGGCTTTACGCAAGGTTCGCAGGGTTCACTCGGACGCTGAGAATACCGCCCACCTCCTCTCCCCGGGATCCCTCCATCCAGGCAGCCAATTTGCATCTCCAACCAGGTCCCGCCCAGCAATCGATCTGCCTCCTGTGTGATGTGCCTCTCAGAAGTACCCGAGTCTCTGGCTCACCTTGCGGTCGCGACAGTCGGCTGCCCGTTTGCTCGCCGTCTCTGGTCCGCGTTGTCTCCAGCCCCACACCCCGACTTTGTTGCATTTGTGTGTCCGGTTGTCTCTCGCTCGGAACGCCGACTTGTCGAGCTACGTCCCCTTTTCTTCCGTTCGATCTGGAAGCTCTCTCGCCGCCGCAATTGTCGTCGGATCCTTTGGAACCGATCACCGAAACGGCACTCGAGGAGCTCCGGGCGTCGATTCAGGAGTCCAAGGTCGCCTTGCGTCTTTGTAACTCACCCAAGGGGGTTTTAATGGGTATGATTGACTTTGATTCAGGGTCAATGAGTCCTACACTACTGGCCTAGCCAGTGTGCTTAATGGCATTTCTTTCGACTTTTCCAAAGATTTCTAGGTATTAGGATGATTGTACTGTTATTGAACTCCATTAAAAGAACAAACCAAGTTGAGCTTAAGTGCGTTCCCTCCGACTTTACCAAACGTTTTTAGGTATTACCGCTGTTATTAAATCTAACATATTCCATCAAATAAATTAAAAAAGAGGTCGTATTCGAGTCCATTTCATCTTGAAAAGACTCGATCAGGCGGTCGCGCTGGCGGCGCTCTTGATTCGCGCGCGCGATCTTTCCGGCCCGCGCGCGGCGGCAAGGCAGTCTGCGCGCAGCGCAGATAAATTTGTGAGCAATGTACAGCTTGTAGGGTAGTTTTGAGAAACTATTCAGCACTAGGCGGCCCTCATATTTGGACATTCTCAGTCAGAATCCGGGAAAAGTGCCACGGTCCTGCCCTCGCTACCCTTGCTAGCCAGTGCCTGCCAGTGCTAGCCTACGTGTGAGGGTGAGGGCTGTCGCAAGTCCACACCAGTGTGTGCTTCTTTCCCGAGTCGCATCCTTTTGTCAACGCGGTAGAGCGCTACACGGTCCTAGTCTCTACATTGTGCGTTTATTCCGCCTCGACCTGCCTCGACTTGTTCGACCCCAGCCGCCAATCTTTCAAACTCTGGGAGACTCTGGGCGACCTTCCCTCGCCCTACCCCGCCCTCGCCGACTCGCGGCCGCAACTCTCCGAGCTCGTGCGATCGGGACGTCGGTGCTCCACGCGTCCTTCGTAGCGGGTTATGGCGATCTTCAGCTCGAGCAAGAAGTCAAAGAAGGACACGCCGAATACGACTGGCACCTCCCAGCCTCTGAACCAGTCGCAGTCGAGCAACAGTTTCTCGCGCAGCGCATCAGGCTCCCTGGTCGCCAGTGTGGATCGACCGCCAGGCCAGCAGCTGCCGACGTCGCCGCCGTCGTCGCACTCACAATCACAGGCCACATCCATGGGCCAGCCCCTCCATCCATTTGCGGCGGAGAACGCTCTCACGGCTGCTACGCGCACTTTGGGCTCTGATGAAGGTGCGAATGTGGCGGCTACAGACATGGCGCCCGGTGGGCCCGAATCGTCACCCGCGCCATCAGTCAACGCACACGCTCGTGGCGGCGGCAGCGGTGGCGGCTACGCAGGCAACGGTGGCAGCGGCACGTCGTCGTCGACATCCAATATCGCACAGGGTACCACGAGTCTGCAGACTCACTCGAACAGCTTAATGTCGCAGCCCCAACCGGCGGGTCAGTCGAGCCACACCGTCCTCTATCCGTGGGCTCAGCGTCGACTCGTGTTTGCTCCAACCGCGCTCTTCCCTCCCCTCGATTCCAACAATCCCACGGCCGCACCTGCGATAGTGGGTCCCGCATCTCCACCTCCCTTTCCACGCTACGGCCATAGCGTGAACCCTGTGGCGGCGGTATCAACGGGCGAACTGTACATCTTCGGCGGCCTCGTCCAGAATGCGGTCAAGAATGATTTATATGTCTTGAACTGTACCGGCGGCTTCGTCCACACCACCTCGAATCTCCCATCCGGGTCGGCGTCTTCTCCGATTAGCATCGGACTAGTCGAGACGCGGGGCGAGGTCCCCGGGCCTCGTGTGGGGCACGCAAGCGTCGGTGTGGGCAACGTTCTGATCGTCTGGGGTGGTGACACCAAGAGCCGGCCCGAGGACTTGCAAGATGACGGCCTTTATCTGCTCAACCTAAGTAAGTCGAGTATGGCGTCGATCGAACTGCAGATGTTGGGGGTGGACTGACACCGCCTCGATCGATCCAGGCACAAAGGAATGGACTCGGGTGAAGACAATTGGGCCGGCCCCGGAGGGTCGCTATGGTCACGCCGCCTCCATGGTCGGCAGCAAATTCTACATTTTTGGAGGTCAAAAGGATGACGGGGGGTTCATGAATGATCTCGTTTGGTTTGATTTGCAGAAGCGTGAGTCCTCGAGGTGCAGGGTGGCGGTTGTGTAGGCGCTGACGGCGATTTCCATCGCTGGCCTCGGCAGTCAAAGCGGGTTCGCCTAAATGGACATTCATCGACTATGCTAGTGGCGCAGTCGTTCCGCCGCGGCGAACAGGTCATACCACAGTGACTCACGGCGACTGTATTTATGTGTGCGTAGTGTGCTTGAACGTCAGTGTTTTCCGACTTGCTCTCGAACTGACTCATGTGGCGAGGCCTTCCAATAATTCGGGAATTCAGCTTTGGAGGAACCGACGGACAATACCACTACAACGACACCTGGTGCTTTGATACTAACACAGGTGTCTGGGTCGAGCTCTCGTGCATCGGCTACATTCCGGTTCCGCGCGAGGGACATGCCGCAACTCTCGTCGACGACGTCATGTACGTCTTCGGAGGCCGCGGCGTCGATGGTAAAGACCTGGAGGATCTGGCCGCTTTCGAGATCACAAGTGAGTCGAGCTCGCATATTCGCGCATATTCGCCAGGAACCCCACACCTTGGAACTGAGAGTGCGCAATGCCTGAGGTACAGATCAACGATGGTTCATGTTTCAAAATATGGGGCCCGCTCCCTCCGGTCGCTCCGGACATGCGATGGCGACTTGGCAGAACAAGGTTTTCGTGCTAGGCGGCGAATCCTACACGGCGCAGCGCCATGACGATCCGGGTTTCATCCATGTCCTAGACACAGGCAAGATCAAGTATCCATCCGATGCGGCGCGACAGTCTTCAGTGCCACGGAAGATGTCGTCCCCGACCATGGGTACACCCTCGTCACCGATTGGCAATGTGCCTCGTTCTAACGGGGAGGAGGACCGTCGTGCCGCCTCGCCGAACTCGCCGAACGGAAGTCAACACGGAGGGAGGCTCTCTCCAAACGGGAGACCTTCACTCAGTAGCTTTGGGCAGGTCTTTGCACCTCATCGGAACGGTTCGCCAGCGAGCCTCCCCTCAACTTTGGCCCACGGGTCGAAGCGCACATACAGCAGCTCTCCGCCGGCTCGACCTGCACGTCCCGAGACTTTACCCTCGCCCGCCATGGGCGCGCTTGAGTCTGCTTCCGAGGAACGAGCTTTGTCACCGTCAGGCAGTCAGAGACCACGCGGCGCAGCGCCTTCGCCTTTCCCAAGCTCACCGATTCAACCAGGGTTCTCGCCGCAGAGCCTTTCAGCGTCTGCTGCGTCGGCCAGCCAATTTGGCGACAGAACTGCCAATGGCTCATCCTCCGTCGCTGCTGAACCAGAGGCCGTGAAGACACCTACACCCCTAGCCTCGGCGATCAAAATGAATGGTGTGATGACAAGGAATCCGAATGATGACTCACGTGGGCAGGACGCACAGTCGTACTCCGAGCTTTTACTCAAAAACGAGGAGATTGCGGTGCTGAAGGCGCGGGAGCTATGGCTTACCGAATCACTGTCGCTGGCCACCCAGAGGGGCTACAAGGTCACAGTTGGAGCACGAGAAGGGGAGTCAAGTGCAAGTGCTACGCCGAGTGATCCAGCGACATTCGCTATGATCTTGCAAGTCAAGGAGAATCTTGCCGAGACGAAGGTCAGCCACTCACCTTGAACTTTTGATGTTGATAATCCTCGCTGATGTGCGATACTTGATCTCTCGCAGCGCCTGCTTGCCGAAGAAGCTGAAACGGTCGAAGAGCGCGTGCGCCGAGCGAATGCGGGCCGGATTGTGGCACTTCAAGAGGCCGCGTATTACCGTTCTAAAGCAGCCGCTCTTGAACGCGGGATACCGGCCGATTTTGCCGCTGTGGAACGTGAGCGAGCCAGAACACTGGAGGACAAACTCGCCCAAGCCCTGGCTACGCAGTCGGCTCTCGAGCTCCGCGTCACCCAACTCGAGTTGGATGTGGATCGGCACGTAGATCTGCGAACCGTTCTTGAAGAGCAACGGGCTATGGCCACCAATCGAGCTGATGCGGCGGAGGCCTCGTACGCGCGGGCGCTCAGCGACTGCGCCGAGGTGCAACGACGTGCACAAAGCCACGAGTCTACTATTCAAGTACATGCGCAAAAAATCGTGACCTTGACCGCCGCCTCTAGCCAGCTTGAGGCAAAGAATTCGTCCCTAGGACGCGATCTCGAATCGAGCCGAACCGAAGTCGATCAGCATGCTGCTGCAGTTGAGCAGACTCATGCAGCTTTGCTCGCCGCTTCGAACCGCAACGATGAACTCTATGCGCTTTGGGAGAAGGCGACCGCTGATGCAACAGAACATCGCTCGCGCGGAGCCAAACTCCAAACCGAGCTCGATGCCCAGCGAGCTGAATTTGCTGCATTGTCGGAGCGTGCAACCAATCTCGAGAGGACATTAACGTCTACTAGAGAAGCGTACTCGAAGGCGCAGATCCTCATCACGAATGGTCTCGTTGGGCTGACGGCATCGCGCCACGAGCAGCAGAACCAAGACGTCGGATCCGAAAGCACAGAGCAAGTCGAACGTGCTCGGGCGCTGGAACGCGAACGCGACGATCTTCTGCGGCTCCATCAAGACATGCTAACCAAATATGGTACAAGTACGAGTGAGCTGGACGGGGCCCTTCAACGCGAAGCTCTGACGCGTTCGCAACTCGCCGAGCTTCAAAATGAGCTAGCTTCCTGTCGCCAGCAGCATGCCCTCGCTCTTGATGAGGCGGCGCGCCATCGATCCGCGCTGCTTGGAGCCGAAGCCAAACTGAACACAGCCACGCAGATCAAGGAGGCGGCCGAAGTCAAGAGTGTTTTAATGCGTAGCGTGCTCTCGGATCATGGACTGTCGCCCGTCGCCGATGCCGATCTGGCTACCCGATTCCCCCCCTTGTCAGGCACAGACTCGCCGGAGCTTTTACAGCGCAGAGCTGAGGACCTAGAGGCGCGCTTAGAGCAGAGGGCTGGTGCGTATCGGGAGGTGGAAGCTTCGCTTGCCTCGGAGCGAAAGACGAGTGCTTCCAAGGTAGAAGCGCTCCAACGCAGCTTGCAGGATCTTCAGTCTCGAAGCCCCGTCGAGTCGGCAGCGGACCGCGAACGGGCGACCAAAGCAGAGTTCGATCTTGCGACACTTCAAGAGCGGCACCGGCAACTTGAAGGAACGCATTTGAAAGCCGTCAGCTACGTCAAAGTGTGTTCTGCCTTGAGCGAGCGAGATACTTAGGCACTCGCACTGACCCTTGCGGACTGCTGGCATGATCAGGGAACGGAGAAAATGCTCAGACGCATGAAGGAGGTGTGTCGCTAGCTACGATGTGGCCAAATCGATGTGTTCCATCCGAGCGGATGCTTATAGTCAATCTTGTATCACATTAGGAACTTACTCGGTACAAAGAGCGGTGCGAGGAATTTGAAGCCAAGGACAAGGCCCCGCGACCCGAGCATGTGGCCGAACTCGAGACGCTGCGATCTGCCCTCACGCAAGCACAAAACACCTCGGGCGAGCTCGAACGGCAGATCACTTCGTTACGCGAGGAGCATACACGGACACTTCAAACGTCTCGCGTGCAATCGGAACAGCAGCTCCACCAAATGACCGGCGAAGTCACGAGGTTGGATAAGGAGCTCCGGAAAGCCCAGAATGATCTCGAGGAGACTTTGGCGGTCAATGCGTCCCTGAACAAGTGAGTCAGTAGCAGAAGATGCGGTGCCGCCTATAGGCTTGAGTTGGATGTTGACCATGCTTGATTTCTGCAAAAGAGAGCTCACTTCAGCTCTGAAGAATACTGGCTCATCGACCCGTGGCTCGCGGGGCGCCGACGAGATGGGCCGCCTCGAAGCCGAACTGACACAGTGCGTCCTCAAGAATCTTATGCTCCAGACACTTCCGCACTGATGGCGCTGAGTACGGTTGAGTTCTCAGGGCTCAGAACAAGGCGGAATGGCTGAAACGCGAGAACGCTCAACTCGAGACGAGATGTCGAACTGCGTCAGTCTTGCGAGCAGCGGCTGTCTGGCTGATTTGATGTGAGGCCACCCGGCTAATGTCCTCGAGTTTTGCAGTGAATCGAAGATCAGCATCTTATTGGACCATCTCGAGGGTGCACCGGCCGAAGCATCCGAGGGCGCAGGGTCAAAGTAGCGTCCTTTGAGTTCTCAGGACGGATTCCCCCAGGAAGTGACTGCAGCGGAGATGTGGGCCGAGAGGGATGGAGCTTGTATTGTCACGTCACGTTTACGACCCAGAATGATATCTTCATGAAGTGATCACTGTTTATACACATACTAGCCAGACGTTTTTATCAGTCTGTAGTACCAGCGCGAGATCTGCGGGTAACACCATCCGCGGGATAGTGGATGACTCGGCTGAAAGGCGCTTTCGGTCGGACCGGAAGTGAAGCCGTGCAAGGTGGACGATGCCGAAGGCGCGGAGGACAGAAGCCGGCGTTATCGGCCGAGGCCCCGAGTGGATCCAAATTTAATAGGCCACCTTGTTCTACTGAATGTACAGCGGGTCGAAGCAGTGTCTGCCTTGTGTAAAGTCGCTACCCGCTTGAGGCAGGGTCGAGCGAAACGATTGTCGAAGCCTCATAAGCCCCCACCAAGTTTCCCGGAGCTGCTGTTCGTGCCGGCAGATGCTACAGTGATCCGAGGTCGGACCCCTATGGCTGCACAGACTGCACGGTACTTGACACGTTGGTTGTTCAGCATCGCTGTTATATCGAGTTCAGACCGCTCTACCGGAGCCGACGAGTTGTTCCGGAGCGGGAAGCTCGCCGATAGGAAAAGAATCTGTCGGAGGTTGGTTGTTGCGCTGAATGCGAAGTCGACGAGGAAGCAATCCCCGGAGAAAATCTCTCAACACATGTTCAGTTCGCTTTCCTTTCCACTGAGTTGTGTGGACGCAGAGAAGAGGAGAAGGAGCCTAACCCACCGAGTCGGTCCCTTTTCATGTGCAGCCAGCAAGTGTGCCCATACGAGAGCGAAGCCATGGTAGTAGCCAACCTCTTCGCTGAGTTGCCACGCGTGGTCCTTGCCGATCGATCGCCCCTCGAACAGGCCATGCAAACGGCCGTGGACGACGCCGCCTTGAAAGCCGTTGTGGAAGAAAGACTGCTCGAGATTGATGATAGTTGACTCCAGATCCGAAACCAGAGCGGCTTCAACCCCGTCAGTAGGTGGGGTCATAGTCTTAAGTGGTGCCGTTGGTGGATGTGAAATGACCCGGCGACCTGTAACCGCTGACGACCGTACGAAGTGACTCAGCGAGGCGCGATGGGGCAGAGATGGCGAGGCCGGTCGTCCAAGTGCTACGTTGTATTGGCTTCTCGCTCGCTTTCGCCAGACGGGGAGCACGACTTCGTGGATCGAGGCCTTCGAGGCAGAGGAAGGCACTACTGCAAGACCACGAGGGCAGGAAGCAGACTGCAATAATCTGCAGTGGCACGGTCGGCCAGAGCGAGGCTAAGGTCCTAGCTGGTCGCAGAGTCGAGGAGGCCCGAGCTCGTAAAACGCCTTCGCAGGCTTTCGCAAGCTTTCGCACGCGTTCAAACGTTCAAGCTCCAGAAGGCTCCAGACCTCTCCAGTCACTGTCCAGACTGCCCCAGACTGCGACTACATAGCTGCGATCTGCTGCGATAGGCTCCAGCAGGCTATCCTGCCCCGGCCTCATCATGCCTCATCCCTCTTCATCTTCCGTGCTGCGTCTCATAGCCTCGACATCTTTCTAAAGCGCCGCCAGATCCCTCTCTACATGCACATGCATTATCCTAACAACGCTCTGCCGTTGTCTCCGTTTGTTTCACTCCACACCTCCGGCACACCTCCGGCACACCTCCGGCACACCTCCGGCACACCTCCGGCACACCTCCGGCACACGTCGTGACCGACAGGCATACGGAAGTCGCTCCTGTCGATTGACCTGCCCTGCACACCGCGGTAGGCAGCCACTCACCGGTTGGCGTTCAAAGCCCCACAATGGCTGTCACATTCGTACGGTGGTTTGTCGTGCCTGCGGCGGCCCACGCTTGCGAGGCGCCACCCCTCGCTCCGTTTGCCAGGACCTACTCTGGCGACTTGAGTGCCATGAGCTTTGCCATGTACACACGCCTTGCCTTCGCCCTCGGCGTATCCCTCGGCGTACAGCTCCTGCAAAGCCTGCTCGAGTCACCATCGATGTGCCGTCCCAGAACAACCCCAATCAATAACGATACCCTGCCCTTAGGCGTGCTTGCCTCCTCTCTTTACGCGAGTTATGTCACTCTGGCGCGGAACAAGTCTCGCAGATGTCTTCCCCCTATTCGATTCCTTGTATATGCAAAACAACTTTCGTCTTTCTATGCAATGGTTCATTTTCAAGAACCTGATGATACAGCCGGCTGCATGAGCAGAGCCACAACAGCTGCGACTCATGACTAAAGACTACTCACGCCACATTAGAGAGCAAAAGCCGAGTCCTTATGATCAATGGGATTTTGGATTTAAAGTCTTCAGTCTTCGAGTGGGTTGGCCAAAGCGAAGTAGGGACTGGTAGTATGTAGTGAGGGAAGTCAAGTCCGAAAGACCTGAACCGTCGTCGCGACTACCAAAGTGCGCATTGAAATTCCCGCTCGAGCCCAGTCATACCGGCGAGCCCGGCCGGACATCGTGTAATAGTGTAATACTGTAAACGTGCTGGGAACACAAAACTGTTACCGTTAACGTTAATTTGGGGTACCTACGCCCATGGACTCATGCTAACGTGTGTTGTGCAAATGGCAATTGCATCTGATCGACGGCCACACCGCGGTGTGGCCGTCGATCAGACCCCCCGGTACGTACCGACCAGCGCGTCGGCGGAACGCGGCACGGCCTAAATGCCCGCACGAGTCGCGCCGCACAGTCCCCTTCTGTCAAACCCCGAACCCTTTCTGAGCTATTGTCACCCAACCCCTTGTTCTCCTTGCACGCCCGAGTTCCGACGATTTCTCGGCCGTTCTTCGCTGCACATCGACCCACCGGCACACATCGCAAATCGATTGAATACGCAGACGCAGGCCTGCGAGACGACGACTCGACGCGATTCAATTTGGCGAGGTGACGCGTCAAGGCTCCGCGCGACAATCTCCTGATCACCATCCCAGACATCGTCACGAGCCCTGGCACCAGACGCGGAACCCTAGTGCCACCCACTGAGCCTGCGTGGAACATCACCATCGAGGAGTGATCAGCCGATTGCAGAACGGCACTGTAGTCTCTCGCACAAGAAGAACATCGTCGAGCATCGCAGAGGATGAACCCTCGGTTACCGGCGCTCGTCACCCCACCGAGTTCGCCTGGTGGGGCGGGGGCAGCTGGCTCGACGGGTCCGCCTCGCCGAGCAATGGCCAAAGTGCGCCACGCCTCGATCGCCATCGCCAGGTCCCATTCCAAGTTCGCGTATTTTCGGATCCTCATTTGCGTCGTTCTCATAGCCGCCTTCATCGTCTTTGGGCCCTCCGAAAAAATACTCCTGGGCGTACGACATCGCATCGAAGCCGAATTGGCATCGCGAAACGCTCGAGACGAGCGACAGTGGGTGCCAGGCGAAACCGGTACAGCTCAGCCCCCTGGGCACGAGCACAGACACGATCACGAGCACAAGCATGGGCACCACTCGTCGCTTGCACCGGCGAATCAAAGTGCGCATATGACCGACGGGGGCGACGAGCCCTTGGCCCAGTCGTCCTCGTCGTCGCCTTCAAGACTTGACAAGATATACAAAGCCGTGGAACGACCAGTCTCCACAAACGAGAAGCCTGCAATATGCAAGCGAACACTTTTGTTCAACATGGCCGGTGCGTTTCGTTTTGCGCTCAAGAGTTTTCGTTCGGGTTCATGATATTTTCTGCATGGCTAGCGAAACTAATCAGAGCGCAACATGTCGTGCTGCATTCAGGTCTACACGGTTTTGGAAGCGAAGTACTCATGCTCACCCGCATGGCGGTTCTTGCCGAGATGTTCAACTACAGCCTCTTGGTCGATTCGTCCCGGTGGAACTATGGCTCGTGGGAGGCGGTCTTCCAAGCCCCCGCGCTGGACTGCAAGCCCCCGCCTTCGACAACCTGGAGGGCGAGCATTAAGTTCGACAGGAAAGCGAGGACGCTTGATAAGGCCGCTGTCCGCAAGAATTGGGCGACCTTCGACCACGTGACGTTGAGAAGTCGGGACAACAATGGGCTTGATAAAGCGCTGTTGGACACCCTTACTTCCTCTAGTGAGATGGATGTCCTTCACCACCAGGATCTGAAGGAACTGGTTCACCCAGCTGCAGATCGCGCCAGCTTGACCACGCCTGAGCTCAAGCTTGCATCCCAGCTGGTGCCATCAGCGCTGCAGGTTATATTTACCCGACAGGCTCAGTCTTTGTCGGCCTTGTGGCGTCTTTCGAGGCCTGCAGCGGTGCGCGTGCGAGCCGCTCGGGCAAATCTCAAGTCGTTGACTCGGCAGCTGCGAGCTGCGCAGCAATTGAGTGGAGATGCTTCCCCAATCATCATCGGTATGCATGTTCGACTAGGCGACAAATACAAGGAAATGAACCGGATAGGACCTCAGGCATTGATGGATACTTCGGGCCGGCGCTCGACTTTGCCGCAAGCCACACCAACGAAGACAAGCCGCCTCGATGACCGCGCGATCGAGAAATATCTTGTAGCTGCCATAACCCTTGTGGAGCGCGTGCGGCGAACTGGTGTCGTTCCCTCTTTCGACGAGCGACCGGTACTCCTGGTTGCCTCTGACAGCCTCACCGCATCGACGGCGATCGCCAAGCACAAGATGGGTAGAGCTTTCAACGTCATCGACATCGCTGATCTAGACCCATCCGAGGCCATTGCTCCTGACGAATCCATCCATGGAAAGCAACGTATGCGCGTCGTTGAGAACGGTTTTGTGAGTCCACTCCTCTATTTCACTGAACTATGAACGCCAAGCCCCAAGGCTCAATGGGCGGGCTCTGGTATATGTGCTTTCCACGTTGTTGCAGGACGAGTTGAAGTTCAACATGCTGCCTTTTGAGGCCCGAGAGCGCGTCGCGCAAGGCTTTGTGCGCGACATCACAATACTCGCTCAAGTGACGCACGGGTTGGTGATGAGCGCCTCGTCGAACGTTGGGCGCATGCTTGCGCTACTTGGCGGAGAAGAGAAGATTGAACAAGGATTAATCGCAAGCGTGGACACGAGGTAAGGCTTGCTCCGGGCTAGAAGGTCGAGCATGCTGTGATCTTATTGGCTTTCAGTTTTTTTTTCTCGCAGATGGTTTCCAACAAGTCATTTCTCCTAATCCGCTTTTCTCTAGACTATGGGTCAGGGTTTGTGTTGTACTTCGGAAGCAATCAATGTAGAAAAATTCAGTTTCAAAGTGTGCCCATTGACTCTGGAAATACATACTCTCCAACCCAGTTTCTCTGCAGCTGCTTAGCAAGCAAAGTTTCTGGTGTCCAAACGCGCCCCAAAATCACCCAAGATCGAAGACCCTCCCCACGTCACGGCTTTAGCACGTCCTGCTCGCGGTGCAGCTGCCTCCCCTCCCCAGCCCAATCCCGAGTATCGACAGCTACTTGAAGGCTCGGATAGCGGTCAGTTGCTCCGTCCAACAACATGCGGAATGCTTTAGCTTCTGTGTAGGTGGGTCGCACAGTTCAGCATGGGGGTCTACTGCAGACGCGAGAATGCCCGGTCGTACAATAACGCACTGTCCTTCACTTCGCTTGCTGCTTACTTCGACCAGACACGACTGGGCACTCTAGGACCCCCCGTGTTTCGCGTGTTTGGTCGCCTGTATCATCGACTTGGCGCCCTGATCCTGCCGTCAATCAACGCCCAGCCTTTGCCCAAACCTGGCTCATCGGCCTGCGCGAGCTTTGGCCGATGCGAACTCCCTCACAAAGCGATTGCCGGCACGCAACATGGACTCGAGCTTGGTCAGCGTAGAACTTTGTATGCGACTGTCTGGGCTGTCGGGTCCAAGTCGAGTGTCGGTGACCTCGGCCGGGTTGGAATACGGCCAAAGAGTGGGTCCTGCGCCTTTGCCGACCACCAGGCCGAGACCGACGCACCCACAACCTTCCTACGTCAAGCACGGAAATGGCAATGCTTATCTGCGATTCCGACACCAATACGGGAGATCGTGGACCGCAAGATCGTATTCCTCAGGTGCACGGTGATCGATGTCCCGATGGTTGGCCCAAGTACCAAATCGTTAGCTCGCTCAATCCGTCTGGGATGCCTCTCCGTACCCACTGCTCTTCCCCGCAGGAGAACATGGCTTCCACCCCAACATTCCTCTTTGCGGGTTCAACCAAGCTGGGCCGCCCACCGCCAGAAACCGAGAGCAGATCGACAATGGTGTCCAATTGCGCGACCTACTTGCCGGCCTTGGTCCGGATGAAGAAGACGATGAGGAGGACGATGAGGATGAAGATGACGAGGACGACGAAGAGAATGGTGATGGTGAACGTAAGCTAAGCATCTTCGGCTCATTCTCACATACCTCTCTGTTGAGACGCACGCTCAGACTGACATGAATTGTTCGAAAATCTAGGACCAAGATCAAGCAAAAGGGGTCGAGGTAGATCAACCCGAGTCTCGCGTTCTCAATATCTGGGCTACTACCTGCACGAACGCGACACCTACTTCTCAATCCCACATGCCACCTAGCGTCTCTTCCTTGAGTTTGTAATCGACGGATACTCCCAACCGGAGACCGATCGACTTAACTATAAGAAAACCTGCGCCTCACCACGGCGCAGGGCATCACCGACGCCGTTGCCAACGGTTTGACCTCGGATGAAATCGGACGTTCGGTGATATTGGGATCGACGTTCAAGAATAGTCCGCGGGAGGTCACGCAGCGTTACCAAGATGCGATGGCGTGCGTCGTCAAATATGGGAAGCCTTCGCTATTCATCACGGTGATGTGCAACCCCGAATGGCCGGAAATCAAGGCTGCACTCGGGCCGAACGATCAAGCAAGCAACCGTCCGGATCTCATCGCACGAGTGTTTCAAGCCAAGTTGAACCGACTCTGCGACGATGTTTTTGGCAACAAGCAACGTGCGGGCTGTTTCGGCGTCGTTCTAACGCATACACACGTCATCGAGTACCAAAAACGGGGCCTGCCGCATGCCCATATCCTCCTCACCCTCGCGCCGGATGATCATCCTTTGTCGACGGAAGCGATCGAAAAGATGATCTCAGCAGAGATACCCGATCCTTCGCGCTATCCTGATCTCCACGAGACCGGCACAAGGCACATGCTGCATGGCAAGTGTGGCGGAAACTCGACTCAGCCCTGCATGGAGAAGGACAAGTACGGTAACCCGAGGTGCAAGCGCCATTTTCCTCGCGAACAGAACCCCCACACCCGCATGCACCCTGATGGCTACCCGTTGTATCGCCGACGCTTTCGCCACGCCGTTGTCAAGGGGGTGTCATCTACAACGATGGTGACTGCGTGCCGTACTCGCCTTATCTCTCCGCCAAGTGCAACGCGCATATCAACGTCGAGGCTGTGACAACAATCGGCGCGATCAAGTACCTCTTCAAGTATGTGTACAAAGGTCCGGATCGAGCTGTGGCCCGTGTTGAGCGTGCAGCGAACGGTGAAGGGGCTCGCGAGGAGGAACCGGTTCGAGATGAGATCAACGAATTCGTCGAAGGTCGCTACATCAGCGCTCCAGAAGCGGTCTACCGCCTATTCGGATTCTCGACCAGTAGAGTGTGGCCGCCCGTCAATCGATTACCGGTCCATCTGGAGCATCAACAATCTGTGCAGATCAATCCCGACGAACCGCTACCCCTCGACACCGCCCACTCGCTCCAAATTCACCGGCTTCTTCGACCTGTGCGCCGCAGCTCCCGACGGCGAGCTTACTGCCACGTTGCTGTACACGAATGTGCCGCGCTACTACTCCTGGAATAAGGAGAAGCTGCACTGGAAACGCCGAGTTCGTGATCGCAATGTCATCGGGCGAGTCTACACCGTCCCACTGCGTAGTGGGGAGCGCTTTTACCTCAGACTGCTCCTCGAGGTCGTCATGGGTCCGACATCGTTTGCGGATCTGCTCAAGTTTGAAGACGTCGTGTATCCTTCGTACCGCGCCGCTTGCGCCGCTCGCCGACTTCTCGCCGACGATAGCGAGCATCACATCTGTCTCAGGGAAGCTGCACAGATTGAAACCGGTGACCAACTACGCCGATTATTTGTGTTCATGCTCATTAATGCGACGGTTGCCAACCCGCCAGCTTTGCTGGATCGTCACTTTGCTTCTCTTAGCGACGATGCCCGTTATCACATCGAACGCTATGAAGACGTGCTCGTCAACGATCAAACCATCCGCCTGTGGACGCTCAACAAGATTCGTCTCCTTGCGGCAAACGATCGAACTTTGGCCTTCTTTGATCTTCCCGAGCTGACCGAGGACAAACTGCGGCTGTTTGATCGTCTCGAGGAACGGCTTCCGCGTTTTGACGCCAGCAATGTGCGCAAGATGCCGAAGCGGCGCGTGCCCGTTTGAATCACGACCAACGAATTGCATTTGACGAGTTTCTTCGCGCGGTCGAGCTCGGCGTCGTCGATCAGATGCGCGACAACAACCTTGGGCCGCAGCATGTGTTTTTCCTGCTGGCACCTGGGGTACTGGCAAGACTTTTGTGGAAAATGCCCTTCTCGATACTGTGCGAGCTCGAGGCGACCAAGCGATCGCGGTCGCGTCGTCCGGAGTAGCGGCGTTGCTTCTCAAGGGAGGACACACGGCGCATTCGACTTTTCGAATCCCACTCGACACCTTGCCAACCTCGACGTGTCCAGTTCACAGAGAGAGTGATCTCGCGCTGATGCTGCGTACCACCAAGCTTATCATTTGGGATGAAGCACCAATGGCGCATCGATTCGCGGTGGGAGCGGTCGACCGTTTACTGCGTGATCTCCGAGAGACCGAGGAGCTCTTCGGCGGGGTGACAACGATCTTTGCGGGTCAGTTGGGCCCTTCCGCCTCCGCTCTGAACGACGGCATGCTAACGAGGTTTCCAATTTGTAGGGGACTTTCGCCAGTGCCTTCCTGTCGTTCCCAAAGGAACTCCCGGTCAAATCGCCGATGCTCGATGCATCCCTCATCAAGGCAGACTTCTGGCGCGACGTTCGTGTCTTGCGACTTACCGAGAACATGCGTCTCAGCTCGAACGCTGACGCGATAGACGAGGCTCAATTGGCTCGAACGCGCGACTTTGCGGAATAGCTACTCACCGTGGGAGATGGAACTGCCAACATGCACCCATACGACAAGACTGCAGTACGTTTGGCTCCCCTCTTTTACCCAACCAACCGACACTAAGACCCCTTCTATCCATTTCGCAGCTGCCTGATTACCTGCTGCTTCCGGACGGTCAAAGAACGGCCGAAGGGTTGATGTTTACCCCGGTTTAAGGACCGTGAACAAGGAGTCCCTCGAAGACCTGATTCAGCTGTTGTCACGTCAGGCAATCCTAGCTCCGCACAACGCAACGGTCGATCGCATCAATGCCAAGCTGCTGGAAGAGTTCGATGGCGACTACATCGAGTATCGCAGTGCAGACGAGGTTGTTGAGGCGGGCGAAACTGGGGGGTGGAATGGCGCCTGAACTGATTTCGCCAGAGTATCTACATTCAATCAACCCATCCAACTTCCCCGCGCATCACTTGCGTCTCAAGGAAGGGATCCCGGTCGTTCTTCTTCGCAATCTGGACCCAGACGCCGGCCTCTGCAACGGTACTCGCCTTATCGTCTCACACGCAAGTTCGCGAGTCATTCAAGCCGTCGTCTTGACCGGATGTCGAGCGGGCACCACGGTCTTCATCCCTCGTGTGCGACTCGAGACAAATGCGACTAGCAGTCGCCAACTTGGTTTCACTATGCGCCTGCTCCAATTCCCGCTTCGAGTTGCCTTGGCCATGACAATCAACAAAGTCCAAGGTCAATCACTCGATCGTGTTGGCGTCGATCTCTCCCTGCATCCCGTCTTCACTCATGGGCAGCTGTATGTGGCATTGTCTCGAGCCATGAGTGTTGATCGAATCAAGGTGCTACTGCCCTATCGCGACCGCCGATGATGACGACGACCTACCTGCCGTCGATCGAACGGCAGCCGCAACCACCGTGACCCCAATCCCAGTATTCCGCTCTGTTCTCAGGGCAATGGATGGAGAATAGTTTCTATGCTGTACTTCGTATCGTGTCTTTTACCTCCACTGAGACCATGTAAACCGTTTGATTCTTCTCACTGTGACTTTTTTACTGCTGAAATCATGTAGACTGTTCAATTCTCCTGCTATTTGAATTTCATCCTCCCGCTAATTTAACGGGTTCCCACTGGAGAGGAAATGCCAAAAAGCGCTGAGTAGATTGCGCGCGCGTGTAACGCCCCGGGGAAATCCGCGCAACCGCAATTAACCGTGGTCGACTTTGGCGCGACGATTGAGCAACCGCGGGCACGCAGGTCCGACTTTGGCGCGACGATCGAGCCAAAGTCGGATCGTCGCGCCAAAGTCGGCCGCGGTTAATTGCGGTTGCGCGGATTTCCCGTAGGGCCCCGTTCGTGCGCGGATACGGTGGGGCGAGCGAGTTTAACAGTGAGCGAAACGCGCGTGGTCCGCCAATAGGGGCCAGAAACAGGTGTTGTTCCTGGAAAGCGCAACTCCGACCGATTCAGAGCGCGTTAGAAACCAAACGTGCGTCCAAGGGATACAAAGCTGTGAATTAAATGTCGAGCGTGTGAAGGCCCATCGGCGCGCAATTGCACGATTTTCGGCGCGCGTACAAACGAATCGTAACGCGCAACGCAAGTTACTAGCCCCGCGCACGCAGATCCAAACGGCGGCCCATAACCGCAAGTGCCTCCCTCCGCCCTTCTTGCTCCTACCCAATCTTCGAGATCGAACAAGCCATGAGTTATTACATCGGCGTTGACGTGTAAGTGGGGTTATGATCTTCTATGTTGGGTTGTCCAAACCGTGCTTCTACCCACACGAACTGCATCGTGCCAATACTCATTTTCTTCATGTCATTTGGCCCTGCGGTGCTTGCCGATGACGTAGTGGGACAGGTTCCGCTCGGGCGGCGCTTGTTGACGAACAAGGCGCCGTTGTCGCCGAATCGGCCTACAACACGACCTCATTCCGCGACGCTAAAGATGCCAACATCTTTGAACAGTCCACTGACGAAAGTGAGTATGGTTTCATCGCCAGACCGGACTCTTGCAGACCTCCGGACGCGTGGCCCGTAGTCCTTTGAACTTGGCTCACCAGTCGGATGCTGCCATCTCTCTGCCAGTCTGGAGCTGCGTCTCCAAGGCGTGTCAAGACGTTCTGAAGAGCTCAAAAGTGTCCAATACCACTGTCAAAGGCATTGGGTTCGATGCGACCTGCTCCCTCGCCGTTTGTAACCTCGAGGATGGTAGCCCCGTCCCCGTTAACCCTTCCGCATGGTCTGGCGAGCACCACTCCGGAGGTCCCGGAGGGGAACCAGTGCACGACATCATTTTGTGGGCCGATCATCGAGCGTACAAGGAAGCTAAAGACATCAACGCTACCGGAAGTATGGTGCTTAAGTTCGTCGGAGGCACAGTCTCGTTGGAGATGGAATTACCCAAGGTGAGGCGATTCCTCAGGTGCAACACCTCTCACAGTCCGAATGTCCGCGCTTACCGTATCCACCTGGATCTCCATCTGATTATTCGACAGATTTTGTGGTTGAAGCGTCACATGCCCGCCGCGCTCTTCCAGCAGTGCATGTTCTTCGACCTGCCTGACTTCCTCACTTACCGCGCGACTGGCGACTTGGCGCGCAGCAACTGCTCGTTGGCATGCAAGTGCTCCTATGTGCCGCCAGGAGTGGAGGACAGTAAAGGCTGGAACGACGAACTTTTTCAGGCTATTGGCCTAGATGACTTTGTGCGCTTCAGGGCAGGCTGTCCTATCAGGGGGCCAATCAGGACGCTCGGGCTGATGCACTGCTCATTTTGTTCCCTTGGTCTAGGTCAAGAACGAGTTCAAGCAGATTGGTGGTACGCCCGGGAAGTCGGGTCTTATTTTGACTGCTGGGCAACCAGTGGGACGAGGTCTTTCCGCGAAAGCTGCAGCAGAACTCGGGTTGCTGGAGGGTACGGCGGTCGGTTCAGGGGTCATCGACGCGTACGCCGGGTGGATTGGGACAGTTGCGGCACCGATGGAAGGCCAGAAGTCCACCTCTTTGGACGACAGTAAATACCGGCTTGCAGCTATCGCTGGAACAAGTACTGTCAGTCGAGCCGCTAAGTCAATGGACCCCACGGTGCTTGTCGTTGACCCAATCTTCGTTTTTGGCAGTGCCATATTGTCCAGAGTCCGGAAGCAGTTTTTGTCCCCGGAGTCTGGGGACCATACAAGCATGCAATCTTCCCTGGTTGTACGTGTTAGCTGAGTGTTTCCGCTGTGTTCTCCTTGTTGGGTCACTCAAACCGCTTCAGGACGGACCCGGGTCCATTTTGTGCAGATTGGATGAACGAAGGCGGGCAGTCGTCCACGGGTCAGCTTCTCGACTTCATGATAGACACCCACCCTGCCTCAGAAAAGCTCAAAGCGCTTGCAAAGGAGCAAGGCACGAACCACTTCTCACTGTTGACTGAGCTTCTGGACGCCATGGCGAAAGATAAGGGTGTGCCTTTCATCTCTGCCTTGACGCAGAATGTCCAGCTCTATCCAGATCTCCACGGTACGTCTTCTCTTTTGGGCCTAATTCCGATCCCCAGTTGAGCACGTGTTTGGTAATGTCCAGGCAACCGCTCTCCCCTTGCGGATAATGAGATGCGTGGCATGCTCATTGGTATGGCCCTCGACAAGAACATCTCGGACCTTGCGCTGCGTTATTACGCAACCGGGGAGGCGATTGCGCTGCAGACTCGTCAAATTATTGATGAGATGAACCAACATGGTCATGAAATTCGCTCCATCTTCATGAGTGGAGGGTGAGTTGAAGACTCTTGCCTGGCAGGTGCGTACTAGCAAGAGATGTTGACCCTATCTTCATGCTTCTGCGATCGCCACAGACTTGTAAAGAACCGATTCCTCATGAGGTGAGGACCTGATGGATCCGGCTCGAGTTTTGTCGCCACTTGGCTCACTTGCCTCGCCTCCCTGCCTCCTCGCTTTCGCAGCCTCATCGCCGATGTGTGCAATGTTCCTGTACAACTCCCACATTCACACTCTGCAAGTGTGGTGATTGGGTCTGCCATGCTTGGTGCTGCTGCTGCGGCCGAGGCAAAGAAAGCCGGATCCGCCCTCATTACGCAGGAAGAGGCTGAAAAGGGCAGTCACGGCATGAAGGATCGCCTTTGGGACATCATGGTCTGTTTTCCCTGTGCCCTTCTCTAGATAACAAATCTACCCGGGACCCTTCAGCTGAACTCGCCCCCGCTTGGCTGGCAGGTTCGCATGAGCAAACCCGGAACAACGGTGAAACCTTCGGCTTCGGATCAAGAGTTGCGTTTGCTCAAGGTCAAGTATGAAATCTTCAAGGAGTGCATTGTGTTGCAGCGCAAGTGGAGGTCAGCCACGGCCGAAGCCATGGCTTCTGATCGATAGGTTGTGTTTATCTGAGATAGAACACCAGTGGGATCCCGTTGCATTAATGGGAGTATAAAATCCAAATAGGAGAGTCGAACAGAACACATGACAAAAGACAGCAGAAAAACCATTCTCATTCATTGCCCCGAGAACAAAGCGGTGTTCTGGTTTGGGGTCACAGTGGTTGCGGCTGCCGCGCGATCGACAGCCTCGTGATGAACAGCGAAGGCTTTCCTTGTTTGCTTTGACGATGCACCCCACCGCATCCTGGTAACGCTGCGTGCGGCCTATTCTTGAACGTCGAGGCCAGAAATCACCGAACGTTCGATTTGCTCCGGGGTCAAGCCGCTGGCAACAGCGTCGGGGATGCTTTGGGCCGTGGTGAGGCGCAAGCTTTCTTGGTGCAACTGGATGTAGTTAGCCGATCGGTGTCGGCTTGGAGGTTTCCATCGATCACGGACTCGGGGAAGGGACGCTGGGTGCAATGCGGGAAACGTGAGACTTGGGTTGATCCACTCGATCCCTTCTCCTTGACCTTCGTGCTGGATGTTCAAACATTCTATGTCAGTATGTGCTTTCGTCTCAACAGAATGGAACACAAAAGAAAGAGTGCTATCCTTCCACAAGGGGTCCGACTCGTGCGAGTCCAACCGACAAGCAATGATTACCGGTCGGTGCGCCACAACGGCAACGGCGCATTGCAGGCCTCTCCTCAACGCGTGAAGATACTCAAGCGTATGGTCAAACCGGAGGCCGACAGCGTGCGTCAAGCACGTGTCAAGAAGGCTCAGAGGCTACGTCAAGAGGCGGCGGCTGCCTCGAGAGCCGCGGAAGCTGCGGCCGAGCAGGCCGAAACGGAGTCCCAGCGCAGGCAGTTCGAGGACCTTGCGGCGACCCTCGGAATCGACGTCGAAAACACACGAGCGCATTCAACCCCCCCTCCCATGAATCGCAAGCGGCCCAAGAAGTCTAAAGCGCAAGCGCGGAATGTCTCGACCCGTCGCCAATCCGATAGTACTCCTACGGGTGACGACAATGCGTCGGAAGAGGAACGGAACGGATCAAGTAACCGAGTGAGCTTGCAACGGCACCAGTCCTGTTTTGCAGCACTCGGGTTCCTGCTGATCATTGTTCGTTCTCGTCACACCTTGAACAGTTCACCCACCAGGAGAAAACGATGGTTTACGAGCTCGTATTCCATGACATGGACGCGTTCGAGTCCAGCGACAGCGAGTCCTCAGGTCCCGATGGCGAGACGTTGCCCAACAAAATTGCGCGCACCAAGTATCATCATATGAAGAAGCACCACAAGCCCCTGTGCCCGTGGCTCTTCTTCAAACAGATGCAAAATGTGTGGTGGAGAAAGGTCTGTATGATTTCACTCGTCTCCTCATCAATTTTACGCTGATTGCTCATTTTGCAACAGGCCCGACCTCGGTTGATCGCGGGGGGGTCTCGTTGACCCCTCAATTCATACATCAATTTGATGCAACATGACAAGGACTTGTACAGTAAATGTCTGAATGCGTTTGATGTATCCGGTGGGAGCCGACCGGATGAAGAATCTACCGACTATGACGACCGTCCGAGCCGCGTGAGTAGTACGATTTCAATCTGTCGACGCGTTTTCCTGCGAACACCCCGATGCGCGAATGTGTCCGGCTGACGCGTCTGATTCTTTAATTCCAGACCGACCGATTATCGGACGAGCCAGGTCTCCTCAAGTTCTATAAGTCGGAATGGTTCACGTTCTGGGAGGAGTCTCAGGTTAAGGACACGGATCACCTCATCCGCGACTTTGCTTTGACGGAATCAGGTGGTCCTGTTCCCAAGACGGCCGAGTCGAGAAAGCGAGCCAAGCCGAAGACTCGCGTAGCCGATATCGACACAGGGGATGACGATGACGCGTTAGTGGATAAGCAAGATGAGGCCGCCGACGGGGCTAACCATGAAGACGAGCGCCGCCGCAAAGCGCGCAAGGCGGACGCTCGAGCCAAGGTAGATCCCGTGTGTCCTGGAAGCTTGGAGCCCAAGACTTTGCCTGACGCTATCCCGTCCTCTTTAACATCGCAGCCCACTTCCTCTACAGCAGACCATGCGGATGGTCTCAATACCTTCCTGAAGACCTTGACGGAGATCGAGACAGGCCGCTTCGAGAATGAGAAGGAGGCTGCCAAGCACGCTCGCGTTGAGGCGAAGGCGAAGGTGAAAGGGAATTTGTTCTCGATGATCAAACTATGGGAAGAACGACACATGAGTTATCAGGCATCTGGTGATTGGGATCGTGCTGAGAAGGCTAAGGAGCGATTGGCCCGCCTTAATGACCAGTTGTTTGACAAAGAAGACGGGAGCGCCGAGGAGTAGCCTCTCCCAATTCCGACCGTAACCCCATGAAATTCAAACCAAACCTGTTCCAGAACGAATTGTAGTAGTCGCGATAACAGCATCCATCAAAAGTGGGAAAGTGAATGGCATCAAATTGATGAGTTTATGATCTGCATATACAATTTACATGACATGGGATGTTTCTACGCGTCATTACACCTCGCAATATGATTCTACGCATTGCTTTCAAAGGCCCTCTTCACACGTTCTTGCAGCCTCTTGCCCTTCGCGGCATCATCCGGGCGCACAGCCATTTGACCTATGGGCCGCCGAGCACGTTCTCGAATGAACGCTTCGTCTTCCGGAGTAAGAGGTCGAATAAATGGTGGTTCTCCCTGCCGCCCTCCCAGTTCCCATTCGACCATCGGCCCGTCCTCGTCTCTCCAGTCAATCAGAAGATTGTGAAGCACCATCAAAGCACCAACATACTTCCACATAGGCGTGTGATAGACACCCGCTAAAAGTTTGAGCCACCGAAACTTGTTCTTGAGGTCGCCAAACACCTGCTCGACCACGATTTGCTTCGAGCTGAAGGTTTTGTTGAACACGATTGCCTTCCGTTGCGACAGGGGGCCCATTGCGTTCAGTTTGATCTGATTAAACGACGTGATGAGAAGAGCGGACTGCGGGTAGCCTGCAATGGCCACATACAAAGAACACAACACAGCTTGTTCAGTTCATCGCCCCGTCGGTGCGGTCGCCCCACAGAGCAGTATGTACCTTTATCGCCGAGTATGAATGTATCGTCAGGGAAATAGACGTCGCGCCAACGCCAAATCTGAGACTTTCGAAATATGTCGCTATCGTGTCAAACGCCGGTGAAACCGCCGTCGACTGAAGTGAATCGTTTTTTGTCGTCGACCGTTGCCTGCATGTTAAGCTGAGATAAGGAAGTTTGCAACGGGATCAGCGATACACATATGGTCGCGGAGAGACGAGTATCGAACCTCAAGTGACCATCGATCTTAAATCAAGGAGATAGGTCGGGAGCGATGTAGTACTAGCAACTTACGCAATACATTTTTTTACGCCCGTTGAAGTATGACATTCGCTGTCTCAAGGGAGGAGCTGTAGCCAGTGGAAGAAGAGTCCCATCTATAACCCCTACACAATTGTCCACTTCGAACGCGTCCGCGACGCGAGCCGCTTCCGCGCCCGTCGGCCAACGGATCACTTGGGGCAACAGATGGTAGAGGGCATCGGCAACGCGGTCGACGTAGTGGTAAATCGAGCCCTCGCCTATACCCGTGTTGACCGCGGACCCCAATTTGGTGCTAGGGTCGCCCATGTACTGCAGAAAAATCGCGACTTGCTCGCGTACAGCCCGTTGCGGTCGACCGGTAGGCTTCCGCACGAACACCTCGTCGGTTGAGAGCAGTTGCACTAGATAGTCGAAACACTGCATGGACATGCGCATCTTGCTTTCATACCATCGAGTGTTGGGCTGTGAGAGTAGGAGGGCCAAACTATCCTTGGTTTTGGGGACTAGGTTGTATGGACCGCGCTCGTGCGAGTTGGCCATCAACATGCCAAGCTCGTCAGCGCGTCGCAGGTACGTGGCCGTTTGTACCAAGAGAATGATGCGAGGTATGCATTTCTAGACTTCAAGAACCTGGTACAAGCGTAGACACAGCTCCGCGCGGCGCCGGTATGAGTCGGCATCGTCGTGGGCTCGTTCCATCAAACGAGTCGATCGGCGGGGCATTGCTCGTTGCGTTGCGTCAGGCTTGAGAAGAGTTGAGAATCGCTGCTCAACGCGACATGTGGAGCGGAGTCGGGACGCGACGTTTCATTTAGCGAGGTGGGAGGGCACGTGACTTTCAAAAAAAAAAATGAAAAGTGGACGGGATCCTCCAAAATGGTCCCAACTTCGTGACTTTTTTGTGGACGCTTCAAAAACGAGAAATTTTGAAAAAGTGCGTCGGTCTTCCTCGATCGCGATCGAGCCTAGCCCAAATAGGAAGGCGTGCGTTACTCTATCTAGTAAAAAAAAGTGTCGATCCGCGACCCATGTACCTAAAATCACTGTTTTTGACTGTGTTGCGGGCCGGAGGGCCGCAACTGATGAATGTACCTGTACACTATTGAGTCTGCCGCACCTGCCTGTGGTATCGGCGTCTCGACCAGAAGTCATGTACGACCCTTTCTGCATTTTCTGGACCATAAAAGTCGACCTACAGCCCGACTATGATTTTTGTCGAATTTTGACATGGTGGGGAACTATTGGGCTGTTTGTGTAGGATTTAATGTATAGCAAGCGCGTGGGTTTGCATGACACTTCTTCTACAGAGCTTAGGCGTGGTCTCGCTGTCGTTGACGCGCGGACGCGGGTGCGGCTACGCTGCGCGATGCCCCGTCGATCACGTGACGTGTTTTTTTTGCATCCCGACACCGGTTTTAGGGGCTTAACAACAACATGACGTTCAGGCGGGCGCTGTGAATACTCCCGCGCTACTCTCTCCAATTTTCGCCTTTTCCCTCCCACTCTCATCGAATTTTCGTGACAACCGCGCCAAGTCTTTGGCGCGAGGGTAGCGCCGTACGATAGGCTATACCGTACCGTCGTACTGCTCGAGGTTGCTCGAGGGCCCGCTCCCATCAACAGAATCAGCTCCCCGCGCGTGATGACAACCACTCGACCGATCTTGGTATTACGACCCGTATAAGCGTCCGCCGTACAGCTTTGTAGAACGAACAGCGTGGTCAGCGCGAGGACCCGATGGCCGATCCGACGCTGAGCTCGCCCCACCACCACCTCTTCCTGCGCAGAGGCAAGTGCGAAGGCCTCGAATCGAGCTCAAACCACTCAAACCCCACGTTCCCATCCGCGACTACCTCGGCCCCAGATGGCCGTGTGTGCCCACTGCAAGGCTCGACACTGGGAGTGCAAAGGACGAACCGGACACTTCAGCACGTGCTGCTTGCAGGGTAAGGTGCAGCTACCTCCTCTCTCCGGCTCAATCCCGAGTATCAATAGCTACTTGAAGGCTCGGATAGCGGTCAGTTGCTCCGTCCAACGACATTCGTCTGTAGTAGGCCCACATGCTGAACTGTGCGACCCACCTACACAGAAGCTAAGGCATTCCGGCGTTCCGCGAGAATGCCCGGTCGTACAACAACGCGCTGTCTTTCACTTCGCTTGCTGCTCACTTCGACCAGATACGACTCGGCACTTTAGGACCCCCGTGTTCGCGTGTTCGGTCACCTCTATCATCGACTCGGTGCCCTGATCCCCGCCGTGAATCAACGCCCAGCCTTTGCTCAGACATGGCTCATCGACCCGGTCGAGGCCACCGACACTCGACTTGGACCCAACAGCCCAGACCGTCGAATACAAAGATCTACGTTGACCAAGCTCGAGTCCAAGTTGCGTACCAACAATCGCTTTGTGAGGCTGTTTGCATTGACCAAAGCTCGTGCAGGTTGGGATACGGCCAAATAGTGGATCCTGCGCCTCTGCCTCCCGCCAGGCTGAGACCGACGCACGCACAACCTTCCTACGTCGAGCACGGAAATGGCGATACTCATCTGCGATTCCGACACCAACACGGGAGATCGTGGACGTCAAGACCTTATTCTCCAGGTGCACGGTGATCGATGTCCCGAGGGTCGGCCCAAATACCAAGTTGTTAGCTCGCTCCATCCGTCCGCGATGCCTCTCCGTTACCCACTACTTTTTCCTGCAGGGGAAGATGGCTTCCACCCCAACATTCCTCTTTGCGGGTTCCACCAAGCCGGGCCGCCAATCGCCAGAAACCGAGAGCAGATCGACAATGGTGTCCAATTGCGCGAGGTACTTGCCGGTCTCGGTCTGGATGACGAAGACGTACAGGAGGACGAAGACCGCGACAATGAGGATGAAGACGGCGAGGAAGGGGACGAAGAGAATGGTGATGGTGAACATACGCGTCTTCGGCTCTTTCTCGGATGTTCCATTCTGTCTAAGGCGCAAGCACAGACTGACATTGAACTTTTGAACACCTAGGACGAAGGTCAAGTAAAGGGGTCGAGGTCGAGGTGGCGAGTCTCGCGTTCACAATTCTTTGCGCACTACTTGCCAAAGGTGACACGTACTTCTCAATCCCGCATTGCACCCAACGTCCCTTCCTGGAGTTTGTGATTTACGGATGTACTCCCAAGTCAAGACCAATTGACTCAACACATCCGGTTGCATCAAGAGAACCTACACCTCACCACAACCCAAGGCATCAACGGCTTGACCCCGAACCAAATCGCGACATCACGCAGCGATACCAGGATGCGATGGCTTGCGTTGTCAAACATGGAAAGCCTCCGCTGCTCATCACGATGACGTACGACCCCCGACTCACCGGAAATCAAGGCTGCTGACAGACAACGTCGGAGGCGATGATGATGCCTACACGCGAGAGACGAGGGAGAGAGCACGCGAAAGCGCGAAGGAGCGAAAGGGGTGTCGACCGAGAGGCAACCGCGGAGGATACGCAGTTGCAAGGCTCGCAGCAAGTCCAGTGTACCGGACTATGGTAGCCAACGAGGTCGGACAGAAGAGGGAGGGCAAATGATCCAAGAAATAGCTGACCAGGCCGATGGGAAGGTCGAGTCGGCTGGGCGGCGGCAGTCGACCGAGGAGTGGATTCGGTCGGAAGGCTTCGCAGCAAATCAAGTGTAACGGACTTAATTGCCAGCGAAATGGGTAAAAAGAGGGAGGGTACGAGTCATGATAATGAGTGGACCAAGCTCTGGGGGAAGGGTGGCAAAGCAAAGGGAGGGAAGTGCTCCGAGCGAAGGAAAGACTGAGTCAAATAACTACACCACGAGGTCGCTTCAGGGGCAAAAAGGATTGCCTGCAAGGCACCGGTAAAAACCCCGAAGCCGGGCCTCGGATAACAAAAAGGAAAAGAAACCAAAAAGGCCGATCATGCTCCGGGCGGATCGAACCCTCAACCACTGAGTGCGCGCCCGCGCGCCCTCACGGCTACGCCATCGCGCCGACAATGCTTGCAACGAACAAACCGGTAGCTGATGTCGACTCCGGCCACAAACTTGGGAGACTTCCTTCGCTGGAGGAACCGCGAATCCTCCAGCTTGGTCGCCCGAGGCAACTCAGGTCCGGTTGGACCATGAGAAGCTGATGAAGAAGACCTTCCAAGTGCTCGGGATTGTTCCCTCCAGCAAGTCGACCCGCCGACTGATGGTCCTGATGCACGACGCCTCAACCCCGCCTTCGCAGGCGCCAGCGCTCGCACGAGCCGCCCAAAGAGCGGTGCGAAACGACGCAGCCCCGGCCTCCAATGTGATTCGAGTCATTATGGATGGTCCTGGATCACCCAGAGGTCCTGTACAGACCGCGCTGCGCAAGCACTTTGGATTGGCCGAGACGCCGTTCATGTTCGCGCGGCCCGAGGGCATCGTGCTTGACCCCGAGGTCGAGAAGCTTTTCTCGAAATGCGTGAAGCTGAACCCGATTGTGACGAAAGCCACGAAGAGGTTCCCGATCGCTCGTCACATGTACGAGCTTGTATTCGAATCCGAGCAAGCTTGTCTTGAAGCCGCTTCAGCGGGCCCATTCCCCTACCACGGCAAGGAGATGGTTACCGAGCTCCCCAGCGCCTCTCCCCTTAACCACGTCGTGCAGGTGCGATTCACCTTGCCCTCCTCCTCCAGCGCGATCCCCGCTTCCGTGCTCCGAAAATCTCTCGATGATGCTATCACCCTTTCGTTCGGCCGCGCAGGTCGCACACAAGGTTATACCCTGATGCAATTACAGCAGGGCCTCGCGGTCGATCCGAATGGCGATCCAATGGCCATGACCGAAGACGGGTTCCACTGCGCGTACCTTCGCTTACATGCTGATCTTTTCCAAGGCTCCATCGAGACGCAGAAGGGTGCGCTCAACGCCGCTTTGCCACAAGAGATCGAGATCCTGGGCGCCAAGTACGGCTTGCGACACGAATTCGAGACGCACTACTGCGCGGTGTGCGATCGCGCCGGACTGTTGAACTTCGCTCCATCTCACTTCTAGGACAATATGCGCTCACTGAAGTAGAGGTGTCTCGCCTTTTGGTGCAGTGGTATATTGTTCCTTCATAGGTTATGAGCCCAGAGCAACCAGCAGGTCATGAGTTCAATCCCCCCTGGGGTCAGGCAATTTTGCGCGCATACACTCAGCGTCCCGGCCCCCGCACTTGCCCAGCGGCGTGCCAAGCACCCTGGCGCATCGACAGTGCTCACAGTGCCCAAGCTGCACTTGCCCAAGCGACCTGATCAACATGCCCAGTTGCCTCACAAGCCGCACCCACTGCCACAAGCTCTTCAGCTTCGCGCACAGGGGGGTGTTGAACTTCGCTCCATCTCACTTCTAGGACAATATGCGCTCACTGAAGTAGAGGTGTCTCGCCTTTTGGTGCAGTGGTATATTGTTCCTTCATACGGACACCAGTGGGGCGCTTGCAGGAAGCCGGTTTCGACTCCGGCCACCGCCGCCCCTGTTCCGGGGGCCTCGACCTCGACTTCGACTTCGACCACCGGCTTCCGAGTTGCTGGAAAGAATGGGAAGCACGGTGGGCCTGCCGCATTGAACTCTCGTGTCTCTGGCGCGAACATGATCCAGCTGGGACCTCGTGCTAACCCCGCAGGTGCAGTAACTGCCAACAAGGACGACGCGAACGACGGCGACGACGAGTCGATCGTTTTGACCGAACCGGAGGGCGGCGACACTGGGGAAGAGACGTCGACGCGTGCGACCCTGGGCTCAACAAAGGAGACGCAGACGACGACGGCGGCGCCCGTTTCGACCCCGACCTCTCCTTTGCCTTTGTCCGGTGGCACGTCGGGATCATCGGCAACCTCGACAACCTCGATAGCCTCGACGAGTCCTCAACGCCTTCGTTCGAGCTCGGCACCCGGCAACCGACGTGTCACCCGGGCGGGATCCGCCATGATCCTCGGTGCATCAGGGGGTGATGGCTCAGGGGGTCACAGGTCCGAGGTGACCGAATTCGAGGGGGGCGGCGCTGAACTGATTTAATCATGATTGAGTCACTCACCGTGTTGACGTTCAACGTCCGATCGATGAAGAACGCAGTCAACCAAGTCAAAATCATCCATTATCTCAAAACCCTTCGGCCGGCCCCTGCGGCCATCTTCCTGCAAGAGCACCACCTCAGCTACAACGCGTCGCGCGAAGGCTTCAAGAGTGCTTGGCCGGGGGCTTGTATTCGTTTCACTCCTCATGTCCTTACCCTCATACCCGATGGCTCACCTTTGGCGGGCCATCTCCTTTCCTCTACCCCGGTCGTCTTTGCAGGAGCTCCTCGTTTCGACGGTCGGATTCTGCGCTCGGTGTTTCGTCTTGAGGAGCTCGATGTCGAGATCATCAACATGTATGCGCCGGTGCAGGAGGATGATCGTCGCGACTTTTTCGGGCTTCTGCACTTCAACGCCCCGAGACCCAAGACTCTTCGGATCTTGGCCGGCGATCTCAACAATTGTCCGGATGTATCTGTCAGGATGACAGTGTGTACTCGAAGGAAGCCCCCCAAGGCTATGTGCGGGTAGAGTTGACTTGACCAGAGGCTTGCCTCGTTTCACAGCATCGTCGGTGCGATGGCGTAGTCGTGAGGCGCGCGGGCGCGCACTCGGTGGTCGCGGGTTCGAGGCGCCCAGACCGCAGTCTTCTTTCGGTTTGTTTTATCTTTTTGTTAGCCGAGGCGCGGCTTCAGGGTTTTTACCGGTGCTCCCGCGAGCAATCCTTTTTACCCCTGAGGCGACCTCTTGGAGTGGTTGATTTGGCTAAGTCCCCTCTGGGCCTGGCACAGTCCCTTCCCTTTAGTTTTACCACCTTTCCCCGGGGGAGCTTGGTCCGCTCTTCTCTTTTGTGCCCCTCCTCTTCTTGTCGATCGTTTGGGAATTAAGTCCGTTACACTTGATTTCCTGCGAGCCTTTCGACCGACTCCCCTCCTCGGTTGCTCCCTTGTCGACTGCCGCCGCAACAGCCGACACTTCCTGAAATCCCCCCCCCCCCCGTACCAACGCGTGTAGACGACGTCATCCCCTCCGACGTCGCTTGTCACTTTTTTCAAGTTCGGCATTACCGACAACGATCCGCACCTCTACAACCGCTTCGTCCACCGTCCTGGACGAGCATTCACCCCCACTCTCTGAGCCTGAGTCTTCAGCCTCCTCTCCGTTGCCGAATTCATCACCAACGAACGCGTCGCTGTCCTTCCCGACTTCCTCCACAGAGTCCGACGACGAACACGTTTATCCTTCCTACCCTTTCCGTCAACCGTCTCGTGCCCGCCTTCGTTCGCCCCGCAATCGCCGACGTTTGAGTCACGAGATTGCCATGGCCGACGAGCGCGACGTGTACCGTGCCGCCGCCGATGATCGAGACACTCCTCTCCGCGACGAAGACCCCGGCCGCGCGAAACCGCCCAAGTCCCCGCCGCCCCAACCCTACCACACCGCCACCGCTCTATCGTCCCTCGAAAGCCGCCTCGAGGAATCCGAAGCCCGTCGTATCGACTCCGAGGAACGTGTTCAGCAATTGGAGAAGTTGGTGGAGGGTTTATTGAAAAGCTCACCTGAACCAGCTGCGGCGCGGGCCGGAGTCTCTGAACCAGCTGTGGCGCGGGCTGGATTCTCTGAACCAGCCGCAGCGCGGGCTGGGGAGTTTACGTTTACACCGGTGAGATCGGTCCCCTTGGACGTTCCCCCACACACCATTCTGGAACGTTCAGGCAATACCGCTGACCCCCTTGTTCGTTCCCCTGGGGGGGAATCTCACAGCGCACGAAGGGATGGCCCTTCCTCGGCAGTAATCAGCTCTCGTTGGAGAGGGACGTTACCTGACCGGGAAGGGCTATGGACAGGGGATAACCCGGATCGGTTGGTCACTTTCACTACATTTGGGAAGTCGTACTTGTCTCTACTTTGCGACATTTCCACCAGCGACCTTTTTACCACCGACCGCGTCATCCAGCTTGTGGCGACCTTGTTCGTTCGTTCAACTTCTCCCAAGCGCCATCAGTCTCCGCACGACTGGGCCGTTGATACTATGATGGATGCGCTCCGGGACGAACGACCTCACTGCTGGACGACATTGATGACAGAAGTTGGACGTCGTTGGCCGGATCCTGGCTTTGCCGACCGAGTGTCCCACGACTTCTACGGGTGCCGACAGTCTTCGTCTCGAGCCTACGACCATGTGGGCGAATGGCGTGCCCGCTACCGAGCGTTTATGCACAACGACCCCAGCTTCAGCCTCTCGTCCCTTCAACTCGCCACAACCTTTTATCAATCGTTGAGTGATGTGGCTAAGCGGGAAGTGCGGGCTGGTATGCTGCGGGAATATCGGGATAACTCACTCGTGACTATAGGGAGGTTCGGACGAACTGTCCCGTCCCTCGAGGAGGTTACCGACTGGGCCGCCATCGCCGACGACACCGGCACGACATCAGTTTCAACCCCGCCGATTCGTACTGCGACTTATGGAGCAATTGCGAAAATGCCACGCACCGCCCCATCCACGCCAAACGACGACGCACGTACCCAGATCCGTCGAGCTCGATGGATGAACCGCGCCGGTAAATGGCAACAGGCCCACCTGTGGAAGGATCGGAACACGTGGTTCTCGCCAGCATCGGGTGGGGTACCCGCCAGCATGGCGTGTTTTAATTGCGGTCAAGGTGGCCATTTCTCACAGCATTGTACAGCGGAGCGACAATCCCCCTCGACCGTCCAAATAGCAGCAATTGCCTTCGCCGACATGGACGAGGACGAATGGTCGTCGGCCTCAGGTGACGTTGAGGACCCCCAGGTGCGATTCCCCCTTCCCCTCGAGTTCCGCATCCGCCTTAGTGACGCACCACTCTTGCCCTCCTGCAGACCCTGTTGGCCGAGTGAAAGACGTCGCCTCTTCTTCTTTTGAAGTTCAGACTTCATCAAGTAGTTCGCATCCAACCGTGCCGGCAAATGATGCAGATCAACATCGTCTCGACGATAGCCTGGCTGACATCGCGATTGACGCGGTGGAAGATGTCTTGTACTACGCTGATGCCGCGTCGCGCTTGTGTCATTATCCGGGGCCGGAAGTGGTGTCGTCTCGCAAGGCGGAAAGGACTGCTTCGGTGAGCTCTTTCCAGATTCTTGTGCCGTCGGGTGTGTCTCTCTTGGCGTCCGCTGTGCCCCTGATCGACATCGACGAACCCGACCGACCTGTCGAGCCCGCCATTGTACGCGCCCGCAACGTCATCGCGTGGACGCTACCTTCTGGAAGGGTTTTGCGATGTTTGATCGACTCGGGATCAGAGGTCGACTTGGTGGATCAGGAGGTGGTGCGAGTCGACCCGAGCTTCGCAACGGCCCGTTTGACTGCGCCGTTGCACTTGCGCCTCGGCACCCAGGATAAGTCCGACCGATGTGCTGTGTTCGCCACCGCTCCTTTTTCGTCTGGCGCCCTAGATCTCGGTTTGCGACCATTCTTCGTTTGCCGTGTAACGGCGTACGACGCCATCTTGGGGCTGCCATTTCTTAAGGACACAGGCATGCTCGTTGGTTGGGGCGTCTTCACCGTCGCGCGCACCGGCCCTTCGCAACCCGTCGCCCAGGATACGCACGAATGGGACCGAGCCGTCACCGTAGCACCTATCTTATCCAGTTCTGCCATTGGCTGCAATCACCCTGGGTTGCTCCCCGACGACGAGATCATCGGCCTCGAGCCACACAACCCGCTGCTCGATGTCGTCGACGATCCGGCGCTCGACGATTTCTCTGAGTCTGAAGCACAAACACGATTGGCTGCCTTACTCAAGAAATTTTCTGATGTGTTCGTAGATTCGCTACCGATGGACCAACTCCCACCGTACCAGCCAGTCAACCACGAGATCCCGTTGATCGATCCCACCGAAAAGGTCAAACCCCGGGTATACCCCCTTGCCGACAAATATCGCAGCCAGTGGGCGGAACACTCAGCTAAGTACACTCGTGGTCGATTCTGGGTTTCGGTCTTTGCCATTCCGAAGAAGAACTCCCAGACGGCTCGTTTCGTGATCGACCTCCGCGCGCGCAACAGCAACACCGTCAAGCGTTTTTCGCCCATCCCGGACATGACCAATGTTCGATACGAGGTGGCTCGATCGCATTATCGCTCTAAATTCGACGTGGCCGCGGCATTTGAGCAGGTTCGGGTCATACCGGAGCACGTTGATCGCACCGGCTTCGCAACGGTGACGGGCACGTACACGTCGCGGGTCATGCAGTTTGGTGACACCAATGCGCCCAATACCCTCAACCTCTTGACCTCGGCGATGTTCCAGCCGTGTCTCCCGTTCGCCAAGATCTTTTTCGACGATGTCCACGTCCATTCCGATACCCGTCGCGCACACTTGAGACACATCAAGATCCTGCTGATGACATTGAGACATTACCGGTTCTACTTAGGATCCAAGAAGTCCGAGTGGTTCTCAAAGTCGTTGGATTCCTCGGGCACCATCATTTCCGACGTTGGCATCGAAGTCGACCCCGCCAAGTGGGAGCGTATTCAGCAGTGGCCGATCCCGCGCAACAAGACCGACGTCCAGCGTTTCCTCGGCACCGTCAATTGGATGCGAGATCACCTACCGCACCTCTCGACGATCTTGGAGCCGATCACCGCGTTAATGGCGCAATCGACGTCATGGCGTTGGAACGAGCGAGAACAGCAGGCTTTCGATACCGTCAAGTCCCTTGTGCCCGCCATCCTACGACCGATCAATGGCGCCAAGGTTACCTCGGGCGAGCACAAGATGTACCTCTTCACGGATGCCAGTCGGGTTGGCATTGGCGCTTGTTTGGCGTCCGGGCCCAACCGTTCGCAGGCCATTCCAACGCGATTCTTTTCCGCTAAGTTCACCGGTGCTCAGCTCAACTATCATGTCACTGATAAAGAGTTCTTGGCTGTCGTCTCGGCGTGTCGGGCGTTCGAGCAGCACTTGATCGGTTACCCCTTCGTCATCGTCACCGACCATCAGGCCCTTCGCACGATAAAAACCCAAAAACTGCGCCAAACGCCTCGGCACATCCGCATGTGTCTCGAACTCAGCCGTTTCGACTTCGAATTTGAATTCATTGCTGGCAAGAACAACACCCTGGCCGATTCGTTGTCGCGTCTGTGGGAGGTCAAGCAGGGTTCACACGAGGATCAGGTCAAGGAGAATGAGTTGGAGGACATGTTCTTTGATGGAGAACGCCACGAATTCACTACACCCGGTGAGAGCCTCCCTGAGGAACGTCCTTGCACTTCACCATCTCCCGATCGGTTGCCTCCTGTTGATTTTGCCCTCGGGCCCCAACACGACGATTGCGAGGCAGGCTCTCCCGGATACTACGCGCTCAAGGAGGAATCGCAAGACGAGGACGTGAATGGACAGGAATTAGGGAATTTGTTCTTGAAGGAAGAATGCCACGAGTTCATTACGCCCGGTGAGAGCCTCCTCGAGGAACGTCCTTCCACCTCACCTTCGCACGATCGGTTGCCCCCTGTTGATTGCGCCTTCGGGCCCTGGGGTCACGGTTACGACGCAGGCTCTCCCGGTTCCCCTCATCTGGCCGAGAACATTATGGACGCCGTCGATTGGTCTATCGGCCGCCTCTCTCCTCCCATCGCTGTCAATCGAGTTCACGCTATCGCTGCGGCCCCCGCCAACGACCCGCCCATTCCGGTCGATGCCGATGCCGACGAACTCGATTTGTTGGGAGTTGCCACCGATGACGTCAACGACGCCCCTGTAGTCCATCGGCCGCCTGATCCACTGCCCCAACCCTTCCTCGACACCGTCATCCGAGCATACGCCAACGATTCGCAAGCCCAGGTCATCATTACCGACCCGCTATCATGGCCTATGTTTCGGGTGACCGAGGAAGGGAGGATTTTGTGTGTACATCCAGATGAGTCTATTTCCTTGTTTGTGCCTCGTGGTCTCGCTACCGGCGTCGTCAACTCCGACAAGGTCCCATCGCTGCGCGAGCTCGTGCTTTCGGAGATTCATCGGAGTGTCGGGCATGCAGGACATCGCATCACCTTGGCCGCCATACGTCCTTTGTACTGGTGGTCGTCCATGTCTGCCGATTGCGCCGAGTTCTGCCGTTCATGTGAAGACTGTACCCGAGGCAAGGCGTCCACTCAAGTCCCCTATGGCCGACTGCATCCGATGCCGATCCCTTCTGGTCCTTGGGAACAAGTGGCCATCGACTTCATGACAGGACTGCCTCCGGTCGAGCTCGAAGGGAGGATGGTTGCTCAAATCATGGTGGTCACTGACACTTGGGGCAAGATGGTCCACCTGATTCCCCTCCCAGCCGACGCCGACTCGGAGCTCGTTGCCGAGAAGTACTACGCCACCGTCTTCCGACTGCATGGGATGCCTTCCGCCATCGTTTCCGACCGTGATCCCAAGTTCACCTCGCAGTTTTGGCGGGCATTGCAGGCAAAGATTGGCACCGTCTTGCGAATGTCAACCGCGGCACACCCCGAGACGGACGGATCGAGCGAGAATCAGATCAAGATGGTCACCCAAACCCTGCGGATCATGGTCTCGTCAAACCACGAGGCTTGGGCATCTCGTCTTGTTGAAGCTGAGTTCGCTCTTAACTCTTCTGTTGCTGTGTCCACGTCGCTGTCGGCTTTTGAGGCAACCTACGGCTACCTTCCTCGATGCTGGCCCTCGGATTCCTGGTCTGTCTCGGACGTCCCTCGTGCGGAAGTGTTTGCTCGGATCCGACATGACAGGCAACGTCGGAGGGGATGACGATGACTACACGCGAGAGACGAGGGAGAGAGCGAGAGAGCGCGCGAAAGCGCGAAGGAGCGAAAGGGGTGTCGACCGAGGCGGCGGCAGTCGACCGAGAGGCAACCGCGGAGGATACGCGGCTGCAAGGCTCGCAGCAAGTCCAGTGTACCGAACTATGGTAGCCAACGAGGTCGGACAGAAGAGGGAGGGCAAACGATCCAAGAAATAGCTGACCAGGCCGGTGGGAAGGTCGAGTCGGCTGGGCGGCGGAAGTCGACCGAGAGGCAACCGCGGAGGATACGCGGCTGCAAGGCTCGCAGCAAGTCCAGTGTACCGGACTATGGTGGCCAACGAGGTCGGACAAAAGAGGAAGGGCAAACGATCCAAGAAATAGCTGACCAGGCCGATGGGAAGGTCGAGTCGGCTGGGCGGCGGCAGTCGACCGAGAGCAACCGAGGAGTGGATTCGGTCGGAAGGCTTCGCAGCAAATCAAGTGTAACGGACTTAATTGCCAGCGAAATGGGTAAAAAGAGGGAGGGTACGAGTCATGATAATGAGTGGACCAAGCTCTAGGGGAAGGGTGGCAAAAGCAAAGGGAGGGAAGTGCTCCCAGCGAAGGAAAGACTGAATCAAATAACTACACCACGAGGTCGCTTCAGGGGTAAAAAGGATTGCCTGCAAGGCACCGGTAAAAACCCCGAAGCCGGGCCTCGGATAACAAAAAGGAAAAGAAACCAAAAGGCAGATCACGCTCCGGGCGGATCGAACCCTCGACCACTGAGTGCGCGCCCGCGCGCCCTCACGACTACACCATCGCGCCGACAATGCTTGCAACGAACAAACCGGTAGCTGATGTCGACTCCGGCCGCAAACTTGGGAGACTTCCTTCGAGTATTGATGGCAGTGCAGGCTGTGCTCCTGACAGATGAACCGCGCCGGTAAATGGCAACAGGCCCACCTGTGGAAGGATCGGAACACGTGGTTTTCGCCAGCATCGGGTGGGGTACCCGCCAGCATGGCGTGTTTTAATTGCGGTCAAGGTGGCCATTTCTCACAGCATTGTACAGCGGAGCGACAATCCCCCTCGACCGTCCAAATATCAGCAATTGCCTTCGCCGACATGGACGAGGACGAATGGTCGTCGGCCTCAGGTGACGTTGAGGACCCCCAGGTGCGATTCCCCCTTCCCCTCGAGTTCCGCATCCGCCTTAGTGACGCACCACTCTTGCCCTCCTGCAGACCCTGTTGGCCGAGTGAAAGACGTCGCCTCTTCTTCTTTTGAAGTTCAGACTTCATCAAGTAGTTCGCATCCAACCGTGCCGGCAAATGATGCAGATCAACATCGTCTCGACGATAGCCTGGCTGACATCGCGATTGACGCGGTGGAAGATGTCTTGTACTACGCTGATGCCGCGTCGCGCTTGTGTCATTATCCGGGGCCGGAAGTGGTGTCGTCTCGCAAGGCGGAAAGGACTGCTTCGGTGAGCTCTTTCCAGACTCTTGTGCCGTCGGGTGTGTCTCTCTTGGCGTCCGCTGCGCCCCTGATCGACATCGACGAACCCGACCGACCTGTCGAGCCCGCCATTGTACGCGCCCGCAACGTCATCGCTTGGACGCTACCTTCTGGAAGGGTTTTGCGATGTTTGATCGACTCTGGATCAGAGGTCGACTTGGTGGATCAGGAGGTGGTGCGAGTCGACCCGAGCTTCGCAACGGCCCGTTTGACTGCACCATTGCACTTGCGCCTCGGCACCCAGGATAAGTCCGACCGATGTGCTGTGTTCGCCACCGCTCCTTTTTCGTCTGGCGCCCTAGATCTCGGTTTGCGACCATTCTTCGTTTGCCGTGTAACGGCGTACGACGCCATCTTGGGGCTGCCATTTCTTAAGGACACAGGCATGCTCGTTGGTTGGGGCGTCTTCACCGTCGCGCGCACCGGCCCTTCGCAACCCGTCGCCCAGGATACGCACGAATGGGACCGAGCCGTCACCGTAGCACCTATCTTATCCGGTTCTGCCATTGGCTGCAATCACCCTGGGTTGCTTCCCGACGACGAGATCATCGGCCTCGAGCCACACAACCCGCTGCTCGATGTCGTCGACGATCCGGCGCTCGACGATTTCTCTGAGTCCGAAGCACGAACACGATTGGCTGCCTTACTCGAGAAATTTTCTGATGTGTTCGTAGATTCGCTACCGATGGACCAACTCCCACCGTACCGGCCAGTCAACCACGAGATCCCGTTGATCGATCCCACCGAAAAGGTCAAACCCCGGGTATACCTATGAGATGATCACCACTACTGTCAGGAGAAGTCGAGAGTCGAACAGAAGTGATCTATTTCAGCGTACCTATGAGATGATCACCACTACTGTCAGGAGAAGTCGAGAGTCGAACAGAAGTGATGAGAAGGAAGCTAAGAAATGGTATTCGATCAACTCTACTACGTCAGCGATGTAGTTATAGCCAAGAGTGATGAATGCATTTCAACATACCTATTCGATCAACTCTACTACGTCAGCGATGTAGTTATAGCCAAGAGTGATGAATAGGAAGCTAACAATAAGAGACCCGCGCGCCCCAAGTCCACAGCCAGCGAGCCTGGGGCTGAGCCAATGGCCCAGGCTCGCTCCGCGCGCCTAAGTCCCAGGCTCGCTTCGCGCGCCTAAGTCCTGGGCCGGGGCGCCCGGCTCACTCCGCGCGCCTAAGTCCGCGCCCGGTTCGCTCCGCGCGCCTAAGTCCTGAGCCGAGCGGAGAGTGGATTCCTCACACCCCCCCCCACGCGAACGCGAGGTAGACTTGAGCCGTGGATGTCGCGTCCGGAGGCCTAGAGCATAGCAATGTGTACCAAAAATCTTGGGGCCTAGCGCTTTGGTGAATACGTCCGCAACCATGTCTGCTGTGCCAACGTGTGAGAGAGAGATATCACCTCGATTGACCATGTCACGGACAAAATGCTCGCGGAGGCGAATGTGCCGGGTGCCGGAGGTGCGAACGGGGTCGTGAGCGACGGCGGCCGCGGCCTCGTTGTCGGTGAAGATGTGAGCTGCAGCGATTGGGCAAACGTGGAGCTCGGAGAGGAGTTGGTTAAGGTAGATCGCTTCCTTACCCGCGTGCGACAAGGCCAGGTACTCGGCATCAGTGGTGGAATCCGCTACCCGAGTCTGACGCTTCGACGACCAAGAGACAGCGGCGCCTGCCAAGTAAAATACGTAGCCCATCGTTGAAATGGATGTGTCGACGCAGGCGCCCCAGTTCGCATCAGAATAACCAACCACACCCGTGACTTTTGCTGGGCCGCGGGCATAGAGAAGCTCATCGCGGTACGTGGCGCGAAGGTAGCGAAGGACGTGTTTGACGGCAATCCAATGGCGGCGGCCGGGGTTGTTGGCGAACCGGGACAGGTACGAGACGGCGAAGGCAATGTCGGGTCGAGTGCCAAGGGAGATGTAGAGGAGGGAGCCGATGGCCTGTAGGTACCACGAACGAATGCGCTCCGTTCCCTGACCCGGAATTGCCGTGAGCGAGAGGCCGGGCGTCATCGGCACCGTAGTGCCGCGTGTCGTGGTGTCGAAGTGGAAACGGGCCAGCACGTCCATGATGTAGCGCTCCTGGGATAGAGCAATGGAACCGTCGTCCAGGCGGCGTATTTGGATTCCGAGGATGTACTCCGCGGGGCCGAGTCGTTTGACGCCGTACCGCTGTTCAAGGCCGGAGATGACACGTTCGATCTCGTCGAGGGCTGGACTGACAATGAGGAGGTCGTCGACATACAAGGCGATATAGTGAGGCCGCTGCTGATCGTCAATGCGAGAGTAAATGCAGTGATCAGTGCCTGTTGCCTTGTACCCCAGATTCCTGAGTGATGTGTCAATGTGACGATTCCAGATGCGACCGGCCTGCTTGAGACCGTAGATTGAGCGTCGCAGCCGGAGAACCTTATCGCTCGGGAAGTCGAAACCGCGTGGTGTCGTCATCCAGATATCATGATCGAGCTCGCCGTGGAGGTAAGCCTTGTCGATGTCGGCCTGATGAACGTGGTAGCCATTGGCAGCGGCAAGAGCCAGGAGGCAGCGAATGGAGGAGAAACGGGCGACGGGTGCGAAGGTTTCTGAGAAGTCGATGCCGTCGCGCTGTCGGTTACCCTGCGCTACAAGACGTGCCTTCCGCCCCGTGACTTCACCGCTTGCGTTGCGCTTGGTCTTCCAGACGAATTTGGAGGTGACGATGGTGGCGCCCGGCGGTACAGATGAGCGAGGCTCGATGGTGAACACCTTGAAGTCGTCGCGCATGGCGGTGAACTCGGCGGCGGCGGCCTCAGCCCAGATGTTGTGCTCGTCGCTGGACATTGCTTCGCGCCAGGTCTGGGGGTCGCTAGTGATCGATTTGACGGGCTCGATGGCGTCGAGGGTGGGGTCGTCGTCGTCTGTGGCGATGAAGGCGCGGTGGTGTTGGGTGAGGAAATCGATTTCATCCGGCGATTCATCGCGCGAGTGACGCCCAATGATGTCGAGTTCGTCGGGCGACTCCTCAGCCGATGCGGGCTCACGGTACGTGCTGAAGTCTGGGCGGTGCACGTCCGGTGGGCCAAGGCGAGTCGGGGTCTGTGAGCCGATGAGGTCCAGAGGGTCGGCGGAGTAGTCAGAGTCGGTCGGTGAGACCGAGGGTGACGATGACGCTGCCAACGACGGTGACAGCGCAGGCGACGGTGACAAAGGGTTTGTGGGCGACGGTGACGAGGACGGCTCAGGAGACGGTGACGAGGACGATTCGGTATCTGTGGAATTAGGTAAGGTTCCGCCAGTGTACCCTGGGGCCACGTCAACGGCGCTCATGGCAGAATCATCAAGGGAGGATGAGACGTCCATGTGCGCCGACCTTACTAGTGGGGTCCTCGTCTTGACGGCAGGGGCGGGCGTGTCGGCGGGAACGACGAACTGACGGTCGGTGTCGTCTGCATCGACGGGCGTGGTGACTGGCAGGCCGGGGAAGTCGTCGTCGAGGAAGGTGGCATTGCGACCAAGTACAATCTTGTTGATGGAATGGTCAAAGAAACGGAAAGCTTTGGAGGCGAGGTCGTAACCTGTGAAGATCACGCGCGCGGCCTTGGGGTCGAGCTTGCTGCGAAGGTCCGGGGCGACCGTGAGCCAGGCTGTGCAGCCGAACGGGTGGAGGGCGGTGGCGGTGGTGCGTTGGCCGTTCCAAACGGATTCTGGAGTCTGTTTGGCCAAAGCTGAGTGTGAGCACCTGTTTTTGCAATAAACGAAATACGCAGCCGCTTCATCCCAAAAGGTGGCCGGCAGACGGGCGTCCGCAAGGAGAGCGAGGACGCCCTCGACGATGGAGAGGTTGACACGTTCGGCGCGACCGTTTTGTTGAGGCGTGTAAGGGATAGAGTATTGACGACGAATGCCCTTGGATTTGCAGAACTCCGTGAATGCGTTTGATCGGTACTCCCCGCCATTGTCGGTTCGAAGGATCCTCAACCGCGCGTTCGTCTCTAACTCCACTTCGGCGAGCCAAGTCTGGAAGGTCGGGAAAACATCGCTTTTGTGATCGATCGCATATGCCCAGAGTTTGCGAGAGTGGTCGTCTAGAAACGTGACAAGGTAGCGCTTCCCGGTCAAGGACGGAGTGGGGAACGACAGGACGTCGCTGTGCACGAGGCCAAGTCTCTCGGCGGAATGCGACTCAGAGTCGGGAAAGGGAAGGCGGTGACCTTTGGAACCAAGGCAAGCATTGCAAACAAACTCCTCTACGTCTTTGTCACTGTACCCGGCCCCAAACCCGTCCAGCAAACCTGCAGCAATCATCTTCTGTATAGAGGATGGGGCAAGATGGCCGAGGCAGCGGTGTAGGGTAAGCAGGGGCACGGGAGACTCAGAGCGTGAGAGGAAGGCAAGATGCTGACACTTGGTGTGATCCGCGTCCAAAAGGTAAAGACCGTCGTTGACCCTGGTACCGTGAGCAATGGCCCGGCCGTCCTTGGCGATGTCGATGCCGTCGCTGGTGAAGGCGAGACGAACGCGGTCGGTGTCGCAGAGGCGAGAGACAGAGAGGAGGTTGACGTGTAGGCCAGGCGTGTGAAGAACACCACGGAGCGTGATCGGGTGTCCAGTCTTGGCGACGAATGCCACGTCCCCCATGCCGATAGCCGTGATGCCGCCCGCGATGCCGCCGATCTTGGTGTGTGCCGTCTGACGATAAGTCGTGAATAGAGATCGGTCGGCGACCATGTGTGTCGTGGCACCCGAATCGACTACAAAGGCGTCAGTTGGGAGTTGGCGACGAGCGAAGAGGCAGGAGGCGAAATAGCCGACGTTCGGTTGCGAGGCCGCGGAGGAAGACGTGTCGTCCTGGGTGTCGTCGCTGCTACGTGCCTGTTCACCCCGGTTCTTGCAGTCGAGTGCCCAGTGACCTTTCTTGTGGCATCGGCGGCAGGGGCCGGTGGGCGGGTGCTTCGCACGTGAAGTGCAGTCGCGCAGGCGGTGACCGGGAGCGCGGCAGGCGGGGCAGGGGGAGCTGGTGGCAAGCATGGCCGAATGCGAGGTCGAGAGTCCTGCCGAACGAAGCTGGATGCGAATGCGGTCCGTAAGCGTCGTGAGTTCGGGAAGGTCGCGTCGGTTTCGCTGCTCGTCCGTGAACGTGAGTCGGAAGCTGTCGAGGCAAGACGGGACCATGGCGAGCACGTGGGTGGCGAGCACGTCGTTGAGCGATGTTTTGGCGTCGCGTATTTCCTGAGCAATCGACATGTACTCGCGTAGCCAAGTGTCGTAGGCCTCGACGGAGGCAGGCATCTTCCTGAAGTCCCAAAGGCGAGCGAACAACTCGAGAGTGCGTGTAGCGTCGTCCGGTGCAAAACGAGCCTTGAGAGCGGCAAAGATGCGCGGTGCCGACAGGTCGTCGCTGGGGATGGCGTCGAGGGTGGCCGATACGTCGGCGGAGTCGATAGAGCCAACGATGATTTCCCGGGCGGCGTCGTCACGTGCGGCAAGCTGGTCGGCGGTCCAGGTCGGGGGAACGACACCGTCGAGAACGTAACCACGAACCTGGTTCGGGAGTGCAAGACGGAGTTGACGCAACCAGTTGGTGAACGACTTGGGGCCGTCCAGACGAGCGTGCTTGGGAAACACGACCTTGGATGCGGTGGCGGCGTTCCCCGGCACGACGGTGACGGCCGGGGGTGCGGCGGCTGCGGCGGCGGCGGGTTGCGAGGCCTGCAGAGCGGCAAGCTGGGCCTGTAGAGTGGCGATTTGTTCGCCGATCGAAGATTCAGGGGAGCTGGGATCCCTGGGGGCCAAAGGCGAGGCGGGAGAGCTGTCCATGATGTGATGGTGCGATGGACGTGTGCGGCTCGAGTGGCTGGGCTCGAGCGAAAAAGCCTCAAGCGGCGGGGCTGGTAGCTCGTGGGCTTATAACCTATTCGATCAACTCTACTACGTCAGCGATGTAGTTATAGCCAAGAGTGATGAATGCATTTCAACATACCTATTCGATCAACTCTACTACGTCAGCGATGTAGTTATAGCCAAGAGTGATGAATAGGAAGCTAACAATAAGAGACCCGCGCGCCCCAAGTCCACAGCCAGCGAGCCTGGGGCTGAGCCAATGGCCCAGGCTCGCTCCGCGCGCCTAAGTCCCAGGCTCGCTTCGCGCGCCTAAGTCCTGGGCCGGGGCGCCCGGCTCACTCCGCGCGCCTAAGTCCGCGCCCGGTTCGCTCCGCGCGCCTAAGTCCTGAGCCGAGCGGAGAGTGGATTCCTCACAAATGGAAAGGGGGCCCGCGCTGGGATATGCCCAGGCGCGGGCGAAATCGCCGGCGCGCTGAGGCACTCGCGCGCGCCTAAGTCCCCACCACAGGGGCCAGGCTAGCAGGCGCGCGCAACGACCGAGGCGCCCCTGTCGAGCTGAGAGTGGACTCTTCACACCCCCCCCCACGCGAATGCGAGGCAGATCCAAGCCGTGGGTGTCGAGTGCGAAGGCCTAGTGCGTAGCAGTGTGTCGAGAAAATCTTTGGGCCAAGAGCCTTTGTGAAGATGTCGGCCACCATGTTGCTGGTTCCCACATGCGAGAGTGAGATATCGCCCCGATTCACCATGTCCCGAACAAAGTGCTCGCGCAAGCGTATGTGTCGAGTGCCGGAGACGCGGACAGGGTCGTGGGCAACTGCGGCAGCGGCTTCATTGTCAGTAAAAATGTGAGCCGGTGCAACAGGTTGGACATGGAGCTCCTCGAGCAGCTGACTGAGGTAGATCCCTTCCTTGCCAGCATGCGAGAGGGCGAGGTATTCAGCGTCGGTGGTAGAATCGGCAACTCGAGATTGACGCTTGGACGACCAAGACACGGCGGATCCGGCAATGTAGAAGACGTAGCCCATAGTGGACACCGACGTATCGACGCAGGCCCCCCAGTTCGCGTCGGAGTAGCCAACCACGCCCGTGATGCGTGTCTCGCCGCAAGCATAAACCAGTTCGTCGCGATATGTGGCCCGGAGATAGCGGAGGATGTGCTTGACCGCGATCCAGTGACGACGTCCAGGGTTGTTGGCGAAGCGGGCCAGGTAGGACACGGCGAAGGCGATGTCGGGGCGGGTGCCGAGCGAAATGTAGAGGAGCGAGCCGATAGCCTGCAGATACCATGACCTGATCCGTTCGGTGCCTTGACCCGGGATGGCGGTGAGCGAAAGGCCGGGGGTCATCGGGACTGTAGTGCCGCGAGTCGTGGTGTCGAAGTGGAACCGAGCAAGCACGTCCATGATGTACCGTTCCTGGGACAGGGCAATAGAACCGTCTTCGAGTCGCCTGATCTGGATGCCGAGGATGTACTCTGCCGGGCCGAGGCGCTTGACGCCGTAGCGTTGTTCGAGGCCCGAGATGACACGTTCAATTTCGGCCAAGTCGGGGCTGATCATCAGGAGGTCGTCGACGTACAGCGCGATGTAGTGTGGGCGTCGCCGATCGTCGATCCGAGAGTACACGCAGTGGTCGGTGCCCGTCGCCGTATAGCCGAGATCTCGAAGCGATGCGTCGATGTGTCGATTCCAGATTCGGCCAGCCTGTTTGAGTCCGTAGATGGAGCGTCGCAGACGAAGCACCTTGTCGGTGGGAAGGTCGAAGCCGCGCGGTGTCGTCATCCAGATGTCATGGTCAAGGTCGCCATGCAGATAGGCTTTGTCGATGTCCGCCTGGTGCACGTGCAAGCCGTTGGCGGCCGCCAGCGCGAGGAGTGAGCGTATCGAGGAGAAGCGTGCGACTGGTGCGAAGGTTTCGTTGAAGTCGATGCCGTCGCGTTGCCGATTTCCCTGCGCCACGAGCCGTGCCTTGTGGCCGGTGACTTCGCCGAGTGCATTCCGTTTCGTTTTCCAGACGAACTTGGATGTGACGATGGTCGCACCCGCTGGTACCGTGGATCGGTCCTCGATGGTGAAGACCTTGAAGTCGTCGCGCATGGAATTGAACTCGTCGGTAGCGGCCTTGGCCCACACTTCGCGCTTGTCACTCGACATTGCCTCGCGCCATGTCTGTGGGTCGCTGGTGATGGACTTGACTGGTTGAATGGCTTCTGTGTCAGAGTTGTCGTCGTCGGTGGCGATGAAGGCGCGGTGGTGTTGGGTGAGGAAATCGATTTCGTCCGGCGATTCATCGCGCGAGTGGCGCCCAATGATGTCGAGTTCGTCGGGCGACTCCTCAGCCGATGCGGGCTCACGGTACGTGCTGAAGTCTGGGCGGTGCACGTCCGGTGGGCCGAGGCGAGTCGGGGTCTGTGAGCCGATGAGGTCCAGAGGGTCGGCGGAGTAGTCAGAGTCGGTCGGTAAGGCCGAGGGTGACGATGACGCAGCCAACGACGGTGACAGCGCAGGCGACGGTGACAAGGGGGTTGCGGGCGACGGTGACGAGGACGGCTCAGGAGACGGTGACGAGGACGATTCGGCATCTGTGGAATTAAGTAAGGTTCCGCCAGTGTACCCTGGGGCCACGTCAACGGCGCTCATGGCAGAGTCATCAAGAGAGGATGAGACGTCCATGTGCGCCGACCTTACTAGTGGGGTCCATGTCTTGACAACGGCTTGGGATTCGGTGGTCGGGCAAGCGCTGGCGAAGTGCGTGTCGGCGTCTTGCTCGGTGGAGTCGCTACGTAACCCGGGAAATTCGTTGTCGAGGAACCTGGCATTTCTGCCCAAACTGATCTTCTTGGTCGTCGTGTCGTAGAAACGGAAGGCTTTAGAAGCCAGGTCATAGCCGGTGAAGAGAACGCGAACCGCTTTCGGGTCGAGTTTCGAGCGAAGTTCAGGCGCGACTGTGAGCCAAGCCGTGCAGCCGAACGGGTGAAGCGCCGAGGCGTTGGTGCGGTCGCCCTGCCAGGCGAAGTTCGGTGTTGCCTTGTCCAGGGCCGAGTGTTCGCACAGGTTCTTGCAGTAGACGAAATAAGCTGCTGCCTCCTCCCAGAATGATTTGGGTAAGTGGGCGTCTGCAAGGAGGGCAAGGACACCTTCGACGATAGAACGATTGACTCGTTCGGCACGACCGTTCTGTTGAGGCGTTCGAGGGATAGAGTATTGTCGACGTGTGCCGCGTGCCTTACAGAATTCCGTGAGCGCTCTCGAACAGTATTCGCCACCATTGTCGGTTCGGAGGACCTTCAGTTTTGCACCCGTCTCGAGTTCGACCTCGGCAAGCCATGTCTTGAACACGCCAAAGACTTCGCTTTTGTGTCCGATCGCGTATGCCCACAGTTTGCGCGAGAAGTCGTCAAGAAACGTGACCAGGTAACGCTTGCCAGTCAAGGACGACTCGGGAAAGGAAAGCACATCGCTGTGTACGAGGCCGAGTCTCTCTGAGGAGTGCGAGTCCGAATCGGGAAAAGGAAGACGATGGCCCTTTGCACTGAGGCAAGCATTGCAGACAAACTTCTCTACCTCTTCGTCACTATATCCGGCCCCGAGACCTTCCAGCAAACCAGCGGCAACCATCTTCTGTATGGACGACGGTGCGAGATGGCCGAGGCAGCGGTGAAGGGTCAGCAGGGGCACGGAAGACTGTGAGCGAGAGAGGAGAGCGAGATGCTGACATTTGGAATGATCAGCGTCCAGCAAGTAGAGCCCTTCCTCGAGTCTTGCGCCTTCAGCGATAGCATTGCCGTTCTTGTCGATATGGATGCCGTGCTTCGTGAAGGCGACACGGACATCGTCGGTGTCGCAAAGTCGAGAGACCGAGAGGAGGTTGACAGACAGGCCCGGGGTGTGCAGCACGCCGGTAAGCGTGATCGGGTGACCGGAGGCGGCAACAAAGGCGATGTTTCCCGTTCCGACGGCGTTGATGCCCCCTGCAATACCACCAATCTTCGTAGGAGCGATGTGGCGATAGGCCGTGAACAGCGACTTGTCCGAGACCATGTGCGAAGTGGCACCCGAGTCGACGACGAAGGAGTTGTTGCGAAGCTGACGACGATGTGCGAGAAGACCGGTGGCGAGACATCCGACATGGTGTTGCGCATCAGAGGTGTCGGGCGTTTTCCCGTCCTCAAGAGCCTTTTTGCAGTCGAAAGACCAGTGGTCCTTCTTCTTGCAGGAGCTATGAGACGTTCACCACTACTGTCAGGAGAGGTTGAGAGTCGAACAGAAGTGATCTATTTCAGCGTACCTATGAGACGTTCACCACTACTGTCAGGAGAGGTTGAGAGTCGAACAGAAGTGATGAGAAGGAAGCTAAGAAACAGAAAGGGGGGGGCCACGCTGGGATAGTCCCAGGCGCGTGACAATGTACATCCCTAAGTCAGCCGCGGGTGAAATCGCCGGCGCGCCTAAGTCCCCACCGCAAGGGGGCGGGCTAGCGGGCGCGCGCATGAATCCGCCGGCGCTGGCGCGCTGAGGCAGTCGCGCGCGTCTAAGTCCCCACCGCCGGGGGCGGGCTAGCAAGTGCGCGCAACGACCGAGGCGCCCCTGTCGAGCTGAGAGTGGACTCTTCACAGGAGCGACACGGGCCTGGCGGTGGATGCTGGGCCCTTGTAGGGCATTGTGCGACGCGGTGAGAAGAGCTGCGACAGGCGAGGCACTTGGTACGGGTAGAACGTGGCGACGACGAGGCAAGGAGGGCCGATTGATCGTTGGAGAGGTTCGTTGACCGGAGTTGAACTCGCATACGGTCGGCCACTGAATCGATGTCAGGGAGAGTTCGTTGCGTGCGTTGTTCGTCGGTGAACGTTGCCTTGAAGCTCTCGAGTGACGGGTGGGCGATCGCGAGGAGGAGTGTGGCAAGGACGTCGTTGATCGTCGTTTTCGTATCGATGATCTCTTGCGCGACCGACTTGAAGTCCATGATCCAACTGTCAAATTCGCCAACCGTTCCGGGCATGGGTCGGAAGCCCCAGAGTCGCGAGAAGAGCTCGAGCGTGCGAGTGGCGTCATCAGGGGCGTATCGCGATTTCAGCGTCGAGTAAATCTTGGGCGCTGTGAGGTCGGCCGTAGGGATCTTGTCGAGGACTGCCGAGACTTCGGCCGAGTCGATTGAGTTTGCAAGGATCTCGCGTGCCACGACGTCGCGGGCGGAGCGTTGCGAAGGCGTCCAATCGTCGGGGGTGATTCCGTCGAGGACGTAGGAGCGGATGTCGTCCGCTAGGCACAGGCGAAGCTGGCGTGTCCAGTTCGCGAACGTCTTCGGCCCGTCCAACCGCGCATGCTTCGGGAAGGCATTGCGATTGGAGCCGGATGTCGTGGCGGGTGCGGTAGTGCCGGAAGCGGCAGCGGTGAGTCCCGACAGCAGCGATGTAAGTGCGGCAAGCTGTTCGGCGGGAATTGTCGGGGTGGCGCTCGTCGCGAGGGTTGACGACGTGTCCATGCCAGCGGTAGCTCGATGGGCTTATAACCTATGAGATGATCACCACTACTGTCAGGAGAAGTCGAGAGTCGAACAGAAGTGATGAGAAGGAAGCTAAGAAATGGAAAGGGGGCCCGCGCTGGGATATGCCCAGGCGCGGGCGAAATCGCCGGCGCGCTGAGGCACTCGCGCGCGCCTAAGTCCCCACCACAGGGGCCAGGCTAGCAGGCGCGCGCAACGACCGAGGTGTTGAACTTCGCTCCATCTCACTTCTAGGACAATATGCGCTCACTGAAGTAGAGGTGCCTCGCCTTTTGGTGCAGTGGTATATTGTTCCTTCATAGGTTATGAGCCCAGAGCAACCAGCAGGTCATGAGTTCAATCCCCCCTGGGGTCAGGCAATTTTGCGCGCATACACTCAGCGTCCCGGCCCCCGCACTTGCCCAGCGGCGTGCCAAGCACCCTGGCGCATCGACAGTGCTCACAGTGCCCAAGCTGCACTTGCCCAAGCGACCTGATCAACATGCCCAGTTGCCTCACAAGCCGCACCCACTGCCACAAGCTCTTCAGCTTCGCGCACAGGGGGGTGTTGAACTTCGCTCCATCTCACTTCTAGGACAATATGCGCTCACTGAAGTAGAGGTGCCTCGCCTTTTGGTGCAGTGGTATATTGTTCCTTCATACGAGGCGCCCCTGTCGAGCTGAGAGTGGACTCTTCACAATACCCCCTTGCCGACAAATATCGCAGCCAGTGGGCGGAACACTCAGCTAAGTACACTCGTGGTCGATTCTGGGTTTCGGGTCCGATCGATTCTGCGGCTCCGGTCTTTGCCATTCCGAAGAAGAACTCCCAGACGGCTCGTTTCGTGATCGACCTCCGCGCGCGCAACAGCAACACCGTCAAGCGTTTTTCGCCCATCCCGGACATGACCAATGTTCGATACGAGGTGGCTCGATCGCATTATCGCTCTAAATTCGACGTGGCCGCGGCATTTGAGCAGGTTCGGGTCATACCGGAGCACGTTGATCGCACCGGCTTCGCAACGGTGACGGGCACGTACACGTCGCGGGTCATGCAGTTTGGTGACACCAATGCGCCCAATACCCTCAACCTCTTGACCTCGGCGATGTTCCAGCCGTGTCTCCCGTTCGCCAAGATCTTTTTCGACGATGTCCACGTCCATTCCGATACCCGTCGTGCGCACTTGAGACACATCAAGATCCTGCTGATGACATTGAGACATTACCGGTTCTACTTAGGATCCAAGAAGTCCGAGTGGTTCTCAAAGTCGTTGGACTCCTTGGGCACCATCATTTCTGACGTCAGCATCGAAGTCGACCCCGCCAAGTGGGTGCGTATCCGTCAGTGGCCGATCCCTTGCAACAAGACCGATGTCCAGCGCTTCCTCGGCACCGTCAACTGGATGCGAGATCACCTACCGCACCTCTCAAAGATTTTGGAGCCGATCACCGCGTTAATGGCGCAAGCGACGTCATGGCGTTGGAACGAGCGAGAACAGCAGGCTTTCGATACCGTCAAGTCCCTTGTGCCCGCCATCCTACGACCGATCGATGGCGCCAAGGTTACCTCGGGCGAGCACAAGATGTACCTCTTCACGGATGCCAGTCGGGTTGGCATTGGCGCTTGTTTGGCGTCCGGGCCCAACCGTTCGCAGGCCGTTCCAACGCGATTCTTTTCCGCTAAGTTCAACGGTGCTCAGCTCAACTATCATGTCACTGATAAAGAGTTCTTGGCTGTCGTCTCGGCGTGTCGGGCGTTCGAGCAGCACTTGATCGGTTACCCCTTCGTCATCGTCACCGACCATCAGGCCCTTCGCACGATAAAAACCCAAAAACTGCGCCAAACGCCTCGGCACATCCGCATGTGTCTCGAACTCAGCCGTTTCGACTTCGAATTTGAATTCATTGCTGGCAAGAACAACACCCTGGCCGATTCGTTGTCGCGTCTGTGGGAGGTCAAGCAGGGTTCACACGAGGATCAGGTCAAGGAGAATGAGTTGGAGGACATGTTCTTTGATGGAGAACGCCACGAATTCACTACACCCGGTGAGAGCCTCCCTGAGGAACGTCCTTGCACTTCACCATCTCCCGATCGGTTGCCTCCTGTTGATTTTGCCCTCGGGCCCCAACACGACGATTGCGAGGCAGGCTCTCCCGGATACTACGCGCTCAAGGAGGAATCGCAAGACGAGGACGTGAATGGACAGGAATTAGGGAATTTGTTCTTGAAGGAAGAATGCCACGAGTTCATTACGCCCGGTGAGAGCCTCCTCGAGGAACGTCCTTACACCTCACCTTCGCACGATCGGTTGCCCCCTGTTGATTGCGCCTTCGGGCCCTGGGGTCACGGTTACGACGCAGGCTCTCCCGGTTCCCCTCATCTGGCCGAGAACATTATGGACGCCGTCGATTGGTCTATCGGCCGCCTCTCTCCTCCCATCGCTGTCAATCGAGTTCACGCTATTGCTACGGCCCCTGCCAACGACCCGCCCATTCCGGTCGATGCCGACGCCGACGAACTCGATTTGTTGGGAGTTGCCACCGATGATGTCAACGACACCCCTGTAGTCCATCGGCCGCCTGATCCACTGCCCCAACCCTTCCTCGACACCGTCATCCGAGCATACGCCAACGATTCGCAAGCCCAGGTCATCATTACCGACCCGCTATCATGGCCTATGTTTCGGGTGACCGAGGAAGGGAGGATTTTGCGTGTACATCCAGATGAGTCTATTTCCTTGTTTGTGCCTCGTGGTCTCGCTACTGGCGTCGTCAACTCCGACAAGGTCCCATCGCTGCGCGAGCTCGTGCTTTCGGAGATTCATCGGAGTGTCGGGCATGCAGGACATCGCATCACCTTGGCCGCCATCCGTCCTTTGTACTGGTGGTCGTCCATGTCTGCCGATTGCGCCGAGTTCTGCCGTTCATGTGAAGACTGTACCCGAGGCAAGGCGTCCACTCAAGTCCCCTATGGCCGACTGCATCCGATGCCGATCCCTTCTGGTCCTTGGGAACAAGTGGCCATCGACTTCATGACAGGACTGCCTCCGGTCGAGCTCGAAGGGATGATGGTTGCTCAAATCATGGTGGTCACTGACACTTGGGGCAAGATGGTCCACCTGATTCCCCTCCCAGCCGATGCCGACTCGGAGCTCGTTGCCGAGAAGTACTACGCCACCGTCTTCCGACTGCATGGGATGCCTTCCGCCATCGTTTCCGACCGTGATCCCAAGTTCACCTCGCAGTTTTGGCGGGCATTGCAGGCAAAGATTGGCACCGTCTTGCGAATGTCAACCGCGGCACACCCGGAGACGGACGGATCGAGCGAGAATCGGATCAAGATGGTCACCCAAACCCTGCGGATCATGGTCTCGTCAAACCACGAGGCTTGGGCATCTCGTCTTGTTGAAGCTGAGTTCGCTCTTAACTCTTCTGTTGCTGTGTCCACGTCGCTGTCGGCTTTTGAGGCAACCTACGGCTACCTTCCTCGATGCTGGCCCTCGGATTCCTGGTCTGTCTCGGACGTCCCTCGTGCGGAAGCGTTTGCTCGGATCCGACAATTACGGAACCTCGACGTGACGGATGCGATCATTGGAGCACGCCTCAACCAGTCCCATCAGGCCAACAAGCATCGACGCCCAGACGACCCCGCCTTTCGGACCGGCAGTTACGTCTATCTTTCGACAAAGAACCTGGCAGTTCCTGACGGCATGAAGTCGAAGTTGTTGCCGCGCTACATCGGCCCCTTCCGTATCCGAGCGGCCATCCCTGCGACGTCCAGCTACGACCTCGAGCTCCCTCCAGCGATGTCGCGAGTGCACAATTGTTTCCATGCTCGACTGCTTCGGCCTTGCGTTGAGAATGATGCTGAAAGGTTTCCTGGGCGTGACCCCGCAGTTCTTTTTGTCGAAGACGTAGCCGACGCGGCCGACAATTCTGCGATTCCGGAACGGATTGTTCGCGATCGGCGGAACGCTCGGGGCGCTCGTTCGTTCTTGGTTCGATGGGTAGGCCGTAACGACACCGACGATACTTGGATGTCAGAGCAGTCCATTCGCCTTGACCATCCGTCCGTCCTCGACGCCTACCTCGCGCGCCTCGATCGCTCGAACCGCCGCCTCGCCGCACGGTAGACTTCCTTCTGGGGGGACAGTGTCAGGATGACAGCGTGTACTCGAAGGAAGCCCCCCCAAGACTATGTGCGGGTAGAGTTGACTTGACCAGAGACTTGCCTCGTTTCACAGCATCGTCGGTGCGATGGCGTAGTCGTGAGGCGCGCGGGCGCGCACTCGGTGGTCGCGGGTTCGAGGCGCCCAGACCGCAGTCTTCTTTCGGTTTGTTTTATCTTTTTGTTAACCGAGGCGCGGCTTCAGGGTTTTTACCGGTGCTCCCGCGAGCAATCCTTTTTACCCCTGAGGCGACCTCTTGGAGTGGTTGATTTGGCTAAGTCCCCTCTGGGCCTGGCACAGTCCCTTCCCTTTAGTTTTACCACCTTTCCCCGGGAGCTTGGTCCGCTCTTCTCTTTTGTTGCCCCTCCTCTTCTTGTCGATCGTTTGGGAATTAAGTCCGTTACACTTGATTTCCTGCGAGCCTTTCGACCGACTCCCCTCCTCGGTTGCTCCCTTGTCGACTGCCGCCGCAACAGCCGACACTTCCAGAAATCCCCCCCCCGTACCAACGCGTGTAGACGACGTCATCCCCTCCGACGTCGCTTGTCATCATGCATGGGCGATACTCTTGATGGCCGATGGAACATGAGGACGGCGGCGGCAAGCTGCTGGTGACTAAGTGGAGGCATTGGCTCAGCAAGACTGGAGGGCAGACGGCCAGAGTCCCGGCGTGGAGGCGGCGGCGCGCGGGCGTGAGTTGAGCAGGCCGGCGCGAGGCAGGAGGGCGACGGCTTGGCTGCGAAGGCGAAGGCGCCGAGGTGAAAATGGGGCGGCGGCTTGGCTGCGAAGGCAAAGGCGCCGAGGCAAAAATGGGCGGACCTGACAACGGCGGCCCAAGGTTGAAGTGTTCGAACGCTTGTAGTAGAATGAAATTCAACAGTTGCGCGCACTTGCTAGCCCGCCCCCCGGCGGTGGGGACTTAGGCGCGCCGGCAATTTCACCCGCGGCTGACTTAGGGATGTACATTGTCACGCGCCTGGGCCTATCCCAGCGTGGCCACCCTTTCTGTTTCTTAGCTTCCTTCTCATCACTTCTGTTCGACTCTCAACCTCTCCTGACAGTAGTGGTGATCGTCTCATAGGTTATAAGCCCACGAGCCACCAGCTGGCATGACCACGACACCACCCCTCGCGACGGGTGCCAACCCTCCGATTCCCGCCGAACAGCTCACCGCACTTACATCGCTGCTGTCGGGTCTCACCGCTGCCGCTTCCGGCACTGCCACACCCGCCACGACGTCCGGCACCACTCGCACTGCCTTTCCAAAGCACGCACGCTTGGATGGTGCGAAGACCTTCGCGAACTGGACACGCCAACTTCGCCTGTGCCTAGCGGACGACATCCGCTCGTACGTCCTCGACGGTATCGTACCCGACGACTGGACACCTTCGCAACGCTCCGCTCGCGACGCCGTCGCTAGCGAGGTCCTTGCGAACTCGATTGACTCGGCCAAAGTCTCGGCAGTCCTCGACAAAATCCCTACCGCCGACCTGACAGCACCGACAATCTACTCGACGCTGAAATTGCGGTACGCCCCTGACGACGCCACCCGCACGCTCGAGCTCTTCTCACGACTCTGGGGTTTCCGTCCCATGCCCGGCACGGTTGCCGAATTTGACGGGTGGATCATGGAGTTCAAAGCCGTTGCGCAAGAGATCATCGACACAAAGACGACTATTAATGATGTTCTCGCCACACTCCTCCTTGCAATCGCCCACCCGTCCCTCGAGAGCTTCAAGGCGTCGTTCACCGATGAACAGCGCACGCAACGAACTCTCCCCGACATTGATTCGCTTGCCGACCGTATGCGAGTCCAACTTCGGTCAACGAACATCCCCAGCACTCAATCGGCCCTTCTTGCCTCGTCGTCGTCACGTTCTACCCATCCCAAGTGTCTCGCCTGTCGCAGCCCTTCGCACCGAGTCGCGGAGTGCCCTACGAGGGCGCAACACCCGCCGCCAGGACCCTGTCGCTCCTGCAAGAAGAAGGATCACTGGTCTCTCGACTGCAAGAAGGCGCTCGAGGACGGCAAAAAGCCTGACACCGCTGACTCGACCGTCGACTCGCAACACCATGTCGGATGTCTTGCCACCGGTCTTCTCGCTCGTCGTCGCCAGCTTCGCAACCACTCTTTTGTCGTCGACTCGGGCGCCACTTCGCACATGGTCTCGGACAAGTCGCTGTTCACGACCTATCGCCATATCGCTCCTACGAAGATTGGTGGTATTGCAGGGGGCATCAACGCCATCGGAACGGGAAACATCGCCTTCATTGCCGCCTCGGGTCATCCGATCACGCTTACCGGCGTGCTGCACACTCCGGGCCTGTTTGTCAATCTTCTCTCGGTCTCTCGACTTTCCGACACCGACGATGTCCGTGTCGCCTTCACGAAACACGGCATCCACATTGACAAGGACGGCAACGACATCGCTGAAGGTGCACGACTCGACGAAGGGCTCTACTTGCTGGACGCTGATCATTCCAAATGTCAGCACCTTGCTCTCCTTTCTCGCTCACAGTCGTCCGTGCCCCTGCTGACTCTCCATCGCTGCCTCGGCCATCTCGCACCGTCCTCCATACAGAAGATGGTTGCCGCTGGTTTGCTGGAGGGTCTCAGGGCCGGATATAGTGACGAAGAGGTAGAGAAGTTTGTCTGCAATGCTTGCCTCAGCGCAAAGGGCCATCGTCTTCCCTTTCCCGATTCGGATTCGCACTCCTCAGAGAGACTCGGCCTTGTACACAGCGATGTGTTTTCCTTCTCCGAGCGGTCCTTGACTGGCAAACGTTACCTGGTCACATTCCTTGACGATTACTCGCGCAAACTCTGGGCCTACGCAATCGGACACAAAAGCGAAGTCTTCGGCATATTCAAAACTTGGCTAGCCGAGGTTGAACTCGAGACGGGTGCGACGCTGAAGGTCCTCCGAACCGACAACGGTGGCGAATACTGTTCGAGAGCGTTCACAGAGTTCTGCAAGGCACGAGGCACTCGTCGACAATACTCTATCCCACGCACGCCTCAACAGAACGGTCGTGCAGAGCGGGTCAATCGTTCCATTGTCGAAGGCGTCCTTGCCCTCCTTGTCGACGCCCACCTACCCAAGACATTCTTGTGAAGAGTCCACTCTCAGCTCGACAGGGGCGCCTCGGTCGTTGCGCGCGCCTGCTAGCCTGGCCCCTGTGGTGGGGACTTAGGCGCGCGCGAGTGCCTCAGCGCGCCGGCGCCGGCGGTTTTCGGGCGCGCGCCGCTAGCCCGCCCTTGCAGTGGGGACTTAGCCGCGCGCGACTGCCTCAGCGCTCCAGCGATTTCGCCCGCGCCTGGGCATATCCCAGCGCGGGCCACCTTTCCATTTCTTAGCTTCCTTCTCATCACTTCTGTTCGACTCTCGACTTCTCCTGACAGTAGTGGTGATCATCTCATAGGTACGCTGAAATAGATCACTTCTGTTCGACTCTCGACTTCTCCTGACTATTCGATCAACTCTACTACGTCAGCGATGTAGTTATAGCCAAGAGTGATGAATGCATTTCAACATACCTATTCGATCAACTCTACTACGTCAGCGATGTAGTTATAGCCAAGAGTGATGAATAGGAAGCTAACAATAAGAGACCCGCGCGCCCCAAGTCCACAGCCAGCGAGCCTGGGGCTGAGCCAATGGCCCAGGCTCGCTCCGCGCGCCTAAGTCCCAGGCTCGCTTCGCGCGCCTAAGTCCTGGGCCGGGGCGCCCGGCTCACTCCGCGCGCCTAAGTCCGCGCCCGGTTCGCTCCGCGCGCCTAAGTCCTGAGCCGAGCGGAGAGTGGATTCCTCACACCCCCCCCCACGCGAACGCGAGGTAGACTTGAGCCGTGGATGTCGCGTCCGGAGGCCTAGAGCATAGCAATGTGTACCAAAAATCTTGGGGCCTAGCGCTTTGGTGAATACGTCCGCAACCATGTCTGCTGTGCCAACGTGTGAGAGAGAGATATCACCTCGATTGACCATGTCACGGACAAAATGCTCGCGGAGGCGAATGTGCCGGGTGCCGGAGGTGCGAACGGGGTCGTGAGCGACGGCGGCCGCGGCCTCGTTGTCGGTGAAGATGTGAGCTGCAGCGATTGGGCAAACGTGGAGCTCGGAGAGGAGTTGGTTAAGGTAGATCGCTTCCTTACCCGCGTGCGACAAGGCCAGGTACTCGGCATCAGTGGTGGAATCCGCTACCCGAGTCTGACGCTTCGACGACCAAGAGACAGCGGCGCCTGCCAAGTAAAATACGTAGCCCATCGTTGAAATGGATGTGTCGACGCAGGCGCCCCAGTTCGCATCAGAATAACCAACCACACCCGTGACTTTTGCTGGGCCGCGGGCATAGAGAAGCTCATCGCGGTACGTGGCGCGAAGGTAGCGAAGGACGTGTTTGACGGCAATCCAATGGCGGCGGCCGGGGTTGTTGGCGAACCGGGACAGGTACGAGACGGCGAAGGCAATGTCGGGTCGAGTGCCAAGGGAGATGTAGAGGAGGGAGCCGATGGCCTGTAGGTACCACGAACGAATGCGCTCCGTTCCCTGACCCGGAATTGCCGTGAGCGAGAGGCCGGGCGTCATCGGCACCGTAGTGCCGCGTGTCGTGGTGTCGAAGTGGAAACGGGCCAGCACGTCCATGATGTAGCGCTCCTGGGATAGAGCAATGGAACCGTCGTCCAGGCGGCGTATTTGGATTCCGAGGATGTACTCCGCGGGGCCGAGTCGTTTGACGCCGTACCGCTGTTCAAGGCCGGAGATGACACGTTCGATCTCGTCGAGGGCTGGACTGACAATGAGGAGGTCGTCGACATACAAGGCGATATAGTGAGGCCGCTGCTGATCGTCAATGCGAGAGTAAATGCAGTGATCAGTGCCTGTTGCCTTGTACCCCAGATTCCTGAGTGATGTGTCAATGTGACGATTCCAGATGCGACCGGCCTGCTTGAGACCGTAGATTGAGCGTCGCAGCCGGAGAACCTTATCGCTCGGGAAGTCGAAACCGCGTGGTGTCGTCATCCAGATATCATGATCGAGCTCGCCGTGGAGGTAAGCCTTGTCGATGTCGGCCTGATGAACGTGGTAGCCATTGGCAGCGGCAAGAGCCAGGAGGCAGCGAATGGAGGAGAAACGGGCGACGGGTGCGAAGGTTTCTGAGAAGTCGATGCCGTCGCGCTGTCGGTTACCCTGCGCTACAAGACGTGCCTTCCGCCCCGTGACTTCACCGCTTGCGTTGCGCTTGGTCTTCCAGACGAATTTGGAGGTGACGATGGTGGCGCCCGGCGGTACAGATGAGCGAGGCTCGATGGTGAACACCTTGAAGTCGTCGCGCATGGCGGTGAACTCGGCGGCGGCGGCCTCAGCCCAGATGTTGTGCTCGTCGCTGGACATTGCTTCGCGCCAGGTCTGGGGGTCGCTAGTGATCGATTTGACGGGCTCGATGGCGTCGAGGGTGGGGTCGTCGTCGTCTGTGGCGATGAAGGCGCGGTGGTGTTGGGTGAGGAAATCGATTTCATCCGGCGATTCATCGCGCGAGTGACGCCCAATGATGTCGAGTTCGTCGGGCGACTCCTCAGCCGATGCGGGCTCACGGTACGTGCTGAAGTCTGGGCGGTGCACGTCCGGTGGGCCAAGGCGAGTCGGGGTCTGTGAGCCGATGAGGTCCAGAGGGTCGGCGGAGTAGTCAGAGTCGGTCGGTGAGACCGAGGGTGTCAGGAGCACAGCCTGCACTGCCATCAATACTCGAAGGAAGTCTCCCAAGTTTGCGGCCGGAGTCGACATCAGCTACCGGTTTGTTCGTTGCAAGCATTGTCGGCGCGATGGTGTAGTCGTGAGGGCGCGCGGGCGCGCACTCAGTGGTCGAGGGTTCGATCCGCCCGGAGCGTGATCTGCCTTTTGGTTTCTTTTCCTTTTTGTTATCCGAGGCCCGGCTTCGGGGTTTTTACCGGTGCCTTGCAGGCAATCCTTTTTACCCCTGAAGCGACCTCGTGGTGTAGTTATTTGATTCAGTCTTTCCTTCGCTCGGAGCACTTCCCTCCTTTTGCTTTTGCCACCCTTCCCCTAGAGCTTGGTCCACTCATTATCATGACTCGTACCCTCCCTCTTTTTACCCATTTCGCTGGCAATTAAGTCCGTTACACTTGATTTGCTGCGAAGCCTTCCGACCGAATCCACTCCTCGGTTGCTCTCGGTCGACTGCCGCCGCCCAGCCGACTCGACCTTCCCATCGGCCTGGTCAGCTATTTCTTGGATCGTTTGCCCTTCCTCTTTTGTCCGACCTCGTTGGCCACCATAGTCCGGTACACTGGACTTGCTGCGAGCCTTGCAGCCGCGTATCCTCCGCGGTTGCCTCTCGGTCGACTTCCGCCGCCCAGCCGACTCGACCTTCCCACCGGCCTGGTCAGCTATTTCTTGGATCGTTTGCCCTCCCTCTTCTGTCCGACCTCGTTGGCTACCATAGTTCGGTACACTGGACTTGCTGCGAGCCTTGCAGCCGCGTATCCTCCGCGGTTGCCTCTCGGTCGACTGCCGCCGCCTCGGTCGACACCCCCTTCGCTCCTTCGCGCTTTCGCGCGCTCTCTCGCTCTCTCCCTCGTCTCTCGCGTGTAGTCATCGTCATCCCCTCCGACGTTGCCTGTCACTTTTTTCAAGTTCGGCATTGCTAGCGACAGTCCCAGCTTCTCTCACCGCTCAGTCCCACACCCTGGACGAGCATTCCCGCCCTCCCGCCCTTCGTCTTCGCGTCGTCCGCCTCCTCTCCGTTCGGCCTCTCGAGTTCGGCCTCTTTGACGACCGCGTGGTTCCTCCCCCCCACCCCCCCACACCTCCCCCACCCCCCACCCCCCCACCTCTTCTTACCGTCTCGTGACCGCCCTCGTTCGCCCTGGAATCGCTGTTGACTGTGAGTTGAGTGATCGCCATGGCCGCCGAGTGTGACACGTCGCGCGCCGCTGCCGCAGCCAGCGCGCCGCGCCTCTTCGCAACCGCGACCCCGGCCGCGCGAACCCGCCCAAGTCCGCCTGCCACCACACTCGTTTCGCACCGCCGCCGCCTTATTGCATGGTCGCCTCGTGCCCGCCTCGTTCGTCCTGGAATCATCGACTGTCGTGTTGAGCGATCGCCATGGCCACCGAGCGCGACACGTCCTGCGCCGCTGCCGAAGACGGCCCGCCGTCCCCTTCCGCCAATCCGACCCCGGCCGAGCACGGCCAACTCCGACCGACCCGGCCGCGCGAAACCGCCTAAGTCCGCCCGCCGCCCAACTCATTCCGCACCGTCACCGCCTCGCCGCACGGTAGACTTCCTTCTGGGGGGATAGTGTCAGGAGCACAGCCTGCACTGCCATCAATACTCGAAGGAAGTCTCCCAAGTTTGCGGCCGGAGTCGACATCAGCTACCGGTTTGTTCGTTGCAAGCATTGTCGGCGCGATGGTGTAGTCGTGAGGGCGCGCGGGCGCGCACTCAGTGGTCGAGGGTTCGATCCGCCCGGAGCGTGATCTGCCTTTTGGTTTCTTTTCCTTTTTGTTATCCGAGGCCCGGCTTCGGGGTTTTTACCGGTGCCTTGCAGGCAATCCTTTTTACCCCTGAAGCGACCTCGTGGTGTAGTTATTTGATTCAGTCTTTCCTTCGCTCGGAGCACTTCCCTCCTTTTGCTTTTGCCACCCTTCCCCTAGAGCTTGGTCCACTCATTATCATGACTCGTACCCTCCCTCTTTTTACCCATTTCGCTGGCAATTAAGTCCGTTACACTTGATTTGCTGCGAAGCCTTCCGACCGAATCCACTCCTCGGTTGCTCTCGGTCGACTGCCGCCGCCCAGCCGACTCGACCTTCCCATCGGCCTGGTCAGCTATTTCTTGGATCGTTTGCCCTTCCTCTTTTGTCCGACCTCGTTGGCCACCATAGTCCGGTACACTGGACTTGCTGCGAGCCTTGCAGCCGCGTATCCTCCGCGGTTGCCTCTCGGTCGACTTCCGCCGCCCAGCCGACTCGACCTTCCCACCGGCCTGGTCAGCTATTTCTTGGATCGTTTGCCCTCCCTCTTCTGTCCGACATCGTTGGCTACCATAGTTCGGTACACTGGACTTGCTGCGAGCCTTGCAGCCGCGTATCCTCCGCGGTTGCCTCTCGGTCGACTGCCGCCGCCTCGGTCGACACCCCCTTCGCTCCTTCGCGCTTTCGCGCGCTCTCTCGCTCTCTCCCTCGTCTCTCGCGTGTAGTCATCGTCATCCCCTCCGACGTTGCCTGTCAGAGGGTGACGATGACGCTGCCAACGACGGTGACAGCGCAGGCGACGGTGACAAAGGGTTTGTGGGCGACGGTGACGAGGACGGCTCAGGAGACGGTGACGAGGACGATTCGGTATCTGTGGAATTAAGTAAGGTTCCGCCAGTGTACCCTGGGGCCACGTCAACGGCGCTCATGGCAGAATCATCAAGGGAGGATGAGACGTCCATGTGCGCCGACCTTACTAGTGGGGTCCTCGTCTTGACGGCAGGGGCGGGCGTGTCGGCGGGAACGACGAACTGACGGTCGGTGTCGTCTGCATCGACGGGCGTGGTGACTGGCAGGCCGGGGAAGTCGTCGTCGAGGAAGGTGGCATTGCGACCAAGTACAATCTTGTTGATGGAATGGTCAAAGAAACGGAAAGCTTTGGAGGCGAGGTCGTAACCTGTGAAGATCACGCGCGCGGCCTTGGGGTCGAGCTTGCTGCGAAGGTCCGGGGCGACCGTGAGCCAGGCTGTGCAGCCGAACGGGTGGAGGGCGGTGGCGGTGGTGCGTTGGCCGTTCCAAACGGATTCTGGAGTCTGTTTGGCCAAAGCTGAGTGTGAGCACCTGTTTTTGCAATAAACGAAATACGCAGCCGCTTCATCCCAAAAGGTGGCCGGCAGACGGGCGTCCGCAAGGAGAGCGAGGACGCCCTCGACGATGGAGAGGTTGACACGTTCGGCGCGACCGTTTTGTTGAGGCGTGTAAGGGATAGAGTATTGACGACGAATGCCCTTGGATTTGCAGAACTCCGTGAATGCGTTTGATCGGTACTCCCCGCCATTGTCGGTTCGAAGGATCCTCAACCGCGCGTTCGTCTCTAACTCCACTTCGGCGAGCCAAGTCTGGAAGGTCGGGAAAACATCGCTTTTGTGATCGATCGCATATGCCCAGAGTTTGCGAGAGTGGTCGTCTAGAAACGTGACAAGGTAGCGCTTCCCGGTCAAGGACGGAGTGGGGAACGACAGGACGTCGCTGTGCACGAGGCCAAGTCTCTCGGCGGAATGCGACTCAGAGTCGGGAAAGGGAAGGCGGTGACCTTTGGAACCAAGGCAAGCATTGCAAACAAACTCCTCTACGTCTTTGTCACTGTACCCGGCCCCAAACCCGTCCAGCAAACCTGCAGCAATCATCTTCTGTATAGAGGATGGGGCAAGATGGCCGAGGCAGCGGTGTAGGGTAAGCAGGGGCACGGGAGACTCAGAGCGTGAGGGGAAGGCAAGATGCTGACACTTGGTGTGATCCGCGTCCAAAAGGTAAAGACCGTCGTTGACCCTGGTACCGTGAGCAATGGCCCGGCCGTCCTTGGCGATGTCGATGCCGTCGCTGGTGAAGGCGAGACGTGTGAGGAATCCACTCTCCGCTCGGCTCAGGACTTAGGCGCGCGGAGCGAACCGGGCGCCCCGGCCCAGGACTTAGGCGCGCGAAGCGAGCCTGGGACTTAGGCGCGCGGAGCGAGCCTGGGCCATTGGCTCAGCCCCAGGCTCGCTGGCTGTGGACTTGGGGCGCGCGGGTCTCTTATTGTTAGCTTCCTATTCATCACTCTTGGCTATAACTACATCGCTGACGTAGTAGAGTTGATCGAATAGGTATGTTGAAATGCATTCATCACTCTTGGCTATAACTACATCGCTGACGTAGTAGAGTTGATCGAATAGGTTATAAGCCCACGAGCTACCAGCCCCGCCGCTTGAGGCTTTTTCGCTCGAGCCCAGCCACTCGAGCCGCACACGTCCATCGCACCATCACATCATGGACAGCTCTCCCGCCTCGCCTTTGGCCCCCAGGGATCCCAGCTCCCCTGAATCTTCGATCGGCGAACAAATCGCCACTCTACAGGCCCAGCTTGCCGCTCTGCAGGCCTCGCAACCCGCCGCCGCCGCAGCCGCCGCACCCCCGGCCGTCACCGTCGTGCCGGGGAACGCCGCCACCGCATCCAAGGTCGTGTTTCCCAAGCACGCTCGTCTGGACGGCCCCAAGTCGTTCACCAACTGGTTGCGTCAACTCCGTCTTGCACTCCCGAACCAGGTTCGTGGTTACGTTCTCGACGGTGTCGTTCCCCCGACCTGGACCGCCGACCAGCTTGCCGCACGTGACGACGCCGCCCGGGAAATCATCGTTGGCTCTATCGACTCCGCCGACGTATCGGCCACCCTCGACGCCATCCCCAGCGACGACCTGTCGGCACCGCGCATCTTTGCCGCTCTCAAGGCTCGTTTTGCACCGGACGACGCTACACGCACTCTCGAGTTGTTCGCTCGCCTTTGGGACTTCAGGAAGATGCCTGCCTCCGTCGAGGCCTACGACACTTGGCTACGCGAGTACATGTCGATTGCTCAGGAAATACGCGACGCCAAAACATCGCTCAACGACGTGCTCGCCACCCACGTGCTCGCCATGGTCCCGTCTTGCCTCGACAGCTTCCGACTCACGTTCACGGACGAGCAGCGAAACCGACGCGACCTTCCCGAACTCACGACGCTTACGGACCGCATTCGCATCCAGCTTCGTTCGGCAGGACTCTCGACCTCGCATTCGGCCATGCTTGCCACCAGCTCCCCCTGCCCCGCCTGCCGCGCTCCCGGTCACCGCCTGCGCGACTGCACTTCACGTGCGAAGCACCCGCCCACCGGCCCCTGCCGCCGATGCCACAAGAAAGGTCACTGGGCACTCGACTGCAAGAACCGGGGTGAACAGGCACGTAGCAGCGACGACACCCAGGACGACACGTCTTCCTCCGCGGCCTCGCAACCGAACGTCGGCTATTTCGCCTCCTGCCTCTTCGCTCGTCGCCAACTCCCAACTGACGCCTTTGTAGTCGATTCGGGTGCCACGACACACATGGTCGCCGACCGATCTCTATTCACGACTTATCGTCAGACGGCACACACCAAGATCGGCGGCATCGCGGGCGGCATCACGGCTATCGGCATGGGGGACGTGGCATTCGTCGCCAAGACTGGACACCCGATCACGCTCCGTGGTGTTCTTCACACGCCTGGCCTACACGTCAACCTCCTCTCTGTCTCTCGCCTCTGCGACACCGACCGCGTTCGTCTCGCCTTCACCAGCGACGGCATCGACATCGCCAAGGACGGCCGGGCCATTGCTCACGGTACCAGGGTCAACGACGGTCTTTACCTTTTGGACGCGGATCACACCAAGTGTCAGCATCTTGCCTTCCTCTCACGCTCTGAGTCTCCCGTGCCCCTGCTTACCCTACACCGCTGCCTCGGCCATCTTGCCCCATCCTCTATACAGAAGATGATTGCTGCAGGTTTGCTGGACGGGTTTGGGGCCGGGTACAGTGACAAAGACGTAGAGGAGTTTGTTTGCAATGCTTGCCTTGGTTCCAAAGGTCACCGCCTTCCCTTTCCCGACTCTGAGTCGCATTCCGCCGAGAGACTTGGCCTCGTGCACAGCGACGTCCTGTCGTTCCCCACTCCGTCCTTGACCGGGAAGCGCTACCTTGTCACGTTTCTAGACGACCACTCTCGCAAACTCTGGGCATATGCGATCGATCACAAAAGCGATGTTTTCCCGACCTTCCAGACTTGGCTCGCCGAAGTGGAGTTAGAGACGAACGCGCGGTTGAGGATCCTTCGAACCGACAATGGCGGGGAGTACCGATCAAACGCATTCACGGAGTTCTGCAAATCCAAGGGCATTCGTCGTCAATACTCTATCCCTTACACGCCTCAACAAAACGGTCGCGCCGAACGTGTCAACCTCTCCATCGTCGAGGGCGTCCTCGCTCTCCTTGCGGACGCCCGTCTGCCGGCCACCTTTTGGGATGAAGCGGCTGCGTATTTCGTTTATTGCAAAAACAGGTGCTCACACTCAGCTTTGGCCAAACAGACTCCAGAATCCGTTTGGAACGGCCAACGCACCACCGCCACCGCCCTCCACCCGTTCGGCTGCACAGCCTGGCTCACGGTCGCCCCGGACCTTCGCAGCAAGCTCGACCCCAAGGCCGCGCGCGTGATCTTCACAGGTTACGACCTCGCCTCCAAAGCTTTCCGTTTCTTTGACCATTCCATCAACAAGATTGTACTTGGTCGCAATGCCACCTTCCTCGACGACGACTTCCCCGGCCTGCCAGTCACCACGCCCGTCGATGCAGACGACACCGACCGTCAGTTCGTCGTTCCCGCCGACACGCCCGCCCCTGCCGTCAAGACGAGGACCCCACTAGTAAGGTCGGCGCACATGGACGTCTCATCCTCCCTTGATGATTCTGCCATGAGCGCCGTTGACGTGGCCCCAGGGTACACTGGCGGAACCTTACTTAATTCCACAGATACCGAATCGTCCTCGTCACCGTCTCCTGAGCCGTCCTCGTCACCGTCGCCCACAAACCCTTTGTCACCGTCGCCTGCGCTGTCACCGTCGTTGGCAGCGTCATCGTCACCCTCGGTCTCACCGACCGACTCTGACTACTCCGCCGACCCTCTGGACCTCATCGGCTCACAGACCCCGACTCGCCTTGGCCCACCGGACTGTGAAGAGTCCACTCTCAGCTCGACAGGGGCGCCTCGGTCGTTGCGCGCACTTGCTAGCCCGCCCCCGGCGGTGGGGACTTAGACGCGCGCGACTGCCTCAGCGCGCCAGCGCCGGCGGATTCATGCGCGCGCCCGCTAGCCCGCCCCCTTGCGGTGGGGACTTAGGCGCGCCGGCGATTTCACCCGCGGCTGACTTAGGGATGTACATTGTCACGCGCCTGGGACTATCCCAGCGTGGCCCCCCCCTTTCTGTTTCTTAGCTTCCTTCTCATCACTTCTGTTCGACTCTCAACCTCTCCTGACAGTAGTGGCGAACGTCTCATAGGTTATAAGCCCACGAGCCACCAGCTGGCATGACCACGACACCACCCCTCGCGACGGGTGCCAACCCTCCGATTCCCGCCGAACAGCTCGCCGCACTTACATCGCTGCTGTCGGGTCTCACCGCTGCCGCTTCCGGCACTGCCACACCCGCCACGACGTCCGGCACCACTCGCACTGCCTTTCCAAAGCACGCACGCTTGGATGGTGCGAAGACCTTCGCGAACTGGACACGCCAACTTCGCCTGTGCCTAGCGGACGACATCCGCTCGTACGTCCTCGACGGTATCGCACCCGACGACTGGACACCTTCGCAACGCTCCGCTCGCGACGCCGTCGCTCGTGAGGTCCTTGCGAATTCGATTGACTCGGCCGAAGTCTCGGCAGTCCTCGACAAAATCCCTACCGCCGACCTGACAGCGCCGACAATCTACTCGACGCTGAAATCGCGGTACGCCCCTGACGACGCCACCCGCACGCTCGAGCTCTTCTCACGACTCTGGGGTTTCCGTCCCATGCCCGGCACGGTTGCCGAATTCGACGGGTGGATCATGGACTTCAAAGCCGTTGCGCAAGAGATCATCGACACAAAGACAACTATCAATGATGTTCTCGCCACACTCCTCCTTGCAATCGCCCACCCGTCCCTCGAGAGCTTCAAGGCGTCGTTCACCGATGAACAGCGCACGCAACGAACTCTCCCCGACATTGATTCGCTTGCCGACCGTATGCGAGTCCAACTTCGGTCAACGAACATCCCCAGCACTCAATCGGCCCTTCTTGCCTCGTCGTCGTCACGTTCTACTCGTCTCAAGTGTCTCGCCTGTCGCAGCCCTTCGCACCGAGTCGCGGAGTGCCCTACGAGGGCGCAACACCCGCCGCCAGGACCCTGTCGCTCCTGCAAGAAGAAGGATCACTGGTCTCTCGACTGCAAGAAGGCGCTCGAGGACGGCAAAAAGCCCGACACCGCTGACTCGACCGTCGACTCGCAACACCATGTCGGATGTCTCGCCACCGGTCTTCTCGCTCGTCGTCGCCAGCTTCGCAACCACTCTTTTGTCGTCGACTCGGGCGCCACTTCGCACATGGTCTCGGACAAGTCGCTGTTCACGACCTATCGCCATATCGCTCCTACGAAGATTGGTGGTATTGCAGGGGGCATCAACGCCATCGGAACGGGAAACATCGCCTTCATTGCCGCCTCGGGTCATCCGATCACGCTTACCGGCGTGCTGCACACTCCGGGCCTGTTTGTCAATCTTCTCTCGGTCTCTCGACTTTGCGACACCGACGATGTCCGTGTCGCCTTCACAAAACACGGCATCCACATTGACAAGGACGGCAACGACATCGCTGAAGGCGCACGACTCGACGAAGGGCTCTACTTGCTGGACGCTGATCATTCCAAATGTCAGCACCTTGCTCTCCTTTCTCGCTCACAGTCGTCCGTGCCCCTGCTGACTCTCCATCGCTGCCTCGGCCATCTCGCACCGTCCTCCATACAGAAGATGGTTGCCGCTGGTTTGCTGGAGGGTCTCAGGGCCGGATATAGTGACGAAGAGGTAGAGAAGTTTGTCTGCAATGCTTGCCTCAGCGCAAAGGGCCATCGTCTTCCCTTTCCCGATTCGGATTCGCACTCCTCAGAGAGACTCGGCCTTGTACACAGCGATGTGCTTTCCTTCCCCGAGCGGTCCTTGACTGGCAAACGTTACCTGGTCACATTCCTTGACGATTACTCGCGCAAACTCTGGGCCTACGCAATCGGACACAAAAGCGAAGTCTTCGGCATATTCAAAACTTGGCTAGCCGAGGTTGAACTCGAGACGGGTGCGACGCTGAAGGTCCTCCGAACCGACAACGGTGGCGAATACTGTTCGAGAGCGTTCACAGAGTTCTGCAAGACACGAGGCACCCGTCGACAATACTCTATCCCACGCACGCCTCAACAGAACGGTCGTGCAGAGCGGGTCAATCGTTCCATTGTCGAAGGCGTCCTTGCCCTCCTTGTCGACGCCCACCTACCCAAGACATTCTGGGAGGAGGCTGCAGCTTATTTCGTTTACTGCAAGAACCTGTGTCAACACGCGGCCCTGGACAAGGCAACACCAAACTCCGTCTGGCAGGGTGACCACACCACTGCCTCGGCGCTTCACCCGTTCGGCTGTACAGCTTGGCTTACGGTCGCGCCCGAACTTCGCTCCAAACTCGACCCGAAGGCGGTTCGCGTTTTTTTCACCGGCTACGACCTGGCTTCAAAAGCCTTTCGCTTCTACGACACTACAACACAGAAGATTATACTTGGCAGAAATGCCACGTTCCTCGACACTGAATTCCCCGGATTACATGGCGACCCCACTGAGCAAGACGGCGACACGCACTTCGCCAGCGCTCCCACCACCGAATCTCAAACCGTTGTCAAGACATGGACCCCACTAGTAAGGTCGGCGCACATGGACGTCTCATCCCCCCTTGATGATTCTGCCATGAGCGCCGTTGACGTGGCCCCAGGGTACACTGGCGGAACCTTACTTAACTTCACAGATGCCGAATCGTCCTCGTCACCGTCGCCTGCGTCGCCCTCATCACCGTCGTCTGCGCCATCGCCTGCACTTTCACCATCGTCGGCTGCGTCATCGTCACCCTCGGCCTTACCGACCGACTCTGAAGACTCCGCCGATCCCCTCGACCTCCTCGGCTCACAGCCCCAGGTTCGCCTCGATCTACAGGACGTGCACCACCCAGACTTCAGCACGTACCGCGAGCCCGCATCGGCTGAGGAGTCGCCCGACGAACTCGACCTCATTGGGCGCCACTCTCGCGACGAATCTCCGGACGAAATCGATTTCCTCACCCGACACCACCGCGCCTTCATCGCCATCGACGACGACACCTCTGACACAGAGGCAATTCAGCCAGTCAAGTCCATCACGAGCGACCCACAGACCTGGCGCGAGGCGATGTCTAGCGACAAGCGTGAAGTATGGGCCAAAGCCGCCACCGACGAGTTCACCTCCATGCGCGACGACTTCAAGGTCTTCACCATCGAGGACCGAGCCACGGTGCCCGCGGGTGCGACTATCGTTACATCCAAGTTCGTCTGGAAAACGAAACGGAACGCACTCGGCGAAGTCACTGGACACAAGGCAAGGCTGGTCGCGCAAGGCAATCGGCAACGCGACGGCATCGACTTCAACGAAACGTTCGCACCGGTCGCACGCTTCTCCTCGATACGCTCACTCCTCGCGCTGGCGGCCGCCAACGGCTTGCACGTGCACCAGGCGGACATCGACAAAGCATATCTGCATGGCGACCTTGACCACGACATCTGGATGACGGCACCGCGCGGCTTCGACCTTCCCAGCGACAAGGTGCTTCGCCTGCGACGCTCCATCTACGGGCTCAAACAGGCTGGCCGAATCTGGAATCGACACATCGACGCTTCGCTTCGGGCCCTCGGTTACACGGCGACGGGCACCGACCACTGCGTATACTCTTGGCTCGATGATCGTCAATGTCCACACTACATCGCACTGTACGTCGACGACCTCCTGATGATCAGCCCGGAACTGGCCGAAATCGAACGTGTCATCTCAGGCCTGGACCAACGCTACGGAGTCAAGCGCCTCGGCCCGGCCGAGTATATCCTCGGCATCCAGATCAGGCGGTTCGACGACGGCTCTATCGCCCTATCCCAGGAACGGTACATCATGGACGTGCTCGCTCGGTTCCACTTCGACACCACGACTCGCGGCACTACAGTTCCGATGACTCCCGGCCTTTCGCTCACTGCTATCCCGGGTCAAGGCACCGAACGGATCAGGTCATGGTATCTGCAGGCTATCGGCTCGCTCCTCTACATTTCGCTCGGTACCCGCCCTGACATCGCCTTCGCCGTGTCCTACCTGGCCCGCTTCGCCAACAACCCCGGTCGTCGTCATTGGATTGCGGTCAAGCACATCCTACGCTATCTCCGGGCCACGTATCGCAACGAACTCGTGTATGCTCGCGGCCAGGCTCGCATCACGGGTGTGGTAGGCTACTCCGACGCGAACTGGGGGGCCTGCATCGACACATCGGTGTCCACCATGGGCTACGTCTTCTACATCGCTGGCTCGGCCGTGTCCTGGTCGTCCAAACGCCAGTCTCGAGTTGCCGATTCGACCACCGACGCTGAATACCTCGCCCTCTCGCATGCTGGCAAGGAAGGGATTTACCTCAGTCAGCTGCTCGAAGAGCTCCATGTACAACCTGTTGCACCGGCTCACATCTTTACTGACAACGAAGCCGCTGCTGCAGTTGCTCACGATCCTGTCCGCGTCTCTGGCACTCGGCACATACGCTTGCGTGAGCACTTCGTTCGGGACATGGTGAATCGGGGCGACATCTCTCTCTCGCATGTGGGTACCAGCGACATGGTGGCCGACATCTTCACCAAGGCTCTCGGCCCAAAGGTCTTCTCAACGCACTGCTACGCCCTCGGCCTTCGCACTCGACACCCGCGGCTTGGGTCTGCCTCGCATTCGCGTGGGGGGGGGTGTGAAGAGTCCACTCTCAGCTCGACAGGGGCGCCTCGGTCGTTGCGCGCACTTGCTAGCCCGCCCCCGGCGGTGGGGACTTAGACGCGCGCGACTGCCTCAGCGCGCCAGCGCCGGCGGATTCATGCGCGCGCCCGCTAGCCCGCCCCCTTGCGGTGGGGACTTAGGCGCGCCGGCGATTTCACCCGCGGCTGACTTAGGGATGTACATTGTCACGCGCCTGGGACTATCCCAGCGTGGCCCCCCCCTTTCTGTTTCTTAGCTTCCTTCTCATCACTTCTGTTCGACTCTCAACCTCTCCTGACAGTAGTGGTGAACGTCTCATACGGACGTGCACCGCCCAGACTTCAGCACGTACCGTGAGCCCGCATCGGCTGAGGAGTCGCCCGACGAACTCGACATCATTGGGCGTCACTCGCGCGATGAATCGCCGGATGAAATCGATTTCCTCACCCAACACCACCGCGCCTTCATCGCCACAGACGACGACGACCCCACCCTCGACGCCATCGAGCCCGTCAAATCGATCACTAGCGACCCCCAGACCTGGCGCGAAGCAATGTCCAGCGACGAGCACAACATCTGGGCTGAGGCCGCCGCCGCCGAGTTCACCGCCATGCGCGACGACTTCAAGGTGTTCACCATCGAGCCTCGCTCATCTGTACCGCCGGGCGCCACCATCGTCACCTCCAAATTCGTCTGGAAGACCAAGCGCAACGCAAGCGGTGAAGTCACGGGGCGGAAGGCACGTCTTGTAGCGCAGGGTAACCGACAGCGCGACGGCATCGACTTCTCAGAAACCTTCGCACCCGTCGCCCGTTTCTCCTCCATTCGCTGCCTCCTGGCTCTTGCCGCTGCCAATGGCTACCACGTTCATCAGGCCGACATCGACAAGGCTTACCTCCACGGCGAGCTCGATCATGATATCTGGATGACGACACCACGCGGTTTCGACTTCCCGAGCGATAAGGTTCTCCGGCTGCGACGCTCAATCTACGGTCTCAAGCAGGCCGGTCGCATCTGGAATCGTCACATTGACACATCACTCAGGAATCTGGGGTACAAGGCAACAGGCACTGATCACTGCATTTACTCTCGCATTGACGATCAGCAGCGGCCTCACTATATCGCCTTGTATGTCGACGACCTCCTCATTGTCAGTCCAGCCCTCGACGAGATCGAACGTGTCATCTCCGGCCTTGAACAGCGGTACGGCGTCAAACGACTCGGCCCCGCGGAGTACATCCTCGGAATCCAAATACGCCGCCTGGACGACGGTTCCATTGCTCTATCCCAGGAGCGCTACATCATGGACGTGCTGGCCCGTTTCCACTTCGACACCACGACACGCGGCACTACGGTGCCGATGACGCCCGGCCTCTCGCTCACGGCAATTCCGGGTCAGGGAACGGAGCGCATTCGTTCGTGGTACCTACAGGCCATCGGCTCCCTCCTCTACATCTCCCTTGGCACTCGACCCGACATTGCCTTCGCCGTCTCGTACCTGTCCCGGTTCGCCAACAACCCCGGCCGCCGCCATTGGATTGCCGTCAAACACGTCCTTCGCTACCTTCGCGCCACGTACCGCGATGAGCTTCTCTATGCCCGCGGCCCAGCAAAAGTCACGGGTGTGGTTGGTTATTCTGATGCGAACTGGGGCGCCTGCGTCGACACATCCATTTCAACGATGGGCTACGTATTTTACTTGGCAGGCGCCGCTGTCTCTTGGTCGTCGAAGCGTCAGACTCGGGTAGCGGATTCCACCACTGATGCCGAGTACCTGGCCTTGTCGCACGCGGGTAAGGAAGCGATCTACCTTAACCAACTCCTCTCCGAGCTCCACGTTTGCCCAATCGCTGCAGCTCACATCTTCACCGACAACGAGGCCGCGGCCGCCGTCGCTCACGACCCCGTTCGCACCTCCGGCACCCGGCACATTCGCCTCCGCGAGCATTTTGTCCGTGACATGGTCAATCGAGGTGATATCTCTCTCTCACACGTTGGCACAGCAGACATGGTTGCGGACGTATTCACCAAAGCGCTAGGCCCCAAGATTTTTGGTACACATTGCTATGCTCTAGGCCTCCGGACGCGACATCCACGGCTCAAGTCTACCTCGCGTTCGCGTGGGGGGGGGTGTGAGGAATCCACTCTCCGCTCGGCTCAGGACTTAGGCGCGCGGAGCGAACCGGGCGCGGACTTAGGCGCGCGGAGTGAGCCGGGCGCCCCGGCCCAGGACTTAGGCGCGCGAAGCGAGCCTGGGACTTAGGCGCGCGGAGCGAGCCTGGGCCATTGGCTCAGCCCCAGGCTCGCTGGCTGTGGACTTGGGGCGCGCGGGTCTCTTATTGTTAGCTTCCTATTCATCACTCTTGGCTATAACTACATCGCTGACGTAGTAGAGTTGATCGAATAGGTATGTTGAAATGCATTCATCACTCTTGGCTATAACTACATCGCTGACGTAGTAGAGTTGATCGAATAAGACGAACGCGGTCGGTGTCGCAGAGGCGAGAGACAGAGAGGAGGTTGACGTGTAGGCCAGGCGTGTGAAGAACACCACGGAGCGTGATCGGGTGTCCAGTCTTGGCGACGAATGCCACGTCCCCCATGCCGATAGCCGTGATGTTGCCCGCGATGCCGCCGATCTTGGTGTGTGCCGTCTGACGATAAGTCGTGAATAGAGATCGGTCGGCGACCATGTGTGTCGTGGCACCCGAATCGACTACAAAGGCGTCAGTTGGGAGTTGGCGACGAGCGAAGAGGCAGGAGGCGAAATAGCCGACGTTCGGTTGCGAGGCCGCGGAGGAAGACGTGTCGTCCTGGGTGTCGTCGCTGCTACGTGCCTGTTCACCCCGGTTCTTGCAGTCGAGTGCCCAGTGACCTTTCTTGTGGCATCGGCGGCAGGGGCCGGTGGGCGGGTGCTTCGCACGTGAAGTGCAGTCGCGCAGGCGGTGACCGGGAGCGCGGCAGGCGGGGCAGGGGGAGCTGGTGGCAAGCATGGCCGAATGCGAGGTCGAGAGTCCTGCCGAACGAAGCTGGATGCGAATGCGGTCCGTAAGCGTCGTGAGTTCGGGAAGGTCGCGTCGGTTTCGCTGCTCGTCCGTGAACGTGAGTCGGAAGCTGTCGAGGCAAGACGGGACCATGGCGAGCACGTGGGTGGCGAGCACGTCGTTGAGCGATGTTTTGGCGTCGCGTATTTCCTGAGCAATCGACATGTACTCGCGTAGCCAAGTGTCGTAGGCCTCGACGGAGGCAGGCATCTTCCTGAAGTCCCAAAGGCGAGCGAACAACTCGAGAGTGCGTGTAGCGTCGTCCGGTGCAAAACGAGCCTTGAGAGCGGCAAAGATGCGCGGTGCCGACAGGTCGTCGCTGGGGATGGCGTCGAGGGTGGCCGATACGTCGGCGGAGTCGATAGAGCCAACGATGATTTCCCGGGCGGCGTCGTCACGTGCGGCAAGCTGGTCGGCGGTCCAGGTCGGGGGAACGACACCGTCGAGAACGTAACCACGAACCTGGTTCGGGAGTGCAAGACGGAGTTGACGCAACCAGTTGGTGAACGACTTGGGGCCGTCCAGACGAGCGTGCTTGGGAAACACGACCTTGGATGCGGTGGCGGCGTTCCCCGGCACGACGGTGACGGCCGGGGGTGCGGCGGCTGCGGCGGCGGCGGGTTGCGAGGCCTGCAGAGCGGCAAGCTGGGCCTGTAGAGTGGCGATTTGTTCGCCGATCGAAGATTCAGGGGAGCTGGGATCCCTGGGGGCCAAAGGCGAGGCGGGAGAGCTGTCCATGATGTGATGGTGCGATGGACGTGTGCGGCTCGAGTGGCTGGGCTCGAGCGAAAAAGCCTCAAGCGGCGGGGCTGGTAGCTCGTGGGCTTATAACCTATTCGATCAACTCTACTACGTCAGCGATGTAGTTATAGCCAAGAGTGATGAATGCATTTCAACATACCTATTCGATCAACTCTACTACGTCAGCGATGTAGTTATAGCCAAGAGTGATGAATAGGAAGCTAACAATAAGAGACCCGCGCGCCCCAAGTCCACAGCCAGCGAGCCTGGGGCTGAGCCAATGGCCCAGGCTCGCTCCGCGCGCCTAAGTCCCAGGCTCGCTTCGCGCGCCTAAGTCCTGGGCCGGGGCGCCCGGCTCACTCCGCGCGCCTAAGTCCGCGCCCGGTTCGCTCCGCGCGCCTAAGTCCTGAGCCGAGCGGAGAGTGGATTCCTCACACTGACAGTAGTGGTGATCATCTCATAGGTTATAAGCCCATCGAGCTACCGCTGGCATGGACACGTCGTCAACCCTCGCGACGAGCGCCACCCCGACAATTCCCGCCGAACAGCTTGCCGCACTTACATCGCTGCTGTCGGGACTCACCGCTGCCGCTTCCGGCACTACCGCACCCGCCACGACATCCGGCTCCAATCGCAATGCCTTCCCGAAGCATGCGCGGTTGGACGGGCCGAAGACGTTCGCGAACTGGACACGCCAGCTTCGCCTGTGCCTAGCGGACGACATCCGCTCCTACGTCCTCGACGGAATCACCCCCGACGATTGGACGCCTTCGCAACGCTCCGCCCGCGACGTCGTGGCACGCGAGATCCTTGCAAACTCAATCGACTCGGCCGAAGTCTCGGCAGTCCTCGACAAGATCCCTACGGCCGACCTCACAGCGCCCAAGATTTACTCGACGCTGAAATCGCGATACGCCCCTGATGACGCCACTCGCACGCTCGAGCTCTTCTCGCGACTCTGGGGCTTCCGACCCATGCCCGGAACGGTTGGCGAATTTGACAGTTGGATCATGGACTTCAAGTCGGTCGCGCAAGAGATCATCGATACGAAAACGACGATCAACGACGTCCTTGCCACACTCCTCCTCGCGATCGCCCACCCGTCACTCGAGAGCTTCAAGGCAACGTTCACCGACGAACAACGCACGCAACGAACTCTCCCTGACATCGATTCAGTGGCCGACCGTATGCGAGTTCAACTCCGGTCAACGAACCTCTCCAACGATCAATCGGCCCTCCTTGCCTCGTCGTCGCCACGTTCTACCCGTACCAAGTGCCTCGCCTGTCGCAGCCCTTCTCACCGCGTCGCACAATGCCCTACAAGGGCCCAGCATCCACCGCCAGGCCCGTGTCGCTCCTGCAAGAAGAAGGACCACTGGTCTTTCGACTGCAAAAAGGCTCTTGAGGACGGGAAAACGCCCGACACCTCTGATGCGCAACACCATGTCGGATGTCTCGCCACCGGTCTTCTCGCACATCGTCGTCAGCTTCGCAACAACTCCTTCGTCGTCGACTCGGGTGCCACTTCGCACATGGTCTCGGACAAGTCGCTGTTCACGGCCTATCGCCACATCGCTCCTACGAAGATTGGTGGTATTGCAGGGGGCATCAACGCCGTCGGAACGGGAAACATCGCCTTTGTTGCCGCCTCCGGTCACCCGATCACGCTTACCGGCGTGCTGCACACCCCGGGCCTGTCTGTCAACCTCCTCTCGGTCTCTCGACTTTGCGACACCGACGATGTCCGTGTCGCCTTCACGAAGCACGGCATCCATATCGACAAGAACGGCAATGCTATCGCTGAAGGCGCAAGACTCGAGGAAGGGCTCTACTTGCTGGACGCTGATCATTCCAAATGTCAGCATCTCGCTCTCCTCTCTCGCTCACAGTCTTCCGTGCCCCTGCTGACCCTTCACCGCTGCCTCGGCCATCTCGCACCGTCGTCCATACAGAAGATGGTTGCCGCTGGTTTGCTGGAAGGTCTCGGGGCCGGATATAGTGACGAAGAGGTAGAGAAGTTTGTCTGCAATGCTTGCCTCAGTGCAAAGGGCCATCGTCTTCCTTTTCCCGATTCGGACTCGCACTCCTCAGAGAGACTCGGCCTCGTACACAGCGATGTGCTTTCCTTTCCCGAGTCGTCCTTGACTGGCAAGCGTTACCTGGTCACGTTTCTTGACGACTTCTCGCGCAAACTGTGGGCATACGCGATCGGACACAAAAGCGAAGTCTTTGGCGTGTTCAAGACATGGCTTGCCGAGGTCGAACTCGAGACGGATGCAAAACTGAAGGTCCTCCGAACCGACAATGGTGGCGAATACTGTTCGAGAGCGTTCACGGAATTCTGTAAGGCACGCGGCACACGTCGACAATACTCTATCCCTCGAACGCCTCAACAGAACGGTCGTGCCGAACGAGTCAATCGTTCTATCGTCGAAGGTGTCCTTGCCCTCCTTGCAGACGCCCACTTACCCAAATCATTCTGGGAGGAGGCAGCAGCTTATTTCGTCTACTGCAAGAACCTGTGCGAACACTCGGCCCTGGACAAGGCAACACCGAACTTCGCCTGGCAGGGCGACCGCACCAACGCCTCGGCGCTTCACCCGTTCGGCTGCACGGCTTGGCTCACAGTCGCGCCTGAACTTCGCTCGAAACTCGACCCGAAAGCGGTTCGCGTTCTCTTCACCGGCTATGACCTGGCTTCTAAAGCCTTCCGTTTCTACGACACGACGACCAAGAAGATCAGTTTGGGCAGAAATGCCAGGTTCCTCGACAACGAATTTCCCGGGTTACGTAGCGACTCCACCGAGCAAGACGCCGACACGCACTTTGCCAGCGCTTGCCCGACCACCGAATCCCAAGCCGTTGTCAAGACATGGACCCCACTAGTAAGGTCGGCGCACATGGACGTCTCATCCTCTCTTGATGACTCTGCCATGAGCGCCGTTGACGTGGCCCCAGGGTACACTGGCGGAACCTTACTTAATTCCACAGATGCCGAATCGTCCTCGTCACCGTCTCCTGAGCCGTCCTCGTCACCGTCGCCCGCAACCCCCTTGTCACCGTCGCCTGCGCTGTCACCGTCGTTGGCTGCGTCATCGTCACCCTCGGCCTTACCGACCGACTCTGACTACTCCGCCGACCCTCTGGACCTCATCGGCTCACAGACCCCGACTCGCCTCGGCCCACCGGACGTGCACCGCCCAGACTTCAGCACGTACCGTGAGCCCGCATCGGCTGAGGAGTCGCCCGACGAACTCGACATCATTGGGCGCCACTCGCGCGATGAATCGCCGGACGAAATCGATTTCCTCACCCAACACCACCGCGCCTTCATCGCCACCGACGACGACAACTCTGACACAGAAGCCATTCAACCAGTCAAGTCCATCACCAGCGACCCACAGACATGGCGCGAGGCAATGTCGAGTGACAAGCGCGAAGTGTGGGCCAAGGCCGCTACCGACGAGTTCAATTCCATGCGCGACGACTTCAAGGTCTTCACCATCGAGGACCGATCCACGGTACCAGCGGGTGCGACCATCGTCACATCCAAGTTCGTCTGGAAAACGAAACGGAATGCACTCGGCGAAGTCACCGGCCACAAGGCACGGCTCGTGGCGCAGGGAAATCGGCAACGCGACGGCATCGACTTCAACGAAACCTTCGCACCAGTCGCACGCTTCTCCTCGATACGCTCACTCCTCGCGCTGGCGGCCGCCAACGGCTTGCACGTGCACCAGGCGGACATCGACAAAGCCTATCTGCATGGCGACCTTGACCATGACATCTGGATGACGACACCGCGCGGCTTCGACCTTCCCACCGACAAGGTGCTTCGTCTGCGACGCTCCATCTACGGACTCAAACAGGCTGGCCGAATCTGGAATCGACACATCGACGCATCGCTTCGAGATCTCGGCTATACGGCGACGGGCACCGACCACTGCGTGTACTCTCGGATCGACGATCGGCGACGCCCACACTACATCGCGCTGTACGTCGACGACCTCCTGATGATCAGCCCCGACTTGGCCGAAATTGAACGTGTCATCTCGGGCCTCGAACAACGCTACGGCGTCAAGCGCCTCGGCCCGGCAGAGTACATCCTCGGCATCCAGATCAGGCGACTCGAAGACGGTTCTATTGCCCTGTCCCAGGAACGGTACATCATGGACGTGCTTGCTCGGTTCCACTTCGACACCACGACTCGCGGCACTACAGTCCCGATGACCCCCGGCCTTTCGCTCACCGCCATCCCGGGTCAAGGCACCGAACGGATCAGGTCATGGTATCTGCAGGCTATCGGCTCGCTCCTCTACATTTCGCTCGGCACCCGCCCCGACATCGCCTTCGCCGTGTCCTACCTGGCCCGCTTCGCCAACAACCCTGGACGTCGTCACTGGATCGCGGTCAAGCACATCCTCCGCTATCTCCGGGCCACATATCGCGACGAACTGGTTTATGCTTGCGGCGAGACACGCATCACGGGCGTGGTTGGCTACTCCGACGCGAACTGGGGGGCCTGCGTCGATACGTCGGTGTCCACTATGGGCTACGTCTTCTACATTGCCGGATCCGCCGTGTCTTGGTCGTCCAAGCGTCAATCTCGAGTTGCCGATTCTACCACCGACGCTGAATACCTCGCCCTCTCGCATGCTGGCAAGGAAGGGATCTACCTCAGTCAGCTGCTCGAGGAGCTCCATGTCCAACCTGTTGCACCGGCTCACATTTTTACTGACAATGAAGCCGCTGCCGCAGTTGCCCACGACCCTGTCCGCGTCTCCGGCACTCGATATTCGATCAACTCTACTACGTCAGCGATGTAGTTATAGCCAAGAGTGATGAATGCATTTCAACATACCTATTCGATCAACTCTACTACGTCAGCGATGTAGTTATAGCCAAGAGTGATGAATAGGAAGCTAACAATAAGAGACCCGCGCGCCCCAAGTCCACAGCCAGCGAGCCTGGGGCTGAGCCAATGGCCCAGGCTCGCTCCGCGCGCCTAAGTCCCAGGCTCGCTTCGCGCGCCTAAGTCCTGGGCCGGGGCGCCCGGCTCACTCCGCGCGCCTAAGTCCGCGCCCGGTTCGCTCCGCGCGCCTAAGTCCTGAGCCGAGCGGAGAGTGGATTCCTCACACCCCCCCCCACGCGAACGCGAGGTAGACTTGAGCCGTGGATGTCGCGTCCGGAGGCCTAGAGCATAGCAATGTGTACCAAAAATCTTGGGGCCTAGCGCTTTGGTGAATACGTCCGCAACCATGTCTGCTGTGCCAACGTGTGAGAGAGAGATATCACCTCGATTGACCATGTCACGGACAAAATGCTCGCGGAGGCGAATGTGCCGGGTGCCGGAGGTGCGAACGGGGTCGTGAGCGACGGCGGCCGCGGCCTCGTTGTCGGTGAAGATGTGAGCTGCAGCGATTGGGCAAACGTGGAGCTCGGAGAGGAGTTGGTTAAGGTAGATCGCTTCCTTACCCGCGTGCGACAAGGCCAGGTACTCGGCATCAGTGGTGGAATCCGCTACCCGAGTCTGACGCTTCGACGACCAAGAGACAGCGGCGCCTGCCAAGTAAAATACGTAGCCCATCGTTGAAATGGATGTGTCGACGCAGGCGCCCCAGTTCGCATCAGAATAACCAACCACACCCGTGACTTTTGCTGGGCCGCGGGCATAGAGAAGCTCATCGCGGTACGTGGCGCGAAGGTAGCGAAGGACGTGTTTGACGGCAATCCAATGGCGGCGGCCGGGGTTGTTGGCGAACCGGGACAGGTACGAGACGGCGAAGGCAATGTCGGGTCGAGTGCCAAGGGAGATGTAGAGGAGGGAGCCGATGGCCTGTAGGTACCACGAACGAATGCGCTCCGTTCCCTGACCCGGAATTGCCGTGAGCGAGAGGCCGGGCGTCATCGGCACCGTAGTGCCGCGTGTCGTGGTGTCGAAGTGGAAACGGGCCAGCACGTCCATGATGTAGCGCTCCTGGGATAGAGCAATGGAACCGTCGTCCAGGCGGCGTATTTGGATTCCGAGGATGTACTCCGCGGGGCCGAGTCGTTTGACGCCGTACCGCTGTTCAAGGCCGGAGATGACACGTTCGATCTCGTCGAGGGCTGGACTGACAATGAGGAGGTCGTCGACATACAAGGCGATATAGTGAGGCCGCTGCTGATCGTCAATGCGAGAGTAAATGCAGTGATCAGTGCCTGTTGCCTTGTACCCCAGATTCCTGAGTGATGTGTCAATGTGACGATTCCAGATGCGACCGGCCTGCTTGAGACCGTAGATTGAGCGTCGCAGCCGGAGAACCTTATCGCTCGGGAAGTCGAAACCGCGTGGTGTCGTCATCCAGATATCATGATCGAGCTCGCCGTGGAGGTAAGCCTTGTCGATGTCGGCCTGATGAACGTGGTAGCCATTGGCAGCGGCAAGAGCCAGGAGGCAGCGAATGGAGGAGAAACGGGCGACGGGTGCGAAGGTTTCTGAGAAGTCGATGCCGTCGCGCTGTCGGTTACCCTGCGCTACAAGACGTGCCTTCCGCCCCGTGACTTCACCGCTTGCGTTGCGCTTGGTCTTCCAGACGAATTTGGAGGTGACGATGGTGGCGCCCGGCGGTACAGATGAGCGAGGCTCGATGGTGAACACCTTGAAGTCGTCGCGCATGGCGGTGAACTCGGCGGCGGCGGCCTCAGCCCAGATGTTGTGCTCGTCGCTGGACATTGCTTCGCGCCAGGTCTGGGGGTCGCTAGTGATCGATTTGACGGGCTCGATGGCGTCGAGGGTGGGGTCGTCGTCGTCTGTGGCGATGAAGGCGCGGTGGCGGCGTTCCCCGGCACGACGGTGACGGCCGGGGGTGCGGCGGCTGCGGCGGCGGCGGGTTGCGAGGCCTGCAGAGCGGCAAGCTGGGCCTGTAGAGTGGCGATTTGTTCGCCGATCGAAGATTCAGGGGAGCTGGGATCCCTGGGGGCCAAAGGCGAGGCGGGAGAGCTGTCCATGATGTGATGGTGCGATGGACGTGTGCGGCTCGAGTGGCTGGGCTCGAGCGAAAAAGCCTCAAGCGGCGGGGCTGGTAGCTCGTGGGCTTATAACCTATTCGATCAACTCTACTACGTCAGCGATGTAGTTATAGCCAAGAGTGATGAATGCATTTCAACATACCTATTCGATCAACTCTACTACGTCAGCGATGTAGTTATAGCCAAGAGTGATGAATAGGAAGCTAACAATAAGAGACCCGCGCGCCCCAAGTCCACAGCCAGCGAGCCTGGGGCTGAGCCAATGGCCCAGGCTCGCTCCGCGCGCCTAAGTCCCAGGCTCGCTTCGCGCGCCTAAGTCCTGGGCCGGGGCGCCCGGCTCACTCCGCGCGCCTAAGTCCGCGCCCGGTTCGCTCCGCGCGCCTAAGTCCTGAGCCGAGCGGAGAGTGGATTCCTCACACTCGACACATACGCTTGCGCGAGCACTTTGTTCGGGACATGGTGAATCGGGGCGATATCTCACTCTCGCATGTGGGAACCAGCAACATGGTGGCCGACATCTTCACAAAGGCTCTTGGCCCAAAGATTTTCTCGACACACTGCTACGCACTAGGCCTTCGCACTCGATGTGAAGAGTCCACTCTCAGCTCGACAGGGGCGCCTCGGTCGTTGCGCGCACTTGCTAGCCCGCCCCCGGCGGTGGGGACTTAGACGCGCGCGACTGCCTCAGCGCGCCAGCGCCGGCGGATTCATGCGCGCGCCCGCTAGCCCGCCCCCTTGCGGTGGGGACTTAGGCGCGCCGGCGATTTCACCCGCGGCTGACTTAGGGATGTACATTGTCACGCGCCTGGGACTATCCCAGCGTGGCCCCCCCCTTTCTGTTTCTTAGCTTCCTTCTCATCACTTCTGTTCGACTCTCAACCTCTCCTGACAGTAGTGGTGAACGTCTCATAGGTACGCTGAAATAGATCACTTCTGTTCGACTCTCAACCTCTCCTGACAGTAGTGGTGAACGTCTCATAGGTTATAAGCCCACGAGCCACCAGCTGGCATGACCACGACACCACCCCTCGCGACGGGTGCCAACCCTCCGATTCCCGCCGAACAGCTCGCCGCACTTACATCGCTGCTGTCGGGTCTCACCGCTGCCGCTTCCGGCACTGCCACACCCGCCACGACGTCCGGCACCACTCGCACTGCCTTTCCAAAGCACGCACGCTTGGATGGTGCGAAGACCTTCGCGAACTGGACACGCCAACTTCGCCTGTGCCTAGCGGACGACATCCGCTCGTACGTCCTCGACGGTATCGCACCCGACGACTGGACACCTTCGCAACGCTCCGCTCGCGACGCCGTCGCTCGTGAGGTCCTTGCGAATTCGATTGACTCGGCCGAAGTCTCGGCAGTCCTCGACAAAAATCCCTACCGCCGACCTGACAGCGCCGACAATCTACTCGACGCTGAAATCGCGGTACGCCCCTGACGACGCCACCCGCACGCTCGAGCTCTTCTCACGACTCTGGGGTTTCCGTCCCATGCCCGGCACGGTTGCCGAATTCGACGGGTGGATCATGGACTTCAAAGCCGTTGCGCAAGAGATCATCGACACAAAGACAACTATCAATGATGTTCTCGCCACACTCCTCCTTGCAATCGCCCACCCGTCCCTCGAGAGCTTCAAGGCGTCGTTCACCGATGAACAGCGCACGCAACGAACTCTCCCCGACATTGATTCGCTTGCCGACCGTATGCGAGTCCAACTTCGGTCAACGAACATCCCCAGCACTCAATCGGCCCTTCTTGCCTCGTCGTCGTCACGTTCTACTCGTCTCAAGTGTCTCGCCTGTCGCAGCCCTTCGCACCGAGTCGCGGAGTGCCCTACGAGGGCGCAACACCCGCCGCCAGGACCCTGTCGCTCCTGCAAGAAGAAGGATCACTGGTCTCTCGACTGCAAGAAGGCGCTCGAGGACGGCAAAAAGCCCGACACCGCTGACTCGACCGTCGACTCGCAACACCATGTCGGATGTCTCGCCACCGGTCTTCTCGCTCGTCGTCGCCAGCTTCGCAACCACTCTTTTGTCGTCGACTCGGGCGCCACTTCGCACATGGTCTCGGACAAGTCGCTGTTCACGACCTATCGCCATATCGCTCCTACGAAGATTGGTGGTATTGCAGGGGGCATCAACGCCATCGGAACGGGAAACATCGCCTTCATTGCCGCCTCGGGTCATCCGATCACGCTTACCGGCGTGCTGCACACTCCGGGCCTGTTTGTCAATCTTCTCTCGGTCTCTCGACTTTGCGACACCGACGATGTCCGTGTCGCCTTCACAAAACACGGCATCCACATTGACAAGGACGGCAACGACATCGCTGAAGGCGCACGACTCGACGAAGGGCTCTACTTGCTGGACGCTGATCATTCCAAATGTCAGCACCTTGCTCTCCTTTCTCGCTCACAGTCGTCCGTGCCCCTGCTGACTCTCCATCGCTGCCTCGGCCATCTCGCACCGTCCTCCATACAGAAGATGGTTGCCGCTGGTTTGCTGGAGGGTCTCAGGGCCGGATATAGTGACGAAGAGGTAGAGAAGTTTGTCTGCAATGCTTGCCTCAGCGCAAAGGGCCATCGTCTTCCCTTTCCCGATTCGGATTCGCACTCCTCAGAGAGACTCGGCCTTGTACACAGCGATGTGCTTTCCTTCCCCGAGCGGTCCTTGACTGGCAAACGTTACCTGGTCACATTCCTTGACGATTACTCGCGCAAACTCTGGGCCTACGCAATCGGACACAAAAGCGAAGTCTTCGGCATATTCAAAACTTGGCTAGCCGAGGTTGAACTCGAGACGGGTGCGACGCTGAAGGTCCTCCGAACCGACAACGGTGGCGAATACTGTTCGAGAGCGTTCACAGAGTTCTGCAAGACACGAGGCACCCGTCGACAATACTCTATCCCACGCACGCCTCAACAGAACGGTCGTGCAGAGCGGGTCAATCGTTCCATTGTCGAAGGCGTCCTTGCCCTCCTTGTCGACGCCCACCTACCCAAGACATTCTGGGAGGAGGCTGCAGCTTATTTCGTTTACTGCAAGAACCTGTGTCAACACGCGGCCCTGGACAAGGCAACACCAAACTCCGTCTGGCAGGGTGACCACACCACTGCCTCGGCGCTTCACCCGTTCGGCTGTACAGCTTGGCTTACGGTCGCGCCCGAACTTCGCTCCAAACTCGACCCGAAGGCGGTTCGCGTTTTTTTCACCGGCTACGACCTGGCTTCAAAAGCCTTTCGCTTCTACGACACTACAACACAGAAGATTATACTTGGCAGAAATGCCACGTTCCTCGACACTGAATTCCCCGGATTACATGGCGACCCCACTGAGCAAGACGGCGACACGCACTTCGCCAGCGCTCCCACCACCGAATCTCAAACCGTTGTCAAGACATGGACCCCACTAGTAAGGTCGGCGCACATGGACGTCTCATCCCCCCTTGATGATTCTGCCATGAGCGCCGTTGACGTGGCCCCAGGGTACACTGGCGGAACCTTACTTAACTTCACAGATGCCGAATCGTCCTCGTCACCGTCGCCTGCGTCGCCCTCATCACCGTCGTCTGCGCCATCGCCTGCACTTTCACCATCGTCGGCTGCGTCATCGTCACCCTCGGCCTTACCGACCGACTCTGAAGACTCCGCCGATCCCCTCGACCTCCTCGGCTCACAGCCCCAGGTTCGCCTCGATCTACAGGACGTGCACCACCCAGACTTCAGCACGTACCGCGAGCCCGCATCGGCTGAGGAGTCGCCCGACGAACTCGACCTCATTGGGCGCCACTCTCGCGACGAATCTCCGGACGAAATCGATTTCCTCACCCGACACCACCGCGCCTTCATCGCCATCGACGACGACACCTCTGACACAGAGGCAATTCAGCCAGTCAAGTCCATCACGAGCGACCCACAGACCTGGCGCGAGGCGATGTCTAGCGACAAGCGTGAAGTATGGGCCAAAGCCGCCACCGACGAGTTCACCTCCATGCGCGACGACTTCAAGGTCTTCACCATCGAGGACCGAGCCACGGTGCCCGCGGGTGCGACTATCGTTACATCCAAGTTCGTCTGGAAAACGAAACGGAACGCACTCGGCGAAGTCACTGGACACAAGGCAAGGCTGGTCGCGCAAGGCAATCGGCAACGCGACGGCATCGACTTCAACGAAACGTTCGCACCGGTCGCACGCTTCTCCTCGATACGCTCACTCCTCGCGCTGGCGGCCGCCAACGGCTTGCACGTGCACCAGGCGGACATCGACAAAGCATATCTGCATGGCGACCTTGACCACGACATCTGGATGACGGCACCGCGCGGCTTCGACCTTCCCAGCGACAAGGTGCTTCGCCTGCGACGCTCCATCTACGGGCTCAAACAGGCTGGCCGAATCTGGAATCGACACATCGACGCTTCGCTTCGGGCCCTCGGTTACACGGCGACGGGCACCGACCACTGCGTATACTCTTGGCTCGATGATCGTCAATGTCCACACTACATCGCACTGTACGTCGACGACCTCCTGATGATCAGCCCGGAACTGGCCGAAATCGAACGTGTCATCTCAGGCCTGGACCAACGCTACGGAGTCAAGCGCCTCGGCCCGGCCGAGTATATCCTCGGCATCCAGATCAGGCGGTTCGACGACGGCTCTATCGCCCTATCCCAGGAACGGTACATCATGGACGTGCTCGCTCGGTTCCACTTCGACACCACGACTCGCGGCACTACAGTTCCGATGACTCCCGGCCTTTCGCTCACTGCTATCCCGGGTCAAGGCACCGAACGGATCAGGTCATGGTATCTGCAGGCTATCGGCTCGCTCCTCTACATTTCGCTCGGTACCCGCCCTGACATCGCCTTCGCCGTGTCCTACCTGGCCCGCTTCGCCAACAACCCCGGTCGTCGTCATTGGATTGCGGTCAAGCACATCCTACGCTATCTCCGGGCCACGTATCGCAACGAACTCGTGTAT